TCTTTTTTTAAGCTATAGAAATGTGGAGACTTTTTGTTTTTTTGTTTTTTTGCAAGAGGAATCAATATTTTATCAAAACCAGCAAAACGTGGAATTGATGTGAGCATGTAAACTTTACAAAACATGTCCTGGACAGTGAAACTAATGTCAAATGCTCAACATCAGCCCCACTTCCACTTACATGAGTGACGACATTGACACACACAACAACATCAACAGCATGAAGAAATGAACCCTCTGTACACTTACTTCTTGCTGTTGGCCATCTTGCGGTACTCTCCGACGGTCATAGACTTCTTCTGGATGTTATACTGAGTGAACAGACCGGACTGTCCGGTCACCACCTGTGTGATGGGAGCTGGGATCACCATGTCCTCGATGGTGTCGTAGCACCTCCGCGGCTTCCAGCCTTCTGGAGGAATCACCTGTTGAAGGAGGTAAATAGACATCGTTCATATTTACACCCAAAGAGTATGGCATCTTCTCAAAAAAATTGGGGAACAAATACCAAATATGACAAGCTGATTTTTTTAGATCAAGCAACCTCATCTGAACCCTGCTGCCACTACACATTTAGACAAGCTAATTTTATAGTTTTATAAACAACAGCACAACTATTATTACTATTATTTTTTATTATGTGGTGACAGCATGGTGTGCTTTCAGTCACATGACTTTCATTGCATTTCCTTCTATTTGAATAGTGCACATGCACACAGCACAATGCTTATGATTCAGCCCTAATAACAGTTATATCTGTGTGTATGTTGCCCCACCTTTGCCAGGCCAGCACGGTGAGCTCCTTGACTCTCCATGTAGACGATATATTTGGCAAAGTCTTTGAACTCCTCCATGGTGGGCCTAAAAGTCATGATCTTGCAGCTGGGGTTCTTGGCGCTGACTGGTGGTGGTGGAGGCAGAGATGTCGGTGGCAGCTCAGAACCTGCAACAAGGCAAGGGGCCGGGTCTGGGACTGCAGGCTGAGCTGGGATGAGACTTGGAGCAGCGCTGCGTTCTGTGGTCATCGCTGTGTCTGGGGTTTCAGCTATCGCTGGCTCCTGGGTGGGAATTTGATCTTGGGCAGCACCAGGGCTGAGGACAGGAGGAGAGGCTGGAGCGGTGTCAGGGGGTGAGGGTGGGGCAGGGTGAGGAGCCGGCACCGTGTCCATGGGCATATCGGTAGCCATCAGGTCTCTTAAAGGTTGCAGGTAAACCTGGAGAACAGTCAGAGGATATTTAGTCTATTTCAGTTTCTTACACACAGCCAGGAACTTTGGTAAAACCAAATATATGAACATCTACATGTTAAGCTGAAAGACTAGAAGTGTTTTGGTCTAACAGAGAATCAAGTGTTGTTGTTTTTTTTAATTTACATTTCACAAAATAATCCAACTTTTTCCAACATGACTGTAAAACATATGATGCTCTGGCAGAAGCTAAGCAAGCTAACAAACTGTTGGCTGGAATAGAGACCATAGAGTGTGGTGATTTACTTCTCTGAGTGATCTCAGATCTTAACAGGAGCAGGAGGTACATCAATTGAACATAATATAAAAATGACAGAGACACACACTTTCCTCCTCTTCTCAAACTAATGGAGAAAGTTTTCACCAGACCACAACAGCTGATGCTAACTGTCTATGCAGTCCCAACCAAACTTAACAAAATCATCAAACAGTCATTCTAAACGCACTTAACAGTAACTTTACTGATGGTGTTTGATGCAGACATTTTCATTATATATTCAATAACTGAGATTCACTAAATCTTTAATTTACTCAGATTACTCATCCAAATTCCCAAACCCAGAATGCAGTTTCACATTCTCTCTCCTGCATAACCAGAAGTCCAGAACACAGATGTTTCATTTACTACATAAAAGACTAAGAAAGGCGGAAATTTTCTTCTTATGACTTGAACATGCTTCTTTTGTTCTTCACTGGTTTCAGTCTTCTTTAGCTCTTTATTTGCTGTGATTTATAGTTAATTATTCTCCTGCCTGTGAAAATCCAAACATTTCAACATATTCTCAGTATTTTTGCATTTCTTCTTTTTGAACTTTTGCATCACATTGTCCAACTTTCCTGACCTCTCTACCAATGGCCTGATTGTTATATTTTAATTCTGTCTTCTCGTGGCTTGCTTTGTCTGTCAGAGCACTATGACAGAAAAGGTGCAATATAAATTGAGCTGTTATTATTATTATTGATAGTGCAGACCTTGTACCAGCATATTCTTAATATTTATTTCAGGAAAACTGAAACAACTTATTGTTTATGAAAAAATTTGAAGTTAAATTTTGTTTGATAGAAGTGTTTGTTGTTGTTTGTTGCAGCTCTGCTCAGGACATTTTTAGATCTCTGTTAAAAAGAACAAATATCATTAGATGATCTAAAATAATGTAGATTTTACAGTTACATACTTTTGTAACTCTAAATATACAGCAGTCATACAATGGTTAGTGCTACTTTGATTACAGATAATAGGAGGTAATTGTATTTAGTGAAGTCAGAAAAACATATGACCGCAGTGACGGGCAGACTTCAAGCTGCCCCATTTAAACTTAATTATAACATTATCATGATCACAGAGACAAAGTCCTACAATGTGTGATTTAGTTCTGCAGAACTGTTTACTGGAATATTTCAGGATAAGTTGAACGGTTGTTTGTTTTTAATGATTAGTCCAAACTGAAGCTTCCCAGTCTCCCTGTCTTCAACATGGCTGACTGAATGACTTTGGGAATTTGGACTGTTGTTTGTCAAAATATTAAAGATATCAGATAAGGCTCTGGGAACTGTTGATGAACATTTTCACTTCTCTTTAACTTTCACTGACAATACAGTTCTTCATAAATGAGTCAATCATTACTGGGTATGAGGAAGGTTGTGGGTTTCTTGCAGTCCTAGTTTGATAAAAAAAAAAGTTTCAGAGGAAAAATAAACAAGTTTTCAAAGTTCCAGAAAAAGTTATAGAAGGTGAAAGGGCCTAAAATGAGTCTGAGAAATATTACAATCTAGGATCCAGACTATTAGATAAACTAGAAGCATCAGTGACCTCTTATAGAGAAGGAACTTGACTTATTCATTTTCAACTTAAAAAACTACATTTATCCACCCAGATATGTGTCATTCAGACACTTGTTTGAGGGAAACTTTTTTAGTTTTTATTCGTTCCACTCATGGCCATTTTTAAGCATTTCCATACATACAAAAGGCATTTAACAAAGGTACCACAGCACATGACCAGAAAAGAGCAGGTAGAAGACAAAGCTTATTTTACCTGCCCCTCAACTGTTGCTCATCAAAATCAACAAGTTATTCCTTAATCTCCTCATGGATGTGAGTGATTATTACAGTGACAATGACAATCAGTCTGTTTGCTCCAAGGAGGTTGGAAATCTGAGGTTTAAATGTTTAAGAACCAAAAGTTGCAGTAAAGTTGCATAATTTATATGGATTACTTCTTTCAGGAGATAAAATCAATGCATTAAAAGACACAAGGTGACGGAATAAATCCTTTTACACACAAAATGGAAAGTCACAGGTGCACCTTAAAAACACACATCAGCCAAGTGATCAAAACTAGCCCTCAGCATGGGATATTTGCTCTGACACACTAACCCACATGTGTAGATCGTTGTTAAACTTATAAAACACGCACAAAACACTACCTCCTTTAATATGCATTTAATGCAAATCCACAGCCTTCACCTTATATCAGCACTTTCCTGACGATTCCTATCTAAACTGTGAGTTCCTAAAGTAAGGCCATGCAAATGGAAACACCATTGACTCATTTACATACACACAAACAGGAATCATACCTTAACTTTACAGCACAAAGTGTTCGTTACTAAATAAAAACGGGGCATAAAGGTGTTTTATTATTATTATTTCACATGCTAAGACCCTTTTACGGACGGTAGTATTGAAATGACTGAAGGCCAGCTGACCCCCAGCTGTCTAACCACAACAAAAAGGGGCCTACAAAGCCCCTTTAACTCCACCTGGCCTTAAACTTGATTCAATATCACAGCTTTCCTCTTCAAAAAGAAGACCCAATGTCATAAATGTCTCGAGTAAACTGTCTGCAGCTGTAGCTGATTCATATCTTTGCCTAGACGAAAGTAAAACCGAGTTAGCTGAGGGCGACGGTGGCTCTGCACATCCACATTATCTGTTAGCATTTCCTCCAAGACGACGAACAAAAACTGTTGCTAAAGCACATCTGAATGATCACGATATGAAACCCGCATAATCCCTAATGCAGTATGACAAAAGCAAAGGAAACATTAACGCAAAACCACAGCAATAAAAACGCGGACAGACCCTGCACCGTGAAGGTATGATAGTCGAAGCTAACGCTAGCTAGGTCCCTGCAGCAGGATACTTCCATATCTGCATTCAGAAAAAAAACAAAACACCGCGACGACAGACACAACACACAACACAATTACACCGGAATACGCCTTTATGACTGAACAAAATCAATTCAAATTGGCGGATTTTACCTCCTGCTGCAAAGTTGTATCCTCTCCCTGGTTTGTTGAGTGGATTTTGTTTCGTTTTGGAAAAATCCCTTGATCGATTTTCCTCTAGCATTAGCTTGCCGAGGGTAAACTGAGTCACGCCCACTTCAAAAAATACGTGTCGCGATTGGTTGAACGTCCCGGATGATATAATTAGTTGTCACGAACCAGGCGACGTAATTGGCTTATTCATTAAAGGACACACGCATGCGCCAATGAAAATGGATGTCTGTTATTACTCGTCCTTGGTGTCCGTGCTAAAGCGACGTGCACACCGAGCACGTAGCTACTGCCGGTGTCCTGCTACAGGCTGCTTTACGATATACAATAAAATAAAATACATGCAACTATATAAACTCTGCTATCTTTATGATCTTTCGGACACTTAAACTTTTCGTTAAAACTCTGTAAAATCAACATTTGAGTTGAGTTGATTTTTGTTTTCCCAAGAAAAAACACGACAAAGTACCTCATTTTCATTTTTTTATTGAATGACACTTAAAATGTATTAACAAATCGTTGCACTTAACATGTGCAGGCAATTCTAAAACTACATATCACAGCTAAAATGGACTAAGAAATTATACAATTTTCGAAAATATACATTTACCAGTCTATGCAAATCTTTGTCTCACGGTCAAAACTTGACATGCTGGCATTAGAATAAGCATTTACACACATTGCTATTGAAATTGAACAGGCATCCTGACAAATTCAGTTAATTAAGTTTATTCAATATCAAATTTCAGGAGCAATGCGTGAAGTTTTTGTTACGTTTCAACTTGATGCAAGCATTTTCTGTTTTCAAAGAAGTCAGGCGCACTAAGTGACCACTAGAGACAAAAACCTGACCATACAAACCCCACAAATGGCAGTAATAGGTTACAAAAGATGAAAAAGTACAAATTTTAGTCTTAGAAAAAATACAAAAAGGGTTTCTAGACTCAAGGCATTGAGTGTAAGAGACAAAGACTAAAGAGCTAGATACATGGGTGGTCTACGTTATACTCTTGAGCACTTTAGTTTCTTTGGGCTTTTAATAAAAACAGGGGTAATCCAAACCTTTACCACAAAATACAAAGGGCTATAATGGCTTTAAGAATATCAGGTTAAGTTTAAAGTTTTTTTAATATAAATCATCACAATTCAGGGTGAGTGTTAGGAACCACTAAACAAGTTAGAAATGTCCAAATATGTTTGTTGACATCATTTCCCATTTCGACACTTACTCTCAAACAGAACAGAAAAACGTAACTTTGGACTGGTTGAGTCCTTGCCCTCATGAAAGGTCACCTTTACATGTCATTGAGCAGCTTAAACTTCAGCTGTTCTCAGCCAAGGGCCTACTTCAGTACTCATGTTAGTGCAATTGCAACCGGGGGCCAGCTGTTACCTTTGAAACTCCGAAGGACAATATCATGTTCAGCCTGAGTTTTTGGATTTCTTTGTTCATTTGCAAACACTGAAATAGACACAAAATTCGATTGCTCCAGGTGACGCATTACTGGGCTTTCCAGCTCAGGTGTGAATGAAAACCGAAGATCAGATTTCAAAACTAGTTGCTCCAAAATCATGACGAACCACAGCTGATCCAGATTTTAAAAAAGCTATTGTCTAAAGAAACATTTTGGGCTAACAGCTGAGAAAATGTCAGAGCAAAAGATCTCCTGAGGACGTGGAGGATTTAGTTTTAAGAAACAGTTAACGTTAGTTAATGGAACAAAACAAACGCTGGGAGTTACGTTTTAGTTGTGGGTATGAACGGAGTAATGATAAAATTACAAAAGAATCAACAACTAAATAACATGGCAGACCCCAGGTAAAAAAAAAAAAAAGAACTATAGCATTGAAGTCCTCAAAAATTGTTGTTTTATAATCATTAAAAATATATTAAGAGAAACTGATTCTTTGTTGCCCCTACTGAAATATTCCCCTTACAGTTTACATCAGAGCTGAGAAAGCAGAGCCAATGATCATCGTCCATTGCTGTAGCCCGGGAAAAACTGATTTAGAATGGCTTGCAGAGGTTTGTTGACGGTCATGGAGTAGTTTTTGCCCAGGTCGTGTCTGCAGGCCGGGCAAGTGTACACCTCTGCTTTGAAGGATCGTTGGAGGCATTCCTGGAGTAAAAAGAAACAGCTTTTAGTTTGTCGGTGGCTCTGCTGCTGGATTTATGAGTTAATTTCCTTCATAAAAACACCAGCACCAATGACAGTCAATGACTTACCCTGCAGACATTGTGTTGACACTCTGTGGTGATGGGCTGAAAGACCACTTCTTGGCAACAGATGCAGAGGAAAACTTCCTCGACTTTGTTCAAGAATTTCTGCAGCAACAAAGAATTAAAACTCATAAGACATGGAAACTTTTTATGGCCACATTTCAGAGCTTGGTGGATTTGAGCTCAGAAGTCTTGATTAGCAGTTTTTCAGCTTGGTTATATTTTTGATCATGCAAAACAGTAGAACACCAAAGCTTTATAAACAAAATTACATTGCATTTCATTATCCACCAAAAAAGTGACTGAAACAAGTAAAAGCTCTTTTGGTTTGGCCCTTTTTCAGTAAGAATAAAAATATGACAGGATATCATCTCATAGTCACAGACTTAAAACAGCGTTTAGCTCAGATTTTCCAAATTTAGTTCAGTTTTGTTCTAATCTGTATGCAGGACACACATGGATTTCAGCACCAAAAGAAACCTGTGCTAGAAAATAACACAGCCATCCTCACCGGGCCGAGAGACAGTGACTCCTTGGCTTCATCCCACAACTTCTTGTTTTGCTCGTCATTCTTGATCAGAACCTTCTGCTCCCTGGTCAGTTTGTATTCCTCCACCTTGACTTTCTTAGGAGTCTTGGCAGGTGAAATTTTGGGGGATTCTGAGATAAAGACAAACAGGTGAAATTACCTCATGAATTCTGGGGCTCTCATTATCTAACAGGAGTTTAGGCTCACCCAAGTCGAACACTTACCGCTGCTCTTAGACTCTCTCTTCCTCTTCGCCTTGCTTGGTGTGGCTGTTGCCACAGCTTCTTCTTCTTCCACTTCATTTTTGTTCTCTTTCTCCTTTTGATAACCTGCAGGATACTGAAAGAGGGAATAGAAATTCGGTTCTTGTGAACAAGCAGCCCAAAGCGTTGCTGATATTTGCAGTCTCATATCTTTTAGCCGCAGACACGGACTTTCAAAACTCTTGGATCTTCACACACACATTTAGCAATCTGAGTGGTTTAATATTGCCCTGCTTCTATATGAATCACACCTCATAAATGTGAGCTGTGTTTCATTGAAAACACCATACGAAAAAAATCAGCACTCACAGATGTAAAAAAAAGTGGTGGTACGGCAATAACCCCTTTTCTCATTGGACTGAGAGCTCATCATATCCAAAGTTCAGTAAAAATAATTCAACATATCGTACGTTGGATATGAACGATTATCTCTACCTGCATAGTGAGGCCGAGCTTCTTGATGCGATCCTTTCCATCTCTGGTCCACGGTGCCGGCTCATCATCGTCGCGCTTCAGGAGATATCTCCAGACCAGAAAACCAGACTTACCCTTGGCTGGCCAATACTTCACCACCTGAAGGGGGTCGAAAGCACATATCAGGAATGTGATATACAAGTGAAAAAAAAAAAGAAACTCATCAACACTTGCAGACTTTTAACCACAGCTAGCGGAATACAAGTCGCCTTAATGCAACTTTGAAATCTGTTGTTGAATTGGAAGTAGCACTTCATTGTTTACTGTGCTGTTAACCAGAAGCTGACACTGTATCTCACTCTAAAGTAGAGGCACAGATCTGCTAATAAACATAAACCACTACCAAAGCTAACCAACCGGGGTTCATGTAAAATCAACAGATTGAGAAGTTCATTACAAACATCAGCATGGATACTTTTAACCATTACTCAAACTGCAGCTATCTGAGCTAAGCAGCTGTGTTATTAGTACTTAAATGATCTTTTTTCTGTTTATTTATTCTAGTAGATTTTTACAGTTTAACTCATAATTCCAGCGTTGTTGCACCAGGGGTCAAATGTGTTGCTCAAAACCATCTTCAGAAACCTGCCTAGTGTTCCCTCATACCTTGTATATTCCATCATATCTGTTTCCTTCCTCTGGGGAGTATTTGCTGTGTTTGCGACCCTTGCAGTTGCGCACAACTCTAACCGGTTTGCCTTCCTTCCAGTTCTTGGCCTCCGCACCAGTTTTGTCGTTGACGGGGACGTTGCAGTTGAGAGCCAGCGCCCTGATGCAAACAAAGAATCAGGATATTTAAATTCAAGTCAAGAAAAAAATCTGGTACTCCAGACATCCAGCTGAAGCAAAGGGCAGTCGTGATATACTGTATATTGTGTCCTATTTGACCATACCGGTTCATGTGGGTAAGTGTCTGATCACATGACTGCTCAGCAGTTCTCTTGTTGCCAGAAAGATCTCGCCCTCCAGAGCCAGTGTAAGTAAACTCGTTGCCATCATCCTACAATGTATGACACATCACAAACAGTTTGAGTTTGACAGCAGAGTTTTAACTCGGGTTCGATGTCATACTAGATTTAACAATTCTGTACAAATCCAAATCAACGTACCACATCGTCTTCATAACCTCCGGCCAGAACCAAAGAGTAAGCTCCATCAGTGCTCCTTCCATGAATCCCAGCAACATGAGGCCTGTGGACGCCAGATTCACTGACCTACAAAACCCAAAGAGGTTCAAAATTAAAGCCTTTCTGTTCCCTGTATAAGTCACTTGCAGCAGGAAGCAGAAGACAGTAATAGTTCCCCTCTCCAGTTGTGTGAACTGACCTGCACTCTGAACTTCCACAGGGAGCCGACAGGGATACCTGGGATCGGGCCGTAGTGGTTGGACGGGACAATGGTGCACTGCTTGGTTCGACCAACACACGCCATGCCCTGGTAAGAGAGGATAAAAGTTTCACTTTTGAGAGCTTGAGTTTATAACAAAGCAGGCTGGAGGCTATAATAAGTGCCAATGAAGTCTTTGCCCATTTTGAAGTAACTAAACACCTAGATTTAAGACTATTTCCTGGCAGCACTGAATCAGCACTCACTTTGCCCCAGTCCCTCTGGCTGGAGGAGCTGGCAGACGCCATCTTTGCTTTCTTCTTGCTCTCCTTCAGCTTCTCTCCAGCCAACACAACCTCGCTGGCGTCATTACGACAACCGGGGCAATACCTAGTGGTGTGTAATCAAACATCAAGTCAAGATGATAACTCCTCCACTGATGTCAATACAACTCTTTCACACTGAACATCTCTTAACTTTATATTCAGACACATGTAAGGAGCTACATTCCCGAAATGTGACGATCTGATTCTACTGACCAGTCCTCGTCTTCTGGGATGGTGGTGAGAGGAGGGTTCAGGCAGTAAGTGTGATAGGCCATATCACATTCATCGCACAGCAGCTGCTTGTCAGGATCCTGTTTGATGCCGCAGATATGGCAGTTACACCACTGACAGTTTTTCTTGGGGTCATCCTTACAGTGTTTGCACTCAGGTCCGTTTGATCCTGGGAATTAAAAGACACTTTATTAGAGATCCAACATTTCATGTCGGTATTGGTCAATGCAACTTACTGTGTAGATGGCTTTTAAAACAACACTGTTCTACAAATTCAATGTTTGATCCTTAAAACTTACTTTTTAGGGGACTTTCAGATCCAGGAGGGGCATCAGCCAGAGAACCAGGCTCCTCAATTTTGTAGATTTCAGTCAGGAACATGATGCGGCAATCATTCAGAGAGTCACCAGCATCACTGCAAACAAAGAACGACTTATTTTAAATGGCCTGCAGATAAGTAATACAGCAGCACACCCCTTTAAATTTTTTATGCCATTGTCTGAAACAGATAAAAGTATTCCATCATCTTGCATGGAAAATAACCAGTATAAAGCAGCCTAGTTCACTAACCACATTAAAAACACAGCAGGAAGCTTCCATCTTCCCACCTGCTACTCTGGCCTCAAAAACCCACAAATCTTGATGTATGTGTAAAAAAATGGGGCCACAGGATGATCACCTGTCACTGCAGCAGGATCGAAGTTTAAGGTTTAGTGAGCCATTACTTACCCGAGGATAATCTTGGCACAGACCTCTCTCTGGGTACGCGTCTCTCTTTTCTTCTTGATCTCTGCATCATACCAGTAGCCGCGCTCCTTTGGGTCATCTGGGTTGTAGTTGACCATGACGATCATCCCTGGCTCCAGCTGGTGCCACTGGTAAACTGTGCGGGCCCGAGGTCTGACATCCTTTGACAGCAGCTGGATCACCCCGTTCTCTGGGTAGCTGTGAGAGTCGAAGTTATCAATATCAGACGGCAGTTTCAGAGAGAAGCGACACATCAACATCAGGTGCTTCCTACACACAGTGCTGCCACAAAGTTTGGATGACTGCTGAAGATTAACTGTTACTGCTGCAGAAATACAAATACACCTCTAACATTAATGTTCCTCCATCACTTAGAGCTCAAAAACAAAAAGAGCTCCGAGAGAAAGAGCTAGTCAGTGAGATGAGTTTTTTCTAAACCTACTAACAAGCGTGGTCAGTTACTCAGCATACAAATTGTGGACTTTACCCTCACTGTGTAGGTAGACCTGAATGTTAACAATGTTTGACCCAAATAGAAGTATTTTTTTTCTCTCAGTATACGTGTAATAAAAAGTCTGATCTTCTTAAATTCAGCATTAAGGAAGTAATTAAATGCTAAAATTTGTTTCAACAGATGGCACCACTTTTCTGCAAAACACATGTACCCCCCTGTGACTGAGGCCAGACATGACTCATCCCTACAGTGCCAAGAGGAGGTTAGACAGTTACAGGATGAACTAAGTAACACAAAAGTAGATATACTTAACTGAATAATTAAAAGAGAATTACGCTGTCACTATAGAGAAACAGTTTTTAATGCAGAAGTGAAATATGGTGTCACTAAGTGCACTGTCCAGAGATGAAAACCACAGAAAGATCGTCTTTAACAGTGCATGTGATCAGGGTATCAGACTCTTCAACTCTCTCATTAACTACAGGTTAATGTTGTTTTTACGATATTAGATGATATTCCAACATCAGCACCATGAAGGCTTCATTAACGCATGACCGTATTATGTATCATGTGTTATCATGTCATTTGAAGGTAATGTGCCATTTAGTAAAATAAAATAAATCCCTCTCTACAATATGAAGATGGTAATAAACCTCCATGATAAACAGTTTTACTAACTCGACCTGACACACTCACTCTAAAAATTATGTCAACAAAGTCTTTAAAACAGAGATACAGACTTACTCTTCGTATTTAACATGGTACAGTATCTCCTCCTCCTCCTCAGCCTTTGTGGTCTCCTCTATGGGGGTCTTTGCGGTCTTCGTAACATTGACAATCTGGGCCTCAAACCATGCGCCCATGTTCAGGTCTCTTGCATCCACCAGCTCATTGATCTTCAAAAATCAAAGAAAAAAGAAGATCATTAATAATTAAAACTTTATTTAAATATTATTTAATATTTAAGACTTTTCAATATGTGTTTTTTTAACTGAACATAATCTCGGCTGAATTTGGAGCGTTAATCCACAACACAAAACATGCCACAAAATAACACAGAGTGGAGTCAGCTTCAACACATTCAGGCCACTCCACCTTAACTTGTTCAAACAGAGTTTACCTGGACCTGTCACGTCATTATTTCACCATGTCTTTAAAAAGGCTTGAATTAGTTTTGCACTTGTGTTTTGAAAAAGGCACAGTCCAACTCATCTAACCCACAAAAAACTGTTCATCACTTCTCCCTTACAGTAATATTTTTCCCCTTGCTGGCACTAAATGTGTTGCAGAAGTGTATATCAACAACCACAATTTTAAAACGTACCTTGTAAAATCCGAAACCTGGATCTATGAGCTCTAGGGTGTTTGCCTGGGCAGACGTGCCGGCTGTTTGACCCTCAACCTCGCCGTGAGTTGAGCTTTTGTCCGACTCACTCTGGGTTGAGCCGCAACCGGAATCAGAGTCAGAAAGTTCCGCTTCTTTGTCCTTGCTTTTGACGACATCCACAGGGGGCAACTTCTGTCTTACAAGCAGCTGCACAATGTCATTTAAGCCCACATTGTAGTCAAATAATGTATGTCCATCCTCCATCTGAGATTAAACAAGAACATATAAGACATGGTTAAATGGAGAAACACAGACCAACATTCAAGAGAACATCTCTGAAAAGCTTTGAACAACGCTGCTTCACCTGCTTGCCACGGTAAAACAGCCTCTGTCTCTCTGGTTCCACCTTGAAGAGCTCCAGAATTTTTCCACGCAGCTCGTCCACTTTAGTGAGCTTAGACAGGGAATCCACCCGGTGGGTTACCTTCCCATCCATTGTGCGCACCTGGATCCACATTGCAGCTGCCCTACGGCGACAAACAGACCTCCAGTCACTGTTATCATTATTATTATTATTACACCCCAAAGATGGCTTTTTGCTACACATGACTATTGTCCAATCTGATTTATCAGCTTATCTATCGACCCATGCGGGCATCTTTATATTGAACTGGAGGAAAACCAATACACTGTATAAAGAATTCTTGTAATGGGTATTTGTAGTCTTTGACTGAATTCAACTAAAGTTTGCTTTATATATCCATTGTGTAGTTTTCCCCCCTTCTTTCTTTCATATTCTGCTGGTAAAACCATGACTTACAATTCTTAATAAAGGGGTTTAAAAAATGCATGCTTTTGCTCCGGTGTTCATGCGTCAAATAACTAAATTTTGATGGTTTTCGTTTGTTATCAATGTGGCCTGAATGCAGTAAAATCACATAGTTTTTTTACGATCTTATTTTGTGCAATTTGATATTTATTCACTTTTGTCCATGCTGTTCCATGGTCCTCCTCAGGTGTTTCTGAATATGCTCTGAATGCAGAGATGCAAATTAGGGCCTGACCAATTTATTGGCGAGCCGATTAAATCGACCATATTTAGCCTGTTAAAATAATCGGTAATCGGCCAAAACTCGCCGATTGTCGCAGATATTTTCAGAAATAAAATGCGGAGAACGAGATTCGGTTTGACTTCGAAAATGTTCCGCCATTTGAAAAGTTCCCTGACTTATCCTGTAGATGGCGCAGCGACCTCATGATAATCTTCATCCACTAACTACCTCACAGCACAGCAGAGTGACGGATCTGTAGTAGGCAGCGGCGGGGACGCACGGAGGAGAACCAGTTTGTGAAATACACAATAAGTCAACAAGTTTCAGTTCAACCCACTTCACGATGTTCCCCGCTGTGCTGGTCTAAGTCACGCCGAGTTAACAGTGAAGCACCATGTAATATGCAAGCTACAGTTAGAGTTAGCCATCTGCTATTAGCCTTGCTACACTGTTAGCCGTGCCAGTAACGGTAGAATACACAACAGTACACAATAAGTGATCGAGCTACTTCTCTTACTGAGGCAGCTGCATGTCTCCAGATGAGACCGGACCGGAAATGATTAACGTGAGGTAAGACGCGGAGGCACCGATTGCCAGCAGGGGGTTGAAACTGTATGCACTTAACACAAAATACCTCATTCTTTTTTAGCTGTTTTAGCAAAATTTACTTAATTTAATTAAAAAAAAAAATAAAAATTGGCCGATTAAATGGTAATAATAATCAGTATCGGTATCGTCCTCAAAACATCCATATCGGTCTGGCCCTAATGCAAATAAGGCAAATTTTTCATTTTGCTGGTCTCCATTGTGTAAAATTTGATTTGATATTTTCTTACATGGCACTTCAGAAGTTGTCATCCTCAGTTCATCTCTTCTGAAATGCACTTTACTCAATAAAAAAAGATGTATTTATGTCAAAGATTTGAGTTTTTAAAGGTTTTTTTAATAAGAAATAAATTTGCTTGGTTTCGAATTTTATAAAAGTGGGTCCAAGAGTGAGACTAGTTGAGAACCACTGATTTAAAGCTTTGAGTTTCTTCATTTTCAAGGCTCAAGGCTGTAGAAACTCCAGTCAAACGATCATGACACAAGTTTGTGAGAGGCAGAGACATGCTTTCGCCTGGTCGTGGTCTTTGTATTGTCCTGCTGTCAGCACTGGGCTGTCACTTGAGCAGAATATTAGAAAGGGAGGGAACAAGCTGATTTGAATACAGTGCGGGAAACTGAGCTCGTAGCCACTCCCAGTTCTTTTAAAAGCAAGCACATCCGGACAGGAGGGAGCGCTAGCAAACAATGTGCCACCGTTCACTGACAATAAAACACACCGAAACGCCATCGTATTTACCGTTTTAAATCGATAAATCTCACAATTTCACCCTGATTTAGTCTTAGAAACGACGGTTGATATTTCAATGATCTGAGAGGCGAGCGCATGCTTTTAGTTTGACGCTCTCAGCTGAGGTCTCGATCAAAAAAATAAAACACCAGCGAACAAAACACGAGTGAAAACATAGGAAGGAGTCAACTTCCTCTGAGTATTTAGTGAAATTTAATCGTCATCACGCAAATACTCTAAATAAAGACGTAAACACGAGACAATTTCCACTCAAGACAACACGTAAAAGCAAGAAAATACGCGTCTCTATTTATGTTAGCGTGATTCTTTTGCATCACATGAGGCGACAAAGTGCTAAGGCTGACATAGAATTTACATTTTTTACTGCAAAACGTTGAATTACTGCGAATAAACAGCACAAGATAACAGGTCAGCGTTGACAAGTTCAGCAAAACCACGTTACTACTTATTGTTGAAGAGCTTTCAGCTGGTATGCTGCCAGTAAAACATATTTAATTTTATTTATCAGCAGGAGAAGTAACTCATTAAGCTCACATTTTATTTTAATTTTTTGCATTTAATTGGCAAGAGTGCTTAATGTAGTCAAACGGAAACGAGGTAGGACTTTGTCAAGTTAGCTAACCATAGTAAGCTAGCTACTGCAAAAAAGATATCAATGAGCATGAGCTTAAAAGTTGTCAAAACATAAGAAAAAATGTTTTACCTGTTTAATAGTCCAAGTAAAAACAAGAAATTGACGTTTTGGAAATAACGCGCACGGTTTCCCCCAATTAACTTCTCCGCAAGGATTGTACGGCCAACTCTTGTGCCTTGTTGGAGATTGATCAATGAGTTATTCTTCAAGACTTTGATATCCCACCCGCTCGAAAGTCCTGCGTCGCCGTTGGCTGGTTTGCTCGGAGGAAACGGAGCTCATTGGGCGGCGGAGCTGTCAATCTGAAATGTGACTGGAGCTTAGCCTCAGCGCGCGAAACAACATTCTCGTGGGTGCAGCTCGCCTTCTGTCGTTTATCGCGAGATTATGTGGCTCTCAGTAAACACCGGTAATCATGGGGGACAGATGGTGGTTCTTGTAAACAACCCTGCGGGTGAAGCTGCTTTTATGGATGAAGTATGAGTGTTTGGTTTTTCTGTTTAATAATGGGTTTCTTAATCTGTACTTTTGTTTCATATGTTTAACTCCTGTAATGATCCATCGATTTATAAAATAATATTGTCTAATCAATGATGTAAAATGAAGTCACTCCTGTATCAGCAGGAACTGAAATGGAATGAGACAAACCCAGTTTGACCAATGACGATAAGAAATGGATTCACGTAATGGAGGATAAGATCTGTGATCAAGGGGGGAAAGGGAGGACTTTGTAAGATTCACATGTGCTTAAATAGGGGAGAGTGGGGTAAGCTGAGCCAAAGGGTAAATTGAGCCACCCCCTGTTGCTTGGAAATGTGACCAAATATTTAGGAGATGGGCATCAATTCATGGAGTCTGTGAAGGTTAGAAGCACATGAGTGAAGAGGTTATTTGAAAAAAAAAAAAACATTTTTCACTCATGAAAGTGAATTTAGTCTGTCATAAGTTTTATTAGAATTGTGTTCAGACCAAAAAAAGATCATTTTAAATTTGTTTTATACATCAGTTGTGGTATCTATGAGCTACAAAATGAGTAGTAGGGATACGGCTCAACTTACCCTGCTCCTATGGTCATCTTACCCCATACACGGGGTAAGTTGACCATAAGAGACCACTTTTTTTGGCATGCTATATTATCAAGACAGTTATGTTTACACTCAGTCTGTTGGTTTGCAGGGATGTACAACATCCTGAAATATATGCAGATACACTAGTTAGAGACAAAACTATGATCCCCTTGATGTCGGATCTGAAATATGAATCTTACCCCACTCTCTCCTATACAGCAAATTGATTAAAAACTTCATGTTCACCTGGTCCTTGCCACATTGATTTACAATTTGCCTTTATCAAAGGGGTAGCACTTCACCAAGGACAATCAATGAAACCTACAACTGTTATGTGAATGTATTTTTTTATTTAGTGAGAAGAATAACATAAAAACCGAGTTTTAAAAAAATATTTATTGCATGACATAAAATAAAATACTGAGGCTGCAGAGGAATCTCTAGAAATATACATAACCCATGCAAGATCTATCTAAAAGCAAACTGAAAATATACCTTTTTAGTCTTGCTTTTAACTAAATTTTATATCTTAATTTTATATCATTAACTTTGTTTAAGTATTTTAACATTTATCTCTTAGTTTTAATGACAGGATCGTCTTTTATTGAGCTATTTTGGTGTTCTTATGTTAGTATCTTTTACTGTTGTTTTTATTTCATTTTATCTATTATTTCTTCAATTTCATTTTATGTTACTTTATTTTTAGATTTAAAACCTCCAGTGTTTCCCTACTTTGAATTTTAAAATGGCATTTCCTCGGTGCGCACATTCCTGTTAAATATAAATTGAGCCCTTTATTCCTCTGCTATGTAAAGCACTTTGTGCTACATCCTTTTTGTATGAAAAGTGCTATATAAATAAAGACTGATTGATTGATAAATGTCTGCACAGCGACAAGTGTACAAGGCTGTTTCACATGGCTTAAAATGTATAGGTTTACAAGTTTAATCATTTAGATACTAGATTTAAGCGAGTAATGTCAGGGTTAAATTATCAGTATTTATTCCTTATCAATCCTCCATCTAGCCATACTCTACATCCATCCATCTTTGTAGATGCCCAGTTGAGATTAAAGGGAGCTTTTTGGACTAGTGTGTATCTGTTTGTCACTTCTTGGACTAACAGTTAAACTGTAAGCACGGGAAATGAGTGAATAATGCTCTCAACTTCCTCTGCAGAAAGAAAGAAAAAAATCCTCCTGGCTTTAAAAAGTTAGCAGACTAAGAAAAAAAACTGAGTGTGGCCTAGGAGCTGTATGGAGTCTCTGGTGTAGTGGATCCAGGACAGAGCTGCCTGGCAGGGACTGAACAGCACTCAGAGCTCAGGGAGGATGACAGGAAGTGGACACGACAGGCCAAATCGTCCAGGAAATCCTTTTGTAGCTTGGTTATTGCTTGAGAGAGCACGACAGGGAGCGACTGCACACTGAGAAGGATGGAGTCCAGTTTGTCTTCCAGAGCTACAATCCTCCTGTCAAGCTCTTCACTCCGATGCTGCAGCTCTGACACGAGATCATACATCATGTTCTGAGTCTGGAAAACAGCAGGGAAGTCAGGTCAGACATCTGAGTTTGTAACAGAATATAGGGTGGGTGAACGCTCAACGAAAAAAAAAAGCCCAGTATATGACATTGCTACAAAGGTTCAAGAAAAAAAGGGTTTTAAATGTAGGCTTTAATTAACTTACATTCTAAAAGAGTAAATTTAGATTTCTGGATAAATTCCCTTTTATCTATTTTCATAATTTCTTTACAATTTGAGTTTCTCGATTTACATTTTTCAATAGTTGGCTAGGTCATTGGAGGACCTATTTTTATAGAGAAAATTTTTACGCAGAACCTGTTGAATTGTGTCTTTGTGTCTCAGTGGCTTTACAATCAATAAACTGAACAAGATAAACACATGAAAAGAAAAAATTATCTGAGTGAAATTAGTAAAATGCTCTAAGTTACCATGCAGTATTTTTTCAACTTTAATTCAGTTTGAATTGTCCCTGTGTTTAGTTCTTGGTGCTGATATTGAAATAAATAACTTAAAAGAAGACATCTATTGAAAAATCATTATGATGCAGCAGTGTATCATGAATTTATGGTCGGTGCAGAGACCCTTCCCTCTTGTTGTAGATGAAAACTCAAACACTGTTCATGTGTCAAATTCCCATAAGCATTATAAGAAAACAAAGTAACAAACATTTTGGTTTTCTTTTGCTCTATTGTATTAGATTTTTGTGAGAGGTGCTGCACCTACTGACCTTAGCAAGATCAGCAACTGTATTGGCCTGGTCAGTAAGTTTCCTTTGCTCCAGTTTGACTGTTCGCAGTCTGAAATTATAGAGCAAAAAACAATTTTATTTAATGTAAAATGTAAAAAAGAGAAAAAAAAAGATTATGACAATAATAATAATGATTTGCAAGTCATTGTAACCCTAAAATATTACTGAAAATAGTGCAAAGACAAAAAAGCAAATGATGAAGCTGAAAACTTTTATTGTTGTTTGACAAATATGCTCATTTTGAGTATAATGACAGCAACAGTTTTTAATAATAATAATTATGTCAACAAAATGTTAATCTCTATGACATTTGTGAAAACTCATTTATACTCACTGATGGATGGCTTGCAGGAATTTGCGTTGATGGTGGCGTACTCTGGCACGGTCGATCTTTTTGACCAGCTTGGTGTGTTTGTAGATGAGCCACGTCTCCCTCAGCACATTGGCTGCCGTGTTTTTTATCTGTCAAAGAAAAACACATCATGTGTATGAAACATTAGGAACATATAAACAATGTTTCTATCCCACTGCGCACTCAGTTTACAATATTTTGTCATAAGATAAATTTCCCAGGAAAATAATGTTAAGACTGCACTATTAGAGTTTCCATTCAGAATATTTTTTTGTCTATGTTTGAGTCTCTCTGACCTTTTTGTAAAGCTGAGTATCCATCATGAAGTTATGGACGTGCTTCTCAGCTCGGGTGAGTTCCGATTTTCGTGCAACAACCGCAACCACTAAGGCTGTGCACCCCGCTCCCTGAGGAGGAGAGGAGTGGTTAGTTACTCTTTTGCAAGCTGTGGTCAAGTACATCATCATCTACATATGTGGGATTTCTAAAGAAGGAATTTAAATGTTGCTGCTTGAGACAGTCTTATGAAATTATATTAGATTTTAAAGCTGTAATTATAATAAAACAAACTGATCTAATCAACATGCAACTCTTCAACAGTCGTGCAAAGAAAGGCTTTGTATTTGAAGATGTTTTGGATTAATATTATGACTGTAAATGAAAAGCCAAAACAAAGGTGGGTGTGCCGAGTTTGAAATGATCTTTGGAAACCTTACCATGATTCCTGTTAGCAGGCAAACACCTTTCCCACAGTAGGTGTGAGGGACCATGTCGCCGTAGCCGATGGACAGGAAGGTGATGGAGATCAGCCACATTGCACCTAGGAAGGTACTGCTCACTTCTTGGGCATCGTGATACCTGTAGAAAGAGGAGATGATGTAAATCTATTGTACAGCTCACATACTTCCATCACATATTAAATTTAAACTTATGTGACTTTTTGTTCTTGGTAGATTTAGAGATCCAGAGCCTGATACCTCTCACACACACGCACTGTCCAGGCAGCTATTATCCAGCAGGTCACGCTGAAGACCAGCAGAACTGTACCAGGGCAGATGGTCATCAGAGTCTTCATGACAAATCGAGTATCAAAGCTGATCTTGTTGAGCGCCCCTATGCTTCGTGAGGAGGCATCTGTGAACAGCTTACTGTGGAGCAGCATGACTCTGCCAATTAGGTAGAGGCGCAGGAACATGGGCACGGAGAGGATGATGTCGACATCAGCATCCGCTACCGATGCCGTGTAGCTGAAGGCCAGACGAGCTGTCCAAGTGAACACGTACTGGCCTGGGATTGGATGGATGGCGCAGATAAAGAGCTCCAACACAACAAACAGAATACGTTCAAGGGTCATAGCTATCCTCCAATCATCTGCTCCATTATCAACCATGAAGAGCTGCAAAAAAGAGGAGAAGATAATGAAATGGGGTTTATGAAAGGAGTAAAAAACTCAGATGTACAAAGGCTTATCATTTTCCATTCACATACTTGGATTTCCCTGGCGTGATACATCACAATGAGCCCAAGAAGAAGAGCAGTGGAGAGGCTGATCAGGCCTTTCAGTATGTAGGAATAAAGTGAATCCTGGACAAAACAGAGTGGAAAACATAAACCACCGAGTGAAAACAACCTGAAAACTGAAAGTAAGGTTGTTAATGGAGACAGTACCTTGCTGTAAAATCCCCTTGAAAGCTCTGTCTCAATCACCATGACAACGATGCCAAACATCCCACAGACTAACGCGTAGTCACTCAACTGTTTACGCTTCCCAAAGAGCGCTCTTCTCTGACCTAGCCGATAACTAATGTCCTTGGTCTTCTTCTGTGGTGCGTTTCCTTCCTCCCTGGACAGGTTCTCACTGTTGGCTTTACTGGACTCTTCTCTGAGGACTTTGGAGAAGGCGTCCTCCAGGATAGCACTGTGAAGAAGCTGAAGGGGCTGCTGATGGCCTGAGTGGATTTCTGAAAGACTGGATGTTAAAGTGCCATGGCTGCTGAGCGGGTTCACTGCATCCCCGTTGACTATGTCGCTGGTTTCGAAGGTGTCAGAAGGTGGAGGGGTGCGTCGAGAGGGGGCTTGTTTTGATCCACTGTGGTGCTGAGCGGTCATCTGCAATAAGAAGACCGACAGTAAGCAAGGAGCGCGTGACATATGAGTCAAAATACTTTATGCTGCAAGGGAGAATTTTGCAGAAACAAGAAAACATCCAACACTTCTACAACCCGAAACTGAATTTAATCTCAATTTCTTTCATTAAAATCAAACAGCCCAAATGGAGATCATTATGGGCTGGCATACCATTGACATGTGTGAATTTGTGGTACGTCTTGTGACTGAAGTAGATTTTCAGGTGGAATTTGGTCCGTGCAAATAGTCTACAAAAAAGTGCAAGTTATGGGCGATTTTTTTAACTTATTTAAATTAAATTTAAATTTAATTAAAAACAGTGGCTTCAAGGTTTTCTTCCATCTCTTCATCAGAAAAATGTTTACTTGGAAGTTTCTAGAGTAGGGAACTGCCTGCTTTGAATTTGGAAAGCAAATTTTGGTAAATAATCATGCTTTTTAATGCAATGCTGTTTTTAGATCATTATTGAATTGTGGCTGATTTACAGTTTGATAAGCAAATCTGTCTTAAATCTAAAACATTACCATAAAAAATACAATCATTATGGTCTCAGTCGTATCTCTGTACCTTAAGTTGTTGCCATCTCAGAGTCTCCTCCACTAAATCCTGGTTCTCCAAGGAACTGAACTGGCTGTCAGAGAAGGACTGCACACTTCTGTTACCAGCCGTAGTGGATGACCTCTTGGCGCGTAGAGTGCTGGCTAAAGGATCGTGAGGGAGATGTCGGCATTTGAGGATGGAGGGATCCTGAGCCGACTTGCAGGTTTGATCGCAACTTGTCGAGCAGTAGGAATCTTGCTTTTGATACTGCTGAACCAACAGAGGCTCTTTACCAAAAATCTCCCTCCAGTTGAGCTCTGCAGGGACAATGGTGCGAGGATGTTGGTGGAGTTTCAGGGTTGCCTCGGCACGCTCCACTGAGTTCAAGGGGATGTTGAATAAATTTGGGTGCGCTGCTTGGTTGCTGTCAGTCAGTTTAAAATGATTGCAAGGCTGTTGCTGCAATGGATCACTTCGACCTTCTTGGCCACTGCACTGGAGCTTGAAATGATCCTTTGGATGGTTGGTTACTGGTTTTAAAAGATTTGTTTGCTGTGGTAAAACCTGGCAAGAGGTCGGATTTGGGGTGCTTTGAGTGAAATGTTGGGTTTGTGGTGAAGTTGAGAGGATTTTGTTGTTTGAAACTCTGGAGAGGCAGTCTTGAATTGAACCCTGTTTAGACTGCAGATGAAAACTGGAAGCGTCTAAGTGCTGATCACTACAAGAACAACCACATCTGTCGTTGTGGTTTGGATGTGAAACACTGGTCCCTGCCCTCTCTGCTGATGCTGAACCATCTCCTACACTGCTAACCTGGCCACAAAACAGCAGCCAGTCCTCATCGCTCAGCTGTGATAAAGTGAGGTTCTGGGTTTTCAGTGGAGACATCTGGGCCGGAACCCTCATTGGACTGATTCCATTGGACCGTTCGTGGGGTGAGGATGAAACTCGACATAGGCTCGACTCCTGTGGGGAGGAAGTTGGGTCCAAAGAGGTGCCTGAGTACCGGTCATGCAGCCCCTCGGGAGTTTTTGTGGAAGGTGATGGACCTCCTGAGGTGCAGTGCTCCAGGTCTCCGTCATGAAAGACTTTCCCTGTTGAGTCAAGGCGTCGAGTGGCATTGGTGGGTTTAACTAGAATCAGCCTCATGGCATTACTGCAGAGATGAAATAGTAAGAAGAATGACGTGCAACACAGATCCTAAAAAAAGTTCAAATGCAAATGTTCAAATGTTCAAATTTGCTTTTAAGAACGTGCTCAGATGTAGATATGCGGTACTTGAAGCATCTCAGATTAAAATGTTTTTCTTTATTTTGCCAATTTTGATTTTGCTTGAAGTGTAATTGTGTGGGCAAAAATGGAACATACTGAAAAACAAAGTCAGCATTGAGTCGAAACTAAATTCAAGGATACCGTGGGGATTAAAGCAACAATTAGTTTAATCTCAGACTGTGATCAGCTGGATATGAATGTGAAGTAGTCTGTCAAAATCAGATGTGCCCCCCACCCCCCTCTTGTTATTCCTCTGTGCATGAAAAACACAATATATTTCAAAATCAATTCCACACTTTACAGACTTAATTTTAGATGTAAGGAAATCCAAATTATGAAGCGTTATTCAGTCGGGTCTAACACGTACGGTGTAAATGGGTGGACGTTGTCCTATGTTGCAAAGTATTTCATCACAGATTACATTCTACTCCGGTTATCATTCAACCACTATCCAATTCATAACAGTTGAAATCGTCGACCTGCAAATGTATATTCAAGCATCCAGTAACATTAATACTCAAACATAACAGCATGAGAACTGTAATTATATCTTCTACCTAATCTCTTCGTTTATTCTTTTTTAAATCTTAACCTTCCACTTTAACATATGTCATATTTTTCTTCAAAGTTAATCAAAGAAAAATAAATCCTGTTACCTGTCATCCTTACCTCCTTCTCATGTACGCTCTCTTTCTCTCAACTTGAAGAAGCAGGTCATCAATGTCTGTGGTTGAAGAGGAGAAAGCTCGAGTGGATGCTGGACAGTGACTAGTCTCCTCACTACAAACACTTGATAAAGGAGCTTTGGAGACGCTCTCCTTTGAAAGTAATCATTAGGATTCAACATGAAGAAAGGAAAGGGCAGCAGCTGCTGGCCCACTAAAGGGTTTCCATGCAAATGGACAGAGAGTGGGAGGGTGAAGCCACAGGTTGGGAAGTGGAAAAACAAAAACCTGTAACATCAGACCGGCGTGTTAAGGCGGGACATCACACAGGAGCTCAAAGAAACCCTGTAAAATGGAAGAGCACTGATTAGGTTGCTAGGAGAGAGAAAAGGAAGTGGTTGCTTTTAATGCAAAGGGAAAATAAAAGGTCAGTTGAACTTGTCATTGAAGCTTTGTTGTTCAAAGGCCTTCATACGCTCTCTTATCTTGTCCGCCACAAGAGGCTGGAGGGACAAAGGCGGCCATTTTTAATGTTGAGTTCAAGATGAAAGTAGTCAGTGGTTGCCTAAATGACAGACCAAATGTAACAATTGATACATTTGAATGTACATGTATATAATGATTACATACATTTACATATATTCATGTTAGATAGACAGCGAGATGGACATAAAACTCTGAGAACAGGAAGGAGGAAAAGTTCATCTTATAGTCTCATCTAATCCACCATCAAAGTTTTGAATGATAACTACCTGAAACTTTTTTTAATTCAAATAGTGACTGAATATAACTATTTGGAATGATAGTTTGTCTACATAACTTTAGTGGTAGTACACAGTTGATTGTATTTATTTAAACTTGTTTATCTGCTGAAAATAAAGCACAAACTTTAACCAATAAATACATTTTCTGTATTTTCCGCCTTTATTTTCAGGGCTAAAAATGTCTCAACCTGCTCTGCTACTTTTGTTGAGGAGCTTTTTTTGAGCACAATGAGTCTTCTCCACTCCACTTATCTTTTCTGACAATAACATAATCATTTTTTTGTTTTTTGTCCCTGTGTTAATTGCATTTGGGCTGTGGACGCTCCTTATTCAGCTGCTTTCTGTCTCTTTATCTGGCATCAGACAAAAAGCTGCAGCCTGCTGCCTCAGCAGCTCAGTATATAAATGTTGCTGCGCTGGAGAAAACCTTTGTGACTGACTGCAGCACTGGACACTGTTGCTGGACCTATAAATGAATGCCAAACTAATTCAAAAGCAAGGGGTCGGTCTCTGGCGGGAGGAGAAAATGTCTGAATTTTAAAATGAAAGAGGACAGAGAGGCGTTTCTTTAGGAGTTGATGCTGCTGTTGAAATTAAATTGTTGAATTCTGTTGAGATTCTTGTTAAATTAAATTTGAAAACATAGTGTGTGATATGTTCTGCTGTTTGTCTGACTTTGTCTAAAAGAAAAAAAAGATCAGGTTTGTCTATGTCCCGGGACAAGACTTGAGCCTCCTGTCCTCAGAAGGCAACATCCGCTTTCATTTCATTAGTGTGTCAAATTGAGGAGTTAATAAGACGTCGAAGAAGTTGCTGTTTAAAATGCAACAGGTCTGTTATTGAAGACAGGCTGAGCAGATTTCAGCCAAAGTTTCAGGTCTGGAGTGGATTCGAGAAGGTCTTAGAGAACACCTTCACTGGTGTTCGGCACGGCTCTGTGAACCAGGTTAAGGCTTCGTGTAAAACTACTTTCTGTACAACTAAAATACACATCTTTCAGTTTGAAAAAGCAGCTGTAACCATCTCCTACTTTGTCTTGTGAAATCGTGATAGACAGTGTCTTTAACTGGTTGATATAAGTATACCAAACCTCAGCTGTGTGAGGCAGAAACTAACTCCTATGATAAGCATTTACAAGGTCAGATGAGCAATAACATATTTAGACTATGTTTACTTCTTCATGTGTACCCAATCCTCAGTGCTTTCCTCTAACACCACAGTTCATAAGACAACCCCAAACCACAAAATCATTTCTACAGTTCTACGTTTTTCTGTTTTTTTGCTGCACTTGACAGAAAGACTCTTCTGTCTCTCTTGTCGTGTGTACTTGACAGAGAAAATTATCGATCATTTCTAGCCACGGCTATCTTTAGTTTACCAGAATATTACTTGTCAGCTTTTTTTATTTGTATCTCAGACACAAAACTGCGATGTGTCAAAGCAGCTGTTACAAAAAAAGGATTATCTTCAGTGTGTGACTTGATATGTGCCTCCCAACAGCAAAAAGGAAGTCTGGAATTTAAATGAACAAGAAAAACTGATGATCAACTGGTGAACTTTAATAAGTTACTCTGAAACCATCTGGCTTTCCATCTCCCCAACGTGCAAGGAAAAAATAATCAGACTTTTTATTTTTATTAGATGTTTAAGTGTCTCATTAGAGCCTAAGTGCACAAATATGGGGTTTAGATGTGACCTCAATAGGGGAAAATGAGCTTCTCCCTGCTTGTGAACGGAACAAAGCCAACTCCTCTGGTATTGGAGAGATTGTTTTTGGGCAGCTGGTGGTAAAGCCCTCATCAGCAATGCTCATTTTTCAATGGAATTATTCAAATTTTGGAAAAAATGGAAGTCTCAAATGCGCACCAGCAGCCAGTTTTCAAATGGAGTAATCGAGGGAAAGAGCGCATTCATTTTGTGTTGTAGGCAGTAAAGCGTTGGTTTAGGGGGTTCTCTGGCGCCTTCATCCACTCCTTCTTCAGCTGTTGCTTGAGCTGCGACAATCTCATGTTGGGATTCTCTTGTTTTAGGCGGGGCATGTTGGCTTCTTCAAAGGCAGCAAACGCTGCTTTCATCCTCCGCTCTGGGTGATGGTCCAGGTCCTCTGGCCCCGTGCTGGGAACACAGAGTAAGAGTGTAAAAATCGGTTGCTTACATTGACAAGCAACTTTACGATTTCAAAGTAATCACAAAGACTATAAAACAAATGTTACCTGAGCACTGCAATGGCATCTTCTATTGTTCTGGCTTCCACTGTTCCCTCTTCAGGAATAATTCTGTTCACGTTTTCCTCCAGTGGAGTATCCAGGTGACTTTTTTCTGTTTAAGACAAAATCAAATTTTGACCAGGATTGTCTCATAGTGAGTTGAATTTACATGTATGATCTTTGAAATAGCTAGTGCTCCTGAGCTGTGACTGATCTCACATTTCCAGTGTAGTCTATCATAACCCTCAGTCTGAACTTTACCTTTTGGCTTAAGCTGCTCCTGCGCTGCTTGTTGCTGCTCGTTCAGAAGCATCTCTTCAATCTGGGCTCGGGTCACCTTTCCTCCAGCAGCCGCCGCCGCTGCCGCCGCCTCTTTCTGGGCTTTGCCTTTCATTCTGGCATTCTCCTCATCCAGAAGTCGCTGGTTTTCCTTTTTCCTTTCAAGAAGCTCTAGCCTCTTTTTCTCTTTGTCATCCTACAAGAAAAATGTTTGAGATAGTGATAGCTACACTGAGTTCACGCAGTAAGTACAACGGTTAACAAGATGACACTCATCTTGAAATCAATATGCATTGCCACAAAAATTGCTAAACATTTTGCCAAAATTAAAGAATTTGGGATAAGTCCAAACAGGAAACTCTACTCTATTTAATTTAAACTAAAATAATCAACACAATACATACGAGTTAACCAGTTACTCTCACAGCATCTCTGTTTCACACACAGTCATGAGACATCAGACCAATCGTGTATTTTTGTGAGCAGGACAGTCGGAGCAACAAAACTGACTCAGAGGGTAAAACAAGCCAAATTAGCGCTCTTTTTGACATGATCTTTTGTTGGCCTTCGGTAAAATTAAAGGCTAATACAGATCCAGCCAAGTGCTAAAACTGATATACCTTTCTTTAGATTAGATTAGATAGAACTTTATTGATCCTTTTAGGAAGGTTTCCTGAGGGGAGTTAAAAAATTACAATAACTAATTTGAAATTTTTAAATCACAAATTGACAGTTACAAAATGAAAACATTAAACTGACCAGAGCGGCTGTGAATATTCCCATATTGAACACAGCACCACATGACTGAGTCAGCTCACCTTCCTCTGCTCCTTTTTGAGTACATGTTTGTCCGTCTCTTGCCAAAGAGCATCTTCCTCCTGCTGCTTCTTGCGGGCATCTGCCACTGCCTTGGCCTCAGCCTTTCGGGCTCTGGCTGTGGCTGCCTTTGAGTTCTCACCCTGAAACTTCTTTGGCATCCCAGCAGCTGCTCTCCAGCTAAGTGGGAGGGAGAAGAAAGAGAGAGAGAAGGTTCAGTCTGGGAGACTGGTGTGGACACTTTTGGATGTTATTTATTACATTCATGAGGAAACAGGATTCCTATCTGGAACTGGCTTTGAGTCGACCAAGTCCCCCAAACTCTGGGGTAGTCTTTATTTTGACTGAACTGGAACAATAGGAAGTTTGTGTTTTTTAATGGGTTATAAGGCACAGCTGTTTGGAGGTACAGAAGTAGGAGGGATCTACTACATTTACTATACACAGAGAGAGACTGCTTTCACTATGATACTACGGCAACTAACGTCTGGAAATAAGGGCTAGCAAACACAGAAGTTAACAAAACAGATGCGTTTCAAATGGGGAATAACTAAAACATACGAGAAATCTCAAAAATCATACAAACTGCTATATTTGTTTGTCAATGTAGCTTGTTAGCCATAGCTAGCTCATGTTAGCCTGATGATCAGCACTGGTTTACCCAGGAACGAGCCGGTTATTCCACAAAAAAAGCGACGGTTAGAATCAGACAAAGAAAGGAAAATAGTATCTCATCGGATCTTTAAACTCGTAAAAACTGTTTCATACCAGTATGAGAGGAATAAACGTGTCGTAGAGAGACAGCGGTTCACTGTTGTTACGAAGAGGCATCAGCCACCTCCTCTCTGCGGCGAGCGCTGATGACGTAGGCCGTACGTCGAACATGCAATGGCGTAAAGACCAAAACCCATGCCAAAACCATAGACAGATATATCTATATATATGAGAAAGGCGTTTATATATTTATATATCTATGGTGAAAACTTGGAAGAAAATAAGGCAAGTCTTTCAATCTAAACTCTTGAACAAATGACACTGGGGAGATTTAGAGTCTCGCTTTTATCAAGCTTTTTTCCCTAAACCATTTAGACGTTGTTACTGGGAGTTTGAGATTGTTTTAGATATCTTCACATTGGTTCTCAAACAGTAAGAGTGGAGAGAATAGGGTTAGGGAAATGGTGAAAAGTCCTTATTTCTAAAATCAGTAACACCATCACTATCACCGGGTGATTTTTACCTGAAATACAGTAAAGGTACTTGTCATCAAAATATATCAAAATAGGGCCAATACATGACAAATCAAAGTAGTTTTCCTTTATTTTTCAACTCTGCAATGTATGTCCAAAGAGAGGGGGAATAGTGCCATGAGAAGCTGTAAACTTAATTTCTGGGGCATGTGAGTCTTCCCTTGTCTTTGGCACAATAACATCTGCAGGAGAGAGAACCAAAATATGGCAGATTCACTAATTTGTGATAGTTATTCATAACCACTGTGCTAAATAAAGATAGCATGTAAATTCCAGGACCACTCTTACTGACCTTATTCCCTACATGCAGCTATAAAATCCATCCAAACCTACTTTACCCTCTATCACTATTGCCGGGTGAAAATCACCCGAACACATGCCTGTAGGAAAAAGCAGGTTTTGGATCTGGGAAACAAATATGCCTTCAAAGATGTCAAAGGCAATGCTGAAGCTACCCAGAGACCAGTGGCGATTGCTCTAAGACTGCAAGGGAAGCTCGGCTTCCCTTAAAATGTCACCCCCCCAAAAAAAAGAAAAAGTGGTGAAATACGTACTGCTGTGTGTACATTTCATTAACTAAATACGCACTAGAAAGCCTTCATCTTTTGTTCAGACACTGTGATAAGAAGCTGATAATTATAGCTAACCGGCATAACTTCGTTCTCATTCATCCTCGCAGTGCCTCAGCGCTTTAAACAGCCGGACGCTGGGCTTCTGCTGGCTTCAATGTGGAAGCTAAAAGTGGGTTGTTCCAGCAGCGAAACTAGACGCTCATTGGATAAATGCTGGGCTTTGTCCCGCCCAATGGAAGCTAAGCTTCACTGGAGTTCTATGGCGAGAGGGCGGTCCCGACTTTCTCCCGGACTGCAAGCTTCTGCATCCATGATTGGATGAGCTGTCTGAGGCGAAATCCTTTTTTGATTGACAGCTAAACAAGCGAATCAGCGATCTTGAAGAATAAAACATCTACCAGAGCATTTTCCAAGTCATTCATTCCGTTGTTCTTAACTGCTCCGGAGACTTTACCGATCCTCAGCGACTTCTGTCTTTATTAAAAACGACTGCCGTTGTGTTTGGCGACTCTGTTCTGTTACATACTAATAAACAAATACAATTATGATGTAGGCCAGAAAAATGAGCTTCCCCTCATTGAAAGACCAGCAGCCGCCACTGCCAGAGACCCATGATACTCAGACAAACGCAACATAATGAAAATCATGTAAACATGTTTGGTCGGGTGAAAATCACCTGGCGATAGTGTTTAAGGGTTAATATCCAAAAATACATTCCTCTTTGGCTTTTACAGATTATTTGTTAAACATTTATCTCATTGTAACTTTTACTATGGCGTAAACAGACACTTTAATGTTTAAATACCAATCAATTCTGAAAGAATACCTAAAGGGCAAAAAGAAGATATTTTCACGTTTCTAAGCACGTATTTTTATGTATCTGGGACTCTTTCATGGCATTGAGACTCAAAATTGTTGTGGGGCATGAGGATAAAACAGGTATTTGACTCATTATTTTATAGACACAGACACAGAGGAAAAAATAAATAGTTACCATTTAATTAAGATACACAGTTTACATGAGTGTTTGAAAATAGGAAATGTTACTTTGTTGTGTCAAAAACATTGGTCATAAAGAGTCATTAATGCATTTAGCTGTAAAACAAAGAAGAATCAGGCGAATGTGGGCGTGTCTATGTACACAAACATAAATTCAAAAGTCATATAAATTCAAAAGTCATTGTTACTCTCCTCCAGCAGAGGTGGTTTCATGCCACCCCTTGAGATGCGTGCACCTCTGGACATTGGTCCCTCAAGACTGTCATCCTCCAACTCTTTGCTCTCTTCCTCCTCTTCTTCACCTTCGTCATCGTCCTCATCATCCTCATCCCCATCAATCTCACTGTCTTCCGTCTGGAACAGGAGGCATTAAGCAGGATCAGAGGTTCTGACTGTATTTACTCTGGCATTCACTGAACACATAATGTGGCAGGACAACAAACACGGACAAGTACTCATTCTAACACCATCTACTGTCCTACATGAATATCAGACAGGGCACGGGGGTCTAATTACTGAATTAACTCTTTTGCTGTGATGAAAACAGGCTCAGACCAGACCAGACCTGATTCACCACCAAAGTCAGAGTCAGTCTTTGGATAGAGTCTTCAATTATTTACTCAATTTAAAAGAAAAATCCAGTACAAACAAAAAATACTAAATATAAATACTATTTGCAAGATTTTAGGGTACATCTCTTCCAACTTTTTACCAGAATGAACACAGTGACAATTATTTTGGAAAACAGGGTTTGCATTGCCTCCTTCTTTTGTTTAATATATACTTTACAAGAGGTTTTGAGAATGGATTTTTCCTTTAAATACCTGAATAAACAAGGATCTAGGGGTGGGGGGCGGGGCCTTAAACAAACCTTTCTCTTTCGTTGTTTTTTTGCATGAGGCAGTCTGGAAACAGCTAGAAAAGGCTTTAAAAATGTACGTGCACGACAAAGAAAAGTCAGATATGGAACAGATACAAGTTGGAAACCAAAAAGTGAAATGAGAATATAATTTGAGTCACACATCTGTCTTAAAAATGATGTTAACAGCAAGGAGGACAGAGAAGACACAGAACACTGTCTGCGGATGTTGAGAGCAAAATCAGCTTAAAAGCCATGAAAATGTAGAGCTTCAGTGTAGAAACAGAAGAAGACAACGTGGTCTTAATGTGGCCAGCAAAACTCACCTCATCACTGTCACCACCTTGCATGTTTCCAGTGAACCGTGCTCCTCTTCCTATAATGTGAATACAATCAAAGCTAATTTAACATTGCAGCACACTGTCAAATCTGAACATATATCAACCATTGAGAACCACGAGTGAAAACCATCAAAAAGAGAGCAGAGCAGATGGATATGGTTTACTCCACAATGAGTAAGAAACTTAAAGCTGACGACTCTGACTCAGATTGACGCATTCTGCCTGTTTACCTGCCATGATGCCATTACGTGTGGGTCGTGGCTTAGAAGGACGAATTTCTTCCATGTCGCTGTCTGAACCCTCATCCTCTGGAACATCCATGTCAGAATCCTCGTCTTTTACTGCAGGAAAATGTTTTCTGATTTAAAAAGTCTCTACAATCATATAAGGGATTGAGACAATGTTACTACTTCTTTTCTTGCACATTGTGCCTTTTAGGATCTTACAGGAGCTCCTCATCTGGTCCCCCTCCTCCTCCCGTACTTTGTTCTGCATCATCCTCATTGTGTTTTCAGCCTCCTGCAGCTTGAAGAAACAAATGCATAAACACAGAGTACTGTTGCAACTTTGCAATTTTTGTTGCTATGCCAGTTTTGGTGTCTTTTGTTGGGTCTTATTTTTTTTACATGACTTCAGGCCAGTGTGTTCTATTTCAAATCATCATTTTTGCATAAGCCATTTTATATAAGCCACATACTTAAAGCACTAGACACTGACTGTTCTCTGTGTCACACACACACCTCAAACCTCTCCTGCTCCAGTTTATGGTATTCATCCAGCTGGGACTCCAGAAAGCAAAGGTTCCTGAACTTTTCCACATATGTCTCATATTGTTTCTGCAGTTCTTCCTCTATCTTCTCATATTCATCCATGAAGGCCGGCCTAGAACATTGACAGAAAAACAGAAACAACCTTTTTCAAGAAGGTAGCACTTCTTTACATACTTCTCAGTTTTTCCCCAAGGTACTGAATTTAAACTTTGAGAACATTACATATAAATTTGTTAAAAAAACTGCAAGTCATTTCTACCATCAAGCATTTCTGCTACCCTCCTGGACTGACCTGACACTCTTTAATGCCTGAAGCCTCTTACGAACCCTCTCCAGCTCCTGCTTCTTCTTTTCTATCTTGGCATCGAGACTTGCTTCATCAGAAACCACATTACCGAGCATGTCTTTGGTCTTCTCCACACTTTCCTTTATAATGAACACAAAGTCAGCAGACTCAGTACCACAGCAATGACTACAAAGTTTGTGTTGAATGAGAAAGTGAAGATTAACAGATCGAATACAAACCAAAACTTCCTTGATGGCAGCTCTCAGGGCTTTCTCGGTTTCATTGATCTCCAGAGGTCTGGCAATGGCTGCAGTTCTCATTTCCTGGAAGGACATTAAAAAAGACAAACAGAGGAGAAATCTCCTGCATTAACTTTTCATACTGAGTGTCCTGGTATTATATAGCTGTTATCCTCTGAGTCCAGCAGCTTTGCTCACTTTAGGAAATCAACCCTCAGCATTCTACCAGATACAACAGCACTTAAAGTTTAAACATTTATGTAAGATTAGAGAAATATGTTACATCTGGCCTGGGCCTAATGTGCAACTGAAAAACCATTCAAGTGATTTTCAGCACCATTAATGACTTAACTACAAAAATATATTCCTAATCACTTTGTTGTCTTAAACCTAAACTTTAAGACTTGGTGTTCACCAGTGTTTCTCCTCACCCTTAGTTCAACTTCTTTTCCCAGCAGATCATACAGGGATGCTCCTTTAGATGTGACATCGGACGCCAGCTGCCGAGCTGCCTTAAGATCTGAAATCTAAAGTGAAGAAAGTCACACCCAGTCAGTCATAAACAAATACATCTCTTCTGCAGCACAGTAACATCTGTGAAAGTAAACAGCTTAGTATTTGCTCTTTTGATCTGTTGTAATTGTTATCTATCATTGATTCAAATTAGAGTAAACAGAGTTCCTCACACGTGAGCTCAGGTCAAACTTGAACTTGCTGTTATCCTCCTCGTTCTGATCTCCCAGTGTCATCTGCATGGTCTTCATCGCACTGTATAACACTGTAGTGATCTTCAGCATCTCTTTCACAGCATAGCCATCAGCCTGGTAGAGACGCTTGGTGTTTAACTTGATGTGAGCCTTAGTCGCCTGCAATAATGAGAGTCCATGTTCAAGACAGACGGACAGCTAGCTTTTCCTTGCTCAGAGTCATCTGCATTCTCTTTGTATATTTATCATTCATATTGTCATCACCATGAACTGGGCCACAGCTTTGATGAAGAATATTCTGTCTGACTCTGTGTCCACCTCAGTGGGAATATCCGTCTGAGGCTCATATCTACATGCAGAGAAGAAAGAGAACAAATTAAAAGGTAGCAGGGGGTAAAACTTCATTTTTGTCCTGCTTAAGTAAAAGAACAGTTACTTTAGAGACATCATATTTGGGTGTAAGTAAATGTACCTGTCCATGAATATACTCTGTTAAAAACAAAATGAACTTAAGTTGAAATGTACCTAAAGCACTAAGTACTTACTTTTAACCCATTACTATGGGGGTGAGGTGGGGGTAAGATGAGCATAAAAGTAACACTAACAGTTTTGATATGTAAAAAGATTTGACTTTGCATTTCCAGGATGAACTGACTGAATATTTTGACAGCATCTTTTGTCAGTATTGCACACTGGACTCATTGCTGTCTGCCTCAAGAGCCCTCTTCTTTCAAAGCCAAAAACAAAGACATGTTGACAGTAATGAGTAAAATGTCTAATCTGAAATTTTTGTCTTGATATGGCTTGAAACAAGATTTATATTTGAACCTGTCATGCCAATACTTTGCACAGAAAATGTAAAAGTACATATATTTCTAAAGTATTATATATCATACCTCTCTACAAGCCATATTAGGATTTCTGCAACTAAACCAAAGTTTGGTGTTCTGAAGCTCTCCATAGATATCAATCGATGATATCCCAGGGCCCTCATCATCTCCGTGAAATCTGTGAAACGACACGATACAGCTGCGGTTACAGTTGAGTAAAGAAATATTTTCATGGATCTACAGTGAGCTGATAAGGTGATGATCTTCTCTCTGGAGCAGAATTACACTTACTTCTTAAGTCCCTGAAAGACATTCTTGAAGGTCTGTAAGGTAAGAGACATGATATTAGAGAGATATCAAAGTTGACCAAGAGGAATTATCCAGCACGACTATAACTTTGTTATCGATGATTTATCAATGATAAACGTAAGAGTACAACTGACTTGATAAGCTTGTCAATCCTGACATCCAGTTAATTTCGGTTTAAAACTCGAGTTTTCACCGACATCACGAAGGCTAGCTCGACTGTGGCTAAATGGAAATGTCCACAATACCAACGTTTGAGGTTTACACTTTCCAAAGATAAACCAGCCTGCTGTGAGAGATTATATTACAAATAGCTTTTGGTAAATGGGCTAAATTCGGTACACACTGCTTTAAAAATGAGGGTTTACCTTTCGGTTATGAATCCTAACTAGCTTCTTGTTCGTTCGCATTTACCATGGACAGTCTCCATAGAAACCGTTGTACGGAAGCTCAACCGAGCCAAAAAGGTTCGCGAGTCTGTCTCCAATGCAGCAGCACGGGACTATCGATACTTTTGACTACGTCCTACTGTTCTCTAAAGGCTATGTTGAAACTTGTAAAAAAAAATGAAACTCTTCGTTTATTTGAATGATTCAATAACTTCATTTAGCTTTGAAGTCGATATATCAATCAATCAATCAATCAAACTTTATTTTTAAAGCACTTTTCATACATAGAATGTAGGACAAAGTGCTGTCCATTCGCGCAGGATATTAAAAAACGATGAAAAAATAAAAAATACAAATATCAAACCTCACCCACCCTCCTAACCCCCATTCAACACACACAGCACTCACACACAGATGCATTCACAAAAGACCAAATGAGGACTCTTCAACTTGCCACAGATGACTGAGGAAACACTATCTTGAGTTAAAATAGAGGAAACACTGGAGCTAGGACTAAAACAATAAAACCATAATAAAATATAATAAAGGTGATAAAAGGGTTAAATGTTAGTTTAATAAAACAGTATTAAAATCAAACAAGAACAGAAAATAAATTAAAAACAGCCTATAAAACACAAAATAATAACTCAAGGACTAAAACAGGGTAAAATCACATAATGCACATTCAAAGATTAAAACAAAATTTAACTGAAAGCCAGACTAAAAAGGTAGGTCTTGAGCTTACTTTTAAAAATATGAACATCAGGTGTCGCTTCAGGTCTGCTGGTAGACTGTTCAACAAATGGGGACCGTAATGTTGGAATGATGATTCACCATATGTTTTAGTTTTTATTTTGAACGATTAAAAGCCCACCACCTGAAGACCTGAGGGCTGTACTAGGCTCATATGGTAAAAGCAAATTAGATAAATAAGAAGGACACAGACCATTAAGAGCTTTAAAAACTAACAAAAGAACCTTAAAATCTACTCTAAAAGCATTGGCTACACATGTAGCCAATGCAGAGATTTTAAAATTGGTGTGATGTGGGCTCTCTTCCTGGTCTTTGTTGGCATGCATGCAGCTGAATTTTGTAGGAGCTGAAGCTGTGAAATGTTCTTTTTAGGAAGACCAGAGAGGAGAGCATTGTAATGGTCAATTCTACAGGTGATAAAAGCATGAATAAGAGTCTCTGTGTTGGCTTGAGAGAGAAACTGGCGCACTCTGGAGATGTTCTTTAAATGATAAAATCCCTTTTTGGTAACATCTTGTATGTGTGGCTCAAAACTGAGGTTTGAATCAATTGTAACACCCAGATTTTTTAACTTCTTTGCATGAATTAAAAGCTAGAGTTTGGAGTTTTTGCTCCAGTTTCTCTCTCTGTGGACCTGTACCAATAACTAAAACCTGAGTTTTGCCCCGATTTAGCTGCACATTACTTATAGGTTTACCAGGATGATATTCTTCATGCATGACTTTAGTTTCATATTTTGAAATTTTGACATTGCTACATCTGACTTAGTGTGGTAATAAATGCACTTTAACAAAGTGCATTTTCAAATGCCTTTGGGCTGCAGTGTAGCATGCAGTAATCTTGGCGGCCACAGAGGGTCGACATTTCCTCACGGGCTCCGCGGAAGTCTTCCTCATTGATGGGCTGCTCTCCTGACGCAGAACATGATGGAGCAAAGCGGTGAGCCTCCCCACAACAACAACAACCCGACTGGAAATGAGCCCCCCACCTGCGGCCTCCACAGTAAACGCCTGAAAGAGCTGGAAAATGCTGCTTTGCAAACAACTTTGATATCACGAATGGAGACGGAATCTGGAGCGGACGACGGGAGCCCGGCGGAGCACCAGCCCGGGGAGGGCGAGCACTCGAACGGCTTGTCCTTGAACCATCGGTCGGCCTCTCCGCAGCTCGGCGCGGACACAGAGGCGGAAGAAGTGGAGTCTGGAGGTAATGTCAAAGAGCGGGTGGAAGAGGAAAGGACCCTGACGGACCATTTAAACAAACGACTACTCTCCTCGTTTCTGGAGAAGCTTAACGAAAGGGACCTGGCGCTTCCTGGTGTGCAGCGCCTGGACTGTGCTGTAGCGGACGAGGACTCAAACAGGGCCGCAGATGAGTGGTGAAGCAGCGGGTTCAAATACGGCTGTAGTAACATGGAGATAATGGCTGAGGGAACAAAGTGCACGGAAATATGATCCCACAACACCTAAAAGACAGATCTTTAGCTTGACTCAATGATATCTTGTCTGGAAATGTTACGCTTTATTCTTTTTTTATGGTAAGAATGGGGGATATAATGAAATAAATGCAATAAATGAGCACCATGTACTATGATGAGCTTTTGTACTCATTGGTTTCTCGTGTCTGGCAGCCATGATGAACACGACAACCATGTGTGGAGTTTTAAAAAAAAAGTAACATTCAGTCATCACCAGGTGTCAGTATACACCAATTTACCTCAGCATAAAATGGAAAACCCTTGTGGTGAAATACATGCCTAAGCCTTATAACGAGTTGAGAATGAGTGTGCTGACAGTGGGCAGTGTGAAGGAAAAGATAGCTCAACAGAAAATATATAAAACAAGTTGAACCAAAGGGTAAGTTGAGCCACCCCCTGTTGCTTGGAAATGGTTAAAGAAATTGTTTATATGACATAATATTTAGGAGATGGGGATCAATTCATGGAGTCTGTGAAGGTAAGAAGCACATGGGTGAAAGGGTTTGACATTTATCTAAAAAAAAAAACATTTTTCACTTTTGAAAGTGAATGTAGTCTCTCAAAAGTTTTATTAGAATTGTGTTCAGACCAAAAAAGATCATTTCATCATTTTAAAAGTCCACCATTTTAGCTTAGAGGACTAATAAAGTCATCATAGTAGTTCAGGGGTAAGTTGAGCCAGTGGTTCAACCGAGAAAGTAAAGGAGTCTGATGAGAGGATCAGAGTTTCAGTTCAGATTTTCGAAATGTGTTACTTTTTCTTTTCATAAATACAGCTGTGAATGTTCTGAATCACTTAAAGACATTCTCATGTTAAAATGGCTTTTTGCAAAACAGCTTTTCAGCAGTTATATACAGTATTAATAAAAGAATGATTGTACCAGTTGAATAGTGTATAATAGATAAAAATACACATGAATGTGAAGAAGTGACTGCTATTCAGGGAGAGAGAAGGTGAGGGAGGACTAGGGTGGAGAGTGGGGTGATAGTATGGATACGGCTCAACTTACCCCGCTCCTATGGTCAACTTACCCCATACAAGGGGTAAGTTGACAGATACACTAGTTAGAGACAAAACTATGATTGCTTTGATGTAGTGATACGAAATATGAAAAATGGCTCATCTTACCACACTCTCCCCTATATAAAAAGCAACGTGATGGCTACATATTAGCATTGTTATTAGATTTATTTAACCTAAATTTGCAATATTGTTCTTACTTCAGTGTATTTGCAACATAATCTAGGCAGAAATTCCCAAATTAAAATGTGTTCTGTGCAAGTCTACCATGACTCACAATAAAAACCACCAAGAAAATGTACAAAACAGATGTAATTAATTCCAACTCAAGTTTTAAGTAATGTTTATTTATTAGCAGCTCCATTGTAGAGGGGAATTTCCATTGAGGAAATAAACCTACCTTTTCAACCTTGTAAAACAACTGTTAACACAGCTTTCTGTCCCAAGGTATCATGTTAACCAGTGCAAATCTGTAATTACGATCTGAAAACATCTTTATTTTCCAAAAGAAGAGTTCCTTTTTCCTGCTTGGGAAGTTCAGATTAACTATAACTAACTGACCCCAAACACTCCCAGAAAATGATATAGTTCCCTAACAACACACAGAAAAATCCCAAGTCCATTTTATTGCATAATGAGTAGAGTGATGATTCATATAGTCACAGACATAAAAACCTTTAATGTGGATAATAAACTTTATTCATCTTCTTCATAACACCATTACAACAGACATACATTGCTACAAAAATATTAAGAGTTTACCTTGGAGAAACATTTTTTTATATTAATATAAAGTACTTGCAATATAACACACTTTTAATGATATATTAACCAAAAGGATACCATATATTTACATATAACATATAACAGGTGTGTGGACTGAGCTACCTGGACTTATTGAATCTGGTTTAAAGGGCTCCCATTAGCTTTAGAGTGTTTGTCACAATTCGTTTAAGTGGGAAGCCACAAGAACATGTAACATTTACTCATCGGGAATCCCACAAGCACCTATCCTATCCTATCATTTTAAAACAAAGACACTGCCTTTACTATCCACTTGAGAGGAAGTTTGATGATTAAAAACATTTAACAAAGTGAAGAACAAGGAACTAGAGATCAGTTACTGCTAACGCTGTTTTCATCAGACAGCCTTCCCTATATCTATTGAGCACGGTTGGAATTCAGGCGTGTTTGTCGCAGATATAGGTCATCCCAAAGTGACTGTCCTAAAAAAAAGAGCCATTCAATAGCAAAGAAAGTTAAATAACAGCTAAAAACATTACATTCAAGTCAGTACATTAGCTAACATAGTTCTCTTCGTTATCATAATGTGCTTGAAAAGATCATTTTTAAAGAAAAGGTTTACTTTCACCAAGAGGTAGAATTTGACCTCCAAATAGATGAGGACGTTTTTGGAATTTAGAGTTCAGGTGAATCGAAGAAAGACAGGTATAAGAAAAACACTTCCTGCTGCCAGAGAGTTCACACTGCTGCTATTCTGCAACAGTTTTCAGGATTAAAAAAAACTAAACTTTTATCTTTCCAGCACCTCATCTTAGAGGGGTGAGTTTGTATTTTCAGCATCTGTTGTTTCCTTCATTTTCATCTCCGTCTTCTTGATTCAGGCCCTTCAGAGGCATGCGCTGAGGTTTATCTCGCAGGCTGTCCCCCTGCAACAGAACCAAAGACAGAGGTTTCAATGATTCATTCAAACTTTTTAATAAATGTTCTTAATAAAAAGATAAGGATACACCAATGAATCAATGTACCAGGTTATTATTGCCATTCAAGTGCACAGGTGGCTGCGGAGCATCCCAGCATGCACTGCGCAAACAGCAGGCAGACCTCACCGACACTTTTCCAGCCTTAAGAAAATAATCAACCAACACATAATATTAACTATTTCAAAATCTGTATTAGATATTATACACACAAAAAATGGTTAAAGACTCTCCAGTTTACACTCCAACTGTTAAAATAGGCGATTTTGCACTGTTTAAAATTAAATATAAAGCCACACAACAATACCTGACACGAACTAGAGCCTCTAATCTTGATCTCCTTCTTACATGATTGTCTACTGTGTGTGATAAGATGAAGCCAGTTGTAATAAACTTTTGATGCAGCACTTACTCTGTCCTCTAAAGAGACCTCCATGTGCTTTTTGCTCAGATCCCACCATAACAAACCCTCTCTGATATGAGTCCTTTTTGTCGGTCCTGTGTGGAAAAAGACATCACAGAAGCATTAGAGGGATTAACTTTACATCTGTGTTAATAAATCAGATTTAAAGCATTAAAATGATCCGGAAATCAGGATTTCATGTTAACAGGATTATGCATAGTGAATGGGTGGCTTTGCATCAGGGTGCCACTCACCCTGTCATGATTTGTATTCACATTACCATCTGCTCTAAAGAGGTAAGGAACAGGTTAAGTAAAACAGTATGTCTCCAGCATCCTTCTCTAACTCTGACTCATCTGTATGTTTTCAATTAAAGTAGTAGGGGTCTCACAGTGGGGATTCTGAGGTACCAGCCTGTGCAGTCTAGACAAACAGTCTGCCTGACTGTGGGTCAAATGTATCAGAACATCTCGCCAAGGTGAAGTAATACAAAGAGTTAAAAATTACTAGATGTATAAATCTCTTTGTCAGCACTCATAAAATATCCCCTGTCCAATCAGATTTCTTGGTAAAAACTCAAGTACAATAAAAAAACAGAACTTTATATGTTTTTACGGCATGGTAAGGTGAAATGTTTTTGGGTGTGAGGTTAAACATACAAACTTTTGGCACCTGGCTGTAGTTTTTTCTGAAAATGTACTCAGTAGTTGTGGATAATGTTTCACTAAGTGTAAGCACTCTCCCCTTCTTACCTGTCAAATAGCTCACAATCACCCCGACAATCACCACCGAACTAGTAGCCATTGCACCAAAGTAGAGGTAGGACATGGAGTAAAAGTTCTGCAGGCCCCTGTTTTTGAAAGAGATGGTTAATAAACAAACTTTCCATGTTTTCCATGTTGTAGCATGCCTTATTTTTAATGCTAGAAACCTCCGTAAGGACTTTTTCACAGGTTATGAAATAGTTATGTATTTTAAAGACCAATGAAAGTAAATAAGACCATCAGCAACAAGACTGATCATTGCCTGTTGATAGTAGCATGGATTGGACGTCAGATGAGTTAACTCAAAACACCTTTTTACATTTTGAACAACAACTATTCTGAATTTGCAAAAAACCTATGCTAAATTTAATCTATGTCATAAAATACCACAATCGTGTTATGTGTTGTCATATGCAATGAAGACCACGCAGAAAAGACGCTCTTGTCATACTGACCCCAGGTCGTTGGGGTGAAGCGGGGTTAAGATGGAGTGCTGGTCAGGGACGCTGATCACTGTGGTGCTGTTGGCTCCACATTCTCCTGCAGAACTGGGCAGCACACCCATGGTCTGTGCACTGGGAGGGTAAAGAGTCGAACCGATCGCCAGCCACAGAGAGACACAGAAGCCTGCTATTATTCCCGAGAACGCTCCCTGGAAGATCAAACACAGCTTTAAATTGGGGAAGACAAGTGACTTATCTAAAGTCATTGCTTGATTGAGTTTAATATTTCTGTTTCTGGAGGAAAAACAGCTACCAAAAAGACTGAAATGTCCAGACGAACAAAACAGCAATACATGTGTTTCCTAAGATTCTGTTGTGGTTTTACTCTACAAGATCCTAGAAAATTTTCAAAACATGTCATCTCTCAACTAAAATCCAACTTTTTTTTTAACATTTAGGATTTAAGATCACTTCTGTACGTTAGTTCAAGAAAATCAACCATAAAGCAAAACCAAAGCACTCACAATCTTGTTTGCTGCTGGGATAAACATCCCCAAAATGAATACGCCCAGTAAAGGACCGCTGACCACACCCATGACAGTGAATGATCCCTGAGAAGAAGAGATAGACAGTTTTAGAAAAATCACATGTAAACCTTGAAAGAGGTGCAGTTAGGTTTTGTCTTCAGTGTGAAAAAGTTATCATGAATGTTGGTCAGACCCCTACCAAATTTTAATCGATAATAAAATGTTGTAAACACACATTTCATTAGACATCATGAATAACTGATTGCTTAATAAGCTACATTTAGGGTTACATTTTATCCTGTTAAAGCTCCATAAATGCTGAAAAAAAGGTAGAGTTTCCACAATAAATTCAATATTACATCATATATAGTGTTTATTGAGTAAGGTGTCATACCTGAAGTACTCCCCAGTCCAGAAAAGAAGAGAGAGCAGCTATGGTGATACAGCCAACTCCATACAGGAACGCTTAGACAGAGGAGATATCCACGGTTACTTGAATGATGACAAAAATTTAAAGATTGTTCTAGAGAGAAATGTGGTCCGAGAAGATCAACTTACAGAGTGCTTTAGAAAGGAGGATCTGTCTCTTCTGGCTGACATTGACGAGGCGATGATGCAGCAGGTCCTCCATTGTTACTGCAGCCATCGCATTGATACTTGTAGAGACTGTACTGTAAGAAATAAGAAACCCAACTTAAGTTTGTCTGATCAGTTGTGTGGTGATAGTGAAGACAGGACAACTCAGTGCTTCAGTTTGGATTCTTATTTATTCCTTCATTAAAGTGAAGAGACTAGATTTAGGAAAAGAGAGCTGTCCTGCATTAGCTTCTCTTCACCACAAAATCTAGACTAGAATTTAAAATCCTTTTTTCTGACCAACAGAGTTCTGAACTGCCAGGTACCATCTCATCCTGAAGAGCTTATAGAGCCTCCTTACCTGATTATTAAGCCTGACCATTATCACTGTTGTAATACTGGCATTAATTTTAGAGCAGAACAACTTCAACTGCTTTAACTGATACTGTCATTCCCACCCATTAAATTAGCATTGGTCTATCATCACTGATTTACTGTTCCTGCAAATAGTACACATACTTTTACCATTATTATTGGCACTCTAACTTTAAGTCTGTATAAGTTGCATGAGTTTTTCCCATGCCACAGTGACTTGCTAAAGGCTGCAAAGTGCTCTGTGTATGGTGGATAAAAAAATAAGATGATTAAATCTTCAGACAGGATGAGGCTGGATCTTATTTATTTGATGTAAATTATGTAAATAATTCAAATAAAGACAACGGTGTAGCCCTTTTTGTAAAGTGTCGGGATAATATCTGTTGTGAACAGGCAGTGTTTAAATTGATTTCAATCCAATCTTTGCTTCTAAATAGCAGAAACCAAAACAGGTTTAGGAAGATAAATATGGTGCAACCCATTGTCCTTTGAAATGTGCCAAAGGGCCTGCCTTCGGACATGAGCTTAAAAAAACTTTAACACTAAAAGTATCTTAAAAGTATCCACAGCCTGAAGACAAAGTGGTCACAACTTAAATCAAGAGAAAAGCTAAAATTGAAATACCTCAGGGTCCCGCTGTATGCACAGGCAAGGAAAAGTCCTGGAAAGCCTGGATAATTCTGGAATATATCCAACACGAAGTACGGCATATACTTCATGACAAAAGAAAGGAGGGAGAAAAGAAAAGGGATTTATTATTTTATAAATTTCACTAAAAGAAAGAGATCAAACTACTTTGAAATAACTAGACTCCAAAAGTCTTTAATCACAATAATGAGGAGCTAATTATCCAACCAACAATGATTAAAACACACTGTCAGTTGACCTTAGAGTGTGACCTTAGCATCTCTGCAGTGAACAGTCTGAGTAAACATTTACGGTGCAGGGTGATCTGTTATCTAACCAGTCAAATTTTTTTAACCTCAATTAACTGATGATGGATTGATGAAGCATTTGTAAAATAAATAAATTAATAAAACAATCTTATGCAGGTTTTTGCCAAAAGTTCTTGGTCCCAGTCACGGATCCTTATTTTTATTATTATTTTGTTGGTGTTTTGTACCAGATCAGGGGCAGAAATCTTCCCGGACTCCAGCGGATCACAGTTGATGTAGTATGCGAACATGACGATGCCGCACGTTCCTGCGCTGCTCACAATGAGGCACAGGCCCACTTGGTTCACAAACAACGCCCTGCAATCACAACAGCGCAGTCTGTGAGCGGTGATATAAAAATCTTACAGGGTCATCTCATGACACTGTGAAAAAAAGGAAAACATAAATAAAACATCAACGCTTATCCAGAAAGTGACGTCTAAACTGCCCAACGAGGAAAATATCGAGTAAGATCCACGACTTGACTTGATTTCTGCTTGACCAAGGCAAATGACCACGAGGTGTTTGTTTTCCTATAACAAACAACTTTTATATGCAGGGTAAATACTGACCCGTGCGTTGGGAGAGCAAAGAGAGGAAGCAAAGTTATTATTTACAGGGTGTCACATGGCCATAAATCATGGACATGTTGACCTGATCTTGGCTTGTTAGCATGTTGACATTTGCTAATTAGTACTTGGAGAGGTTCGGTGTTAAGTGAGAACTTATGTAATAGTATTGACCGGGATGGCACATCCTTAATACAAGAACAGATAAATAGCAGGAGGGGAAAGTCTGAACTGCCCAACGAGGAAAATATCGAGTAAGATCCACGACTTGACTTGATTTCTGCTTGACCAAGGCAAATGACCACGAGGTGTTTGTTTTCCTATAACAAACAACTTTTATATGCAGGGTAAATACTGACCCGTGCGTTGGGAGAGCAAAGAGAGGGAGCAAAGTTATTATTTACAGGGTGTCACATGGCCATAAATCATGGATATGTTGACCTGATCTTGGCTTGTTAGCATGTTGACATTTGCTAATTAGTACTTGGAGAGGTTCGGTGTTAAGTGAGAACTTATGTAATAGTATTGACCGGGATGGCACATCCTTAATACAAGAACAGATAAATAGCAGGAGGGGAAAGTCATTAAGACAAAGCTAAAAACAAAGTGAATTTTTTTAGATCGATAATTCCTGTTAATGGATATCTTTGCCAGAGTAGTGCCCTGGATTCACAACTAGAATTAAATACACACTGATATCTGAAGTGGCAAAGCTTGTAAATTTACTCTTTTCAATACTGAATCATGATGTTCCTTTGGCAAAGTCAAGACCTGCAAACTGCAAACAAATCACAAGCAAATCTGGTTCATCTTTTTGGAATCAAACCATTGAAGTAAACCAAAGTGTAGCTTCTTCATATTTTACGATCCCCAGTAAAACTAAAACTCACTAGAAACAGGTCAACAGGCAACGCTCCAGGGTATGTACCGACCACAGTAGCCAATAAATCAAACAATGAAATGAAGGGAGAAGAAAAGTCTTGGCTGGAAGCAGTTTGTTGTATCTACTCTGGAAATACAGAAAAATTGGCTATGGTTTCCACCATCAAACAAGTCAAGAGAACTGGGCTGTGCATGTTTGATTGGTTGGTGTTTTTAGATCAATAATTCCTGTTAGTGGATATCTTTGCCAGAGTAGTGCCCTGGATTCACAACTAGAATTAAATACACACTGATATCTTATGTGGCAAAGCTTGTAAATTTACTCTTTTCAATACTGAATCATGATGTTACTGTGGCAAAGTCAAGACCTGCAAACTGCAAACAAATCACAAACAAATCTGGTTCATCTTTTTGAAATCAAACCATTGAAATAAACCAAAGTGTAGCTTCTTCATATTTTACGATCCCCAGTTAAACTAAAACTCACTAGAAACAGGTCAACAGGCAACACTCCAGGGTATGTACCGACCGCAGAAGCCAATAAATCAAACAATGAAATGAAGGGAGAAGAAAAGTCTTGGCTGGAAGCAGTTTGTCGTATCTACTCTAGAAATACAGAAAAATTGGCTATGGTTTCCACCATCAAACAAGTCAAGAGAACTGGGCTGTGCATGTTTGATTGGTTGGTGTTTTGGTGTGCTGATCGAGCTCCTGAAGTCCTGATTGCTTGGGTGTTCGGATGAATCAAAAACCACCTTGCAGGCGCATCTTCAAGAACAGGATATTTTTTTAAATGGCACACAGGCCCTCACTCACCACCGAGCATCTCTTTCTGTTCTGCAGGAGATATAGCGCTGGACTTGAGCTTGGTTCACCCCGTACATGGAAAGCCAAACCATTGCACCCCCGACAGTGAGGCTCCAGAAGGTGTAACGCTGACGTGGGTCCACATCAAAACTGGTGGGAAAAAGAAAAATTCAACAGAAGAATCACAAAACAAGATCCAGGGCCAATAAGATTCAGTGAAAACATGTCTCTCTATATACATCTGTGTGCTGTTAGATGTCAGAAGTGTCACACCTTGATGGTGAAAGTTAACAGATCGCTGGTCTTTTTTCAAACTTGCATCTACCCTTATAGAAACTGTTTTCAATGGGGGTGAATGAAAGCTTGGTGTATCTTATGCAGATCATATGAGGAACAATTTGCGTCTTTCTGAGACTCAAAGGGTTATTTAAAGGATCAGTGTTCGAAAACTTTGGAATGAGAACAGGTTGTTAGAACTGAACATCTCTTGTCTTCCAGAGAAAATAAACAGATCTAGATAAAAACTAAAACACTTGTTGGAAAGTCGACATGCAGTTTTGATTTGTTTGTCCTAGGTCAAGAATGAGCTGTTGTGTTAACTGCTTAAAATGATGATAACCACGTCACTATCAAAATGTACCCGATATCGTAGGAGTCATTGTAGATAAACAAACTGAAGTGTGAACATCTCATAACACACATGAAGTAAACATGTGGTTATCCAGATCAGAAAAAGGGTTCTTACTCATCGAAATTAATGCGTGATCCATTCTTGGCAATCTCTAGTACAAGTGCAGGACCACCAACCAGAACTGTCCCGTGGACGTAAATTGCCACAAAGCCCGAAAACATGACTATAATCTGGAACACGTCGGTCCAGATCACAGCTTTCATGCCGCCCTGTAACAGGAGAACAAAATTAAACCAACAGATGAGCAGCTGAGACTTTCTGGAAATTGAATCATTTACTTCAGGATGTATCCTACAAAAGAAAGTCCAGACCAAGTCACTGCATTTGGATCTGAACCATAACTTATTCTGTGCTCCTAGCTTGTTTAATAAATAGGTCCTCACCAGGGTTGTGTAAAGGGTGCAAATGAACCCCGTAGAAAACAGGGAAGCCCACATATTGAGTCCAGTAGCTGAAATGATAGAAAAGAGTTGTCATTTAGTGTTTCATCTACATACTCCAAACTTACAGAGTGTGATTATGAAAGAGACTTGTGTAGTTAAGCAAATGCAAAGCTCTGTCTTCTCTGCAGCAGTTGGTTATGTAAACCTAGATTATTATATATGCTTATCACTAATGGAAGCAGTAATGAGGCTGAACTTTGCTCTGGCGTGGCTGTTTGCAAAGCAGCTTAACTTAAGTATAAAGTTTGGAAACACAGTTTTATGAAACAGAAACTGCAGCTACCAGCAGTTCTTGAACATTTTCAAATGATTAAAAAAATATATACATGAATATTACTTTAAAAAACCTGGAAGAATTGAGTATATTGTTTCTAGCCTTTCGGGTAGAAATCACAGGGAAGGGTGTGATGTTTTTATTTCTGTTTCCAACCATCTCAGAGAAGGATGATTAATACTGCTGGTATACATAGAGGAGTTTGTGTTGACAATTTATTTCAGCACACCTAACAAAACTCTGCACGTGGATCCATCATGCCTTGCTTTGATACACAAGTTTAACATGTGACAGTGTTCAAAGTTGGGAACATAAATATCCTGATGTGACATGGTTTACGTATCATTATTTGTCATCTTTGCTTTGTTTGTGTTCGGTCCTTCTGCGCACTTGTAAAACCTACTCACACCCGAGGAGGTGTCAAGGGGAATTCTTCTATTACTTTCATAAAGTAAATGATCGTCTTCTTTTTATATCAACAAGTTTGGTCAGTGCAAACATTTTCCTTAAAGTTTACTTAGGAAGTATTATCGGAATAACAGAAGGATTAAAAAATGTGGCCTGGCTTGTATGAGTACGAGTACAGAGGCCAGAGTTCCAGCTACATGTGATGGTCACTGGACTGATGTGCTGATCCCTTAAGAGATATGCAACCTGTGCATCTGTGATTTTCTGTGCATCTGCAATATGATGTGAACACATCCATGATTACATGCTTTTTATCAGGGTCCTGCCTCACCCTGTCTGATTTCTATTTTAGCAGCACATTATTTACCTAACTGCACATGCTGTCAGTACAAAAAGAAAGTATAGTTGCATACGAGTGAGGGACCAGCACACCAAACCAGCGACCACTCAGACACTTCTTGACAGGTGCTGCTACGATTTTATTACATCAGGTTAAAACGCCTTCAACTCTTTTATTGCTTTAGTTTGTGTGCTGTCCTTTATCTCTTATTACTTAATTTTTTCTTTTATTGCTTTACTCGTTTTACTCTGTTTCCTCTCTGCTGTGCTTTAATTTTTCAATTAGCTACGTGTCCTCCTAGTTTAACTTAAACTGACTGCACCTTCATGTTGTTTCTCTATATCTGGTCAGATTCTTGGGGGCGTTTAACCATTGCTTGATAATTATAAATAGTTGAAAAGGGAGAATGAATATCATCTTTTTGTCAGGTGATCTCTCCTACCTTGGTTGACAATCAAGGCAGGTGCATAGATGACAATTCCTGTGTAGAGCAGCTGAGAGGAAGGAAATACAAACAAAGAAATCAGCAGACACAACAACAATCATTGGATTAAGGTCAGACAGTTTAGTAAGTTTGTGCAAATATGAGTGTTTGCCTTAGTAAACCCCGAATGCACGAGCTTTAGACCTCCCCGAGTTTGAGCCTAGAGTGGTGTAATTTTGTGAAAAGACGTGATATGTGACATTCAAGTCTAAAAATGTGTTGTTTTTAACTGTGCAGAGTATCAGACGACACCTGTCTTACCGTCGCAACAATGAACTGGATGCTCCCCAGCAGCTGCATGCCTCTGCCAAATCTCATCTTCAGGTACTGTGACAGGAAGACAGCCGGAGTTATAAGACATCCCTCCTCACCTTTCAACATATTTCATGACCCACAGGTGCGTTTCAAGATTATGGCTGTAAACCCAGACCTCATATTTCTCACTGTGGTTGGTTATTCTCATTACAGTACTTATAAAACAATACAAATCTCTTCTAACCCTCTGTATAAATAACACTGTGCTTCAGTTTCTGATGACTGGAAACTCATTCTGACCTGATTGGTGCTGGTTATGCCCAGTCGAAAGAAAACTGGCAGGAAGAGGTAAGCTGTCAGCAGAGAGTTGATGGTTTGTCCGAGGCACATGTAGAGGAATTTGAAGCCATAGCGTGAAGCTTCAGCGGGAACACCCAGAACCTGGACTGCTGACATAAAACTGGCACAGAGTGACAGCCCAACCGGCACTGCTGGCAGGCTTCTCCCCCCTGTAAAGAAGTCATCTACCCTGGCTTCCCTTTTCCCCTTCTTCAAGGCCTGGAAGAGTCCGATGGCCATGGAGACTAACAGCATGGCAGCAAAGACCATGTAGTCTGCCAAGACGAAGCCAGTTGTTGGCGCTCCATTGTTAGTCTGCTCCTCCATTATTTCACTTGAATGTAGTTTACTTGATCTGGTTGATTTTTTTCAAATCTGTCAGGGTAAAGACATTTAGAAAACTTTATGAACATACTACAAACACTTGTTAACACTGCAAACATCTCCTCTAGGTGACAGCTTTATGACTCTTCAAGTGCAGAAGACTTTCTTGTACACAGAAAGTTCTGTTTACAATGTAAACCTTCCTCTTGGTAGTGCTATTTTAAATAATCATATTTTGTTTCTATTGGTGTAGAGTTAAGTGTAAATCGTAGAAGTCAACAGTGTGAATGCATGCTTTTGCTGCCTCTGCAACTGTGCATCAAACCAGAAAGGTGGACTCGTCCCTAAATATGTTGTTTCTGAGGTGTCAGAGTTCATTTTATGTCCAAATCTGAGCCTGAGTGAACCTAACCAGCAAGACACTGAACATGGTTCGAGAGAATGCTGCATCTCCAGTTACTGGGAGTGAACCATCTGGCGTGCAAAATTCAATACAAAGAAATAAATTATACTGTCTCAAGAAATACACCAGTTCGCAAGTTACAATATGACATAAATCTGTGTTTCAGAATCAGAATCAGAAATACTTTAATAATCCCCTGGGGGAAATAGCTTTTGTCACAGTAACTCCAGAGCAAATACAGTAAAAAGTAAAAATAAAAGTAAAAGTAAAAGTAAAAACAAAATACTATAAAAATAAGTAAAAAATAAAGAGATAAATAGATAAAACAAGTAGAATAAGTACAAATAGAGATATAATATACAAGTATTTACACTATAAACAACACAAATAGTAAATAGTAACATCATATGCATGTATTTTGTGACTAGCATTACAGTTAATTTTTTGACATTGGAGTGAAACTTAAACTTTATTTGTTTTCCCTTTTTTTATCTTATATTGCAAGAATTTCAAGAATAATAAAAGCACTGAATTTAACAGAAGGGTGCTTTAATTCAGATGAGTTTATGTTTTATTACTAGGGGAGAAAAGTCAAATAGAGACTGCAGCTAAAATGTTTGGTTACACAACGCATATTTTAATATCTGAAGTTAAAAGTAGACACTTTGCTTTTAAACGGTAAAGTATTAAACTTTGAGAAAGAAGATGTTTCCTGTCGATGATAAATTTATAATCATATATAATCAGAGCGATAGTTGAAAACTTTCTGAGACTTACCACTGCTCCTCTCTGCAGTCAGCTGGTCCCCTCTTAGTGATGATGAATGTCCTGACAAACGTATTTATACTCCTGCAGCTGCTCCATAAAGCACACACCGCCTTTGATGCCGCGTTAAAACACGTGCGGGATCAGGAAAAGTTGTAATTGGAGCCTCACCGGTACGTCTCCCGAAAACCCCGAAGGAGAGGCTACCTGTAAGCATCTCTACAAATCAGCCATGGGGGGCGTGGCTAAGCCGGGCTTCGGAGTGACGTCCAATTGTGTGTGGGTTGGATTGTGAAGCTGCAGGTGAACAGTCAGTGTGCTGCAGGACTGAGAGAGGAAATACAGCCTAATTTAACATTTCATTGAGGGCTTTCTTTGTAAATGAGTCCAATTTAAGAACAGAGCAAAGATTAACAAAACGAGCATCATAAAGAAAATGTAACCATGAATTCAGCCAAGCTCAGGGTGGGAGGGGGGAATTTACGACAAGTATATTTTGAGGTGACAGGGAATAACACTAAAATTTATTCATAGCTGATTTTTATTACCTTTTATTCAGGTTAGGATGCAGTGTAAAATCGTGTCTTTACTTAGCTATAGGCCAAATGACACAAATTCCTGTTTGACAATGCAAGGGTGTTGGGAATATTACCAAACCCCCAAAACAGACTTCAAGGCTGTGTTCACACCGCAGGTCAATTCCGATTTTTTAACCATATAAGACACATATCTGATTTTTCATTTGAGTGTGAACAGTGCAATTCTGATTTTTTCAAATCTGACCCAGGCCTCTTTTGTATGTGGATATAAATTGGATATGTATTCGATGTGACTGCAGTGTGGACACTCAGGTCGCGTTCATCCGACCTATACGTCATCAATATGGGACAAACGTCACCATTGTTCGACAACAGAAACAGGAGCGGAAAGCAATTTGTGCTTTGTGCGCATGCGGGTCATTCACGGACGCATTCCGTTCACATTAGATGCCGCATTCATTGTTGTAATGTCAACGACTGCACAAAAAGATCGGATTTAACAAAAATTCGAATTGTGCGTCATAACCTGCAGTGTGAACGTAGCCCAAGATTCAAGATTTGTGTATTTGTCATGTGCATGTTTAACAAGGTCAACAATGCAATGAAATGCCCTGGATGAGATGACCGCTCGACTCAAAGGAGCACAGATAAAACGCACAATAAGTACTGAAGGAACACAATAAAATAAGGATACAAAAGATTATTAAAGACGAATAAAAGTATAAGAGAAATATTTACAAAGTGAACAAGCAATGCAGTAGGTGCTGAGTGTGAATGTATGAAATGGAGGATAAGTCGGTGGGATAAATGAGGTATGACAATTGCCATATTGCATATGATAGATAATGGTGTACAAATTGCTGAATTGCACATGGTATTGCACATCACAGATGATATTGCACAGTTAAGTGGGTTATTGCACAGAGTATTGTCCGGTGATACTGTCAGAGCGGTAATAATCCACATAGTCTAAGGTGATCTGTGTGAAAGTCCTGCAATAAAACTTTACCCCCCAAAATAAAAATAAATAAATAAATAAAATCCTATTATAATATTGATTTTTGCGTAATCAAACCTGAAAGACAGGCACATTTTTATTTTTATTTATCTTCTGCATAAAAAAAGGACACTTGTCATGTTTTGATTTTAGACCAACCTCAAAGTTTCCATCCATCAAAATCTAAATCCAATGTTTGTGTTTGGTTTCTAAGATCAGACATCAATAAAGTTTGATAAGTTGTCTACCAGCAAACATATTTTTTCAGCTTTGATATTTTAAAGCTGCACTGAAGATATCTGCTTTTTTAATCGAAATGTTAGCATTTTGTCAACTCTTTTATTTTCTCAATCTATTCCTTATTTCCACCAACCCTGCTGGTGTTTCACTTTCTGCATAAATTTACATGCTTTACCTGCTTTACGATTTTGGCTCATAAATTTTGACACATTGACCACTTACTTATGACCCTGCTCCCTATTTTAGTCATAAATGTCCAATCCTGCCAGTAAGCTTTTATGTGGACAGTAACTCCTTGTCTGTTTTTATGACTTCTGAGTCTTTTCTTCCTTCCTGAATTCCCACTATGCCCTGAAAGACTTCCTGCATCCTTGTTCAATGCACGAGTAAAGCCCCTTCACACTTTACATTAGGGGTATGGATCAACCATTGGCCTTGGCTGATAATCGAGCTGATACACTCTGGAGGAGTTGGGGCTCGAATTCCGCATGAGACACATCTGTAAGGAGCGAAGTACATCTACCCGTGTGGGTCCTTAAGCAAGACCCTTAGCGCTATGGAGACCTCATAAACATGAGTGTGTACCACTGAAAGGACGGTACAGGTTGTTAAAGCAAACCTCCCCAAATGCATATATCAATTTAACACAAGATCATGAGTCAAATTAACTCGAAGATTGGGTTAACTTGACCCTTAAAAAGAGTTATTGAGTCAACCCAAAATTTGGGTTAATTTGAATAACCCAACATTCTGGGTCAAAATAACCCAATAAGTAGCCGGTCCCTTTTCAACCCTGGTGCTGGGTTAAAAACAACCCAACAGGGTTTTTTAGAGTGTATTCATTATTAGACTGATCATCTGCATCAGCCTACTTGAGTAGTACTCATCAGTATAACTTTGGCTCTGCTTCTTTTGTGTTTTTCATATTTACTGTGGATGCATATCAGTTCCAAATATTGGTCATTGGACTCATTAACTACCAATAATCAGTAGTAGTGGACTACTGACCATGAAAAATTAATATTAGTTGACCCCTTCTCTCCACCTCTGCTTTTGGCTCTAAAGCCGAGAGGTTTGTTAGCTGGTATGGTTCGTCTATGTTAGGTAAAGTAGCTTTGTCTGTTTGGAGGTAGCTCCTGCTGTCTGATTGGCTAATTCTGTGAAGTGGAGAAATTCATCTGTTTGGGAGGTATCTCCAAGTCATTCACTTAGTATGAGCACAGTCTGACAAGTGCATTACATCAGCTGCTGTGGTTTTTGTGTTTGCTAGGACTGATTTTGTTGGGTAGAAAAGTCCTTTTTGCTTGTTTGGGTGGCTCATCTAGTAAGTTGGCGTATCCCCAGCATACCTTTTCTGAGAGGTTGGCCGTCCTAACATCTTGGTATTGACAATAACCATTATTTTGGAAAAAGGAAGTATCAATATTGTGCTGAAAGTAAGCGTACAGTAATACCCTGAGTTCTTAGTGGTGGTCCTTTGTGTCTGTGGCTGCATGTCATTTAAAGAGACAGATGAAAGAGAAGTAGCTGCTGCCAGCGAGCTAGCTTGTAGCAGCTCTCTCGGCTAATTTGACACTTTGAAAAACAGATTTTTAAAACAATGTTAGAGCTGGGGTTTCTCCCGGTTACTAATCAGTCCAACATTTATACTTTCTAAATGTTTTGTCATTCAGATCCACAATTTACAATCCACAGGAAGAAGCTAATACTCCAAAATAAAAGCACAGTTTGGGAAATAAAACATCCTAGCTGCCAGTCAAAAGAAATATATAAAAATTTAAAGCATGACAAACTATCCTTCTTCTGGTAACACCTTATCTGAACAGGTCTAGTCACAGGGCTTGTGGTGTAGATAAATCACTCATTTCAACATTATGAGAAATGGATGATGACGTGTGAGTTATTTTTGTTTGTTGGTAAGGTATGTGTTGCTCCACCCTTGTCTTGCCTTGCCTCAAAATGACTCACTGTCTTGTTTTATTTTTAAGTTATCTGTAAATATCACAAGATTTGATATCAGGTTAAAATCTGATATTGTGACAGTCCGACTGTTGGAGCAGGTCCATCTGTTTTGTGTTGTGAGTTTGTTTGTCTGTTTGTTGGTGGGCGCTAACTTCAGTGTTTGAGGTGAAGCTGATTCTTCGAGGTGTGGTTACTTTTTCTGTTTCTCAAAGTAGGGCAAAGGATCAAGTTTTTTCTGTTAAATGGGGTGAAGTTGTTGGTTTGCTCTTTCTGTCAGGAGCTACCCTGAGGGTGTAGTCCTTGAAAGCTGCCTGCATGGCCTAAGGTCTTCACGTAATTGTATTATTTCAGCAGTTTGTAAGTCAATGTGTCTTCGCTATTATTACCAGAGGTACTATCATGTGCTCAGCTGTAGATTAACACATACTTGGTGAATCGTGCCGACGTGGACAAAAAGATCAATGGGATCATAAGAAGGGTGGCACAGTGCTGTAGTGGTTAGCACTGCCGCCTCACAGCAAGAAGGTCCTGGGTTTGAATCCGGGTCAGGCTGTTTCTGTGTGGAGTTTGCATGTTGTCCCTGTGTCTGCATGGGTTTACTCCTGTGGGTTTTACTCCATCCCAAAACATGCAGAAGTGGGGTTAGGTTAATTGGCCACTTTCAAATTCCCCGTAGGTGTGAATGTGAGCTTGGATGGTTGTTCATCTCTATATGTCAGCCCTGCCATGAACTGGCGACTTGTCCAGGGTGTCCCCTGCCTTCACCTGAAGATGCTGGGATAGACTCCAGCACCCCCCCACGACCCCTAACGGGAATAAGCGGTAGAAAATGGATGGATGGATGGAATCATAAGAAAATTCAAAGTAATCTGTAATCCAAACATTGTCTGCAGTTTGTAACAGCTTTAGCAGGAAACTGCTAACCTCAGAGCTGAGCAGGGAAACCACAGCTGTCAGCTGGCTCTCTGTTCCTGTTCAATTAGATGAGTAGATTTAAGGCGTCCTCAATATCACATTTCCACTCGAATATTGAGAAAACACAACAATACTTCCTCAAGATCAAAACAGAATTGCATCACAAGGCTCTCTGTGTTTTTCTAAAGATGCGTGTTTCGTGATTTTGAAGATTTTGAAAGCAGTTACTCTCTGGAAGTTCAGTGTTTCAGTAGATATTTGTGACAACAGAACTTGACTGTGAAGCATCTGGTTCTCTAAATCAGGAAGTGCTATACTTCCTGCCACCATTCACACACACACATACACACACACAGACAGCATAAACCCAGAAGTCAAAGAAGACAGAGCCGAATTTTTCAGATGAGGATCTCTGCTGTTAAAGTTTAAAGGTAACACGCAAAAAAACTGAAATTACTTTGATATCCATTTCATATTTGGGTAGAAAACATGTGTGCCATCTTTATGAATGTTAAAGCTTTGCTGTTTTTAATTTAATGTGGCCTGAGTATAGTTTTGAGACTGTGTTTGTCTATGTTATGGCAGCTTAAAGCCTCACCAGGCCACGACAAAAACTAGACAAAGACTAATACTGACCTTTTAGTAAAAAGATAGTTAAACTGAATGTGGTGATTATACGGGTTTAAGACAGCTATCATTCGTCACATGAAATTCAAGAAGTATTTGTTGTTGAACAGTGAATTAAGTGTCTAAAACCCTCTAAAGAAACTGATCAAATGTTATATATCTTTAGAAACCATTTTATTTTTAACTCACTGTATTCTTAATTCATATACAGCAGAACACGGTGAGTGTTTGTCTCAAAAATCGGGAATTCCCAAAGTCTTCATTAGTCGTTTCAAAACGTCATTCAGAGTCATGGTGAGAGTTGTCGTCGAGTAAAGGGCTAAATAATCGGACATGTTCAGACTGTAAAATACACCCTCAGTTTGAATCTTTGTTTTCGAAGATTTTCTGGTAAGTTTTGGTGGGGAAAATCCACATGAGATGAACATAAACTTGAGACGGCAAAATTATGATCAAATTAGAAAGTCTCAACAGAAGTGTCCAGAGATGAATGTGAGAAAGCAGCACATTTATAACTTCTACCTCACTTCATTTCTAAGCAAAGTCTTGAGATATTCTGTACAATACATAATTCTCACAGCTACTTTTCAGACAAAAGGACAAGTAAAATATCAGTTAATAAAAATGAAGTGTAGCTTTTACTTTTCTAATTAGATAATTCAGAAGATTTTGTTATTCTTGTCTCATAATGTGTCCTGGTAAAGCTGTCTCAAATTTGTTTTTAAAAATCTGCCGATGTGTCCTAAGAGGCTCTCATGGATCCCAGCGAGGAGGAGTCAGCTCCTCTGGTAGTCAGAGACAGAGGAGGCAGCCACAGGTCCAGCTCCAGCACTGGTCCCAGTCTGCAAGTTCACCTCTACTTCTCTCCAGCCACAAAACATGAAACAACAATACAGATTTCATCGGGTCAAATCTCTGCTGAAAATGTCTGCATTCAAGCGGGGAAAAAATGTGGTGAGATTTTATTATAAAACAATGATTCTGGCTGAAGGCTTGTCAATATTAATACAAGAAAAACAGAGTAACATCATGTTGTGGTTGTTCTTGGATGTGCAAATTGCTTAGCCCTGGAGGTGTAGGATATCTTAACCTAACTAGTCATGCCAGGATGGTGTGTGTCTGCTCTCTTGCTCCAGGAATCTTACCGGTGTACCGAAGTCTTTTTGGGTTGGCTTCAGCTGATCTGTCATTTTGGTATCCTCCATCACACATGTTCACCGTGGAAGAAAACGTGCATGTCCACTTTAGAGTCAGGTAATTGAAAATCACAATCAATCATGCATTGATTTCAAGTGGGAAGCAGAGGAGAATATGGAGAGACAGTGAGTGAACACACACCGAGAAGAAGCTCGCTCAGTGTTTTGTGCAAAAGAAACAAACATATTTATTTGTACGCAGGTTTTTCTTTGGGAACTGGTTTGGCCAAGGACCGAGAACATCGTACCGCTACAGCCTGACCAGAGACAGAGTCACTCCAGTGCTTGACTACCTTGTCATTGATTATCTCTTTGCTCAGGTTGTACAGTATAAAATGTTTCAAACGTAAATTTTCTCTTGTGAGACTGAAGGTTAAGTCAAGTCTTGGGTTGACCCAATATGCTGTCAGTGTTTTCTATTAAAACTGTCTTTGTCTTCCCAATTTTCAAATGTATTTTCAGCTTCTAAATGTTTCAGTTGTAACTTACAGCAAATGTTAGATGTATTTAATGCTGTGTTTGACTCTTATTTCTTTTCACACAAAGCTGCGAAGTGACTTCATTGCGAGTGAGGCAGGAATCTCTCCACCTTTGACAACCCAGGAGGAATGCCTCGGTCTTGCAGTGCTGGACTTGTGGAGGATGGCTAAAGAGCAACATCAGAGTGTAAGAGAGCTCTGCAAGACTGTCAGGTATTAAGATTCGACTAATGTTTCACTTTCCCCAAACTGCATCACTACCTAAAGTCTACAGACAAAGAACAGTTTATAAAAGGTTATTTGAGTCCTGAAATATTTGTCTTGTATTTTGTGGTTTGCAAGTGTAGAAATCAAAAGCACTGTCCATCTTTCAGCTACAAATCATGCCTTCCTAAGTTGCATCGTCAGGACATCCAGAAAAGAAACCGACTGGATCGTTACCGAATCCGAAACACCCTCAAGCGCTACCTCAGGAAGATTGGTAGCTGCTCAGTCGACGAGTGCAGCTTGAAGCTCAAGTACCTGATTGAACTTGCTGGTATTGAACCTTCTTTAGGGAGTGAAACCTATCGAGTCAATCCCTCTTTTTCCCGTACAAAGTCAAGTTTCTGTCTTGTGCGGGTCACGGGGGAAAATGGGATCCAAACAGCTGAAAGTTGTCATCCTGATACTGCTGTGGTAAGAACTTTCGGTTTTTGAAGGCCATAATTATGAAGGCAACCTCATTAAAATATTAAAAGCCCTACATTCACAAGTGGTCAGAGAATTGATGTTGAATAATAACCTCTTTCTTTTAACAGTGGCAGACCTTCTGTGACTTCAAAGAAATTGTTGACATCAGTATAACGAGGGTATGCCATGAACAAGCAGCCCAAGACAACAGGATGGTGACAATAACACGCAAAGACGACAGAAGCCTGGTAAAGACCCGTAATCGTGAAGTTAACTTTAATGTCAAAAGTCATTTTCTTTTCAGATTTTGCTGCTTTGTGTTGATGCAAAAATTGAAGGTGCGTTTATTGTTGCTTTGCACCACAGGAAGCCACATTTCAGAGTCTCAAAGAAGCGCTTTCATTTGTGTCACTTGTTGATGGCTATTTTAGACTGACCACAGACTCTAGCAACTACTTCTGTCAGGACATCGCTCCTCCCAGTATTCTTGAGAGGATCAAAAACCACTGTCACGGCCCAATCACGTGAGTCATTTTGGTTTACATTTAATTTGTTTATCCCTCCAGTCTATCTGAGCAGGGACACAGTGTATGAAATTTAATGTAACTGAAGGAATCGTGAAACATTTACGGCTTTTCTTTTCCCAACAGGTCAGAGTTTGCTGTCAACAAGCTAAAAAAGTTGGGATTTAAAGGTGGTGCGTTCCTTCTTCGGCAGAGTCCCAAGAACTATGACAACTTCTTCCTGACTGTCTGTGTCCAGGTAAAAGTTCCTGTCAATAAAATGTTATAGACACACAGAAACAATATATGAACAACTTCCTGGTGACATCCTTATTGCCAGGAAATCATAAAAGTGAATTTCTAAGCAGGGTAGTTGTTCTGAACCTCAATTCTGAGCAGAAACAAACGTGATTTCCTGATTTTGTTTCCTGGTCAGAAACTTTTGTGCACCCGCAGTTTTTGTCAACTTTAAAGTGTGACAAATCTATTGTTTGTATATTGGATCGTGCATCGATAATCTCTATATTCAGGATTCTGAAAATTTGTTGTTACTCTTTTATTTCTGCAGACTCCTCTTGGTCTTGACTATAAAGACTGTCTGATCATTGAGAACGAGAACTACAGTCTCCCTGGCGTCCAGAAATCTTTCTCCAGCCTGAGAGAGCTCACCAGCTATTACCAACACAACAAGCTGCTGCTGGCTGACGTACCTGTCAAGTTGGGTCACTGCTGTCCACCTCGACCCAAAGGTGAGTCGACCAAGACATGCAAATGATAGAACTCAATACACACCACTTTGTATGTTGAGAACAGGAGGAGTTGCTTTTATATTCTCCATTTTATCATTTTAATGCTTGAGCTACACAAAGAGCTTATCCAATCATAGCCTATAGATTGAGGCAAACCTGGGGCTCTACTATGCTTTCTAAATTCACAGTTTGGGTTAAGCTGTCCCCCTAAAACTCCCACAAAGAGTTTTTTTTAGATTTACAAAATTAACTGTTGTTCTATTATTATCTGCAAGAGGGTCAGTGTGAGTCAAACAGCTACAGAAACAGCCCTTTTTATAATTTCCACATAGAATATTCACAAAAAGTGATACATGCGACCATCAAAAGTCAACAGGAAGTGATTATTTTTTGTCAGAAGATGATAACAGACCATGATGGTCAGACAATCTTCCACTTTACCCCCTTCAAATTTTGTTTAATCAGAAAACTATTTTGGTCAAAATCTATGGGAATAGAATCGTTGCAAATAATAGAAGTTAGTATTTGGTCCCCTTTTGAATAAAACCCCATGTTGAATTGTTTTATTTGCATTAAATTAAAGGTGATAATGGATGTAAATCAAACACACTTGGTATTCTTATTTGAGTACAGCAGAAACTGACCGACTTACTGCCTCTTGAAAAGATGGTGGGTAGAATGGTGGGCGTCCTTTCTTTGGAATTTGGAATTACAAGTTTTTGGAGTCTTTTGGGGCTTATCGTCTTCTACCGGTGGAAAATGTATTCTTGTTAACTCATAAATGAATGGATCTTCATGAGTCTGATATATTTGACCGCCATCAGCTACCAATTGGAATCAATGGTAAAGAAGTTATGACATAAATAGGCTCAAAATTCATTACAATTTGTGAGCTGAATGGACACAAACTGAAACAGCACAATAGTTGACTCTGAGAAAAATACTTGAGTGTGAATCTCTGTTCTGCACCGAAACAAGGGGACAGTGTAAGGCTGCTAAGAAATAGAGGCCAAGGTCGGCAGCAATCTGGACTATCACACAGATATTTCTAGACGACCAGCAGCCCACATGAGGGCCTAGGGCGACGCCAACCTGGGATACCAGTATCATTCAAATGATAAACAAGCCTAGCTAGTAGAGCAGCTGTTAGATAAGGAGTTTTTCTTGACACAGCTGTGAATGTTTTGAAATTGAAGCTCTGTAACAGAGATTTGTCTTGAGAACTTTGGGGAAGTTGACATTATATCAGACGCCAAGGACAGAACGTCAATAGTCTGTCGAGGGGGATGGGACATGTTTGAGGCGGTAGCTTAGCCTTGCTTTATACTCGCTTTTGATTTATGCTGTTTTGTTGTTACTCGTTTGGGGGTGTCTGTGTTTGGCAGCATAAGCTCAGATTTGTTTATAATCGGTTTTAGGTTACCCTGTTGCAGACCTATCACAGGTACATTATGACAAGGTTGATTTCATTATGAACAAGCAGCATGAGATCAAGCAGGAAGATAAGATGATTTATTGAACCCCTACAGGAAATTCAATATGGACCACTTCTCACTGTTTAAAGACTCCTGCATTGACAGGCATTGTCTTGAGTCAGCATTGTGACTCTGCCTCAGTTGTTTTTGATTAATTTAGTTTCCTTCTGAGCCACTTAGTGCTGCATGATCACTGTGTCTCTCCATCTTTCACCCTCTTGACACTTCAGTTGTAAATCAGAGGTTACACAAATGTAAATTTTTCTTATGCAGACTTCTTTTATTTTGACGTGTTTGCTGTTTCTTCAGAGCTCACAAACTTGATCATCATACGCAGCAGCAGCTCTGTGGAAGCTCATGGTTCCCCGACTCTTGAAAGAAACAAATTCAGTCACATCCAGTTCCACAAAATCAAGTATGAAGACTTGACCTGGGTGAGTGTATGAACATGACTCCAACTGAATAAAGATTTTGCTCTGATTCCATTAACAAAACCATTTAAAATAGTCTGGCATTCCTTATCTAGCTTTTCTTCTTCACTATCAAGCTCTGTTGCTAATTCCACCACCATCACAGGGTCTTAAAGGAAATCAGGGGTTATAAATGTTGGGAGAAAATTAATCACAGTTTCTGAATGTATTTCCCTCTAAGGTTGAAAGTCTTGGACAGGGATCCTTCACTCGAATTTTCAAGGGCTATAAAACTGACATCCATGATGGGGAGAAACACGTGACCAATGTTTTCCTGAAGGAACTCGATGCCGTTCACAAGGACTACTGGGAGGTGTCTGTCTCTAGTGTAAAATAAACTGGATTCTTTAACATTACTGCTGTTTATTAGTTTTTTAACATATGTTGTTGTTTGTCCTTCTCAGTCATTCTTTGAAGCTGCCAGCTTGATGAGCCAGATTTCACACAAACACCTCCTCCTTGTGTATGGTGTCAGTGTTTACGGCGCAAAAAGTGAGTCCAGATTTATGAAGCAAACGTGCCTTACATTGTGCAGATGTTTTAATGTCCTACGAATTATGTTTAGCTTTTGACGCTCCTTTGCAAAAAGACATTTGAGAACATTTCATTCTCTTCACAATGAGGATATTTCAACATGAAATCCTCAAGTGACCCCGGCACTGTCTGCAGTCTGTGGCTCTGTGTTCATTTGAAGTACAGCTGTAGAAACAACCCTTGCTGTGTCTTACAGATATCATGGTGCAGGAGTTTGTCGAGTACGGGGCTCTTGACCTGTTCTTGAAGAGAGGGAGATCTGTCTCAGTGAGCTGGAAACTTGACGTAGCAAAGCAGCTTGCGTCTGTCCTCAACTTTTTGGTAAGATAAACTTTGAAGTAAAACACAAGGAAAAATTTGCACCAAAGTCATGAAAGCACAGCGGGATCAAATACCTAAAGCAGATTTTGCTTCATGTGTTTGTGCATGACAGGAACTCGACTGGTTTTAGTTTTACTTGAGCTGCAGAATTGATGTGAATGAATCTTAGTGTGCTTTGAGGGGATAAAACATATCAAATACAAAACAATAAACAACAAAATTAGCATATTTTTATGAACTAATTTAGAAACATGTTTGTAAAATAGCCTCAAGCCAAAGCATACAACACACATATTTTTATGGAGAATCAGGTTTCAGGAAAAAACACAGAGGCTTATAAGCTGGTCAGGGATTTTATTGAGTCCTTTAACAATAAGGAACTCAGTGCAGCACTTTTTATTGACTTGTCAAAAGCTGTTGAGGCTTTAGATCTTTCTATTCTGAAACAAAGTCTGCCATGTATTGGACTTGGGTTTAAAAATGAAAACATGACCACATCACCCCAATTCTGGCATCCCTCCACTGGCTTCCCGTTCGTTTTAGAATTCATTGTAAAATTGTATTGTTTGTTTTTAAATCTATAAATGGATCAGCTCCACAGTACATCTCTGACCTCTTAAATGTTTATTCCCCCCACGTTCCTTGAGGTCTGCTGATCAGCTCCAACTCATTGTCCCTAAAACTCGTTTGTAAACCCGTAGCTTTCTCAGCTGTGGCTCCCAAATTGTGGAACGATTTGGACACTCAAAACATCCCCGACTCTTTCTACCTTTAAATCACATCTTAAAACTCATTTTTACTCCTTGGCTTTTAGTTCAGCATGAGAGTTGTGTGATCTCTGTCCTTTTATGACTTTTATGGTCCTTTTATCACTTTTATTTCTTTTATGCTTTCGTGTTTTTATTTCATTTATTTTATTTCATTTAAATGTTTTTTTTACCTGCTTTTATTTATTTCCTTGTGATGTTTCCTGCAGTGTTTGTTCTTTTAAATTTTACTTTGCAGCACTTTGGCAAACTTGAATCTTTTTTAAAATGTGCTACATAAATAAAGCAGATTGGATTGGATTGAAAAAAAAAAAAACCCTATTCATCCAACAGATCACAGTGTGAGCAGACAGAAGGTATCATCTCTAGACTTTTTTAAATATCAAATGGCATGCCTCAGGGCTCTGTTTTGGGACCTCTTGTTTACAACTTATCCTTATAGCAGTGGTCAAAATGTCCCCAAAGCAATTTTTCATTTGTATGCAGATGATACTGTCATTTCCTCTTCTGCTCAAACACAGTATCAGACTCTCTGTCACTTACAAGATGCTTTTGATAATGTACAAGACACCTTTCATGACTTAACCCTGATCAAACAAACTCATGATGTTTGTGAATTTCCCAATCGTACAGAATACATGATTTCACTTTAACATGAAACTGTCCTGCAGGAAGAAAAAAACATCGTCCATGGAAACATTTGTGCAAAAAACCTGCTCTTGGCCAGAGAAGGCGACCCGGCACAAGGAAGCCCTCCCTTCATCAAGCTCAGCGACCCGGGCATCAGGGTGGGCATGCTGAGCAGAGAAGGTAAATCTCAGTCTTCCTTTGATCCATGATCACCACGAACAGGTCTGCAGTTGTTCATACTGGATCTAGCTGTCTGTGGGGAGAAGGGAAGTGATTGAATAATGCTTTGTGCCTTTAGACTGATACTGTCAGGTTCTGTGTGTGAAACAAATGAAAACAGGACCCAAATGCAGAACTTGAAAAAGGATCTATTTAAGAACTAAACAACAAAAACTTACTTTCCAAATTCTCCACCTAAAAGAACCGAAAAAACAAAATCCAACCAACAGACACACAGACATACAACAATGAACCAACAAGGAAACAGGGGAAGACAGGGACTTTATGAACACACAGGGAAACGAGCAACGAGAGGCAGGTGAGACACTGAGACACAGGTGAGGACAATTGCAGAGGAGGGAAAACTGAGGAAGTAAAACAAGACTAGAAACACAGGGGATAAACTACTACAAAATAAAACAGGAAACACTGATATAAGGAATAAAACACTGAGAATATGAGGGAAACGGGGTCAGACACAAACTGAAAACTGATTAAGACAGGACTACAGCGGATTATTTTACTATACATATGTATTTTTTTCCACTTTTTTCTCTGTTGCTCTTATCCTTTTGTTTTATGTTGCTGCTTTTACTCTGTAAAGTGTCCTTGAGTGTCTAGAAAGGCGTTTATAAATAAGATGTATTATAATTATTTTGATTTAAATATGCCCTTATGTGTGCGCTCCTTTAGTCATCCTGGACAGGATCCCCTGGGTGGCCCCTGAGCTCCTCATGGATCCAAACAACCTGACCCTGGAGAGTGATAAGTGGAGCTTTGGTGCCTCTGTGTGGGAGATCTTCAACGGTGGGAACAATCCGCTGCTAGGCTGGGACTTGAATCTGGTACTTACACTTTTTACTTCTCAGTTATCTTCATGCCGATCAGGCATGGTTGCAAAAAAAGCTAACAATGTCTCCAAATAACCATAACCTTGTTGCGGAAGTGCATTGAAGTGCAAATGTCAAATTTACTCTTAGTGTGTAGAGCAAAAAATTTTTCAAGCGCACCTGACAGATGTTGTTAGGTGACTGATGTTGTCCAGATCTTCTGAGATAATCATCAAAACAAACTGAAGCTTTAAACCAAACATAGACAAACACAACATAATGTTAAAGGCTGTTTTGTTTTGTGCAGAAACACCAGTTTTATGAGAACTTCCAGCAGCTGCCTCCCTCTCAGTGGACAGAGCTGGCTGATCTGATTGCTCAGTGTATGGACTATCAGGCGGCTTTCAGACCCTCCTGTCGCAGCATTATTCGACAACTCAACAGCATGATCACCTCAGGTAAAGATGTGTATCATCATTTCGATCATCAACATCTTTTGATATTATGGAATAATTTCTTGCAACTGTGTTTTGAGAAACTTCATTGGAATTGAGGTTTTACGAGAAATGTACACAAGGAAGAATACAGACATATTATTGTGTATCTTCTATTATATTTTATTACATTATCAGGTTTGAGGTTTACTGGAATTGCTTTTTTTTCCATCTGGTATGTGCAAAATAACACAAAGAGTCAGATGACCCTCATTTGCACAGATTATTTCCAGTTATATTGAAACTTTTTTGTTTAAAAGTTTTTTTGTCAAAGGACACAGCAAAATCAGAAAACCATTAATATACTAATATATTTCTGTTTCATGGCAGACTACGTGATTCTTCATGCTGCTGAACCCGTCACACAGAACCCTGTGTGGAAAGCCCTCAGCTTAAATCAACATGACCAGACACTGTTTGAGGAAAGACACCTCCGCTACATCTCCAATCTGGGAAAAGTAAGCGTTAACTCAACACTTGTCACTTGACTGACAACACAAAATGAGCTGATCAGTGCACAAGTTTGGGGGTTAATAAGGGGGTTGGGGGGTTAAGTGATAGGATGCGTAGCTCATAAATAAAAGTGCTTCAGTTTTAGACAGAACCCTTATGGTTAAACAAAATCCCAGTTAATTGACTTTTTAATGAAATTATATGACAGTGATATGAAACTTGGGATATTTAGAGTACTCGAGTTTATCTCCTGCCCCTGAAAATCCATCAAAGACAATCATTTCTCACTCTCACTCTAAAACTCTGAAAAACTCCAGGGAAACTTTGGCAGTGTGGAGCTCTGCCGGTATGACCCGCTGGGTGATAACACAGGCGAGCTGGTTGCAGTGAAAAAGCTGCAGCCCAACAAGCAGTCGACCCTGGAGGACTTTAAGAAAGAGGTCAACACTCTGAGTGTGTTTCACTGCGACTACATCGTCAAATACAGAGGAGTCTGCTACAGCACGGGTAATTCAGTCAATCACTGCAAACACAATAGATCAAATATTCTATATCCATGCTCAGTGTTTACTCTTTGACTATTATTTTGGCATCTTCGTTTCAATGTTTAATGATAATTTCACTAAAGGTCGTCTCAGCATGAGTTTGGTGATGGAGTATCTGCCCTTTGGCAGCCTTATCCACTATCTGGACAGCAATCGACACAAAGTCAACACCAGGCGGATGCTTCTTTTTGCTTCTCAGATCTGTAAGGTAGGAGTTTGTTATATGAGCTAAAATACTGCAGAAGGTTGTTATTGAGATGTTTTTTTTAAATGCCCCCAAAACTCTATTAAAATACTTTGAAATTTCACACAAACAAGTACTTATGTAGGTTGAAAATATATGTGTATCATCATAAGGAAATGTTGATCTGAATTTGCAGCAGTCTCGCCCAGTAATGACCTCCAGGAATCCTCCAGAAACTATAAAGTCAGATTCTTTAGAAACTTGAGATCAAGTTTTTATTTCAGGAACTCATACTGGAGAATTACCTCTGCAAGTTACCATAAAAAACAACAACAAAAAAAGAAATCTGAGCGACCCTTTTCTGTCAGTCATGATAACCAGGTCAAATGAGACAGTCGAAGCCACAAAAAACACATGCTACAAACTGAATGGCCTTGAATGGCAATCTCAGCAGCAGCCTGTTTCTGTTTCGTTTCAGGGTGAAACAAAAAGGGGAAGGACCCAAGTGCAGAACCAAACATTATTTATTCAAAAATAACAAAACAAGAAGCAACAAAAACTTACTTCCAGAAATGTCCAACTAAAATTCCAAAAGGGCAAAAACCAAAAGGAGACACTGGCATTCACAATGAACAGACAAAGAAGCAGGGGAAGACAAGGACTATATATACACACACAGGGAAACGAGCAACGAGAGGCAGGTGAGACACTGAGACACAAGTGAGGACAATTACAGAGGAGGGAAAACTGAGGAAGTAACGCAAGACGAGAAACACAAGGAATAAACTACTACAAAATAAAACAGGAAACACTGAAAACATGAGTGAAACAGGGTCAGACACAAACTGAAAACTAACAAGACAGGACTACAAGGGAACAGAAACACACAAAATACAAAGAAAATAAACTCAAATCACAAAAGCAGGGAAAAACTAATCAAACAGTATATATCATGACAGTTTCTACTCCTATAATGAAGTCTGCTGCCCAGATTAAAACAAAGTTTAGGAGACAAATGTTAGCAGTTTAGTCTAATTTCTCCTGTAATAATGTTTTTTATTGTCTCAGGGGATGGAGTGCCTGCAGAGCCTGCGTTATGTACACCGAGACCTTGCTGCCAGAAATATCCTTGTGGCCAGTGAGTCTCTGGTGAAAATTGCAGATTTCGGGCTGTCCAAGATCATCCCTTTTGACAAAGAGTACTACCGAGTCAAACAGCCAGGAGAGAGCCCCATCTTCTGGTATTTTTCCTCATGTCTAAAAATGAATAAATAGATATTTGTTCAAAGTGTTCAAAGTCTAATTGTTCAAATCTGATGCAGGTACGCTCCAGAGGCCATCACTGAGTCAAAATTCTCCCACAAGTCAGACGTCTGGAGTTTTGGAGTCGTCCTTCATGAGATTTTCTCCTACTGCGATATGAACTCCAACCCAAAAAGAGTAAGATGGTTAATGAACAATAATCAATAACTTATAAACAAACCTGTTGAATCAAACTAACACAGGCTTCTCCCATTTTAGCTCTGTATGCAGGAGATTGGACACAATGTACAAAGTCCATCCATTTCAATGCATCTGGCAAATATTCTGAAGAACAACTGGAGGCTGCCCGCTCCACTGAACTGCCCCAACAAGGTAAACTCGGGTTTTATAGTTAAACCCTTTAATGCCTTTTGTGTTATATTTGATACATACTTTTATGAAAACTTCTATCAAATCGATATGATCAACAAATACTAAAAAAATTACAGTCCAATAAATGATAAAAATGTCCTCTTGTGGTTTATCAGTTTCCAAAAACATCTAATGTATCAAACAAGATAAATATATATATATTTGTTAAGTGAAGTAAACATTTCAGCTCCAAAAAAGTTAGAATTTTCTGGCCATAATTTGTGTTTTCAGGCATTTAAGTGTTAAACCCTAAAGTTCAGGAAATACACAAAGGCTTGTTTTGATGATGACTGAATAAAAGATCCTTTTCCTACAATTCTGAATTGACATCATGTATCAAAAACATAATATTGTCAAAATGTAAACAACCATTTTGTCATTTGAAATGCGAAATACGACCAGCTATATTGTACGTACTGTGTGAAGAGTAAAAGTGGAACTTGCTCTCCAAGTGGAGATTTCACATCATTTTGTGTTTCGTTGTGTTACACCAGGTGTACAGTCTGATGCAACACTGCTGGGCGTATGACTCAGAAGAGCGGCCGTGTTTCTCAAGCCTCGGGAACCAAATCGAAACCATGATGCAAGACGATAGAGAGAATCCCAAAGGCTGATGGAGCTCCTAATGGCTCCCATCAGCTGAACACACAGTGAACTTGAGAGCAGCAGCGTGAACTGACACAATTTAATCAGGTATCTAAACGAAGATCCTGCACACACTTGTATCATAACAGTGAAAATGTAAGTAATCACATCCTGATAATAGAGTTTCAGTTGCTTCAATCCAAAATGTCAAATGGTTTCTTATCTTATTCTGCTACAAGACTGATATTTACAAGTGAAGTGAGGATAAATATGATGTATATAATACAGAGGAAATATAAAAACGGACTGACTTCCAGTTCGATTACCTGTAATTTTTTTGCTTGTCATTTAAAGATTATTTCTTCACATCAAACGAATAAACTTGCACTTATATATCCTTTTAAACATCTCTTTATTTGTTATTTGTTGACTCTAAATCGCTGAAAAGATGTCTGAGAATTAACAAGAACTATAAACCATCATCCATTACTTTCAAATGAATGATACCTGAAGTCGAACAGGAGTGCTCATTGTGATGCACTGTTTGTTTAAGGGTTCATCTGGTATCGCAGGAATGTAGTTTTACCATATTCATTAAATGTAAGGAATATACTTAATGATAAACAAACTACCTGGCATGCATTGTCATTGACTTTTTGATCACTTATTTGGCAAAATCTGCTTTTAATCAAAACAAAAATGAAAAAAAAAAAGGTTTTTGGCAGTCGAAAGATTGAAAAGTAGCCTGGAATAAAAAAATAAATTAAAAAGTACCTCTACTACCACATCTAAATGGATCATTCCACGGCACTATTAACATGTGTGAAGTTAGATAAAACCGAGTATTATGCGCTGATTTGTTGTGCAGCCTGCAGAAGAAGTATCAAAAACAATGTTATGGGCTCAGGAATAAAAAAGTAGGACGCTTCAAATCCTCAAAAGCTCTCTTTACACCCTGTTGTTGCCAGATCACATTTTATAATGACACATTGTACCTCGTCCAAACGTTTTCTTTGCCAAAGAAACCAAAATTCACAACACAGCGCGTCACTATACAGAGCGTTCATTGTTCAGACGAGGCATGTCAAGGAAGCACGGCACTGAATCACCACAACTGTGTGGGCGTTTTACATCCTATCTGCAGAGTTCATGGATAGAGTATATTTAATGATGAAGACCAACTCTTGTTTCTGTGCTTCCAGTTTGGCCACATTACAATGGAGCTTAACTTGAGGGTGTCCAGCAGAGAGATTTATTGTCAAGAGAGCCTTTGTTTTTAATTTAATGCCTCAGTTCCAAACTAGACTGTTAAAAGATGAAATATTTCACCAGGGCATACTAACTACACTTTCTAATGTTTCTATTTCAAGTTTCTCTTTGCGTACTTGAAAATCTGAGACTCGAGTTATGAAACATTTTTTTCAAATGCAACAGTAAGTCAGCACCCAAATGCAAGCAGAGCAGCAGTTTTAGCGCATGAGACTGCAGACAGGACAAAGACACCTGTGACAGCAGCCAGGGCAAACTGGTCAGGTTTACTGTAGATGGTGTGATGAGGATTAAAGGACTGAAGCCAACTGTGTGAACGTTCAGCGATGGGACAGCTGTGATGGTAGGAGAAGAGGAACGTCTGAGGCCATCTGGTGGTCAAGGGTGTGTGGAGCAGACTGAATAGGGGGACAGTTTGATTTGTGTGGAGAGAAGAAAAGAAGAAAATGTGAAATCTACTTTGTGTTAATAAAAAAGAAGTTCCAGATCCAATTTACATCTGTAAACAATAATAATAACTCATCCACAATTGAACAAATTTTTTAATAAAACTCATAGAAAGTTTGTCGCGCAAAATGAAAATAACGCTAAACCTTGGATGTGACATTTCATGATGGGACTTAATCTTTCTTCAACAGACTCATTTACTTAAATATGTTTAAATACAGTACAGGCCAAAAGTTTGGACACACCTTCTCATTAAATGCATTTTCTTTATTCTCATTACTATTTAAATTGTAGATTCTCAGTGAAGGCATCAAAACTATGAATGAACACATGTGGAATCATGTGCTTAAGAAAAAAGTGTGAAATAACTGAAAACATGTTTTATATTTTATATTCCTCAAAGTAGCCACCCTTTGCTTTTTTGATAGCGCTGCAAACTTTTGCTGTTCTCTCAATGAACTTAATTAGGTAGTCACCTGAAATGGTTTTTACTTCACAGGTGTGCCTTGTCAGGGTTACTTCGTGACTGACAGGGTGGCTATTTTAAAGAAACTAGAATATAAAACATGTCTTCAGTTATTTCACACTTTTTTTTACAAGTACAAAATTCTACATGTGTTCATTCATAGTTTTATTGCCTTCAGTGATAATCTACAATGTAAATAGTCATATAAAAAAATAAAGAAAAGACATTGAATAAGAAGGTGTGTCCAAACTTTTGGCCTGTACTGTACGTCTAATACAATATGTGGTCCTTAATTTACAAGGTTGCTTTATTTTTGTCCACAAGATGGCGCTCTATAACCATGTTTCCTTTCAAGGCAACAATCACCCGATGAACAAACTAGATTGAACACTGAACAACCAGCGACAGTTATTGTCATATGTGACATGTTGAATTTTAGTCACATAAGTGCTTTTACTTCTTCAGTCTGTTGTTTTGTAATCACATTGTTGTGCATATATATTACGTATGAGTCATAAAGGTAAAAATTGGCATCAGAATTGGACTTTTCAACGGTTATTGTTGCAGAAACACATTCTGCATAAAAGAGACCAGAGAAATACTATGAAATACTTCTTCTTGTCTGAGCGTAATCTAAATAAAACATACTTTAATCATTATTTTTAGTCTTGTTAGTAATTTACTCACAGTTTTAAAACATGATTGCTCTAAATTTAAGAGATTGAACATTAAACCAGGTAAAAGTGACAGTAAGTCATCACATGGAAGCAACATGAGGTTTTTTATCTTGTAACCTCTACCCCACAGCAAACTGCCCTTTATGGTTCTCTATCTGCTGTTTAGTTTTACACAGGTTAGCAGCTTCAAGGCGACAGGACCCTACAGTCTCTACCTGTGCCGCTCACTCCTTTTCTTTCATTTGAGTTCACTTGCAGAAACTAACTTATCGGTGTTGGAATGCATTCAGCTGTGCATGATGGTGTCACACACATGCGCAAACACACACAGACATACATGTAGACATGGATAACTGGATCACATAGCTCTGTATATATAGGGACTGATGATGTCTTTGTTGACCTCGGGGGAATGTGCGTTTGATTGTGCTCAGACAGCTGAAGGTAATTTTAGAGGCAAAAAAAAAACAACATCACACCCATCGAGGTTTTCCAAAGGGTATAAGGACCTAAATAAATGAATTGGAAGATAATTTGGAGACATTTTAGTCCAACAAAACATCCCTTTTTTTATTTGCAGTGCAGGATTTCATTTCAAAGCCATCTTTATAAAAATAAGAGTATAAAACTTCATTTTAGCAGCACATTTTTAACAGAGTTGGATATTTCGACAGGACGTCCTAAAGCATACGACCTCTGCCTGAATATGACTGCAGTTTTCAAAATGTGTGCACTTTACTCCTTTCACAACTTTTTCCCAGTGAAGCACATATAAGAACCAAAAAATCATTACCCCCCCGAACATTTTGAACATAAATAAACAGAAAAAAACACTTAGATAAAAAAAAGTTTACATACATTAATCAAAAAGGTGAGTTACCTCACTGTCCTAAGAAACCCTGAGAAAAAAAGTAACGCCTCTTCATTAACAACTACACAAACAGTGTGCACCTGTTAACCAGTTTGCCTATGTGCAGTATAAATATTTGTATTGGAAAAAATCACTAAAAGTGTGGCGTAACACAAGTAGGAAATTTCCCACCATTGGAGCAATTATGTGCTATGGACATGATTAAGTTTGTTGTCAGACTGATTAACAGATCAACACCCAGCCTTCCTGAAAGTGGGATCAGCAAAGGAAAAGCATTACAAGAAAAAGTGACACTCCCAGATAAACAAAGGCGAGGTCCAAACATAGATCTGACAGGCTGGACTGTTTGTCTGCATAAAACAAACTTGAGGCCGTTTGTCAGACAGTAAAAACACACAGTTGACACTCTTAGTACAGTTGTGGTTCAGTTCATGCCATGGGTGTGTCAAGTGCTTGCTGTTTCATTAACTGAGTGTGAAATGAATGAAAAGAAAAGAGTGGCATTTGGGGATCCAACCGATGATTTTCCGGTTCATATAAAATCAAAGTTTAAAAACACACAGCTATCACTGTAAAGCATACAGAGATACACTTACAAATGCAAAGGCAAATCCTGTTTGTCTGGGAGCACAGATGAATCCAAAGAGACAGAGAGACATATTATGAGAGACAACAGACAATTAAATTTCCCTTAGGGGATTAATAAAGTTCTTATTCTTATTCCTAAAATTGAACAATATTTTGAAGGAAACTTTGCTACCCTGTTTCTTCTTTCGACAAACGTCAACAGATTTATATAAGGACAAAATATGTCTCTTTATTCCCTTCTTTATCGCCCAGTTGTGTCCAGCATAAAATGACGAAAACAGATGATTCATTGAAGCGTACAAACGTGAATTTAAAATCTGTCCTCATGATAGATTGGAGGTCACACCTGCATGTATTACGTCTCGAGTCCACAAAGTCATAGTTTTGTGGTTCTAAATCCTTTTCTTGGGGGGATCACAATTCAGATTGGGGTCGTGTACTCTGTGCCACATGAGGTACATGTGAGCCGAAAGGAATCGATGTACCAGTAAAATCTCTTTGTAATAGCAGGGATCATATCCATCTAGTTTGCTGGAGGGGATGTGGAGTCCTGCTGTCCTCACACCAATATGGGAAGAAGGTCCAAGTCCCGCTTTGGCCAAACACATCCCCATGTAAACATCGTCAATGGGGAGAAGAGTAATGGACTGTGACATTTTGTATATGATCAAAGCTGTAGCGCCAGACATCAAGAAGCCTCCACCACCACAGTAGGGCGGATATGATTCTGACTCATGTACCTGCACTGGGATATAATATTTGCTCTGTGTCGATCTAATGGGTCCCACGTTCTGGATCAGATGACCAGTAAAGAGGTGTTTGCTTCCATCGTTGTCCTCAAGGCCTTGGAGATACTCTACCATATTGTCTGTGTTGGCGAAAACATCATCATCGCCATTGAGCAGAAAACGAGCATTTGGACAGTTTCTTTCCATCCACTCCAGGAAAAGTATCTGCTTCAAGGTCAGGTTGTAGAACGTGTCACTGAATTCCCACTGGAGTATATCATTGTGCTCTGCATGCTCCAGCTGCAGCAGCTTGTTCAGTCTCTCTTTCTCAAAGCCAGAGTCTGTGGTACCTGAGATGAAGATTCTTTGGATCCCTGCGCCGTTGTGTACCCTCTCTTTGGCCCAGGTTTTACGCAGTACCTCCCTACGATCATAGTTTCCGGGAGAGCTTTTAATGACCAGCAGAAGGAAAATATCTGCTGATTTGTCAGCTCCTCCACATTTGTCAGGGAGGTCCAGTATCATAGGGAAGTGACGACAGTGTTTATAGAACAGAAAGTCTTTGATGCTGCTAGGAAGAGAGCGGAAGCCTGTGACGTTGGCAGCAGACTCATTTCGCTGACATTGTGCCCAGTTGTACACATAGGAGTTCTTTGAGATGGGATGCTTCTGTTGAGGCTCAGTTTGTCTCACCACAACATTGGGGTGGACGATTTTGAGTTCAATAAAATCTTTGCAGAGATGGAGGGCTAAAAGACCAAGAGCTCCTGCCACCAAGAAAGTCCTTGTTCTGTGTCTCATACTTGAAAATCTGCAGTGATAAAAGAAAAACATCCAACATTAAAAAACAATATAATGCTACAAAAAAGTAGGGGAGACCGGGGCTTGTTGTCACAGTTTTTACACTCATATATTCCTTGGAATCAATACATCATATATGAACAAAATGTGAACCAGATGAAAGACCAAAGTCTCAGGGATATATTTCATATTCATGTCATTTTCATGTCTTGTGTCAGTGCAGAGTTATAAGCAATTATATAGAGTGTGAACATGTGACATGTTGCCCCACCATCGGGGAAGTTGTCTCACTACATGGGGTAAGATGTCACAGTGGATTTTGCAGCTAATAAAACAAGGACAAAATTATTGTTGAACATCAAAGTCAGGCACAGAAAATGTTTATCATTGAGAAAGAAAAAGTCATTGAACAAACATTAACATAAAATCTTATGCAACATGCTCTGGAGTTTGGAGAGCTGTCTGACTCTGTATTTGGGCTGGGGTGAATGTTTTGCAGTACTGAGCAAAGGTTTGGTAGTTGACATTAAAGTCCTTTATTGTCCTCCAGATTGATTTATTAACTAGGATCACATGCCTGACTGTCCTCAAGATCACATCAGGTACTGCACTGCCATGCTCCGTCTTTCTTTCATAATTCCTGACCATGTCTTCTCTTCTCCTTTAAACCACTCTTTTCTCTGTAAAAGTAAAGTCAAAGTTTCAATATGACAACTGCTGATCAGCAGACTCTCTATGTTAATTTTAATCCCTTTTAAACATGTGACAACTAACCCCAAAATGGCTGAGACATGTTGCCCCAAACTACCGTGTTTACTTATTCTAGCTCTAGCTTACAGTTATCTTAAAACTGAACGATGACTGAGGTATGACAGGATGCCTTAATCTCTCCTCTAACAAGTCCACATGTATCACTGCTAGGATTTTTATCTGGAAGAATCTTATTTTAAAATATATAAACTTAACATTCTTTACTTTGGGTAGAGCAAAATGGTTTATTGTCGCTCATCTCAGCTCACAATGTGCTCTCCTCTTCTCAGACAGGACACGACGCCTGACCATGTAAAGGAAGAAAACTAGTATTCCACTTTCTAGTTGCGCCCCCTGGTGGCAAAGATAATTGCAATGTGACAACTTCCCCATGTGACAACAAGCCCCGGTCTCCCCTACATCTGATGCTACTTTTAACCAAAATGACAAATCTGACGAACAGTCAAAAACTTCGACATGAACTGAGACTCAGTGAGGTCAACCACTGGTTTCTGATGAGGCTATATGAAACCAACAATGACAGTCATCATAATGGAAAGTCCATCTCAATCTGACTTTTGATCAAGTCCACCGAACACTTCTGTTTCACCGAGACACGGCGATGATAGATTGTTTAAAACATCGATCTGCAGATCACATGTGGTCCAAACCGAGGGGAGTGATCCATCCAGCATACACCACCACCCTTGGGCAAGACAGTCCACAACTTTGGTCAGAAAATCATATGGGCACACCCCTGGACTTGGCAACTAATTTCCCAGATCTGTTTGGTGTCGGCGGGGGGAGATAATTCACCCCGTCTATGTCAGGAATCTCCCAACACTTGCCGCTGTATCAAATAACAAACTCCACAGTTAACTTTAGAAAGCAGCGCCAGCCTTTACAGTGACAGTAAAGCCAGCGCATATAGAGCACATTAAGCAGCACAATTGTTGGGGGGACACCGAATTAAGCGGGCCTCTCTGATGCTTCAAAGAGAATCGCAGTAGATGGGGTGGAGATTTTCCAGTGCCTTAAACATCAGGGAGTTTTTCAAGACTAATGAGTGTCAGAAAATGATGCCAATAAAGAGAAGCTTTCCCTCGTCGGGCCTCAGCGCTCTGAACAACAAGCAGACGTCAACAAGTGTGAGCAGACATGAGGTGGCTTGGCATCTGCCTGCAGAAGCCTCACATGTGCTCATTCACAGGGTGTTCGGTGGCAAGAAATCTAACGCAGTCCTGTCTCCTCTAACTGGGTGGAATATGTGACACGGATGATGTCAGGCATGAAGTCACTAGAATCAACTGTGCATACTAAATGTAAGAAGAAAGGCAAGCTCTACAGTGAACATTACAGTGACGATTACAGTAAAAGAAACATAACCGCCCACTGGCTGAGAGGCAGCCAGTTTCTCAGTGTGAGGAAATCAAGCAGATGGTCTGATCCCGCAGACTGAGTCCATGAAACTTATGAGCAGGCTGGGAGTGCTGGAGTGGGTTTGTTTATTGTTCATAAATACCATTGTACCTCCATGAGTGGGTATTTTTTTTTGGTTAATCATTAACTGAATATATGAAATCTTTAAAGCCAGACTTTACACACAGCGGGTGATTTAAAACACGTTAACTTTTGACATTAATCAAATCGCAGTAAGCTATCAACATAGACAGCAATAATTTGTATGCCTTTAATAAAATAAAAGGAGATTTCTATTGTGTAATTTGAGGTTGTAACAGGCTGAACCCCAGAAACAGAAAAACTTATCTTTAAATAAAAATACATTTTAGTACTCCATGACGGAACTGTATTACAATAACACAAGATTGTCTCACTAAAGAAACATTTCACCTCATCTCACATCTTAAACGTTCATTACAGCACGACTCACTGATCTTCTTTTCACAAACCAGTAAACATGTGCCGTAAATTTTTGTTGCTTCTTTCTATTTTTCTTTGCTTCCTTTTTCATAGAGAATTTCACACCCGCTCTTAATAATATCCTCCTTAAAACGGGAACTTCTGAAATTAATGACCAAACTGTGTAAGAAAAAAGAAACACATCCGCCTTTAACAGTGCAACCAGCTTGGCGTATGACATTAAGACATACGGCATTAAGTTACAGTACATGAGTCACAGGGAAATAGCAGAAATAGGACTCCTACTTGTAATACTTTATTGTCATCATATTTATCAAATTTTTCCCCTGACAAAGTTTTGATTTCAAATCTTCTCATATATAGACATTATTTTAAAACCACTTCCTAGGCAAATATTTAACAAAACTTATGACAAACGATTACGCCCTTTTTAATGATGTTAGAATAACGCATAGTAATAAATGAAAACGAGCATCTCAAATGAAGCAAAAAAGGAGATTTTTTAAAATAAGAGTAGTGAAATTGGTCTATTAAAGAGTCTTGATGAAGAAAACATAATTTGAGAAATGATCCCACACTAACATTAAGGTCAAAGTTCAAAGATTTTTTTAAAGGTTTAGACTATTTCTTACCCTGACACAGCCACTCACTCACATGACACCTCTCTTTTCTGCGGATGAGGACGATGAGGGAAACACTTTGTTGAATTTAACACAACACCAGGTGGGAACTAAACACACACTGGTCGAGATATTGCCTAACACTTAATTGTCATTGATCAGGGAGTTGCTGTGTATGTATAGTCACAGGTTGCCTAACAACAGTGACATGCAGCTCTGTGCTGGCGTACTCTGGGGATTAATTTATACACTCGCGACATTTTAATTCAACTCCTATAAATGAACAACTGTGGTCTATGGTCGAACACGACAGAGCTGAAAATTCAAAGAAATAGATGTTTTAAACGGGGGGAAAAACTGCATATTTTCCCTCCTTTTTTATTTTAATTTTTCTTTCTTGATATTTATGTTTCATGTTTCCACTAGAAAGTACCCAGCCTCGGTAAATCCGAAATCTAGCTCCGACAACTCCAAACGGAAATTCACTCCAGCGTTTCCAAATCCGGAAAAAAGGGGGGGATTCCGCTTGGATAAACATGTAAGCGCGAAACAAACTTTGAAGAACACGCGCAAAGTCGTCTACTTACAGTCTGAAGCAGATTCCTCCTGTCATCTGATTCTGCAGCGATAAAGATGAATATTAAGTCCAGTGGACATCAGCAGCAGCTGCATGACTCCGCGCGGTGGTCTGCTGCTGTCCAGGCTGCTGCTGCTGCTGTATGCTGGGCGGTGCCTTATTCAGAGGAGGACCATTTACTCCACTCTATTGGCCTGACCCAACACCATCTGATATCTGTAGACTTTGACTTTGTGCTGATGAGGCGTATTTATTCCTTCTCAGCACATAAAATAAGGATGAATTAAATCAGCCCATCAATCTGATCTAACATGAGATTTCCATTTGTTACTTCAAGCTGCTGTAAGGAGTTTAAATAAGCTTAAATTCATCCTGGTGCATTTGTATAATAATAATGCCTGAATCCAGTAGGGGAGAGCGGGGTAAGATGAGCCATTTTTCATATTTCAGATCACTACATCAAGTCAATCATAGTTTTGTCTCTAACTAGTGAATCTGCATATATTTCAAGATGTTGTGCATCCTTGCAAACCAACAGAATGAGTGTAAACGTAACTGTCTTGTTAATATAGCATGACAAAAAAGTAGTCTCCTATGGTCAACTTACCCCGTGTATGGCGTAAGTCTCCACCCCAGCCCTCCCTCACCTTCTCTCTCTAAATAACAGTCACTTTTTCACATCCATGCGTATTTTTAATCTATTCAACTGGTACGATAATTCTTATTATTGTATATAACTGCTGAAAAGCTGTTTTGTAAAAAGCCATTTTAACATGCAAATGTCTTTAAGTGATTCAGAACATTCACAGCTGCATTTCTGAAGAGAAAGTAACATATTTCAACAACCTGAACTGAAACTCTGATCCTCTCATCAGACTCTCGCCACTGCCTCAACTTACCCCAGAACTACTATTATGACTTTGTAAGCTAAAATGGTGGACTTTTATTCTAGGTTTTTGACCTCATGTTGTCGCTCATAGATACCACAATTGATGTATAAAAAAAATTTAAAATGATCTTTTTTGGTCTGAACACAATTCTAATAAAACTTATGACAGACTAAATTCACTTTTAAGGGTGAAAATTTTTTTTTGTAAATAAATGTCTGTGTGCTTCTAACCTTCACAGACTCCATGAATTGATGCCCATCTCCTAAATATTTGGTCACATGATCAAATTCTTTTACCATTTCCAAGAAACAGGGGGTGGCTCAACTTACCCCACTCTCCCCTACAGCGCAAGTGTCTTAGTCTTGAATTTTTTGTTGTTTTTGTTTTAAAGGGTTAGTGTCACAGATCTGGGTAAAACAAAAAGGAGAAGGACCCCAAGTGCAGAACCAAAATGATTTATTTCAAAATGTACTAAATAAAAAGTAACAAAAACTTACTGTCAATGTCCAACAGAAAAAATCCCCAAGGCAAAAAACACAAGAGGCAAAATCCAACATCCAACAAAAGGAAAAAATCACAAGGAGCCACTGGCATACAGACACGCAGACTTGCAACCTACTGCACACTCACAATAAACTAACAAAGAAACGGGAGGACAAGGACTATATATACACACAAGGAAACGAGCATGGAGAGGCAGGTGAGACAAAGACACAGGTGAGGACAATTACAGAGGAGGGAAAACTGAGAAAGTAAAACAACACAAGGAATAAACTACTTCAAAATAAAACAGGAAACACTGAGAACATGAAGGAAACAGGGTCAGACACAAACTGAAAACGCACAAGACCACAGGGGAACAGGAACACTTGGGAAAATACACTCAAATCACAGGGAAACACTCAATAAACAGAACATAACGTGACAGTTAGTTTTTTATATCTGTTGCCCTGTATTGGCCGTATCTTTTCAAATCCTTAACATCTCTTCATACCCCTGTTTGGAGGTTATGTATTTTGACAATGACATTTTCAATTGCTTATTTTGTGTAGTGACAAAGTGAACATGCTGTACAGAACTTACAGCAGCATAACCACAAAGAGGAAAAGTATCACTGAAGTTGAGGAACACGTGTGGGTTGCAGAGAAGTTCGTGTTTTACTGATGGTATGATACTCATGAACAAATGATCGATATCACCATCGGCTGTAAATGTTAGGTATATGTTTTAACTCAGCCTTTTGTTACTGTTACTAATTAAACTGGCATATAACCACCTGACCAAAGCATAGTTTGACCAGCACAGGCATGAAGATGGAAACCTGCAAGAAGGACTGAAGGGGAACTGATATTTGTTGTGTTATCACACCTCGGTTTGAGCTTAGTTCCTGCTAATTCGCACGCTGCTGTATGTGGGTTTAGCAACTGAAAATTTAAGTGTTAAAACACAAGTGCCAAGAGACTGAGAAGTGCAGAGTGCACACACTAGGACTTTTCTTACATGAGTCACAGATGCAGACTGTGGTCAGAGTAGATGTGTGGATGTCTTGGGTCCAGTTTTTTGGCTGTTGGCATCTTTTTTTTTTAAGCAGAGCCAGAAATGACCATTCCTGGCAGGGTGGATGAACTGCCTTGCCGCACCTTCTCTCTCATTAACTTTTATGTCATGAGATCCCACCCTAGAGCAGTCCTGACCTCATCTTACCTCATTTTTCTCCAAACGGATCTGTTGTTGACAAAATGAAGATAGTTAACGTTTAACAAGAGACAAGGACTATGAACTCAAGTAAGTAAACAGCATTTTTTTTTTCTCCAAGACCTCTCAAGGATCAGAAGAGGTTTCTTCCTGCTGCCCAGATACAAAAATACAAAAATACAAGATAACTACTCTGTCTTTTATTGGACTTTCAGACCCTCGGACCTCGTGACGACTTCATATAGACAACCTATTTGTCACCTCACTGAAGATGCCAAATTGTGCTGTTCCTTGTCTGGTTTATTATTTCTTTTCATTGTGTTGCATTTTTTTGTATTTTTTTGATTTTGTAAAAATCAGAGACGTTTGGAGCTGTTTAAGAACATGAAGATAGTTTGTGTCAACTTTGGCGCCCCCTGTGGACAAAAGGGATCTGTGTATCTTGTCCTCTACATGCTTTAATAGTGTGTTTTGACAAAGAAAATCTCATCCTCTTGACTTTTGATGGTCAAATGTGTGATTTATTGTGAATATTGCAAATAGAAATTGTAAAAACAGGACTGTTTCTTCAGCTGCTCGACTGACACCTACACCCTCACACCAGCTTCAAGCATTAAAATGATGATATTTGATTTGTGTGTCTTGTACCTGATGGTCTTGTCATGAAAAAGGCATCACGATAAATGTCAATGTATTTCCTTGACATAAAAAAAACTCTTCATAGGAGCTTTCACTTTATTTTCTAGATATTATTTCAAATCCCAAAAGAATTGCATAAAGCTTTATGTCGTACCTGAAAGTAAATCCCCCCCTACGGTTGTCGGGGTTTTTATTTCTCTACAAACTTTTACCTGTAAAATAATAACATAAAAGAGCTTCTTCCATCTTTTATTTTCTTGAAAGATAAATTTTGGAGCGTAAAACTCGAGTTATGCAGAATAATGATGGTTGATATAAATCTCATCATGCAGGAAAATATTCTTTGCTGTTCGGTGTAATTGATGGTTTAGTGATAAGATGTTGATTGTATGAATTTTAACTATTAGTTGCTTTCATATTTCTGTTTATGGGGCTTTATCTGCTCAACATAAGACATGGTTAGGTTCTTCATTTCGATATGCACTTCAGGTAACTGTACGAGTCATCTCGAAGCCAAAGTTAGAAGTAACTGAACATATGGCTGACCACATGTTTATGAATAATATAGGATAGTCTCAAGTTTACCGTCTCTTCTTGGGTAGAAAATGTCAAGACAGTCTTTTCCATGTAAGGACTTTCTGATTGAGCTTTGACTGTATAAAAGAGAGCCGTTAACTTATTAGGGGCTGAGCTCCCCAAGTCTGATCCCTCCTCCAATTGACATTTAAGTTTTGGTTTTATTATCTTTGAAGTGACAGAACAGAAAGATAAGAGGTGTCAGATCTCAGGAAACTGGTCTCAAGTTTCCGGAGCAGGGGTGTCTGATCACATCATGACGACAAACTGTGTCAGTACAAAATGTGAAATGTGAGGGGTTCGTTTATCTTTGAGGTTTTGAGAACATAGAGTAGACTACGATGCAAATGGGGAAAGTTAGAAATCAAGAATGACTATAAACTCAACCCCAAACATGTTTGATAAACTCAGTAAGGGGGAAGAAAAGTGGAATTTCTCTTTTCTAACTTAATGATTTTCACTGCTGACTTTAGTCAAGCACTTATCATAGATCCTCATATTTGGTTTAATCAACCAACTGAAAGAAATGTATATATTTACGAGGCATTCACAGAGTTTCTAACATTTTTATTCATCAACAGGCACTCTCAATTACAATTCAGAAGTTTAGGTCCAAGTCCACTCCAGCGATACAAGGATGAAGTGCAACATGATTGTATGTGTCGAAGATGAAGCCCTATCCCTGAGACTCATTAAGAAGTTCCTCGAATATAAAAGTGCATTTATAGAGGCATAGAATCATCATGTTTTATCCTGTTGATCTGGTTTCTGTAAATGTTACTGCAGTGAATGAAGGAGTGATGGGGGGACATCTGTGCAAAAACACAAGCCACTTCCTCTTCCTGACCTTTTTTCTTTCCCCACATCCTGTTTGAATTAGTCACAGTCTGTTCCCTGTACCTTACACATTATCATAAAGCAAAACGTCTCAGTTATAAATTAAACAAATTTCATCTTGACACCAAAACTTGATGTTTCAGGATTCACTGGGTGGACACTCTGCAGGACTTTCTTCTTCCTCATGAGGATGAAAACACATGTCCATTTTACGTCGAAGGCGCTTCTTCAGGTGAAACCTCCGCTGCACTAAGATGGTGTTGTACTCCTGCGCTTTGAGCTTGGAATAATAATCAGAAAACTTGTTGAAGAGGAAAGAGATTGGCATGCCGTTGAGGATGATACCAAAGGAGATACAACCGAAGGCTACAAAACGGCCCAGAACGGTTACAGGAACGACATCCCCGTAGCCCACAGAGGAGATGCTGACCTGAGAGGGAAAAGTCAAAATTAGTCAGTTTTTATTAACATTTAAAAAAGGAGTTACAGCCAATACAAGGCTTTGACCTACAAGCATCTCCTGCATCAGCATTTTGAGGCTGAAATGAATTGAATTGACTTGAATAGAAGAATTATGAAAAGTTCTCTATGGCAAGTGAATCTAACTTCACTTTAAGATCGTCTGAGCGTCTGAATTCAAATATGTCCAAACTCCACAACTTTAAGCAGATTTTCATAGCGAACAGATGCACCAGATGAAGGTTTGTCTGGTGTTCACAACATGCCCACACACAGCATGTATGGAGGAGGATGCAGCTGCAAGTTTCATTTATGTTTTTAGTAGAAGTCTTGTGTTGTTTCTGTTCTCATTGCTCAATTCACAGCCGTTGCAAACTCAGAACTTGATTGCACAATCAAGCAAGTTCATATTTATCTAGCATGTGTCAGCGGAAAGGGGATATTTATCTGCAGTGAAGCAACTTGTTACGATTTAGAAACATGACTACATTTACACGCTCCTTATGTAATCTTCTTTCAGTGACAACAACTATTGGGATAAGAAACCTTCCAAATATCGGTATCAAAATATAAATTTCCGTCTGAACAGGTGTAAAGTCCTGTTTGCACACAAAAAAATAGAAAATTAAAAAAATAATAATAAAACGTCTACAGATGCAGATGGTGGTGCATAATTTTCTCTATAACAGGGACTTTTCCTGCATGGTAAAAATGCATGGATCATAACTGTAACATCCACAGGTTTCTGGTATGAAACTGAAGACAAAAGCCTAGATACATGAAAAAATGTTTCATAGATTAATAATCATTATGGGTTTTTTAGGGGTTTTGTAATAAATTTCATTTTCGTCTTGTGTAAATCAGTGTTTATGTAATCTTGGCATTAGATCATTATATCCTGGAGAAGAGATGAATAGGGAACTATTCTTTTCTCACATCTAACTCTAACTCTTCTTTTTGCATGACTCACTGTGTCACAAACACCCTGGAACTTTCAGTGGAGAGTATAATGCGTGGGAGGGCGGCCAAGTCTTCCTTTAAAGCCTACATCCCATCGTGCAGGCTGCCAAGTAAGATGGAATTAGCCACAAGTACAGCAACAAGGCCATTAGGCCTGTCTCTCAGCCGTCAGTGATCTCATATCCACAAACCCAGCCTAAAACTTAACTACCAACTGAACAGAAGAGCAAAGGGTCTCAGGTTGTTTGCTGCCTGCAGGTTTGAATTTGGTGAAATGAGCTCCAGACTGGCTACCCACTCACTACCACTGTCAGTTTCATTTGATAGGCACACAACCACATCCTCAATGTGAGAAAGAAGTGTAAAACGCTTCATCACTCAGGGGTGTAAGTGCCATTTAAAGCCAAAGGAGTTTTTGTACATCAATTAAATAGACTGGAATTCATATTGATGCATTTTGATAGGGCATTAAAGCATCAAAACAGATGATTTTGATTTTTTAATGCCTGAAACTGGTGTGAGGCGGTAGGTTTCAGTGGGGCAATGCCAAAATAATAGCTTTTTGTTTCCTTCTCCTGTCTTAAGGAGACAGGCAGTAATTTGTTATGTGTTTGACAAGAGTTTTATGGATACAAGCAGGTAATGGCTACCTTTTTTTCTTAAGAAGCTCATTAACAAAAAACGTAGATAAACACACAGCCTGGCCAGGGCTTATGCTGCGTTCGAGTTACCTTGGAAGTCAGATGTCGGAGCTGAAAATGACGTCACATCCGAGTTACCAAGTCGTTAAAAAGCAAAATCGGAGGCCTGAAACAAGATGGCTACATCTACGAAAGTTATTTTAGCGCTTGCCTTATATTCGGACAAGGCACGAGCTAAAATAACTTCCATAGATGTAGCCATATTGTTTCCATCTCTGATTTTGCTTTTTAACAACTTTGTAAATGAAACGCCGGTAACTCAGATGTGACGTCATTTTCAGCTCTGACTTCTGACTTCCGAGGTAAATCGAACGCATCATTAGATTCTGAAACCTACATTTTGTTGGACTGACGCAGAAAATCAGTGCGGCGGCAGTCAAGTTGAGTAAGTAGAGCAGCACTCTACGCACAGAGGCTACGGTTCTAATAATCTGGACATAAGACCAACCTAATCTCTCAAAATGTCTTGCCTTCAAACTCGACCCCTGAGTACACAAACATGGTGGACTTAAGGAGCTAAAGGTGAGTTACATTTACTCAGCAGGTAGATCATTTCAGAGCTGGAGATGATGTCACATTCATGTTACAAGTCCTAAAATTTTGCTATTAACTCCAGAGTTTGTCAGCGTCATTAGTTAAAACCAGACAATAACAACACCCAACATGAAAGTTAACACATGAGAGCAACATAACATCATGCCTACAGTTTGAACTTGCACGGTACTCACAGTTGAATTGATTTCACTACACAGAACAAGACTGAATTGCTTTCAAACACTCAACTGACTTTTCTAACTTTAAGTGAAACTCTGTTAGCTTAAATGTGGCGTCATTCCCAGCTTTGACGTCATACCTCCACAGTAAATGGGACGCACCATTACCTCCAGGGGTTTTGGGTTGGAATTCTTGCTTTGGTGGGAGTTCTGAGTGGTGGCTTTCTGGTACATTGAATGTGGCTCCAATTTTTGATCAGACCCTTGTCAGTTTAACACAGTATTAAACTGTTCCAACGCTCACCAAATCTTGCAGGATAGTCTTAAGAACCGTCATAATAGAGTCTATGCTGAAGGGGATATCTCATTGTATGTACCTGGGTAAGAGACTAAACCAGATTTCCTTATTTTCCAGAATTTAAACTCCTCTATTTAAAACCACACTCAACTCAAGGAACAATAGGAACCAATGCAACAAATTATAGTGTATAGTGTTTCTTTTAATATAACTGACCTACTGATCCAACAATAGGGAACTTTCTCCAAAGAGGCTCAGTGGCAGGTACTTGCCGATTATCTACGCATGTGCCAAACGGTAGTATTGGTTACTATTTTAAATCTTTTCCTAATGCTGTATATAAGAGTAATTAAGAGAAAGTTAGCAGCAAAGTGAAGGGCAAAAATCTTACGTGAAACTTTGAATCAACTTCTGATACTTACTGCAGCCCACCACCAGGCATGTGGGATACTGCTGATAGGAGTTCCCTCAGTGTCTCTCTCAGCTGAATGAAGGAGAGCAGAGAAAGTAAAGATCCCCATGGCAATAAAAAGAAGAATACAAGAGGCCTGCTGGTAACACTGCCGCAGGGTGAAACCAAACGCTCTCATGCCTGTGGAGTGCCGAGCAAGCTTCAAAATCCTGAAGATCCTCATTAGTTTGATGACTTTGAGGACTTGGCTGAGTTTGCTGACACGAGCCATGGTTCTGAGGTCTTCTTGTGCGCTCATGTTTTCCTGATCAGAAAAGGCTTCAAAGACAATCTGGAAAAAATAAGGCATGACAGCCACCATGTCCACGAAATTGAGTCCACTCTTTAAGAAGATTTCAATGTCCGGGGTGGTGAAGAAACGAACTACATATTCAAAGGTGAAGAACACAATGGTGAAGATCTCCACCCACTCCATGTGCGTTTTTCCTTTGTATTTATACACGTGTAGTTCCTCCACAGTGTTGAGAGTCATTGCGAGGATGGAAAACAGCACGAGCATATTGGAAACAACGGTGAAAGCCTTGGCTGCAGTTGAAGAGTAAGGATTTTCCACGAGGTTCCACAGAGTTTTCCTCACCTCCCCAAAGACCATTTCATTGAAACGATCATTGTCGTATTTCACCTCAATCTCAGCCATTAGCTCCCTGTCCACCTTGAGATTCTCTTTCACATCCTCGACCTTTTCCTGGAACACCATCCAGCAGCAGAGTTGCGTGTCCTTGAGATTCAGGCCCCAGTACGCAATCTCCTCCTCGAAGTTGATGGGACACATTTCCCGTATCACCCACAGAACTCCACTTGTGTAGAAGTGACAGACATGGTGGAAGAAAGCCGGATCCCTATCGAAGAAGAACTCATTTTTGCGTACGGAGTAGTCATCACACAGCGTTAGTAGTTTTGCCCGGTCACTGCACAGGGCCAGCGAACCTATCCTGGTCTGAGGATACTTGGCAGCACTTTTTTTGGGGATGTGGAACACCTTCCCTCCGACATTGACAATAATGACCTGTTGCCGTTCGGGTCTGTCCTCTGCTTTGGGGGTCTCTGGTTTGATGCCTGGACTGTCAAGATTCTCCAGAGATGTCCATGCTTTGACAGCCTTTTCTTGAGAAAATGGGAAGGTTTTTATGTCCTCTACACCCTTTGGCAGACAGTTGATGGTCGAACGTCGATTTTTCAAACATTTCTGCAGATGAACATTCAATGATGCCATAACAGCTGTGGTCCAAGGCAGGATATCAGTAAAGCATAAGAAAAAGGGGGTGAAATCATAACAGGAAAGCCTCCAGGAAAAGGTTTCTAGCAGATCCCGGTTTCTTGCTGAATCATCAGAAAGACTGTGTTTGGTCCGACAGGAACTGGCATCCCAGTCAGCGACAGCGCTTCCTGTTTTTCTTGCTCATCTGTGGCTGAGATAGAAGTACATGAATCTGAAACAGGGAGAGATTTTCCTTGTTACTGTGTTGACAACACACAGGCGTTTGATCCAGTGGAATAGTGAGACTAGATCAAGGACAAGGGACAAGGATGTCATCCATTTAATCTCATTGGGATCTTTCCAAGTTTCCTTAAGTAGTTGTAAATATAGGGGAAGGCGGGATTAGGAAACAAAGTTGATTTAAGGATTTTAAAGTGATGAGACAAAGGTCCAGTTTAGGCCTGGGTTGATTTCTCTGCATTTTATCATTGATTTTTTTACCAAAACAGATGTCATTCAATAGGACGTTTACACTGTTGACAACTTTGACAGTATTACCAAAAATAAAATGTTTGGCACCAGCAATGTAGGTTTTCCACTGCTCACTTTAGCTTGACACTGACTCTCAAACAGGGGTTTATGTTTGAGTACAATTCTGTAGACTGTAAACATCCACACTTCAGGTTCAAGCACGGGCCTCTTTTTAATTTGACATTGTTTGATTAATGCCCACAGTTGCTCATGCTGGGGTCAGACAAAGGCATGATGTTGCATGTGGAATTATGTCGTTTTGGGGCTGAAAGAGAGGTTGGCTTGTTAAAACCATTGACTGTATGTAGTAATGACAATGTGGCTCCGCCTCCTGTCATTGTACGAAATTGAAGCCAATTTGCTCTCAGAATTTCTGAGATTTTCTCTGTTTCCTGGAACCAGCATTTGCGCAGTAGCATTCGGCAAGAGAGTCGCTGTGGTGACGCTCGGCTCAAACAGCGTACCTCCTGGATGAGCTACACAATCTTAGTACGCCCATAGGCTGTATCAAGTGTCAATCATAGAAAAAAATGAACCCTTAATAACTTTTAAAAAAGGAGCTGCACAGAAAAAAAGAGGACTTTATATTTATATTATGTGTTATTAAAGGTATGGTTGACAATTGGAGAGATTGATGTAGAGATTGAAGTAAAAAGAAAAAAAGGATGGAAAAAGTCTGTTCACCCTAGCAGGTTCAAGGCTGCAAAAACATTGACCAATAGGAGCTGTCTGTCCCGGACAGCTTCTATTGGTTAATCTCCTGCTCCACCTCTCTATCCAATCACCTCGCTGTATTTGACACACCCCTCAGGTTCTGACTCCTCCCCTCCAACTCTCTCAGCCCTCCAAGTAGCGTAGCAGCTTAGCTACAGGAGCTGTGATGGAGAAGGGTGCAAAAACACTTCTGCTCGCCCCACCACCAAAAGTGCTAAGAAAACGCAAGCAGACAGAAGAAGAAATGTGACCAAGCGAGGAATCTAACTTGAATAAACATCGGGTCATCCTTCGTGCGGTGGAGAAAACTCCGCCAGGATTTGGGCCTTAAAAACAGATGCCGAGACAGCAGAACAGGTAATTTTTGCCTTTTATCGTGGCACATGTTACATAAATAACTCTTATCAGGCTCTGCAATGTAAACACAGTAGCTGTCCGGGCAGCTGCAGACGGTGCTAGCTAGCAGAGCTGGCGTTTACTGCCGCTAGTCACTAGCAATCCGACATGGTGAATCCTATTTGAAGCTAGTGTAGGATCATAAGGCCGGCTTTTTGCTCTGCCAGAGGGTATGTGTCGTCGGGAGGGCGATACAACTTCAGGGGGGTTGGACACTTTTTTCAAATCTGCTTCAACGGCTGTTTTTTTTTAAAAACTGCTTCTGAGATCGTCAAACAAGCCTTTAATATCTAAAGTTTGTCCACATCTCCGTTTATGTTGCTGGAGGAGGCGGTGTTTATGAGCTCTACTGTAACCAGTCACCAGGGAGTGTTGTTCTCGTGCAGGCCTCACCCAGAGGAGGCAGATGACATCCACTCTAAATACAGTCTATGGTTGAAACACAGCTGGGAGCTCCTCACACAAACACAGTCAATACACATACTCCTGACTCTGATGCTACAGGCTAAAAATGGAAAACACTCAACAACAGACTGTATGAAACATGAACACAGAGATAGAAACTTTGCTCAGTGGTTTCTGAGCTTAAAATGCAAGTTCTAACTAATGACCAACCTGAAAAACTCAGAAGGCTGTTAACACAAGATGTGATATGGTTTATCTGGGTTCTGTGTCTGTTTTGTCTATTACTTGAATGAATGGGTGAATGATTTTAAGCCAGGAATGGTCAAACCTCTCTTAGCCAGTGTGTGCTTGTGCTTTTATAACTAGTTTAAACTTCACTCAGAGGGACTCACCTACATTGTGACGGACAAACCTGACTGTTTCCTGCTGTAATTTGAAGGTAATTCCTTTCACCTTGATCGACTGTCTGTGATCTTCCTCTGCTAATTATCTTGACGCACCTCACACCTGATCCCAAGATTAAACCGAAGAGGAACAAAAGAACTGGTGATGTAAAACCTTTGGAGGTGTTGTAAACCTCATAAGGATGGTTATCTCTTTGGAGAGCTGTCTAATGTCTGCCAGAGGAATCGATGGCAAAGTGAGTCCCTACAATAAAAACAAAAGAACAACCTCTGATATTTTCTGTTACCTACCTGCCTTCACATTACACGGAGAATTGACTCGAACGGGGACGTCAGAATGATCTGCAGACTGAAAACGCCCAGGTAAATTTCTACAGAACAAACTAATTAAACTAATGTCATTATACAATAATAATAATAATAATGATGTGGACTTTTCCAAGGACTATGGTCACCTTTCATAGTCTCTTTAATAAGACCACATGAAAACAAACTACTGCAAATGAGGTCCAGCTTTTTCTGGAGACTATCAAAACATAATAATAATAATAATAATAATAATAATAATAACAATACTACTACTACTACTACTACTACTACTACTAATAATAATAATAATAATAATAATTAAAATAAATAAATAAATAAATAATAATAATAATAATAATAATAATAATAATAATAATAATAATAATACATTTATTTGTATAGCGCTTTTACAGTAGCTCAAAGACACTTTACAAAAACATAACAAAAATACAGTGGGCAAAGATTAATAGTAACAAGCTAAAAATAAGGTGAAATCAAATAAAAAGAATAAAAGAATACAAGTGGGAGGGACGGGAGTGGGTGGGATAATGGTGAGTCAGGGGGGTCAGGTGATAAAAGCGAGTGTGAAAAGGTGGGTTTTGAGGGCAGATTTAAAGCTGATGAGGTCCGGGCATTCGCGGATGGGTTTACGGAGGGCGTTCCAGAGGGTGGGGGCGGAGACGCTGAAGGCCTGGTCCCCCAGGGTACGGTGCTTGATTTTGGCTGGGGGTGAGAGGAGGTTTGCATCAGCTTAGCAGAGGGGGCGGTTCGGGGTGTGGCGGACAATGAGGTCAGACAGGTGGGGGGTGGTAGGCCGTGGAGGGACTTAAAGGTGAGGAGGAGGAAACATCAACTCTTTCAGACTCTAGATCCACATTAAATCCTTTAAAGCAGTCATATTATTTAATGACTGGTTTCTAACACATAAGGAGTAAGTATTATTTTGTTGTATGGACTTAAATAATTCTTTACAGTGTCCATTATTTGTCTTAAACGTGGCTCTAAACCTACAGTTCAGAATGACACAAACTGTATATTAATGTTTTCTATAATACTGCAGATGCATAATGCATGAATGTGTTCAGGGAAGGTACAGAAAAAGTGCTAAAACCGCTTTACATTTTGTTTTAACTTTTTTTAAAAACATTGCAAAGCTTAGATGCAGTGTGTTTTCATAGTTTCATGTTACAGAAGCTTTAAAAAAACACTTTTGGGGAGCCTAACTGTACACATAACTGAGTCCGGTTGAAAGTAACCCAATGAAACAGGACTGGGTGTAGCAGGAGCAGTGAAGACTACTTGACTTTAATCTCTTGTGTAAACTGTATCAGGTAAACATGCAGTGAGTGCCGGTCATGGATCATTTTGACATTGATTTTTGGCTTTAAAGCAGATCTTTTATTTCATGTAAAACTGAACTAGTTTATGCATCTTTAAGATAAGTCCACACTGATGAATGTGCTTGATCATAACCATAAAGTATTGAGTCTTAAAAACAGGGACAGTAAAACTAACAATGAGAATTCAGGTATTTACATTTTCTGCTGCAAACAATGAAGTATAAAAATCAAACACAAACAAAACTTTGAGGGAAAAATAAAATACTTTATTTGAGTCATTTACAGTATCTAACAGTTTTGTCCTCATGACTACAGTACTACAATAACCGTACTGCTGCTCAAAAATAAATACTACCCTTACAAATAAATACCAACCACACAATCCAGCAGTTTGTGCACACTAAGAGTTTCTCTCAAATAGTGCTGATGCATTTCAAGAAAAGAGACGATCACAGAAACAAAGGCAGGTCCATCAACCAAACATTCAAATGTACACAAATAAGGCTCTTTGCATGACAGCGAAACCCACAAGGAGAAAAAACATTACATATTTGTTCCCAGTGTACCACAAGTTCTCTTAATTTATCACCAAACCAACAACCAAAGAAATCCTCCCTCTCTTTACCAACACTGTTGACAGAGGTTACATTAATGCCGATTTACAGTCTTAGCTTCATTTGTGCGTTTTCTTTTACAGACTTCGTTTTATTTGTGCGCTTTTTTTAATTCTCTAGAGGAGTGGTACCCTGGATGGGTTTATTCTTGAATGAAAAGAAGGATATTTGACAAACCTTTTGTGACAGAAAGCTGGACACAGATCGCTACCACTTTCATTTTTTTTTTGTGGAAGAAATATAACTGACAATCTGGCAGCTGATAACCTAAAGAAAACAGGAAAACTGTACCAAGGAGCTGATCTGACGCTGGTCCTTTTCAGGTCCTAGAAAGAAACAGTTAAAATGATCTCCTGACGCTCAAACTCATATCACACCAATACTGTTTACCTTTCCCTCAGCTTATCATGTCCACATCTGCACAAAAAAACACTTTTTTAATAAATGGCTATACTGTGAAAAGTATTTCTTTCATGTTGTCACATTAAGTTTTCTTTTGTTGACGAACATTTTTAAACTTAAAGAAGCAAACTCAGCTTGTGGGACCATCGTAAACCCAATTCTACATTTTTTTTGTTTTTATGATATGAAATTTCTTAAGTTTAAAAATAAAACTTGGGTTTTCTTTATTTTTTTTGTGGGGTCATGTGCTGGACATTTCTTGCATAAGAAAGTTGACTTTTAAAAGGTGTTGCTGTCACTGTTCAGGAAAGCAGCAGCTTCACCTTCACTATGATTTGCAAATACAAAAGTGTTCTCACCTACGTTTTAGTAAGGCACTGATGATTAATATGTCCAGTAAATTGTCCCCTAGTTCCAGTGTGTGAACAATTAACATTTTTCTACATGCAAAGGATATTCACAATGCACGGATCCTCGGACAAACAAAAGTCCAAAAGTGACAAACTAAAGGCATAAAAATGCTAGAAGGCCGTGAACAGCGAGTGGAAGACTTTGTTTTCTAAATTCATAGATAATTATAGACAAAGATGTTTGATGTTGAAAAGTAAAAGCCAGCTGTAACACTGCAAACAAACAAACATTCAAAATCTTAAGTAGAAAGTGCAACTAAACCACTAAATAAAACTCACCTGAACATTTGTTTTTCACTGGATTTATGCATAATCATTTGGTCTATAAAAAGCTGCACCTATTTACTGTTTTGTTCAAATGTCTGTTAGTTTGTGTTCTGGGAAAAAAAGCACCAATCCTTGAATTCTACGATCTAGAACTCATATCATGAGATTAAAACCTTCACAGTTTTGTTCTCATGCTAAACAAGAAACCATCAACAACTGAGTTGGTCTACATGAATTAGATTTTTGACACAACAAAACTTTTGTGAACTTTTTGGGAAAGTGCTTGTGGACAGGGTTTAGAAAATGAACCTGCTAGGTAGATGTTTTTTTTTTTCACAGCTGCTCTTAGCTTCTACACAATATAAAAAAAAATCACACATCAAAGAAAACCTTGATGGACCACTAGAGCGCTCTTTGGACCTAAAAACTTTTGCTCTATCTAATATTTTCCATCCAGTCATGCCTTGTGTAAAACCAGATGGACTGTCGCCCTCATCCTCTCAGCCCGGAGGTCACTGCGGGGTTAAGATGGCACCAGGGGAAGCCTGGTCGTGTGTGACGTGGCGCCTTCATTCACCTTCCAAGTCCAGCTTAAGCAGAGTTTCCTGGCGGCAGAGAGGCAGCAGGCTTAGTTGACATGCGGCACAGCATAAGCCAATGAAATGAGGGGAGCAGGTCAAGGTGTGTTTATCCGAGGAGCTGCCAGAGTGCTTTCTAAGAAACTGAAGAGACTTTTTTTCTCATATTAAACAGAATAAACATGAGAATCAGACTTGGACAGGATTTTTGTGCTTGTACATTCATGTGGGGATCACAACAGCTGATTTAACTCCCACTAAACAAACACTGATTTTTGTTCCCTCTGTGACCTCTGTGTTTTTTTCACTTTCCTTAATTCCCTGTAGTTTACAGATGTATTTATCTCACAGCTCAATACAAATAAGTTGAGCTGTTAATCAAACTTTAGCAGAGCTCTTTCCACATTGGATTTATTGATTTATTTGGCCACAGTGCTTTACAGCTGCTCTGTGGTGTTTCCATGTAGACAAAAACAGAGGGTATCCAGCTCAAACAAACTCTTTCTAACTGTGGGAAAGCACCTAAAGGTTTTCATTCAGGGTCATCTTCCTCCATGTTGTTTTGTAAAAGTCTGTGATTGATGCATCAGGTCTCAAGCTGTGACATTTTGGTAAAATTACATCACGGCATATAGGCTCAGCGACTGATATCCCAGAGTGGTCACAATGAAGTAAACCCCAGACCCCCCAAATTTTGGGAAAAGCATGACTTCCTGAAGAGGAAGCACCTGTGTATTCCTGTGATTCAGGAGCCACTGCTTTCCTCCAGTATGGGGTTAAAAACAAAGGCTGCAACAACGCAAGTCTCAAATGGCTGATAACTGCCGCGGGTTTCAGACCACTCTTCTGCTTGTTATATCAGAGGGCTGAAAAACATCATTTGTCCAGATAAGAGACACATTTTAAAGCAATTAATTTGGATAAAGTCTAATTTTGTGTCAAAGGTTATATCGTTATGTGTAAAAATGGATACTTACTGGTTTTAAAAGTTTGAAAATACATTGGGAGTAACAAATGTAATTAATGTAACAAGAGAGAAAGAGAGCAGGAGGAGGGTCTCTGTACTGGAAACAACCTCACACCTGAATGTGGGATACAGTTCATGCAGAAACTCCACTACAGGTCCATATCTCTCTGCAGCTCTTTATCACACCGCTGTGGCCTTTCTTTTAGTTATCAAATCACATGAAGGTTTGAGGGTTAATTGAGATTTGAAGTGAAGCCTACGCAAGAAGTGAAACAGGGTCAAAGGTCCATAAGCTATGGATTCAGAACAAAAAGATAGAAGTAATGATAATTATTAGCATTAATTTTTGTTTTTTTCCTCTTAAAGGGATATTCCAACGTAAAATTAATTTAGGGTCAAACACACTGAGTTAGGCACCCTGTCGAGAGATGAATGTTGCCAACCGTTTGCTTCTCTAGTTATACCAACTTTAGTAACGACTGCAGGACAGCAATACACAGCAGTCTGAGGAGCCATAAACAAACCTCAACCAAAAAGCCACTCTATAGCCACAAATAATGTTCAGAACGGCACCTAACTTCATCAACAGTACATATAGTGTCCCAGCCACAGCACTAGCCACCAAACAACTTTTCAACTTTGCCTGATTTCTTTAGCAAAGAGACTGAACACAACTCACCTACTCTCTTCCAGCAGCCGCTTGTTTGCAGCGAGACCTCAGGTCTTCATGGAAATGCAATCAGACCAAGACGCTAAGGCAGAAGAACTACTGTGTCTGCAGTGAAAATGATTAATATGATGATTATAACTTCAAGTAAATGATAAAGTGATGATCATAAATGTTCTTCCTTGAGCTGCGTCACCCCGCTGTAGCCCTTAATGGACTGGTCGAGGTCTCGCTACAAACAAGCAGCTGCTGGAAGAGAGTAGGTGAGTTGTGTTTAGTCTCTTTGCCAAAGAAATTAGGCAAAGCTAAAAAGATGTTTGGTGGCTAGTACTATGGCTAGGACCCTATATGTACTGTACGTATATGTTCTGAACATTATTTGTGGCTATAGAGTGGCTTTTTAGTTAAGGTTTGTTTATGGCTCCTCAGACCGCTGTGTATTGCTATCGTGCGGTCATTACTAAAGTTGGTATAACTAGAGAAGCAAGCGATCGGCAACATTCATCTCTCGACAGGGTGTCTAACTCGGTGTAACAGTGTGTTTGACCCTAAATTAGTTTTACACCAGAATTTCCCTTTAAAGCTGCTGAGGAGTTTTGGAAAAAAAAGACCATAATTAAGAGTGAGGTTTCTCTACAACATACAAAAGCAAAGAAAGCCATCAACAACAAGACTGACAGTTTGAGGTACTGATCACAGGGCATTGACCGGCTTCAGTCTCATCCTTATAAACGTCTGTTTAATTACTGGAACACTAAACTGCCTCATAGAGCGTGTCGTATGATAGATAGTAATAGTGGAGATAAGCATGTGCAGAAGCAACTAGGCTGCGTCACATCACATGGTGAGAAAGAACGAAAAACAAAATCTAAGGGGCGCAGAAATTTCTCACATGAAAGAAAGGAAAGTCAAAAACAGAGTTTTAGACCTTCAGACAAAAGTAAATAAAATTTCTCTCATCACTGAATACGCCTGTTGTGTTTTTCCTGTTTGCCACATCATAAACACGACCTCCAAAATAACCGGGAGGTGGAGAATAAACACTGTTAAATATATCTCAGTGTACACACGTCCAGCTGAATGAATGACATCTCCTCTCTGAGAGTGTATAAAGACGCCTGTGTGTGTTTATGTGTGTGTGTGCCCTGTTCATGCGAGTCTGTTTGTGTGCTCACATACTCGTCTTGCCTTGACGAGACCCACGGGTGGTTCCTGGATGATGAGCGGGTCCTGGGACTCTTTGAGGATGAAGCTCTGCTGAGTGAGAGACGTGGACGGCCTGAGCTCCTCTCTCCACCACCACAGAGCCATTCCTACCAGCAGCACGCTGAGAAACACTGGAGTAACACACACAAACAAACAAACACACAAAAGCACACACGATTAAATCACTTTCTGGAGCTTTTAGCAGACATGACAGATGGTTTGTTAAGGTGACGTTCATTTTCAGCACCTCGCCTCCTCTGAGTGGAAAAAAATAACAGGCGGCAGCTGTGGTGGAAAGAAAAGCTGCAACACTTTATTCCTTGATAATCTCAGAAAACGTGAACAAATGAAGCTCCAAAACAGGACATTTTTGTATGGAAGTAAAACTGTGCAATCTGATTATGAGTTTGAATTTCTAAAGCTGAATTTTTTTTTGCATCAAAATCAGACTTTGAATTTTGAAACTATTGAATTTCAAACATGCATTTTTATTTCTGAAACTTATTTTTTCATAATGATAAAATAAATTCAGTGCAAAAAAAATCTGTCTCTCAAAACGTTTGTTTAAGCAAAAATTCAACTTTAAAAAACTGTAAAATAAAAATTCTACATAAAAAAAAAAAAAAATTTATGTGAAAAAAAATTCAGTGTAAAACAGACCGACTCAACATCCAGGTAACCAGGGAGAGCAATCGATTCCTCAATCATTCATCGTCCAGCCAATCAAATAAGTCTGGATTGGTCATGTGGCACCAACCCCAGTGGAAGATTGAGGAATCGATTGCTTCTCCCTGATTATCCGATGTTGAGTTGGTCTGTTTGACTCTGGATTATTTGACACTGAAATTTTTTTTATGTTGAATTTTTTTCCCCAGTTTAGTTTTCAGTCAAATTTTTACTACACGAATATTTTGAGAAACCGATTTTCTACACTGAATTTATTTCATCATTGTGAAAAAAAAAAAATGTAAAGGTCCTTCCATACCGGGAGCGTTTTTTTGTGCGATTATTTCGGACGTCAATATTTTTTTTCGAACCCGTATCCTGTCAATACAAGCGTTCACATCAGCGACGTTTTCCCGTCCTGCGATATTATTTTCTAAAGTTTCACCTACTGTGGGTCCACTTCTGACCAATCAGATTGTGTGTTGTTGCGACGTCAGATTCACCGGTATATCCAACATGGCCGACCGGCTGATTGTTTACGTGCTTTTTAATAAGAGTGCTTTTTAATAAAAAACACAAATATTACAAAGATAACGACCTGAAGGACAACTTGTGGAGAGTCATAGCGTCGGATTTCTCATATGACGATGGTTTGTGTGCTTTAACAGTTTGCTAAACGTCTTTGTTTTAACTTTCCTCTGTGCTAAGTAACTTTAGCTCTAAGGTAACCTGTTCAGATACAACATACCATATGTATTTTCACTGTCTCAAACTCAATCGCGTTGCTGTCACAGCACCATTAGGTCTCTGTTGTTACCTTACGTTTATGGATTATAGTTTAATGTGCTTATCTGGTACTGGCCCAGACTCAGTACATGCTATCATGACAGACAGACATCTCAACACTAGTGTCTAATCAGAACTGAAGAACAGTCAGTCTGCTGTTGTGTCAGTCTTCTCGCTTCCACCCGGAAAGCCGCAAAATCGCATGACGCTTGATGTGTATAGTCAGGCGCGTCAAAATTCGCCTCTGAATATTTTGTAATTTCGCGGTGTGTAAGGACCTTAAGAAATAAAAATGCATGCTTGAAATTCAATGGTTTTGAAATTTAAAGTCTGATTTTGATGCAAAAAAAATCAGCTTTAGAAATTCAAACTCAGAGTCAGATGGCACAGATTTACTCAAAAATATTCACATTTTACGTCAAGTTGGCGTAATGTGCTCTTTGGTAGTGTGGGAGCACATTCACAGATCCTGCCTGTTGTGTTTGTGTGACTCAGAAGGGAGTGATCATGATGACTTCTGAGCGTCTCCACATCACACAGACACCCTCAGAGTCACAGAAAGACCCACTTTAGTTGGTCTTGGGATGAACTAAAGTGGGACTCAAATTTCCCAGCAAAATTATGCCGCACAAACCGACTCTAAATATGTCTGAGATGTGGGGCTGCTTTGGTGATTTACTTTATTGGCGGATGTGTGTTGACCTGTCCCACTTACAGGAAAGTGCTTATTTTTAACACCAGTGAAAAGACAAGCACAGGAGGTTTCTGCAGCCATGAGATGACGATTTGTTCAAACAAAAAACATCTCCGGAGAAAACCGGCTTCTTACTGATAAGAGACAGGATTCCAGCGAATGTAGGATCAGATAAAGTTGAAGAGGGAACCATGTGGGAGACGCCAGGAAGCTCTCGAGATTTGTTTTGTCCTGTTTCGGGCGATTTGCAGCTAAACATGAGTCCGTCAGAGAGCAGGTCCACAGCGCACACATGCTGGCACACCGTCTCTGGATGTCCGCACACAGAGGGCCCTAAAAACCAGAGAGATGTACAGTCAGGGTGAGAGCTATTACTGGCAGCAGAGGCTGATTTAGTGCGGTGAGTCACAGGTCAGCAGCACTGACAGGGTCTGTGTCTTTCTCAATCAACACATTAAGCATTATTGCAGCAGTGAGGTTTTATAAAAGTAGATGCTTGGGTCTGACTTGGCACTGCTGCATAGTTTGTAGAGGTATTTATCTTAGTATTGATTCATTTTTATCAGGCTTTTGTTGTATTTAATCATTTCCTTATCTTTTAATGTAAGTTTGTATTGTATTGTATGTTTTATTGGCCTTTACTTTGCTTCAAACCAACTTTGGGCCCTCTTAAACTAATCCACAGAGCAAGGTCTAAAGTGCATATACAGCTTGTATGACAAATCCTGTATCTCTAAAATCAAACATAAAGTGGGTGCGCAGAGAGGCAGAGGGTACGAGAGGAGTTGTACTAAATCTTAATGATTTATAACGTGTGTTTTAGTCTGAGTAAAATCAGATGTCTAGTACAAGTCTCCACACTCATGACTCACAGAGTTCAAGGCGTGTGTCTATTAAGTTTGAAGTGCTTGGAGCAAACTCTGTTTGTTCATTGCACAATTTGAGATGCAGTGTTGATATTAGCAGATGTTTTAGGTTTCGTCTTTGGACTAAAATGCCTCTTAGCATTGTTCACATTTTAGTCTTTTCTGCCTTTAATAGTGTTCGTCTAGTTTTAGTCGAGAAAGCCTCATTACATTTTTGTATGTTAGTCAAAACATCTTCTGTCTTCAAACTAGTTCAATCAATCAATCAAACTTTGGTCTATCTTGTTTGATTTGCTCCTTGACTAGGATAAAGCGAGGTTTGGATATGTGATACATCTAACTCCGATAGTTAGATTAAAACACTTACATCCATTTCAAGTCTGTTTAAATGCCAATAATCCAGAGAGGTGATATCATGTGGGGATTTGGAGTGCTGCTACATGTGTGTGTTGTGTGTGTGTGTAACAAGCACAGTATTAGAGTGGTGATCCCGGCCTTTATGGGTGAACTTACTATCCGGATTATGCTAGTATCTGTCTCAATGCCAAGTTTTGTTGGTCAATGGCACAATCCCTCTTAGCAGCCTCGAGATGGCAATCTGTCAACTATGTGGACTACCAGACCGTATGTCTTTTAAAAGCCAGTGCACCTCTGGGTGCCAGACAGCGAAAGCCTCAACAAAACCATGACAAATGTGAAAAATACTGATAAGATGCGGTCGCTGATTGACTGACCGATCGTACCCTTTGGTTGAAGAGCAGACTGGATGATGGCCACACCGCCCGGTGAGGTGGTGTTGGACAGCAGCACCTGGAACTTGCTGCCGTCGTGTTTGCTGGCTCTGCAGATGGAGTTAGTCACTTCTTCACTCCAATAAACAAAACCCTGAAGCAGAGAGGACAGAATCAGCAGGGCATCTTTATTACTTTTACTGAATGCTGGGTTAGAGGTACTCATGAAATATTGCATCTAAGGGCTGTTAATAACTAATCAAGAACTGAACGGGAACAGGTGTTTGATTTTCTCTCGGGTAGAGATGAGTAATGATTGGTTTTCAGTTATCAGCACGGTGTTTCAATGCCAGACGTCTCTCAGACACAACAGTTGCTACTAAAGATACAAAGACTGAGAACTCCATATTTAGACACAGAGCTAACAGACTGATGAAGAGTCATGCAGGGAGGTTTCCCAGAAGAGCAGAGCTGGCACAAATCTGCATCCCAGCAGCATCAACGCCGTCTGATGTGATGTTATGTGCAAGCCTCCCTTTCATTCTGAGTGATCAATAATTCATTACTAACCTTCCAAAGATTGGACACAGAGAACTTCAAATTTGCATTCCTGATTTAGATATTTTAAAACACCTGATCAAGGTAAATTTCCCCATGCATTTGTTAAAGCTCCTGTGAGGAACTTTCAGTTTGTGTCAGTTTTGGCACCCCCCTGTGGACAAAACGATCTCCGCTTGTCTTCTCTTCTACATGCTTGAGTCCTGACTTTTGACAAAAATCTCTACCCTCTTGAAAATTTGATGTGTAAATTGTGTAAACAGGGCAGTTTCTTCACCTACTTGGCTGACACCCACCCTCTCACTCCTGTTTCTGACATTAAAAATAATGTGATTTAAATTGTTAATCTTGTCACTGATGGTCTTATTTGCTCTTGAAAAGGCATTGCTATGAGTTTAAGTGTATTTCATAAAGATCCAAAAAAAATCCTCTCAGGAGTTTTAAACTTTTTATCTGTTTTCTTTTGATTTTCTTGACTTGCATGCACACACCTTACATGCAAAAAATCTTGTTTTTATATTCATGTTTGTACAGCACAAGATACACACTAAAAGTACAGCTAGATAGACAAACATTTGTATGTGGAAACTTCCTGGCACACATTTTCTCTCCATGACTTAAACTTTTAGAAACTAAGACAATTTTAAAGTCAAAGGGGAAAAAAGGTTCAAGCGACTGCAGTAGACAGAATTTATTTTTCTGTGAATTAATGAGTAAGAGTTGAAAATCTGTTGTGTGTTACATTAGACATGATGTTTTCAGGGTTGCAAAAGTTCTTCTTTAAGGCCTCTTTTATTCTACAGTTGAGCAGGTTTAATCAGGTTGACTTCTGGGTAAAGGGTATAGAAACATAATTCTGGTTTCCATCAATTGCTTATTTTACCTCAAACACAGCAAGTCCAAATGGCCGGTCCAGATAACCGTTAGACTCTACGACTGTTTTACGATGACGACCTTCAAGATCAACTCTGGAGATGCTTCTCATTCCCTGATCGGCCCAGTACAGCAGCCGGCGAGGCATATCTAAGATAGAAAGCAATGTCATCGGCGAACATTAGGAAACCTCTGTAATCTGATCGCGACTGGAGGAAGTTCAACATCCAAATTTCACTGCCCGGTTAATGTCATGAAAAACTGTGTAAATACCCAAAGAGAGAGCGACAGGGTGGCGTATCGAGCTGGAGACCAGAGGCGTTCTGTTCTGACCATCCAAGCTGGACCTCTCAATCATCGGGGAGCTTCCACTCTGAGCCCAGAAGAGCATCCTGAATGATTACAAACGCACCGCTTACAAACATCATCCTCTTTATATTAACATATATATTAAAAATATAAATAATAACTTGAAATTATCTTTTAGTTTAACAAATCTGGCTGGAAAGTTATGGAAAATGATTTATGGAAAGTGTTTTTTTCTTCCTCATAGTTAACAATTAAAAATGTTCTAACAGAGTCAAACATAAAGTGTATTTGAATTGCAGCTACATTCATGTGGTTTGACACATGCAGTGCTCTTAACATTTACTAGAAACCTCAAATCTCTCCCTTTATTGTGCACTTGTCATCTGCCTCTCCCTGTGTGCATACATGAGTCAGTGCGTCAGGTGCTGGGCTTATTCGGTAAAACCTTTTAAACAAACCTTATCTGTAAATATCGCATGGCACAAGACAGTAATCACCCCTGACGCTTTACTTGTGGACATAGGCTCAATAAACAAAGGATCATATAAAAATCAAACATCCCAGGCCGGCCTCTCCTACCCTTGAAGAGGATGCACAGCCACTGCAGAGGGTTTGTCCAGTCCCGTGATGAGCTGATGCTGATGTGAACCGTCCAACAGGCCAACATTAACAGAACCGCTCTCAGTACTGGTCCAGTAAAGGAGCTGGTGGATCCAGTCCACAGCCAGGCCAGAGACTGAACCTTGCCCCTTCAGCACCAACGCCCGATCGTGCTGCTTTTCACCTAGAGTGACCCTAGAGAACAATCCCAGTGTGTAAAAATGTCAAAATTATCAGTTATTATCAGACACATTACTGTCAGGGGGAGGGGGGGGTCTAACTCAGTGTTACGTGTGTTTGACCAACCAGATTCCTGATGGTCATTTATGGTTCATTTTATAGCTTTGGGGATGATGTTTTTCTACGACAACACCAAGAAGCTTTTAGATGGCTGAAATCCACCTCCTTAAGTCTCCATCACTGATTAAGATAATTACAGAAGCTGCTGCTGCTCTGTTCCTCTGGCACTTTATTGACTCCGTATGATGAATTAGAGTCGTATTTGTGTGGTGGCAGCTGAATACACTCTGTTACCTGTAGACTCGTCCTTGCCGGGCAAAGAAGAGCATCTGTCCAGAGGCCAAAGCCGCCACTGGACCCGGACCTGCTTCACGTGGAGACAGTTCCCTCACCTCAGAGCTGGTGATGCTCATAAGTTGCATCCCTTTAGAAGAGGTGAAAACCAGCTCTGCCTTATCTCCTAGGACACACACATACATGTTGTTTCTGTCATTTGGAGCTGATGGGATAAAAGCCCTTTGGACACATCATTTATGAACCCTGACAAGGTTCTGTTTCTCAAATGTACATAAGAAGCATCAACTTCACAAATGAAATGAAGTGCACGGCTGATACAAGAAGACCAACAAGTGAGAGTGAGAAGCTCAGCCTGTCAGTCATATTAATGTTCAGTTATAAAGTAAAGTCCCAATCCGATCGTTTTTTTCCGACTTAAAGTGTTCTCAGTGTGATCATGTTCTTCGCCAAAATCATGTTACCTGTGTCATGTTGAAGGGCTCCATTCGATCATTAGCAATTCGCCTCTGAGTCGTGGGCAGAGACAGCGCTGCTCTGCACATTTGTCTTCATGTTAGCATTGCAGCCTAACATTGCCGGTGTAGTAGAAGTGGCAGGTAACATAGGAGCTATTCAGACTAATGTCTTTGGGGACATGATGAAAGTTAATGTCATAATTAGCTTTCTTATGAGCATTGCAATCCAGTAACACACACACTTGTTTCATGATCGTCCTCTATATTTCTCCTCCATATGCAGAGTGTGGCCTGCATAGCAGAGCTTGGATTGGTTACGTATGAAATCTCACTGTTTCTGAACCTGCCGTTTGGGTCTGCCAGAGATTAACAACGATTTGAATGAAGAAATACTCAGAGAAGCAATTTCGCATTTAGTTTTCTCATGATATGTCCTGTAGCATCAGAAAAATGCCAAATGAACACATAAAAAAACAAGAAAAACATGATTTTCATCAGAGTTGGTCTTTAACAAATAAATTACAAGGCACCACTCAACTTTACGGCTATCAAGGAGGAACAGGAAATCCTTGAAGTCGTAACATGATGAATGTACAAAGTCAGTGATCGTATCAGGAGAACAATCAACAGCTGTCACATTTCTTTGTAATAACTGGTTCTTGCTTATTTTGGCAGAATGTTAACAGGGATATGACATTACCACACTTGATAACTTGATGTCTGAGAGAGGTTTGAACAGCCTTTGAGAGTAAATGACCCAAAGTTCATATAGGTGAAGCAGATGAGTTAGTTCCTGTTACAAATCCTAAACATGCTGCTGATAACACTCGAATCGTAACTGCAAATATGTATTCAAGGAGGACCCTTATGCATATGCTTGGACAACAAGGCTCCGGAGCAGACCAAGAAAGCTCAGTGTGTGTGTTTTATCACAGCCTAATTGACGGATTCTTTAAAGGTCATGATTCCTCCATTACAGCTTCTCAGATGTTTAAAGCAACACACAGACTGACATTTTCAAGGCCAAACCCATAACTCAGTCACTGATGAAATAAGCCGTCACTCACTTATTTGGCATTAAAAAACTGAAATGTACAACCGTCACAGTCACCCTGAAAAATATAAAATACTGAGGAAAGACTCAGTGGCCTCCCTCTATTCACAGTAACTTTTTGTAGCTGACTGATTTGGTATGAAGTTGATAACAAAAAAAAGACACTGTAGATAGTGGAGGAAACACTCAAAGAGGAAGATTTTTGTTGTTATCGGGCTGAGTAATTATCAGGAGTTTGCACAGAAGGGAAAAGAATCTGCTTTCCTTGTTTAAATAGGAAACATGGCTGATGATTTACACGCTCAGACTCAACAAATTAAAAGCAAACACAAACAGAAAATCTCAGAATCTTTGTCGGGAACACTGAGTAATGAGCGGTTTGTTAGCAGGATCATAAATCCTTCATTCCTCACCTTTGGCCCTGCACTCTCTTGTTGTGACATTCATTGTGTAGTCCTCGTGGCAGTCACAGGTGAGGCTGTCGTTCGTGTGGATGCACAGCTGATCACACACATCCCTGTCCAGGCACAGATCGATCTCTGGGGGGCAGAGCGTGAAAATGTGTGAATCGTATGAAAAGAAAGTCAAGCTTCTTTTACTCAACAACACAAATGGATAGCAGGTGATTTAAGTCACTTTGTATGAATAAACTTGTTAAAATGAAAAACTCTTTACTGGTTCATTCACTTCTACAGAGGAAGCTTCACAACTGGTGACTTTAAGAGTAATTCTTTATGCTCACCTTCACACTGACCGTCACCGATCAGTCTCATGTTGTCGGGACAATCACACTCGAAACCAAACTTTTGGTCCCTGCACACATGAGAGCAGCCTCCATTGTTGAATTCACACTCGTTCTGATCTGTAAAACAAGAGTTACATCATCAGGAGATGGAAGGAAGGAAGGAAGGAAGGAAGGAAGGAAAGAAAGAAAGAAAGAAAGAAAGAAAGAAAGAAAGAAAGAAAGAAAGAAAGAAAGAAAGAAAGAAAGAAAGAAAGAAAGAAAGAAAGAAAGAAAGAAAGAAAGAAAGACTGCTGTCTTTATGATAAGAATAAAGTTATTAATTATCAGGGTCTTAAATCATTATCGCATCTTTTGATAGTCTAATTATATCCAAACCTCCACAAAGGTCCTAATCAGATGATTATTTGGAACATATTTATTAATCAGTCCATATTTCCTTTAAAAGAGTCCTATAATTAAAGGAATATTTGTGGTCTGCTCATTGAGTCCTGATTTTGGGTGTCCACAACAAGACAAAAACTTTAAAGGGTGAGAAAAAGACTCAAATGTGATCAAACTAATGTGTGTTTTAAATCAAAGAAATATCTGCTAAAAGTCACACAAGTCCTGAAGTGTTAATGAGTTAATAAGGGAAGCCCGGAGTTCATTCAGCTATAATGTTTAAGGACTTTAGTATCTTTAACAGGTGCATCAATGTCACTGACTGTCCACTACATAAACCTATGAAAGCTCTGTGAGTCTTTTAATGGCTTAAAACTGGTCAGACTGTTTATTTCACAACTAGTCTGCAAGAGTCTCCCCTTTTTGTCCTCCAGGAATGACGCCCTAATTAACATCTGGAATTCTTCTTTAGCAAATATTTTCCCTGTTAAGTTGATTTATGCTGTCGTAGGGGGGGGTTTACAGCCTGCGCGTTAACACCAGAGGGTAAAACAAACGGGAAACTACAAATAACTGAACACAACAAATAACTGAGAAACTAGAGTAAGAGAGGGGGGGAAAGAGGAGGACATTAGAGTGATGTTAAAATACAGAAGAGAAAAAGGGGAGGGAAGAAAGACCAAAAGAAAGAGGAAAGACAGAGAGGCAGCAGTAGCGCAGGAGGTAGAGCGGTTGGTGAAGGTTGGTGGTTCGACTCCCCCCTATCCAGAGTCTGTCTGTTGTGTCCTTTGGCAAGACACTTAACCCCCGTTGCTCCCAGTTTGTGTCCTGCACTGGTGTATGATTGTATCGTGTGGTGGTGGTCAGAGAGGCCGTAGGCGCAAACTGGCAGCCATGTTTCTATCAGTCTGCCCCAAGGCAGCTGTGACTACAAAGGTAGTTTACCACCACCACCAGGATATGAGTGTGAGCGAATGAATTAAGTATTCAATGTTAAGCGCTTTAAGGTCACTGATAAAAAGCACTGTAAAAATCTATTATGATTATCAAAACTGGGAAGGGTTAGAGAAAGGGAGGGAGAAAACAGGCGGGGGAGAAAAGACAAGAAAGAAAGGGAGCCATAGAGAGCATGAAAAAATTAGGGGAAGAGATATAAAGAATAAAAAAAAACAGAGACAAAAAGGATGGAGAGAAAAGAGATAGATTACAGGGAGGGAGGGGTGTAGAAGAGAAGAGAAGGAAGGAAGGAAGGAAGGAAGAAAGAAAGGAAGGAATGAAGGAGGGAAGGGAGGAAGGAAGGAAAGAAAGAAAGAAAGAAAGAAAGAGAGAAAGAAAGAAAGAAAGAAAGAAAAACAAACTAAGTGTAGCGATTGTTTTCCTTCAACATAAAAGGCCGCTGGGGTTTAGGTTCGCTTGCATCTGTGACTCGCTTGAATGATCAGTCCGGTTTGATTGTTAAAAATGATTTATTGTTCAAAAAAAGAAAGAAAACACTCTGATGCGGGTCCGAAACTTTTGCCTTTAACTGAAAAGGTGATATGATGAAATGAGATTAAACAGGATGAATGAATGAAGCGGTGAAAAACGATGAGAAACGGTCAAAAACGGTCAACAGAAAATTATCAGCGTTTACCAAACCCATTGTTTGACTACACCTGTGAGATTTTAAATAACCCGCCAAACATCCCAAAACCAGGAAACCGGAAGTTATGTCCCTATAGAAATAAAACTTTCAACAAATATATTTTGGCTCCTACACAAAGAACGAAAGAAAGAAAGAAAGAAAGAAAGAAAGAAAGAAAGAAAGAAAGAAAGAAAGAATTAATTTATGACATTTCAGGTCAGTCATAAGTTTATGAAGACTTTCTTCTACTTGTACAGTGAATGTGATTCACTGTCAGGGGACACAGATTAAATAGTGACCCAGTGGACCTGTACACACATTCACAAGTTGAAGGACATGACGGTCTGTGAAGTCGTCTAGGTCAGGATTAGATCTATCCTGCCCTCTACTGGCTGCTGGTCAAACCAACACAGTACGGAGTTCATTTACAGTTTGGACAACCTGACTGTCGGAGAAAAGCCTTCACATGATAATTGACCCCGATGTTTTTGACATCACCTCCCCTCACTTCAAGTGTATTTAATGCAACACAATAACTTCTTTTAAAGGTAATCATGAAAAAACGTGCTCTGTTATCACTCACGGCATCTTTTCTCGTCGCTGCCGTCGGAGCAGTCGTCTGAGTGGTCACATCTCCAGGCCTGGCGAATGCACTTCCCGTCTCCACACTGAAACTCTGATGCTGCACATGTTGGAGCGGTCTGAGGGTGTGGTTTCAGGTGCTCTGATGGAGTTTGAGGTAGAACCACAATTTTAATTGATAAAACTTCAACAGTACCAATGATATGGCAAAATCCTTGCATTTTCTTTTCTTTTTTAATCAGTTAATAGCATTATACATGTCTGGACTATCAGGTATGAGACCATATTCCATGAAATCTTCACATTTCACTTCTGAACTCTTCTAATATGGCCGAAATTGCTCATTGGTTGACGGTTGTTTATTTCCTCTTTCATATCCATTTGCCCCCTCTTATTTCCTCCCAATATAAAACCAGAGCTGCTGCAGTTGCTGCATCTTTACTCTCTAGTTTGGAGGGTTTCACACCTGCTTACCATACACCAAACAGCGTTATTTATGAGGCATGCAATCCTATAAATCCACATCCTAAATACAGTGAATTCTGTGTAATTTTGATCGAGGCAAGCATGATGAAACTGTGGTAAATGAAAGGCAAATCCCCCCTGGAATTCAATGTAAAAGTCTTTAATGACTTAATGGGATTAAAAGTAAAAAGCTGCACTGGTATTCTGCAGACACAGTCACAGTATCAAGAACAAGCTCTTCACATGAAAGTGGGATCCTTTTAGTCTATAAATGAAGGTTATGACTGGAAATTTAAAACATTGTAAGATTATGGTGAACAAACAAAACAAAACTTTAGACTCTGAAGTCACATATTTAAATTTTCACTCCATTTTGTAGTTACAGTTTCACTTAATCTTAACAGCTTACTGATTTCAGTCTTTTCTATTTCTATTCTGTTTAACTCACATTTTCTGTATTTATGCCTTTCCCATATCGCTTTGTTTTCTTTTGTCTGCACTCTGAAATCCTCTATTTCCCAAATGTACTTATCATTTACCTAAACTCTTGGAGCGTATCAGTTTTGTTTTAAATGTTTGGGGAACTTTGCCAAAAAAGAAGAGCGAGTGAAACTCAAGCCAGACTGCAGGTGCTGATGTGTTTTTACAGTTTTGGATATCATACTTCATCTCTATTGTACTTACTACAGTTGTGTTCATCTGATCCATCCGCACAGTGTTTGTGTCCATCACACACATTCAGTACAGAGATGCATGAGCCGTCTTGACACCTGAACTCCAGATGCTCACGACAGGTGGGCAAAGTGTGAGCCGAAGCACCTGAAACACATGCAAACAGTTCAAGAGTGAGCTGAGAGATCATATATCAGAGAGACAGAGCCTGAAAAGTCAGGAAAATTAATGTCATACCTGATGGTTTATGTTTTATCAAGTCATACTCGCTTAAACAAAAAACAAAATAGATCATGAAAAATGGGCAGAACTTCATTTTGCACCCTCCAGATGTAACCCATCACACTGTTGAGCCATTCAAACCAACAAATCAGGAAAAATGTGTTCATTCCAATCACATCAAAGTTTATAAATCTCAAGAAAACATGAAACTAAATCTAATTCATTCAGTGTTTAATTTACTTGCATATGGCTGGAAGCTTTAGTGCAAACTCACATCTGCACATAGTGAATATGTCACACCTTTAGCCTTATTTTCCAAGACAGACCGACACTGTGACATGCTGGATTATTATCATTATTAATCATCAGTGGGTTATAAAAGAAAACACGTGACGCTAAAGGTAGTAGTAGTAGTCGTGATCAGACTCCATTCAAAATGACAAGCGTAACTCTCGCCTCCCTTCACTTTCAGTGAAAAATACCGTTCCTCACAAGCGAATCATCCATTTTTCACAAATATGTGCAGTTCATGTTTCTTACCCCGGTTGCAAAAGCATATCAGAGATGTGATCAGGAGTAATAAACCACCAAGGTGTCCCATGCTCGGTGCCCTCCACGGTTGCATTGCACGCGGCGCAGAAATATGACGTAAGAGTCGGCGTTGTCAAACAGCTGGTTTGATTGTTGTTAAGGTAACGGTCAGTTCTTTATCGGTGAGTGTTACTACAATCGAAATGTACTGTTACACGTCAACTCTGTTTCACACGTAATTAACTACCTTTGATTTGGGTCAATAAATTAGATTAATTTGTGTCGACGGCACCATTTTATTCAAATTTTTAGCCTAAAATTTAGCAAAATTTACAGTTTTGTGTAGGTTTTGTGAAGTTATAATACCTGCCTAGTGTTGGCTGAACAACACGGTCTCACTTCTCACCTAAAACTTTTTTTAAAATATTTATTTTTAACCCTTTCCATAAATTATATTTTCAGATAAGATTTTTTTTCTTGTTTTTTTCCTCTTTAGACATATAAAAAATGATGGAATTGAATTTTTTTCTTTTTCAGGAACCCATTTTTCATGGAGTTACAAAAAATACCCATTCAGCTGGACACCATGCCTTTGAGTTTTTTTAACAATTAGAAATGAATTTAACAAACAAATGCCAGAAAATGATAATCTGCGAAAACTGTTAAGTGAAAACCTATTTAATGCAGCTAATTTTGTCTTCTTAGATTTTAATATCTTCCAAAACAATGCAAAAATGTTGATGTAAAAAAGTAATTTTTATCATCACTTTTTTTGATTAAAATTAATCTTCATAACTCATAATTATTCATAGTTTTCATTTCAATGAACACAATCTACAAGACGCATGCAAAGATGCACTCCAACACACAAATAATAAGCTCAAAGCCCATAGATGTAGATCACTGCAAACTTGATATCCAAAAACATTTAATCGTAACACTTACACTGGTAATTACTAAATACAAGGAATGATGGAGAATGATGCATAAAATGCCTTTGATTTTCTATGTTGTCCTAAAGACACTTTCAATTGTGAGTATACTGCTACCCAATGGCAATTTTCCGTTGATGACATAAAGTTTTTGGTTGTCCAGAATCACAAAAACTCAGCATATGGACCCAAAAGTTTCCTCCAAGCTTTTTCCCCTACCTTGAAGGCAGTATTTGAAAACTCTTTCACACAGTAGCAAAAAATTTGATTAATTTCACCCTATTCCCAAATTTTGGTCGCATTGTCATTGGTACCAAAGTAATCAGTAAGACCACAGGTTAAATAGAACAAGTTTTATTCACACTTTGTATTGTACAGGATGCAACAAATGCAAGCAGTGGCAAAGCCTCTACAGCAGGTTCGGGTGGAGAAACAGGGGTTGTTGTTGCTGAACAAGGAGAGGTTCGTCCTGCTGCTCAGAGGTATGGCTGGTCAGTAGAGAGAGAAGGCTCCTTGTACGCCGGGCCTGGGGTCACTGGAGGCTTTGGGGCTTCAGCAACTTGACTAGAAGAGGCAAGAGGAGTGAAGAGAATGTACTTCAAATGGGCTAAAATTTAAAGAAATACTAATGATCCAACCATAGACTTTATTTAATACATTACTGTAATCTAGTTATCATTATTTATGTTTCATCTCACTCCCTTTTTTGCTACATATCTTGTCACAGTCGGGTGTTTTCAGTCTTCTGTCAACACAGGGTTTCCACAGAAAAGTCTCCAGATAACATGACCTTGAGATATAGAGTCACAGAGATGTCTAAAACTGGTCAAATCCTACATTTGCATGTTACCCTTTTTTTTTTTTAGAAAGTAACAGGTTTGTCAAGAAACCAGCCCACGATAGGAAAAAAACAGGGGTCATCCCACCCTGTTTTTCTCTCTATCAGGTCTCTACTTTTTGCCTTAACCTATTTTTATGTTGTTGTTAATATGACAATTTTAACAATCAGGAAAATGTACTTCTCTCATTCAAGTTAAAATCATTACCTTATAAAAAAAATATACTGAGTTATTTACCTGCCAGCTGTGATGGCCTTCTGGGTAGACATGACAACTGTGGGGGGTACTGACTCTCTTCGTCCATCTCTGGTGAAGTAGTAGTTAGCGGCAAACTTGTGGCTTGGACCTACAGGAAGTTTGGGTGGTGCCTGTGTCCTAGAGAAAATATCATTGTTAACAACTCGTAGCTTTACCTCTGTATGGTAACATTATCAACCCAACAACATCTTAAGCGGAGCAAATAGCTTTAGCAAAACGGGCTATACTACTAAAGATGAAGCTTCAATCAATGTGCAATAATACCCTTATTAGGTGCAATATTATCTGCAGAGACTGTATTTTGCTCTTGAAACACTTACAGTTATGCATGTAGTATTGGCACTGTAACTACTTTGGCTCACATAAATGGAGCCTGTTGAAGTGGCCATGCAGTTTAGGTTAGGGTAGCCATTCAAAGCCACTAGTAAGTTATTTGATTTAGATATACTTCCAGAGTTTGTAACCCTAAAATTGGCAGGTATTGGATGTAAGCCTGTTTCTTTAAGTTTTCTAGTACTTCTGGAGGAATTTTCTTTCAGGTACGAAAGCAACTTTCATAACTGAAGACCAAAAACAAGCTAGAGCCATATATTTCTTCAAAACCTGTTATTCTTATATAGGCTGTTGCATTAGGGGAGATTTCTATTAAAGTCAATGTTTGTTATTGATGAGGAAAAAGAGTTAACAAGCTGATTAAGACGACAGCGAGAAGACGAGCAAAGAAGTAAGTGGAAAGGTTACCATTTAATTTCGCTTCGTAAACTTTTCCATGTGTCATTTGGTTAGGCCATATAGTGCCTAAGTCGATGTAAAGTTTAACTGGAGGATACTGGTGTATTGTTAGCTTTACTTCAACTTCCTATCGACTCAGGAGCTACATGGTCTAACCACATTAAAAAGCACACAAAGCGAAACTAAACAATAACCTTTCCACTTCCTTCCTTGCTCGTCTTCTGTGCCTAGAACGTAAAACACCAATGCATCCTCATTAATGGTCCCCGGCAGCTCATTTCCATTGTGGCTTTTTTAAATTTGCATTCTTTTATTTTCGCAGTAAGTAACTTTTTTTCCATCCCCACTTTTTTTTTTGCATTGTTAACTACCTTTTTTATTTGCAGCGGGCTTCTGTTTCTTTTTTTGCATCAATAACTTCCAATGTGACTTTTTTTTTTTTTGCATTCTTTTTTATTTGCAGCAGTGGCGGTTTTTGGCCACCGTAGATTAACACATCAATCTTTACATTACCCCACAGAGGATGTAGAAAAATAAGAGGCAAACCGTCAAAACAACAGTGTTTACAATGCCTGACAAGTTCAGACTTTTGTTTCAGGTAAACCCCTCGATTAGCTGCCCCCTTTCGTCCTCATGTGTTGGATTTATTTGTAAAATTCAGGTCTGGATCAGTTGTCGAGGCTGGGTCTAACAGTTTCTACCGGGTGTTTTGGTGTGTATGATAAATGTATCGTAACAGGACTGAGGCTGAGACAGTTTCAGGGGGTGAATTTAACAAAGGTCAGGTGGACAGAGTCTTCTTACCTTTTTGCAATCTCCTCGTATCTCAACTGCAGTTTGGCTTGCAGGTCATGCTGTAAATCAAACACCAGATGACAAACTTTAACAAACCGGTGATGGAAACAGAAACACTTTCCCTCACAGACAGCAGTCTAATTCATATTAGCTCATAGAGCAGCTCACCAATGCTGCCTTAGATTTAGCGATAATTTGGCACAGCTGTGTTGAAATTTCCCACAAAAATTAATTTTAGGTTGTAATAATGTTTAAAAAACAAAAACATAATTTTCCCTGGGTGTGCCTCTTACCCCAGATAGAAAATTTCGGAGCCTCTGGATGATTTTAGTAGCAGTCGCCATGTTTGCTGTTGTGAAGGACACGGACGGCCTCTTCTGTGATAGGAAATAGAGTACTTCGCCATCTTACTGCCACCAGGCGGTCTGGAAGAAAACTGCAGTTTTATGTATCACACTCAAAAGACACTAAACCAGAGGTCCCCAAACTTTGTCCTCTGAGGGCCACATAATTTTTCCCTTCTCTGATGGGGGGCCGGGATCAGTTTGTAACAGAAAAAGTGTGACGATCACAGGGGTGCCTAAACGTAAACATTTATTGTTTTCCAGAAAGCCACACATAACCAAATATTAATAACCCTTTCAGAGATCTTCACAGAAAAAAAAATCTCACGGCATTAAAGACATCTTTCTTCTTGGGACACACCTCTTCCATAACAGCATTAAAACATTTCTTAACAAACTCTCCATCAGTGAAAGGTTTACCACTGCTTGCTATCAGTTGAGCAATCCGAAAGCTAGCCTGAACAGATGACTGGTCCAGCTGAGCTTGGAGAACAAATGTATTCAACTGAGCTAACAGTCCACTATTAAAAAACACAAACAAATAAAAAACAAAAACACCCTTAACTGGGTGTTTTGCACAAATAAATAAATATTTTTAAAAAATTTAAATTAAATTTAAATCTTAAAACACCCTTAAAGCAGGCAGAAAACTGAAAAAAAAATAAATAAAGAAAACTTAAACAAAAAAACCCTTAAAATAGGCAGAAAATTAAAAGAAAAAAATATATATATATATATATATATATATATATATATATATATATATATATAAAAGAAACATAATAGTATTTCCAGAAAAACAAACTTAAAACAGGCAGAAAAATTAAAAGAACTATAGGAAAAAAAAAAAGAATAAAAAGAATAGTAGTTCTGAAAAAAAAAAAAAGAAAAACCCACCCTAAACCGAATGTTTTGCACAGAAAAAAAAAAACCTGTAGTTTTTCCCTTCCATGGGAGGGTTTTTATTCCCCTCCTGGAGCTACCACCTTACCGTGGTGGAGGGGTTTATGTGTCCTAATGATCCCAGGGGCTATGTTGTCAGGGACTTTATGCCTCTAATGGGTCACCCAAGGCACACAGGTCGTGGGGTAGGGACAAAACTAAGAGTAGCTCATCCAGACTGAGGTGCCAGACAAAAAAATAGGAAAAAAAAAACGAGAAGAAAAAAAAAATAAGTATTTTTGAAAAAAAAAAAAAAAAAAAACCTTGTGGTTTTCCCTCCTATGGGTGGGTTTTTATTTCCCTCCTCGAGCTACCACCTTACAGTGGTGGAGGGGTTTGTGTGTCCCAATGATCCCAGGAGTTATGTTGTCAGGGGCTTTATGCCTCAGGTAGGGTCACCTAAGGCACACAGGTCATGGGCTAGAGACCAGACTAAACGTAGCTCAAACAGATCCCTTATGATGGACAAAATATTTCGCACCTAGTTTCCCTCGCCCGCACATAGGTCACCAGGGTCCCCCCCTTAAACCAGGAGTGGCGATCGTGTGCGCCTGGTAGCCAGGCCTGCACCCATGAGGCCTAGCCAGGCACAGCCCAAAGAGGCAACATGGGACCCCCTTCCCATGGGTGGTAAACCCATGGGAAGGGGGTCCCATATGAACATGATTTGGACATTTAAAGTTGCTTACGGGAGCTTTGACTTGAATGTGTGGGAGACACATTTCTCTAAATGTCAAGATTTGTTTTCACTAAAATGCAGCAGTCTTTTTAGTAACTATTATTTAATTAGACAGTTAGACAAGTACTGTATTATGATAAAGCTGATGATTAAAATACAAATGATCACACTAAATTAGTCTTACATTTATACAATATTTCCCTAATGCATCTATATCATGTGTCAACCTGCCCTTGTGTAGTTTTGATGAGGACTACAGCTATAACTTGAGAAACACTCCATGGATAGCGATGAACAATTGCGTAAGAATTAAGTAACAGTGTGAGTCATATGGAGGCTGAGTCAAAGAGAGATAAAATTTTAATTTGTTTCACGAGATAAAACAGTAGATGGCAAAATAACGCCAGAATATCATGCAATCAAGTATTACAGATGTGTGCTTGTCTTCATGCAGCATGCACTGACCAAGGGAGTCCACAGGAAAACACGTGCACATGTACAACAGTTTAACCTGCTTGTTTGTTCTTTAGGAGTAACTCAAACAGAGGCTGAGGATCTTCACTGAACTCCAGCTGCTGAAGGTTGCTGTTTTTTTTTTGTCATTACAATAGTTACTGTGACGTATTATTCTTGAGGCAGAGCAGACCTTTCAACAGAGGAAGTCATTCAAGAAGACTATATCAACATTCAATTAATAAACCAAAATGCCAGGAGGAAAATAATTAATGGTATCATTTCTGAATGAAGACTGGCAGAGTTTCTGTTTTTAGTAATGTATTCATGAGAATGTAGTTTATCTTATGGACTGTGCCGTATCTGATTTCTGCTAAATTAGCTATTGTAGTTTGACTTTATTCTGTTTTGTTATGAACATTTGCACAGAGTTGTTACATAATCTTCCTCTGCATCACTGCCCCCATGATGACATCTTTATTTTGAAAGCATGCCAATATAAGACTCTTTTTACAAACCAAAAGAGCCTATGGTTGCATGACCAACATCTACAAAAGCTGGCGTTTTCCAAAAGCAGCAATAGTCAGGTTCATAAAAATGCATGTGAAACACTTAAAGCTTCTCAGCTCAGTGCTGAATTACTCTGTATGAACAGTTTCAAAAGAACAAGTCAGATATGTTGTCAGCTCTGAGGACTGTTTTCTTCAATGGTATCAAAGAGAGGAGCTTCAACAGAAACAGTCACAGGTAAAAAAAACGTCTGTACAGTACATAGCTTGTTCGTTCATTGTAAACAAATTCGTGGAAAACTGGCGACACCTCAGAATACGGGGGTTGTTCATTTACACAGAAGCATCTCAGAAAGACACAGACATGAGAGTTAAGGGCTTCTTAAGGAGGACTTTAATTTGGATACTTTAAACTGAAGACTTGTAGGAAAAACGTCTACAAAATCAAGCAACAGCAACCAACAATAAGACGACAAACTTCTGAAATCTGTCACTGCGGTGGGAAAAGATGAGCAGCATCCAGTGTGTGCTGGATGTGAAATACTGTTCTGATTCTTTCTCCAGCCAGACTCCTCATATCCTCATGCTTTCATTGTCATCATGCATATCCTGTCTTTCAAACACACAACCTGTTATTAAAATATACATCAATATTTGTACAATACAAAGACACAAAACAGAAGCCCTGGGTGTGGATTTGATTTCCTCTCCTCCATTTTCACTTTACTTGCAACACTCACGTACAAAAATTCATGTCAAAATACATTAGTGCACTTTTCCCCTCAATGTAAACATCACTACACGGTAATCGAAGTAGGAATGGGTATTTTTCTGCATGACATTTGTTGCATGCTCGTGAAAAAGAAACAAAAACAAACTGGACAGCTATACAAGAATCGAGCACAATTCCAGGTACAAAATGTTTTTCAAGAAAGGGGAAAAAAAAAATACCTAAGAGTTTAAAAATAAAATATTTCCTCCACAAACAGAGGAAGACGCAGACTTTGATTTGGCTGCTCTATGGTATCTCTCTAAGTTGCATGCTTTGAGTACGAAGTTATCACAGCGAGGCAAAGCCACCGTTTGCAGATGTGTGTAGAAGAATGATTTAAGATACTTCTGTGACACATTACAAGATTGCACTGAGTAACCACAACAGAGTTTAATGTTCTGCATCATGCAGAGCTTCTTTTTTTTAAAATTCATGTCTGAGATTGCAAACAGCACAAATGATTAAGAACGGTGCATCAGCCTTTAAAAGATATGGCTTAGAGGACACTGCACTGACGGCATGGCACATAATAAAGACCCTTTATCTGAGCCAGCTTCATCATCTCTTCTTCATAGACTGAATTTTAAAGTCACGCTCGCTGTTTTGATCTTGAATTCACACTGCAAGGAACATGATCAACAAGTCAGTGGAAGTTCTTTGATTTCTTACAGAGCAAAATGTCAGGAGATAATTTTGCTTTTCTTAACTTTTCTTCAAGTTCCTCACTCTGGTGATTGTTTAAGGAACAATAGTGCTCTTGATGGAAGAATTTTAGCTGTGCAAAGCTTTACTATTTAGACCGATATATAAACAAAAGTAGGATTTTTTTTTCCAATAATGCATATGCTTGCTGGACTGAGAGACAGCGCCAAGACTGCAGCTGTAGTAGTTCAATCATCCATCATGTTGCTCTCAGTGTGAATCCACGGTTCTCCTTAGGGTTAAAGGAAATCTTGTCTGTATTTTACCACTGGAAGCTGCACTGACAATAATTATAATTAGAATAATAATAAGAAAAAAAAGTAAACACAACTTCAGCTCCTGAAATGACTTCTTGTACCATTTGGTCCTTCAATGTTTATGCCCTGCTTTATCAAACTACTCTATGCTGCAGCAGTTTATTCAAAAAATAGACATTTATTTAAAAAATCCCAATCCAGTCAAAAGACATAAAAACACATTTTTACAGCATGAATACAAAAATGCAGAGCCTTGGCTAAACAACCAATGAGAACTTCCCTCTTTCCCTTTATATACTTGTCATAGTTTACAAATGTAATAAATAAGACAGGAATGTCTGCAATGCCTCAAGGCAAATATTTACAATTACAAAATTCAAGTAAAATCTTCTCCCACTTTCACTCTCACCGTGAAAAGTTAGTCAATGAGTTCTGAAGACTTGAAAGTTAAGATATGAGAAGTAGTAATGAGGGCTGTGCCGAGGTGTCACTTCCTCTGATGCCCTTTTTGCTCAGGCGCCTCTCTGCGTTCTGACTGTCCCCCCGGCGGAGGACTGGAGGAGGAGCAGGAGGTCTCTACCTCTGAACTGCAGCTGCTCTCAGCGGCTGGGCACCCCGCCTGTTGGGGCTCAGATGAAGTGACGTCCTCCTCCGGCTCTGATTTCTCGTTGATATCCTCCCCGTCTGAACATGGCTCCCACTCGTCCTGCTCCTCGCTCTCTGTTGAGCCCTGTACGGCGATCTGAGGCACCAGTGTGAACCTCCTCACCACCGGCACCTCCAGCTCCACCTCCTCGCTGGTCTGGGGTCGGGTTAGCAGCCAGGCCATCCTGTGTTCTTTCTTCTGCTCGTGCTGACGTTGCGTTTGGGCCCCTGGAGTTGTGGTTGTCACGGTGACTGTGGTGCTGGTTTTCTCCTCTGGCTCGTCAAAGCTCACCTCCTGCACCGCCTCCTGCTTCTTAAACGAGTCTCGTCGCTCCGACAGGTTAAGCTTTCGCATCACGACAAGCTGCTCAGACCGTTCGACTCTCTGGCTGCTTATGTATCCTCCCAGCCTGCTGTGATCCACCCCGACATAGGAGCCTCCACAGGCACCCTCAGCCTCCGAGTCACCCAGCAGGTCTGCTTCACCGTAGAACGGCACTTCAAGTGTGTGTCTGCGGGGGGTGTATGACTTCTTATCAGCGTGGTACACACCAGAGAGCTTCTCGGCCGACTGCACCCTTTTTAACAGAGGAGATCGAGGTGGCTCAGCACTGCGGGGCCGGACCATGTGTCTAACAATGGTTGGCGGGGACAGGGTTTTGCCGTGGTATGTGTGGAGGGTTTTGGCGAAGCCAGAGAGTGGAGAAGGAGAGCGCTGTGGAGAAAGAGGCTGGGTGGAGGATGAGGAGGAAGTGCAGGCCAGGGGCGATGGGGGGATATTGCTGGTTGACTTTCGGCGGCCCACCTTGGTGTAGCGCTGCGAGCTGAGTTTGGAGCCCAGGCCGTGCAGAGAGCTGGGCCGGATATGTGCAGCTGGGGAACTGGGAGAGCTGGAGCAAGGAGACGTGCTCTGTGGAGAGTTAGTGTCTGGGAGGGAGAGGGGAAAAGGGTCAGATAACGCTCAGATAACATGCGATCATAAAGATTCTGATGAAGGAAACGTCCTCTAACCCCCAATTTTCACCGCATCTGAACTAGGCATGTGCCGATTAAGGGTGTGGAAAATAATCGATATCAATCGATGCATCGATGCGCATGTGCGCGATGCGACTGCGTCGGCTCATTCACTGGGTATCGATGCAATTGACGGGTTAAATCTAGATTCATCTAGATGCGTTTGTGGGTATCGGTAAAATCCGATGCAAGCGCCGTTTTATTCATGTTAAACTTCACCCAATCTGCTGTTTCCCAGGCGCATTGAATGCACCATCATTTTTTCACGTTTTGTATTGAATATGGACGGAAGCCGTGAGGGACATACAATGCACTACTACTAAAACAGCATGGACCACATTCAAGTGAGCAGCAGCGAGAAAGAGTTTATATGTAATGCACCCGCTACGTTTAAATCATATGTTTGGAAACACTACGGATTTGCAAAGAAAGACGGAAAGCTCGACAAAACGTCCGTCATTTGCAAAGAATGCTGCGTTAAGAAGCCGTACAACGGCGGCACCACAAACATGCAGACCCACTTAAAAAGAGTACACCACATCACCGACAAGTCTGACGACACCTCCCCTCCCTTAACATTGATTGCACTGATGAAAGTGTCACTTTAGGTTACTCATTGAGAGTGTTTTGTTGTTGCTGTTTACTGTACTTTTTACAGAAGTAATTATTGTGTAATTGTTTTACTCTTTTATTATTGCAGAACTCACTCAAATCACTGATTTTGTGGCCAGTTAGAAAGTCAACTCTAGCACATTGGTTTGGCAGACAGTAGTATGGCCATTGAATGGTTTATTTGCACCATGTTAGGCAGTGCATTAGTTGTTTAATAATGTGTACTGTAATATTACCCAACAAGTATAGAGCACTTGTGTGATGTAGGGTTGGGGTTGGAATCCTTTTTTTATTTTTTATTTTTTTTTATTTTATTGATTCAGATTCCTTAACAGTTGCAGGAGGTCTATCTAATCTGTGTAACTGTACAAAATGAAGGAGCATAGAAAAAAGACAAAAAGCACTTTTGTTGAATTAACTGCTAAGTGCCTTTAAGGAATAAAGCCAAATCCTTTTTGTAGTACCATACTGAATTCCATCTTTTATTTTTATTTCTTTTTTTTTCTTTGCTTATTTGCATCATGTTGAATTGCATCATATCGCAACAAATTGCATCATATCGTATCGGTTCGCATTGATTTGAACTAAATGATTATTGTATCGTATCGCATCGTGAAGAGGGTGAATCGTATCGCATCGTATCGCCAGAAAATTCCATGTATCGTTAAAGTATCGTATCGCTGGCAGTGCATCGAGATGCGTATCGAATCGTCCTCAGTGCTGAGATTCACATCCCTAGTGCCGATGTGAAAAATCTGATATCACGATATTGCTGGCCCAAAATATCAGGATTCACGGTATTATCACGATATTAGTGCATTGCTTTTAACGTTATTAAAAATGGCAAAAAAACTGCGAAATCACCTCTCAGTGCACAGCATGACACGCACAAACAATACGAGAAAGAGACAGCTAACGCGACGTTGGGAGCATTCGCTTTTTGGAGCCAAAGTTAGCAGAAACGTCACTAACGTTGTCAATAATAAGCAGTAGAGTAGACCAGACTTGTTGCGGTCATGTTGTTTTTACCTTGATTTGGGCGAACGATGCTGGATGGTGTTCACGGAGGTGGGCACGTAGGTTTGAAGTGTTAGACAACGGCGCTGCAACCTTTTTACGGCATAACCTGCAGATCGGTGTCAGGTTTACCTACTCCGTCTGTTTTGTGAAGCCGTAAAACGTCCATACTGCCGACAAAACCTTTTTGATAGGAAGATACAGCTGAGGCGTTTCGTCATTCTCAGTCTCTCACTGTTCTTGGTCCGGCTGCATCGTTACGTTGGTTAGAAGTTGGAACAAGTGCGTCAACTTTTTTCTTCTTCTTCAAACTGTTTCCGGCTCACAGAGTGGACACGCTCCAACAGTGCTTTGGGTGGCCGCAATGCATTGTGGGTGGCCACGGATTTTGTTGTAAAATTTCTTCATTTTCTCTTTTAATGTTGCCGTTTTTGTTAAGCTGGCATTAATGTACTTAATTCGAGAGTTTGTTTTGGGACTACTTTTGTGGTGGTTTGTTTGTACATTTTGCTACTGAGGCTTTGACACCGTGGGTAAGACTACAAGCGGGCTAGGTTGGTAAGTACTCGGCTTCGCTGAGTGTCGCTGCTACTTGTCTTTATATTATAATTGTGGAACGATTATTACAGTACCCTAAGATTTCACCTGTGAAAATTGGCACATTAACTTCAGTTACAATTTGTAGATACAGCCTTTTAGTAGCTGTTCAGGATGCGTTTGAAATTGGGGGTAAGAGTCTGGAGACACATGGTACTCACCAAAAGTCTGATGGTCAGGTGCGGGGCTACGACAGGGTGTGGAGGGGCCTGGGGATAGGCTGTGTGTCGGGGAGCCTGGAAGACTCTCACTGGAGGAAACTGAGTGGTGGAGACCTGAGGAGAAGCTGCGGCTGCTGTGCATCACCGTGCTCTGCTTGGAGAGCTTCTTTAAGATGCTGCGCCGCCTGGAAGAATCACAAGAGTAAGGCGTGAGAAACTGTGCACCAACACCAGCTTCAGGTGGTCGTGTAGAGGATTTACGGTATTGTTCCTCTCTGTTTGTGTAACATTACCAAAATAAACTTTCCAGTCTTGAGCACTAGAGGGAGATAGAGTTTTGACTCTTGTTTACAGATGATATCCACCAGACTTCAGAGAGTAAACAAACAGAACAGGAGAGCAGAGTTTGTGGAGCCCAGAGAAAGGTCGGATTCTTACCTGTCGTAATTATCTCTCCTCTTGCTCTTCTTGCTGCGTCGAGCCATCTTGCCTTTGTGCTTCGTCTTTCGGGCCGGACCAACTTTAATCGACGTGTTTTCAAGTGCTATTGTCTGCAACGCCACCCTGCTGCCGCTCTGCAAATCATAAGAAAGCAAACCACGACCCATCTGTGTTCAGTAAAGAAGATTTAAACCCCCACAGAATCACAGATATGTCAAAGTTCTCACTTTGAGTTTTGTACCTTCAGTAGCAGTTCTAACATCTCAGGGTGGACCAGGCCTTGGACAGACTCTCCATTAACGTGGGTGATGAGGTCTCCAGCGCGGAGACCTGCCTGGTGGGCCGGGCTGCCCTCCTCCACACTCTGTTAAAACAGCAAAATAGTGAGGGTGTTTCATTTGAGCGTTGCATAACCACATTTAAAACCTTTTTCTTCTTGTTTGGTGGCGTTACTTCACATGGACGCATGAAATTTTACAAACAGAGGGACTTTAGAAAGCTGCGTTTTTAATTGAAGCTGCTCAAGAAAGAACATTAATGATCATTTCTTTATCATTTCCTTAAAGTAATAATCACCATATTAATCATTTTGCACTGCAGACGTGGTAGTTCTTCTGCCTTAGCATCTTGGTCTGATTGCATTTCCATGTTAGGTTCTGTTCTGAGCATTATTTGTGGCTATAGAGTGGCGTTTTGGTTGATGTTTGTTTATGGCTCCCCAGACCACTGTGTATTGCTATATCACAGTCGTTACTAAAGTTGGTATGACTAGAGAAGCAAGCGGTCGGCAATATTCATCCCTCGAGGGGGTGTTTAACTCGGTGTTACGGTGTGTCTGACCCTTAATTAATTTTACGGCGGAATATCCCTTTAAGTACAGTTTCAGGAGACCTACCGACACCATGTGATGCACCGTGTAGACATCGCTGTCCCCCATGTAGACGCGGATGGCCTGTAGGGTGAAGCCATACTTCTTCCCTGTGGTGTGGATGATGATGGGAGGCCTCAAACTGCCCGGGCTGAGCGACAGATCCCGGCTGGGGGAGGAGTCACGGGAGGACGGGTTGGAGGAGAGAGAGCGTGGGGAGATGGGGCTGGGCTGAAGGCAACTGGGTGAATCATCTGAAATTATAAAACATGCAAAAGATGATTTGAATATGCTGTAAAAGGCCAATCTTTTGAGCAAAGAGAGGAAAACACTCAGAGTGTTGTAAAATGTCTCCTCTTCTACAGTCTCAGGAGATGATGAAGATCGTCTGTACCTGTGGTGATGATGAGAGACAAAGCCGAGACTGATGCTGATTTGGGAACCTTCCCCCCGCAGGGAAGTCTCTGTCTGTCTGGCGTCTCCAGCTGGTTACCGAATCGCCGAGGCCCTGCCGGTTCTTTTGGGGACGAGTGTTTTGCCCCGGTGCTGTTGCTGCGGATCCTGATCCTTCGCAGGTTTGACACAACCACCTCAGCTGCAGGAAACACGAGCCACCATGTTAACAACAGGCCAGCAGATTTCTGATCCAACCATGAGTACAATTTGTGAATAATCTGTAAAAACCTTCATCGTCTGTGGAAAGTGCAAAGCGAGGCATGGTCTCCAGGCTGTGGGTGCTGCTCATCACCAGAGGACTGGTGCTTCTCTCGGACTGGGAGGAGCTGGAAGAGGCCCGAGGGCGAAGGCTGCAAACAACCAGAGAACAGTCTCACAGGTCAGTCAGCTACTGTGAGAGTCCTGGTGACCAGACAGCACTGCACCAACACTGTTTGTGAGCTAGCTGGCGCTCTTATACTGATACAGAACACCAATAAAGCAAATCTATCTTAGCATGAATTTAGATTTCACAGCAGAAACAAAATGCAAGAAGAGAAAAAGAGCTTTGAGATGATGGACTGGGACTGTGTGCCTACCTGGCCATGCGTCCAGCAGGTCTGCGCTCCACACTGCCCTCTGCTGGGCCTGGAGAGGGACTGGCTCCTCCCACGTCCACACGGTCTTCCTTTTCCTCACTGTGACTGCGGTCGGACGAGAAGCTCAGGTTGGATGGAGTCGCCAAATGTTCGGTGCTGCTGTAAACCTAAAATATCACACAGGAGGGAGATTGAGTGCTGAAAGATGGAGTCTTTCCACAGTGGAGTCAACAAGTGGATCTGTTTTGTCAACAGAGCTTCACAGACATGACTTATTTATGCTGTTTTAGTCCAGTTTAGATATACTTCATAGGCTGTTGAACTTGTTTGGGACCCAATTTTGACTATTTAGGAGATCTGATATCTGAAATCCCAATAAAAAGTAGAACACAGGTTGAAAGTCTCCCCCCTGGTCGCCTTTTACTCAATTCCCACAGTTCTGCTGTTGTGAGAACTTACCTTACTGAAGCGATGTGACCAGGAAGCAAACTGCCTGATTTCCAAGGAAGACTCTTCATCGTTAGTTTCCTCATCCTCGTCAGACGCCAAGTGATGGTAACGCTCTGAGCGAGCTGAAAACAGAAACAGGACAAGAGGCTTAAAACAAGTGATTTCTACAATCTGATGTAGCTTTTATACAAGAACATAACAAGAGAAGGTCTTCAACAGCCTTGACAAATGCTGTTCTGTGCTATCACTTCAATAGAACCACTATCCTGGTCTAATGTGTTTTCAGTGTGGGTGAAACTTCTGTAGGCCTACAGTCAGCAAACTGGAACTTACTGTCGAAGTAGCTGGTGTCGTCCTCGGCCTCCAGCTGAGGGATGAATTCAGCTTTCTGCCTCAGGAGTCCGTTCCAGTCCAGACCCAGGAAGAACGGGTGCTGTTTGACCTCTGAGGCTCCACCTAGGATCAGATTTTTAAAAACCATTTAACACCAGATTAAGCAGTAAATCTTTAAAAAAAATCTGTCTAAGATGTAACATTTATTTCATCTCTCTTGGTTAAGAAACTATGTCTCCTGTGAAATATCTAACAGAGCATATTTAAATTGTATTTCAACACGATTTTATTCTGCTTAATATATATTATATTAGATGTTCTGTGCTTGCAACTGTTGTCTATGCACTTTGTAAACTTCTGTTTTTAAAGGTGCTATATAAATAAAATTATTATTATTATTATTATTATTATTAGATTTTAAGGTCGTGCATTAAAGACCCACTCTGATGAAAATCATGTTTTTCTTGTTGTCTACGTGTTCATATGGCATTTTTCTGATAATACAGGACATATCATGAGAAAATTCAATGTGAAAGTGCATTTCTGAGTATTTCTTTATTCAAATCGCTGTAAATCTCTGGCAGACCCAAACGGCAGGATCAGATACAGTTAGATTTCGTATGTAACCAATCCAAGCTCCGCCCCCAGAGCTCTGCTATGCAGGCCAGGCTTAGAGAAATAGAGAGGACGATCGCGAAACAAGCGTGTGCGTTAGTGGATTAAAATGCTCATAAGAAAGCTAATTATGAAATTAACTTTCATCATGCCCCTAAAGACAATAGTGTCTGAGAGCTGAATACCTCCTACGTTACCTGCTACATCTACTACAGTGGTAATGTTAGGCTGCAAGCTAACGCTGTCTCTGACCACGACTCAGAGGCGAATTGCTAATGAGCTAGTGGAGCTCTGCAGAAGAAAAGTCCTTGCAAACGACACAGGTACCACTGATAACACTTTAAGGAGTTAAAAAAAAAAAAAAGACAATCGGAGTGGGACTTCAAGAAATTTACAGTTGGGAGAAAACACCCTAATCCATCAGTATCAGTCTGTTTCAAACTCCATCTGCAGCTTTCAAATATCTGCAGTAAACTGAGCAGTACCTGTTCCAAGTCGGTCTAAAGGACTCTGTCTGAGCAACCGGGTAATCAGGTCCTGGGCATCAGCAGGTAATGCATCGTCTCCTTCTGGCCAAATGATGTCATCTGCAAAAAGAAGAGAAGAAAGAGAAATCAGACTAAAAACAGTGACCTCTCTTCTTCCTCGAGTGAGTAAACTCTGATCTCAACACTCACCACTGACGACCTGTCCAAAAAGCTCCTCAGGTGTGTCTCCAAAGAACGGGACACAGCCAACCAGGAACTCGTAGAGGATGACCCCCATCGCCCACCAGTCCACTGGCTTCCCGTAGCCCTGCCTGAGGATCACCTCGGGGGCGATGTACTCTGGAGTGCCACACACCTTCACAAGCAAACCAAAACCAGTGAGACAGCTGTGCTGGCTGTTTGACATGCAAAATGATGCTCTGTCTCTGACATTTCAAAGACTCTCACCTGTTTGTCTATGAACTCTCGTGTGTCTTTCTCCATGTGACCCTCGTACAGATTAGTGGTCATGTTCATCAGGCCAATCTTAGAGAGGCCGAAGTCTGTCAGCTTGATGTGGCCCATGGATGTAATCAACAAACTGTTAAATAAAAAGAAATAGACGTGTGTTTGGTTATCTGATGATAATTACATGGCAAACAAGGTTGCATTTCCTGAAAACAAGGGACACCACTTCTGAATTTTGTGTTTACAAACAGAAACATGAAATCTTCTCACTTGTCAGGTTTGAGATCCCGGTGCACGATACCATAGTTGTGGAGATACTCCAGGGCGAGGACTGTTTCAGCAAAGTACAACCGTGTCATTTCGACAGGCAGCGGGCCCATGTTCTTCAGCAGGTTGGCACAATCTCCACCTTAAACAAAAATCACAGACATGAAGTTTCTTTCCAGTCATCTTCTCTGATCTAACGTCATCGACATATTCTAGTTGCTACTAACTGTGGACAAATCTTAATAGATGGAGCTCAAACCAAATGTTCTCAAGTGTACCTTCCACATACTCCATGACCATGCAGAGGTGACGTCTTGTCTCGAAAGAGCAGAACATGGAGACGACAAAGGGGTTCTCTGCAAACGTGAGGATATCTCGCTCTACAAAGGCCTGCTGGATCTGATTTCTCAAGACCAGGTTCTGCCGATTGATCTTTTTCATGGCAAACCGCTGGCGGGTATCCTTGTGCCGGACCAGATACACAGCCCTGTCAAGATCAACACGAGTTGGATTAAGCCAATAATTTTTACAGTAGTCAGGAAAAGTTAAAGAAAGTTCTGAACAAGTGATTTCTTTGCAGCAGGGAACCCAAAGGTGCTTAACCACCAAAATACCTTTGCTAAAGATACACAAAGGCAAAGAAAGTAAAGATCAAAACAAAGGCTTTTTTTTCTTACCCGTAAGCTCCATTACTGATGAGTTTGATCGTTTCAAAATCACTCTCAAAGGGTTTCCTTCTAGTTGGTGTCAGCATCTGTGGGCCTTTGTTCTGTGGGGAAGAAGAATAAACCTGATGCCTACGTCTGTAGATGGGATCAAGTTACTAAAATCAAATCCTCTGACAGATAGTCGCTAAAAGTCAAAGTTTACCTCCGCACTGGCATCTACTTCCACTGACACTGAGGGGCTGGTGTCATACTGCTCAAGCTGCACCATGTCTGCAAATAACAGAGAGAGAAAGTGAGTTTAAAAGCACCAACGAATAAGAATCCTTGACTTCTACCTTAAACGTGTCCTCCCCCATCACTATTACACCTATTTAGGTACAATATAATGAATCTTAGCCAGTTTAACCATCTTAGAGTTGCATTATAACACAAACAATATCATTCCTTTAATTTTGTACCTTATTTATTTGTGTTGTTTTAACCCTGAGTGCTTTTAAATGTGCATATAAATTAAATGCATCATTATTTTCATGATCATTATTACCTTCCAGGGGGTCTCTTGTCAGGCCCAGCTGACTGATGATGTATCGAGGGATGTCCGTCTTGATTCCCCGTCCAACTTTGGCATGACCCTCTGCTGCTTCCAGTAAGTGATAGAACTCTTCCGGATCAAACTCCTGTCAACAGCATCAAGTCTCATTACTGAAGGCTGACTGAAGCCATTATCCTGCCAGACTGAACTCAGGGAACAGGAAAACACAAGCTGTAGGTTGTGCTCCTGAGCTTCAGCATCTCTGGATGAACTCTAGGTGACACTGATTGTGGTTTAATGGCCACAAATGAAACATGATGATCGTCTTATTCCACTGCCTTTAAACATTGATAGCGACATGTTCTGGTGACCTACTTCAACTCTCAAAGGAGGAATAAAGGTCGGAAAATCATTTCAGACAGATCTAACTTTGAACCGACTCCTCATTTCAATCAAAGTAATCTCATTTTCAATTAGGAAGAGATTTTCTCCTTTTCAGCTTACCAGACACTCCAGGAGGCGAGCCGGCCGAGAGATTACCATCAGGATCTTCCTCACCATCAGAATAATGACGGGCACCTCCTCACTTTCAGAGCGATCGTGGGCCTAGAGGAAAAAAAAAATATGTGAGATTAAGGAGCAGTGATTTTATGTAATACTCTAAACCAGCTGGCTTGTCACAAAATGCCCCAGAGACAACAAAACACATCAGTACAGATTAAAGCATCCTTTAAAACCTCAAGAAACGTGTGTATAGGAATATATGAAACATCAATACTTGATATGAAATGCAAAATAATTAAAGGCACAGGACTTGATTGATGTTTCAGAAATATTATAGCAGAGGCACCACTTCAATGGCATAAAAAGACACGTGGAAACAGATGCCGCCTGACAGAAGTGTGTCAGAAAGGACAACACTTAAAACCAGGAGGAATTATTAGAATAATCACCAAGGAGGTGGGTGGGGTCTTAATGAGTCATCCATGCCCTTTTTCCAGTCGACTAGAGTGATGGTCTGTTTTAGTGAAGCAGTGTCTGCGTGGTTTACTGTGCGATCATGCCAAGGTTTGCATATACAGCCTAACCGTGACCACAGAAGTACTCATGACATCTGTTCACTCTTTCATTACAAAGCTTTGGACAGAAGATGTTTGGACCATAAAAGGTAGAAGAAAAGCCTGGCTCCTTTCAAGGTTCACAAAAGTAGCACTGTAGCATCTCTGAAACACCAAAAACAACATGAACTTTCTTTAGAGATCTTCAAAGTTGTTGTTTTTTTTCTAGGTGCTGCCCTGACTCAATGTTCATGGTAAGTCAGGCCTCAGCAGATAATCACCAGCTGTTAGCAGTTAGTGATGGTTATCCTTTGCTTTTAGTCCAGTCTGTTTTAACTTCCAATATCAGTATTTGTTGTTGGATCAAACCTCCAGCCTAAGAGAGACTGCAGTTTGTTACTTTATGGCCTTTCTTAGTCTCCCAGGAGTTCATTGATCCTGTCCAGCTCTGTGATGTTTTTGATAGTCAGCAGCACTTTGGTCTCCTTTGAGGAGCAATTCACATTTATGAAACTTAACAGAAACATGTCTGTGTTTTTTGTATCCTGCCTTGTTTCCTCATAACAGAAGCCTGTCTGGCTCGGTCAGAGATTTTTGTCAGGTGTTTTTTTAGATCCATCCTTTCACTTTTGTCCTCGGTTTGATCAGTTCTGTTTTCCGCACACAAAACAAATGACTACGAAGAGGATGACATGGCTCAGTATCCCAGCTGTCCATTCTGATCCTCTTGATGTCAAGTAAGTCGATTGCCTGCCGTTCAGTGGAGTCGAGATCAAACTTGGTGGGCTCTCCATCTGCCAGAGTTACCCTGGTTTATGACTGGAGCTGAGTTTCCAAGCTGATGGTAATTACATCATTCCTCCTTGAGTACGGCTCCATGTCAGCACTCTGATCCTCCAACATGTATTTTTTTTTAATCCTATTTAAGTTTTTATTTTTTTTAAATGAGACTTTTTTTTGTTTGGATGGAAATATCTAATATAAAATCAAGAGACCTCTCTCTGTTGTTCACTTCTTCTGTTGTGAGTGATTGTGCTTCTCCTCTATGGCCCCATACTGCCCAGGGTTCAATTATTACAGACAAGTTAAATGATAACTTCACGTCTAAAACTGTTCCACTCTTGGACTACGTGTTCTTGGCAGAGAAAGTGTGTCTCCAGGTTTGTGGGTCTTTAAAGACATTTGTTCCACTGTATGGGAACAGACTTATCAGTTCAGCTGGAAGTGCGGCGAGGCTGCCCTGCCTTCTGTCTGACAGCATGCCGAGGAACAGGGGAAGAGGTTGCCATAGAAACTAACATTTTACCACAACACAAATAGGATCTGTTACAAAAAGACTGCTACCATCCCCGACACTTTCCACAAGCGGATCTATTGTGTAAGCCTTCGGCGATCAGACGGTTATTGAGTGACGCGCCTGATTGGACTCTGGCTTGATCAATCCGCTTTCATAACTTTCACCACATCCTCGTGTCCACATGATGGGGTCACATGTAGTAGCTCATCAGCTGATCACTTCATTTAATTGTATACTGCAACCTCCAGTTGGTTTTCCAATGATTAGCATCTACCAGAGCTGTTTCAGGAGGAACTTTAATCAAGTCCTGAGTGACCCTGTTGAGCTGGCCGTTCACTCACCTCATGAAGCAGCTTCTCCAGCTTTTCCTGCAGTTCTGCAAAGTAGCGCGAAGTAACGAGGTCCTTCTGAGACTTGTCCAGACAGTCTCTGACCAGCTCCACCAACTGGTGCTGGATGAAGCCCAGCACCCCATCAGCCAGCGGGAGGGAGCTGTCTGGAGAGCAGTGAGAGATGATCTCCAACAAGCGCTCCTCCATCTGGGCTGTAGCCTGCAGCGAGGACAAGCACGAAAACACACAGTTGAGCCATTTAACTATTACCATAACCATTAGAACTTTTTGAGAAACAAATCTTGATTATATCTAACATTATCTCATTGTGCTGGGCTCATATGGTTGTTTATTAATGTCAGTGATGAACAACCAGTTAGCCACCCGCTAAGATTACAGGCTTGAACAGACACAATCATCATTCGGCTGGCGAGGAAGATCCTCAGGCTCAGTTTTCATTCAATACCCAAACGCCAAAGACAGCACATCAAAATAGACTCAGAACCATGAGCAGTTTGAGTGCTGTGAGGATAACCTTTTCCAGTACTGACCTTTGGAAAACGCTCTTTGTAAACATGGTTCATCATCACAATTTCATTATCGAAGGAGACACTCGAACGTCCGGGGCTGCAAGGAAAACAAGACATTAGATATTTCCAGTCCAACTTATATAAACCAATGGATAAACAAGCTTATGAAGTAATAAATTTGAAATAAATAAGTAAAATTGAAAATAAATATGCATTAAGGTGATCTTTTTGTTTGTTTAGAGCTTTTTTATTCTTGACTGTGTGTGTGTTTTCATGTCATGAGCTGTAGATCTGTTTAAAGTGCAGGATTTGGATGAAAATAAGCCACAGATTTCTAAGAATCTCATCTGCTTGTGATGGTTCATTTTGTTCATGTTCACTCAGAGAGAGAAAAAAAAAAGGGGTTAATACATCGAGTTAATCTGCATCTTTCATCTGGTTCGAGACCGCAGAAGTGGTTATGTCATCGAGGCCATCATGGTTGTCTAAAGATGGCCAAGAGTCAGTTTAGCTCAGCCCACCCAATCTAAACATAAACACATCAATAATAAATCCTCATTTGAGTTTGGCTGAGAGATGATGTTTGAGGTCAACTTCTACACTTGTACACTTGATCTCATCCTGCCAAAGAAGCGCTGTGGGCCAACTTCTCATTTCAGAAGCTCTGAAGCCGGTTAGGCTACAGTCAGGGTGGATTTCACAGCTGTGTTTAGATGTTCCTCTTTCAGAAATTCTCACTCTGTCAGCAGAGGCTTTCTTGGCAGAAATGTGAGAAATCAACATCAGGAAATAAGTCATTTACTGCATTCATAATTCATTCGGCAGAAAAAACACCTGCCTTGATAGAGCTCCAAACAGAGCAGATGGGAGGGAAAACCGATCACATGCAAGCGAGCTCCCTAAGCCTTTTTTTGTCATGAAAGGCGCCTCTGTTAAGAGTAGATGGCTGCTGCCCAACACACTGCAGCAGCTCATCGTAGTCCTCTGCAACATGCGCTTCCCACCCTCCGATAAACCACCCCCACCCTCGACTACAGCTCAGCAGCTAAATCCCTGAGGCGCTCCGTTAGCTAGCATGCCCACGCACTGCACACCAAGGCGCCAGAACACAGAGCACGCAGGCGTCGCACAAACATTGCGCAGCAGAGCCAATAAAGTTGTCAGGAGCAGCGGGGTCTGCGGTGAGATCTCCACCTGCCTGCCGGCCAACAGCCCTGTGGAATCAATCTGAGACACCCGGTGTGTTTGCAACTGTCTCGATCTTCCAGACATTTAAGAGACGGTGCAGAATAACACTATATACCTCCACAGCAATGCAGAGATGCACCCACTGTTCAAAGTCTCAACTTATATATGGCAACAAAGAGGTTGTCAATCCCTTTGGGGAAAAATAGAGTTTTATTCTTTAAGCTGCAGTGTGTGTCTTTCTGCACTACTCAAACAAAAATCAGCATAGCATGCAGGGCTCGACAGTGCGACCGTTTCACTCGCATTTGGGACTAAAAACAGATGTGTGCGAATTGTAAAATGTATTTAGGGGCACATGTGCGCATAAAAAAATCAGCCGAGGCAACAAATGTTTTTTCATGTTAATACCACGGTGAAGTGAGTTTTAGGTTAGATATGCGATGGACATTAACTGAGGACCTGCTGGTGTCTTCTCACTCTCCATAACCGAGAATGGCAACAGCAGCGCAGTTAAATCACTCGGCACCCTCGCCTTCAATGTTGAGTGTTAAATAAGGGACCATCAATAAATTACCTGTTGATGTTCTCAAAAAAGGCTGTTTCCCTTCAATAGCTTCCATGTCATGTGACCAAAAGACCTAAAATTGATTTCAAATAATAGTACTAAGGTTGGACAATAAGACACGCCTCTTTATTTCTCTAATTTGACCTCATAAATTTTTGTGTTAGATTTAAAGGCAAATTCTGAACATTTTCTTCAATAGCTTTCATTTCATGTGACCAATTGACCTAAAACTGATTTCAAATTATAGCACTTATGTCGACCAATAAGACACACATTATTTGATCAATTATCATTGTGCCCCTAAAGTTCTTTGTGTGCTCCTTCTGAAAAAGTTAGTGTCAAGCCCTGAATTAGCATGAATCACTTTGAAGGACTATTATAGGAACCCCATATTTGCCAACAGCAGTCATTCTGCTAAAACAAAAAAATCCACATCATCTACCTAAGGCTCCTGGACCTGGGCCGTATGACTGTCGTTGACCGCCCATCTTCATCGGCCATGCTGTCTGTGCTGCGGAAGTGTTTGAAGAGGAAGTGTAGCTCATCTTGTGTCGGCTGGTAGGGGAGCTGGTGAAGACGCTCCTGGGAGGATGAGGAGGACTGTGGACACAAACAGAAAGTGACTTGTTTTCCAAAGACAAGGGCTGAAAATCTTCACATTCATCTGCTACTAATCAAGTCACAAAAGAACCCATAGTTACTGTTGTCCACAATCTGAGCTGATTGTTTTGCCAATTATACTAAAAAAAATCTATTATGATGAAAATTAGTTAAATTATGAAATTAAAAGTGTTATATAGTGTTATTAAAATTGAGCTCTGATAGGTGCAGCAAAGAGAGCTAACCTGTTGTCCTCTTCAATCTTTATAAAGTCCAAATTCAGTCATTTCCAGCCCTGCCTTGGTGCTTTGAGGACTCTTCACAACCAGAACAGGACACGGTGTACGTTGCTAACAATCTTTTTAATTATGCAACCCACGAGTGCTGCACAGAAGAGGGCCAGAGGGACGGCATCTGTGAACTCTCTTTTAAAGCCTCAGTACAAAGAGGGCAGAGAGGGTCTCTGGAGAGCTCTATTGTTCACACTGACCTGTGAGCCTGTGCTGGGGTCTGCCCAATAAACTTTACCACAATAGCCGCAGATGGAAGACTTCTACCGCAAACTTGATGCAACCCCCACGCAAAGTGTTATGGCAGACATCATTTCATAATCTCACTCAGAGAATTAAACTAATGAAACTGTTTCTATATCTCTTATTAAAAGAAACGGAATGACTTTTACATCCAGATTAACATATTTCTCTTAAAAAGGCTAAGAAGTAAATGAGATCAAACTTTAAAAGAAAGGATGTGAAACTTGGTATCAAACTAGTAAATTACCAAGATAGTTATTTATTTTGTTATTGACTTGTAAAGTGAAAAATTCCCTCTTGGAGACTAAGATACCTCAAAAAAATCACACATGAACGGCTAAGTTTGGTTTGTAAATAACTAAAGATGAAAAAGGAGAACAAGGTCCTGCTTTAACGTAAAACCATAAATGTAATAACACAAGGCTTTGCTAAAGAGTGGTCATTAAATGCTGTGATTCAAATATTCTATTTAATAATCAAAACAGTACAGCAACACCCCCCACACAAACCCACTTTATGTCATCCCATCTTGAACATAAACATACTGTACATACACTGTGTGTAGTACTTCTTACACTGAGTTGCACAGACGGGAGAATGACTAATCCAAGCAGATGATGGAGGAAAACAATTAACGGTTTGTCATCTCACTCTTGGCATGAGCTGTTATGTGCTATTTGAGCAGAGTGAGGTGTTAGAATTGCCTGGACGCCATTTATCGACCATTGAGGGAGGGAGGGTTGGTGCCATGATGACTTGTGATGACTTACTGAGACAGTGGAGCTTGGCGGGTTGGTTCCATAGCCAGAGGAGGGGAGGGATGCCAGGGACCATCTCCGGCCCTCAGCTCTGAGAGAAACGGACATGCGTGTTACATAAGCTCTGGCAGCACCAGCATTAGTTAGCATTTCATATGTGAAAGACCTTACATAACACAAAACGGAGGAGTCCTGTGACTACAACAGCATGAAATTTATTTTCTAAATCCTACAACACGGGGTCTTTATCCTGGCTGGATTTACAACCACTCTCATACACTTTCATACAACAGGACCTTCTTTTCAGAGAGGTTTACGTTTGTGATAAAGCAAAAAATATTGTAAAAACACACACATGCCAAAAGAAAGGGTAAAAGAAAATCAACTGAAGCTACCTGTCAGCACGAGCCAGGTGACTAACATCACGACGGCAGCAAAGAGAAAAGAGAAAAGCAAAGAGTTTAAGTGAGTTTTACAAATCTTGCACAAAGTGGTCTTGTGACCCCTGGCATTCAGATGAGGGATTGGTACTGACAGTGTTGCCTTCCTTGCCAGTTTTCATTTGTCCTAACACATGGAGTGGCCGGTAAAGTAAATTAATTTGAGCGTATAGTTTACATAACAGGAACGAGTCTTCACTTGGAAGACCCATGAGCGAAAGGAGCTTGTCTTCAATTTGGGTGGTATGACGGCACGCAAGATAAAACCACACAACAAATAAAGCTTAAATAAAAACCTAAAGGTTATTGATTCTGACAAGAGCCATGAGTCCACAACATTCATATTTAGCCCTATTTACATGAATGAATGAATGAATGAATGAATAAGAGCCCTGGTAGAGAAGTTGAACAGACCGGGATGATGACTCTAATTAAGTGAAGCCTCACTGAGGGCGTACACAGTTGTTTTAACTCCTCTGATGAGCTCTAATTATTTCATTTGTTTGATTTTGCTTTTAAGCAACACAGAGGTTCAAGTGGAAATCAACAGGATTATGAAACAGCTGATGAGAGCCTTAAGACGTGCATGACCCAAACAATTTTAATGAACTTACAGCTGTGAGCGTGAGCTTGAACTCGACACAGTACGACAAATGACCATCATCAGTAATCAGACACTGAACATAGACAAAAGGCGTATAGATTTGAGTTTATTTATAGATTCTATTTCATCCTAATAGTCAGTAAATATCTGATGTGCTTTACACTGATTTATTCACTAATCTGCTCAGTAGGCGTTATCTTTTATATTTCAGATGCATTTAAGAACGATGCACCTTAACTGCTCACTTGTGGGCTACAAATGCCTGAAGTGAGACGAGCGTGTTGCCATGGGAACCAAGCTGCATGATGTGCAGGTGGGCTTCTGGGGTCCCCTCTATCATAGGGAGAGGAAGGAGACCTGGGGGGGGGGGCAACACTCCAGTCTGAGTCAGCCTCTGTCACCTCTCTACTGTCTCTCTGCAGCTTCCAGGCTGTCTGCCTCTGTCTCAGCGCACACACGGACACACAACCTGACAGGATACCCACAGAGTGTGATCACACGTCTAATTTATTTAATCGTTGAGTTTTTAATTGGTTTTTTGTCCGCTAGGGTTTACACTTTAGTCTTGTGAAGAGTAAATCCAGAGATGAGAACTAGCCGAGTCGTTTCCATATTAATAACAGGACAGGAAATGTCTCAGATTAAGCCTTAACCCTTTAAAACCTATTTGAGGATACAGCAGTTAATGTGTTTATAAAATATCATCATTAGCTCCAACAACTCCACAACTGTTTCTACTTCACCAAAGCATACTCTGGCCACTAGAGTTATTGTTCATAATCCAGAGGAGGTGTGTGTTGGTGTGTGAACCAGTGCGTATCCTATAAGAAAAGAGAGTCAGAGGTGTAGTGACCATGACACCCAGAGCAGGCAGGGAGAAGATGTGTGACTTCAACTGCAAGTCAACCACATCCAGCTACTTCCTGCATATTTGTGCAGAGTTGTCCACACATCTTAAAGTTCAGAGGAGTTTAACCACGCACCGAGAAAATCAGAAAAGACATTTTAAGTTTTCTGTTCTGTTTACTTCATCTGCTCTCTCTCTCTCTCTTAACATTATCTCCATGTCAACGGACCACTGCTGCTCGCTCTCGCACTTTCAGCCTTTTCTGGATGACGATATGAATGTGGGTCCACAATTAAAACTGCTATGATTCACTGAGTAGTGAATACATTTTTAAACAAATTACTTTGTCACAAAAGCCAGGCAGGTTACTTACATAATACAATTTATGATAATATGAAGGAGATAGAAAATACATGGCTTTTAAATATGATATTACTATCTTATAAATTACAGAAACATTCTCATTACTAAGGCTGTTAAAATACTACACTCAACTTCATTTTTTCACTCATTGTTTTAAAAATGGATGGATGTGTTTTTAGCAACTATTGAAATAAGCTATTTACAGTTTAAGCTGCACATAATTTCTACAGATATATTTTAAATGAATATTTCATTTATCCATCCATTCATCCATCTTTAGCCCCTTATCAGAAGTCGGGTCGCAGAGGCAGCAGCCTAAGCAGGGAAGCCCAGACTTCCCTCTCCCCAGCCACCCGGGGGACCATGAGGCGTTCTAATATATATTATCAACTAATATATCATATAACATTACATACGGACCAATGTTATATCAATGAAAATACCAAACTTAAAATGTTGGTGGCTTTAAAATAGTGGTCAACTGATTGAAGTTTTTCAATCGTCAATGTATATACTGATTATGAGAGAGCAGAATGGCTGATCATTTAACTTGAGATCATTTTAATCCAACAAATGTGAAAGAAATGATAGAATCGTACAAAAACTGCCTGACACCTTATGCTGACTATGTTTTAAGGTGGGATTGAAAGTGGAGAGCCCTTCCCCAAAATGGCAGCATGTATGCATCCGAAAAACCACATGCAGCATCTATGTGCTTATATCTTTGTGAGACCATCACGCGACAGCAAAAGCTCAAACTGTGTTTTGCTAGCAGTGAATGTAATTGAAAATATTTGAATAGCTATAAATGTAAATGTTAATGGTGTTTATCCATCGGACATGAAGTTTGGAATGAATCATAAGTAATCTGTCCCTTAATCTGGGATATCCTTTCATCGCTTTTACTACAGTCAATGCACTTAAAATGAATAAATTATTAAAACAAACAAAACCTGTCAAATGCCTGTCTAACCTTTTTTGTAATAGTTCAAACAGATAACAATCATAAATCCATTATCTTTACTACTTAATCCATTTAGTATCCCCAGGGGTTGGTATGGATACCAGCTGTCACTGGGATACACCCTGGACAATCACAGGACAGACATACAGAGATAGATAACCACTCACACTCACATTCACACCTACAGCCACCAATTAACCCACAGAGCATGTCTTTGGACAGAGAGAGGAAGATGGAGTACACATGAGGAGCCCACACAGTGAATAGAGAGAACATGTAAACTCTTAAAGGAAAGGTCACTGAACTGGTTGATGAATCCTCACAGCACAACTATGAAGCACCGAATACAATCATCAAAATCTGGAACCCTCCAGATCTGCTAAAACACGTTCTACCCTTGGGAGTAAATGGATTGAGAAGATCACTGGTGACATACCTTCTGGCAAATGGAAAGTTGAGGCAGGCACTGGTGGACACATTTCGCGGGCTGTCCAAAGGGCTGCTCGCTGCTTAAAAGAGAGGGACAAAGTTACCGTGGGGGCATTTTCACACCTGCAATTATAAACTCATGATCACAAAATGGGAACAGAAGAGTCCACGAGGCTGCGTTTACAAGTGGGAATGTTCCAAAAGGACGATTTTGTGTCCATGCAGCATCCCCTTTAATCACTGCAGCATTAACCCAGCTCTCCTGGAAGGTCAAGTATATCATCTTGGTGTGACTTTTCCGAGCATCACAGCACTCAGGAGGGGAAGCCCCTACCAGAGCAACCACTTCAGTCTAAGGGTCTGAGTACACAAGACTGTTTAGACGCAAATGGTTGAGTGCCAATTAGTGTTTAAAAGGGAGGACCGGTTAAAAGCTGATTGCACTGAGTGATTAGAAAATCCTCTGTGTGATTGAGTATAAAAAGAGCATCTCCATACTGCTGATATGAGGAGCTCTTGATAAAAAAGTCCTTTCATGAAGAGCAGCTGCTTCATGGTTTAAAGGGCCTTACACTGTACTGCTGTTGATTCAGAAAGATGAAGACAGACAACCGTTCATTAAAAATCCTCCCCCTCAATTATCATCATCACTCTGTGCACTTCCATTCCTTCAATCAGATTGTAACTTTGCATGTCAAAATTTGAGAAGCTCAAGCATTCAAGTCTGTTACGCAATTTCCCCTGGCAACATGAAGCAAGACGATGTGTCGTCCCTGATTTCAGCCTCTGAGAGGAGAATACTGACTCCATTCTGATCAGATTTAAGCTGATAGGTTGACAAATACTACTTACTGCAAGAGTGTGGCATAAGTGAACAGGCCTGATAATGACTACATAGAAAACTGGACTAATGCCAGTTAAGATGAGTGTGCCATAAGTGAACAGGCCTGATAATGACTACATAGAAAACTGGACAAATGCCAGTTAAGATGTTGTTGAAAATACTCTTTTTTTAAGACTTTCAAAATGCATAATGTTTAGGTTATTTCTTCATTTTTTTCCCCGTTTATCTAAAGAGATATTCTGGCGTAAAATTACTTTATTTTATTTATTATTTTTATATAAATATTATTTATCAATTTAATTTTTTTTCATGGAAATGCAATCAGACCGGGACGCTAAGGCAAAAAAACCACCGCATCTGCAGTGCAAAATGATTAATAGTGTAATTACTACTTTAAGGTAATGATAAAGAAATGATCATAAATGTTCTTCCTTGAGCTGCGTCACCCCGCTGTAGTCTGTAATGGACTGGCCCGATGTCTAGGCTGCTTGAAGAGAGTGGGTGAGTTGTGTTTAGTCTCTTTGCTAAAGAAATCAGGCAAACTTAAAAAAAAGTTTGGTGGCTGGTGTTGTGGCTTGGACCCCATATGTACTGTTGATGAAGTTAGGTGCTGTTCTGAGTATTATTTGTGGTTATAGAGTGGCGTTTTGGTTGAGGTTTGTGTGTGGCTCCATAGACTGCTGTGTATTGCGATTGTGCAGTCGTTACTAAAGTTGGTATAACTAGAGAAGCAAGCGGTCGGCAACATTCATCTCTTGAAGGGGTGTCTAACTCAGTGTTACGGTTTGTTTGACCCTAAACTAATTTTACGCTGGAATATCCCTTTAACATAAAACAAATTACAGGGTTTATCATAGTCAGACATGATCTTATATTAGTATAAGCTCAGAATATGTTCAGACTATTTTCCTTGTAATGTTATTTTTATTGTCTGTATCTGCTCTGTAGTTCATTCGTTACATTTCCTGTCTCTTTTCCCAACACTGCACCTCCTTTGATGCTGACCAACTACTGCCCCACGCTTCCGTCCTGACATGGCATTTCAACGTCAGCACCACCATCCTCACACTATCAACAAGTGCCTCTCTTTCATAAACTTATTTATTCAGTTGTGATGTTAAGATTTTACTTGAAAGCCGATGTTTGAGAGCAGATAGCAGGTTTCGGTTGAATAAGCCTTTGCTTTCGTGTCAACCTGATATGGGCTCCACTTCGGCTTACAAGTGAGTGTTAAACAAGCTTAATGGTGTCTTAGCGAGCATGTGGCAAGGCAAGGTGCCCTACAGCTCACAAACGGTAACGTGAGAGCGGCTGATACTTTAGTAGCACGCTACATGGGAAACAATGATGTGTTCGTTTGCAACTTTAATTGGAGGTCATTAATCAACCACTGTGAAATCTAATAGTCCTGTTAAGCTGACAAATAGGAAATGGAGAATTTCTTTTCTGGTGTGACTCCTCCTTTACCTAAGAAGTCTTCAAAACATATTTGGCCTGATCTGAATGTTTCCAGCTAACTTAAAATATCTGTTCTTAACAGTGTGGACAAACACAAGCTCTTCTTGGTTCATCCTGCTGGGTTTGAATGGCAAGAGAAGGAATAAGAAAACAATGCATCAGGCTGCACTGGTGCAGACATGCTTCTGCAAGGCACAGCCGAATTACAAACCAGACAGTCCAGTTTAAAGGTCAATTAAGCATGAAGGTAGCAGACAGCAGCTGCAGCTGAGCTTTTTAAAATCTAAATCAGTCTGACTCTTTGAGGTGCTCTGATAGCGATAAATCCACGGCTGTATTTGATTTGCATTTGCCAATACAGTGTGTTACTATGTGCAGCTAAATTCGAGCCAGTACTAACATGGTTTTTGCAGCAGTGCTCCTGTTGGGACTTGCTTGGATTAAAGGTTACCAAACGTCACATTAGATCTTACCGGTGTGCAACGAGAGCGGTGAGAGCGGCCGGGACAGCGTGGGCGATGGCGTCCCGACGCCGAGGCTCTTCCTGTTGCTGCTGCGACAGCTGGGGCACAAACAAGCAAAGAGGGAGATTGAGCAGACTGCCAGCATCAACACACAGCACCCATCACAGTCTGTATGAAAATGTCCCTGTGGTTTGCATAGTAAGTGACTGACATCACCTGTTAGCCAGCTAAATCTGCGTCAGTATAACCTTTATTGCAACAAAAGGCTGTTTGTGTATTCATTGAGTCATGTGTTGATTTATAGAAAAGAATCTTGTCACTATTATTGGGACTTATTTTGCTGTCTTTCTAGAAAAAAAACAGTGGTCATATGGGAAAATCAGGGAAAGCAGAGCAGGTCTACCAAAGTCTGTCAGCTACTGTAATGTTTGGATTGCATTGTCTTTGTTGTGTTAATCATCTAAGGCATACAAACGGCTGAGAATATCTATCCCTGCTCCTCCTCATCATTTTCAGGCAAGCTTCAAGTGGCTGCAAGTTGTTATATAATTCTCTTAAAGTTGATACAAAGGGCTTAAAATGTCATTCAGTGCAGTGTCACTGCTGAAAAATTGGACTGGGTGAGTGTTTTTTAACACTGAGCTGTCAAACTGAACAATTCAAAGAATAAAAACAACATTTTAAATCAGAGCACTTATGCTGGTCCGTATTTATCTGACTTTTATTGCTTCTGTATGCATAAACCTTACATTAACCGGTCTGTCTGACATCTTTCACACTGGACTGAGAACACAACAACACAATTTATGACACACTGCTGGGCAGATTAAAGAGACACTTGACCTGATAGAGGCAGACTGTGATCAACTAAGCTGTAAGTAATCTAAATACTGCAGAAGCTTAAAAAGCAACATAGCATGTTCCTTTCGGGTCAACCGGAAGTCAGGGAACCTGACCTTAAGTGGTTTCTGTCTAAAACACTGCTGATGTTCTTCACATGACAAATTTTACTACCTTTTCAAAATTCTTTGTACAATGTATTCCTATGCAACAAATACGAAACATCTCACATTTTAAAAGTGCATGCGTGGCAAGGTTTTTTTTAAAGTTTGCAAAGCAATTTAACTTTAAATGGATAGATTTTATTGTCACACACCAGGTAAACAAGGGTGTGCACAATGATCCTTAATTACACATGTGTGGCCAAGCCAGTCTAGCTTACTGGCAAACTCCATTCACCTTTGTAAACATGCAAACATGTTGACATTACTTTAAGTAGAGAAGTGAACCATTAATATCATTGCTGATAATGCTTTAGGTTATTTTCTGAATTCTTAGCCAGAAAATATATATTTAAGGAAAAGGTCGTACTTTTACACAAGCTTCAAACAGACATTTTTTTTCTTAATACACCTCTGATTTATTTGTCAAACTAGGAGGGTTTTTCAGGTACTTGGCTTTGTGATGTAAACTGAGCCAATCAGCATCAAAAGACAGACGAGGAAGACAATAAAGTTCAGTGAAATTCCTCCTGTCAACAGTAGACAGTGTGTAATGTCTACACATCAAGCACAGGAGATCACATCTGGAGGCTATCCAGAATGTAAAACACCAGGGATAATCATATTCAAATTATGAGCTTAGTTTGTGTGATAGACAGGTTGATGTTTGAAACAATCAGGTCCATATTTTTGCTTCAATTACTTAGCGATGTGAAAAAATACACACTGTTTTACAGACTCAAAAAGATATGGTTGAACTGGAAGAGTTAAGATGGCTTTGTCTCTGCCTACTGAGGTTTTAACTTGACCGACAAGATTATTTCCGCCCCCGGAGCTGCTCTGCCTTAAGCGATGTTTACGTAATTACAACTGTAATCTGCTGGCAGATGCATGCAACACCAGCATGGCTATGTTAGATGAGCAGCGCGAACTGATGAGAGCCAAAACACAAAGAGGAAACGTCCTGTCAACAGACTGGGAGTGTGTGAGCTGACAGCAACAGCAGGACCAGCTTGAGCCACAGATGTCCAAGATGTCTGTGTAAGCGAGTGAGTGTGTGTGTGTGTGTGTGTGTTGGGTGGCAGAATAAAAGGAGGGAAGGGGGCTTTACAATCCTCTGGTTCTGAAAAGAAGGGGTAAACTTTGACCAATAACATTCAATTGAGTAGATTTTACTGTGACACCAGGGTGAGGAATCTGCTATAGTGCTGACATGATTAGTCAAACTCTAGTATATTCACATTCGATCAAGTTTTTACGCACAGATGCTGAATACTGTGTTTCTCTAAAAAAAAACAAAAAAACAAAGCCAGTTATGCAATTATTGATAGGGATAGGAATTGATAAGATTTTATAGATATTGATGCCTTTATCGATTTTGCTTATCGATTATCAATGCCTTTCTTTGATTTAAAAAAAAGTATAGGTTTTCACTGTTAACCCAAAATTTTATTAGGTCTCCGATAACTGAAAAAGATGGATGCCACCTTCAGTGAGAGTCTAAAAATAATCAAACGACAAACAATTTGTACAGCGTTTACTTCAGTCGGTACCAAATCAAATTATGGTGACCACATTATTGAGGACACTACTACAGCGGAGCGGAGTTGCGCGCAAAATTTTGGAGTGTTTTTATGCGCTTTTAACTCAGTCCACAGTACATAAAACTCAAAACTTCCACACACAACCTGTCGTCGTCTTTCTTAGTAAAATGAAGCCACACTTTCGATCGTTTCCGCGTAGACCGGCTCTCATGAGACCGTTTTTCAAGGCACCCCGAAGAAAGGAATTGTTAAGTGAATCGTAAAGATAAAATGTAAATGATGTTGATGAATTGAGCTATTTGAAATCGGTTCTCGACAAGAACCGGTTCTTGATTCCCATCCCTAATTATTGATGAATTGCAAGACAATCACACAAAGATACGTATCTGATATCTGGTAAACTATTTAACCCTGGTTCATAAAGTGAAGGATGTGATCAGTACAACAAGAATTGAAGAGGAATGAAATTGGGAGTCAATGTACAACAAAAATGGATTAAGAGTGTCAGTAGGTACCAGTTGTATAACTGTTGTTTTGGGCTGTTGGGAAGATGAGATGGGGACTCAAAGGTTTAGGTCAATAGGAGTTGGATATGGATATATTACATTTACTCCTATTTCTTTGAATGTGCTGCTATAAAAGTACTATTCCATTTGACTTTGTTGCAAAATGAAGGGGACACTCACACACACTTTTAACCAGCAAACATGATCAACTATCAGTCTACTTCTGAATGTTGTGCTGAAGCCAACAGTTGTATTTCTCAGTACAGACGTGCTACAAAAAGTACATTAAATAATATTTGAAGCCTCGTCTATAACAATGTATCTGCATTAGTTGTATCTTAGAGGTCAAATGTCTGAGCAGACATGAAACATAAAACACATAGCCATGCTTTAAAGTGAACAAACTGGATTAACGTCAACTAGCAATCGGCTTTCTGAGAGGAGCTAACTCGGTGCGTCTAACAACATGATGTTATCTTATCTTTGAGAGCGTTTTCACATCGAGTGAAACAAGTTTGTGAGACTATACAAAAGACTAGGAGTAGAATACATAAATACATGATATTTTTCACGTAAAACACCTTCAGACAGCATGAATAACACGTCCACACATCAAAACTCTGGATCATAACTACCTTTTCGAGCGCTTCAGCAACGCTCCCGGAACAAAATGAGACTTGTTCTGGCTCGGCATCGCAGACCACTGACTTGGATCAGACATGCTGGAGGATTTTGCTTTTTCTTTCTTTTTACATAATCCCCGTTTTAAAGTTGATGTAGTTTGCTGAAAGCCCAGGTCGACAAAAAACCCGCTCCCTCTGCTTCTCTCCCCACCATCGTCTCCTCTCTTCTCCGGCGGGTCCTTTTGTATTCACACACACACACACACACACACACACACACTCTGTCTGCCTCGTGAAGACCAAACCGCTTCGGGGCAGCCGTTACATCCTCCGGTCAGCTTCCCGACCACGGGCCTCTTGTCCCCCGGGAATCACCCCCATGGCGGCTGGCTGGCTGGCTGGCTTCGTGATACCGTCCACACCGCGGCGGCACACTTTAGTTTTACTAAACAGACCTCGCTGCTGCTGGTAGCGTGTGTGTCCGTGTGAGCAGGCTGGAGTCTGGTGCTGCGTTCAAGTGCTGCTCGTTACTTCAGCTTCTCACCGTCTGCTGAACGTCTTTGTTTAGAGACTACCAAAGTTTACTGTTTTGTTTGTGAGCTTGACACAACTGCCCAAAAGCCACAATCTCAAAAAAGCAAATATAACCACTGCAAAAGATGTTATTTGTATTTATGAGATTATCAGAAACAGCACTAGGTTGCACTGCCTGTGAATGCAATACAATTCAGGTATTCTGGAGGGCAATATGCGCAAATATTAGTTTATTCTTTATTAGTAAATAAGTCAAATTTCAAAACTCTCTTGCCTCTTTCTTATTCTGCTTTACTGTCTTTTTAGCTTTTGTGTTACTTGTACTCTTTTCTTAATTCACCTTTTAGGCCTTTTATTGTTTTATCCCTTGTTCATTTCTGTTGCTCTATTTTATCATTTCTATAATCATCAGTATTACCTGTTATCATATTATCATTGTAATAATAGTTGTAACAATGCAATAATAATAACAACAGCTATTTTTTTTTATTACAGGAAAGATTTGAGGTCATTTATAAAGAAAAAGGAACTGAAGTCAATTTCAGTATTAGTCAAAATGAAGTTAAAAATATCAGCAACAATCCAATACTTTGCTACCATGCTTATAAATTAACCTTGAAAGGATAATTTATGGTCTTTATCGTGCCAATGCCCATTTTTAATCAGAAAAAAATACAGTTTTGAATTAGACTAGGAGGCTGTTTTTCATTGTTAAGCCCTGACATATGTTAGCTGCTCTCTTTTTTTTTTGACATTATTTATTTCTGTATCAGGCCCAACACAGTGGCAATAAACACCTTCCTAGTTTTAACACAGACTATTTTGTCAAAGTTAATCTTGGTTACCAAAGCCAAGGAAACACTATTTGCCTCTCCAGTTATATCGGTGCGATTTCACTGCATTGACAATTTCCTACATACCTTGAAAGCAACTTGAAATTTTGTTGTTGGGTTGTACCATAAGGTGTCTGGTCGAGGGTGGACTCTTGCCAAACTTCTGTGCAGTGGTATTTTCCTCTGCATATCATAGTAGTCTACCTCGAGGGATGGTACTGTACTTTAGTCAGTGTAGAAATGTCAGTTTCTTATTTGGGCAGCTATCCAAAAACACTACAAACTATTCACTCCTGTTTAGTTGTTTAGTGATCAGAACTGCTCCTGAAACTCAAACTTTAATAGGAATGATTCTCTGTTAAAAAGGGAGGTAGAAATGTTTAAATTCCTCTCATATTGAAATGAAACACTGTTGGCAAGGTGGACTTAAACTAAACCATTGTGCCACTGCTGTTGCAGATCACAACAAAAATGAAGTCTAATTTTCTAAATGTTGTCAGTGATTTATTGATTCATGTTGTTTTAATGGATTCATGATTTGTTCCAGTTAGGACATCTACAGGGCCCATGTTAATCTGTACAAAGTGAAAAATGACTGAATGTAGTATAAGTTAAACTTGTTGCAAACTCTGTATGAACAACATACAAATTGTGGAGCATGTGCTAATAAGCACTCATCATACATGATTCATCAATGCAATCACCGTGTGTATCAGAAGAGAAGTGTGATGCAGGAGAGCCATTTACATGCATACAAACATAGATTCTGATGCAAGAGAGTGTATATGTTCCTGGCTGGTGAACAAACAGGGATTTCAGGGTAAAAATCGCAGAGAAAGGATGCCAACAAATGTGCAACCCACCATACTGTGTCAGATTACCTCAGTCTGTGAAAATGTGCTCATATTGCCTCAGATTTTCTCTTTACCAACACACAAATTGAAATTTGTTACAGTGCAGTGTGTGGAGTGACAGCCTGGTACCACTCACACATCCAGAAACATGCTGGATGCAGCTGCCTATGTTTGCAGTCTTGCCTTCCTCCACAGCACCCAACAGCGTTGCCAAGCAACCCACACAGACTTAGAGACAACTGGTAAAAAAGAAGTACCCTAACATACATCTGTTGTTTCTTTTATACACATAGGTGAGCTGATGTCCATTTCACTACCAGACCAGATTCAAACATATGGAAAGCTTTGTAGAAATGAATTGTCTTTAATTCTATGTTGGAATCTGATACATAAAAATATACTCCTCTTTCATACATTTACATCCACATCAACCCACAAACTGCTCCTGTCAGACTATGTAAAGCTTTCTATCAGTTTTCTCTGCTGTGATTTTGTTATGGATCGACAAACAGGTCTTCTATTAGTCCACAAAACAATTGTACTTCATAGTCCATTTATTGCTGTTCATGTCACACCATCTTACTCACTACATCAAATTTACACCAGCAATCATTCATAAAAATAAATGACAGATCAGTCATTCAGAACCACAATTAAAATGATAAAGAGATAACTTTTCATCTATGTGCCTAAACGTCAATTCAGTTGTATTTTTGAATGACCCAAATGTTGTTACTTCAAAACTGTTCTAACTGATAGCGATCAATACGATACAATGTGATACTGATAGGTATAAATACAACAGATTATATCAATATCACCACAGGGCAAATCCTACAATGTCTGATAACAAGATCAGTAATGTTGAATACTTCTTCTTTTGTGAAAGAAAATCCATTACAGTATGAAAAATATCTAAAACAGTGTTTCAGTCTGTCAGTCAGTAGTTTGTGGTATCACGCTGTCTGCAACTCTTCACCCCAAGGTCCTTTATTAATTTATGGAGACACTAAATGTTTAAAAAATTGCTCAGCATTGCACAGTTCTTTCAAATTAATTACCTTAACCTTCAGTGCACTCTAGTTGAAACAAAAACAACACAGAAATCAAATTACCGTAATGGTTCGTTGGAGATTAGCAGATTAATACACATTTGGGGCTTTAAGTTGTTTGCTGCAGCAGCATGATGTTCATGGGACTGAGCCAACGTAAACTACATTACCCTTGTCCATTTTTATCAATAAAGGGGTTTCTTATTAAGTGTAAAGATACATTTTCTTTTAAGCCTTCTTGTATGAATCAGTAATTGTTAGTCTGTGTGAAGAAATAACTCATTGACGTCAGTCACTGTATATGTTCAGTGCATTGAAACAGTCTGTGTGTGACCCGGCTGTCTTACCTCCAGGGATGAAGGGTTTGTAACGGGCTGCAAGGGCTGCAGGGGCTGCATGGGCTCAGGAGGGTGGGGCTCTGGCATGTCGGCGACAAACTGTAAGGCAAGATATGGTGGCGTGAATTAGATAACTGACTCAGCACGAGTTTAGTGGTATACGTAATCAGGCGCCAGCAGAGCTTTGGTCCAGGCTAGAGGTTGATAGCTGCCTGTGATTGGTTTACGTCAACAGCCAATGGTGACAGACAGTCAATAGATGACTGCAGGGTAATGTTGGAATAGCTTAGTATAGGGTGGGTGTATGCAAAACTTAATGCACCCAATAAGCTGGCTTTAAATCTCTCTGAGTTTCACACTAGACAGAGTTTTCAGTTGGATGTTGACACACAAGAGAGAAGTTTCATCATTAATCACATTTGTTGAAAGTCAAAGGTCTGACATTAGATAATACATGATGTTAACATGGACTGGGGATGTGTCAATAGCAGCTTTTCTCTTCTGATACTGGTTCCAATACCCTGACTTGAGTACTGGCCTGATACCAAGTACCCCCTTTTCACCAGTATGTTTAAAAGGAGTACACACCATTCAAAACACTGTTGACATCTCACTGACAAATTGTTAAACTCTCAGCTGATGCTAACTGCTTTGTCATCTGCCAGTGCTGGTAATGGAACAACTTCAGCATACACAGAATTAGAGACCAACAAAAGTACTGGTATTGGAAATGAAATTTGACTAGTACTTAGAGAGCTTGAAATCTTTTTTTCCTTCCCAAGTCTATGAACTGATAATGTTGGCTGATACCTATATCCATCCAAATACCAGATGATTTTTGAGACTAAATGGTTATGGGATCCACCAATATCACATAGGCTATGTTCACACTGCAGGTCAATTCTGTTTTTTTGAACCATATGTGACACAGATTTTTTCATGTGAGTGTGAACAGCACAATTCTGATTTTAAATCGCATATGTATCCGATGTGACTGCAGTCTGGACGCTCAGGTCGCGTTCATCCGACCTATACGTCATCAATATGCCACAAATGTCACCGTTGTTCGTTCTTGTAATGTGACCGACCACACAAAGAGATCGGATTTAACAAAAAATCCGAATTGTGCATCATAACCTGCAGTGTGAACGTAGCCATATTTTTTCAGGCAGACTGAGGGCAAATCTAGGCAGAGAGTGGTACCAAAAAATATAAACCTATTTTTAAGTTCACAAAATCACCAGAGCATTGCATTTTGGGTTCCTGTCTGCCTGACATACACCGAAAAAAATCCTCTGACAAAATGATTTACAATAAGTATTAACCACTGTTTCATTTTTCACATATTGTTTTGTATCAGAATATGCATGCTCAGCCTTCCTCATGTCTCCAACCCTCACGATGCTGACCCAGCATCCGAGCTGTTTTTATTATTGATTTCCTGCTCTGATGTAGGCTCTGCCTTGTGGGCTCCACACTGCTCACACTATTGTCTCAGCACTGCAGAGGCTTCTCAGTGCTAAACACAGCATCGGCTAGCAAAGCAATAATGAACGTGTTGTCATAGTAATGCAGAGAGGATGGTAGGAAAAACAAGTCCTCTCACAAAGACTCCACATCCTGTAGTGTTGGCTTATAATTAAACAAACTCATTAGGCTGTGTTTCATCCCAACACATTTTCTCCTTGAAACCCCTAAACCCAAGCTCTTAACTGTGCTCGACTGAGTAATCATCCTTAATTTCCATTTCCTATTTCCATTTTGATAGCACTCCTGCCCTGTGTGTAAACTGAGAAAAAACATCAGGCTGCTTCAAAACACCAACATTTTTGTTTTAGCATCAGGCAGGAAAGCAGCTGGATGGTTTCCACAGCAAAAACAATAACAGTGGTGACAGAAATGCTATTTGTGTCTAAGAGAACCTGCTTAGACAGAAATATTTTGTCATATTAGGCATCCAAGCTGAGGATTTTCAAATCACAAAACAAACACTGGAATATGAAAACAGAAAAAGTGTTTTACATGCTCACTCTGGGAATAGAAATCTAAGGACCAACAAATCTAAAATTTCCTCTACGAATAACTCTGATCTTGTCAATAAAAACTTGAATGTACCAGATAGGCACGCTCTCTTGCACAAGGGTTAATTCTTAGAAAGTTGTGTACTTGCTCAGCAGAGTTCTCCTAAACAATTAAATCTGAACACAGACATATCATGCCATGCTTTGTTGTCTTGTTCATGAAATGTATGTCAGCTGTTGTCAACCAAAAGCGTGTCTGGTTTGATGGTCTATCAACAGCATCTTCTAAAGCCCAGAGCCCCTCCCTGCATTTAGTATGAAACCTCCTCTGCATCTCTGTGCGGGAGCAGTTACAGTAAAAGCCTAAAAATGAAGATGGAGCACAAACAGCACATGCTCAGCTGAAATGATGCACAGAGGAGGCAGATGGATGGATCACAGAATGTGTGCAGGGAGCTCCTACGCCTTATGGATGGATCAGTATCTAATGGGCAGCAGGTAGCCCCCCCACCCTGCCTCCCCATGAGAAAAAAAAGAGGCTACAACCACAGTGGAGGAAGAGTGGGCGGATATAGGACCGCAGCCATGTCCTTTTGATGGGAACAGGATTCGCAGGTTAGCAATTACACTAAAATAAAATAGACCTTCTACTTCAAACCGCAAGCCTTTTGGGTTGGTTGGCGCTGCGAGGGGGAGCGTGTGATTCATGCAGGAATCGAGGCGCAAAGACACCATGTGAGGTTAAAAAAAGAAGACAAAAGAGCTGGAAAACAACAAAACAACATGAGGACAGGAATCACATTGAGCTATGAGCAGTCCCTCTGAAACAAAGGGAACGCCTGTGGAGAAAAAAATGGTAAAAGTGACATTTTTGAGGAAGTGAAACAAGTAAACACAGATAGGTAAACCTAAAGCCACGGTTATTTCAATACTTCAATACTGTGTACCATCTTTGTTTGATCATTGTTGCCAGCTACGCATTGTACAAAGCTGGATTTCTCTTAATCCGATGAGGTTAATCATAGTTAAAAATAAAAACACTGACAAGAAACTGCCATTCATTCCCTCCCTGAGCTTTCCTTGAAGAGAAAACTTCTCATTTCTAAGAGTTGCGCACCTGATGAAACACCTGTAACTTCAGTAGTTGTGTCCTCAAAACACAAACTATAACAAAACCCTGAAACTGTAAACTAGTTAAGCCTCGAGCTAATGCCATCACCCTCAGAGGAAATATGAATCTTATTAGCATTTCCATCAGACTGCCGGCTGTTTGGGTCTCACAGCTTTGAGCAACACATGCAAAAGTCTGTGTTTACACTCAAGCAGCCTTCTCTAAACAGTGAACAAACAACAGCACGTTAGATTCAACTCCTTCACTCTGAGAACAACTCTAAAGGCAAAAGTAGCTCATGAAAACATATGGTACCAGATGAAGTAAATAAAAAAATGGACTTACTCCAGAGTCAGAGAGGGGATCTTCAGTTTATCTCGCCGAGACTTCATAGTTGCTGAGCTCCGAGCTGGGGCTTCATGTACTCGGTCTCAGATCCGACTCGCAGCCACTCATTGCAGCGGTTGGGGGACTAAAAATAACCCGGTTCAGAGAGTATCGTTTACCGGTGGCTTCAGCAAATTCCGCGGAGGTGTTTCTGTTTTTTTTCCGCTCGGATAGGTGTGTTCAAGATTGGTTGTCTCTAAAAGAACACGATGCGCCGTGACGGTTGTTGCGCGTTTCACTTCCCCGTCCGTCTCCGAGGCGCACCGGAGAGCGAGTGAGTGCCACAGAACGAAGGGAGCGACGGGTCACCGATAACCTCCATGTGACTAGTGGGGAAGGAGGGAGGGAGGAAGAGAGGGAGAGGGAGGAAAGGGGAGCGCCTATTGAAGGGGGGGCTAAATCAATTTGGGTGGTAGGTGACAGTCAACAGAGGAGTATGACCAAGGATGGAGGGACAATTTGGACTAAATAAATCATGACAGTCTCTCTAAAATGAAGGAAACACATGTTGAATTAAAAAAAGGTGTTTATTCTTATATGTCCTGTTTTCAGAGATGTGCAAAACCACAACAAGACTCTAAAAGAAAGTTTGCACCATGAGGCTATTGTTTGAGGACAGTCTGCGCCACATTGACTGCTCGTCTGTGCGTGAAATAAAACCAAGCCGCTGGTCGTGATGAGCATGGGGAATACCTCTAAACCGTGACAGCTGCCGCACAGGAGCCGTTTCTCACTCTCTCTGCAGCGCGTTGTGTGTGTGTGTGTGTGTGTGTGTTCTGCTTGCCTTCATTTTGTGTCTGCGATGGGAAGCCTCTAATTGCACAGAGAAAGTCGATTTCCCCAAGAGGAGGTGTGTTTGTGCGTTAGTGTATAGCTCGCGTGTGCAGCCACCGTGCACGCGTGGAGCTAAATCACATTACGGTGCATCTGTTTTTTTTTTTTGGTCGAGGCTCCTTGGGTCTGTCAGTGCGCGCACGTGCGGATATGAGGTTTACACGTTTTCTCTGTGCGCTTCAAAGTAGTTTTCCCCCCAGTCTGTGTGTGTGTGTGTGCGTGAGAGTGTGTCTATATGCGACTGCGTGAGTGTGTGTATATGTATATAAAATGGGTGTGTGTTGGAGAGTCAATTCTTTTGTACTGATTGGGCAAGTGGGTGTGTCCGAGTTTGTGATGTCCAGTAATTGCATATCCACTCTCGAAAGTCAATTTGTGAGCATCTAATTAACGGATAGTGTGTGTGAGAGTGTGTGTTATTCTGACTTGTTGCACCTAATCTCAGTTTCTATGGAATTCCTGCATCTCCAACGGCAACAGGCGACAGCAATGACACCACCAGTGTCTTCTTGGTTGCTAGGGAGCAGTGATAGTTTCCTGGTTGCTAGGGCATGGACTTGATAGGAACACAGCAGTGGTGGTCAATAGAGATTTAGGGTGGTATTCTTAAGGCAGGACTCAAAAGTGATCAATCAGTACACACAAAAATAACTGGAATTACTTACTTTTATGGGCCACTTGGGGGCAGCATGTTGCTTTACAGACATCCAGCAGTAATGGGGTAACATTAAAGTTGTATGGAAGTAAATCTGTGCCATCTGATTTTGAATTTGAATTTCTACAGCAGATTTTTTTTTGCATCAAAATCAGACTTTGAATTTCAAAACCACTGAATTTCAAGCACGCATTTTTATTTCTGACACTTATTTTTTTCAAAACGATTAAATAAATTCATTTAAAAAAAGTCTCAAAAATATTCATTTAGTAAAAATTGGACTAAAAAAAAGTGTAAAAAATTTTGACAAAAAAAACAAAAAAACAGTGTCAAATAATTCAGTGTAAAAAAATCAGTGTGAAAGAGACAGACTCAACATCTCAGTAACCAGGGAAAACCAATCGATTCCTGGCTCAATCATCCCATCAATTAATGCAAGATTGGTCAAGTGGCACCGACCCTAGTGGAAGATTGAATCCAATCGATTGCTTCTCTCTGGTCACCCAGATGCTAAGTCGGTCTCTTTTACACTGGTTTTGTTTTTTTTTTGACACTGAATTATTTGGCACTGCCACAACTGTGTCTGGACTCAAATATCACTGAGAACATTTTCTCCAACGGTGTAGAGCAGACAGGTTTAGGTTTTTAGATGGTTTGCATACTGTGGGTTAAAGTGGGACTGACTACCCAGGGCCCCAAGGAAATTGGTTCTGAAATAAACACTAAGTTTTTGTTCAAACATTTTTATTTTCAATGATAGTAGGCCCTATTCAAAAGTATCTGTGTAAATGGTATCAAAATAATAATAATAAATTTTATTTATAACGCGCTTCAACAGGTGCTCAGATGCTTTACAAAGAAAAAATAAATAAATACAGAAAATTTTGAGAAATAAAACCAACAACGTAAAATGTTAAAAAAGACACAATATGAAAAGACAATAAAAGAACAGTTCACAGGTTAAAAGCCAATTTAAAAAGGTGTGTTTTTAGGAGTGATTTGAAAGAATGGGGGTCTGTACAGTCTCAGATGGGAGATGGGTTTCGGGAGTGAGTTCAAGAGGGTGGGGGTGGCAGCGGAGAAGGCTCTGTGTCCCCCCCCCCCCCAAGTTCTGTGCTTGATCCGAGGGGGTAGGGCAGGGAGATTTCCCTCTGAGAATCGGAAGGGTGTAGTGGTGGAGCAGGTTTGTGAGGTAGGTGGGGGCCAGGTTGTTAAGTGATTTATGGGTGAGTAAGAGGATTTTGAATTGTATGCGATGTGAGATGGGGAGCCAGTGCATTTTTTGGAGGACAGGGGTGATGTGTTCTCAGGAGTTGGTTTCAGGTGAGCAGGCGGGCAGCAGAATTCTGAATGTATTGGAGTTTATTGAGGACTTTGGATGACGAGCCGTATAGAATGCTGTTGCGGTAATCTAGTCTGGATGTTATGAAAGCAAGGATCAGGGTTTCAGCAAAGAGAGGAGACATACAGAAGGCCACAAATTGGGTTCACTATCACTTATCTGAACCTGATTTCTAAACTGAAAAGTGCACTAAGCACAGCCTGTGGAGTAATTTTGAACATCACCTTTTTCTAAACCGATAAACTGCAGTGAAAATCATCTGAGGGCTCAAAGATGTCTCACACTTCTCCTTTGAAAAGAAAGTACAGTTCTGCAGATGAGATCTTACACAGTAGTCAAATGTCCCATGGGCAATACCATCTGTCTCATGCATGATGCTGCTTAATCACAGAGGAAATCACTGAAAAAAGTGACATCTTTTAGCCTCTGCATCTAAACCTACTAAAGAGAGGTGTTTGTGTGGTGTTGTCTGGTAGTAAAGGAGCGGCAGGTGGTGATGGGTGGAGTGGGCCTCCCAGCCCTGATTGCTCAGCACTTGTTTTTTCTAAGCCGCATATACTGTAATAGGAGAGTAGAAATCTCAGTTACCATGGCAATATGGGCTTCCCTGCTCTTCCCTTCCCATCAGTTAGTGAGCTTCCTCTAGTCTCTGCTATGTGCAATAAACCAAAGCTAAATTATGTTCCAACTGATGAGCAGCAAACAGCAGTCAGTTCAGGAACTGAGGCTAATTATTCTGCAGTTCTCTTAACAAGAGCTGGACTGTTTTTAACTTTAACTCATGTTAAATTAATAAACCCGACTTAGTGTTACATGGGGGTCATAAAGCAGGTTGTCAGAATTAAGCAGTCCCTGTTGGAAAAACAAAGAGTCTCGAGGAATATGAAAGGTAACATAGACACATGTACAAGAGCATCTTTTTGGCGATTCAAGTCTTCACAGAGCGAGGGAAAATAACTGTGCATATGTTATATATTTGGATACACCTATTTGGTAAAAAGGTTATTTTCATGTGTTAGAGTATTGTGAGTTTTTGTTGTGCAGATTGATTGGTTGTTTGATACCATTACAGCTGTGATTAAAGGTGAGTGACAACAAAAACATACTTAACTCTCCCTTCCTACTCCTTGAGTTACTGTGGGTGACAAATAATTTCAGTGAGAAAGAAAAAGTTTGTGCTGATGAGCTGATTTTGGATCCCACTGGAGGGGATGATGTTGATCTCAACTGTCACAGTCTTCTCATTTTAGCAGATGGAGGATTACTGAAGGAATGCTTTGTTGGGGCACATTGGCTTTATAGCTCCAGTATCTATTTGGATCGTCATATGATATGAACCTAATTATCGTGACTTTTGTGTGGAAAGATAACTGTACTGATCCAGAAGTCTAAGCAGACATATACAGCCTGTATCTGTAATTTGCCTGTTTTAAGGTCACATGCCGGCAAAAATCTGTGTAACAGTGCATACTCCCCAAAAAAGTGTTTCCACAGTGACTCATACAAAAAAGAAAATAGCTCACAGGTTGAGGCTCACACACATTTGAAACTCACCCACAGATACAGAAGGCTTCAATAACAGAAGAGAAGAAGGGCAGGCAGAGATGGCTGAGCACCGAAAACCCAGAGAAACGTGAGGTGAGACATCGGTTTAGTCAGGGCTGCTTCAGAAAAAGAGGGAGAAGAGCGAGGGATTATAGCACTGAATATGACTGATAACTCCTGCACACATCACATGATTATTGTTATTTAAAAGAGGTTAACAGTGAAACAAACATGGCTTAAATATAAGTATTTTCCATGAGGTTTCTTTACAGCAACGTGCATTTGAAAAGAGGGAAATCTTTTGATGCACTGATCATCCAAATGATGTCTCTGTATTAGTATTTTTCTCTACTGCTGTTAAACTGAGTTTCAGCGAGAACAAATGTCTCAGCTCTGAACAGATACACACAAATGGTAAACTGAAGATGCTTCCCTTGATGACATTATAATGGCTCCAGCCTTCAGCAGAGGCTCAGGAAGCACATAACCTGAGGCTTTGATTTATTTCTTCATTCACTCTATTACCGAGCCGCTGAAACATAGTCTGTTGTGTATTTTCTGCAAATATACCAGAGAGAGAGCGCCAATGTTTATTTTACTTGCAGCTAAATAAATCAAACTCAAATGGATGCTGTGGCGATACAATGATGAGATTAAAGTACGCAGAATTCAGTGATAAAGCTCAGGGAAAATAACAGAAAGGCTGTGCTCCTATTGTACATTACACTGTGCAAGAGACTCACAAAGGAAGTAATCTTGTTAAACTGTGATGCAGGAAATGAGAAAATAACATCACAGAGGAACCAAGCGTGTGTAAGTGTGAGCAAGAGTGTGTCTGTGTCTGTGTGTATATGTGTGTAAGAAGAAAAAAAGAGGAGTGCGTGTGCCATCACGTGTCTGCGGCTGGGGAACTGACTTGCATTGTTCCATTTAGTCCACAAGATGGCGCAGGAATACAAAGATCGTCACTTTAAGTGGCCTGCTGTGGAAAATTAAGAGAGACCTTCAAGAGTCATATATGTCAGGAAGCAAATTTTTTGGTAAATTGCTACGGTTCTCTAGTTTATTTAATAATAAACCAACTTTATCATAAAGATGTCAAAAACTGAATTTCACTTTTTGTTGTGGACATGTCATTTTAAGACTTAAATGCAGTAGATTAGGCAGTTAAATACAAGTTAGAGTAGAGCATCAATGGCATCTTCTTCAAAGTGGTTCAAATAGACAAAGCGCAATGTTGTTAAAAAACCTGAAGAAAAGGGCAACTAATATTTATGCATCAAAATGTTAAGTTCTTGTTAATGGTTATAAATTTAAAAGGTTACACAACAGAGAGATATCAATCTCCTTCAAGTCTTACAAAACTCAAAAGAACAGATTCGCTCTATAATCCATATATGACCAAGCACCGACGACTGACGGTATCCCATAGTGCAGCTCAGTTTTGTGGTATTTTGACCAAGAAGACTGAGATAAAGCTGTATGTCAGTGTAATATAAAGAATTATATAACAAGCCCCAAAGCATATAAATGATCATGTGCAGGAAGGACCAAAGGCTGGTACTATCTCTGCTGAAATCAGCAACGCTCAGCGGATTAATTTGACAGAGTTCACCAGCAGAATTTGTGATGTTTCATCAAGTTAGATCATTTTTGCTCACATTTCCCTTTTCTGAGTTTTCCCTTACCTCAGACTACTGCAGTAGTCAGAACTGAAATTTCTATTTTAATGGCTTGTTAAGATCTCTGTAACTTTCAGACTGCAGTCTCTTTATTCATGATTGTGAAAAACTCTGTATTTCCTTTTTTCCACTCGTGAAAAAGAAAATCAAAGCAGAGATATCCAAATATACATATTTCACTAGCAGCAACATTTCTTTTAAGTCTGCAAATCTAAGCCGACTACATCAACCACAGAAACCAACATCCCACCAATGAAATCCCCTCATAGTGTAGGCTCATTGTGTTGACATTCAGTCATCAAATATTACCTCAAAGCCCCCAACTTCCCTTGCTGTGGTTAAAGTGTTGACTGAGTATTTGTGTGAGAATGTGTGGATCAGCTTCTGTTGTCAATGTGAACTTGGAAATAATAACTTAGTCCATGTGAAGGAATATTCATTTAAAATTTTACAAAACAATTCTTTATACCAAAAAATGTAAGCCCCTGTAAGCAGTGTGACATACAAGAGACAACAGTGTACTTGATGAAAAAATGGCCTAGTGTCTGAGTCTGTAAGGAGGGGTGAAGAGACGAATATGACACACACAGTAAGTTGCATTAAAAACATGAGGATTTTTGTTATACAAGAAAAAAAAAACCAACATTCGGGGAGAGTGGGGTAAGTTGAGCCAAAGGGTAAGTTGAGCCATCCCCTGTTGCTTGGAAATGGTAAAAGAAATTGATCATGTGACCAAATATTTAGAAGATGGGCATCAATTCATGGAGTCTGTGAAGGTTAGAAACACATGGGTGAAGGGGTTAGACATTTATTTACAAACATTTTTCACTCTTGAGAGAGAATTAAGTCTGTCGTAAATTTTATTAGAATTGTGTTCAGACCAAAATGGATCATTTTAAATTTGTTTTATACATCAATTGTGGTATCTATGGGCTACAACATGAGGTCAAAAACCTAGAATAAAAGTCCACCATTTTAGCTTAGAGGACTGATAAAGTCATCATAGTAGTTCTGGGGTAAGTTGAGCCAGTGGTTCAACTGAGAAAGTAAAGAAGTCTGATGAGAGGATCAGAGTTTCAGTTCAGATTGTTGAAATGTGTTACTTTTTCTTTTCAGAAATACAGCTGTGAATGTTCTGAATCACTTAAAGTCATTCTCATGTTAAAATGACTTTTTACAAAACAGCTTTTTAGCAGTTATATGCAATAATAATAAAAAGAATTATCGTACCAGTTGAATATCGTATAATTGATAAAAATACACATGAATGTGAAGAAGTGACTGTTATTTAGGAAGAGAGAAGGTGAGGGAGGGCTGGGGTGGAGAGTGGGGGGTAGTAGAGATATGGCTCAACTTACCCCATTCCTATGTTCAACTTACCCCATACACAGGGTAAGTTGATCATAGGAGACCACTTTTTTTTTGCATTATATATTATCAAGACAGTCATGTTTACACTCATTCTGTTGGTTTGCAGGGATGCACAACATCCTGAAATATATGCAGATACACAAGTTAGAGACAAAACTATGATCGTCTTGATGTAGTGATCCGAAATATGAAAAATGGCTCATCTTACCCCACTCTCCCCTATTTAAGTGGAAATGCTCATTAAGCATTTCCACTTATTGTTATGCCTGTCGGCCATCTTGTTTTTGTAAAATTCAAGTTTCTTTTAAAGTTTCTCAAATGCTTCAGCTCACCCAAAGGATATAACCATATTTAGCCATGGCTCAAGGTTTTTAAAGAAGCTTTAGTGCAGAAATAGGATTTATTTACGATTTCAGATACATAATAAAACAGAAGAAAATAAAAATAACTTCAGACGGAGAGAAAAGCTCCACAAAGCGCCTCCAGTTGCTAGCTTATATTAGCAGCCAGGCTAGCTCAGCTTTGCAGAACTCACCCAGACTCTTAACTTTTGCTGCTCAGGTCCAATGGTTATCTCTTCCTCCTCCTAGATGTGTTATATGATGGTATGACTTGCGATTTTTATCAAAGTTAAAACTAATTTGACATCAGCTTTACCTCTCACAGGCGAAACAGTTTTCAACTTTTGGCACGAAGCATTCGGTCTCCTTTAGGTACAGGGCGGGACTTCACCTTTTTACTTGAGTGACAGGTTACTAAGCCAATAGGCACTAACATTGAAACAAACCAAACGACTGAGGCGGTTTCAGGGGTAGGCCTAAAAGAAAAGTTTTAAACATCTCTAAACTCAACTAATGCGAACATTTTCTGAGAATACGGCACCATTACCAGCCTCTTTCCAATGACATGAACCACTTGAGAAAACAGACATCAGAAAATAGTTACAGAAGTTCAATCAGGTTTCATTGTGCTGTTTGCATGATACTGGTGTTTGTCACCGATTCTCAGAAACAGGTAGGACAGAACCTCTTCAAATTGAAGTGAAACTATTTCATGTCTAAATGTAGGAGGGAAAATATGGGGATTTTTTTCTGTAATTAAGGTGAAACAAATACTAAGATGGGTTGACTGTGTGAGTACAGAGTTTCCGAGTGGTAAAAGAAAGAAAACTCTGTCAAAAACATTGTATTTCAGGCCAACCGTAGAAAAAAAAAGAAAGAAAAAAGTCAGGGACAGAAAATAATTGAGTTCATTTGACCACGCTTCCCATAAAACCTAATGGAAACTATTAGTTCTTTCTGTGTTTACACTCAATCTGACCTGAGTTCCTCCCAGCATGCACCACATGTCCATGAGCCTCTTTGAAGTCTTCCGTTACAGGAGGTGCTTCAGATGCTGTAGGTAGATAATTCTTTTTTTTTTCTACAGGTTTGCACGAGTTCCTGCCTACAGTTTCCTCCTACCAGGCACACAAATTGCTGCTTCAGTAGAAACACCAAACCAGAGGAATAACTACGCAGAGACACCTCATAGAATCAGACTCGAGGGCTATCTCTTATGGCCTGCAGTCGACATAATCCTTCTACTATGGTTGACAACATCATTAAAAAGTCTCTTGGAGTACTTTTGATCATCGTAGCTCACATGGTCTTCATCGGTAAGCCATCTTCTTGTGATGATTCACTCTTCACATGCTCACATCTAAGGCTTTTTAGGTGTTTTCATCTGTTAGAGGTTGATAACACTATTACTTACCCACATTGAACAATGGTGCCGTGCTTCTTTTTCTATCATGAACTGAGTGCTTGAGGTAATGTGCTGTCAATCTGGCTTTGTTGGTGTTTGTTTTGCCACCTCAGATGCAAAATGTGATCACTATTCACCTAGAAATTACGCAGTAGCCTCATATTTTGGTTTCAGTTTACTTTTGAACAGTATTTGGTGCTCATTTTTGGGTCAACAGGAGCAGAGACTTTGGATAAGGCATTAAATTTCATCAAAATTTTCTCAACTTGGTTTAGAAGTTTTAAATACAGTGCGACAAAAACACCACGAGTTGAAATGTTGACTGTATCAGGCTGTGCTTTCTGAGATATAAAAAACAATACATCCAGTGAACTAATACACAGTGTATTAGAAGAGTTTTAACAAACAGCTTAAGCTAAACTTACAGAAAAGAATCCTGAGCTACTTTTAGCCTGATTAAAAATATAACAGCCTAATAACATTCATGCTACATCCCCATGTAGTGGAAAAAACTTTCTCCTGTATTTGAAGATGTTTGCTTCAGAAAATAAATTCTGCTTTTTTACAATCGCCTCCTCTAATTCATCTCTTTTTTGGTCTCACTTAGTTTGCAGCACAGTGCAGGTCACTGGGATCCTGGGAGCCAACATCATGCTTCAGTTCACTTTTAAAGTCAGCGTCACAAATGACAGTCATTTTGCAGTCTATGTTGGTGAAGGCCCAAAAAACGAGGAAAAGATTGCTGAGTACTTTAAGGGACGTCCTAATGGAATAACTTGCTTTCCTTTCCCTAAAAGTTACTCTGCATTTTGCCATTTTACAAATCTGACACTAAATCACAGTGGATATTATTGGGCCAGTTTGTTCTCCCCTTCAGAGGGAGTCCCCACAGAAAGTGAGAAGGTGCACCTAAAAGTACGAGAGGAGAACAAAAGCATCACAGGTAGGTGAAATGTAAACAATGAGCAAAAAGATAATTGACTAAGAGACTATTTTTAATTTATTGTTAACAGAAATTTGTGTGAATTTCCAGGTCGGATTTTGAACATGTAAAGCATGGCATGAGTACTGGAACAGCCCATTGTTTGGATTTTTATTTACTTTAATTTCTAGCCACCTGATAGGATCAGCAAAGAAGTGGAAATAAAAGTTGCTCACTGTTACTTTGTAAAGTCTCAACAAAAGGCTCTGCAGCATTTTCAAAAGAAAAAAAGAGTCTGCAGGGATGCTATTCATGCTCAACAAGCTTAATTGTCAACATTAACAGGGCTGTGCTCAAAATTACAATTTTAACATTCAGATATTATGCAGGTGTTCTGTTTGCCATTTTCACACGTCCAGTTTTTGTGTTTTAGCATTCTGCCATTTGCTGTTTGTCACTTATAGCCCAATATTACAACTAAAGCTTATGTCAATATTTACAAATTTGTGATTGTTCACCTACATTTAAGACATGTAATACTTGGACTGGATATTGGCTGTAGATTAAAGTCAAGAGGTCAACAGAGTTTAAAACTTTACCAGACAAAGACATTATATTTGAACCAACTTCTACACTGTTGAATTTAATCACAGGAGAGAAATGTCAGTTTTAAAACTTTAGTTTTATTGGTTTGTTCTAGATCAGAAAATTAGAGAATGACCACAATTGACAGATGTTATCCTATGGGCATGATGAAAATTTTTGCCCAATTTTGTGAAAACATATCTTACGTTGTGAGAATAGATTTTTTACTCTACATTCTTGTCACTATTTAAAAAGATTTATATCATAGAAACACATTTTAATAATTATTATAATATTTTTTACAAACATTTTGAAGAGATGACCATGCCACTGTGACTGAGATGAAAGACGTTTGCATCCAACAGTTTTCATTTGTTTGAGGTCAAGTGTCAAGCTGAAGTGGTCAGTAAAAGAGTAAGGTGTCTGGATTTGATCCTTTATTGTGTATCCAATCAATGATTAAACTACTTCGGTACAAGTGCAGAGGAGGAAGATAAGTATCTAAAATGCATTCTCCTTTTTTTTTAGGTGCTCTTTATTTGATCTTTGTTTTTACATTTATCACCATGACAACGTCTGTGGGATTTTTTTTAATTTTTGTAGTTTTGTAAGGAAAAAAAACGGCAGAAACATGAGTTATAATTTCCTGTTGAACTCCCACAGTCACTACAGAACAGCCAGACATCCCGGTGCAAGACAGTGGAAGTTACTCTCAGATCATCTCGGCTGTCTTACTGGTTTCACCAGGACTGATAGTGGCTGCAGCACTTATCTGGCTGATCTGGTGTCTTGTGAAAAACAAAGGTAGGGGATCTTATGATTTGTTCATATTTTCCTCAGTCTTCACAGAGGTGTCAGTTCAATTTTTAAGGTCAATGCTGTCATGATATGTTCTGTTTGAGTTAGTCTTTCCCTGGAGTGTATTTTCTTTGTATTTCCCCTACTGTTCCCATTCCCCTGTAGTCCTGTCCTGTGAGTTTTCAGTTTGTGTCTGACCCCGGTTCCCTCATGTTCTCAGTGTTTTATTGCTTATATCAGTTTTCAGTGTTTCCTGTTTTATTTTGAAGTAGTTTATTCCCTGTGTTTCTAGTCTTGTTTTACTTCCTCAAGGAAACAGGGGAAGACAGGGGCTGTGTCCGAAATGGATCCCTAACCTCTACATGGGCGACTATATGGGGGTCAGCGCCATTTTGAGGGGTGTCCAAAACCTGAGTGATCAATTCCAATGCCCCATATAGGCGACTTAAAATTTCCCATAGAGCATTGCTCACCGGTGTTGGGCATCCTGTCTTGCATTTTTTATCTTCACTTCACTCGTAAGTGATCTGTACAGTTTTCCAAAAACAGTTGTTTGCTGCGTCACATAGTCTCGTGCACAATATGACGCAGCAAACAATATTCGGCATGAAATTATAAGGCCTTTTAAATTTACTACTTTATTGCTTTTTTTAATTATTATTTTTAATTTCACGGGCATCCTGGAAAAACAAATATATCTATACAACATAATAAAATTCAAGAGATGTTAAAAAAACAACAGCCGCAACTTCAGACGCAGCAGTCTGAACAGTGACGTCACAATGATGCGCCATGTAGTGTCCGAAACCTCAGGTGATTGAGTTTAATACATAGTCAGCTACATAGTGAAACCCCATATAAGGGTTAGAGGTTAAGGACTGAGTGATTCATTTCAGACACAGCCAGGGACTATATATACACAGGGAAACGAGCAACGAGAGGCAGGTGAGACACTGAGGCCACTTTTAGACGGAAACAGTCTCCATAGAAAACGGAAAAAATTAGTTTTGTTTAGGGGGGTCCGTTTAGACGGCAACTGCGTTTTCAGGAGATGAAAATGTATCAAAGTGAAAACCCCCTCCAGAGTGGAAATGTTGTAAATGCTCTGCTAGTCCTGCTTTCGTCTAAAGTACAAAAACGCTGAAAACGGTCAAACCTGTGACGCCATGGCTAACGTCCGCTCACGTTTATGACATCATAGCCATGTGCAGTTTCCTTGAAAATAACAACAACCATGCTAGACATTCGAGTCACACTGTCGTTATTATTGAACGGGCAGGAGCTCAATTTTGACCTGTACAGAATTCTCACGGATCATACTGCTCAGCAGAGGAGACGTCTGAATTATTTGCATCAAATAATTGATGTAGAACGGAAGTTGTTCTACGTATGCGTTGTTGGTCTATAAGGGAGCGTGGTCACACCGACACGTGCCACCTAGCGACCTGGCATGCACATTACAGCGTTTTGCGTTTTTGTGTAAACACAACATAAAAACTGAAAACGAAACGGCACTTTTCCGTTTTCTATGGAGACCGTTTCCGTCTAAAAGTGGCCTGAGACACAGGTGAGGACAATTACTAAGGAGGGAAAACATAGGAAGAAAAACAAGACTAGAAACACAGGGAATAAACTACTTCAAAATAAAACAGGAAACACTGAAAACTGGTATAAAGAATAAAACACTGAGAACATGAGGGAACCGGGGTCAGACACAAACTAAAAACTCACAAGACAGGACTACAGGGGAACAGGAACAATAGAGAAAATAACAAGAAAAATACACTCCAGGGAAAAATTAACTCAAACAGAACATATCATGACAAGCACTTGATGTATGTATGTACCTGAAACTTCTGTCTAATATAGAGTGCAAGTTGTTGCAGGCCAATGTGAAGATGCGTGTTTCGAGCCATATTTAGTGACACCGTCAACATGTTGACAAAAGTTGAAGGTGACAAAAGTTGCTATTCTGCGGAAAAAAAACGGCAGTTGTGTGGTTAGATGCTTAAATTGCAAACCAGATTGCACTTTCACATCCTTTGGTACATCAGATGACTCACAGGTTTTCAAAATAAGTCCTCCTTCACTGTATGTAAATATGTCAATTATCAAAGTGGAATGAGTGGAAAATAACCACTTGCATTAATTGTTCTCGATAAGCGGTGAGCCTCCACATCAAACCCCTGTGGCCCACATAGAGCAGAAAAAATGTCTAATTTGACACTGGAGAATTCTGTCAGCCCCTGTGACCTCAGACACGACACATGAGATTTCCCCGTAGGTCTACACAAATGTGGGGTTTGGCTGACAATGCAGTCCTACGGTGTCATACTAACCTGGTTTAGTTCTTCAAACAAAAACTCCCCTTCAGCAAAAATAGTGTGAAAGAAACTACATCATATAGCAGCAGTGGATTGTACATTAATTTAACAAACAAAAATCATAAGGATTTAATGTAAAGTATCTAAACTGAACTAGTCTTGTTTGTTTAATACTGAAGTGGAAGCAGAAGAAAATGAGTTCCCAGTGTCAGAGAAATCAAGACATTTGACCTTGACATTGAGAAATCTGCTCACCTGTACACTAAAGCGATGAAGTATAACTGCAGAAAAACAAATCTGATGACGTGATCACATAAAGAAACCTTTGCTAAAACAGAAAAACTAGTGAGCTAAAGCAGACCTGAGCACTGAACACTTTTCCCAACACTAGCCACAACTAAGTAGCGTCTCACTGAAGACATGGCGCTAGTCGTTGTAGTAATGCTGAAGTTTACGGCCCAACAGTGTCGTCAAGAGTGGTGACCTTTTTGTACATTTTAGCCAAGTTACACAACATCAACAACATTTACCCCGGAGCAGACTAGAAATATCAGCTCAGATACAAAGTCAAAGAAGAACCAACCAATTCTGAATCATGTGCACGAGTTACACAGAGTGCTACTATGGAGTGTTTTTTTTTTTTTTTTGTCTCTTTTTATATCTAACTGGCTTTAATTTATCTCTTGGGGGAATTGAATGTGATAGAATATGTTTTATGTTAACATTTATTATAATACTTCACCAAACCAACTGTTAAAGAGAGACATCTGGATGAAAAAAAATGTTAGACAGTTCATGGAGGTACCTTAGTCGGAAGGTTTAAACATTATTTAGAGTTATAATAAACATCTGATACAGTATCAGCTAAAGTTCGTGCAGAGAAACAAATTCAAGGATTGAGTTGTAACAAAACTGTTTCCATCAATCAAGAAGAAGATGGGAATCCCATGATCATTTCAGTGTTTACCCATTTTTTCAACAAATCTATGTGGTGATTATTGAGGCTGTAGGCAGGAACATCTTGTTTCTACGAAGAAAACAACTGATTTTGAGTATATAAATGTATTTTTTTAATCAAGACTATATATTTTTGGGTTCTTATTCTCTAGCCAATAAAGTCACATGACTTAAATTGGATTAAACTGTAATTCCTCAGGTTCCTAACATAGGGAATTTTTTTTTTCTATTTTAACACAACTACACTAATACAGCTAGCTAAACACTGACTGACATTACATTTCATTGATTTAAACACTTTTCAGAATGGTTGCAGAGTAAAAGAAAGGCTGACAGAAGCGTGCCTGCCATTGTTTGAAAGAATCACATGTTAAATTAGTCTTTAACACGTAACATGCCATTTAACAATTTTACTAATGTCACATGACTTGAACCACATTACTGGTTTATATCATTATCAAACATTTGTTCTTTATTCAGCTATGTATTTTTTTATATATATAGAATGTCAAGAAAGTTTGTTCATGCAGATTAATTTATGACACAGATTAACACACACTTCCAAGTCAAAGAGAGAGTAGACTTGGTTAATAGTCACTCACAGAGAGAGCAGCCTCAGTCTGAATTGTTCATTTACTTTAATTAAAACAATGTGATCTCTGTTATCGCATCTTTTGGCTTTATTTGTTACCACTCGTTCTAGCATGTGTTACAACCAGTGGCGGTTCTAGACCAAATTACTCCCCGGGCGAGCACCTCTCCAAGTGCCCCCCCCCCCCCCCACACACACACACACACACACACACACACAAAAAGAGATAGAATTTTGAACAGATAGTATTGTATTACTATGTATTATTATTATTATTATAACAACAAAAATAATATATTTTTCAATTGCAGAAATCCTTCAATAGAAAAAAACACAATCCTGAGGGCCATTTTCAGAAGGGCCCCCAGATCCTGAGGTTTTCTGAAATGTTAAGGTTTACAAAAAAGCTGCTATCTCGGCCTCTGCAGTAGATAGAAACAAAATTCAAAAAGTATTTGAGAGCTTAAACATGTGGCTTTAAAGAAAGCTATCTTTTAGTTTTGCGAACCTTCATCACATTTTGAAAACCTTGAACAAACAAACTCAAATGAAATAAAGCGGCTGTATAAATAAAAGTAAAGACTCTGCACTGGAGAATGACAAATAATTTGCTTTCTGTAAAACAAGTGGCAGTCATGATAAAGTGTCCATTCAATACAAATGTAAATATAGAAAATAAGGTGTTGAAAGGGTATACAGCTGTCCCAGTATAGTGCCAGTACAAAAGCAGAACTAAAAACTAAAAAATGAATAAATAAATACGTGGCTGACAGTGTGTTCATCTCTGTTCTCACCCAAAGTCATGCAACACTCAGAGAAAACGCTGATAGTGTGAGCCAAAGCGCTCCCTATGAAGAAGTTGTTCACACTGCTGGATGTTTCTCCTCTGAAGCTGCTCTCTGTCTCCGTCATTGTTTACTTTACTCATGAAGCTCATCAAGCACGTAGCAAGATCCGAGCATGAACCCGAGCGCTTTATTCGCCTATCAAAGGCAGACGGGTACGGTGATTTCATTCACCGCGACTCCAGAAATGATTAAAAAACTACAAAATGACGTATCCGCGCTCCCGCTGATATGCTGACATGCGTACACAGAGCAGAGCTGTCCCTCCGCGACTCTCTCCCCGCCTCGTCTCCTACAGTCTGTCAGCCTCTGTGCAGCACCTTCGGAGCAAGCAGGGGCGCCTACAGCAGTGGGGGGGGGCGCCAATTTGACTACAAGAGTTAATACAAAACCGCTTTGCGGTTAAGATTTATTATTATTATCTTTTATTTTATTTTTTTTTGGAAGTGCTCGTGCCGCCCCCCATGAGTCATGACACAAATGCCGCCCCGGGCGGCTGCCCTGTTCGCCCGTGCCTAGAACCGCTACTGGTTACAACCGACCCTGTTTTTGACATCAGTTCACAAACCCTGTAATAATAAAGTATTGAGCTGGTTTCTTCTATAGTAATCAAATGTAGGAATTAATAAATGAAAAATTATGAAAACGCTGGTTGAAAAGTTCAGTGAGTTACACCTGCTGAAGCAAAAAGTGTCACAACCATCCCTGGTCTCCCCTACTTTGTAATGCATCATTATTCTTTATAATCAATTATCAACTGCATTAAATCGACACAGACAAGACTAGTTTTTTTTAATTTAAAGTTTTGTATATAGTGCAAAGTTCACAAGTTTGTCACAGCTGACAGAGTAGCTAATCTCTTTACAGGTTCATCTTCATGCCACCTGCATATTAACGTAGAAAGTACTGGTAGAGGCAGAAAATTTGTTCACCTCTGAGGATGACTTGTTGCATCTTACTTAAAAAAAGATATGAATGAGTGACAAACGCATTACAACCCCTTATTTCTCTTCCGATACAGACAAACAAGAACAATCACCTCATCAAAACTCCAATCCTACAATACAAGTAAGAACGGGTTTATCTTTTCCTCATAAAACTTGATGATAATAAGCTGAAAATGTTCACCTTCACTGAATTGTCTTTGCAGGAAACAGTTGAACCGCCCAGCCAAGTCCCTCCATCCTCGCTGGTCTACAGTGTCCTGGACTTTCCTAAGAGAGCGTCCGCAGCTGTGGAGATGAATTCGAATGATACAGAATACGCTGCTGTCAGTTATTGTACAGAAAAGAGGGGGTTTTAAAATACACCTGATGTAATCCAGCTGGTCTCACTTTGTTCGGCAGCTCTTTAATATAAATTAGATATAAAACCATTAACTATTTTGTGGTGTATGCTGGGATGCAAGAGTGATAGACACCTTAAAAACAGTGATACTTCTTCTTCCCATTTACATTGCGTGACCCAGACGCACAAGAGTTTTAAGAAAGACTCACTGACCTACATTGTACTGATACTGTAAATCACTTTTTTATACGTATGGTTTTGAGCTTGATGTAGAGGGAGGTGTTGTAGCATACACCAAACCAACAAACATGATGTTACAGGGGCAACTTTAGATTTGTGATCATTTTATTTTATCTTTTTTTCTTTTTAAAGTCAAGTCCAGTTTGACCTGTGTTTGACACACATCACACAAAGACAGAAGTGTACCTCCATTATCAGGGACGGCTCTTGGCATAGGCGGTCTAATACAGATGGTCACCGAGAGTGCTACATGCTGGAGGGGAACCTAGTCAGCTTGTCATCTCAGGTCAGAAAGTGATCAAGATGGGAGATAGATGACGGGTAGCTACATGATTATTTGTCATGATGAAAAGGTCGTCACAGCCCTCATCATTATAATGATCCATTATGATCAACAGTACTGTGGTTCTTAGTTTTTTCTTATTAATTCCTTATTCTCATTCTGTCTGCTGTAAATACTTCTGCATAACTACAAAAGTGTCAAAGTTTGCCTCTAAAAGTGCTCCCAAAGAAGTCCCTTTACCCCTGAGATATGATTATTGAAGACCTCAGTACCCAGTTTTGAATTTTTGAGCTAAAGCCCCAAATCGACACTTTTATAATTTGGGACTCTGCTTTTTAGATGTTCAAAGTTCTGTTCAAGTTAGGGGGGTATGCAAATATTCAGCCATGGAAAAACACATATGTGGTACTGGTCTGGTCTTTTAATGGGATTAAAATCTAAGACATGGAAGAAGATCTGCCTTTCTTTAGAGCGTAAAATACCAATTCAGCAGATGTATTTTCCTCCTTTATCATAATATAATTCAAGCAACAGACACTGTTAGTTTTGAACATTCTTAGAAATGTCTACAGAGTTCATTTGTTACTTTAACTTTTACCAAAAGATGAAACTTTAAATCCATCTGGTTACATTTGTGACTTGTGATCACTATTTTTATATTCAGTGAAGAGGCGTTGATGTCGTTACAAGCTCTTAGTCATTTCATCCACACTGTCGGTGTTTTCATCTTGAGGTTTTTGGCAGCACTTTGCCTTTTGAAACTTAGACGTCTTAATGAATTGAAACTATCAAGATATGGCAACACTTTGTTTTTAGAGCAAACAAGAAATGTATGTGCACAAGTAAAAGTGTGATTGTTCCATCGACTGTATGGCAACAGTTTGATGCTGTCACATCAGCTCCACAACAATTATCTCACACTATCTGTCTGCCATTTTCCGCTGCATGGACTCAAAAGTTCTCTTTTTTTTGCAGGTGCTCCATAATGTTTAGATTTTTATATTTTTCAGAAAAGTTTTGAATTGTGTTCTCAGTTGATTTGTTTCCCTCTTAAACAGAATAAAAGTCAACCACATCTGTTCACCTGTGCCAGACAAGCTCAGTGCCTTTGCATCCTCAATGTTGGTATCTCTCAGAAAAGTAACTTAACCAGGTAAAAAACAAAAGGATGGCTGTTCAAGTTTTTTATCTGCTTGACTCACTTTCTGATCTGCTCTTCAAATCTGATTTGTTTGCAGTGAAAACACAAATGTGAAATACAGACAATGGTTCTTACTTGAAATGCATGAATGTATAAATGTCAAAATACATTGATGAATATTTTTGTTTGAGGATAATGCAATTTGTTCACAAATGTTAAATCTATATGGCAAATGTAAAGCACATAAATTTAGGCTTTTTATGTGTTCAGAACAGTGTTGAAAATAAGATGAAGAAACACTGAACATACTTTCTAAAAAGTCACAAGATGCAAAAAAGTTAGTGTTTTTCTCACTCTCCCCATCTCGTGAAAAATAAAGCAGTAGTGAGGTGTCATAGCCCAGCATCTTATGAAACAAAGCCACAATGTGACACAGGCCCAGTGGTTGTCATTCATGTGAACTGTTGCACACTGTTCTGCTGCTTTGGTCTGATTGTTTACCGCTAATGCTGCATTTATTGCAAGCATATAATTTGTTTGCACTTTGCACAACACCCACTTTACAGTACAGGGGTTTCTCATCAGCAGACATCACTTTCTCAGCATACTCTCTGTTTGCTGACGCAACTTCTGACGGCAACACTTCAACAAATGCAAGCATAGAAAGTTCAGCTGAGGCAGGTTGATGCCCTATTACATTGTTTCATTTGGAAGTTTTACATCAAACTTGAGTGCAGAAATGAATCAGCCTGAAATCATGACTTTACCTGCCAGAATTACAAAAAGAGTATCTGAGGAGAAGTTGAAAGTCAGTGGACTACTAAATTCTGACATTGTTTTGCCCATTTCTCATATAAAAATTGGGTCCTGATGAGTCTGCTGTCCCACAAGTCACTTCTTTTCTCCTGCTGAGCCCCTGCAACTTTCCTCCCAGTCTACATGTGCAGATTATTATTATTATTATTATTATTATTATTATTATTATTATTATTATTATTATTATTATTATTATTATTATTATTATTATTATTAGTAGTATTAGTAACAGTAGAGTATTAAAAACAGAGAGAAATCGCTGTTTCTGACACTTTCTCCATCTTGTAGAAGAGCTGAATGAATTATTGTCTTGTAGATAAACTTTCAGCGCTCAAGTTTCTTTTTAGATTAGATCATGACATAACTAGGGTTCCACACAATTCCACATGTACCTCATTAACCCTTACATACTGTTCGGGTCAAATTTGACCCATTTTGACTTTTAAAAGCAGTAAAAATACCCTAAACATCATTTTTTAAGCCTGAAACTTGATGACTTTTCCTGAAGTTGCCCAAAATACATGAAATTAATTTAAAACTATTCATTTGTATTTTTGTTTATGTGCTACAAATTTTTCCCCTCTAAGGCTGTTACAGGTCAAATTTGAGTGACAAACAGTAACAACCGTGTTCAATATAAGGTTTGTTGTTCAAAAAGATATATTCAAATCATTATGAAACTATCATTACCTTGACAGAAACACACACACACACACACGCACGCACACAGACATACAGTCACACAGACACACCTAGACAGAGGTCAAAATGACCTAACTAGTCAAGAGAACTTTCTGTGACAGAAAGCTGCTCTTTGAACTCTTTGAAGGGGCAATTTTGACCCGGAACACACTGTGAGGGTACAGGATTTGAACAGTATGTGAGGGTTAAAATAAACTGCTAGCAACTGAAGGGGGAGGTGGAGCTGGACTGGAATAGAATAGAATAACTTCATTGTCATTGTATGTACATTCAAATAACAAAGTGTACAGCCGTTACTGTGTCAGACAGATAATGTACAGTGATTGCTGTTTAAAATAACCTCAAACTGTGTTGCTCTATTATGAGAATTCACAATAAAGGTAGGTCTATGTACTGCACCTGCAGGTAAAGCTAAAACAAATGGGTTTTCGAATGGCAAATTAGGGCTCTGCATGCAACCTCTTATTGTGCATTTGTACTTTTTGCTTTACAGACAGAAACTCATCTGTTTTTGGTTCAGTTTGTCACTCAACTAAAAGATGACACTGCCCTCTGGTGGCAGTGGATAATAAGTTCAGGCTTTGTACCTGTTTTTGGAAAACACTCCACAGTGTTCAGACTGTGTGTAAGAGAAATGAAAACAACTCAAGAGAGCCACATGATCTCTGCATGGGTATCCGTTTACATAGAAGAGGTATTTGTAGAAATATTTAAAAAATAGAGATTTGAGAGACTAATTATGCTGTTAGGGATGGGTTGAGCAGTGACATACCTATATACTATACAAAGATAGTTTAATCTACTTGAATGTCTGATAACCAAGGACTTCATTTTAAAACCAGGGGAAAAAGCAACAATAAATATCAGTATTAATCAATCCAAGAAAACTTTAGTTATCAACCTCCACATGCTTATCAAAACGTAAACACAAACATGTAAAGGTGTTATTCCCCAAGAACTTGGTCTGAAAGGATATCCACATATTTATTGTACAAAATTCAGTCATGTCCAGACCGCCTACCCTCACACGAAAGAAGACAAAAAGAAATAGAAATAACGCCATCTGTTGGGCAATCTCTGTTAGAACATCTCTACCCACCAAACTGTCTTAGTTCATTAATAGTGAGGTAGCAAACAAATAAGTTTGTGTTAGTTGGTTAAAAACAGGGTAATAATCAATAAAAGGGTTGAAACAGATTCATAAATCAATTAAAATACTAATAAATAAAAAGTGTCTTAAAGTTTCCGTAGTCCATGTCAAACAGGTACAAGACAGTAACTTAAAACCAGCAGTTGAGGCCCTGAGCCCCTGCTATAGGTTGTACTCTTACAAAGCTTGATGACAGAGAGAACTAAGGATCTCCTGAACCCCCCTTGATGTCATGAAGAGGGCGGCTGAGGCCGAATGGTCTGCTCTTCACTCTGCACACTCCTTTCCATCTCGGTCCTTAAAGAGTCCAGCCTCCTGCCCAGGGCCGAGGTAGCCTTCTGAAGCAACCTCCTAATGTTCTTGTCAGTGTTGCTTTCTCCACAACAGACCCCACCAAAGAAAATGACACTCCCCACCACTGACTGATAAAAAACATTTAACAGTTAAAACCACACATTGAATGACCAGGAGGCATCCATATTTACAGTTCAGTCCAGTTTGTGGTCAAAGTACAAACCCAAAGACTTCAATGTTTACACCAGCTCAATGCTGATTGCCCTTGCCCTTCTGATTCTCTCATCACAACATGGTTCCATATAAACGGTTGAACTCCTCACCTCTGTTGCAGCCGTGGTAGTGTAATGAAATCCAAACTCTCTCCGTTATCTCTTTGAGAAAGAGTTTATAAGCAGCTCCTTCACAAATCCTGATGCACTTTAACTGGATGCTTCTCATCTGCAGTCCCCAGTGACAGAATAAGTGACACAGCCTCATCTGATTTAGACAAACACTTTCTACATTTACAGCATAAGCCCCGATGTGAACAACAACTTTACAGAAAATTAATTTGATGCAAGCAGTAATATTAATGACAAGGTAATGTGAAAAAAATAAGGATTCATGAGAGTTTATTGTTGTTTTCTTATGCTGTTTTTGTTTGTTCATTTGTTTAGTTTCAAGACCAAAAAATTAGGACATTGTGAACTTATAATAATGATGATGTTGATGATAATATTGATGATGATAATGATGAGGATGATCATGAGGTTGATGATAAAGATGGTGATGATGTTGTTTATTATGATAATGATGGTGATAGTGATGATTTTGTTGATGATAATAATGATGATGATGATGATGATGATGCAATGACGACATTGATGATGATAAAGACAATGATGATTTTAATGATGAAAATGATGATGATAATAAAAGTAATGATGCATTGACGATGATGATGATAATGAATGTAATGATGGAGATTATGATGACGATGATGTTGATGATGATGTTGATGATGATGATTTTGTTGATGATAATAATGATGATGATGCAATGAGGATGATGATGATGATGATGATAAAGACAACACCTAAAAAGACATACCTTGCTTTAACTATGCGATGATGTTGTTAATGATCACAATGATAATAATGATGATGATGATGATTTTGATGATGATGATGATGATGATGATGATGATGATGATGATGATGATGATGCTGCTGATGATGATGATGATGATGATGATGATGATGGCAATGATAATGATAAAGACTATGATAATGATGTTGATGATGATGATTTTGTTGATGATAATAATGATGATGATGCAATGAGGATGATGATGATGTGATAATGATGATGATGATGATGATGATAATGATGATGATGATAAAGACAATACCTTAAAAGACATACCTTGCTTTACCTATGTGATGATGTTGTTAATGATGATAATGATAATAAGGATGGTGATGATTTAGATGATGATAATGATTATGATGATGGCAATGATGATGATGATGATGATGATGATGTTGTTCATGATAATAATGATGATGGCAGTGACGATGATAATGATATTGATGATGATGATTTTGTTGATGATATTAATGATGATGATGCAATGAGGATGATGATGACAATGGTGTTGATGATGAAGATAATGATGACATTGATGATAACACTGATGATGATGATGATGATGATGATGATGATGATGATGATGATGATGATGATGAAAACACTGGCATCATAATGATGATACTTGAACTGATAATGACAATGATTGGGAGGAGGGTGCACTTCTCCTGTTCTCTGTTCTTCTCTGGTCTAGACCTTTCTTCTGTTGTCCATACCCCCAGTTGTATGTCTCTTTGGATGCAATCATCTGCTGAATGGTTCATGCTGTTTCAAAAAGGCCTAATTTAAACCATAAATGATTAATAGGTAAGCGCCAAAAAGCTGCTCTAATTAACTTGAATTCATGTAGGATATAACAGACCCAGAAAAGACACACCTATCTGTACCTATGCTATCAAAATAAGAGCATGCATGTGAATGTGTTTGCTTTGGGTAACATACACTGAAATAAAAACAGCTGATGGTGATTTGTAGTAAATTTTCTGCCTTTCATGATGTTTATCAGATGTGAGCCTGCTCTGTGCACTCAGGACAGGTGATCAAATACTTTTCTTGTTGAGTGACATTCTTGATGATGTCACCCTCTATAAGCAGGCCACAACCAAACTTTACAAGAACCAGCAAAGAAAAGAAAAAAAAAAACCCTCCTTCTGCTGGGAAATGAGGACTGCAGCATATCTCTCATCACTTTTTACAAGACAGCAGGGTCTGGTTTGAACAATGCAGATCGAAACACCACAGAAGTCTCTTTTGCTATGAGCAATCTCGCTCTATACCCCGCTTATGTTGCCACTTTTTTTCTTTTAAGGTCATTGCTTTTTGAGACCACTTCCTGTCACATGTTTTCCTCTTGACATGCTTACAGTTGTACCTCTCAGCCATTACATACACAGGTAATGCGGCAGACACGGATTTCCTTTCTGTCCTGAACTACAAAGGATCAAAGTCTTGAGAGGAGGGCTCGACCTTTATTTGTGCGGTAATGTTAAAGAGAACAAATACTGTCTTTGCTGTCAGACAGCAAAGACAGTTAAGTTAAGGCCTGGATGCTTGTTTGAGTCTATGGTAGAATTGGGAGCTTCATGCACAGAGGCCATAGCATCCTAAGTCATAACAAACAGAGTAACAGAGTCAGAACAAACAGTTGTTATACTTCTCTGTATGTTGGCTGTATTTGTTCTAACAGACGGATTATCCCCCTCTGCCTGTTCAGATAAAGTAACTAGCAGGAGAAGGTTTTTATTAGTATTTCTTCTTTTATATAATGCTGCGCAGACAGCTGATACTGGAGCAGGATTACCAAAAAGACATACCTTTTCTGTACGATGACAACAGACAACAAGATTCAAGGTGTGTGAATGGTTCAGTACACCCAAATCACACATCATGACGCTGGAGCAGTGGTGAATAACATCTTACTGATCTGTCTGATCACCTTTTGTTGGCAAATCTTTATTAAAAAAACTGAGTTAACAAAGTTTGGTGTTACATTAATGTTCATTATGCTATACTAACAAATCAATAGCTGTACCTTATCACTATGCAGCCTACAAAAAGTAATATTAAACATTAAGCATTAAAAAAGAAGATTTGTATTCCAATTGCTCACCTTGACAAGACACACATTTCTACAACAGTAGGTGACAATGCTCATGGGAAATGCAATCTTCTCCACTGGTTTCCTCTGAAAGGGTCACTACAATTGGTATAAAATATTAACATAACAACTCACAGAGCCTTTAAGCGTATGTTAAGATAAACAGTCAGCCCAGATATGTTTGTGCAAAATTGTGCTGTTCAGCAATGAAACGTGTGATATGTCCGTTTTAGGGTGAGTCTGTCTTCATGTCAAAGACTAAACCATTCCTGTATGTCAGCATGGCAAACTCATTTTCCAAATCTGTGATTTCTCCTTCTCTGGAGCTTCTCAGCGCCTCATCTGTGCAGTCCGAATCCTCATCACTGATTTCTCCTGACATCCTTGAATCTCCCCTTTCATTCTCCATGTTCTCATCAGTGCCACCTTCAGTGCCCTCCTCTGTCTCTTCAGGGATGGATTTGGCTTCTGGGAGCAGCTTGTGAATAGTAAGCTTGTGGACCTCCTCCTTTCTCTCCAGCATTTCCTGTTACAGAAAGTAAAAAAATGATACAAACTTTGACAACATTCAAACCAACAGTACCCAGTGCTGTGCTGTGATATATTCCTATTGCTCTCCTCCTTGCTTACAAAGTGAACAGAGGTTTCTGAAAAACAAAGAAGATGAACTTTAAAAAGTCAAATTTAGGCAAAACCAAAAAAATAATCTAAGAGGGTTCCTGATTAGCCATGTCAGAAACAAAGTTTGGGTGCTGTGAGAAAAGCCTTTACAATCCATACAACCATCAATCCATCCATCCATGTATATGTAAATCCATCCATTAATCCATCAATATATCTATGATTCATCCATCAATACATCCATTCATGCATCTATCCCTGCATCCATTATCAATCTAAAATCCATTCATCCATTCATCAATTCATGCATCTGTCTATCCATCCAACAATCCATGCATCAATCTATGAACCATCCATCCATCCATTCATTCATCAGTACATCCATCCATCCATCCATCCATCAATTTGTCAATCCATCCATCTGTCAATCCAGTAATCAAACTATGAACCATCCATCCATTTATAAACCGTTCATAGATCAATCATGCATCCATCCATCCATCCATCCACACATCTGTGAACCATCTGTCTATCCACCCATAGACGCAAAAATACATTCATTGATCCACCATCTACCTATCTATCAATCCATCTATGAATCTATCCATCTATCCACAGATGCAGCCATCCATCCATGCATCTATCCCTGCATCCATCATCCATCCAAAATTGGATCCATCCATCCATCCATCCATCCATCCATCCATCCATCCATCCATCCATCCATCCATCAACTCAAACAAACAAAATTGAGGGAAAAAAAGGTACTGAGTTGTTCAATCACATGCAGTTCACAAGAAAAGGTACGAAAAATAGTTTGTCTGTAAGTCATCAAGAAATTTTCACAGTCTGTTAATCACTTTCTTTTGCAAACAAAACATTTTATCCTCACCTTTGCATATTTCATAAATGCATAGTGCAAGATCATATTCAACACACTCTTAAGCAATCAGACATCTGCTTTTTGTTCTAGTCTTAGAACAGAAAAGTACAAACCCAGCTTTTCTTACCTGTTTTTCTCTCGGGTAAGAGGTGAAATCGAGGACAGGAGTTGGCACTGGAGGGCAAATTTTCATTCGAATTCTGAGTAAAGGAGCAGAAAAAACAAAGCTGATTCAAAGATGGTGGATAATACAGTGACACCACTTCATGACTGATGTATTGATGCTTCGCTGAACAGATTTGTTGGAAGTCCAGAAAAGTTTCTTTAAAGAAAGTAAAGTTATTTGGTTTAGAGCTTCTGGTCCTTACACAAGCTGCATTTTATGATGATAACAATAGTAGAGACTAACCTACCTCTTTAGAATAACAGTACACAGTGTTGAGATAAGAAAGAACACCAAGAGCAAGCCAAGACTCCACCACACTGATTTCAGGAAAAAACAACAATACAGAAACATATTAACACTCTCACATGGGAATAAACTGTTCCTTCGACCCATATTTGACTGAACAGCATGGGTTTATTTTTAGACTTCATACCATTAAAAGTCTTCTCCGGCTGTGTGATGATTTCAATTGTGGCTCTGGGTCCCTCTCCCCTTCTCGTCACTCCAGCCAGGCTGATGATGTATTTTGTGTCAGGGGTCAAGTTTTTCAGGCGGTATTTTAACAGTGTGGCTGAGATGTTATGACACTCTGGTAAAGTGAGAAAACATAGCAGAGATTTGTCTTCACAGTAAAACACTTGCAGCTGTTTTACATTTTCATTTTCTTCTATACTATTAAAAAGTTGTTCAGACTGAGTTAAAAAAAAGAGTTGAAGTATCTGCACACCTTTGAATTCTTCCTCAGGGCTGCTTTTCTCATTGCAGAGGCTGTAGTGTGTAAGGTAACCTCGCTGGTCTGCATAGGGTATCGCTTTCCAAGACAGCTCTATAGACCTGTCTTGAGTTTCATCAAAAGCATATAAATCCTGAGGTTTCGTTCGAGGAGCTGGAAACAGAAACACATTTTTGTAAGTAAAACTGTCTTTAAGATGGTATGTTCACACTATTTACTGTGCCAGCAGATTTGATTATGTACATTTGAGCAAAGGAGCAAGTTAGCACGTTCACAATGACGATCCCAGCATGGTGATATCTAACGCTTAAGATATTGTGTTACTCCCTATCAGTTACTGTTAAAGAATGGCAGAGCAGACTTGGTAGAAATGAAATATAATATTCACAAGTATGTTTTTATTCACATTAAATGAAAAACTTAAATGACCTGTAATGTAGGCTTGCTCTGACATATTTTCGGCTGTTGCACAGAACAAACAAACAAAGCCACTGGAGTCTCTTGAAAGACATTTTTGATGGCAAAACCAGACAAACTGAGGATTATTCTCATCATGTGTACCGGGAGCTTTTTGTCCTCTAAGGCCACCATCACCTCTCTGACATGAGGGTTAACAAGGGAGCATTTAAATCAGACTTTCAGATATCACCACACTGCTACATTTAACCTTTTGACCCAAAGACGAGTCAAACGGAAACAGAGAGATAACCAAAGTTATGGCATTGGATATGTGTTTTAGATTTAGACAATTCACCGTACTGCTATAGGGATAAACAACAACAACAACAAAACTGTCTAATTGTTGACAGACAGTCAGGCATCATAAAAAATACTTCTAGATCCTCTGTAGACAGGATTTTCTGTTCCACTGATGTGATTGATAGTGAGGTTTTTTGGTATCAACCACAAAGAGAGACTGTCAAACTCTTCACAGAGCGATGCAGTTTTCAAGGCTACACGGGGGACCCCCAGAGGCAAATACAGAACAGAAGCTCATCCCTTTTACTACTATCCATGTGAAAGACACTCACCTTCCTCCATTTTATAAAAGATGCACATTTTATCTGTCCGTGGCATCCTTCCCACACATGTGTGTTCAAAGTAAAGGTAACGAACAAAGTCCTTCAGGTCTGTAACATAAACATGATCAAATCAAGGGCAGCTAGGGGCAAACAGATGTGTTGGAATAAAAGAAAACTATGTTAGCATGCCAGCAATTGAAGGAACTGACCTTTTTTTATTTGATGCCTCTCTTTTTTCGACTGTCTCCCCAGTAGAGTGATCACGTTTTCTGGTGTCTGCTCTTCATCTTGAAGCTCATACCACTCAAGGCATGTAACCTTTTTGGTTTTTTTTTCTAGTATTGTTTCTTCACATGCTGCCATGAGGAGAGAAAAAAAAACTGCCTTTCAAAAATTATAATAAGCAGGAGTTTCATTTGACATGATCAAGAGCACATTTTGACCTACCTTCTAAATCTGACGCAGGTTTGACCGCAGGTAGTTGTATGACAGTAGGAGGAGAATGCCCCGCTGCGTTTTTGGCCATGACAGAAATGTTTACAGGAGAGTTCGAGACGTAGATTGTGTCTTCAGTATTTTCGGTGTATTTGCTCTTCTCCGCACAGGGACATCCACGAGAAGACTGTGTGTCCTTTATGCTGAAGCTTATTCCTGTAATAGCTGTAGCATGTGGCATTGGCTGAAGGGAAGAAGAAAACATTAACAAAGAACCATGTTGGGAAAACCATCTCAAACAGGCAACAACTTACATGATGAAGTCTAAATGGTAGAAGGTTACTTTTACTACATTTAACAAGTCGCTAACATGTTGTGAGCTGCAGGTTGAGTGGTTTGTGATTGCTTCATGTCTGTGATGGAAAAATACTATCCAAGATGTGCATAGAGTTTGTAAAATGCAGATAAAGTCACAGTGATGTTTAAACTAGGCAAGGACGGCAGATGCATGACGACTAGAATGAAACCAAGGGTAAGATTTAGGCTACTTGTTTAGGATATCCGTTGGCTATATTTGGAAATGGTGACGGAGATCCGAGAAGACAAGGATAAAAGACTCTGAAACCCCACAACCAGGGACCACTTCTGTGTATCTGCTTGATGCTTTGTTTGTGCGCCACTCTTGCAAGAATTAAATGTACTGTCATTACATGTCCTGAACTCCCTTGTCTGCCTCTCGTCATTCAAGAAAGATTTTTCTTAAACTCTGTTTTCTTCACTTTGGTTGATGTCTCTTTTACTCAGTTCCTTGAATACTCAACCATCCCACCAGTCTCTGTGCTGTTTTTCTTCTTTCTTCTGGTGACTGTCAGATATTAACTCTGAAATCTAGAGTTTTGTGTGCTCTGAATAAAGAAAGACTAACACTTAGCCCTCTAATGCCTGAAATGACAAATTATGGCCAAAAAATTCAAATTTTTTGGAGTTGAAATGTTTATTTCACTTACTACTGAAAACCAAAAAAGTCAAAATGTCCTTAAAATTTAACAAATATATTTATTTATCTCGTTTGATACATCAGGTGTTTTGGGAAACTGATAAACTACAAGAGGACATTTTTATCATTTATCAGACTGTATTCAGCTGTTTTTGTTTTTCTAGAAATACGATACAAAAGGCATTAAAGGGTTAAATAAATGTAGTATGCTGATTTGGTGATAGAGTTTTTGTCAACAGGAAGATGGATGAATTGATTTGACATGGCATGCATAACCTGGCATCAATTTCAATACTCAGAATAATTAACCATTCTTAAGGGTCTGATCAGAGTCAAATGTTGACGCTTTGGTTTTACTGTTGTGGTGATTTTCTTCCGCTAGCTTACCTTCCAAGTCAACTTCACCTTGCGGGTGCCATTCAGAAGAGTTGTTTTCACCATGACTTCGGGGTTTTTGTTAAGCTCTTAGGGGAAAACACGATGCATCAGCGAGGGGAACATTTCAGTCATCTTAAACCGTATTTGTGTCACAGTCACAAGACAGTAATTTGCTTTGAAGATTGACATAAATCAGATACATTTCAGGACAGCTCTAAGCTCTGAAATCATCAAATGTCAAAAAAAGTCACAAGTGTTTCATCTGATTTGAATTCTTACACTGAATGATCTGGATTATGGCAAAGGTCAAACCAAATCAACAAGAAATCTTTCACTCAAACCTGTAGGAACATCCACCACTGTAGACCAGTCACTCCACAGTGGGCTTAGAGCCTGAGTGGACCTCTGCCTGATCTTCACCTGGTAGGATATGTTCCTCAACAGGTGGACCTGGACTTCACAGAAAAAAGAAAATCTTTCTTGTAATCACTGAGAAGTTTTAGGTTTATAAGAGTGCATGTATTTCCCTTTTAACAGGCTCGGAACAAATCCAGGTAAAATGTAAAATACTGCTAACAGCAAATAATGAGCCTGATTTTATACTGAGTTAGTTAGGAAGTGAAATTTGACAGTCTGGGAATTAGCAGGAAGAATCGCACAAAACACATTTACTACATTTTCTACATATTTACTGAAAATCCAAATATACACAACTACTCACACATAGAAGTCTTTCCATTGGTTTTTGTCGTATCGATTCTCTGTAGAAGCAATCAAGATTGATGGTTTTAAAAAGAGTTGAATATAGAAAGAGCAGTTGACATAAATGTGATTTATATAGAGTTATCTTACGCTTTCCCAGGATCCAGTGGGGTCTCCATGTTGAAGGAAGCGGACCTCAGCTAAAGCTGGATGGTCCTCTGCAGCTCTCCAGTTCAAATGAAGGTTGTCTTTTTCCCAGGACATGGAGATCTCCTGTGGAGCTTCGTACTTCACTGTGCAGGGGAAGAAAATTGTTAATCGTACGATGTTAAGACGAATGGATGTCCATGTGTTTTGAGGAATCTTGTTTGAATGTATTACGATTTGATCTTGTAGTGGGTGAAATAAAGGGACCCTTCAGTCCTTACCTATGTCGTTAAGAATGACAGGACTCTGGACTGATGTGCAGCTGGAGTTTCCAACGTGTGCCTCCACCCAAATGTACACTGTTTCATATTTGATGAGCTCTTCCTCTCTGAACTGAGCTGAAGTTTGCTTAAGTTTGGGTCCAAACTTTTCTTCACTGCGAACAAATAAGCACTATGAAGTCTACATTGATGTGATCTGTATTGTTTTGCATACGTTCCCTGCAGATAGAACAAAGTTAGCTGATGATCTTCTTTTCTAAGTTATAATTTGGGGCTTTTGTGTCTTAATAAAGAAGGATAGCACAGTGGACAGGGCTGGAAACCAGGAGTGAGAGTACAGAAAAGGGCCAAAGGCTAGATCTAAACACAAAGCGCCTGCTTTAGGACTATCCTGGGGTGTGTGACTTCACCACTATAGGCCAATACTAAACAAACCTTGCAGCACAGACTGTGATAGCAATCTTACGTCAATCTTACAGTATGCTTAGAGGCAATATTTAAAACATTTACTCTTCCCCTTTAAAACCACTTAAAAAATCACTGATTTAAGATATTGTAAAAATACTCACTTAAAGTAAAAATCAAATGTCACATCACTTTCTGTCGTATTCATGGTCCATTCACACATGTACATGGACTCATCGCTGCTTCTCCTGAAGCACTCGGGGCTGGAAGGAGCTTCACATGTCGACCCTTTGAGAAAACCATTGAATTATCGGTCAAAAGTCAACAATGGTGTGATTTATTGATGTCATAATTTACTTCATTGTGTATTTAAACAGTTTCACACAAAAATCTGAGAGGAAAAAATGATGAAGTGTTCACATATTCTATCTGAAGTGTATACAGCTTAAAAAGCTTGAAGATGCAGCAGCTCCTCCTAAAGTGAAGCCAACATATTTGGAGCTCGGTCTGTTGACTGGCTGTAGTACAAGTCATAAAACCTCAATGCTAACACAAAGGACTGGGTCAATCTGTAAATTCAGATAGCATGTTCAATTAGTTACTCTGAAACATGGTCCCTATTATTACAGCTAGTTCTTATCATATTGAATTATACGCAATCATGTTGTACAAGAGCACAATGTCATAGCCATCATATTTCAGAAAAATACACCTTTATGGCTTTATTTAGTCTGATTCTCATAAACAAATCAGATCATGTAAAGCAAAATTTTATCACATCAAACATTTTTTATTATTTAATTTTCCCAGAATTATGTCGTCTTCTACCAATATTCAAACTCCTGTTCATGCTGCACTCCGCCCTGCTGCTAAAAAGACGGTGTAGAGACAGTCTTGTTTTCTTCAGAGAAACTCAACAAAAGAATTCAGTCTGACTTTCTGTCTTTGCTGCTTGTGATTCACATACAATCTTTTTGATTAACAGCAGTATACTAATCCCAGTTTTTCTGTTATTTTTAGGGACAAAGTATGGGTATTATCTTTAAAACTCAGATGTATCCCTGACCCCTGGCCTCACTGTTATACTTTGAGAGACACAATATGATGATGACATGTAGTGCTGGACGATAATTCGATAACAATATATATCGATCGATAGACGTGTGTCGCGATAGAAAAAAAACGGGTCGATAAAAAGTTCGATAGAAAAACACAGTTTCCCTTTCTTTTTCATCATAGCCTATCATGTAGCTTTTACTACAGTCATTACTTCCTCCCAACCAATCACAAACGCAGACCCAGGTACGCTACGGCACCAAGCCCAGCCCCTATCAAACCACAACAGACAGCACGTGTATTAGAAAAAATGATACAGCAAGGAGAAGCGGAGGAAATTATCTCGAAAAAAGGGTTTCAGTAGTTCACCAGCATGGCAATGTTTTGGTTTTTACAAGTCTGACAAAAAGCCAACAGCGGTCGTTTGCAAAATTTGCAGAGAATTAGTAAAAACCTAGTCTGGTAACACAACCAACTTGTTCTACCATCTAAACCGATCGCACCCGCAGGAGTACGAGCTGTGTCGGCCGCGCCGCGGCTCCACGTCGTCGTCGGAGGAATCCTCTGGAACCGCTGCCAGCACCAGCACAAAGCAAGTGAAGCAGACCAAGGTGGACTTCGTTTCTTGCCAAAATACGACAAAGCGTCCAAGCGGCATAAGGACATCACCCACGCAGTGACATGCTCCATAGCGAGGGACATACTGCCAATAACTACCGTTGAAAAGCCTGGCTTCGACCAGCTTTTAGCCACTCTTGACCCGCGATATGAAGTGCCCGGCCGCAAGTATTTCTCAAACACAGCGCTTCAGGCATGAAAATGGGTCAGGGGTTGAAAAGCTGAGAAGGGTGCGGAGGAAATACGTTCCGGTGTTGTGCTATAGAATGCACCCCTGCATCCCGTCCTCTCATTAGCTTCTTAAAGTGGAAGAAAATGAGCTCATATTTTATAAAGACGCGAGTATTTGGATCATGGCTACTAGCAGGGGGTGCGTTCGGCAGGGGTGCATTCTACGACACAACACCGGCGTGGATAAGTCCTGCTTCTCGTGCTCAGTTTGCGTATTAAGTCAATCACATGATAATTAAAAAAAATAAATCTCCCGACCCCGGGAGAAATGTTTCAGTGTTCAGACACCAGGCTGTGGGCAGTTTCCCACACAGTTAAAACTGGTAGTATGCTATTCCCACCTAAAGCTATTCTGTTTATTTATATATTTGTTTGTTTTGTTTATTTTCATCAAAAGACTATTTAAATATTTATTTATCAGATTTTCTGGTCACTTTAGTCTTTATGTTTGTCAGTATTTACTGACGTCACTCAGGCCACTTAAGTTGATTTCTTTTTTTTTTTTAAGTTCTTTTTTAAAAAATTTCAGTTGTGGTAAAATAAAAAGGTGGTTGAATAAAGGTTTGAATTTGATTTCAGTGCTTGTGTGTTCTTTATTAAAAGTAGGTCATTAAGCAATAGCATAAAACATCCAGGGCTGCAATTAAAATATATGTTGAATAATTATAATAATTATATTGATAATTATCGATATCGATCAATATGATTTATTTTTTATCGATATGCTTTTTTTCTATATCGTCCAGGCCTAATGACACGATACAGCTGTAGATCCTCAAGGCAGTCATTATATCACTTAATTCTTCTCTTTTTCTAATGGACACTTTGTTATGAAGTTAGAGGCTCGGGCGATCAGTTGGATGAGCAAAATCAAATTTGGAAAAGGAACATCCTATTGATGATATCATTCAAGCTAAAATAACCCAACGAAATTGAGAGTGTCAGGTCAGTAGAGGCCTCGTCTCTATGTTTCAGAGCCGTACAGACCGGATGTCTTCTGTTCGTAGAAACCACACGATCTGATAAGCTAACCAATATTCAGTGGCGAATGTTGTTGCTTTTACTACAATGAAATTGACACTTTCGCTTGTCTGAGTGAAAATCTTCACCACGTTTTCATACAGCTACATAGAGCAGACCACAAGTCACCATGAGAATGAAAAAAAAAGAGAGAGAGATAAGAGGATTGCATTAACTTACCTCTACTGATCATCATCAGAACCACAAACACAACAGTAAATCCATGAAGTGAGAGGCAGCGTTTTAAAGTTTCCATGAGTGGAAAGAGTCAAAGGATCTTTGTTCAGCATGCGAGTCCATGAATGCATCCTGCATTCGTGCAACTCAGCTGTCTTTCACAGAAATGTCAGAAAAGTTTCATATCTCTCAGGGTTAGACAGGCGCAGCAAAACCACATGTATTCAGACGGAGGGGGAGGTGGCTCTCTCCACCAGACAGAGACTGCAACCTTTCTGAAAGTGACTGTGTTTTTTTACCTTTTTTTTTTAGTTCATTGTTCTACAACTGGTTTTGCGAGGGAGACAAAGGAAACAATGTACACGCAACGACATGTATTGTTTTCTATTCACCCAACCTACTGTATGCAAAACCTTGTGATAAAAGAGAATCAAAGACCACCAGGTTTTAACAAGGTAGATTTCAATAGTTTCAATTACAGTTTCTTTATGATTGTGAAGAGAGGTTTGAAACAGTCTGTGCTGTGTATTTTGACTCCACTTTTATCTTTTCCCCATCTTTTCTTTTTCATCTTCAGCATATGACATAAGTGTCGATCATGGTGATGTCCGTTTATTTACAGCTCATTGAATGACTCGTATAAACCTGTGTGACGTTTGACTGGTCTCAACAGTGGTGGCAGTTGGAGGCATTACTTTCTGTTTGAGTCTTTTGACTTTCCTGTCATGTGTATGGCATCCACATTGTTTAAGTATATTTAATTCTTTATCACAAAGGTATCCCTAAAAGAGACACGTAATAGCATGAATGAGATTAAAGTTTTCTCTGTCTGGGGTACATATTTGTCCACTTGTCCGTTTCATAACAACCATTCAAACACATTTAGAGGATTGTGTTTGTCATACTGATTCAAAGCAGACTGGAGACGTTGAAGCTGGACTTTTTTTTTTTTCCAGAAACATGTTTTCTTGCTCATTGCTGCTACTTTTACGCATCTTCACTCTCTGTATTATGAATCACAAGTCCCCAACTCATTATTTTCCTTCATGCTCCAGGTGGCTGCTGATCGACCTGAAGACTAAATCTCTTGCTTTATTCGCCAGGCAGATCTTTGAACTCTTTTCTCTGTAACCCACACACAGGGCCTCTTTTTGCTATTTTACCCAGAGTGTGTCTTTAAATGGGCAAAAACAGTCTCGAGTCAGCCACTCTTGTAGTAAGGAGTTAATTTGGGTCTGACAGAGCTGGTTTCTTTGTAAAAGTAGATTAAAAAGAGGTTAAAGTTTAGGCTATTACAGTCATGGTTTATATCCTGGAATTGATTATTACGACTGTATATTGTTCAACAGTGATTGGAAACACCAAGAGGGAAGTGGTGAAGGCGGTTGAAACTTAACATTTAAAAACCGCGCTTTATTCTTTTTGTTGTTTTACTGTTCCTCAAACTTTCTTTCCACAATGGCTCCTCCTCATCCTACATCCTCATTTTTTGTCCCATTTCCCATTTAAGGTACAAGAAATACATTTCACTTTTAGTTTCAAGAGGTGCTCTATTGACTTTCAAGAAGTATACCTTGGAGGCGGATTTCAGGCAGTGTACACCATCATTTAGAGTTTGCTAGAATAAAAAAAATGCCTTTTTTTCTCATTGTGCTTCTGTGTTATCGTCGATTGTTACTTTTAATATTCTAACACCCTGACAGACAGTTATTTTGATAGGACAAAAGGTGTCTCATTAATCACACACACACACACACACACACACACACACACACACACACACACACACACACACACACACACAAACTCATAGCAACTGGCTTATATTGTAATTTATGTATTTTCATTTCCATGGGGTAACAGGCAGAAAACGCTTGTACCCTCTCACCACTTTTTATATTCGTGTTTCACTTATTTTTCACACACTCACCAATGGACCCACACACACAAGGACACACACCTGCCCTCACTCAACCACACATACACACACACACACGCACATGCAGTGTGACAATATATTGTTTAAGAGACATGGCCTGACACTGAGACATTACGTGAGGAAAGAGCTACCTTTGGCAAACACATCCACCCTACACAGGGTAAACATGCACTAATTGGGTTGTAAAAAATTCACAATTCATAGAAATCCTGAATAAGCTTATTACTTCCGAAAAAAAAAAAAAAAAAAGTAGAGTTGAGTTGACCTAGTTGAGATTATCCCTCCTCCTGTGTTAGGGTCTGCACCGACCTGTTTTTGATTTTAAACGCTTAAAAGAACCACTTAAATACGTTTTTTGCATCAAGACTTTTTGACTTTGTCAGGAACCTTTATTTCAACTAAATAAAAGTAAAAAAATTAAATTGATTAAATTACAAAATGCTCTTATTAAAATTATGGCACTTGTCGTGTTAGGGTCGCTGTTGACCCGGTTAGATTAATGTCTAATAATCAGAGCAAAAGCTGAAATCATAAGTGAACTGTCAGGCACCACACTGACAGTCAGATCCTCTTACAATCATGTGAGATTTAGGAAATTCTCATTTTGCCATGTATTTCCCTGCACAAAAAACAGCCTCTGGCATGTCAGACATGTGAGATCAGTTCAGTATGGATGTCTGTGTGAGGGGTATACTGACAAAGAAAGGCCCAGAGGACCCCATCAAAAAATACTATAACCAATATTTTCATGGATTATGAATCCTAACAAGGTAACCCAGAGATGAGAACCAAATTGGATGATAAAGAATTGTTTTTAGTGTAATTTGCTGCTAATTTAAGACACGGATCAAAACCGATCTTTAACATAGTGGGTGCATGGTAAAAGTTAACACAGTAGGAAGGTTATATTCACTCATAGCTCCAACCTCAAATGGCAACTGGAGGGCCTCCCAGGCGTTAATGGAACTTCTGTCTCCAGTGCGCCAGTACACCTGCAATCGTTCGACAGCAGCGCCCCCTAGTGGTCACAAACTGTCAGCACAGAGAAAGGACGTGCAGCAAACAGAGGGAGAGGTCAGCGCCTCCTCCACCGTGTCCACATCAGAACCTGAGACAGACGGCCGCTCTGCATTCGTGCCTGAACAACAGGCCGTTTTACTCTTTAAAAACAAAATGAACAACAGGCCATTGAGCCTCTGACCTTCAGGTAACATTTCTGAAAATGCCATATGCGCGCTGCTTTGTGCTAGAAGATGGCGGAGTCGGATGGCGGGGATTTTGCTTCTCAGTATCCACAGAACAGGTGAGTGAGGCGGGAGCAGGGTCTGTTATGTCCCCGATGGTTGACAGGTCCCTCGGTTATGCCTCGTTCAAAACATCCACGTCTCCGGTCCTCCGTCGCAGCTGAAGCCGGCTCGGGTGTTCTAGTGTCGCTGCTTGGGAGCAGGAAACACCGTGGAGCAGCCCGGGCCTCCAGGCATCCTCAGCGCCCGCCTGTCCCCTACTTTGAACCGGGCAGCCGTGGAAACAAACAAACGGAGTCATCATCGTGGAGCTGACACGTCTCTCTGTTTCCACGTGTTGCTGCGTGTAAACTTGAATATTGTTGTTAACCTGTTAGTCCCCCTTTGACACAGTGCCGTTACCGCAAAGTTGACTTGCATAGCTAAAGTCGATAAATTCAATGTTTTTAAGTATTCCTGCCAAGCACACCTTAACAAAAACGACAATAAAGTTCAACATTGCTTTAGAGTCAACAACAGACATACTTTTACACTTTTATTAAACGCTTGAGTAGTCTGTTTAACTGTTTTTTATTACTGAAAGCACCCTGGCATGCTTAACCCCATTTCACTTAGGGAATAACATACTTTAAATGGATTTTAGGTCATTTAATTGAAAGAATTTCCCATAATTGTAAAACAGCTAAAAATAATAATAAAAGAGATACTTTTGGTTGTTTTTGCCTAATGTGCCAACAAGAATAAATGGTTTAGAGCTGCAGTCAATTATAACAGATCACCTTGGCACAAAATTGTCCTCTGAACATTACATTTTTTAAGGATGGGGCCCTTCCCACATAAGGTAGAGTGGGGTAAGATGAGCCATTTTTCATATTTTGGATCATTAAATCAAGACAATCATAGTTTTGTCTCTAACTAGTTGTAGGAGCCGCAAGGTAAAGGTTTGTGGTTATGCTCTTGATTTGTTTTTGGTATTTTGTTGTGATTGGTGGCAGTGATTTGTGGAATCCGGGTCACGGGAATAGGGGCGGTGTCACTCAGTTGATTTAAGCACCTGGTCACCTGTGTTCACGAGGGAAGAGGTTTTGAGTGGGTCGCCGTATTTTTTGTTGACCGCATGTACACATACTCTTTAAGTCCAGTGATCGCTGTTTCTTCAGTTGGTATCGTTTTGTTGATTGTTTCTTTAGTATTAAAGCACGTTTTTTCCTAATCGATTCCCGTCTCAGCTGATCCATTGACAAAGCGCGTCAGACAATTAGACTCGGCCCGTATCTCATCCTCTAAGCGACATCCTGGTCTCTGAGGTCGCTATATTTAGTCAACAAAAAAGGCAGATTATAATCACTCACACGGCAACGGATCGAGGTGCACTTCGGAGGAAAATGAAAAGAACAAGCATCGGAGATGAAGCATGAGGGTAAGCGCTGTTTGATTGACAGCTCCGGACGCCACGCGGCATTGTGAATCTGCGGCAAGGTAAGCTTGTCTGCTCTCAGCATTACTGAGGAAAGGAATGCGGCTTGCATATGCTGATTGTCAATTTGGGAGGATTGCCTGATATGACCTATGGTTCTCCGGACTCATGCTTTGATATTGTGATGGCTCACGGTGCTGGATGTCTCCATGCTTTTATTTTGAAATCTCCGTTGTGTCTCCTCGAAGTTACTGGTGCTTTGCTGTTGTGGAAAATTAATGTCTGTCTGATGGAGAATGCCTCTTGATTCATGGACGCAGTTTCAAATGCGCAAGGTTTGGGGAAAACATGCACTGGAAATTAAATGAGGAAAATGAGTCAAATAAACGCCGATTTTGCAAATGCTGAAATGCAGTGTGGAAAAAGAGAAATTAAACTCACCTTCAAAGCCATGGCAAATAAAATTGAGAAGCTTCAGCAAGAACGCAAGAACATTGTGCACAAAATTAAATGTCTCATACCAGAAACGAAAACTCTCATGAAAACAAAGGAAAAGGTCTCTACTGTGCTACTTCATGCTGACAATTTAAATGAACTTTGTGAGAATGCCACCACATTGCACAACATGCTGCTTCCCTTACTCCCAGAGGATGAACAAACTAAACAAGATGAATGGTTCTCAAGCATCATGAGGTACAGCAATACATTTAAGGAGAATGTGAATAAATGGATGAGTGAAACAGTGGAATCGATCCACAATGACAGTCCTGATCAGTCTGGCCAAGCTGTAACAACTGGAGAGTGCATTTCTGACATTTATCACTCTCAAACAGCAGTGCAGGCTGTGTCAGTAATTATGGCTGATGATCCACCGGATGAAGTAAAACCAAGTGACAGTGTGTCTAATGTGGGAAGAGGAGCCAAATCACAAAGTTCTGTATTTGGAGGAAAATCAGCTGTTTCAACCACTTCTTCAGTTCGTCTCCAAGCTGAAGCTGACTTGGCAGCACTTATGGCGAGACAAAAAATATTAAAGGACAAGCATGAACTGGAACAACAGGAGGAACAACTACGGAAAAGGAAGGAACAGCTTAAATTGGATGAGGAAATTGCAGCTCAAATGGCTAAACTGGATGTGTTGCGATCCAGGAGCATCTTAAGTGGGAGAGGTTCAAGAACAAAACACTCAGATGGAATGAATTCATACCTGGAAAAACAAAAATTAACATCACAACCTCTCAGAGCTGATTCCAGGGCATTTGTTCCGCTGAAGTCAACTGAACCAAAGGAAAACAATAAAGCACCTCAGCCACATTCTTACTCTCTTAATGCACCCAGTCTACAGGCAGGTCAAAATGCTAATGAAAGTATGCACGTTCAACAGCAAGATGCCTTGGGTGCAAGAGCTGGATCAGGAAATGTGGATCAAAATAATATGCTGTCTATTATGGGAAGGCAAAATGAAATAACATCACTCTTAATACAACAACAAAGCCTCTCATCCTTGCCTAGGAGGGAGATCCCAATTTTTGATGGTGATCCATTAAAATACCACACATTTAGAAGGGCCTTTGAGAATGGGGTTGAAGCGAACACAGAGAGCTGCAGTGACCGACTATACTACTTGGAGCAGTATACCAGTGGTCTTCCTAAACAACTAATCAGAAGCTGTCAGCATCTTGATCCAGTGAGAGGATATGCTAAAGCTAAAGTTTTGTTATCTGAGCATTTTGGTAATGAGCAGAAGGTTGCAGCGGCATACATGGAAAAGGCTCTTTCATGGCCCTCCATCAAAACAGAAGATGTTAAAGCTCTTCAGGATTACAGCCTTTTCCTTAGAGGCTGTTCTAATGCCATGGAAGAGGTGCAGTATTTGCATGACTTCGATATGCCTGCTAACATGCTAACCATTATAAAGAAGTTGCCTTATAAGTACAGGGACAAATGGAGATCTGAGGCCTGTGAGCTGCAAGAGAGGCGTGGATACAGAGCTACATTCAAAGACATTACAAATTTCATTGAGAGACAAGTGAGAATTCTGACAGACCCAGTGTTCGGAAATATTCAGGATGCCCCCTCAGTTACCATACCTAGAGGTATACATAAGCTTGCCACACAGCCTCGTTCGGGTACGAAAGGGACCAGCTTCGCCACCACTGTGGCCCCTGTGGCCCCTGTGGAAAAGAGAAATCAGCCTGGAGTCAGTGGTCAGGAATTTGTGCAATCAGCAAAGAAGACATGTTTTTGCTGTGGAGGAGGACACACATTGGATCTGTGTCCCAAGTTGGAGAAGAGGACTCACAAAGAGAAGATAGGCTTCTTAAGAGATAAAGGTGTCTGTTTTGGCTGTCTGTGTATTGGACACATCAGTAAAGATTGCAGAAAACGGATTTCTTGTGGAAAATGTGGCCTCAAACATCCTACTGTACTGCACATTCCTGCAAAAGAAAAGGTGAAGGATTCTGATCATGCTGAGAGGAAAGCAGAGATGATGGTGGACAGCACTCTGGTGTCGAGTGGTCTTACTGGGGCTGGTGATCATGATTGCAAACTTCCCATAGTCCCCGTTCAGGTCAAATCACAGAAGGGCACCACAATACTTACCACATACGCTTTCTTGGATCCGGGAAGTACAGCAGTATTTTGTACTGACAGTTTAGTGCACAAGCTGGGCCTCACAGGGAGGAAAGTGCACATTCTTTTGCGGACCATGGGCCAAGAGAAGGTTGTGAGCAGCCATATCGTGTCAGGACTGGAAGTGGCTGGCTTGGATCAGGAGGATTTTTGTGAACTGCCAGGTACTTATACACAGGAGTCCATGCCTGTCCACGAAGGTAACATTCCCAAACAGTGTGATCTTGAGGATTGGCCTCATTTGAAACATGTATACCTGCCTGATATAGATGCAGGGATTGAGCTGCTGATAGGGACAAATGTTCCCCAGGCCCTGGAACCTTTGCAAGTCATTCGCAGTGCCAATGGCGGACCCTATGCAATAAAGACAATGCTGGGCTGGACTGTGAATGGACCACTGAAAGGAGACAGTGGGAGTACATTGAGTTGTGAGCAGCAACATGTAACAGTAAACAGAGTGTCTGTTGTGAATTTGGATGGACTCTGGCAGCAGCAGTTTGCAGCAGATTTTCCTGAGAGCAGTATGGATGAGCAACCTGCAATGTCAAGAGAGGATCATAAGTTCATGGAACTTGTCACAAACTCTGCGAAGCAAATGGATGGTCACTACCAGATCAACTTACCTTTGAGGAAGCCAGAACTTAGCATGCCAAATAACAGAAGTATTGTTGTACAGCGTGCTTTGCACCTAAAGAAAAGGCTTCAGAGGGACTTACCGTTTCATACAGACTATAATGCCTTCATGAACGAGCTTGTTGCCAAAGGTTATGCAGAAAAGGTGCCTGAACGTGAGATAGATCGTGGAGATGGCAAAGTCTGGTATATTCCACACCATGGTGTTTACCATCGTACGAAAGGGAAAATCAGAGTTGTCTTTGACTGTGGGGCTAGTTTCCAGGGAACATCTCTCAATGCTGAGCTGCTACAAGGACCTGATCTGACCAGTTCACTGATTGGAGTGGTGACTAGATTCAGAAAGGAACCGGTGGTGATCATGGCAGATGTGGAAGCCATGTTTCACCAAGTGAAGGTACCTGCTGGAGATGCTGATCTGTTGAGATTCTTATGGTGGCCAGATGGGGATCTGAATCAACCCCTTACTGACTTCAGGATGAAGGTGCATCTCTTTGGAGCAACCTCATCACCCAGCTGTGCCAATTTTGCCCTCAGGAAGTGTGCAGAGGACCATAAAGAACAGTTTAGCCAGGAAGTTGTAGAAAAGGTCTTGAATTGCTTCTACGTGGATGACTGTTTGGTGTCTGTACCTACCGAAGAGGAGGCAGTAGCTCTCTATCATGACCTTGTCTCAATCTGTGCCAAGGGTGGGTTCCATCTCAATAAATGGACAAGCAATAGGCATGAAGTCCTAGCTGTGATGCCTGAAACACAAAGAGCAAAGGTCATGAAAGAGTTGGACATGGACTTGGATCGGCTACCTGTGGAAAGAGTACTTGGTGTGGAATGGTGTATTCGCTCTGATACCTTTAAGTTTAAGATTGTCATCAAAGACAGACCACTTACCAGAAGAGGGATTCTCTCCACTGTTAGTTCCATCTATGATCCTCTAGGGATACTTAGTCCAGTCATCTTGTCTGCAAAGAAAATCCTAAGAGATCTGTGCAGGAGATCACTTGGATGGGATGACATCATTATGGAGTCAGTTGCTGAAAAGTGGATAACCTGGTTGCAGGAACTCCGTCTTCTGGAGAACTTTAGTCTCATGAGGTGTCTGAAACCCCAGAACTTTGGAGCCACAACTAAGACACAGTTGCACCATTTCTGTGATGCAAGTGAGGATGGTTACGGAGTAGTTACTTACCTGCTGTCCCATGGTTCACACTCACAAGTACACAGTGCCTTCATTGGGGGAAAAGCAAGGGTTGCTCCACTGAAGTCTGTTACTATACCCCGAATGGAGCTCATTGCCGCAACAATGGCAAGTCGCATGGATGTCCTGTGGAGGAAAGAGCTGCACATGAACCTTCAGGAGTCTGTGTTCTGGACCGATAGCGAGTCTGTGCTCAAGTACATCGGTAATGAGACTTCAAGGTTCAAAGTCTTTGTTGCCAACCGAGTCTCAGAAATACTCAAGGTGTCAGAGCCTTCTCAATGGAGATATGTGGACACTGCAAGTAATCCAGCCGATATTGCCTCTAGAGGTTTGAAGGTGGATGCATTTCTCAAGAATGAAATTTGGGTGTCAGGTCCACAGTTTCTTATTCAGCTTGAGACTGAGTGGCCAAGTAAATTTGGGAATGTTATCCAGCTTCCACCAGATGACCCTGAGGTCAAAAGAGCTGCTGTGGTGAATGCTGCTCAGGTTGGAGAAGAGGCTGACACTGTGAGTCGCATGATCCGCTGCTTCTCATCTTGGATTGCTCTGAGAAAATCTGTGGCTTGGATATTGAGGTACAGGAACTGGCTTTTGTCATGTTATCAGAAAAGGAGACAGTTGATCACAGATTTGGCTAAATCTGACTTGAATGCAAAAGCACAAAGACGTTCATTGGAGGAGGCGATGGACACTTTCAAAAGGGAATCAATGGGCAGTCATCTGTCAGTGGAGGAACTTGAAAAAGCTGAACTGGAAATTGTCAAGTTCTGTCAAAGGAAGACGTTTCCCGAGGAGTTGTCCAGACTCCAAAATGGGCAGTGTGTGAAGGGCAGAAGTCCTATTCACAGACTCTGCCCACAGCTACAAGATGGTGTTCTGAGAGTTGGTGGTCGGTTGAGCAAGTCATCTATGCCTGTGGAGGCTCAACATCCCGTTATATTATCAAAGGAATTCCACATCTCAGACCTTCTTCTTAGGCACATCCATCAGGAAGTGGGACATGGTGGACGTAACCACATGTTATCCAAATTGCAGGAGAAGTACTGGATCACTGGAGTCAGTACAGTCATGAGGAGAGTTTTATCAAAGTGTGTCACCTGTCGGAGGCTGAATGCTCAGCCAGTGTCTCAGCAGATGGCGGACTTGCCACACGAAAGAGTTACTCCGGATGAACCACCATTTACACATGTTGGTGTGGACTATTTTGGACCATTTGAAGTTAAAAGCAGAAGAAGTGTGGTCAAGAGGTATGGTGTCATCTTTACCTGCTTGGCCATTCGAGCAATTCACATTGAAGTGGCTCCTTCGCTGGACACTGACTCATTCATTAATGCTCTTAGACGCTTCATAGCAAGACGTGGTCAAGTCCAGGAACTGCGGTCTGATAATGGCACGAATTTTGTGGGGGCGGAGCGTGAGCTGAGGGTGGCGATTGAACAGTGGAATCAGTCACAAATCCATGATATGCTTCTCCAGAGGGGAATCAAGTGGACATTTAACCCCCCAGCTGGCTCGCATCATGGAGGATCTTGGGAGAGGTTAATTCGTTCTGTGAGGAAGGTCCTCAACTCCACCTTGAATGTGCAGAACCTGGATGAAGAAGGTCTTCACACAGTTCTTTGTGAGGTGGAGGCCATAATTAACAGTCGGCCAATCACAAAGGCATCAAGGGATCCGAATGATCTGGAGGCACTGACACCAAACCATCTCCTATTGTTGAAAACCTCACCATCCCTACCTCCAACAAACTGTCAAGAAGTTGATGTTTATGCTCGTAGGCGATGGAAGCAAGTACAATACATGTCAGACTTGTTCTGGAAAAGGTGGGTGAAGGAATACTTGCCTCAGCTGCAGGAGCGTCAGAGGTGGACAGGAGTGAAGCGCAACCTCATCCCTGGAGACATAGTGCTCATTGTGGACAACACAGCTCCTCGAAACTCCTGGCTCATGGGGAGAGTTCTACAGACTTTTCCAGACCGGAAGGGATTTGTGCGTCAGGTGCGTGTCAAGACGAAGACCAGCTGCCTGGACCGGCCTATTACGAAGATCTGTCTGCTACAGGAGGCTGAAACTGGATAAGGAGTACCTGCTGCATACTGTGACATTCTGACATGACTTTGACAAACCCAATAGGGCTATGAACATTCTTTTTTGACTGAGCCTGAGTGTTGATACCTCTGGCGTTGACTAGCTAACAACAAATGTGCATTATGCATGGACTTTTAGTATCAATTTTGTATTTGTCTCATATAGTTGAAAAACATAAGTAATTATTATGATTGATAACCTAATAATTAGGGGCTGGTATGTAGGAGCCGCAAGGTAAAGGTTTGTGGTTATGCTCTTGATTTGTTTTTGGTATTTTGTTGTGATTGGTGGCAGTGATTTGTGGAATCCGGGTCACGGGAATAGGGGCGGTGTCACTCAGTTGATTTAAGCACCTGGTCACCTGTGTTCACGAGGGAAGAGGTTTTGAGTGGGTCGCCGTATTTTTTGTTGACCGCATGTACACATACTCTTTAAGTCCAGTGATCGCTGTTTCTTCAGTTGGTATCGTTTTGTTGATTGTTTCTTTAGTATTAAAGCACGTTTTTTCCTAATCGATTCCCGTCTCAGCTGATCCATTGACAAAGCGCGTCAGACAATTAGACTCGGCCCGTATCTCATCCTCTAAGCGACATCCTGGTCTCTGAGGTCGCTATACTAGTGTATCTACATATATTTCAAGATGTTGTGCATACCTACAAACATAACTGTCTTGATAATATAGCATGCCAAAAAAATGGTTTCCTATGGTCAACTTACCTCATGTATGGGGTAAGTTGACCATAGGAGCGGGGTAAGTTGAGCCGTATCCCTACTACCCCCTGCTCTCCACCCCAGCCCTCCCTCACCTTCTCTCTCCCTAAATAACAGTCACCTCTTCACATTCATGTGTATTTTTATCTATTATACCCTATTCAACTGGTACATTATTATTGAATATAACTGCTAAAAAGCTGTTTTGTAAAAAGCCATTTTAACATGAGAATGTCTTTAAGTGATTCAGAACATTCACAGCATTTTTGAAAAGAAAAAGTAAAACATTTCAACAATCTGAACTGAAACTCTGATCCTCTCATCAGACTCCTTTACTTTCTCAGTTGAACCACTGACTCAGTTTACCCCAGAACTACTATTATGACTTTATTAGTCCTCTAATATAAAATGGTGGACTTTTATTCTAGGTTTTTGACCTCATGTTGTAGCTCATAGGTACCACAATTGACGCATGAAATCAATTTAAAATGATCTATTTTGGTCTGAACACAATTCTAATAAAACTTACGACAGACTAAATTCACTTTCAAGAGTGAAAAATGTCTTTTGTTTTTTTATTTTTTTAAATAAATGTCTAACCCCTTCACCCATGTGCTTCTAACCTTCAAAGACTCCATGAATTGATGCCCATCTCCTAAATATTTGATCAATGATCAATTTCTTCTACCATTTCCAAACATCGGGGGTGGCTCAACTTACCCTTTGACTCAACTTACCCTACTCTCGTATAACCTTTTTTTATTCGGATTTGTAATGTGCAATCTTCACAGTGATGATTGAGTGTAATTTCAGGTCCAATTTTATTTTCTACCTTCAGACTCCCTCAGCTCAGCTTTAATTTCTGCCTTTGGCCTCACTGAAGTTTTGCTTTTCTAATGTTTTTATTTTCTCATTTCTTTACCTGCTGATGTAATTTATATTTTGGCTTGTTTTTTTTATCCTTCAAGCTGACATTATATTTCCACATGTGATAATCATATTCTCTATGTGTTATATGCTTATATAAAGACAGACTGCGCTTAATTCCTATCATGGTGTTGCTGCTAGCAACAGATTTTTTAGATACACTACTTGCTTGGCCAGAACATTGCAGCCTCTCCCAGCTCATGAAATGTGTCCCAAACTCCAGGTTAAGTTGAGAATTTCAGCACAGTGCTCTTTTCTGGAAAAACAAAAACATGACTTGATTCACCCGTTATGACCAGGCCTTTTTTTTTCCTTTTAGTATGGCTAACAAGAATAGCACCCTACGCTGTACATTTTCGGCTCCCAGCCACAGTGCCACCCTCCTCCAGGGCTTGTCTATCTTACGGTCTCAGGGCCAACTCCTTGACGTCGTGCTTGCCATCAACGAAGAGCGCTTCCAGGTCCACAAAGCTGTGCTGGCCGCCTGCAGTGATTACTTCAGGTAAGGGATAGATCATGAACCTCATGTGAGGATTTTATCCAGAAAAATTTCAAAGTGTACTGTTGGAGAGAGATATGATACACAGACCAACATTATTGGGAAGAGGATAGATGCACTGTTGAAAAGTGACTGGGAAGTTCAGTGGGAAATCTGCTCCTGTCACAACATTTCTCACTCATACACACATATGCTAATGGCAGTTTTAAAGTTGTTTCTTTTGCAGCCAGCATGAATGTATTACAGCACATCACAGTCACCAATGAAAAAATTAAACAAGTGATGCTGGATGTTATCCCACAACCTTCAGCACGATGCTTTCTGTTTTTAGCAACTAAAATCTCACCGCCTTCGGATATCAATCATCTACCCTGGTATCCAAGGGTCTGATCACTTAGAGTGGGAGCTTTTCATCTTAAAATCCAGCAAATGCTGGTCTACTTTCATTTTCTCCCTGAGGGAATGTTTAAAGCTGCTTCTTTTGAAGTGTCTTTGAACTTCCTTGTCAATATCACACAGCTTGCAAACGGCGGATTTGTTGATTTGTGATTTTAAAGCTGTATGCATAGAAATAAAATCTTGTTAAGGGGGTTTCAACACACATCTGACACAATTTGCTTTTTTTTTTTCAACATTAGGTTGAACTAACGATCAAAATGATACTATACTTTTCTCTTACATATAACTATATTTCAGCTTGTTGAAAAATAGTTGAAGGTAATTTTTTGATATTTAGACCTGATTTTACCCTGTTTTAACCTAATTTTAGCACTTAAATGACTTTAGATAAATAAGAAAAATATACAAAAAAAGGTCAATCAAAGTTTTAGAGATATGCAACTTCACTTCATTTGGATTTGTCCGAGCAGCTCGAAGACTGTTGTAGTGATTTATGGACTTTTCCTTGTGTTTCAGAGCTATGTTTACAGGAGGGATGAGGGAATCAAGTCAAAACACCATTGAGCTGAAGGGTTTGTCTGCCCGCGGTCTGAAGCACATTATTGACTTTGCCTACAGTTCAGAGGTCACTTTAGATCTGGACTGTATTCAGGATGTCCTTGGGGCAGCTGTGTTTCTACAGATGGTCCCAGTCGTGGAGCTCTGCGAGGAGTTTCTCAAGTCAGCGATGAGCGTGGAGACCTGCCTGCACATTGGCCAGATGGCCACCACCTTCAGCCTGTCTTCCCTCAAAGAATCGGTGGATGCCTTCACCTTCCGACACTTCCTTCAAATCGCAGAGGAGGAGGACTTTTTGCACATTCCCATGGAGCGCCTCGTCTTCTTCCTGCAGAGCAACAAACTAAAGAACTGTAGCGAGATCGACCTCTTTCATGCCGCCATCAGGTGGCTTAGGTATGATGAGTCTCGTAGGGCTCAAGCCAGCAGCGTCCTCTGCCATGTGCGTTTCCCACTCATGCGCTCATCGGAGCTGGTGGACAGTGTTCAGACGGTGGACATTATGGTGGAGGACGTGCTGTGCCGCCAGTATCTTCTTGAGGCCTTCAATTACCAGATTCTTCCTTTCCGACAGCATGAGATGCAGTCTTCTCGAACACTCATACGCTCTGACGTCATGTCACTCATAACCTTTGGGGGGACGCCATACACTGACAACGACCGCACAGTGAGCACAAAAGTGTACCACCTCCCTGATATGACATCCCGGCAGTTCAAAGAGCTAACAGAGATGGAGGTTGGGTGCAGCCACGCTTGTGTCGCCGTCCTTGATAACTTTGTGTACATCGTTGGTGGACAGCACCTGCAGTATCGCAGCGGCGAGGGGGCAGTGGATAGCTGTTATCGCTACGACCCGCATCTGAGCCAGTGGCTGCGCATCCAACCTCTGCAGGAGGCTCGAATCCAGTTCCAGCTCAACGTGCTGCAGGGACTGCTGTACGCAACCGGGGGGCGCAATCGATCGGGCAGCCTGTCTTCTGTAGAGTGTTACTGCCCGAAGAAGAATGAATGGACTTCTGTTGAGCCGTTAAAACGAAGGATTTGGGGACATGCGGGAACCCCGTGTGGAGAAAAACTGTATATCTCAGGTGGTTACGGGGTTTCATTAGAGGACAAGAAGACTCTCCACTGCTATGACCCAGCTTCAGACCAGTGGGACTTCAAGGCTCCCATGAACGAGCCAAGGGTGTTGCATGCCATGATCAGCACCAGAGACCGGGTGTACGCTTTGGGTGGTCGCATGGACCACGTGGACCGATGTTTCGACGTGCTTGCAGTGGAGTATTACATTCCAGAAAATGATCAGTGGACCACTGTCAGCCCGATGAGAGCAGGGCAGTCTGAGGCAGGCTGCTGTTTACTGGACGGGAAGATTTACATCGTTGGGGGCTACAACTGGCACCTCAATAACGTCACAAGCATAGTGCAAGTGTACAACACAGACACAGATGAGTGGGAGAGGGATTTGCACTTCCCAGAATCCTTTGCTGGCATTGCTAGTACATCGATAATTATTCCACAAAACACCACACATCCCTAATGGTCCGACCTGTGACTGTGAATAATTTAATGTGCTTTTCCTGCCGACGACAAAGACAACACAAGGTGTGAACATTACATAAGAGTGTGAGCTTTGTGTTTAATTCACTAGAAGAAATGACTCTCGAAGTAACCGTGCACTACAATTTAGACTTTATTTACACTGACAAATAAATCCTTTCTCCGTTTAGCATCTTTATTCAACTGTTTAAGCACGACCGACTTTTTTAAACATTATTGAGAAACGATCTCAAACTCAGTCTGTAAGTGTTTAATTTCACCAATCAAGGGCTTAAGTTACAGACAACACAATCATCTCTTAAATCTCGTTTTTGACTGAAGTTCTGGTGCGTGTTTGCAGAGGTATTGATAAGCTCAGTTTATTGTCAGACATTATGATTGTACAGTTCTGAATGTTTCAGCTCGTGTTCGTTTCTTTTTATACCCAAATTTGATTTATTTTCATGTTTTAAGAAAAAAAATTAACTTGAGGAAATCGTTCGGTGTCTTCTAAAATGTACTGACCATTAAACCACATAACACTGCACAGTAATGATTGCACAAATAAACACAAATACTCGTTGTGTTGGTTCAACTTAAAGTCAGCTTTAGGTGTTGATGTTTTTCTTTTAATCGTGACCTCCCATGTGTTTTTTAAAGCTGACTCTTACACTGACACACCAGCTGTCTCAGTCAACAAAACAAATCAGTGTGAATCTTTTGCGGCAGCTACGTTCATTTATTCTGTGTGTGTCTGGTGGGACACCAGTGTGCTGCTCTATGTTATACAAGTGCTCACATCAATGCTTTTGTCCTGATAAGATGGGAATACAGGTTATGTTGTTATTTCCCTGGAAAGTAATACTTTGTTTGCCAGTTTGGAGTTGGCTAGTGTTTTTTATTTTTTATTTTTGACTGCATTTCTGCACTTTTTAAGCAGTATTTATCACACACCTGATCTGCTGCTCAAGTAATTAATGTACTTCATGTGTGTGCATGGAAAACCCAAGCTTTAAGTTTTTGTTTTTTCTTTTTTTTAATGCAACCATTTGTGTGAGTGTCTGTTTTAAACCCGTCTCTTGTTTGTCTCAGTGTGTGTTTGTATTATTTTAACTGTACTGTTTGTAAAAGCACATGATATCTAGTCGAAGTGCAATATAAAGGAAACCGCTGTAGTCAACGGGGAATGTAGAAGTTTGTGTAGCTTTATGTGCTTCCTTTATTAAAGGTGTGTCATGCTTTAAAAATAACACATTCAGGTGTTTTGTTGCAGCTCTATTTTGATAGTGTGACGTTTCCACAAGCTTCCACCGATTTGTACTATAAAATGTGAAACTCTGAATCCACAGACTCAGACAGACACAAAGTAAAACCCTGCAGCTTTATCTCATGAGTCGATTAATCTTTCATTTTGGTTCCAAACATAATTATCATCATTCCTGAACAATGCTGATTACCTTTATTAATTGATCCATCAGCTTTTTAGTCTGTGAATTCCCTCTTGCCTGTAATGAATACAAAGTTGGTGTCAACTTTGCAATTGATGGTAAAATAAAAGAACAATTCAAACCTTCACAATCAAACAGTCGGTTGCCCTAATGTTTGACTTTTTGCTCAAGGAACCATGAACTACAAAGCAATAAATAAGAGTTAGTTTTGGATTAGCAATTGAAGCTTTGTTTAATAAGAAAGAGGAAAAATACTGATAGAGTATTACACTCAAGGTACAGAATAACTTTCACTCCTGTTTTTAAATCCTGCAGTTTTTTTGGTTTTTGTGTTTTAACTTTGAAAGTAAGAGAGTAGGTCGTGAAAGTTTTTTATGAACTTTTACAACCTACCATGAACTCTGTTAAAGAGTTATTAACTTGCACTGTAAAGATCTCCTGTTTTGTGTTGTGGCCTGAAAAGCTGTCAAATCTCTGATGATTTTGTACAGTATATAAAAAAATAGTTGACTGTAACTCAAAGAAGTCCTCTATCTGTTTTTTAATAACAAAATCAGTCGCTGTGGCTCTTTGCACCTTGAAGTAAACTCTTCATCCAAAGCCTGCCTGGTAGCACAGGTGGTGCAGGTAAAAGAACTACATTGAATAAATCTGTATCATCTCCTGATGGTTTTATTTGCATTTTTTAGTCATACAAAGGCTTACATTTAAATTGCGGTCTGTGCCATAAAACGTGCTAAAAAACTGTGCTATAAAACATGTGCCATAAAGCTCTTCAAAAGAGTGTCATGTTTTTCAAAAAAAATAATATAGACCAGGAGTAAAAAAAAAGTGTTTTGCAGAAGAAATCTGCTATGTGCAATCTGGAAGTCCAAGAACTGAATGGCAGCTGTTTTAGAGAAGATAGAAATATCCCTCTTTACCGCTGCCATGTTTGAGGTGAGTTTTTGTTCTGAACTCCTTTTCTTTTATTCAGCTCATCCTGCACTGTCCCTCCTCTGTTGATGTGCTGTTTCCTCTACCTCACAACCCGACGTAAAAACTCTGAATCCTCTTGCTCTGAGGAAACTGTGCAAACCACATGAACACTGCGGCACTAGCAGGTGTGTCATTTTCTACATCAGAGTATTAAAAGTTCCCAATGCTCAAGTGATTTAACCACTACACTAACTTTGCAAACACATTGTGCTTTCTTAAAGGTTTATTTACCTCACAGTTCACTCATACTGCTACTTTACAGCCCTGAGCAAGAGAGCCACAATACAATACCATAACACTATAATAGGCAGACTTAATGGCCTGAATTGAAGCTCTAAACGCTGCATAGTGGTCAAATCAACCAACACACTTACATGAAACCTTCCAGAGTTTACTTGTAAGGTTAAGTCCACAAACCACAATAATGTAGATTAGATGAGCGTACTCTTGTGCGTCTCTCCAAAAGCTGAGACTCCTGGAATAAAACGACCAGACTAATGCTGTTCTCTGGTGGTATCACATTGACCTCAATACAAGACAGCTTAAAAAGTGGGAATGATTTTATTCCCAGGGTTAAGTAGTTATAGGGGTCAGTGCTGTTCAATACAACATGTAGTTGTTGTGTTTACATTATTAGCCTGGACAACAGAAAAATAAAAAACAGCAGGACACATCAACTTTTTGTAAAATCCACTCAGTGAGGCAGACAGCTTTCAGAAGATAAACTTTGAGTTTTTCTGACATCTCAGGGATTTTCTGTCCCACATAAAAGATCAGTTTATTTCCAGATTGTCCTTATCCAGTCCCAACAAAACAAGAATTGTTCCACACAATTATGTTGTATGTTTTCAGTTTACATGATTTTTTTTAACAGTCACAGTTTCATCCTTTGATATTGAAAAAAATGTACTCAAAAGATTAAGAAAAACCTCAGTTCAATTTTTAAATCTAATGTGACTTTTGATAATTTGTTGTCCATTTTAACTGGAAAAACAAGTACGAAATTTAACAAAATCAGAGTTTCTAATCTACTTGTCTCCTGGCACACCTCAACAACAGAGAGAATATCAACGCACCACACACACGCGAGTCTTTGCGCCGTGCGTCATGACGACACCAGAAGGCCCAGGCGTCGTGTGTAACGTAACATTCCATTGAGAAGAAGAGGGGAAAGATGGCGTCCTCTAACAATCCTCGCAAATTTAGCGAAAAAATCGCTTTGCATAATCAGAAACAGGCGGAGGAAACCGCGGCGTTTGAAGAAGTAATGAAAGACCTGAACATCACCAGAGCTGCACGGGTAAGAGCTGCACACCCCCGTCTGTTTACATGATGTTGCATCGCTGTTTGGCATTTCACGAACGCTGCGGAGATCAATCTGAACGATTGGATGCTAAGTAGCTGAAGTTATTATTAACATGAGGTGCCGCATCGATTTATCACCGCAAATGTTTATTTCCACCCTGCATGTTGGAATCATGCTGCTGTCACACAGATAGATAGAGGGGGGCTGCCCTCAACTAGCTTAGCTCTGCTGCTGTGAATAATGTGCACCTGTCACTGCTGTCATCTCATCAGCAAACAAATGCCCAGATATCTCAATGAAAACATCTTATCAACCACTTTTCATCAGCTAAACGAGTGCAGCATTTCTGTTAGAGCTATGTTAGCGTTTGCTGATCAATGGGGTGTTAATGGTCCTCTTAGCTGTGATTTCTCCTCCATCAGCTGAATGTTAACATCCACATTAGCTCCTGAGTGGACTGCAAAAGGAAAACAAAAGACATGTGGAAAACAGAAAAAGATATCAAAACATGCCCTTCTTTCTCATCAGAGATTTAGGACTTTGGACAATTTCATTTTATAAACATTAACTTTTTCAACTTCTCCACTCGGCAGAAAATACTCACTTTTCAACTAACATTTAGTTAATCTGAAATCATTATTTCTATTTAGTGTTGGTCCCCTGATGAAATGAGAAGCTGATGTATCCTTTAATTTCTAAAATGTACATTTGTAGTAGGCCTGGGCGATTTGGCAAAAAAACATGATCACGATGTATTTTGATGTATCGTCTGATCTCGATTATTATCACTTTTTTTTTTTACTGCCAGTTTTAAAGCTTCTGTACTAAAAACTAAAGAAACTAGAGATTAGTTCAACATTTTATTAACGTACAAAGTAAATAACAAAGACTTAGAAAAATATAAAAACCATTTTAACTCACCAGCACAACAAATGTAGATAAATACTAAATAATACAGTGAATTAGTTTACAGTCCCGAGTGTTTTTGCAGGTATGCAAGACCCAAAATCAAATTGCATAAAATACAGACCATAAAAAACTGTATTTTTACTGCATTTACGCCACATAAGAAACCGAGGAGGCCCACAACATAATGCATGCCTTTCAAAATAAGCTATTTTTCAAAATAAAAGACATGTCAAACATCAGATGAGCATTGAATATTTACTTTTTTGACCAGCTGTTTGCGACCCATCCAGAACATGGCCGTGACACACTTTTGGGTCGGGACCCACCAGTTGAGAAGCACTGATTTAGAGTGTAAACTGCAGACCTGAAACATTGCCCACAGTGACGATAACAACACAATACATCTTTGTTTTGATAACCAATCGTTTGCAATGCAATCATACTGTGAAACTTCACTGAATCTGATAAACTGAAGAGTGCAAAACGCCCCGAGTGGTAAAGTGCAGGAGGAATGTCATGAACCTCACTGTGTCAAGCTGTGAAATAGTGACACAGTGAGTTATGTTGGAAGAGAAATCTGTACTAAGCACTGTTTTTTTCTCTCTAATTTTTAAAATAGCACTGTTTGGACTTGCAGTATTTATATTTTGTTTCACTGGTCCCACCACCAGACCAGTTACAGTAAAATACCTTTAAGTGAGAGGACATTACTGTGAGCATATCTTGAGTTTTTGAGCTCTAAGAGTGATAAAATGGACCAATATGCAGAAGATCATGCCAGTATATATATAATATTTTGAAGCATGTGGTTAGTCTCTAAAGCAGCAAAAACAAGTTGTTGATCTCCATAAAAAAATATGGAAGAAATTCATAAAAATGGTTGTCTCCAAATGTTGTCCTTTTAGACAGTCAGTTTGTTTGTTGAAGATTGTTGGTGCATTTGTAAAATGACTGAAATCATTGATCAGCGATTGAAACTGGTGCCCATTCATGTTTTTATGATTATTTTTTAAATCCTTAAGTTTTTCACCAACCATGAAATACAGAATATAATGTTTCTGTGGAGCATCTCATTTTCAGCCCCACTGAAGACGATGCCCACTAACCTTTTACAAGCCTGAAAAGGTTATTATTACATCTCATTTGCCAAGAGGAAAAGTTATTTTTGTTGTCCCTGTATGATTTCTATGTAAATTCCATCTAAACATCAATCCGTATCATTTCTTCAGTCAGAATCAGTGCAGCTCATTGTTAAAAAAAGGATTTCCATTTCAGTGTTTATGTTAAAACACTCATCACTCCTGTGACTGATTTTGAATCACGTCATGTGTGTTAAATGGTTACGTCACACGTCAGTCGGCCGACACGTTTATTTTCATTTATTTTTTATTCTTTGCCATGAAAGATGTCTTTTGCTTCTTTCTGCCTGTCTTACCATGTTTCATCTGTAAGTGACTGGATCAGTGATCTTTTCTTTCACCACTGTGGACTGGCAGGTATCATTCTGTCATCACTTTTTTTTGTGATTCAGATCAGTCATTCACTCATGCTTTCATTCAATTTTACTTTGCACAGTTGCAGTTACAGAAGACCCAGTATTTGCAACTAGGGCAGAATCGTGGACAGTGCTATGGAGGCTCACTGCCCAATGTCAATCAGATTGGAAATGGCAACATTGACCTGCCTTTTCAGGTGAGCCCATAGCCTCTCTCGGCTGGTTAATCAATGGTTTGTTCTCAACCAGTGTACCTTTTTTAGCTGTCCGTGATATTACAAAACATACAAGGGTTTCCAGTGATCTGCAGTTTTGGTAAAAGAGTAAAAGTGGCTCAGAACTGATTATTCCACCTTAACAAGAAAGTGTGAAGGCTTAGCACAGGCTATGATGACAGTAAAGGAACAACAGACAAAGGTTTAATCATGGTTCAGGTTTGATTTGTTCCTTGAATTTTAAAGTATATCATTGCTTGTCATGGCTTTCCATCTTTAAAAACATTTGCCAACTCGAGCATCAGTATGGGTGGCCCATGGCTTGACTCATTTTGAGACGAACACATTTGCACCATTAGTCCTAAGACATGAACCTGAGACGTAGATTTGTTGTGTACTTCCGTTGTTTTTCTGGCCTCATTCACCTGCTGTGTTCACTCCAGAACTCAGTGCTGGATACCAGTCGGACCACTAGGCACCACGGGCTGGTGGAGCGCGTGTACCGCGACCGGAACCGCATCACGTCACCTCATCGCCGACCACTGTCAGTCGACAAACATGGACGCCAGATATCCTTTCTTGTTGCAAAAGCACACCTAAATGTTGAAATAGGACTTAGACCTTGGTCTGTTTGTATGTTTGGCTCATTTCGCATCTGAGAAACTGCTTATATATTGTCTAAATTTAATGGGAACCCAAAACTTTGATGAAATGCAAGACTTTTCCAGCCTTTCATTGAACCCTGAGTTCATACATGTACAATATCGGCTTGTCTTATCATGAAACAACAACTGACGAAGCCGTCCAGGAGGAGCTCACTCTTTGAAATGGCCTTAAATTTGAAACCTGATAAACCAAAAACACACTTTCCTAGAACGATTCATGTTTTCTATGTCTTCTTAGAAACTCATTTGAAGTAATTTGACTGAGCTAATGAACATATTTCTTTCTCATTGTTCAGAGAAGACCTTACACTGCAAAAAAGCACCAGGAGAAACCTCTTCTTTGTTCAGCAGTACAGTGCTGTCTATTATTACTGCTCCTCTGACGAGATTATTCCTAGAAATGTATTCTATCATTAGACAACAACGCACTGACTGAAGCCTCTTAAAGTCATTTCAGTAATTTGTGTATCCTATTTGTACACCTATTGTGTATCAGGTTTTTGAGGGTGAATTAGTCATAGGTAAGAAACTATAAATAAGCTGAAATGTTTTTTTTTTTTTTCTCATCTTTCCTCATTTATACGTCTTAACACTAAGTTCACATTGACAGCTGTCCTTACAGCTCAGTTTACCTCTCCCCACCACCAGACACAAGCTGGAGAAGGTAAGCTCCTCCCATTTGTCATTTCGCCAAGCTGTTTGCTTGGAAACGCAACCCAACAGAGCTCACTTTCAAGAAGAATGTTAATTAATAAATAGATCCTTACATCCCATGTTGGTGTAAAGTTCCCAAACTCATCAGACATAACTGAGCACTTTTTTTTTTAGGCCACAAGACTTCTCATAAAGGTCCATGACAGGGAGTGATCCTTCACTGGATGACTGTAGAATTGGCGCTCTGCCTTCATCGGGGATTTGGCAGCAATTTTGCTGACTTCTCATCTTTCTCACACATTCAGGACAAACTCGGATTCTGCCTTACACCAGAGCGCCATGAATCCGAAGCCCCAGGAGGTGTTTGCAGGGGGATCACAGGAGCTGCAGCCCAAACGAGGTAACCGAAGATCCAGTTACAAAGACACTGAACCGCTTTTATTTATTTATTTATGCGCTACACGCTAATGCAGACGGCCAACCTTAAATGACAGAAGAGGGTAGAGTCACAAAGAAAGCAGATCTGGACTTTTAATGAAATATTTATGGGCCAAATGGATACTGATCTCTGGCACAGAGCTGCTCCAGTATGCTGGCGCACTGTGTCTCTGAATGGGGCTGACTCAGGATAATCTAGAGGGGAGATCAATATTTCACTGATTATCCATGGATTATGTCTTTGTATGTGTGACACTCTGATACAATGAATCCCAGATTGGCTGGCACCCACTCAGTCTGTCTGCTGGTCACCTTGCTATTTTTAGACTGCACAGCACTATACCCTGCCTGACTGGCTCGAATATTGATGACTCATTTCTTGCTCTGATTTTGTATTGTTATTTATTTTGTCAAAGCAAAGCAACTGTGTCTTGCTGTTCCACTAATTAGTACTGCTGCTAACAGTGCCTGGAACGGAGGACGGCGAGTCAAACTCCGACAAGGATGGGCAGAAACAGCTGTGGGATGACAAGAAGGTATTGACAGAAGAAAAGAAATAGGACTGTGAGGTTTACATTTGTTGTTGTGATACATCTTAATTAATTTCGAGTTGCTGCTAATGAATTTATTTCTCATTAGGATGATTCATCAAAGCCTAATACATGTGATGTCCCGGGAATCAAGTGAGTAGTTTTGGCTTGATCTTCTATCATTCTGTACAGTAAACACAACATGAATGCAGTTACACAGCCATTAAAAAGTCATGAAGCAAGATGAAAAATCACATTTTCATGCTTTTAAAATGAATCTCAGCCCCTGTAGCGACTGCTTTCCTTCAACAAAAAGGCTGCTGGGGTTTAGGTTTGCTTGCATCTGTGACTCGTTCAATTATCAGTCCAGTTTGAGTGTTAAAAAAGTAATTTATTGTTTAGAAAAGGAAAAAAAACACGCTGATCCGGGTCCAAACTTTTGCCTTCAAATGAAAAAGTTGATATGCTGAAATGAGGTTAAAACAGGATAAGTGTAACTGTGAAAAACTGTGAAAAACGATGAAAAACGGTCCACAGAAAATTATCAGAGCTTACCAAACCCATTATCTGACTCCACCTGTGAGATTTAAATAACCCGCCAAACATCCCAAAACCACACCCCTCAGTGAAGATCCCCGGTAGTGATGTACCTATGGAAATAAAACTTTCAACAAATATAGTTTAGCCCTAGAGCCCCCAAACATTCATCATTAAAGCACAGTGTCTCCTGCAGTCAAAGAAGGGCATGAATATTTGTTTTGGTCAGTTTTAAACATATATGAGTAGATTTAAGTTTCTTTTTACAATTAATACAGTAACACAAAACTAAATATTGGTGTTTAGGGTGAATACTTCCATGACCACAAAAACATAAAAAAACACAAGACAAAAAAAAAGTGTGCTCTGTTTTAGTAGATTAATTTAAGTTTCACCAAATCCCCCCTTAGAGAATTGTAATTAACACCCTCAGTGCTCTAAAAATACACGAGCTGCTGCTAAAAATAACATCTTTAAACATCTTCAGGGGCTCTTTGCATCAGGAATTTTGTGTCATTTACATACTTTTTATGCTGATTTTGATTATTTTTGCCTTCATTTTTCATTGAAAAATGGGGATTCAAGCGACAGGAAGTTAAGCCAGCAGTCTCTGCATCAGTGATTTTTATTTGTAGGCTCATGCTCTTACCGCAAAGCAACACTGGCGCCACTCAGACACAGCTTTCCTCTGCCCCAACCCCCTGCATCATCAGAATTATTGGCACAAAATCAAAGTTTTTATCCAAGAAGTTTCAGTGTCAGTTTGTTTTTTTGGACAGAAAAGGTCAGAGGTAGGGTTAAGCCAGAGTACGTTTTCTTGTGTCTGATAAAACTTGTGTCTGTTCAGTATATTCCCATCACCAGACCAGGAGTTGAACCCCTCCCTGCTGCCCGCTGCACACAACACTGGCGGTTCTCTCCCTGATCTTACCAACATCCAGTTCCCCCCTCCGCTGTCCACCCCGCTGGACCCTGACGACACCGTGGCCTTTCCCTCCCTCAGCTCGTCCAATAGCACAGGAAGCCTGACCACCAACCTCACCCACCTGGGTATCAGCGCCGCCAGCCATGGTAATCACATCTAAATCTAACACACTACAAGTTCAGACTTAAACACTGGCATGTTCATCAGATGCGGAGGATGTTTGGATTTACATAAAATGTTTGGTTAAAGAGAAAACTCTTGTGTAATGTCTCTTTAACTTGCAGTAAAAATAGATTTTTTTTTTTTTAAGCAGATAAAAGGTTACGTAAAAAAAAGCCACAGAGTCACCCAGTGAAGCTCTGATTTCATGTCAGCAAACAAGATACAAAGAAACTCTTCATGTTTGTTTTTCTTTTCCCCTCCTCTCCTCAGGGATCACCAACTCCTCCCAGCCTACCATGACTGCCACAACACAGCGCCGCCAACCACCCGTGGTGCCGCTGACCCTCACCTCTGACCTCCATCTCCAGCAGTCCCCGCAGCAGCTTTCTCCCACTCTCTCCTCACCCATAAACATCACACAGGTAAGATTCAGATTTGTTGTTCGCACTAGACTCTCTTACTGTCCGTCATGTTGAAAATAAATGGTCATGAATGTTGCATCTTAATCTTAGAGGGTCTGAAGATTGATGGCTTGTCTCTGAAGTTACGACTGGTTTACTGAAGTTTTGCTCTTTCACCTTCTATGAGAGTGAGGTTTGCAAAAAGTGTCTTACAACATGGAAATAATAGTTTGTCTAAAATCACCAAAGCATTTTATTTTTCAAGCATTAGCAGGCATCTGCAAAAGTGAGAAAATCTAAGGAGATGTGATTTTTGTCTGTAGTAAATTCTTATACCTTTCAATCATCTAAGAGTCAAAGTGGGATATCTGGGTCTGAGTTTGCGATCAAATTTCAGCTCGTATACATCATGTAGAAATGTTGTTTGTACAGCAGACCAGTCAGACAAGCAGTTAACACGTGGCTGTCTTATCTTCTTATAACACATTCACTTTTTCCTCATATCTTTAGGCGTACAGTGAGTAGAAATGAGAATAATTTGCAGTCAGGATCTAGTTTGTATCACTCCAATGCCTACCTCTCCCATGGTTAAGCTGTTATGGTGGCCTTAAAGGACAAGAAGCTGTTGTAATGCAACATAACTATCACCTACATTAGTCAAGTTTTGACCAGAGTCCATACTAATTATTTTGCTCACAGCAGAAACCACTCTTTTCGTCTTTATCTTCCAACTGATGCAACTTAGGCATTGATTCCAAGTTAGCAAAGAAAAAAGACCTGTTTAATCAGATGATTAATTTCTGTATCTTAAAGGGGTATTCCGGTGTAAAATTAATTTAGGGTCAAACACACCGTAACACAGAGTTAGACACCCCCTCCAGAGATGAATGTTCCCGACTGCTTGCTTCTCTAGTTATACCAACTTTAGTAACGACCGCAATAGCAATACACAGTGGTCTGAGGAGCCATAAACAAATCTCAACCAATCATAAATGTTCTTCCTTGAGCTACATCACCCCGCTGTAGCCCATAATGGTCTGGCCTGAGGTCTCGCTACAAACAAGCGGCTGCTGGAAGAGAGTAGGTGAGTTGTGTTTAGTCTCTTTGCTAAAGAAATCAGGCAAAGCTAAAGAGGCGTTTGATGGCTAGTGCTATGGCTGGGACCCTACATGTACTGTTGATGAAGTTAGGTGCTGTTCTGAGCATTATTTGTGGCTATAAAGTGGCGTTTTGGTTGAGGTTTGTTTATGGCTCCTCAGACTGCTGTGTATTGCTATCCTGCTGTCGTGACTTAACTTGGTATAACTAGAGAAGCAAGCGGTCGGCAACATTCATCTCTCGAGGGTGTGTCTAACTCTGTGGAGAAGAGAAGATGCACACCCCTTTTAATGATGCTGACACATGGCCCTTTAATGGCAATTACACTGAATTCATAGAACAAACTAAGGAGGTTCCTCATGTGGAGGAGACAGAAAAAAAACAGGTGTGATCTCTTGAAGTCCACACTCATCAAGTCTTTGATTCTTTCTGCTCATATATCACAGTTTATGACGTCATCTTGATGAGTTCATGTGCGTTTTTCCGCAGGCCTTGCCAACAGAGTCGCTGACCCTGGAGCAGCAGCTCTCCCAGTACCCGCTTTTTAACCAGCTGACAGCTCAGGCCCAGGCTCAGCTGCTCAGCGACCTCCAGAAGCAGCAGCAGGTCCTGTCGCAGGGCATCCAGCTTATTACTTTGCCTACTCTGGCCTCCCCGGGAACAGCCACGGCTACTGCCAGTAGCCCCTCCACTGACAGCCAGAGCCAGACCACCGCCAGCATCAGCATCAGCTCGGTAAGAAGACCAGGAAGTTAAATCCAAGTGTAGAAGAAAAGATAACTGAATTTGACTGAATAACTGCGAGCTTTTCACTATCTCTTTTAGATGTTTTAATTCTAATTTTCACATCCCGATGACAGTTCTCCTTTAATGCTTCTTTAGTTGATCTTTATGCTGCTTAGCTCTGAGGCTGATTTGCTCTTCAGGACAAACTCATCTGTATTCTTACATGAGTCTTCCAGTTAAACCAGAAAGTTTTGAAACTTATTAGGTTCACATTTCTGTGATGGAAGATGTAGACAGGTCCTAAAACCCATCACCATAATTTGAAGAGACTTTTTATGGAGTTAATGCCTTTTCAGATGTACTTGAGTTTGTGTGTGGTAAAAGCAGCACCTTTTCAAACATGAGTTCATGAGATTAAAAAAATATACACTCACCGGCCACTTTATTAGGTACACCGGTCCAACTGCTCGTTAACACTTAATTTCTAATCAGCCAATCACATGGCGGCAACTTAGTGCATTTAGGCATGTAGACATGGTCAAGACAATCTCCTGCAGTTCAAACCGAGCATCAGTATGGGGAAGAAAGGTGATTTGAGTGACTTTGAACGTGGCATGGTTGTTGGTGCCAGAAGGGCTGGTCTGAGTATTTCAGAAACTGCTGATCTACTGGGATTTTCACGCACAACCATCTCTAGGGTTTACAGAGAATGGTCCGAAAAAGAAAAAATATCCAGTGAGCGGCAGTTCTGTGGGCGGAAATGCCTTGTTGATGCCAGAGGTCAGAGGAGAATGGCCAGACTGGTTCGAGCTGATAGAAAGGCAACAGTGACTCAAATAACCACCCGTTACAACCAAGGTAGGCAGAAGAGCATCTCTGAACGCACAGTACGTCGAACTTTGAGGCAGATGGGCTACAGCAGCAGAAGACCACGCCGGGTACCACTCCTTTCAGCTAAGAACAGGAAACTGAGGCTACAATTTGCACAAGCTCAACGAAATTGGACAATAGAAGATTGGAAAAACGTTGCCTGGTCTGATGAGTCTCGATTTCTGCTGCGACATTCGGATGGAAGGGTCAGAATTTGGCGTCAACAACATGAAAGCATGGATCCATCCTGCCTTGTATCACGGTTCAGGCTGGTGGTGGTGGTGTCATGGTGTGGGGAATATTTTCTTGGCACTCTTTGGGCCCCTTGGTACCAATTGAGCATTGTTGCAACGCCACAGCCTATATGAGTATTGTTGCTGACCATGTCCATCCCTTTATGACCACAATGTACCCAACTTCTGATGGCTACTTTCAGCAGGATAATGCGCCATGTCATAAAGCTGGAATCATCTCAGACTGGTTTCTTGAACATGACAATGAGTTCACTGTACTCAAATGGCCTCCACAGTCACCAGATCTCAATCCAATAGAGCATCTTTGGGATGTGGTGGAACGGGAGATTCGCATCATGGATGTGCAGCCGACAAATCTGCGGCAACTGTGTGATGCCATCATGTCAATATGGACCAAGCTCTCTGAGGAATGCTTCCAGCACCTTGTTGAATCTATGCCACGAAGAATTGAGGCAGTTCTGAAGGCAAAAGGGGGTCCAACCCGTTACTAGCATGGTGTACCTAATAAAGTGGCCGGTGAGTGTATATCTTGATGAGTTTATGAACTAAAGCAGTCTCAGCATACGGCTCTCTTAACTTTTGACTGCACCGTTTTTAGATAAAGCTAAACTTTTTTTTTTTTTAGCATATATTACATTTCTATCGTCACTTCTTCATGTGAAGACAAACCAGTTTGCCACAGATTTGTCCCACAATATAATTGGTGATAATTATTCTAATAATAACAGATTTAAGGCCGACGCCCACTCACATCCTGTCCTCTGAGATTTGTATGTGACAGGCATGAAGCCCCGTGCTAGCTAACCCTCTTCCCTCCAACAGTACCGCAATCAGACTGGCTCACCAGCCACTCAGTCTCCAACCTCCCCAGTCTCCAATCAAGGCTTCTCCCCCGGCGGCTCGCCTCAAGTAAGGGCCCACCCACCGAGCTAGCTGCTGTTTGGGGAAGGGCTTTGCGCCTGGGGGAAAGCTAAATGTAGATGAGTTAGGCTGCTTTTCATTCTCTGTATCAGCGGTTAATCACTCATGGTGTCAACAGCTGCATAACTCATGTCTTCATCTCCACTGTTCACTGTGTGCATGACAACACGGCCAGAGTCTGTTAGTGGAGTCTTGTTTCTCTTGTAGATGGCAAAAGTTTTTACTCTGACAGACCATTGAAATACTTTTAATAGAGTCGTTTAATCAGACTCGACAGGATTGATTTTAAAGCCCACTAGCAGTCGTTTGTGATTTGTCTCTAGACTTGTTGGTTGCATGTTTTTGCAGTTTAACAACTTTATATTTTGAATAAATTCTCCTGGTATTTCCAATCAGAATACTTTACTTATCCCAGGAGGGATTCAGTAAAGTTATTATAAGACTTGATTATTCGTCAGACTCTATAGGGGTCTGTCTTCTTATGTGAGTCAAGAGCGACACTCTGCCTTAGCTTGCATCCACACTAACCTGACATTTCACTCTCTGCACTGGGGGGGAGTCATCAAAGCTTAATCCCATCGACAGGAAACATTTGACAGAAGTATGGAGGATGAAAAGAGACAGAATTAATTATATAAACACATCTTCAAATAAACACTTATTAATTAAAATTGGAATTAAATAAATAAATTTATTTATTAGAATACCATTTCATTCAATGTAAAAACATATGTAAGTATTTCACTATTCAATTAATTAATCCATGGACCTGTGTTGCAGTGCTTCATGAATTGATTTTACCTGTCAAACTCACCCATCAAAGTCAGTGGGCGGATCCTAACACCTGATTGGTTACCCGGCACATCAAGCCAAGACAGATCGACTCTAGATTATTATTTATTTATTAATCCTCATTTTAATTAATTAACGACATATTTAAGTATTTATTTATTTATGTATTTATATATTTCATTCTGTCTATTTTCATCCTCCGTACAAAAGAAGAGAAAATGTTTCAATATTACACTCTACCTGTATTTTTATGTATGAGGTTGCTCTAATGCAGATGGTCACATAGAGGCACATCAATAATATCTATTTAAGTCAAGGAAACATGTTGAGCTGAGAAGCAAAGTTACATTTTTATGATCAGACATATTTATTAGCCCTGTTTCTCCCTGTCTTCTTGAGCATTTTGCTGCAGACCCTCTTATCTCCTGCAGATAAATGAATGAATGAAATAGTGGGAGAAACAACTTTAGGTGTTAATAACCTTTGCAGTAAACACTAGTCGACTGAATCACATCATGTATGAGAGGACAATGAGAGATTGAGTATAATTTGGAAGTAGAGCTCCTCCTAAGAGCTGTAATGCACCGGAAGTCACCTCTGGTGTACAGGACTCCATCACTTTAAAAGGCCTGTCACACAGTGTTTGTGCTTTTGCTCATAGAAAAATAAAGTTCATGGGGAATTTCAGTATTTGTCAACCTCAGCAGTGTTTTTACACTGAATGTCGTTTGTTGCTGCCTTTGGAAAGATGTTTTTCTCACCACCTCTGTTGTAGGAATGTAGAAAACCACAAACTCAAAGTTGTGAGAGCTCGGTATGTTAACCTGCACCAAATGGAAACTCAGAGATTTTGTTCAGCAGTGTTTTATCTTTTCAACATGTTTTATCTTTTTTTTAAAGTAGAGCTGAGAGGAAGATTTTTCAGCATTCTGCTTCAGAGGAGAGTTCAGTGTTTCCATGATGTACAAAAACACACCTGATTGACAAATACTGGATTTCCCCCTTAAACAGGTTACTTCATGTTTGTTCACTGTGAACAGGGCTGCCGCGGTCAGCACAACACTTTGCTGTTGTGTCTTTTCCACAGGGATGGAAAAACAACCCCGCCATATTCATACCTCCATTACAGTTTTTATTTTGTTCTTTCTTTCTTCTCTCAAACTCATGCGGATAAATTAACAATTTGAATCATCTAAAAGTCATTGACTTACTGATTTACTTTTTCTTTTCTCACTGAACCGTCACAGCCCTAGTCATGAAAACCATTTGCTTTGGTCACCGCTCAGTCCAACACTTGTGTGTTTTGTGTTTCTGCTCGAGTTATCTGTTGTTCCATCGCTGAAATGTCCGCCTGTGGGCGACAGATAACTTCTTAGTGTTGATGTTTTTGCTGCTTCTTTGACATTTTTTCTGATCTGTTGTGGCCTTTTTCTTCTCTTCCAGCACATTCCTGTGGTAGGCAGCATATTCGGCGACTCCTTCTATGATCAGCAGTTGGCTTTGAGGCAGACCAATGCTCTCTCTCACCAGGTGACACAAAAAAACACAGTAAACAGTAAACATCAGTGAAGTGTTAACTTTTGAGAAGCTCCTGACTGGGTGAAAAATGTGTGTGTTTTTTAGCTGGAGCAGTTCAACATGATCGAGAACCCCATCAGCTCCACCAGCCTTTACAACCAGTGCTCCACCCTCAACTACACACAGGCAGCCATGATGGGCCTCACAGGAAGCAGCTTACAGGAATCGCAGCAACTCGGCTACAGCAGTCATGGAAACATCCCCAACATCATCCTCACAGGTAGCAACACCTCAAGTTCATCTCTGTACAGTGCATAATAAGCTGTAAATATGGAAGCAAAAATTACCGTTCATTTGTGTTGGATGGTATGACGGTATGAAAGTGTCGACTGGTAGAAATTTTGCTATATAGTTAAAACCGGAGAGAGAGAGCAGATGTCTGCTGCGTTTCTCTGAGTCAGTGTGTGGTTGTCTGCACTCGCTAACAGGAGAGCATCCGTTTTGCTGCGTTTCCGTGTATTCATTAGTGGGTCGTGCAGAGTTTGTTCGCTCCGTTTGATTGGTCAGGTTTGGGTGTGCTCCATATAATCACCAGCGTGTCCAGCAGACTGCTTGGCATAGTTTCAACGAAGAAGAAACAGTTTCACTGGTGGTGATCATGGCAGACACAGAGATTAGTGACAGTACCGAGCAAGCGAAGGCAGCCCGATCCACCCAACACGAGAAAGAGGAGGACGAAGTCATTTTGAAAGAGGGCGCGAGTCGTGACATCGTTTGTCTGGAGATTCTTCGGATTTAAATGAAATCAATGATCAAAAAACAATACTACGCAAAGAGTGTGGTGTGGCTGTCGTTGCTGGAGGATGAAACACCGGCAACCTCTTCCACCACCTAAAGATGAAACACGCCAAACTCCATTATGAGAGCCAAAAACTGAAGCTGCAGCAGCTCCTCTCATACAAAAGAGCTTGGCAGAGTCTTTTGCCAAAGGTACGCCATATGATAAAAAAAAAAAACACCAAACTGGTCTGGCATTTTGTTTGCATTTGTGCACAAATCTGAGTTTAAAAAATAAAACTAAAATGAATAAATACGACAGTATGTTTATTTTTAAGCCATTTATTGAAATTACAGGATAGAAAAAACATACTGTGATATATACCGTTACCGTGAAATGAATATACTCATACTGTGATGTAAGATTTTGTTCATACCGCCCAACAGTACCATGCATTGCTGTGTCACGTCTGAACGTAAACAGGAGAGTGAAAATCTGTAACAGCTCAGAGCTGACCGTGAGTCAGGGTGTATTCATTAACCTCGAACATTTCACACAGTGCCATTTGATAATTCTTCAAATTGAAAGTTGTGGCTGTGCGGAGATTTAGTTTGCTCATCATGTCGTCGAGTCCATTATTGATTTTTTGAATTAGCTGACTCAGTGCCAAGGTAATATTTATTCTTGTCTAAATCTAATATTAGTTCTTTACTCATACTTGTGAAACCTTTGGCGAGTGAGTCACATGATACTTGCTGAACCCTCCCTGTTTCTCTCAGTTGTCAATTCTTCCTCCTGTTTCTTCCTCCGGTGTCACGTCTCTCAGTCACAGGGGAGTCTCCTCCAAGCCTCTCCAAAGAGCTCACCAACTCCCTGGCGGGTGTCGGCGATGTCAGCTTTGACGCAGACTCTCAGTTTCCTCTGGACGAGCTGAAGATCGACCCGCTCACCCTGGACGGACTGCACATGCTCAACGACCCTGACATGGTGCTCGCCGACCCCGCCACCGAGGACACGTTCAGGATGGACAGGCTGTAGCGTGAAGAGGCGACTGTGTCCGAGAGCAAGAAGAAAAAAAAAACACACTAACTTGTGAATGGAGACAAACAGAGGGCAGGATGAACCCTCTCCCTCGTTGCATGGCCGTCCAGCTGCCCGACCTCGCCCTCAACTCCGTGATGCCCTTTGAAACGATGCGCCACAAAAAGACAACAGGGATAAAGACCTCCAGTGGCTTGCCGGGGAATGGCCTCGCTGTCGTTTTGAATGAGATTGGTCGCTCAGCGCTTTCGCTAGCCTGCTGTGTTTACAGTGTACCATTACATGCCACATATATTCCAAAAAAATGCACATTTGACTATTTTTTTCTCTTCATATCCACTTTGATATTTGTTTTCTTGATATTTACTCGTAGCAGGAAGCTGCTAGGACATTGGGCTAAACCGTACCAGTTGTGACGGCTGTGCTTAAAAAAAAACAAAACAAAAAAGGAAACAGCTGGTTTGCTTGTGCCCTGCAATCAAAGGAATCGGTTTCCCATCATGCCGTAACGGCTTTCTATTTCACACTCAAAGCTTTATTTTTGACAACCAAATGTTATTTTCATCATGTACTGTATGTTTTGATGCTTTATGTATTTATATGTTTTATTTATTTATTTGGTTACAGATTTTATATTCCATTTCATAATTTAAATTTGATGCCAAAATGCTCTCTGTAGGCGTAGTGTAAAATTGCACTGATGTTATTTGTGTCTATTTATAAATTACTAACATATTTATATATGTGTTTGTTAAGCTACTTGGTTAATGAAGGAGTGCAAAACCTCCCCATAGTTGCTCTTTGGTGTTAGATGTGCCATTCTCTGACGTAGGACATGGTCGACGTTGCCATGCTGCAGCCCAATGCTCAAATCGAAATCTTGTAGTATTTAGCGCCGCTCCAGAAAAACACTGCGTGCTCCAGAAAATGGGTTGGTTTCTGCCACTTGAATTAACTTTTTCTGAGAAAATCATCAGGTATTTCTATTGAAGTAGAAAGTAAGAAAACACATCCAAATTAATTTTCTGCCGGTGAAAAGCCAATAAATCTCCAGACTGAACTTCTTTTCTCTGAGGGGAAGCCGTCTGTTTTTAACACTCAAATCTTCGATCTTTTTAAGTCGTCACTGTGAAATCACCTGATTTTGCCTTACATGAGTATTCTACTGTTCTACTTAAGTGTCTAGCGTGACAAATGTATTTTCGTAACTTATTGTAACATTTTCTTGTATTTGAGAGGATCTTAACTTTTGGTCAGTGATATTTGTGGTTCTGTTGTGTAAGGTTTGACAAATCAATGTACTGTATTTTGTATCGGTACAGTTTATAGCCAAATTGTTGATGTTTTTTAAAGTGGAGCGTGGAAAAACATACAAAAAAAAAAAAAAAACGGACGGGTTCGAGGTTCTTAAGATGGAGTGCAATTATGGGGAGGCTTTTTGCTCCATGACAGGGAAGCTCTTACAAAAAACGCTGAAGACCAGTGCTGCAACAGTAACAACAGATCCATACGAAGTTTGAGAAACTGAATCATCTGTTGGTGAATATTTAACGGTACAGAAACCCGAGAGTACAAACAGTTTCAGGGTTTTGAAAAGAAGAGTATTTCTCAGTGTGTACTCTGTTTTGTACACCGGATAAGGAACGTGAGGGCTACACAAAATTGTGCTGCAGAGAGAAAGTGTATTTATATTTACAGTATATAAAGTATTATATGCACACAGCACAGAGATCAACCCATCTATTCAGTGTTTTGAACCACGAAACCATCGCAAAAACAATCAGGGATGTAGTAGAGTCTAAAAACTGTTTACGCAACCTTTTTAACTCAAAAATGTTTACACCAGTCTCATCTGAAAATGTACATACTGATATCAGATCTCGCTACATCCATGACACACATCACTCTTTGCCAAAAAAAAACAAACGTGTCAAATTTTAGCTTCAGATCTCAATCTCAGTGGCCTTTTGTCAGAGTTTCCCTGAGAGGTGTGTGTAGGTCTGTGGGATCATGTTTGGTATATTGTAATGTTCATGTACAGACAAGCTAATCATCTACTCACCTGAAGCGCTGTTAGAAGATCTCCACCTCAGCCTAACCCACCTGGAAAGGAATCACGTTTTGGTTTACTGCCCACCGCTGAAGTTTAAGTGTTTCTAGCGTCTGCTTTCCACCTCCATCAAAGGTTTTGTTTGGCTTCAACATACAGTATTTGTGATTCCTATGCAAGTGAGACGAAAACAACACTTTAAGGAAAAATCCACCTCTGATGTTTTACGGTGCACCAGAAGTCGAACTGGATTTAGTCTTCGGAAACAGAAGACCGTAAATGGGTGTGTAGAGATTTATGATTATGAAGGAAGGCTCCACGAACGTTATAGTTACAAAGCACATTACAGTCACTCGATAATTGTGTTTTTAAAGCCTCAAACATCCCTGAAGAGTTTTTCTTTTCGATTTGGCTTCTCATTGCTGCCTAATGTCCACAAAAGAAGTCCAGTTTGAACATATGAAGAGGGCAGGACACTGAATGTTGAAGTGGTGCTATGACAATCAAATTATGTGAAACTGAGTCTCTGTGTCAAGAAGCATAAATCCAGTTTTCCTACGAAATTAAAGCTCCTGTGAGGAATTTTTAGCAGAATTAAATTAACATCAACGCCAATTTCTCCTCCAATGTGACTCTAATCTGAAATGAAAAACGGTTTTTCAAATGCAGCAGCTGAAAAAATGAAAACTATTCGGCTTTCACTCAAGCATCTTAAAGTGGATTTTTCCTCAAGTGTCACTGAAACAAATGTATTCAAGTCAGTCTTTTCAGATAACATGTTTTTAAAGGCTTCGTTCCTAAAACAAAACAAAAAAGCGTTGTGTTTAAGCCAAACCTCATTGTGACATTGCCATGTACCAGAGATGCTGGTGTTTTTGTTCTCTTATCACTTCCTTCCTGTCATCCTGCTGTATTCCAGTCCTTTGTACATATGCTATAGCTGAAACTTAAATGCATGACTAAAACTGACAGTCATAACCTCGAAATGAAGGCCTTCTATAGCTGCGCGGGTTTGATTCGTGTAACATAAACCTACCACCAAGTCTAAAGGGATGCATGTATGGGTTCCTCCTGTGCAACAGTTAACTCAGATTCCTGTCCGGTGACTCTCTTACCTCCATCTCTGTATAATGCTTCTTCACGAATGATAAGAGAATGTATTTCCTGTGGCAGTGTCCTACTTTTTCGCCTGTTGCCAAAACAACCTGGAGCTCCTGGTCCCGTCACAGTTGGACCAGACTCCTCTCTCCTCAGTTTCTCCTTTTTCTCCTCCAAGGAATCAGACTGTTGCTTGTTACGCTCTCTCTCTCTCTCTCTCTCTTTCTCTCTGTCTCTCTTTCTCTCTCTCTCTCTTCCTACTGTAGCATCTCACCGCCTCCGAGTGTAAACTGGATTTTTTTGTACGAAGGAAACCGCTGTAAACCCTTTCCCCTCTGTCAGCACGACCTCTTAGCTTTCTGAGGATAACGGAAGCAGGATTTGTCTCGCGAGGGTCGCAGATTTGGCACGTGCACTGAATGTTTGCATATGTGGACTTGAATCTTCTGAAACTTCTGCATTACGCAGTCAACTGCATGACATGATAGACACACTGAGCTGATTCTTATCCCATGTTCTGTACAGGAGTTTGATCTCGCTATGCTGAAGTGACATCAGATATGATTGTTTTATGTTGTTGTTGCCTATCATGTCAGGTTTTGGGCTGGGTAAAGTGTATTTCTGTTCTTTGGGTTGTTGGTTTTTCTGTTTTTTGTGCAATGTTTAGTCCACTAGTTGCTTCGCACTTTATTTGTGACTTCCTGACTCTTGATCAGGGACTGTTCTGCCTGATGTGAATGCTGACTGTTTCACTCCAGATGTATTCTCCGGAGATATTTTCATGTCAAAGAAAAAGATGAATTCTCTATTTTCCTTTGTAAACTATATTTTGGCTTGTCTTGTTTTTTTATCGGTGAAGATTTTAGGGGATGCAAAACCAGAAAGGGCTTACTCCAGTGCAGCTTGCGCTCTCGTGTTGGAAAGGAATGGCACTGCGAATGTATATCTTTTACCCCTCCTTATGAAAACAGCATAGACTTTCAGATAGTCGTCGTAGTTCTCACAGTGACGCCGAAGTTCACACTGTATCCTCACCACAAATACTGCTGCGAGAAGAGTTCGAAGAGTATGAAATCAACTCTGATATGCAGCTGTAATTTTGCAGACATAAAAAAAGGAAAATCCTGTCGAATAACTCCAATACACCCAACACTGTAACAGAGATTCTGGCTGTTGGAAACAATGAAGGAAGCTTTGGGTAGACGGCATGATGTACTGGAGTTGATGGAGTTGGATTAGCTACTTGCCCTGACTCAGTCCCCTCTTTAAGGAAATACCTGATGGAAAGTGCAGTGACGTGATGTGATATCAGATATCTTTTTCAGGTTTGCTAACAAGGTTAGCCAAAGTAACAATGGAAAATGCATTGAAATTAAGGAAGCTAACTGGCCTTTATAGAAGAGAGTGAGGGCAGCATGAAAAACATGGTTTGATCATAATTCAAAGGACTTATTGGCACAAAAGTTTAGGAAAAACTTATAGTTACAACTTTGCAAGTCATCTCAGGCTTTTATGTTCAGATATAGTCGTAAATTTGAGTTAGTATTTGACTGAAGACCTGAAACTCTGTCCTTTACAGCAGAGCAAGTGAAGATTAAAAGAAAAAGATCCTGAATTCTGAGGTTTTAAATGAGACTTCTGGATTAGAGACGTGGTTGTTATGTAACTTCCTCTGATCCTCTCCCTATCCCCTTTATTCTTTAATCTAAAAAGCCAATTTTCCATCATTAAAAATCTTTTTTTGCAGAGTTAAATCAGTATTTCTCATATGCAGTGCGTTAATTTGGATAAAAAATCCCACACTCAAAAAAGGAGAGGATTTTCAGGATGATTATTGAAAGCTAGAAGTCATTTTTATGAACTGAGAAGTTGCAAATATAACCTCAAAGTGTATTTTCTACATCTTGTAAACTGCTTTTTCTTCAACCCCCCGCCTGCTTTAGTCTGAGACACCATTTTTGTGCGTTGCTTGTTAGCACAACTTGTTCATGTTGTGTTAGGAAGCAAGAAGCTTGATTTTGTCTCAAACTGAAAAAGCAGACGAGTGAAGCTGAAACAGGAGTCCGGTGTTTGAAGGTTTGATCCTTGGTCCTAAAATGAAAAGAAAGAGCTGCTGCTCTTCTCTATACTGCTTAGTCCCAGTGTTTTAAGTCCGTATAAACTCTCCCTTTAATAACACGAGGTTTCCTGAAAGACTCTTCAGCTGTCTTTAGAAAAAGAGTTTTAAGTTCCACTAAAGCTTATAGTAAGAATAGCATTATATCACTGTCGTCCTGTAAGTCGTAGTAAAAGATCTGTAGCTATTTATTTGTTGCCATGTGATTCTCCTTATGTGACCATTTGTTTATAAGATGAAAGAAAATTGTCGATTAAATTGAATGTGGAAGACAGATTTTTCTCTGCACATAGTCTTGATTTGCAGAATTTGCTGATTTAAAGAAGAAAAAAACTGTCCAGTCATTTTTTCCAACACCGCAGCTTGTTGCTGTGGACATGCATGGTGTTTCAATCCTGTTGTATATTGTCTTTGCCATTGTTTCTATTTTGTAATCTGTATTTCCAAATGCAAAATTTAAAAGATTATTTTGGATATGTGCATGCTTGTGAAATGTTTCAGGATGTTGATTTCCACTAAAAGCTGTCGAGTTTGAAAAAGGTCACGTCTGTTACTTAAAAACAAACGTTCGCTCTCTCAGTGTAGCTGCACGACCGTTAATGCATTTTATTTAAGGAGCAGTGGACAGATTTAGAGTGCTTGATGCTTTTGACATTTTCACACTTTAAAAGCACTCCTAAAGTTTAAATTTGGACTATTTTCAGTGCAGGGATAGGATTACAAAGTTGTAGCTTTAGACATTTCAGCCTTAATTAGATGGATCATCTGGAGAGGGACAGAGAGTGTGTGGAGCAGACAGTGGGGAAGACATGCAGGACTACTAAGCTCTAGGATCTGTATTTTAGACCCCACTCAGTTCCACAGCAGAGAAGGCAGAGTTAACAAAATTTACATGTATTTATTCGTGACCGTTACATCTTTGTAATAATTGATCTTTAAAAATTAGACATTTTAATATACATATACAGTGGACAAATTAGACACTCCTATTGAAAACTAAAGAACATGTTATTAACAGTTTTAACTCATACAGTCTAGATTTTTAAAAAACATCTTCATAGCTGTGAAGTTGATTCTTCCACCTGGATTTCGTGGAATGGTCAGTTTGATGGCTTTTCATTCGTCATCAGCAAAGTAAATTTATTTCTGACCCAAGTTGTGCGTTGGAAAAGCATTCCCAGAACCCCGGGGTGCTCGTCGTGTCATCAGAAAGTCAGCTGGACCTGCTGAGCTCTGTAGGAGTCGAAGTCTTCAGGAATAGTGTCTGTAGAGAGAAACAACAGACGTATCAATATTTTTTTTCCAGTTTGGGCCACAAGGAAAAGGTATTTGAGATGTTTTTTCAATTATTCGATATGTCCATAAAACATGTGGGGAAGTGGGAAAAAAGGCTGAAAGAGGGTAAACTTGTCTCACCATTGCAGCGATAACGCAGGTTGGCCCAGATGATGTTCTCCTGGGAGAAGCAGAAAACTCCCAGACGACCTCCTCTCATCGTGGCGTCAATGATGACGCCCGTGTCTGCAACCATCTGAGTCCCCTCGTAGAAACGAACCCTGCGTATCATCACAGAGGTAACAACATCACACAGCAGCAAACAGATTGAAGTTTTGTTAAAGACAAAAACAAGTGAAACACAGAAGTGAAGCTAGGTTAAAAAACAATCAGGTAAGAGTGGTGGTGATGTTTAAAGTTGAATGAGTTGGTACCTGATGTAGCCATCAGCTGGCCTGTGTTGGAGGAACCAGCGGTAAGAGGTTTTGTCCTTCCAGCCGACGTTGCGTGAGTCCTTCCAGAGAAGTTTGACTTGGTCACTCGTGTCACCGGTGTGCCACAGAGCGTTCCTAAGGTTTTCACCCGGACCTGTGTTGGACTTGACAGCCTTTTCAAAACACAGTAACAAGAACTTTGATTCCCTGGACCAACTTTAAACATCCATCAGCATATCATCACAACTCTTTCATATCAGTGTTGAAAGCGGTATTTGACTTTAAAGACCAACTCTGATGAAAATCATGTTCTTTTACATGTTCATATGGCATTTTTCTGATGCTACAGGACATATCATGAGAAAACTAAGTGCGAAATTGCTTTTCTGAGTATTTCTTCATTCAAATTGCTGTGAATCACTGGCAGACCCAAACAGCAGGATCAGATACAGTGAGATTTCATACATCACAAATCCAAGCTCCGCCCCCAGAGCCCTGCAATGCAGGCCACACTCTGCATATAGAGGAGAAATAGAGGACGATTGCGGAACAAGCGTGTACATTAGCAGATTGTAATGATTGTAAGAAAGCTAATTATGATATTAGCTTTCATTGTGTCCCTCAAGACATTTTTGTCTGAGAGCTGAATAGCTCCTATGTTACCTGTCACTTCTACTACACTGGTAATGCTAGGCTGCAAGCTAATGTGAAGACGAGTGTGCAGACCAGCGCTGTTCCCGCCCACAACTTTGCAGAAGAAAAGCCCTTGAAAATGACACAAGTAATGCTATTTTTGGTAAAAACTTCATAATCACAATTTACAGACCACTGAGAACACTTTAGGTAATAATTATAATGAAAAAAAACGATGGGAGTGGGACTTTACTTGTGATTGAGCTGATTGATAAAACATGAATATAGCGGTTTATTGAAGCTCTATATCCTATAAATGATGCTTGATTAGTAAAACGCTTCTAACTCAGTAAGTCCATGTGACACAAAATCGAAACTCTTGTACAAAACCCCAGACATTTGAAGGATTTTATTAACTTCCCCAGTCAATGCCGGACAATCCTGGACAGCCCCCCAAAAAGAGGACATGCCCGGGTAAAAGAGGACGTATGGTCACCCTACATAAATTCTAAAAATAATAATTTAAATAAAAATTAAATAGATGTAAATACTTAAAAACAGTTTGGGGTTTTTCTACCTTGAGTTGGATGCCCGGTTCAGCCACAGCTCTGAACGGGTTTGCCTGCCAGTAGATCTGTTCAACCTGCTTCCACATCACCACGTAAAAACTGGAACTGTCCTGGTACCCAAAGATAAATCCTGCGTAATCGTCGTCCGTTACTGTGTTGACATGAAACGTCCCTTCAAAATCCACTCCACTGAAGGCGGTGTAACCTGGTGGGGAGACACAGCTGTCACTGGCGATCTTCAGACAAGCCACTTTGAAGACCAACATTAATTTTGCTTTGAGTTATAGATCAGGTTCGTACCAACAGCCAGGCCAGGATCACTGTTCATAGTCTGGACAATCTCTCTTCCCTGCACAAAGAGAGACGAGGAGTTCAGAGACGTTTGAATGGCAGAAATATATTTAGGATACGCACACAAAAAAACTGAAATGAAACAGGAGACGACACTTGACCTGGTTCAGCACCACCCAGTTGGGGTCGATCTGTGCGTCTCCTTCAGGATCTAAAACAACGGTCTGGTACTCCCTGAAGTCGGTGAGAGTGACCTCAGCGTTCTCCGGACAAACGTCGATGGTGTCAACGATGGTGTCATTGTCGAAATCCGTCTCACAGATATTACCCACACCGTCACCTTAGAGAGCGAACAACCATAGAGACTTTCTAAACTTTTCATCCACCTGATGTAGAAAATGTGACATTACAGGTCAGAAACATGACCCACCGTCAGAGTCCTCCTGCAGAGGGTTGGGGATCAGACGACAGTTGTCAGGTCCGGGTGGCAGCAGGTCTGGGATGCCGTCGTTGTCGTCGTCATCATCGCACTCATCTCCTTTCCCGTCCTTGTCCGTGTCGAGCTGGGAGCTGTTGATCACTGCAGGACAGTTGTCTCTAGAGTCCTGGTGACCGTCACCGTCACTGGAGGACAGAGACTTTTACTAGAACATGCTCATCATTAAAGATATCACATGTGACACGATCATGACTTACCTGTCCTTATTCGTGTCACAGGGGTCTCCGATCAAGTCATTGTCCACATCAGTCTAAAAAAGATCAACACATCCATATTGAGTCCGTATTTGCTTGCTGACAGAACTCACAACATATGAAAGGCAGATTTCTGACCTGCTCAGGGTTTGGTACGTAAGGACAGCTGTCACATGCGTCTCCCACTTTGTCTCCATCACGATCGATCTGGTCAGCGTTGGGAACCCTCTTGCAGTTATCCAGGTGGTTAGGGATACCTGAGATTAAGGTGATCAGTTCAGTAAGCATTCACCTGACAAAGTCTTCATCCACTTTATCTGTAATCACTTTATACTACTGCATTCACGATTTTGGTTATTTCTTTGAATCAGATTTTAGACATTAGCTACCCTCTGCAGGCCGATCTTAATCACATATCCGTCTTCTACAATTTATTTACCATCTCCATCAATGTCTTCATCACATTCATCCCCAAATTTGTCCACATCTGTGTCTTTCTGGTCATTGTTTTTGACAGCGCGGCAGTTGTCGCAAGCGTCACCAAAGTCATCTTCGTCGATGTTCCTTTGGTCCACATTCGGTACCAACACGCAGTTATCCTGTGAAGATGTTGTTTTAGTCTCTAATAGTAAATGGCAGATTAAGTTTTGCGGCCTGTTTCGTCTTTTGTGCAAGAACCTGTGTGTTGAGGATCCCATCCCCATCTGCATCCTCATCGCAGGCATCTCCAATACCATCCCCATCGGCATCTTCTTGACCAGAGTTTGGCACAGTGAGGCAGTTATCCTGAAAGGGAAAAACAGACACTTTGAAAGGAAAGTACAAAAAGAAAAATAACACAACCGGCACTATTTTTTAAGACAGTTTCTACTACATAAGATCTATGAATATTTTTCTGTATGTGCAGGTAACATAAAGGAGACCCACCTTGTTGCAGTTCTTCTCTGGACAGTCCAGTTTCTCATCTGGGATACCATCAATGTCAATGTCAGGCCCGCACAGGTAGCCGTTGCCAGCCCACCCAACTCCACACTGTGATCAGGGGAAAAGATTTATTTTTCAGTCTGTTTGCAGAGCATTTTAAATGTTCAAGCCTTTAAATAAACAATTCTGGTTCTGCTGAACGTTAGACTTCACAAGTTAAGTCAATAATTTTATTTAGGCATGTTGGTTTGGTACAGATGACACAACCTTTTTTGAGTCCAATCTACGTAAAAGTTATTTCTTTGTCCACACGGGAGCCAAAATTGACATTTTTCAATGAGGTTTTGTAGAACATGAAAAACAGTGAATACTGAAGATCTTTACTCTTTAATACTCTTTTGGGGCGACAGTAGCACAGGAGGTAGAGTGGTCGTCCAATAACTTGAAGGTTGGCAGTTCAATTCCCCCCTATTCCGAGTCTGTCCGTTGTGTCCTTGGGCAAGATGCTTAACCCACCTTGCTCCTAGTTTTCCACCACCAGGGTGTGACTGTGTGAGCGAATGATTGATGTATCCAATGTAAAGCACTCTGAGGGTCTCTGATAAAGCCTTGTATGAAATCTGATGCATCTGATCGGATCTGATCTAAAATCCTAAACTGTAATTTCTAAGTCATGCACAGAAAAGGATGAATGATTTACCTGACACTCGATTGCTCCTTCTCGATGGACGATGCACTCCGCACTGGCGTGGCAGGGGTTAGGTTGTCCATTACCACAAGCTCTCTCAGGCTTGCAGCCACGCCGCTGATCTCCAACGTAGCCTGTCTTACAGGGACCACACCTGTACGAACCCTAACGACACAGAGACCCATCATACCTAGGTTTACAAGAACTGTATGGACTGCAGGTCTCCCTCAAACAGGGTTTTAAATGCCTGTTGATGGCGTTTGTACTCACAGGAGTGTTCATGCAGACAGAGTTAGCCACACAGCCTCCGTTGTTGGGGCTTTCACACTCATTGATATCTTTGCAGACCTTGATGGGACAAACACACAGAGAGAGAGGTCAGTAACTAACTCAGTATGCTTTTACATCAAGAGTGAAAGTACGAGTAAAAAATATGAAGTGCAGTAAGAGGAAACAGTCCTGCACTATGACCTGAGGTGTTCCTGATACAGAGCAGTTCTCTCTGTTTGACTCTCTGTATATAGAGAGTGAAGAGGTGCTGCTGATGGATGTAGAAAGGAGGGAGTTATGAGAAAAAGTAAACATCTTCAGCTGCAGATGGGAGAATTTTCACAAACCCAGTTTTTGAACTAAGAATAAGATTTTAAAAAGGGATGATTTGGTTTGATGATTTATAATGTACACTTATTTTACACGTTATTTGTTTATGTTCAAACTGAAAATGCCAATAAACGGGTAAAAAAAAAAAATATATATATATATATATATATATACTAATGTCAAGATTGTTGATCCACTTCAGTTGTTTTGTCAGCTTGTTTCTAAATGTGTGTGTTTGTGTGAGTGTGTTGTGAACCCGACCTGTTTGTTTGCCTTGGCGTAAGCGAGACCGACACCCTGGACTTGGGGGCCGGTGTATCCAGGAGGACAGGAGCCGCAGCGAAAACCGGGGGCAGTGTTTATGCAGCGCACACCCATATGACACGGCAGTACAGTGCACTTGAAAAGAAACACAAAATATTTAGACGATTTCTGAAAAGGAGCCTCACGACTTCAGTCCTGTATTTAAGTTTCTTTCTGAATCTTCTTCATTTGACCACAATTTTTATAACATCTACCAAATATTTAAAAACAAACTGAATCTCATCCAGAAAAAAAAACAAAAAAAACAAACAGATCGATGTATTGTGTTGTGATTAGATATTATGAACTCTGTGTACCTCATCCACATCAGTGCAGTGGGTCCCATTACCCTCCATGCCATCAGGACAGGGTCCACACTTAATACCCTGGGGTGTCTCCATACACCTGACTCCTGGGTGGCAGGGGTTAGGATTACAGGAGGGACGAGGCTGGTGTCCTCCCATACCTGAGGAGACAGAGGGGGTCGAAAATGTTCTAAACCAGCATAATACCGAAGTGTTGTTAGATGTTCACTCCACTCAAACTGTAGGACAATGATTCTGCTTGTTCTCATATGAATTCAAACTAAAAACAGATTACATGTGTGGAACAGAGAGTCTAAAGTAAACCGGAGCTACAATCGTCTGCCTCATCTGCTCTTACAGTAAATGGGACAGAAAATTCCTCCAGCATACTTCTGGAGATCACTTTTTAAATCTGCTGTTGTGGTCTTATTTTTGGCCTTAGAAACGTGAAATCCACATCCACATATTCAGGAGACTGTAACGGTCTGTAAATGATCCTCATTTATCCAAGAGTAGTAATGGTTTGACCTCAAAATGACCACTTTTCAAAGGAAGGTTTCCAGCTTCACTTTCCCAGATCCCCCTCAGCTGCCTCAGCTGTTCACTGGCTGCTTGTATTTCTCTCTGCTGGCTCGTCTCTCTGCTACCCAGGAAACCCCGATCACCACAACAAATATGTCCACACTGACACATGAGTGTATCAGTGTGGACAAACTGTCTGAGGAACTTTCTATTTTTATTTTATTTCTGCAAATTCTGAAATGAAATAGCTTTTGATCATGCGCTTCAATCCTATCAGTGTCATTACTTATTGATTTGTTTATTTAAAACTCTGTTGTCATGATGTGTTATGATTATGATTTGAATGTATTTTCTTTGTGTTTTTCTCTTGTGTTTCTGTTCCCTATTGTTCCTGTTCCCCTGTAGTCTTGTGAGTTTTCAGTTTGTGTCTGACCCTGTTTCCCTCATGTTCTCTGTTTTTTTCTTTAGATTACTTTTCTGTACTTCCTGTTTTATTTTGTAGTCATCCATTCGTGTGTGTCTAGTCTTGTTTTATTTCCTCAGTTTTTCCTTCTCTGTAATTGTCTGCACCTGTCTCAGTGTCTCACCTGCCTCTCGTTGCTTGTTTCCCTGTGTATATATAGTTCCTGTCTTCCCCTGTTTTGTTTTGGTTCATTGCGCATGTATGTATGTATGTATGTTTGTCGATCTGTGTGCATCTCTGCCTGTTCCCCTGTGATCTTAAATTTGTTTTTGCCAGTGTCTTTGGTTGGATTTTGTGTTTGGACATTTTGGAGTAAGTTTTGGTTGCTTTCCATTTAGTTTTTTTTAATAAATCCCTCTTTTGTTCTGCAAGTGGGTCCTTTCCTTCTTGTTTAACTCTAGTTCATAACAACTGTCCACAGGAACTTGTGCAGAATTTCAGTCTGATTTGTACCTTAAAAAAATATAACTTGGACTCTCCCCAAATTACCATCTCAAAATAAAAAATGCAAGAGTAGTGAAAACTTTCTACAAACTGGTCTTCTAAAAAAAAAAACAATCATGAAACTCCGTTTTGCTGCTGAACTCACCACAGGCTTCACACTCCATCACAGTGTTCTTCAGAAATACGATCTCTCTAATCTAGGAAAAATACAAATTAAAACAGCTCCGTTAGCTGGTTAGTTTCCATGATGTTATTTAGCTGAATCCACAACAGTCCAACACAACAGTTGCTGAATGGACACCTTCTGAAAAAGTTAATTCAAGGGCAAACGTCTAATGAGTGACAAAATCATCAACATTTACATGCATCTGATTTTATCAGGTGTTTTTACCTGTTGTTTCAGGAGGTCTTTAATCTCAGCCAGCGCCAGGTTTGTCGATTTTATCTGACTGATAATCTCTCCATCTGAAAATAACACAAATACAACCAACATCAGAAAAGACAATTTAACCATATTATTATCTCCAGCCAGCCAGTTACATAGTTTATAAAACATAAGATGTAAACAAAGCCCCTCTTTTTAAACCAAAGGCTTAAATTCATATTTTATGATACACAAAAGCAAAAGAGACTTTCAGCAGCAAGGCTAGCAATTTTATGGTGTAATTTTTTAGAGGAAGCGAGAGACAATGACACAGCCCCGTCTTCTTCATCTTCATTTTAACACACAATATCTCCATTAAATGATACATGTCACCGTCAAAAGTCAGCTAAATTAAACTTTTATCAGAGGACACAGTTTAAGCATGTAATGAACAAGAGTGAAGACTGCTTTTTGTGCAAACCAGAGGTTCTTCACAGGAGCTATTTGTATCGTGGCGTTTATTTATCAACAGTCTCTTTGACTTTTGACTTTTGCCACATCGATAAGGATGGCTCAACTGACCATTCGGTCATCCTGCTAAAGGCGGGCTTCCTCGCAAATGGTTACATTGTGCCTGCCTGTCAGTCAAGTCATCCGGGCCTCTGATTTGCCGATCTTGTATCCTGAATAACTTTGAAATAATCATGTTTTAAAAAAAAATTTCACTCCACATACAGTGGATCAGACCAAGGATGTTTTTTTCACTAGGCTGTAAACTTGCATTTTTGCTCTCAACTTTGCTTTTTTGGCTCAGTGTGTACATGGTTTCCGGTGCTTCTGCAGCCAGCCTCAAGTGGACATTCAGGAAACTGCAGTTTTTGCATCAGCTTTATTTTTCAAGACCAGCAGTTGCTGCTTGGCAGTGAAGTAATGTGGTCTCACTTGTAAATAGTAAAAAGAGAAGAAACCAGGAGGAGACAAAGGTGCAGAAATATGAGATTAAAGTGTACAGTAGTGAGGTAAGAAACAGACAAAAACTCTCAGGCAAGTTTTTGTCAACAAAGTGGATTACAGTCTTTGCACCTCATGAGTTTTCTTGTTGGCTAAGTATCAGGGACCAGAATCTCAGGGGGGAGCAAATATGGAGAGTCACTACAACATGACCCATAGCTTATCAAATACCTGAAGTCCTTCAGCCGCCACAGGCTTCATTTGTATCCACTGCCCACGCATTCACCGGAGATTAGATGTTTTCATTGCAGAAGCAAAATTGATTTTCCAGAAATGGAATAATACAAGATTTTCCAGAAGATACATTTCAAAGCCAGTAAGTTACAGGAACTGAACTCTCCAGGCGTTTTGTGTTTTCTTACAGTAATGAGTGAGTGTTTATCTGGATTTCTATTCAGGTTTGCTTCATTTAAGAAAATACCATTAGACCGTGACTGAAACAAACTATGAAGTTTTTTACGGCCCAAATAAAACAGTTCATAATTTTGTTAAAGAACAACTCAGTTTGTAAACGAGAAAAGTCTCTGTCATTCAGATCGACTCCCTCGGGCTCACTTGGTCTGAGAACTGAGATAATATTTCATGACAGAAAATTTGAGGAGAATAAAAAAACAAAAGCTCTGGTTAAAGTGGATGGAAGTGAACTAAAATACAAAGGTGAATTCAACATTTCGGAGTGGCTGAAACAGGTTATGAACACAAATGTAAAATATTAGCTTAACCAACTCAAGAGGGAAATATTCAGCTTGCTTTAGTGTGCTTATCAATGTCTTTGTAACTGCCTTCATATAGCTATAGATGCTGAGCAGGTGTGAAACTGAAAATTTAGAGTCTTTTAGTGATAGTAGCTGACGTGTATATGCTACAAAGGAAGTTAAGGTGTTGGTTTCTGCTCTGCGATGGATATTGTTAAAATTCTCTGTGCAGTTTCTCATTTACATTTGCTAAATAATATTATAACTCAATATAGATCCTTCACTTCATTTGCAGAAAAGCTCATTTTCAAACCAGATGAGATTTTCTGTTTTGGAGTGAACATGATCATTGCACTAACTGACCTTAAGATCTACCACCCCGAGACCCCCCTTGAGCACTTTGACCACCATCCTCCCCCCCCAGCGGAGCCAGAAAAGGGGCAGAAATCTCCCGAGCATGAAGCACAGGAAATGTGCTCTTCCCATTAGCAGCATCTCTGTCTCGTGAATGGATTCAGCAGCAGAGAGAAAATATACCTGGGATAAATCACCCTCACCGCTAATAGATTACGACATCATATTACAGCTGAGACCACACACTAATTGTTTTTCCACATTGTGAGTAAGAAGAGTGGTGACAAAGATAGACGTTTAAGAAGTAAGTGATGCAACTGTGTTTTCAACCTCTGTCACATTTACTTTCATTTTCGCAATTTTGGTTCTTAAATTTCAGATCTAAATTTTAAATCTCAATTAACACACTATCCTAATTTGAATCAAATGCATACAAGTGTGGCTTTTTCCAAATTCTTGTATATTTATGCTCAAAATAGGGAATACCTTCTCTGGTATGACAAAAGTTCAATCAAACTGTTTCCCAAAATGAAAACCTTTAAAATTATGACTTTAAATTTACATTTTAAAAAATTGCCCTCACCTCTCTGCCCGGCTGCAGCGTGTCCTCCTAAGAACAGCACACAGGCCAGCACGGCAAACCTCAGCATGGTTCAGTCTATAGGACTCAGTCGCGGGGGGGCTCAGCACTCCAAGAAACCTGGTCCCAGAAAAACGTTTCCTCCCCTGCTTTTGGTTTTTATACCTTCCACCTCCTCCTCCTCCTCCTCCTCCTTCTTCCTGGTTGACATCTCCATCCTCTACAAACTTCAGGAAGTCCAAAAAGTAAAAACAGGAGTTTGGACAAAACATCGTGCCCCCTGAAATTTAGAGCATGCGTTTTAAACTTTAAGTTAGGTTAACCATGCAGGGCTTCAGATAAGAGTTTGTTTTACAAAATTTGCCAAATATGGTCTTTTTTTTTCCCTATGGGTGTTTGTTTTTAATGTATTCGGACCCTAAATTGATTGACTTGCTGTTTTTCCACAGAGTCAAAACCTGGGAATTGAAATCTGGTCAGAAAAAAATACATATATATCCAAATTCATGTAAAGAAATCAATTGTGTTTTCTGACTATATTTCAAACACGTCGACCTTTAGCCCTTCACTTTAGGATGATTTCAAAGTTCTCAGATACAAACATAAACAGAACAAAACGGTTTTGTGTTTGACCTGCTGTATCATTAAATAATATCAAATTCTGCATTTGATTCATTACTTTACAAACAATGAGAACAGCCTGACTAAAGATTCACAAAAGTACAGTGGTTCCTACATGGGAACATTTCCCTCCACAGCTCATAATTATAAATGTCTTTAATTCTACTCTGACTGTGAGAGTGAGTATATTCCTGTGTGTTTCTGTTTATGTGAGTGTGTGTCAGTAATGAGCTCAGCAGATGTTGAGATACATTCCTAGCAGTGAATGTTTTGGGGGTTTTCTGTACAAATCACCTTGATAAACTCTCACCAAGCTCTCCTCTGTTTTTTATGCTTTCTTGCCTACACGCTGCCTGGCCCAAAGGAGCGAGGACGTTTCACTCAAACAGCTGCCAGATATTGGTACTCCTAAGGTGACCAAACTTCTTCTTGTGTTTAGACTTCTCACAGCAACAAATGGTACTTTTTAAAAACATATTCTGTGTCGTAGAGCTGCTTTCAGTAGAGAACCAAACCTGTAGTTGGCTGACGGTTGAAAATCGTGGTTATCTGAAAACGATCAGGCCTATATATCTGCTTATTTCATCTCATGGACACCAAAACCAAACCTTCAGTTTTGTGTTTTCAGCTGCTGGGTTTAAACAGCAGGAAATGTGTGACTTTTGCCAACTGTTAGAGCAGTCATCAGCCTGTTTGGTTGATTGGTTTGTATTTTTACTTTTTCTGGGAGCACACAGCAGCAGACCTTTTTCCTTGTTACAGTGGTACAACGAGGAGCGCCAAGAGCCGAGCTCAGACTGTGATTGATCTGTGATCTTTTACTTTAGCTGTGTCTCCTATCTGTGTGTATCAATCTGTAGCTTTTATGTTTGAATCTCTAGATTATTATTATTATTATTAATGATATTAGGGGTGGGATAAAAAAAATGATTGAAGTATCGCAATATTTTGTTTTACAGTTTTTAAATTGATTTTTTTGTTCAAAAATCGATTTTCTTTTTTTCAAATTGAAGAATAAATCTTAAAAAGTGACTTACATGTGGTGTGAATTTTTTGGGGAAATATGGTTCCTGGAATAGTCAGTGGACAATCATAAGCATTCAACTGTTTCACTGGTGTTAAAAATTCAGAAAATCAAGAAAATCGACAAAATTGTAGAATCGCAATTTAAATCGAATCGGCATCCAAAAAAATTGTAGAAGAATCGAATCAGGAGAAAATCAAATCATCCCAGCCCTGATTATTATTATAAGTTCAAACTTTACCACTTTTAGTGAAACATGATGATACATCACTAAATGATGAACCATCAGATTTATTCTAGCGTCCGCCAAGAATGTTTACCTTCAGTCTCTTACAATGAGACTAAAATGATTAACTTCAGTCACCTCGTGGTTTTATTTCTGTCACTAAGATACCAGGAAAAAATACAGATGAATATGGGTTACTTTGAATGAGTCTGATCTGTTAAATACAGCAACAAACACTGCATACTGAAAACATGTAATGTCAAAGTGAGATACCTCCGCTTGGAAATCCTTAGCTTTTTTTCACAGCATGGCTGTAAAATCTGTGAAGAACCCAATGTTCAGCTGTGCATTACCATTTCCAGTAGTTATCAAACATTTGCAAAAGAAATCAAGTCTTTTTGTTAATTCAAGTCCTCACAGTGTTTGTTGTTTTCATCTACATTTTACTGACTTACAGGTCGTTCTCTCATGGGTGGTGTATGTATTTCACATCATAACTCAAAACTGAGAACAAAGTTACCAAAGGTGATGAAACAAACATCTGCATCCTGTACATATGGTCCCATCTTCAGAGATGGTTACTGACAGATCTTTTTACCTCCCTGATGTCCTCTGCCGCTGTGAGGAATGTCCAGGTCAAAGGTCGCGTGTAACAACCTCCTGCAAACTTCATTAGTGATGCTTTATGGCCTGTTCAACAAGAAAGTGTCAGCTTGGCAGGGGGCGTACAAGTTTCTCAGGACATGAACTGAGGTTGACCTCAGACCTCTCCTGTCGCCTCTGAACAGCCTCAGAGTTACATAAGAGAGTTTATGAAGACAGTCTATGAAGACCGGCTCCTGGTTTGGTTTTTACGTGACCTGTACGCTTGTATTTTAGAAATTAGTTTAAAAGTTTAACATAAGGACACTGTGTAAAACAGTCCTTACCTACAGAATCTGATGCTAACTTCATGATAGTGAAATAAACTCCAAAGAGAGAGAGTTATATTAGCAGATAGGAACATTATGTATTCTGTAGATACCAGCATATTGGGGCATCCTGTTCAGAAAATCATAAATCATAAAAATAGTCAAAAAGCCATCTTTTGTCAAGTTAAAGGGATATCCTGGAGTAAAATTGATTTAGGGTCAAACACACCATAACACCAAGTTAGACACCCCGTCGAGGGAGTAATGTTGCCGACCGCTTGCTTCTCTAGTTATACCAACTTTAGTAACGACCGCAGGATGGCAATACACAGCAGTCTGAGGAGTCATAAACAAACCTTAACTAAAACGCCACTCTATAGCCACAAATAATGTTCAGAACAGCACCTAACTTCATCAGCTAACCTAACCAGTCAATTACGGACTACCCCGCTGTAGTCCACAATGGACTGGCCCGTGGTCTCCCTACAAAAGAGCGGCTGCTGGAAGAGAGTAGGTGAGTTGTGTTTAGTCTCTTTGCTAGGGAATTAGGCAAAGCTAAAAAGATGTTTGGTGGCTAATACTATGGCTGGGACCCTATATGTACTGTTGATGAAGTTAGGTGCTGTTCTGAGCATTATTTGTGGCTGAAGAGTGGCGTTTTGGTTAAGGTTTGTTTATGGCTCCTCAGACAGCTGTGTATTGCTATCGTGCGGTTGTTACTAAAGTTGGTATAACTAGAGAAGCAAGCGGTCGGCAACATTAATCTCTCGACGGGGTGTCTAACTCTGTGTTACAGTTTGTTTCTCCCTACCTTAATTGTACACCGGAATATCCCTTTAATTTGCTTATTCTGTGACCCTGTTTTACCGTAGAGGTAGCCAAACACCACAAAGACACAATGTTTCTCATGGTTTTATTGAAAGACATGATGTTTTCTCCTCTCAGTGTAAAAAGCAGCAATATTCTTTCAAAATTGCTTTATCCACATTTGAATTTCTGATTGATGGTCGGCTAAATTTCAAAATACTTTCCAAGGCAAAATAAGGGTGAGTGGGAACACAACGACTGATGTGGAGCAGAGGTCATCCTGACACAAACATGGATCACCACACAGTGTTGAGCACAGCTGCAGATGTTCACAAACACATAAATAAATAGGTTCAAAATGTCCAGGTTGGGTTGAAGTGTGAAACATTTGCCATGGTATTTACAGAGTCTTTGTGCTATGTAAAATGCAGAAAGCACCATTTTTTTTTCTATTAAAAAAAGGTTTCATTCGGTAAAACATCAAACTACCCTTTTCCCTGGTAACGAATGGGAAGTCCCATCGAGTTGAGGCCGAGTCAGATACAGTTTTAATGTTGCAACACGGTGCCCTACTCTGCTTTCTTAGCCTTCCTCTTGCGAGTGCCTTCGCTCAGCTCCTCCTTGGTTTTCAGAGGTGAAGATGGGGCAGCGGCGGCAGCGTGATGGTCTTCCTCAGATCCACCAACAGGGGAGCCAAACAGAAAGTGGCAAATCCAGGACTCAATAAGAGCAAAGGGGGAGCCATGAGAATGGCGGGCAGTCATCACCACCTGAGGATGAAACAGGAGAAAGCTCTGGTCACCAAACCTCTAACTTCGAAATAATGAAATCCACATCTATTCAAAGTATCAAGCTTGAGCCATATCAGGAAAGCAACACTGCAGCAATGAAACTCTCCCCGCTGCAGCGCTGAACTCACCTTGCTTGTGGCCATGAAGAGGGTGAAGGCAAGGATGAGGACAGGTTTGGACACTGGCAGCCAGTGGGCCTCCTGCATGGTGAAGAGGATGGCTCCATACAGACTGGCTTTGGTCGGGCTGCAGAGAGAAACAACATTATTAATCTGATCAAAGTTTGAAAATCCTCACAGATCGAAGAAAAGAAAATACCTCAGTTTAACAAATCTTTCCCTCTTCTCTGGACAAATTGCATCTTAAAATGTCCTTTTTGCTTTTAAAGCTAATAATGAAAACTTTTGTAATGGTTAATTTCTGCAACCCCTGAGGGCAGTAGTATTGACTCTTTCCTGGACCAGTCCTGTGTAAAACTAAGTTGTCTTCTCTAAATACAAATCAAACTCTGCTTTGTTTTTACTTTTAAGAGTCACTCATTGTGAATCTTATCCATAAATCATGTAAACAAAGCACTTTAGACCCATGTGCCATTAAAAGCCTCATCTAACAGCAGCCTGGTGGTATCTGTAGCAGGTATGAAAACTCACTGGATGGAAAAACTGATTCTACACTGAAAAAAGTGACTTTTTGGTGCAGTAAACTCTATTAGAGTAACTATCATAATTTCTACCTTGTATTTTTAAGACTCAGTAAGAACTAGAATTTCTTAAGTAAAATTAAACATTTTTTAACGTAATACATGAAGTGTGGGGGAAGAGTATGTTTTACTTTGGTTTCTTTACACTATTTAAATGTTGAATAGTTGTATTTACATAAACCTACAAACACTACAAAAACTTTACTCTGAAAATGTCAAGCACAAGAAAAGAATTAATATCTACTGACTTACTTCATAACAGCAAATACTACAGAGATATAAAATGTACTTAAAATTTTGAGTAAAATGAGGTTCCTGCCCGTGAACCTCAAGTAGACTTTACTTAATTTGTTTAATTAAGTAAATGTTAGTTAATATCTTCACACAGTTATGTGTTATGGAAAGTAAAATTTACTTGATACTGGCAAGTAAGTGTTACTTGATAAAGCAGCATTACATTAACTTTAATCATTTGTGTGTAAATAGTTACAATATGTTTTTTAAGTAAATCTTATTTATTTTTTTCAGTGTACTGCCCACTGCTCTTATTTGCTTTGTAAGGTCGCACAAAAATTAAAACTATTTTCAGAGGCTTTTAAGGTTTGATTTTTCACTTAAATATTTTTACTTTAGCCTAATTGTTCCTTTTTATGCTGAAATTACCACAAATGGAAGTGATGGATTATTACCTGACATATCTGCTAAAGTGCCTTTTTTTAAATTGCCACTAGAGAGCGCCCTAGCCCTAATATTTTTTAAAGTAACTTCAACAAACCTCCTGTGTTGTAAAAAAGAAAAACCTCTTTTGTGCCTCATTTCAGTCACATTATTCCTTCAGGCTAGTTTCGTCTCTAAATGTTTCGTGGTGGAGCAGTCATGAGTGTGTTCTTCCATCAGCAGCAGGACACACAGACTTACAATGACATGTTGAGGATCTCATTGGTGTCGGGCCTCCACACACCACGCAGCAGCTGCTCAAAATTGGAAATAAGAGCCACCCCAGAGCCTGCAGGAATAAAAATAGACAGCGGAAGAAAAAAATGAGGACAAAAAAGTGTGTGTCTCCTCTTGTTGCTCTTATCCGGTCCAGATTTTTTCCTCTCATGCATGTCTGGAGGAAATCAGGAAATCAGGAGGCGGGTTTACACGACTATTCATTTGATTGTGTCTCTTTAACTTACACTTTTTAAACACATTTAACTTAAGAGATTACATCAAATTTCAAAAACTGAGCTGAAGAGACCCTGAATTTATTCCCAACATTTCAAAAAACTCTAATTGAAGTCAATGATTCTCAGCTTCACCATGAGGCCTGATGACTGTGAACACGTGTGCTGTCTCACTTTACCATGAATGACCAACACATGTGCACACTGGCATGAACATGTGTCATTCATCCGTGTGTAAATGTCTCCTCTGTGTAGTTTCCTGGGGGTGTCCCTCGCTGAATGCAGCTGTCCATTGAAAGAGCGGCTGCCAGAGCGGGCTGCACAGACTGCTGGCACAAGCGAGCAACACGCAACCAAACAACAAACCCTACAAGCTTCAACACTGGTCCAACAAATACAACTTCTACAATTACATGAAACAGTGATGCAAACCTTTGACATATCCCACGATGACCATGATGAAGAAGCCGTGGTGGTAAGCATGGTGGGCATGGTGAACACCTGCGGCGATCTTACGAGTGCGGACGACTTCCTTCAAAGCGACCAACACCAGCTTGATAGGCAGGAGAGCCACACACTTATAGAAGAGGTTCAGAGGGCAGTAAAAGATGAGGTACCTGAGTTTACAAGGAACAGACATAGAGAGAAAAAGGGGAATAAAATTGATATTTTAAGAGGGTGTGGAAAAGAAGGCCTAAATTCTTCGAACTGACTGCGACATGGTTCCTCAACAGATCATTTTTTCAACTACGTGAAGATCGTGATTTGTGGGGAACATACTTTGAAATCAGACTGAACTGATCCTTTAAAAGTTGTTCTTCTTTAAGACAGGAGATAATAAACAAGCCACTGTGTCCTCTGGGCATGATGGCCGGTCTTAAAGCTCCTTAAAGGACTTGAAAACTAGCTTAAATTCACATTGATGCCATTTTTATGATCAATATATTGATAAATGATATGCTTATGAAAAACAAACAAGACTATCATCCACATAATGTAAATTTTTATATTATAACTTTAGTGCCAAGAGCCTGTGCGAGAATGTAGGTGTCATTCAAGTGATTCAAGAAACAGCTGTTTTTACATTTTACACCTAAAATATTCACAATAATTGACAATCAAAAGTCAGATTAATTAGTTTTTTGTCAAATTAACACAAACTGAAAGTCTCTCAAAAGAGCTTTGAATAGAAGTCACATGAATCTCATTGTGTTTTTTAGACATCTATATAACAGTGGGTAAAAAAAAGTATCACTTAAAGATAATTTTCAAGTTTGAGTGAACTTTTTTTCACGGGGGGTTTTCTCACCATACAGCTGAGGCCAGCAGGATGTGACTGTTGTGTTGGAAATAGTCGATGGGGCTGCTTCCAAGCATGATGTCTGCTAGGATGTAACTACCAAAACAGTAAAGCATGGCACAGAGCCAGGAGGCCACCGGACTCCTGCGAGAAACCTCCACTGAACCTGCAACACAGAAAAGGGGGAGTCGTGAGGGACAGAAAAGCTGAAGGGTATTAACAACATACATGGACGCCATTGTCCTCTGAGATCAGCTCAAAGTCTGTTTTTACCTCTAACTGGTAAGCTCAAGGTTATGAGCAGTAGAAATTCAGGATTTGACAAGCATTAAAACTCATCTCTGCTTGTTTAATTTCAGTTTTAGAAAAATCCTTTAAGACATTCTGGTCAGATATCAAGATTAAACAACATAACCCATTCACTATGGTCAGACACCAGCAGTGTTTAAGTGTCAATCCACTCCCACTGGTTAGGAAGTTGATAAAGGCTAATATTAACACTTGGCAGCTGTGCTCTGAAAACAACAAAATGGCAAGATACTTAACACACTAGATTAGATTAGTATGTTAAGTATCTTGTTTCTTTTAGGAAGGTTCCCTCAAAGAAATTAAAATTCCAGCAGCATCAGCATGTACAGAAAAAAGCTTATGAGTAATCTAACATGTCTTTCTGTGAGATACAGCCCAATTTCCCTCTTTATTTTCATTGTTAGTCTTTTCATTTGCTCATTTATCAAGGATGTGAACAAAATATAAATACTGACAAACACTCGACTACTTTCAGACTTTCAGCCTGTGATACTGTTGTACAATATTAAGAGTGAGTCTTTTTCAGAGATATAAACTCGGTAAATATATGTTTGGTTTTCAGCAAACATCAGCCGTCAAGTTGCATCAAAACCAGCCTGGAAATGTTTGAAGAAGAAATACACACTATCATCACACAATGACTATTCACAGAGAGCAAAGGATCTGAGAAGCTTGTCATTTCAAGCCTTGATTCCTCCTGGCTGTAGCACCAAAAAGATATCAACACATGCCTCTGAGTTGTTTTGGAATAATTATAAAGCGCTTATCTTTTCATTTAAAATTTAATTAGAGTTAAATGGATTGAGTTGTTTGATTAGATTCATTTGAGAATGTTGTGTGGTAAAACTCTCACTCCTCTCATAATGTTGCTCTATCATAATGTCATAATTAGCCCTCTTTGGAAAGCTTTGAGCTATCCTCTCTCACAAAATTTGGTTCGAAAGAATAACTTAACTTGGGTTTGTCCGAGGCCAAACTGTTAGTGGTGACCTTAAAAAGCCCCTATCAGGGGGTCCCTTATGTGTCCATGTGCTGTATCTTAGTCCCACGCCCAGTAAACCCTTTCAGTTCACGCCCTGATAATCTGTGTATTTATCATGAACTAATATTGTCTCAAGGCTCCTTCACCGATGTATGAGCTGACAGTTTACAGACTCAACAAATGATTCATTGAATCATAAGCACAGTGTGATTTCAATGTTGCAGGAGCATATTTGTATCCAGATATCAAGAACAAATATGTCGATGGAAAATACTATTTAAGATTTTGAGAGTCAAAGACCGAGGAATAAATTAACCTTTTTACTCACTAAATCAGTTCTTTACCTTCATCTTGATCCCTTTAACAATAATTACCAGTCTCTTGTATTTCAATTTCTACTCTGTGTAAAATCCTGGATAGAGGGATCACATCTGTATCTAACTGTGTGACTCTGCTGAGAGCAAATATTAAGGATTAAATATTATTCAGTGAGATATTACAACCATCATTTTGTTTTGATAACTTGTTGTTTATACTGACTTTAAATAAGCACTGCTGGTTTTCATTAACTTAAATCCACCCCTCCGGCTACAGAGAGAGCAAGCTGTCTGTCATGTTGCTTTTCCACATTTCTACAGTAGCCCAGAAAGGACAAACTTTCAAAATTCTCCCACACATGAAGTGGGAGTGGCTGACTTTAAGAGCATGGCTGTCCGTTGGTTACAATCTCACAGTTTGTTGCCACAAAATCCTGAACACTGGACCTAACTTTTTCTGCTAGAACAAACAAAACAAAGGGACAAGAAACAAGCTGACTGTTCGCCATCTGACGCATTAAAAAACCTCACAGATTAGGAAACCAGCTAGTAAGCTTACACATGACATTTCTAACTGGGATGGGCAGAACTCAAGACAATGCATGTACCAAATTAAAGGTTTAAATAGACGTCTCACATTTTCCTCCTGCAAACAATCATTTCGATGATGTTGTATGAAATTAGTGAAACACATGATCACAGAAGAACATAAATGCTCTGTTTCAATGTGCAAATGATAGAGTATAAAGGTATTTAAGTGTTTATGAGGGTGAGATTGTACAGTCTCCAAGTACTGTTGGAGACGTTGAGTAAACTGACACTTGAACAGAACACGGCTGCTTCACGGCACAAATCTCCAACAACAGGTGGAGGAGGGTGTCATGGTGACTGGTGCTCGGATTGTGAGCAATATGACACTGAGAAATGTCGCCCTATAAATATATTCTGCCCAACTGCTTCTCCCGCCCGTACACTGTAAGAACTACCTTAACCTTTAACCCTAACACTTGTCCCTCCTTCCCCGCCCATGTCGACCCCTAAGATCTCATTCATGCTCTCCTCTAACATGGACTGTGAACATGGACTCTCCACTCAGCCACAAATAGGGGCGGTGAATGATAAATGATCTTGCAAATGTTGGCAGGCAAAGACATTTGACTGTAAAATTTCCTCAGATATGATGTCAGAGAAATGCTTATGGTCACGAGGTCATCGTTTGTAGCCACATGCTACTCTTAGCCTTAGGTAAGGTAACGCACTAAAGCAAACATGCACTATGATGTGTACTTAACAACCAGCTTGGTTAGTGTTTCTTTGCCTCTTTATTCCTCCTTGTTTGATACAAAGTAAAGACATTCATTCAGTTTCAAATCCTTTTACACCTTAAACCTCCTGAACAGCTGATAATACACCTTATATACAACTTTATCCATGTGCTCACTTAACTCAGCAAGGCACAATAGCTGTGACTGTCAAAGAACCATTTAGCGGATGCAGCTCTGACAGGTGGAGGTTTGTTTAATGATGGCTCAAACTGGATACAGCAGAGCAAGATCTCTCATCTGTTTTTTTAAAGAGTGTGAGGTTGGCTAGCAAAAGCTTCAAGTCAGCCAAACACCTCGGATAACAAAAACAAGGTAACAGAGTTTTACACACAGTTCCTTGATTCTCCGGCATAAAATACATACAATACCAGATCTATACTTAAATATTCACTATCATACATGGGCAGCAAAAGTTGACCGGGCTTACTTTAGAAACTTAACCTGACAAAGTTTGGACTGAGACTGTGGTGTGCTAACTTTACAGTGCTGAATTATATATAAGTAAAAAGCTTGCGACAGAACCTGAGCCACACACTTTTTTTATCATAACATCATCCTGAAAACAACTCAATCTCCAGCTGTTTGGTCTAAGTTTAAGGATGTCCTCAAGCAGAGATAGTGGTGGGCTATGGAAGGCCCGTGAATATTGGTTAGGCTTGAGATTAAAATATTAGATTTGGTACAATTCCTCCAGAACCACAGAACTCCATAGCAATTGTGAACATACTTTTGAGTCATTAGAGTTTCATTTTGAGGGCATGGTACAAATTTGATGATATGAATGAATTGTTTTCAACCACACAAATTTAATCTCCATTTAAACCTTTATTTGTTTGTCAAAGCTGAAACAAGTCCACTTAAGCGCAGTTTAACCCCAAACTGATGGGAATAGACGCCTTGTACACTTTTATAATAGTGTGTTATGAGGTTTAGATACGTCTGGTTCTTCTACCAGCTTCACTGAAGGTTCAACTGACACCACAACTACAGGGTGAACTTCTCTTGAAGGTGGACTTCTTTTAAGAGGTACAAACACCAAGGAACATTAAGGTCATCCTGAACTGCTTTATACATGTTAAACATTCAATGTACATATCAGGCACCCACCAGAGCAGGCTATAAGTGTGCAGCAGAAGGGCTTCAAAGGCCCACTGACACTGTCTATTTCAGGATCTTCTATTTATTGCCTAAGTCACTGGTATGCACAGGCTTTCTCTCAAGTTTCAGCCTCCTCAAGCTCTGTTGCTCAAAGGAGTCAGATCTTGGAAAAATCAGGCTTTACCCAAAGCTGAGTGGTTTAATCCGGTTCAGTGATTTCCTCGGTGTAAATGAGGTCAGACTGCTGCAACTACAAAGATTCCCCTCACAACCAAGCAAGCAAGTAAGCTGGAGCTGCAAGTGCTCCAGCTTCATTTATGTAACAGGTCAGGCTTTATAAGGATAAAGATAACAGCAACAGAAAGTCCCTATAGGGATGTAAGACCACTGTAAAACAGAGGAGCAACTTCCTGTGGCAGGCAGCTTTGCTTTCTTGAGACATTTCAAAAGATACTTTCGACATAGTTAGTGGCTTAAGTTCTGCCTTCCGATGTTTCATATGTCTTGATATGTGTCAACCTCCCAAAACAACACACATTACACCTTATCACATCTGTCAGGCATATACCCTTACTCACTCCAAGCAAACTCAAAAGTGTGAAGTGCACTGACCTGGCTCATACTTGAGGTAGAGGATGGACACGATGTAATACGCCAGATCAAACACAGGAAACATTCCCATTTTAGAGAAAATTTGGGCAAATTCGCCCAAATTCAGAACCTGCAGCACGTCCATGTTGCCTCTCTGGTAAACAGCAAATCCTTGTTTTTATCCCAACTGCGCAGTTTGGATACAAAAGCCCCCCCAGCCCGGTCCACCGACTCTCCACCAAAGCCCCCCGGTCTCGACAGTGAAAGCCTGTGTGACTCTCAAGCTCTCCTATTAATACCACTCATCTCCACAGCCTCAGCATCATCATCATCATCATCATCCTCATCTGCGCTCCGGGCCAGCTGCTCCGCGACAGGGGGTTTAGCGTGTCAGCTGCTGGATCTATCAAAACAAAAGAGCTCGTCCTCCCGTGCTCTACATAGATGTCACCATTATTAAACAAGGCGGTGTGAGAGGTTGGATTGCGGTCTATCAACGCGACAAAGCCTCAGATGCATGCTCAATAGGGGGAAATATCCCATTATCCTCAAATGAGTAAACATCAACAACGATCGGATCGGACGCTGCACCGAGGCTGCCTTACGGTCCGATCATCGACTTTAATCCCCTAAAAAAACACCAGCTGACATTATAGAGACATCACTGGTTGTTTACATTCGTTTATATTCACAGAAATGTTGTCAAGTTATAATAATCCAGCACGAATTAAAAGCAGCCTTCAACACATATTTTTGTACGATTCAAATTTTAGGTATTTGTATTTTTTGATTATTTGCCTCTTGTTATTTACAACAAAAATCAGATTAACTATCACAGTCACCGCTAAGGGGCGCCAGAGCTCCAAAAACTGAAAGTCATAATGTCAATTTTCAGGAACAAAGAGAAATTATGCCTTTGTTATCGTCAGTGGTTGTGATTTTTTTAAAATATCTCTTCATGATCCTAAACCATTATTTTTTGACTTTTCTCTTAGAGAGATCATTTTTCCAAATAAGAACTTCCATACCAAAAGAATTAAATTAAAAGCAGTTTACCTGAGGTGTTTGTTTTTCTTGTTAAAACTTCTTTATTCAATATGATTTTTTTTCTTGACTTGTTAATTCATTCAACTTTGAGTAGCTTTGAGTAAAAAATACTATTGGCTTGTCGTGAGAATACAGACAATAGCCTGTTAGGTACATATTTTGTACCAACAGATATAATTAATCAATAAAATCAATAAAGGAATCACTTAATGAACAGTTATATAGCCTACACCAGTGTTGGGCTATATACACTAGTGTGGAAAAAAAAAACTACCTGAGAAATTATCCAATTTCACTGTATAGGTCTATTTTTTTGTTGTTGTTTTTATAACTCATTATCTGCAAATAATGTGCAATTCTAAAGTGTCTGTGCTGTAATCTACAGCCCCAAGTTTCACACATGGTGAGTATGAATAAACCGAGAGACTATATTATTGTTATATAAACTGTATTTGGGGCTACCAAGAGTCATTTAGTATAATTTTGGTTGGTGGTGTTTTTTTAATGAAAAAATGTACCATGGCTCAAAAAAGGTTGAAAAACACTGGCCTACACAAGCCTGTATAGCCTAAACGAATTTCATTTAATGAATTAAATTAGGAAAAATACCGTATTCGTCCAGAAAGGAAAGTTCATGATTTCAAAAATGAATGGAAATCATCAATTATAAAATGATATTTGGTGTAAAATGTTGCTTGGATATCATTATTTACGACTGTATCGCAGTGATTAGTCATAAACGCATTAAAACACCTGCAGTCTCTTCAGCAGTTCACAGGTGGCGCTAATAACTCGGGTACTGCTCAACGTGGTATTTATAAAGCCTAATTTTAGTCTGTAAGGAATAACTAGTTTACAGTAGAACCCACCTGATTCTCCCCAACAATGTCTCGTACTATGACGAGTGCCAAACATTGCTGTCAAGCGTAAATTTGAATAAAAATTCCCTCGGTGGGAGCATGGGAGGCAGAAAAACTGGCATGCTTAGCCTGACAGGCAAAAATTTGGGCAAAAAGATACACGAATGCTATTGGTCACATTCCTGATGCGTAGACGAACACGGAAGTAAGGCGTCTCTAATGTGATGTGAAAATGATCGGAGATCTGTTGATATTCGGGTAATTTGCCTGGTTTGTGTCATGAATTTCTGAAAAGTGCATGTTTAGCTCAACGAAATGTCGTGTTGTGTGTTTTGGGAACAAGGTTTTTGGTGTAACAGCGGGTTTAATAAGAAGCTAGCCTTGTGCTAGTGCCAGCTCACCAGCTAACAGTAACTCTGAAGGTAGATCTTTGACACTTTAACCTGTTTACAGTTTGTATTTCTGTGTGTTTTTAGGACCTTACTGGTGAATGCAGGAGCTGTGCTGAATTTCAAGATGTGAGTATTTATGTTACAGTGTTTGTGGATAAAAAACGAGCATGATAAAATGAGTAAAATGGTGATTACCATGAGTTTGTTTTGCAGCAAAAGGAAGGAGTCTCAGGGATTTGGAGATGAGTCCAGAGCTCCGACAACAGGTGAGTGCGTGTCAGGATCAGGAAGGAAGTGTACTGTCCACAAATGATTCTTAAAACGTTCCTACATTGATTTTTTTCTGTCATTCAGGAGACAACATCAGAGAGTTTCTCCTCAGCCTGCGATACTTCCGGATCTTCATTGCTTTATGGAACATCTTCATGATGTTTTGCATGATCGTGTAAGTCATTCACTTCACACTCATGTGTTGGGCATGCTGCAATATCCTAAGAAACCTTTAATTTATTCTGCAGCTGTATATTTTGGTGGTTTCTGCCAGATTCTGTTACTTTTCTCCCCTTTAAATTAGACATTTTTTATGTTTTACTGTCACAAATCCTTTTCCAAAGAAGACAGTAGCCTCCCAGTGTTGAGTATTAAAGCTTTGCGTCAGACAGGTGTATCATTCATTTGTACTGTTTACGATCATCCTTGACCAGTTTCTGTGTTTTTACCCACCCCTTTTTATGACTTTTCTCCCAGATCCATCCTTCAACATGGTTTTTAGCCTGTTTCTGAAAATATTTCCTTAACGAAAATGCTCTTTTTCTCTATATGTGCAGTTTTTGCTTAATACAGGGTTCCGACACAGTTGTCAGTCATCATTTTTGGAAATACCTACTCCTTTTTTATTTTAGAAAACAGTATTTTAGAACTGTGGTAATAGTTTTGAAACATCAATATTTTTCCATCCTTAATTTTCCATTTTCTGTACTTTTTAAGACCTGAAAATGGATCAAATTTATTTCCATACTTGCGTAGGTTCCCTGTTAATAAAATAAATTGCTCTGCTGTACCAAGAGTGTACTCAGGCATCTTGTGACACAAGCTTTGTAGTTTTTATTCATTTTTTAAAATGTCTGTCCTTAGTGGGAACCAAAAAGTTCAGGATTAAATCCCACAGATGGTGATTCAGAGTATCAAGGGATAAACTACTGCTCTGTTGGTTTTAGTCATATTATGTGATTTATTAGCAAATACACTACATTCTGCCTAATTCTGAAGGGACTAATCTATCAGAGTTAAAACATCTGTGGCAGTGCTAAGAAATGAGCTTACTCTTTTGAGTGTTTACTAATATTTTCGAGTCCAAGCAACACTTTAAAATACTTGTGGTGGGTTTTTCTTTTGGAGTTAAATTCCCCTTGTGTGTTGAATGACACATCAATCAATGTTTAAATCACTTTTAAATTAATCAGCAGGTCTTTTTGTAAATGAATGTCAAATAAACCAAACCAGGCTTAAGTTTCCTGATGCTGAATAATAGAATTTAACAAGATAATAGTGTATCTAATATTTGGAAAGGCATAAAACAGGCCTCTCTTGGGTGGTAAAGCCTTTTGGGATCAAAAAAATGTAAATATACTTTACAGAGTCAGATTAGTTATTTATAATTGGATTTTTTTTCACTTGTGCTTCAGTTCTGGTTTTATCCATACTGCTTCCAGATTGTTTCTTGTATTCCAAAAGTTCTTAAAATTGCTGTTAATTTGTTATTCTCTAGTTGACTGAATGTCTTGAATTTTTACAGGTTATTTGGATCATGATCAGCATTCATCAGCCGAAGAACCTCTGTCAGATTGCTGAAGACATGGATGCTAAAATGTTCCTGTTAATTTGTTCGTTTCCCAGACAAGTTGTTATTTTTTAATCTTTAATGTTGTACCATCTGTAACTATACCAGAACCCTTGCCTCTGTGTGTGTGTATGCTTTCTTATGTGTTTAGAGTCCCACTCAAATGTTCCTTGCGGTCATTCTTGCACAACACTCACTTTACACAGCTGCCAGAGTCCAGCTGGATTAAAAAACAGGTCACAGTGTCTGTTGTCACGAATGAACTCTGCATCTATCTGTATAAAGAGACAAAATATTTCAAGGTTCACCAGTCATCTCGTCTGCTATGCATTGTCAACATAAATCACTTTGACACACCCTCTTAGATATAAACAAATGTCATGATCCTTGACACTGGGCATATGTGCTAAAACATGTATACACTTATTTATATGTGTCCTTGTACTTAACATTAAAAACACAGTTTTCTTATCCATGTGTCTGTTCATTGATTGTTCATTCGTAATAAATATAAATGTCAATGTTCAGGCTGTGATGACTGCATAAAATTGTTTCTCTAATACAAAATACAAATTGTTTATATTGTGTATATTTACTTATGATCATTTTAACACAGGGTTAAATATAAGATACTATGTGTGATCCTAGGACTGAAACAGTTATAGGTTATGGAGAGAATAAAGAGCAGGGACCACCTGAACAGGTGTCAAGTTTCCATGTAAAGGCTGGGAACATTGTGTCAGAGAGAGAAAACGGATCATGAGACAAGTTGGGGTCAAGTGATCAAAGGGTTATAGGAGGTTATCTCTCTTTTCTTGAACTGATTGATGTATGCCTGTGTTGGCTTTTAACTGTTTTTCCAGGATCAAACAATTTATCATTCCTTTATAAGATTTCACCCTCACAACAGAAAAAAGGTGATATTGTAGGAAAAAAACAAGATACATTTATATTACATGAATTATAAGACACAAAAATAAACAGAAGTGGGGTTGTCTGGATCCTTAATAGAAAGGGGTTGTTATTTGATTGTGTGTGATTTTGATTAGCTTTTAATTACTAGCCTATAGCCAATCAGCATCTGTATTATAAGTTAAATTAGTCCAAAAACACCTAAATGTTAATGGGCTCTGGAAAGGTCATAATAAACCGTGCGAATTGTGTCAAACAAATCCCTGAACAACATTAAAATCTTCACAATACAGACATACACTGTCTGTAAATACGGACCACACTGACGCGCATCCACAGACGTGTTGACGTAGATCCTCCCATCAGACACCGCGCGACTGCCTCACAAAAAGCCCAATGAGAGGATCGGGGAAGAGAAGGCTACCAGCGGAGGGGGGTAGCCGGCTACCTGGGAGGGTTTTGTGTCATTTTTCGCCTTGACTTCAAAACTTAACCGCGACGATCCACCAAAAATACACAAAGCATCCAAAACATGATGCTAAAGCGAACCGGAGGGCGTCCACTGGGCCTGTGAGTGTCGGTGTGTTGTTAAACCGCCGCCTCTCCGGGGGCTTCTGCTGTCTGAGTCCGTCCTGACCCGCGACTCCGCCGGGCGATGACAGCGGCTACAGCCACCCCACAGGTGATGAGAGACCGGCTGCTGCAGGCCATCGACGGCCAGAGCAATGTGAGTATACCCGCTAGTTTCCAAAAGAAAGAAGTGCTCGCAGAAAAAGCAGACAGCAATGGACACAAAGGGTCGACGAAGCGGAGGTTGTGTGTGTGTGTTTACAGTGAGGTATTATTTGTCTGCTAATTAGTCAACCAAAATCTCCACTCAGCAAAAGTAACAGTTTTAAAAGCCTGGCTGACTGACTGCTTATGGCTTATTTTTGTGCATTCACATTCTCACATTCAAAGTGTTGTAAGACAGAAAACATGCTGATCTGATTTAACAGTGAGAGTTGAGGTGCAGATAAATGTGTCTCAGTGACTGTGATATTTCAAGGGTCTTCAGTGAGTCCCAATTATTCATCATCTCTATATGCAAATGAGCTTCTTGCATTTTTTAAAATCTCTGAAACAGTAAAAAAAAAAAGCAGAACTTAACCTACAGGCGGTTTGAATACACATCTTTGCAGAATAATGACCCCTTCCTCATGTATTACCAGTTTCTGAAAACCACTGAGGGTTTAAGTGTAATTCCAATTTGTAGTAAGTGAAGGGATAACACTGGTTTGCTGTAATTCAAAGGTGTTGGGAGCTATTAAGCTTTTTGTTTTCATGCAAGTCTGACCCGGTTTGAGTTTGGGAAGAATTATAGATTTGCATGTAGTTTCAGTTTTGTCAAAGTGAACCTGAAACCAGCATGGGTACACGACCTCCTCACATACAGGTGCACATTTGAGAGTTTTACAAAACTGTACCTTCATCATCAAACCGCCTTGATTTTTTCTCTATTTAGTTTTTGCACAGATGCCCAGGACTGTAACATATCAATCTGTGTCTTTTCAGCAGGTATGCAACATGGTGGTGGTTATGGAGGTCATCTCCTTTTTGGAAAAATATCCTATCACCAAAGAGGCCCTGGAGGTAGGTCACATTTACATGCATTTAATGGGAGTTTTAGATTAAAGGGATTTAAATCCAATCAAGTATAAGCCTCTGTTTAACACCAATCTTATCTCAAAGGAAACCCGTCTTGGAAAGCTCATCAATGATGTCCGAAAGAAAACCAAGAATGAGGACCTGGCTAGAAGGGCCAAGAAGCTATTGCGAAACTGGCAGAAGCTTATTGAACCAGGGAAGGGTGAAGTGTTGTCCAAAGGACACACCGTTGCATTGTGGTCTTCCAATGGTTGTATCTCTTCTTCATCTGTCACCACACCATCAGGTAAAATTGGCCAAGAACTTAAGAACAGAAATGACTTTAACAACTGCTCAGCCCCCAAGACGGAAAAACTTAGTCACAAGAAACAAAAGGGGGATCGGATGGGAGCACAGCTCTTGCCGGCGAAGATACCGAAAACAACTCTGAATGATCAAATTCAAAACTCTAAACAGCTGCTGACCAATGGGATTGGCAGTAGCTCTGAAATGTTTACAGATGTGCATGCACATCAGTCTTTAGATAGGGAAGTTTCTGAGCCTTTGGACAACAGGCTAAGTAAAAACAGAGTCACTGCTGCAATACCTCATTCAAGTGCCCCAGGATTTAGCAAACCTCCAAGCACCTCTATGCTAAGAGCCTCTGTTCGGCAGCAGCAGGCCATACAAGAGCAGTCTGTCTCTAGGGGGCAGTATCAACCAAGAAGTCCACATGGTTCGATGCGCTTTCCTCAAACTCCAAAGCAGGAGGCTGGTTTCAAACAAAGCACATCACAAGCACAGAGGCCTGCGTCTGTGGACACCTCTGTGTCAGGGTCTTCCACTCAGCCTTTAAATGGTTATGATCAGGGTTCATGGTCTGCAGATTTGAAGAGCAGACCTCCCTGCACACCTCTTCTCAACTCATACCCTTCTTCCTTTAGTGATGGAGTTGGTTTTGAGGATAATAGTGCCGTCAGCAATACAGAGGAAAAGACAGAACAGAAATACAAGCCTAAGGACTGTGTTGTAAAGTCAGATGGACATGCTTTTGAAGATAGCACCAAACCAGTGAGACTAAAAGACAGAAGGCTAACTTTTAACCCTGTGACAGGACAGATTAAGCCCTCTTTTCTTAAAGAGCCTTGCCAGAAGGAAATCCACAAACCTGAATCCCACCTGTCTGAGCCATCAAACACAAAACACACTCTACCCGTTCTTCCCAGTCCCTTCCAGCAGACAGACTGGAAAGAGCTGTCAAGAAGCGAAATCATCCAGTCATACCTTAGCCAGCAAAGCAACGTGCTGACATCATCAGGCACACACTCACCTGGTGCACAATTTTTCATGACGGAGTACTTAAAGAAGGAAGAGCACAAAAGTAAAATTGCCAAAAAGACACACACACTTGCACTAGAACTCCCAGTCAGAGAAATACCAGGGGTCAGCAGAGCAGTCGTTGATGAAGACCTGGACAGATTACACACACAACACTGGTCTGGGGTTAATGGTTGTTATGACACAAAGGGCATTTGGTATGACTGGACAGAGTGCATTCCTTTAGACCCACACGGAGATAAGAACATGTTAAATATTCTGCCATATGTCTGCCTGGATTAAGAATGAGGTCAAGATCCTCACTTGGAAGTTGTAAACGTCCTCATGGATGAAATTTTAATGCATTTAATTTGAGGTATTTTGCACCTTTGGGGGTCTATGTGCTGCTGGCAAGAATGTGTGACATGCACAGGGAGTAATTGGTCTTCTTGATGAGTTTTGAAGCAATGTGTCAGCACAAGACACAAAAAGGGCTATACATTATCTGGCGGCCATTTACTTTTGTGTTAAGTTACTGTACAGATTGAGTTTCCAAAACAGCAGTCCTTCCTGTGGTAGAAGAATTAACACATGACTGCACAGCTACATTTATTAATCTGTTTTTTCATGTGAATGTGACTTTTCTGCATCCACTCCTATTAAACTGACATTGTAGTGTGTTTTAATTTAAAATATGATTAGATACACAACTTAAGACACTGAATCAGCTTAATCACATTTTAGTGGAGGGTCTTGACTACAATACTGTAGCAAAATCAAATTTAGACCTTTACAAATGAGGTTTCTGTTGATATTTTTCAGCTGCTGTGAGAGGCTGGTATTATCCCAACCATCTGTATTAACAGCTGTCAAGTGTTGGGGGTCATGAAGTCTTTCTGTCAAGGTACTGTGCACCAGCAGTTTCAGTGATGCACAACTGTCTCATGTAGCTCAAAGAGTTAATGACAAATCTGTTTTTAAAATTTACATATTTTCTTTTTGTTGTGAGATTTGAAAGCTGTTAAACTGAGGGATATGAAACCGCCAGATGTGACTGTGGTGTGGTGAAAGAGAGGCTTGTATTAGGCAAGAACACTTGACACTGATGAAAAACTGTGGCTGTTATGTAACATATTTATTTACATTAACGTTTTCACTTTAGCTTGAAGTTTATATCCATGTTTTTGGACGATATCAAGTCATTTCTTGTTGGACTTCTTTGTTCTGGGTTGGTTTGGTGATGCAGCAGCTACTTTGCTGCACATACTGTACACTGACTGGCTTGAAACAGGAGGTACGAACACTTTCTGATAATGTGAATTAATTTTATTTTGTAATTCCTTTCCCTTTACAATGTATTTAGGTTGTAAATCTGAATTGAAGTGGCAGTGTTGCTAACTTGCATCTTTGTACAATAAGAATGAGCCAGGATTGAATCCTCATGCTGGAAAAAGTACTTAATCATTCCTTTAGGTCTTGTTTGCCTTATGATAATGGTAACTTGTGTTTTTTCCTTAAGACAGAGCCTTAGTGAATGTACAGAAATGATCCTTTTGTGCTCAGCTGAAAGCAGGAAAGAACATATTGGCTACTTTGAGTGGATGTGTTGATATGTGTTAATAAAAAAAGAAGGAATTGCAGTTTTTTTTTCTCTCTGAGATTTTCATGACATAAAACTACATCTCCCCACTCTTAATCGTGTCATAATAAATGTAAAATCTTTGTGATTTGGGAGTTTTGCCAGACTTATACAGCTGGATGAGATGTCAGACTAAGTAAATAAAAGCATGTAGTCCAACCAGCTGTTAACATCTTCCACAGCAAACATCCTCCTCAAGAAGGATACACCTGACTGTTAAAGGCAAAATGATCATTTTTGTTTGCATGAAAACACTACTTGTGCACAATGTTTTAGACAGGAGCAGCAAAGAGTTATAAAATAGAGCTTTGTTTACTGGGGGTTGCTAAATTCAACACAAACCAAAGTTTCCCACACAACAGTCAGATATACTTACAGATTTATCAGCAGCTTTCTAACCTTTTATGAAATTTCCTAAGTTTCTTTTCAGGTGTCAGGGCATTAACAATAAAGTAAACTGGACCAAAAGTCTGTTTTGGCTTACTCTCACCCAGGTATCAGTCAATCATAAGCCTGTTTGAAGGTTCAAATTCTTTAGTTCGACGCTATTAGATTGCTTGCTACTTTTATTTTGAAAGGCTTCACCGGATGTCGTGTCCCTTCTTCTTCGCTGGTGCTCCGACGGTCGGAGCGGAGTGTCCCTCCCCCCCTCCCCCGTATGCAGGCAGCAGTAGCAGACAGACACGCCACCACCGGTGACTCGTCACTCCGCGCTGGAAGATGGCTGCGGCGGACCGGCCCCCGGTCAGGGAAGGGATCCGGATTTTTCTTCTCTGTGTGTGTTGGTACACTGTGAGCTCAGGGGGCAACATCGTCAACAAAGTGATCCTGAATGGATTCCCGTACCCCGTCACGGTCTCGCTGTTCCATATCATCTCCATCGTCCTCTTCCTCCCGCCGCTGTTGCGGGCATGGGGTGTCCCCAAAACAGACCTGCCGAGCCGGTACTACCGCTGGTACATCCTGCCTTTAGCTTTCGGGAAATACTTCGCATCTGTGTCGGCTCACTTCAGCATATGGAAAGTACCGGTTTCATATGCGCACACTGGTGAGTATGTTTCCTGCGTGTGTGTTAATGTGAGGTCACCTGGACCGTGTCCGTGGGGAAACCTGATCATGATGAGTCTGGACCGTCAGCTGATGTTAGCTTCGCGGCTAACGCTGCTGGACTCTCCTCTCTAAACCGACGATTTACTGTCCTGTTGCCTCTGTTTTCGTCTTATATTCGGCGAGTTGGGAACAGACAGGCTTTCATGAGATAAATAAACTTACACCTTCTCATTTAACTCCAAACAGGACAGCTTTAGGCTCTCTTTAGGAATATTTAAGTGGCACTGTTAGCTAGCTAGCCAACTTAATTAACACTGACATACTACGGCAGGGGGGAGGGTCCAATTCTAAATCCGCTCTGTTTCAGTGCTCTTCTCTAACTTTTCACCAAAAATGATCGACAAATTACCTCTATAACTGAATTTTTACCAGGAGTGGAATAAGGGCTAACATTTTCTATTTCTTCAAAGTGTGGTTACTTGATGACTACTAATCAAGTACTCTATTTGAGATCCACTTGAAGATCTGAGTACATACTTCAAGAGATATTAAGGCGTAAAATTAATTTAGGGTCAAACACACCGTAACACCGAGTTAGACATCCCCTCGAGAGATGAATGTTGTAGACCGCTTGCTTCTCCAGTTATACCAACTTTAGTAGGGACCGCAGGATAGCAATACAGAGAGCCACGCGCTCAACCAAAACGCCACTCTATAGCCACAAATAATGCTCAGAACAGCACCTAACTTCATCAACAGAACATATAGTACCGCTGCTTGTTTGTAGCTAGACCTCAGGCCAGTCCATCACCGCAGCGGGGTGACGCAGCTCAAGGAAGAACATTTAAAATTGAAATTAGGCAAAGTCCAAAAGATTTTGATGAGTGCTGTGGCTGGGACCCTATATGTACTGTTGATGAAGTTAATGCTGTTCTGAGCATAATTTGTGGTTATAGAGGGGCATTTTGGTTGAGGTTTGTTTATGGCTCCTCAGACCGCTGTGTATTGCTATTGTGCGATCATTACTAAAGTTGGTAAACTTGGTGTTACAGCGTGTTTGACCCTAAATTAATTTTACGCCAGAACTTCCCTTTAAGGTGGGAGGGTAAGATAAGCCACTCAAACTAGGCATTTTTCTCTAAACTAATTGCTGTTTATAACCAACAGCATCAGTGTGTAAGTAGTGATTTCCACTCTGCTGCCTTTCAGGTTGCAGTCATTTCACACTGTTGCTGCATTTTTGTCTGAAGTGCACCTTTATAGATGGTCCCTGCACTCTTAAGTGATGGATGGCAGTGTGCAGAGAGAGGCTTGCTTGTAGGAGGCAAAAGTTAGGAATTAAATAATTGCAATAGGTGAAAGTATCTGTCACTGCAGCAAGCAACATTTTCTTGAAAGGTCCATTGAAGTTAAATAAGGGACTTCAAGGATTTTTTAAAGAAATTCTTAAGTTGAAAAAGCTTGAGACAAGATTTATATTTGGACCTGTCTGGTTTAAGGTAGCTCATATTAAGAGCAGAGATCAAGTTTGGTAAGAAATTGACTATTTGACTTGATAAAAGTTGAGATTTTTCCCCAGCTTGTATGATTTTAGTGACTTTTTTATGTAAAGTAACACACTTAGTACAACACTTTCTGTATCAAATACTAACATAAAAGTAAAAGTTCTTATAATAGATGTTAGGGGAAAAAAGTGCAAGTACACAAAAAAAAACTACCTGATCATATTGACGTGAGTAAATGTAAGCAGTTCCTTTCCATCCCTGGTTATACCAAATTAGCAACCTGAGCTGAAACCTCATTTGGTCACCTGCTGTGAAATTAGATCAAACTAACTGGTCGTTACTGTTACTCGTTATTAGATAAACTTAACGAAACTGTGCTGTCTTAATCAATTCAATCTCACCCCACACAATTTATTTTAGACCTCCTTTAAATGAGTTTGTGATGTGCACATTCCGGTAAAGTGCAATGCTGCTCAACAGCAAAGAAACAGGAATAAGGACCAGTGGGTGAGTGTCCTATACACTTCCAAGAATAACTTATCTCTGCAGGACCGTCTTAGACTCTTTAACCTGATAAAGTGTCGTCTCAGTCTGTCATGAAGCCTGCGAATACTATTTCTTTACAAATAAAGACGCAATTCAGACATTCTGGAAACCACCTTTAAGATTACTGGTAGAGTTTGCATGATTGTTAGGATTTACAGCAGGGCTGTATACTCTGGCATATCACCATTTGACAGGCCTCTGTTGTTCTCGACACCCTCACCCTTTTAATCATTTCTGACATGTCAGTGAAATCATCCATCATCATGGACTCAGTTTTCTCTTCTTTTAACAAGGAGATACTTCTCATCATTCCTGTCAACACCTATTTGGCCACTTAGTACTAACAAGCTTTTACAGTAAATGCCACTGTGGGTATACTCAGAAGTTAACAGTCCTTCAAAGATCATAAAGGTTATTTTGTTCAGAGAGGTTTATACCTGAAGATTGTTTTATTGTGGGGAACCATTAAACTGTACCACATATCCTCATGAGCGGAGTTAGTCACATTATGTGAACCCTCTGTAGAATAGATGGACTTTACCAAATATCCCCCTAGATAAATGAGAAGGTCTGATTCTCTGTAAAATATACCAAAAAAACTTTCTTCCCTCTTTGTGACAAACTTGATAATCATCCTAACTTTTAACAGCATTTCCTCTCTTGGATGAAAAGACTTTATTCTTGACCAAACTTTCTCAGGGAACTTTGGTGGTTTTTAAAACTAAATCAAAACATGCTTTTCCTTATAGTACAGAGAAATCAAAAATGTAAAGTTCTTGTACTGTTCGAGTTTAAATAACTTTACTACATAAGTCATTTTGATAGTTTTGTTTGTGTAAATAAATCTGGTTCTGATGGGTGCCTGTGTAAGATATCTTTAAATACCATTTAAATCATCAGGGTGCGACCAGCGCTGAGTTTAACCCAACTCAGAGAAATAAAATAGCACCCAAGTCTGACGTGGGACGGAACAGGAGTTTAAACAATTGAGTGACAAAAGTTAATAGTCTGTCAGAGGTGTGGGCCCGGCTCTGACGTAAGAGTCTGACACATGAGATTTCAACATCATGTCAAAGCCTGATTTAGTTTCACACTTTCTACCTGCTGCTATTGTAGATGTATGTTGGCTTCCATACCCACCCAAGTTAACTCTAATCTTTCTCTGTCTTCTGTTCTCCTCCTCAGTCAAAGCCACAATGCCGATATGGGTTGTGCTGCTATCAAGAATAATCATGAGGGAGAAGCAAACCACAAAGGTGAGTAGGCTCGCAGTCGTCAAGGCACAAAGCCCGCTCTGTTTCAGCCTGTTTCTCAGTGTCTGAGAGGCGGCGGTGATGATGTGGCACCGTGCTGCGCCTGCACTGCATCTCATATTACGGCCATCTGCAGGGGCTTTTGTCCCCGAGGATGATCCAAGGCTGTGGGAGGAGGGAAGCTAGTGAGGGGAGTTTTTGTTTTCACAAAGTTGGGCTAAAATCACCTGTTAAATCCTAGGAATGACTTCCTCTCTGACTCTGTCCATGTTTATGCATGTCTTATCTGTAATGCTGCATGAGTTGGTATGCAGTGTGCAGGTAGTGGAAAGGCTCTGCACAGGTCGTGGCACATTTCCAGACCAGAGGGCAAAGTTATGAGATATCTAAAGGAAGCATCATGCCCCCTTTTTTTTCCTGACTCTGAGCGCTAAAGCTGGTGAAGGATAAAACACGTTACATACCCAAACATTTTATCTAACATTAATCCTCTAGGAAGGATAAAGTCTGGCATAGATTTCTACTCCACAGAGTGACAAATAAACTACTTTCTAATGTGTCATTTGTCTTTGACGTAATCTGAACGACATTACCTAAAACTGTTTCATCACTGCAGTACACAGTTTTGATACCCCCAAAATTAAATTAAATTAAATTAAATGCCTAATTTTATTGGGATTCATTAATATCAGTTATTTATTTAATGAAAGAATATTTAAACTTGATGCTCACGGCTTCTTGTGGTGGAGCGTTACAACTTGACATGTCTTTTATTCAAACGCTACTATAGATGAATATTTGCTTTAAAGAAACGACTGAAAACTGCTGGATTGGGAGTTGTTACTCAGTCTCAGCTCCTCTTGATTCTTTGCCTCTGGTTGTTGTGTTAACAGTGTTTACTGAAGATAAACTAAAATAGAATTTAAATTTTACTGAGTCTCGGTAGGTTCTGGTTCATATCCCCTAAAGTCTTTTCACTCAACACAACACAACACTACTCACTGCTGTGTTTTATGAGGAATTTTGAAAGAGAAACTACGATGTGGACCGTTTATTCTGCACTATTATTAATTGTTAACCTCATTAGCTGTGCCTACAGTAACGTAGCTCCACATGAGTTTGCTGCATTATGGCATAAAAGTGTCTTAATAAAAGATACTACTTCAGATTAAAGGTCAAGTGAAATTCCTGATGAGTGAATCATGTAGGTCTGAAAAACACGAAGGAGCTCTAACATGAGCTCGTCATGTTTACTTACAGTTGGCAGGCTGGGTGCGCAGACAGGGAGCGTAGGTGTTGGTGACGTGTTACTATGTAAAGGTCCTGTTTGAAGAGCAGAGGGCTGCGGTGCTGTAACGAGAAACTTAATGTTGTGTAAATCACACCAGAGTGATCGGTAGACAGAATAAACACTCAAACAACGACAGAAGATTGAAGTAAAATAAAGTAAAATAGTGTTTAGATGCCACACAATAGATCACATACTCTTCAAGAGTCAAATCAGGTTTAACATGTTATTGAAATTTGTAAGTAGTTGTAGAAAAAGTAACTAAATTACGGAGTTACTGCATCGTAAAAGTAATTAAACTTTATTTGCTCCAGTGCTCTTGAAGTGACTATACTGACCTGAATTTTAGTCACTGTCTGGGTGCTGGAGTGAGGTGTTTTTGACGTGCTTCTAGTACAATCCAATGTCCAATCCAAGGTTGTTGTTGAGTTATATTTTTGCTTTTTATTGATTAAATGAAAAACAAACAAAAAAAGACGGAAACGTCCAACTTATTTTGATAGTGATGTTCGTGATGAGAGTGAGAGTGGTGTCAGAGATTAGCGGTAAAAACCATGTACTTTTCCCGTTCCCCAGATCACTGCTTCACCTGTGTCCCTTTGTAGCATTTACCTGCCCATTCACTCGAAGTGCCCCTTGTGGTGATTGTGCGAGTAGCAAAACAAAACCTAAAAAATAATACGGATAAAATGGCTCATAAAGCTCTTATTAATGCACCCTGCCTCTTCTAGTCTCTTAATACACAGCTAAAAACCACAAATAGTAAAGGAGCTTGTGTGATCTGTTATTGAGACATTCACAACACTGGTTAGTGCATTTCTCCTGAACTGGTATCTAGCTTTGCCCAGAGGGAATAATAACTGCTGATGATGATTTACTACTTTGTCATACTACATACTGAGCTTCAGTCTGTGTTTTCATTAACCTCGTAAATTCTCTTAATGATCTCTATGCTCTTTAATTGGTTAACCTCAAAAGCCTCCAACATATTGCAGTTTAAAAACTGCACTGAAGCAGGTTACACATCATCACCCTCTTCACCAAACTCAGAGGGAGGAGGAGCAACTTTTTAATGTCGTAATCATCACCATCATGATTACAGTTCTCATGTGAGCCACAAATTCAACATTTCATTATAATGCTTTGCAAATAAGCTTAACCAAACACTTTGTTGGCTGTATGAAAAAAACCAAACCCTGTAATCTGACACAGTCAAATACAACAGCCCAGCCAATAACATATCAGACTAAAGCTCATTACAGAGACGGGGTGCAGTCACTCAGTTTCCACCAACACAGGAGGGGAAGAGGATTTGTCGCTCTAATGAGTGCAGCCACTCTTTTTCCACTTTGGTCTGGAAGTAAACAATACAGGAAGACCTCGAGAGCTGATGAGGAGCCACATTTTATGACTTAACTCCGGATAGCCGAAATGGGGCAAAAATCTAGGCCTCTGCCAAAATAGAATACGCCCCTCTTCAACTAACATGCAGCCAGTTTCCTCAGACACACTTGTAAAAGTCAGAGCAGGTCCTCACTTCTTCGACATGTCTTTGTGATTGTAAAACTTACTGTCATTAAACAAGTTGTTTCCTTGAGCTGCTCCACTTCCCCAAAGTGCATCCTGTTTAAAACGTTAAATCATTGACCAGTGACTCAAGACAAGGCTAGCTTTAAAGGAACAGTCTGTGTGGAGCCTATCTGTTTCATTATGTGTTCAGTTCATGGGAGGAATGGGTTAACAGTGGGTTTCATAATACCTGCAGGGTTTCATCCTCTTTAATCATTCAGTATTTCTAGAAATGCAAATACATCTTGAAATAGATGTTCTGAGAGTTTCAGAGGTTCCCCTTCCTCTCAGTGTGGCCAGCTGTAACCTCTAAAGTCATGTTTTCAGGTGGAGATGTCGTCTTAAACTGTTGTCGGGTATTTGGATGATCTGATATTGTTCATGCAGCTCTGAGTGCAGGTTTTATCAGCTTACTATGGATATGTCGTAAAGCTTTTCCACCCCGAGTTTTCCCTCTTTTAAGTTTAAATACTCCGAACGTTGTCAAGCTCCACGCAGAAGGATGTAGGACATGTCACATTATATTTATCACACGAGCAAAAGCTGTCAGTCTCGTAACATCACTCGGCTCATCTCTCAGCCTGTCAGAGGAACTGTGATCGACCTTTGTTGATGCTGAAGCTAGAGCTGCAACAGATTAGTCAATTCAGAGAAAGATTAATGCTGAGATTATTTCAGAATAATTTGGTCCTCTTTGTTTTTAAAACAAAACGGATGTACCTGCTGTTTTCAGTTTTTTAGATGGAAAAAGCCTGTAAACGATAAATTCGGTTCACCTTTTTCACATTTTATAGCCTAAACAATCGACAGATGATACAGGATAATTGATCAGCCTTTGTGAAGCAGTGCACAGTTTCCAAAACTAATGATATTAAAGGGATATTCCGGCGTAAAATTAAGTTAGGGTAAAACACATCCTAACACCAAGTTGATGAATGTTGCCTCTCGAGTTATACCAACTTTAGTAACAACCACACGGTAGCAATACACAGTGTTCTCCGGTGCCACGCGCTCAACCAAAAAGCCACTCTATAGCCACAAATAACTTCATCAACAGTACATATAGGGTCCCAGCCATAGTACTAGCCACCAAACATCTCTTTAGCTTTGCCTGATTTCTTAAACAAATAGACTAAACCCAACTCACCTACTCTCTTCCAGCAGCCACTTGTTTGTATGGAGTGCAGCGGGGGAACGCAGCTCATGGAAGAACATTTATGATCATTTCTTCATGGAAATGCAATCAGACCAAGGTGCTAAAGCAGAAGAACTGCCGCGTCAGCAGTGCAAAATGATTAATATGATAATTATTACTTCAAGGAAATGATAAAGTGATGATCATTAATGTTCTTCCTTGAGCTGCGACACCCCGCTGTAGTCAGTTTGGACTTCCCCTAGGTCTCCGTACAAACAAGCAGCTGCTGGAAGAGAGATGGTGAGGTGTGTTTAGTCTCTTTGCTAAAGAAATCAGGCAAAGTGAAAATGATGCTTCGTTACCAAAGTTGGTATAACTAGAGAAGCAAGCGGTCGGCAACATTCATCTCTCGACGGGCTGTCTAACTCGGTGTTATGGTGTGTTTGACCCTAAATTAATTTTACCCTGGAATATCCTTTTAAGTGCTAATAATCCATCAAGATACAATAAGGAAAAATAGTTGTCTGATCGTAATCTATTTTTAAATGTATTTGAAGAGGGCACCCAAAAGTTGTGACAATTACTTTGATGTTCGTCAGCAGGCTGTGTAAGTTACTGAAGTGTCGTTGGTTTCATTTCCAGCTAACCCTGCTGTCTCTGTGTGCTCCCTGTCGTAGGTTTACGTATCACTCATCCCCATCATTGGAGGAGTGCTGCTGGCCACAGTGACCGAGCTCTCGTTTGACGTCTCAGGACTGATCAGTGCTCTGGCTGCCACACTCTGCTTCTCACTGCAGAACATCTTCTCCAAAAAGGTAACAAACTCCAAACGCTGTCACGTCCAACATGATCCAACAAAGAGAGAGAAAGAAGGAGGGTTGAAAATAATCCATAATCCTCTGTAGTTTCATTTTGGATCACCTGAAAATGAAATCCTGGTTTGGGGGTTTTGTTACCACAGGTGGCTGCTAGAGCTTGACAGTAAAAAAGAAGCTTCACAGTCTTTGTTTCCGACTCTTTCTGATCTTTTTCCCGCCTTTTTAAAGGTGTTGCGCGACACAAGGGTCCACCACCTGAGGCTGCTCAACATCCTGGGCTTCAATGCTGTTATCTTCATGCTGCCCACCTGGGTCCTGGTGGATCTGTCTGTGTTTCTCATTAATGGAGACCTGGTAAGTAGCGTTCAACAAGAGAGTCAAGACTATTATGGAAGCTTGATCTGTGATCCTTAATCAGACTTCTCACCTCTCAGACGGACGTCTCCGGGTGGACAAGTACCTTTCTACTCCTGGTCGTCAGCGGCTTCTGCAACTTTGCCCAGAACGTCATCGCCTTCAGTGTACTCAACTTGGTCAGCCCGCTTAGCTACGCAGTTGCCAACGCCACCAAGAGGATCATGGTCATTAGCATCTCGCTGCTGATGCTGCGCAATCCCGTCACACTCACTAATGTCATGGGCATGATGACGGCCATCGTGGGGGTCTTCCTCTACAACAAGGTGAGTTATCGAGACCCCTGGGACAGTTCAACAGAAATACTTAAGAAACCAAATAATCTTTTGGTGTTTCTTCTCAGCAGATCCACTTTTTTTCTTCCTCGTATCAGTTTGTGTTTCCAAGACGTGAGCGTTGTTCAATATCTGCGAACAATAGAGTGTAAAGAACACACATTGTCGACAGAAAACAGTGATGGCTGACTTTATGCTAACTTTGATTATATTACACTCTGTCAGCACCACACTGGTGATATTTCTAATCCTCCTGTTATTTTACCTGAATCTAGTTTTTTCCTCATTTGAGGACTTACAGGTTATAGAGACCTATTCAGCGGAACAGCTTTGTCAACTAAAATTACACCCACTCGTCCGCCAATCATTAGTCGTTGATAAAAACAAGACTGCGTGTTATTATCAGCCTAACCTCTGACACTGTGGTCTGTTCACTGTAGCTGATGGACTTAATAATAGATAGAGCAACTGCTCAGTGTTATTCGTTTCTACTTTTCTCTGTGAAATGTAACTAGCTTTCATTGAGGTTAATTTAGTGTGAAATAGTAACGTAGTTGCTCATCTCCTTGTGTGCTATTTGGAGTGATCAGCTGTCGTATACCAGTAGTCTCTCTCTCTCTCTTTCTCTCTTTAGTTGATTTAAAATCTAAATTCTGTTTTCTACCACTTGACTTTATACTACAAACTGAAGACTGCTTATACGTACTGTGCTCTTACAGTAATCCTGTAGTGCTAATCTGTTTCTGAATTAATTCACTGAATGAACTCAGGTGCCACTTGCATATTTAGAAATGTTTGAGGAAGACATTAAGGTAAGGGTAAGGTAGACTTTATTGATCCCACATGGGGGAAACAGTTTCACCACCAAGACAGAAAGACTCATACAGACAACAAACAGCATGGAGACATCAGAAAAACATAGACTCAACACCAGATAAACACAGTAAATTATTTCACATGACTGTAAATTTTGATGCTAATGTCATTGAAAAGCAGATGGTGTTTTGTATTTCCATGAAGAAAAGTCACATGTCGGCGGTGTTTGTTTAACTTGGCAACATCGTGTTACAAGGAAGGAATGAGCGAGAGAGGAGGTGCTAGCTCTGCTAATGGTAGCCAAACCAGTCAGACATTGTTTCCCCGCAGACTCTGATCCTGAGTATCCTGCTTCTTCTTAAACTCTAAACTGTATGTGTATGTGAGTCCTTCGCTCCCTTCACAGCTGTCCTCTCCTATAAATAGGTAAAGACTGCTTGGCATGCCGCCTAAAGCAGCTCTCTATATCTGTCAGTCTCTATCCAAAGTGTGGCTGTGTGCCACTGAATGAAATGTAAACAGTCAGTTGAAGTAAAACTTTGTTTATGTTGTGGAAACTTTGACCTACCCAAACTTTCAGAGTGCTGGAGGAATGAATTACTAAAATATACAGTCATTTAAAACCCTTTCGCCTCTTTTCTCCTCTAACAGGCTAAGTATGACGCCAACAAGCAGAAGCAGCTATTGCCCAGCGCCAAGCAGGACCTGACGTCCTTTGACAACCCGGCACTGGAGAAGATCCAGGCCAATGGGTCAGTGCCTTTCTCCCACGGTTCAGAGCAGCAGCACAGCTGGAACAACGTGCTGACCGACCACTTCCAGTACAGCCGGCAGACCTACACGTCAAACTACAACAGCAACCACCAATACGTGGTGTAAACGGGGAGCGCGTCCTCGCTCAGGCTCACTGTTACAGACGTTACTATGTGTAGCCGCCCTCCCTGCCGCGGGTCCCCTCTGCCCCGCACACAAGACTGAAGGCAAGTGCTGTTTGTGGTGAACAGGAAGAATGAGACGAGTCGCCTTTTACGGGCCAGTGACGTGACCTCTCCCACGCTCCTCCCTGTCTGAATTTCACTCTGTATGTCATAAGTTATTTATTACTTTGGTACAAACTGTGTGACATCATTCGAGACAAAACAAACGGTTAATCACCTCTTTTGTAACACTTTGATATCAAATCCAACCTCTTTATCCAGACTCGGGAAAAGTGGGTGATCAAAGATAGTAAAAACTCATTTACACTTGATGTCTGGAAATGTCTGAGTTTGTCGCTACAGCCAGCTAGTCTTCACTTTCAGAGGAAGGACGTCAGCAGTTATTATCAACTGTGAACGCTTACTTGCACCAAAACAAGAGTCACAATCCATGCACACAGGCAGCTCAGCGGAGGGAGCCTTAAATATTTCATTTTCTCTCAATGGCACGTTCAGGATTCTTCTTTTTCTCCATTAGGCACCTCGAAGGATGTAAAGATGTTTAACCTGTTGTCCTCGCTGAGCATATGGAGCCACAAATCAAGAGCTGGAGGCAGATAGACAAATGTAAACATAACAGTGGTGTTACGCTAACATGTGCGGTTAAAAACTATACCTGACAAACATCAGCATGTCAGCGTTATTACTGCCTCACAAAGCAGCTCGCGTGGCCGTCAGCTTCAGGCGCCTAATGGAGAAAAGTTTCCATCCTCGTTTGCTGGATTAAAGAAAAAATGCTATAAACTTGTTGCGTACACAGATCGGTAATCAATTTGCTGCTAATTTGCTGAAATTCGCACACACACACACACACACACACACTCAGTCCTGTGTCTTTTCAGATTTTGCAGTGTCAGCAAAAACAAAGAGTGAGACGAGTTCTGTCGCCCAGAACAGTCAGTGACCTCCAACGAATCTGTCCGCGTGTAATCTGTCATTAGCTTGAAATTCGGCTGAACACGTCTGTAAAATCTCCTTCAGATGATCAAACTCTTATTTTTCAGCCGTAGTGTAAACATATTGTTTCATACTGATTATTATTATTATAATTTATAGATCTATAAAGCTTCTCAGGCAGAGCGAGACCCCTCTCCTGTCGGCTGATTTGTTCAGCCTCAACCAAAGCTGCTTTCTTTAGTTTCTTTATTTTAATTTTCTCATCAGACGCCCAGTTTGAGTGACTTCACATTTCTGGGGTTTCATTTAAAGCGTCTCTGTCACGTTTGGTGTCAGACGGTCACCGGACAGAAGAGATGTGTGAAAAAATCAGAGGTTTGGTTTGTGATTAAAGATTCAACTGTAACTTCATGTAGATCAGAAGTTTGTCATCATCACTGATATGATCTGAAAACTGGTAACTGATAGTTAATTGTTAAGAAAAAGCATTTTTAACTACTTGAGGAACCGTTTAGACGCTTAATTTTCCCCTGAATGGATAGTTTTCCTTTTTCCAGATGCACACGGAGCATCTCACTGCAGCAATATGAAGATTTTGCATCGATTTAACGTGAAGCCCATTTGTGTAAGCGTATGAAATCAGTATGTGCTTATTTTTTTGTAGGGACAATGCACATTTAATTGATGCAAAAGTGCCAGTTTTAGTCTCTGAGCTTGTTATTTTTGATGTTAGAAAGGAGAGAGTGCGCAGTTTTATGCTTATTGTATTTTTTTAGAGGACTGTTTTTGCCTTTTTTGACAAATCACAGCTCTGTCTTGGTGTTTAGTACAGAAAAAATATGCTCTGGGCATCCTAGAGACTAATAACTATCAATAATTGTCTGTTTAAGATGTTTTGGGTTATTTTGAAAGGAAATGTAGTCTTTACACCAGTCACAGCTCTGTTCTTCTCCAGCAGACAGAGAAATCACCATTTTGGCAGGTTACCAAAGTTTCAGATTTAGAAGAAAGTAAAAGATAAAGTGAGTTTCAAATGCCCATATTTCTTTGGTTAGGACTGTCGCTTGTTTGTGCATGGATGATTAATTGTACACTGTGAGGCTGTATGCTGTGGTGTTGATCTGCTGCAAACTGAATGGATACGCAGCAGACCGAAAAGTCTAACATAACACCACAGACTGCAGCTTTAAAACAACTGGAGTGAATCCAAAACTCCACAGACTTGTCGGCAACCAATTAAATTTTCGATGTCTAAAGTAGGCATTAATCTGTCACAATGTCTCTGTTTCCAGTCTTTTTTTTTTATTTAGTATCACCAACATTTTCTACATTATTGCTTTTACTTAAAAATGTGAATATGGATAAATTTATGAAGAATCACCTGCCTGAATAGATTACAAATTCAACACCAGTCAACCTTTATTTTAAGTTTAAAAAGATGGACAGAATCCTATCCACTGAAAACATCTGCTTTAATGTAATTCAACATCTGAATTAGATTGTTTCAAATTAAAATCAGTTTCCTACGAAATTTGAAACAAATTCAACTCAAAAGTGAACTCAGTCTGTTTCATCATTGATTTCGACATGTCTTGCACCACTAACTGTTGAAGTTTATTTGTTTTTATCTGTAAAGTCAATCATCCCGATAAAAGCTGCAGAGAGACGTGTCTCCATGTGAGACAGCAGCGTCCAAACAAACTGTCCAACTAAGAAATTACACAATTCTTATTCCAGAGAAATGTTGACAGTTTCTCAACTCTCTGGGATATATCCAGGTTTCAGGACTTTGAAAATCAGCATGTGGATGCATGTTCTCTCAGAGTGCATCATAGACTGTACAAAATAAGCTTTTTTTTTAAAGCTCCCTGTTAAATCAAACTCTGCCAGTGCAGATGTTTTCATCTTTTCACCTTTTTTCACTGTCATGTCTTTTGTCATGTTGCCAAAAGCAGTCTGTTATCTTTCTGATGCTGACGAGTTTCAGCATAGAGGCCTTGTCTGCAGGTGAACAAGATGTAGAAAATTATAAATTACAACAAAGTTGTAGTTTATGAACTCCTTGACGATTGTTAATTTCTGTACAGTGAGTTGTAAGAACTCTAAATCTATCGAAGGGTTGATCTGGATGTCGACTCTCCTGTAAATCTTTTACTTGGGATGTAAATGACTCAATGAAGGGTGGGAGGGGTACTTTGTAAAACTTGTATAATTATTATTTTTGTGCGTCTTTAAAGGATCTTGAGACAGAATTTTTACTTAACTGATGTTTATAGAGTTTTATTTATGTGTCAAGGTACAAAACTGTTGTACAGAAGTGCAGCTTTGCACAGTCTTGTGTGCTTATGTTTAGTAAATGCTATTTTTCAATGTTGGGGAAAATAAATGCATTATGGAATACTGAACATATTGACTGCTTTTTAGTTTTGTGTAATGATAATTATTATTGTTATTGTTATTATGTGGCATATGGAGGTTTTAATAATATCTAAATAGAAGCTCTCTTTGGTCATAATTCTTACCTGTATTGTTGTCATAAACATGAAGAATTGTCCTCTCCTCTGTTTGCTGTTGGAAACCAGCTGCTGATATGATGTTTGTACGTGCCTAGCATGTAAAAGTCCTGTTTTGGTCTCTTTCTGCCCCCTAGTGGCCAGAACAAATCACTGCAACATCAAGCTCGATATGCCCTGCATTTGAGTGGTGTACCAAAACACACGTGAAACAGATTTGTAAATGGTTTTAAGCATACAGTATGTTTGGTCATTATTAATTCACAGCAACATTTAGAGGAAACTCTGATTAACTTTATTTGAATCTTTTACCAGCAGAAGCAGAAGAAGCACACAGTCTTTCCTTTAACTTTCACAGGAAGACAGAAATCTGCTGATCCAGGAAGATCCATAGAAACTCATAAAGGTGGAGATCTGTCACCGTGTGTTTCATGTCACAGTTACGTCTGCATGGTTCAAGGTATTTTTTTAAAGTAAGTCTTTACTCAAGTAAATTGCTTAATAATACCTTATTCAAATCAAAATGTTACACCTTTCAGGACAGGAAGTGTTTAAAGGTCCCGTTGAGAGTTTTTGCCTGGTTTTAAAACAGAGGTAAGTTGACTGTAAAGAGAGGGATGTGGTTTTTTTATGTTTGTCACTAGGGGTAATTGGTGTGTGTGTGGAGTTGTGTGTGTGTGTGTAACTGGGGCTGACTGATTGTCAAATGGATGTCACCTGTGCCTGCCTTTGAATCGTTTGCCTGGTTCAGAGAGAAGGGAGGCAGGGTGCTCATATTTCTGTTGACCACTAAAGCTTTTTTTTCCCTTTAGGTAGTCAAAATCTACATCAAATGCATGTTTCAAAGTTTGATTTGTTGAAAGGAAAAATAAATATCTTAGAGCTGCAATAAAAACTTCATTTTTCCTCCTTGGATTCAGCGCGTCAGACAGATCCCTGTATTCCCCTCTCAGTGACTAATAATCACACTACACCGACAGAGAGGACCCCCTCTGGACCTATAAGGTTGGTGTTAGAAAAAACAAATAAGTGCACACTAAACAAACAACTTTTTACATTTTCCACAGTAAATATTTACACTGAGTGAAACATTTGACTGTTTAAAGAAATCAGAATGAGGGGTTTTGCGTGTTTTTTACATAAATGTAAGACAGCTTTATCCAAAGGTGACACCAGAACCAGCACAGACAAAAGTTTGGCTCTGAGGGGTTAAAAGTTTAAGTGCAGTGAAGTATCATTTGTAACACGAGCTAAAAAACAGAAGACACTGAAGTTATTTCTGTGCAGTTTGGTATTTCAAAGTTTTAATTCACAAGAAAAGTTGAAGGTGTAATAATATTAGTTAATTCATATTCCCAGGTTTACTTTTTTCATTCTTAAACATTTTGAAATATTGAATAATTGACTCATTTTAACAGCCTTAAAAATGAGACAATAGAGGAACTTCAGAGCAAGATGAATACATGTTTTCCTCAATTCGATGTTTGAAGATCATAAAGATTATTGAGAAATGTAGACATTATGTAGAAAAGAACATATTTTTGTCGGCCAGTGTCTGTTAAACTACAATTACTGTGATTGATACTAAGATCAGGGTTAGATTATCATGAGTAGACATTAATTTTACATTTTCTGCATTACATCCAGTCATGGACCTTTAACTCAAATTTTCAAACAAGAATGTTGTTGCATGACATGTTGAAGATATAAGATATTGTAGTCCTCATTTAGTCCACAGCTTGATTATTTGTTTTCGACATTGTGCTGAAATAGTAACTGAGATTGAGAGTTAATTAATTGCTTGCTTGGTATGGAGCACCATGAAGGTACAGACACATAAATCCTCAAGAATACCTCAAAGACTTGTTTAAATACAGTCATCTACTTATTAACAGGAACTCAATTTAAACCACTGGAGACCAAACTGTGTCGACAAGTTTTAAACACATCTGAAACATTCAAAGAATAAAAACAAAAGACACCAGAGATGGAGCTGCAGTATCTTTAAAACAGCAGAATTAAGACGTTTCTTTTAATACAAAAGCAACAACTGAGAAGTTTCCCATCAGCTCTTCTTTACCTGAGGGAGGATAAGGGTCCAAAAACTCCCACTTTCTGGTAAAAACAGGCGGTAATGATGTCCATTAGCTCCAATAGTTGCTGATTGTCTACACTCCTCCTGATAAAACGAGCTCCTGTGAACTGATGCTGAATGAACCATCTGCCTCAGCATCTCATCCTTCCTGTGATCCTCTTGGCACTGTCTGCATACATGCTGTCGATTTAATCAGATCAGCCTTTTACTTCTGTTTAATACATTAGTTAGCAGGTGCTCGAAGCATCCTGTCCAGCTGTGAGTCCTCAGAGTTTTCACCTCACTGTGTTGACAGCTCTGGAGTCAAGTCTCTGGCGCCCCTTCAAAGCTGCAGTAAACATTCACTGAAATCACCACATCTTCAGCTCGTTTTAAGTCTGCTGGAGGCTCTCTGTATCATAAGGGGTAAATTTGACATTGACCGGCACCTGAGTGATGACATTTGTGCTGAGCATGAGCTGTGTGAACACATGACTGTCCATCAGTTCAGGGTAAAACAGATTTCTCTGTGGTGTAGGAGGAGAGCTGCTGCGTACGCTGCTGCCTCGCCTTGATAAAGAGAGCAACCGCCGGAATAAGGACCTCCTGAGCAGGATGTAGATCCAAGGGTCCAGGATGGGGTTCACAGAAGCTATCCGGATGGCAGCCAGGTCAGCTTTGTGGTCATTATTCTGTATGAAGCAGTTTACAAACACACGGACCTGAAAGAGAACAAACTCAGATATAAGTTCATCTGTGCTGCTTTACTACTTCAACTCTGGATTTATTTGCACAATAGTTTGACTTTATGTGCATGAATCATAACTTTCCTCATGCAGTAAATGAAGTTTGAGCTTAAGTCTAGATTTTGCTCTAAGTCAGTGGTTCTTAAGTCCAGTCCTCGAGGCCCACTGTCCTGCATGTTTTGGATGTTTTCCTGCTCCAACACACCTGATTCAAATGATCAGCTCGTTATCAAGCTCTGTAATGGCTTCATAACGAGCTGATCATTTGAATCAGGTGTGTTGGAGCAGGGAAACATCCAAAACATGCCGGACAGTGGGTCTCGAGGACTGAAATTGAGAACCACTGCTCTAAGTACTAAGTGTCCCACCACATGCAGCTGGTGCTCCTTTGATTTCTGGCCTCTGTAAATATGTCATAACACAAGATACTCTGTAAAGTCTCTAGATTGAACATAATCATCCCCCAATATGAGTTTAGTTCTTTAAATTTCTGACATGAGTAAAACCACAACATCTATCTGTTGTTGTTCCATATATTCAAAACGTTTATTGGAATCAGAAATCAATAATCAATTAAACTTTAATAGATAATTTTCTCACCACTAGTGGGGCAGAACAAGCCAGAACCACAGCGGAGGTGCTCACTAACACCGCGATCATCTGCGTCTCTGCTGCAGAGGACAAAGCCCTCCACCTCTCCCGGACGCTGCCTCTGCTGACAGGTCGCTGCACGGTCCTTCGACGCATGAGCAGCAGCGCGCCGCACACCGCGAGGTTCAGTAGGATGGTACCCAGGATGAGCAGCACGCTGACAGCGCCGTACAGGACGCAATACGCGACGGCCATGCGCTTCTGTTTCCTCCAGTCAATGAAGCACCAGGTGTTGGAGGGCTGCAACTCGCTGCTTGCCATCCCCATCACCGGGAGGCAGCAGAAGAAGATGTGACTGATGTAGATGAAGAAAAGGAACTTTTGCGCAAAGCGTCGGTCAACTCCCCATCTCTGGTAGGTGTACGGACAGCAGATGGCCAGGTAGCGCTCTGCTGCCATGGCACAGATGATGCTCAGCCCAGTGAGACCAAAAAACAGCAGTAAGAAAGAGTGAAACTCGCACACATGTTTGTCCTTCAACACCTGCCGGTCCATGTAGTTTGCAATGGTGAGTGGGCTGGCGAGGCATGTGCCGAGCAGGTCCGTCACAGCCAGCCCACACACCAGCGTGTAGAAAGCGGAGGATTTCCTCTCCTGCCTCGACACTGAAAGGACAATTATTGCGATCAAATTTCCAATAGCCCCTCCAGCGAACATAAAGATCGGTAAATCGCTCCCTGTCTCGCGGCTCGGCGCGTGGAGCGGCTGGACTAGCGTGCCATTTGTGGAGACAAGTCCCTGCGTAAAGTTCCGGTTCTCCATACCCAAGTGCACCCCGAAACTGCTGTTAGTCAGCGCTAATTCCACCAGTCTGTTTTGGCTTTCAATGTGCATTTCCCTTTTAACCTCCTGCACAACACAAGGAGTCATGAGGGGTATTTTCTCAGGAAGTCTCATCCCCTGCTCTTTCCAGTAATCCACATGTGTGTGTGTAACCACAGCTGTGAGCGGAGAGGCGGGATGTTTCTAATATACTGAACCACCCAGCAGCCTGAAAAAGACGGATGGACGGGATAAGAGGTTTCGAGCGATGGGCTGACCAGAAGATGGACGTTTTTTACGTCTAGTTTCCGTCCAATGGGAGGATGTTGGCGTCATTACAGAGCTGCGTAAAGTTTAGGTCAGCTGCTGCACAGTGAGTGAAAGTGGAGAGACAGAGAGAGGCCCATCCAGACTTTTCTCAGCCTCAGTGACATGACTCAGAGTTGGAGTCCGGTTAAGTAGTGTTGGAGAAAAAACTGTTAAAGGTTAAGCACACATTTTTACTCCCTTTTAAAGCCAATTTAAAGGGATATTCCGGCATAAAATTAATTTAGGGTCAAACACACCCTAACACCGAGTAAGACACCCCCTCCAGAGATGAATGTTGCTGACTACTTGCTTCTCTAGTTATACCAACTTTAGTAATGACCGGACAATAGCAATACACAGAGGTCTGAGGAGCCAAAACCAAACCACAACCAAAACGCCACTCTATAGCCACAAATAATGCTCAGAACAGCACCTAACTTCATCAACAGTACATATAGGGTCCCAGCCATAGTACTAGTTTTGCCTAATTTCTTTAGCAGAGAGACTAAACACAACTCACCCACTCTCTTCCAGCAGCTGCTTGTTTGTAGCGAGACCTCAGGCCAGTCCATTACGGACTATAGCGGGGTGACGCAGTTCAAGGAAGAACATTTATGATCATTTCTAAGTGGAAATGAAATCAGACCAAGACACTAAGGCAGAAGAACTACCGTGTCTGCAGTGCAAAATGATTAATATGATGATTATAACTTCAAGGAAATGATAGAGTAATGATCATAAATGTTCTTCCTTGAACTGCGTCACCCCGCTATAGTCCGTAATGGACTGGCCTGAGGTCTCGCTACAAAGAAGCAGCTGCTGGAAGAGAGTGGGTGACTTGTGTTTGGTCTCTCTGCTAAAGAAATTAGGCAAAGCTAGTACTATGGCTGGGACCGTATATGTACTGTTGATGAAGTTAGGTGCTGTTCTGAACATTATTTGTGGCTATAAAGTGGCGTTTTGGTTGAGGTTTGTTTATGGCTCCTCAGACCGCTGTGTATTGCTATTCTGCGGTGGTTACTAAAGTTGGTATAACTAAAGAAGCAAGCGGTCGGCAACATTCATTTCTTGAGGGGGTGTCTTACTTGGTGTTATGGTGGGTTTGACCCTAAATTAATTTTACGCCGGAATATCCCTTTAAGAAACACATCCAACCAAATGAAGAATCTACATTTTAACTAACAGATGTAATTCAAATCAGAGACATAAGAGAAGAGCATGATCCAGTTTTCTTGCACTGATTTTTTCCTCTTGAAAAACTCCCCTCTTGGCAAACAGGTGAAATCCAGACAGCTGAAACAGAGAGAATCTCAGTTACTGGAAGAAGGAGACTCCTATTTCCTCTGCAGTTATTAAATTCCACTGTCACAAAGGAGGATTTGAGGATTTGGTCAACAGTGCTAGCACACAGCCTACAGAGGCAAATCCAAAATAATTGAACCACAGATGTCAGCATTATATAAAGTATTTTCCACCATTATGCTATATGCTGCCCTTTTTTATTTACAGTGCTCAAAATCTGAGGAAAAGCTCATTGCAGTGAATACAGGTGTTTTTCTGTATAATACACACTAGGACACAACATAGTTGAAAACCTAGCAGCAACTTCTGGTGCAAAAATTGAAGCCAGTACTGAAGACTGCTGTAGGAGCCAAATATGTTGCTTTGATACCATATGATAAGTTGCAGTTCAATTTGTGTGCGTTGGGTGTCACTGTCTTGTTATCTCGGGACCCATGTCACTGTTGTGGGCAGGTGTTTGACCCAGAAGGGCCAAAGGTTTTTGACCGCCGTGGCGCTAATTTTCTGGCGTTTTCCTTGTTTGTTCAGTGTTGGATATCAGTTGCAAAATGGATTTGGTTTTGTTCATCGCAATAAATTTTTTGTTTGCTGAATCCGAGGAACAGCATACAGACTTTTAATGATCATCAAAACTCAGTAGCGCGGCACGTCAACCAGATAACTCTGGGTCAAGCATCTCAGTAGCTTAAAGTATCAACTTAGCTCCTACAACTGCAGTTCCTCAAGTGTCCACTTGAGGCTGGCACAAAAAAACAAGGAAACCCCGCAGAAGCTCAAGATAAAATATTCATTATTTCAGCATAATCAAACATGTTGATTATTGTGTTGAATCCTAATAACTGCGCATAGTTGATTTAAAAAAAAAAAGAAACAACTTGTATGTATTAATGATCTATAGGCTAAGATCTATGTTAGGCATGGGTAAAGCAGGGGTAATTCATCTGACAGGTGGGTGTGTTGCTGGTGTTTGACGGACAGGTAGGCTATGACCTCAGCTCATCCTCTCCACCTCTTCTTTAGGGTCTTGTTTGGATCAGACCAGCACAGTTATAAATGAAAAAATTAGTGTCTGTGTTTGAAATATAACCTGCCATCATTCAGGTCGGCAGTTTGAACAGATTTCCCTCTGAGACCCAGGTTTAATGGTTTTTTAATGGTTTTCTGCTGCCTAAACACTCTTTCCATGGAAAGGAACAACTACAGTAAAGTGCAATAACTATTTTCTCAGACTTCCTGAAACTGCAGTGGTGAGTTGCACGTGTGAATGCAGACAGTCACATTTTTCACTTCAACTTTACCAGAATTCTTCCCGCCAGCCCCTTCGTATGATTTCGGGGTAAAATTAAAGTGAGCTCACAGGACTTTACAACATGTCCTTTGTTTTTGTGGACGGTAATTTCCCACTGATGAGCCTGTGTGCTCTGTCCCAAACATAGATGACTGTAAAAGGCTGTCCAGGTCGAGCAGACGGCTGATGGACACTGTTGAACACACAGGACGTCAGTGCACTCCGCCTGCTCCGATTCTCCAGCCGTCTCACATTTATTACAGTCTGACTTTTGTTTACAGTGAAGAGCAGCGAAGAGGCCTCTCTGTGTGCAGTCAGCCTTAAAAGACAAACACGACACCTCTCTGAGAGGTAAACCAGTGCTGCTCATCTCTGCTGCAGACAAAAGAGAGGCTGGCAGACACTAAAAACAACCACTTAGGTGATGCCATGGATTCAACATAGACTGGAATGTCCTTAAGCTGAAGTGAATCATGGGATGCACAGGTCATCCCTGCAGGGTTTAAAGTTTCCTCAGTGTCATAGAGGAAATTAGTCCATTACAAATGCACTTAAAATGCACTATCTATGTCTGTGATCTCTACAGTGGCTGGATCTGTACAAACATGTATACATTTTAAAGTTGGACATGACATTAAAAAGTCTAAATGTTTATCCTGAGGGACCAGGAGGATGGTCCCTTTTCAGTGAGAGCGACTGGGTGGCAGATTTGGTTTCTTCAGGCTCAGCTGTTTTCTTGAACATCCTGTGGTTCATTTTGTCCTTTTTATGAAAGACATTTTAGTTTATTTTTATTCTGAGTACATGACTTCACTTCTTAAGTTTTCTATTGCTGCTCAATCAGAGTTTGAAAACTTCTATTTTTAATACTACATTGCAATCGAAACAAATTTGTCATGACAGACCATTTTCCCTAAAGGTACATTTAATATTTTTCTTTTTTTTTTTTCTCAGTATGTCAGTATCCACCTTAACCTGACTCTGTGTTTTCATAAATCAATGGCTTTTAGCAATCAATAATTCCATGCACCCAACCAGATCTGTTTTATTTGCATCTATCAGAGTTTCCCACAGTGGCACAGTATGTACCCACAGTATGTCCAAAGCCTTATATATGTTTTGCCTAATTTAAACATTTCCCTCGAGTTCATGTCTTACATTGTCCACAAGAAAGGGAGCACCACTAACTCTCAATGAACTAGACCTTTGACCTTAAACCATCAAAACTGAATTAGTTTGTCTTTGAGTTCCCTACTGGAACCCTGTCAAAAATGTAAAGAAATGTAAAGAAGTTGAAAGAAGAAAAGCTCTTTATTAACCACAGCTCTCACCCATTTGGACAAGCGGTTTATACACCCCATGTACAGAGGCTGCAGCTCTCAAAGCAGCAGGTTCAGCCTCCACCTCAATTATCTGATGCATGAAATTTGCTCCTTTCTCTTTCCTGATCCTAAAACTATGCACAGTCCTCACTTCATAATAAAGGGTTGAAAATCACAACAATTCACGCCGCCCATGACCACATGAAAGCCTGAAGTATACACAGGTCAGCACTGCAGTCTGTAGGTTTACTCGCGTTGCACACAGCAGCAGTCACAGTTTTTTAATTACAGATAATTCAAAAGTGTAAAGGAGAGTAAAATCTAACCAAAGATGGTAATTTAAGATTTAAGATTTTTATTTTTGTCAGCCATCTGCTGATCTGTAAGTGTTCGTGTAAAGGGAGTTTAGGGATTTATTTGGAAAAGGAAAATCACACACTGCTCTTTTTTGGAAGTTAGCCCAAAGGATCTGCTGGGTGTCTTAAAACTATAAGGCACTCCAGAGTCAGGAGCTTTGGTCTGAGATACATGAACAGAAAGAACAACCAGAGCTGAGACTCATCGAAGACTTGTGAGAAAGTGTACGCAGTCACGACAAAACAAATTTAATATAATGTCAGCTAGCAAGTTAGCTACTTCAAGTTGCTATTTTTCCAAGCTAACATCATGTTATCCAAGAGCTCAAGGTTTTACGCATTTATAGAAAAAATAATAGCAGCAAATTTAGCTCTCAGCTATCTCAGCCACTGGTTAGATAATAATATCGATCAGGTGCTTTGTTGAACATGCTAGCTGTTGTTAGCTAATAGGCTAGTCAGTATGTTGTGTTGCGAACCGCGTACTCTCTGCCAAAGTCATTCAGGTTTTTTCTTAACTCACTGAGCTTTATTGACAAGACCGCAAAACAGCAACAGTGATATAATGTCAGCTAGCAAGTTAGCTACGTCAAGTTGCTATTTTTCCAAGCTAACATCATGTTATTCAAGAGCTCAAGGTTTTACGCATTTATAGAAAAAATAATAGCAGCAAATTTAGCTCTCAGCTATCTCAGCCACTGGTTAGATAATAATATCGATCAGGTGCTTTGTTGAACATGCTAGCTGTTGTTAGCTAATAGGCTAGTCAGTATGTTGTGTTGCGAACCGCGTACTCTCTGCCAAAGTCATTCAGGTTTTTTCTTAACTCACTGAGCTTTATTGACAAGACCGCAAAACGGCAACAGTGATATAATGTCAGCTAGCAAGTTAGCTACGTCAAGTTGCTATTTTTCCAAGCTAACATCATGTTATCCAAGAGCTCAAGGTTTTACGCATTTATAGAAAAAATAATAGCAGCAAATTTAGCTCTCAGCTATCTCAGCCACTGGTTAGATAATAATATCGATCAGGTGCTTTGTTGAACATGCTAGCTGTTGTTAGCTAATAGGCTAGTCAGTATGCTGTGTTGCGAACCACGTACTGTCTGCCAAAGTCATTCAAGTTTTTTCTTAACTCACTGAGCTTTATCGACATGACCGCAAAACGGCAACAGCGACAAAATTAACTATGAAGATAAATATTAAACATACCAAAACAAATACTCAAACAAATTAGTGAAAATCAATTTTTTTTAATAAAAATAAAAGTAATAATTCACAATTACTAAAATTTATAACAGTAAAATCAAATAATAAAGGGAATAATACAAACAGTACAGTACATTTGGTCTGTTTTCATAACACTGCCAAGTTTTAAATCAGCAGATATGACAATTTCAGAGTCATCAGATCAAGTGTGTCTTTGCATAATAGACTGGGACCCCCGATGGATGCCATGGTGCTTCTCAATAAAGTGTGGTATTTTTTATTAGTTCCTGAGAAAGGATACCAAAATCAAATAAAAATAATTGTTCAACAGAAAAGGGGAGTGGGGGGAGCGCAGAGATATCATTACATTGGAAACAATAAACTTCTTCTGTGACTGATGAACAAAAGAGTTCATAACACTGAAACCACACCAGACCCTTTTAAAACAGTAAATTACCATTTTCTGCCCATTAAGGAGCAGCTGAAGGGATTTATTCTAATTAGTGACCCCTCTTTGACATCAATTCTGAGTCGTAAATTAAATTCTAATGATATGAATGCATTGTAACTTGGGTTGCATCATTTTTACTCGGAACCTCGAGGATGTTTCAGCACATTCCCAACTCCGTGTCTGAAGAAATATGAATCCATTAACTTCTGCTGATACATTGTAAGAAAGCTGGTTTGAAGATAAATTACCAAAGAATTCCCAAAGTTTATGTCTCTCAGGGTACTTAAAGCCCCAAAGCAAACAGAGTTTGTCCCTGCAGTGCATTATTTCTTGGCACTGGTTTTCATGATGCGGTAAGCCAGTGATCATTTTCAGCTGACGAACTCCTACTCCTCATTTTTTTTCAACACCTGTAACAACTTTCTTATGAAAAATCTGAAGAGACTCTCCCTCCTTTTTTGAGATCTTCCTCCCCTTTGCATAAATACAACTACTTTTACTGCCAATCATGTTTCTGTCAGCTCTTTCTCTAGTTTGTGATTCATGTTTTTTCTTTGTGATTGGTTAATGTGTGATTCTGTTGAAACCTCATTGAAAACCATCACCTGTACATTGGTTTTAGACACAAAAGCACAAGATCGCTGTTCTCTTGGATCTCAAACTTCCTGCTGCTCTCTTGTCTTCATATCGAGCTGTCTGTTTCCGGCTGAAATATTACATACAATGTATGACATAGGATAAGAAGTGACGCAGTTCATGGTAAATCGCAAGCGCTGTAATCCCTGTCTGCTTCCTGGCCTCCAGAGGGTCCCTCAGGGGCCAGAACTTTGACTTTCTTTCAAAAACCACAGTGGGACAGCGGATGCAGATTGTGTGTATGTGTGCATGCATGTGTATGTTTGTGTGTCTCCAAGAAAATGATCACTGCAGACAGTAAATGAGGTGATTCAATTAACCTTGAAGTTCAGAACAGCAGTCACATTACAGTCTAGTGAGGAAATGCCGTTCAGCTTATAGGCCATGTAAAGAATGAACATATAGTTTCATTGACGTCACCTCTTGGTTTCTGGAGCTGAATTTTTCACCTACTCATTAACAAAACTTGTAACTTTAATATCTTTATAACTGAAGACTTACGAAAAATTGACCCCTTCTGTAAATGAGTGTGTATGTGACTGTTTGTGCTTTTGTGGCCAACCCCAAGTGGACACTTGAGGAATTGCAGCTTTTAGCACGCTGCTTTATTTCCCAAAACTGGAGTTTGCTGGTACGGATGAAAGAAGTTAAACCCCACTTCCCGCTTGCAAAACTGACCTCGCCCCGTTGACCATGCTGTCTGAGAAAGTATTATATATCCAAGGTGGCGGCCTTATTACAGCAATCATTCAGGAGGAAACAAATCTACAAGGCTCGATGGTTGATTTCAAAGAACTTATTTTTAATAAGTAAGACTTCAGAGCTATTTTTTATACCCATTTTAACCAGTGTTAGTCATCTCTGAGGAATGTCTTTAATTTTTTGACCTTTTTTGGTGAGGGTCCTGGTTGCTTTATTGGTGCACTTGCCCAACAGCAAATTTCTTTATCTTTTATGCTGATTTCTTCTGACAACCTCATGGTGACCCTTGTGCTGCTGAAACACTCCAGGGGCTCTTGTAGATATAATACCTTCTGAACAGTTCCCGAAATAAGGCAGCCAGTTCTTCAGCGGTAATAATTAATAGTCTTAAGTTCTCTGGCTGAATCTTATAATACATTACCTATCAAGATATCCAGCCTGGATCCATCAGACTGCAGCATCTTGAGACCAAAACATTATTCATAGCAAACTTCTTGAGATGACGGTCTCCATGCAACTCTTCTAAGTATTATTACAAAACAACATTTATGAAGAGTCCCAGTCTGGGTAGAGACAGAAACATGACTACTCTCATTGATTTGGTCTGTGCTACGGCCTCGTGCAGCTTGATTTGCTGCTTCTGATGCATCTGAGCATCAAGATGGTTTACCTGGGCAAACTCTGATGGGATTTTCTTCTTTTGTGTCAAGTGGTTCATTTTATGTTTCCACTGGTATTCATGGTTCTTCTCCCTGCTACGTATTGTATCATGGAGTCCCTCAGGGGTCAATACTTGGACCAATTGTTGTTTGTTTTTCATACTCTTTCTGTATGTCACTTGTCAAATGATAAGTTAGATCCTGTCACTCATCTATATTCTCTCCTGTCTGTTGATTGTAAGGTTTTGTGGACAAAATCAACTTGAAGGAAAATTTTATTTTAAAACTCCATTCTCCCAAAAATTTGACTGAACATAAATCAGAAAGTAAGAGCCATCATTGGGTTCAACATTCCTTTTTTTTTTGTTTGTTTTTCTTCTGGGGATTCAAAACTTTTTTATCCACTCAAGAGGTCACGTAGTTTCCACAACACCCATAAGAACACATAATCCTTCAATTTGAGCATGAACATGAAAACCCTCAAAATTAGGGGTAGGAGGTTTCATGCAAAAGCAACTGGCTGAGTGTCTTTCATCAGTGGTTGTCAGACGTGGGAAACACGTGATCGCCCCAAGAATCTCTCAGATCGACATTTACACTTCACCCTTTTTTATAGAAACGTTTCATTTGCAGCTTATAGTGAATCAACTACTGTTCAGTTGTTTTTATAAAAATGTTTTCTGAGACCACATTGATGTCTTATCCTGCAGGCTGATGTTAAAGAGTTAGTTTTTAATTAGCTGTGATAATTATGGACCTAAAACTTAAACGTTTGCAGAGTTGTTGTTTGTAAAAGCCACACAAACAACTTAAGTGGTATGACATTGTAGCACAATACATAACACAAAGAAAGAAAGTGGAAGCTCTTTTCATCACCCCAGGTCAGTTGTCAGTAGTTCAGAATGAAACCAGAGCTGTACCCGGACATTAAAGATCTCAGTGTCTCAATATTTTATCATAAAATAACCAGTTTAATAAAGACATTTGTTTAGGTCTTTACACTTATTTTTCTTGTTTCTTGTTTACTGTCAGTGTTGGGAAGTGCTGTGAAACCTTTATCCCACATTTATTTTCTTTTTGAAGAGGAAACTTGAACTTCTCTGAGAGCTTAATGACACTAATCTGCTTGACTTCTTCATGCCTTCTTTGTTTACCATGGATTGACTCATAAATTTGATTGAGTTTGGTATTTTATGTCCTCAGGACTTCCTGAACTCTCTACGGTTCTGGCATCTGTCTGACCTAGATCTTCTGTGGTTGTGTATTATTTTAACTTAAAGAGAATCCTCTCATTTAGTGAAGATCTTCAGCTAAAGCCCTTACTCATCTGAATTACAACTCTTCCTGATTCTGGAGAGTCTGAACAAATTTGCCTTGCTTCCTGTTGCTCCATCATTAAGTGGTCTGATAGGTAAATATTTATTTGAGAAAGTGCATTTCTTGTCACTTGAGCCATGTTTTAGTTTTAAGAGTCTCACAGCAAAACTCGTCTGTTAGAGAGGCTTTACAGGATCATGTAATAGTTTATATACATCAAGTTTAGCGTATTTGAGGCGTATCTGAGGCTCTGACGGAAGATATGTTAAGTATTTGCTCAATGAGGTCATAGTGACGTTATCAGGAGCGCCTTGACCTTGGCTTGAGAGACACGTGTTTTACTGACAGCAGTCGGACTTACTGAAAGGACAGGGTGTTTTGATGTCATAGTGATGAGGGTTCAAAGAGTGATGTTTAGGCTTAATAATGGGTAGAGTAAGACTCAGTACTTTTGGAGTTGAAGTTCACATAGAAAGTGCTTATAGTTCAGTTCAATCACTGACATTTCTAAATCTAAATGGATTATAAAATTCAGTTAAGAAAATTTCATATTAGTGTGTTTCACCAATAAAAGATAAGTAAAAACCAAATGAATCGTGAATGAAATGAATGCGTAATGACAAGCAAAAAGATAAATCAGATAACTGCTAGATTTTGCAACCAGGAGTCTCAAAATCATTGAAAAGGGAGTTTTTGACCATCTGTCCTATCAGGGTGTTCAGGTAGAGTTTTTAGCTCAGCTGCTGTAACCTCATGAAGCCTGTCCTTAAGGGAGTCACATGACCTTATCCCCAGCGCCATGTGCTGACAGTCATTCCTTTTAAAGTGTCTCAAGTTTTTTTTTAAAGGGTTCTCATGTTTTCAAGTGGATGTTAATATATCACCAGTGAATCTTCAGCCTGACCTTTGACTCTGAGAAGCTCTGACTATGCGCTGGAGCAGGGTCAGAGCGGAGACGAACTCCAAGCAGGTGAGGTGATCGAACATTTTCTTCTTTGCATTTTAATCAGACAAATCATATAACCCGTCTGAGCTGATGTCTTATGTTCTTTTGCAGCGAACTACCATAGTACTCTCTAAACAGAAGTGGTCATGATGCAGACAGAGCAGTCAGCTGGGAGTTGTCCTGCCCCGGGCCAAGCTGCTGTCAAGACTTGGGTCCCCTCCAACACAAGAGGTATGAGTGCTCTGCTGTTGTTTAATATCAGGAATGTCCTGAGCAGATTTAGCTCAAAGTTGTACAGTTTGAAAGTTGTTTTAAATCCAACTCTTTAAAAAAAAAAAAAACACTAGAAACCTGCACCATTGCACAGATTTTCAACTTTTGCACCGTCACAAAAAGCCAGCTGCAGTTTGAGTACTTTTCTAGTGATGACAGTAATCTTCCTGAAAATACACAATCTATCCTGTTGGGTTGGAAGTTTTTTTTTATTTGTTTATTTATTAATTTTCTAATAATAATTGATAAATTTTGACATTCGTTTGACTATTAATTTGGACTTTTGAGCCTGGGTCCCTGAACTATCGCTGTTCCACATTATATTGATTATTTCTTTGAATGACATGAATGAATACCTGTATCTTTCTCAAGTGTCTTTAATTACAAAAGACTCACTCTGGGAAAAAATCACACTGTGTCTTTTTCTCTGAGAATAGATTAAACTTCTTTGAAGTTGGTTCTATAGTTAAATACAAGGTCTGTACACAGTGTAACCCTATTAAACTGTGTGTTTAAACGCTGTTGTGTATAGTACAGTATGTTCACGGGTTTGATGGTGTCATGAGAAATGGTGGCCCACATAGGAATCCCTGTTTATGTCGCTCCTCCTGAACAAACTGAGCAGACTTTTCTCTGGATAGAATCCAGCCGTTCCAGCTGTTTGGGAAACACTGTGTTGATGTCACTTGTTGAGATCCGAAGTAAAGTATAACTGGAAATCATTAAACACATCTCCAACTTGGTGACCATTAAGTGGACTAATGTCTGTTTGCTGTGAAACCTCCATGTTTTCCGATTCTGCAAACAACTGATTCAACAGCAAAGCTGTTTCCTCTTAGATTCAAAACGTAAATCCTTCACAGTCTGTTTAAACACTTTTCAGGCATGTTAAACATTTACCATCATGAGCTATGATGATTTTATGAGAGCAAGATCGCTATAAGTAAGTTCTAACGCCAATCTGTTCCTTTAAAACCTGCAGAGTCAGATTTTTATGATGAAATACTGCAGCAAAGGAAGCCAGTTGCTGTGTGGTCATTTTATGTCGGTTAGTTTTGAATGTAAATGCATATTTATGTGAAAGTACACAACTCACATTAATTCAAGTGCAAACCTGTGCAAATCATAAGTGCTCTAAGCAAACAAGTAAAATATGTAAAAACAAGAGGCAAAGGCTGGCACAAGGGGTTGGTAAGACGCTGCTTTGGAGTATTAGATGTTGTGATACTATATGATATGATATGATACGATATGATACTATACGATACGCTATACGATACGATATACGATACGATACAATGTGTTATAATAGGATAAAACAGGACACCGTACAAATGATTCCGTTCAATACAATGATATGATATACTGTAAATTGACACAACACAACATGATACAATATGACACAAATGATATGATGTGATACTCTTTGTTTCAATTGGGAAAGTTGTTTTGATCTGAAGTGCTGCACATGCTCCACAATAAAATAAGAGTGAATAAAGATTTGGAGCATATTGTGTCTAAGTACAACCGATTTGCGCAAAACATGATTCACACTCGGTAAAAAAATTTGGTTTCTCCCATCATAAACTTTTAATCGACTTTAATGTGAGTAGATATAAGTGCTTATCTACTGTCACAGTTCCACTTCAAACTGATCATTGCTGCTGATATTTATGAGACAAATGGGTTTACTTGGAGAATCTGTACAAGCCAAGGTAAAGATACAAAACTGAGATTTAATTGGCAGAGGTTTCCAGGTCAGTGTCATTGAACATGAGGAAAAAAGGAGCTGCTTTTTAAGTTTCTCAAAGTCCCCAGGTCAGGTCACTGGCGGATTGTTGGTTCATGGATTGTGTATTTTTGCTGAACATTAAACTAAACAGTGACTAAAAGCCAGTAAATTCTTACACAACGTAAGTGTGGCTGTTTAAGAGGTGACCTTTGTTACAACGAGACGTAATGACATTACCATAATCGCTAAATTGGTGTTTTTATTCCAGGAAATGAGATGAAACATTGACCAAGGATCAGTCAAACACTCGCTCAGCAATTTACACACACTTACATAACACGCACATGCACATACACTTCCCATGAAAAATACAATAAGCACATAAACACAAACTTATTTGCGATGAGTGATGTATAAACACAGACAAAAATGTTCTCATATAAACAAAAACAGACGTACTACACTGCGAACAAAGTCACAAAGACAAGAAAAAAACAATTTTACAGTAAAAGACAAAAGTTTAATTATTTCAAAAACACAAATATACGCACCTAAATTCAACAAAAACATTTTTAAGACGCACAAATACACACAGACAGTTTCCTCTTTGCTCTCTCACAGATTTCTTCTCCTCACTTGACCTCTTATCTCCTCTCTTCATGTTTCCCAGGACCACCGAGTGAGGCCGTCTCCCGTTTCCATGGAGACGGGGTTCGGTACAAAGCCAAAGTGATCGGCATCGACCCCGTCGCTGACGCTCAGGGAGAAAAGATGTGCTGGGACTCAATGATGAAACTGAAGGTATTTTATTTCCTGCACAACCAAAACAACATTTTTCTCAGCCCATAACTGTAAACGGACATTTTACCCGAAAAGTAATTAAAGAAAATATGACATCATTATGTCACATTAGTGGATGTTATGACTTGAGGCGACTCAGGGGTGATTAACAAAGACCTTTTTCATTGCTATTTCATTGGTAGTCCTTTTTACATTGCCAGGTCAAGACACAATATTCATGTTCCTGTATGTGCTTTAGATACGACTGACACAGAGGTGGTGATGGTGGGACCAAATTATAGACTGTATATATAAGTCAAAAAGCTCTTGGTATTTCTGCGTTCTTTCTTCATTTCCTTAAACCAACATTGCACAGTAGTGTTGTACGCATTCGGCGGGAGAGTTGCCAAGAGTCGCTGTGATGACACTCGGCCCAAACAGCGTATCCCTCAGGGTGAGCTACGCAATCCTCCTATGCCCATAGGCTGAATCAAGTGTCAATCAAAGAAAACATGAACCCCCTAATAACTTTTAAAAATGGAGCTGTACAGAAAGAAGAGGACTTGAGCTCAAACCAGTCTTACAGTAACTACATGTCAACATCACAACCGGGTGGAGAGAAATTTATATTCTGTGTAATAAATTTCTAAAGTTTGTCCACAGCCCCATACGCTTTGCTAGAGGAGGCGGGATTTATGATCTATACTGCAGTCCATCACCAGAGGGTGCTGTTCTCGGGGTGGCTTCACCCAGCGAGGAGGCAGACGGCGTATATTCTATATACAGTCTATGGACCAAATCATTAAACACTGTGCTGGCATTGGAGGTACTGATGCAGCAGCAATCGACCCCTGAAAAATAAAGCTGATTTGGGGGCTAAAGATCAAAAATAAACATCTTCCGTTTTGGTCTGAATTGCTCACGGCTTCCTCTGAACAGGGAGTGGATTATTTTGTAACACGTTTGTTTTGAAGTTATAAAGGTTAGTGAAGCAGAGACTTTTACACAGTTATGATTCCCAATTAGTGATAAAGTTGACAGTCACCAGAGAGAAGAGCAGGGTTTTTCATCAGACACCCTATTTAAGCACGTTCAGGACAAGACCAGCATTGAGACCTGGTATACATTTGTCAATAGGGGGCGCCAGATTCAAATAAACTGCAACATCTTCATAGAGAGCTTAAAAAGGTTTACAACAAAACCGGCTGTTTCCAGATGTGCATCACTGACAGAGACACACTGAAGTCTCTCTGAACAGACCAACATTTGCTTTATGTGTATCAGCTGGATATTGAATTGAAGAGGCTAATATTCATATGAGCATTTATTTGTGTATTTGTTCATACTTAACGTAAAATTTATACAAATTTTTTTTTTCTTGAACATTTTAGGGTTGTTTCTGCTGATAGGTGAAAAAAGGGGCGTCCTGAATTCCCCTTCCTTTTGACTGATAGTTATCAAAACATTGCAAAAAATTTAAAGTATTATTAAATGATGAAAAATAAACTGGGCAGTGAGAAAATTCCCACAGTGGAAAATGAGCCTCTGACATATCTGACATGCTGCTAATTCCTGATGTCATTAACTCTAGTCCCTTTAATCTCACAGGACTTTGAATGATCCAGAGGGATTTTTTTTTTTTTGATCGTCTTTCTGAAAAAAAAAAAAGAGCAAAAGAGAGAGAGAGAAACAAAAACAGATGAACTGATAACCCAGACATGGTCTACAGGGGCTGAACATTTCAGGAGGATCAGTAACATTCGTTATTAATTTCCCAGAGTCAAACATGTGACATCCTCGATCACAGTGCCTTGAAAAAGTATTCATACTCCTTGAACTTTTTCACATTTAGTCACTCTACAACCACAAACATAAAAGTATTTTATTGACATTGTTTGTCATAGACCAACACAAAGTAGCACATAACTGTGAAGTGGAATGAAAATTATACATGTTTTTTTAAAACATTTTAACAAATAAAAATCTGAAAAATATCCAAAGCTTGCAGCTGTAATTGCAGCAAAAGGTGGCTCTACAAACTATTGACACAGGGGGGCTGGATACAAATGCACACCACATTTTTCAGATTTTTATTTGTTCAAATTTTTTAAAACCATGTATCATTTTCATTCCACTTCACAATTATGTGCTATTTTGTGTTGGTCTGTGACAAAAATATCTCAATAAAATACTTTTAAGTTTGTGGTTGTAGAGTGACAAAGTGTGAAAAAGTTCAATGGGTATGAATACTTTTTCAAGGCAATCTATATTTAAGCAAGTGGCTTAAAATGATGTCCTCACTTTATTTTCATTTAATTTCATTTTTCCAATACACTGACTGGAAAGGTGCAGAATGAAGCAAACTTATAATTTTTAAAGAATAAAGGTAGATTTAAAAATGTGCAGTGCCCTTCAGTTATTATGTTTGTATAAAAGTCAAATTTATCTGTAGACAAAATTATGTTATAAATAGTTAGAAGGTGCAGGATTAGGTTGTTGAACCACTAAACTTTAACAGGACGTGAAAACTGTAATCGACCTGATACATACACACTATTCGTACAGTCAAGACTCAAACACATGAAAGTTGGCCCTTCAGTAGGTTCACAGTTTTGTAATATGTGTTAACAACACTTAGGCTTGTGACTGCGAAGTACGTTTATTGAGGTGGTTGATACTGAAGGAGGAAGTCAGAAGTAAGTCAGTTTTGCCTGATGAGAAAAAGAGTTGAGGCGCAGCTGGGTTTTAATATTAATCACACATGGGTGCTTTTTTTGGATGCCTCAGGCTTGTTGCGCTTGTTTCATCTTGCTGACGATCGCCCTGGTGAAGGCCTGAGTAAGTGTCAAAGCCATTTTAATCCATCCTGAAGGTTTGCGTTGGTTTTCTCAAATGAGAGGGAGTCATATGTTTGTTTTGTTGTTCTTTTAATTTCATGTCAAAAATGCTTTTAGCTAACTCAACTGTAACATTTCATTTTTCTTGTGAATAATGATGTTTGTACAGATTTTCCCTGAACCAGATGGAGCTTTAGTCAGCAAAAACTCTGGCATCCAGGCTATCTTGCAGTGACAAAAACACATGTTACAGTCTATTTATTTAGATAAATAATAATGTTTTTACACGTCATAAAAACTACTTTGAAGTTTGGATGGATCTCTTTTAACCACTCGTCTTCTCATCTCCCCTCCATGTTAGGGTTTAGAGGCTGCAGCGAGGAAACAAGGAAGACACAAGCAGAGAATCTGGTTGAAAGTTTCCTCCAGCGGCCTGAAGATTACGGATGAAAGGACCGGGGTTAGTGACACTGGCTCATTCCCACCTAATAGCGCCCCCCTCAGCGTGACAGTTTAGGTTGAAAAGTTTCTGACATGTAACCACAAAGATACCTGTGGTTTTTCCAGTTGACTGAAAATACTTGTAAACACTTAGTCGAATTTCTCCAGAAAATGTAGATTATTCATATAACAGCCATAGACCATGACCTTTCATGAAAGGTCAAAATCTGATTTCTTTTTCACCTGGAAGCATTTTATTTGGCATTTACACTTCCTCTTATTTATTGTTTTCTTCCAGTTTATATTTTTGTCTTTTTATATCTGTGTTCAGAAAGGATAGGACAGCAGGAACCGGGAGAGTGAGTGAATAATGACACACTGTAGGTTGTTTCCTTCAGGCCTAAAGCCTTTGCACATTCATAACCTAACCACTGGGCCGAACTGGCGCCCCACATTTCCTGTTTTAATTATAGAGAGGAATGAAAACGTGTTGAATGAAACAAGGAAGTATAGTTTTCCATGTAAAATTGAAACCACACTTTATTTTCATGCTAGTCAAAAGTTTTGGTTCCTCTTCAGGGTTGAGTGTTAGTTCAAACATTACAACCTTATTCTTAAGATTTCCTAATACTACTTTTTCCTATGTTTGTTTTTTAACCAAAAGATGAAATCCTTTTTGTCTCCTTTTGATAGGCTGTTGTTTACGACCACGACATGACCAGGATCAGCTCTTTGATCAAGGATGAATCTGACCCAAGAGCTCTGGCCTACGTCTACCAATACCAAGATACCTGCTTGCTCTTCTACATCAAGATGGCCAACCTGGTATAACAACACAAATAATACATGAAAACATATGAGAAGTGTTACATTAGACTATACAGTATACACGGAGCCAGTTTATCTATAATATGGAGCTAATTTAAGGCTAAAATGGTGAAATACTCTCTTTCAAAAATATGGGAACACGATGAAGGTTTGAAATTCACTAAAAAGCTAAATTTTAACCTCCATGTCATCCCCATCTTACCTTACCTCAATTTGACTGATTGTGTTGTTATATTTTTAAGTTAAATATTGTAATAGTCACATTATTGCAATATTTAAGGGCCATGAAAACCATGAGGTGAGTCTGATATGGTAATAGCCCCACTTTGAACCATATCAAGACCCCTCTCAACGTCTGCTGGCTATTACACTGAAGTACTGCTGTTTCTGTCTCTGATCCAAATCTGATGTTTCATCTGTGTTTTTCAGGCAGATCCAGTCCTGACAGATATCAAGGAGGTTCGTCAGGGTGTGAACCAAGAGACACCACAGGAGCCCTCAGAGCCGCCGCCACCACAAGTGAGAGAAACTCCTCTTGTGTTTGAATGAGTGTTTTATTTTGTCTAACCCTGTTTGTCTGCTTTTACAGAATAACTCTCTGCTGCTTCTAAATGATGGTCCAGCCCCAGATCCTCAGGTAAATGACAGAGTTACGCCTGATTGTTGAACATCACTTTGAATAACTCTCCTCTTTTCATCAAATGTTTGTTTCCTTTCAGGTGCCAGTTTTGGAAGATGTGTTCAGCCCACGCCTGGACGCTCCATCAGAACAACCAAATATAGTAATTGAAAACACAATAAAATACAAAAATAAAAAGTTTGTTTGATTTCAAGATACATGATGTCAGATATATAAACATTTCTTCCATTCTACCATATAACAAGACTGTGTTTTATTTATCTATCTCTTCCTGCACAGGCGTCTTCCAGTAATGAGCTGATGGAGGTTTTTTCCATCCAGATGCAGGATCCTCTAGTTCCTCCTCAAACCTCTTGTGCCAGTCATTCCAGTGAGCCAGGTGAGTTTTAACACAAGATCAGTCTGGAGCTGTTTTTGTGCCGATATGATATTAAAATACCTGCTATCATCATTATACTGCACAGTTTTTTGTTTTTATTTGTTTTTCCCAGACAATTTGGGATCACTAACTTCACTCCTGTTGACAGGTGTTTTTAACCCCTTCCCCCATTTGGCAGTCGGAAATAATGTCTTTATACTGCAATGAAAGAAGAGAGATTTTCAAGCTGTATTTTTTAAACTGTCTACTTCTGTTGGGTTTAGTTTGAAGATAGCTGCTGTAAGAATTCTGCACAAAGAGCCTCACTCGGCTATTTGCCTTCCCAGAGAAAGCTACAAGTTCCTGGGTTGGATTACGTAACATGCAAATTATAGTAACATCAACACACAAGGCTACTCTGTCATAAATCTATGGGCTATAAAGCAGATATTCACCACTTCCCTTTTACCAACCGCTGGCTGACTTACTGTTGCCAATCTTCAGTGTTGTTTAGTGATCCACTCTGTGGTGAAGGAACTGGTTGAATTGCTCCAAGAAGACAGAAGTGGTCAAATCCTGCACTGAAAAATTCACTGCATTATTTTTCTAACATCCAATGACAAAACCTCAGTCGGCAGAAGATTACAGATATGGGCTTCGTTTGACTTCAATATGACATCTGACTTTTGACCTGGATGTGTCAGAGAAATTTGCAGTGCCCCTAAATGCACACAAAACTTTCCCATGATCCCCCCGCTCAATTGCATAATCCCCTTGGTGCAGCTGATAAGGAGTTAAGTGGCGGTCAAGTTATATTTTGGGGCATTTTTTCTTGCATTTGACAGGACAGCTGAAGAGAAAGAAACTTGAGGAGATGTTATGCAGCAAATCGCCATGGCCAGGGGTCAAGCTAGCGGCTGCTGCAACAAGGAAAAAAACCTCTGTTTGTGTGGCACATGTTTATGATAGGACAAGGACCTCAGTCAGACAAGTGTTGATTTAACAAGCATACAGAATGAGACAGGAATGGGTGAAAATGTCCACTTTGTATATTTCAACCTGTCACAGTTCATCTCTGTAACGGTGAACTAACAAATCGGTGTTAAAGTTTCTTCTTTTTCTCTTTTCTTTTCTCTCAGAGCCTCAAAAGCCGGTGCTCTCCACCTCTCAGATCCTCTCCATGTTCCCCACACAGCCATTCGGTGGTTCTCCATACTCCACTCCCCCGTACTCTCCCACCACCATGCCCTGGGGCCAGCAAGGCCCTCTGGGAAATCAGTGGGTGGGACAAGCCGTGCCACCCTGGCCCACAATGCCCAACAATATGGCAGCAACATGGGCACCAGGAGCACCCCCTGCTGGTGGTCAGATCCAGGTTCTAGGCTCTCAACCCCAAGTCATGGGAGGGGGAAACCCACCAGTTTCACCCACTGCTGTTAACGGGCACCCCACCGCCTTTAACCCTCTTTTGTACCCCCCTGGAGCAACAGGAGCTCCACAGCCAGTGTCTCCAAACTTTGACCAAAACTTGAGCTGATTCAAACGGTAAAACTTCATCAGCGTCAGAGCAAAATGTCATATGGATTTATGTCTTTTAATTGACAGGTTTACAGGCTTCCCTCTTATGTTTTATTTATATCTACAGAGTCACTTAATAACACTGTGCTGTAAGCTTTTAATCAGCTTAAATATTGAGGTGTTTTCAGGCCTACACTGGTTTGCCAGTATTCCTATTATTGACAGCTATGGTAGAGCTTCATTAGAGACGTTAGAGCGAGCATTACAAATGTAACTACCAACATCAAATACTAAAAAAAAGCTTTTCATCAAGAACTAAATGTGAAGGTGAATCTAGTTCTTTTCGTCTATCATCTAATATTTGTTCCAGAAAACGTGAAGATTGTAACAATCAGTCAAACCCACGATGAGTGTAACAGTATCACAAACATCTTCAGTCTGTAAAAACTGGAAAATAGTGGGATTTAAGTATCAGTTTCACACTTAATGCCTTAAGCTGTTGAGTTAAATTGAAAAGCATAATTACAGTAACACTAATCCTACTATATTGTATTTTTCCCTGTTTTATTTGATATTCTGTAAAAACCTCTTCCATGTATTGTCCATTAAAGTCGATTTTATATATCAGATATCTTAAAATAAATTAATTTAATCTCATTTTGGTTTCTATAGAAGTTTGACTGTGCATATTTCTGTATCTCCGTTTAGTTTTTGCTCATTTTAATTTCTTTGCTTGTTTCTGACTTGAACCAAAGTACGTGTCCCGGGCGATTCTTCTTATTGACTCATGTAGGAAACCATTTTAGTTTTTATCCAAATTGACATGATTGTATTTCAGTTCCTACATGTTACAGATAATGATTTCTCTATAAAAATGGTTAACTTTGTTGCTGGTTGTCTTGTCTGCTTTTTAATATCCTATAAAAGCATTAATGTGAATTTTAGTCTGTTTCATGAGAGAAATGAGAGAAACTTTACAGGCTGCAATCTCCTGTTCCTCTTGCATAGTCCCATGCTGTGTGCTGTCAGTCACCTTGTAGCACGCGTCGTATTTCAGAGCATTTCCTCATTTGCCATAAGTTCAGTAAACACAGGACGTGCAGGTGTCTCTGCAGCAGAAGCATCAGCCTGGGTACTGTTTCACTGTTGGACATGGAGTACTTTATCCATCACTAATTCATCACAACAGGGCAATATGGTAAGAAACTGTTATTAGCTATTTAATTTGAGAGCCTTATTTTATTTAAAGATATAAAAAGTAGTACTTTGTGACTCCTTTATAGAAACTCACACTTCTCTTCATGTGTGAGCTGTTTGATTTTGGCCATTTCCTCCTGACCATTGAGGTGTCTTTGACAAACGTGACTGCTGTGGACAGATTTAACCCTAACACTGTGGGTAAAACCTCAGTATCTAACTGTCTCATAACTTAATTTATTCTCTTAAAATCACTTTTAAATACTCTAACCAGGTTTATAATTCTATAACATATGACATGTTAAGACAGCAGATCCAAACTAAAACGACAGGGTTGTTTTTCAGTCTTACTTTTCCTGTTAGATTGTGTTTCTTAAATTGAAAGAGGAAGTTTCAGTTGGATGAAAGAAATCTTTATTACACACAACTATCACAGGTTAATGATTAACAGTGTACTCAGTAACTCTTTACTTTCCCGTCTATCCTTCTAGCCTCTTTTACCTGGTTTTTAAGCCACGATAACTAATGTGTGATATTTACCGTTTTATAAACAACCCTGTGTTTCTTTAGGTTTTGTACATACTGGTGTGTACAATATGCAAAGACTTTGACCATCGTGACTTTAAAACTTCAGCATGGGCAGATAACATATTGTATTTGCAAAAACATGCAAACTATTCATAAACAAATGTATACATTGAATGTTTGTTTTTCTCTCCTATACAAAGCTTGGTCTGTACAGCGTCTTTGTTCGCAGGTAAAACATGTCTGATAAGCTGCCATGTTAAGTCTTTATAGAGGGAAAATCTTGGCTTTCACCCAGTCAAAGATTATTACAAAAATAAGAGAAAACTTTATTCATGCTAATTTATTTGACTTTCTTTATTTGGTGCATATTCTCACAATTTTCTGCAGCACACCTGCGCAGCTTCACTCTGTGGTAAAACTTTTAAAACATCTGTGTTAATGCGTCAGTCTAAAGCAGGCAGCGCCTGACATGCAGCGGACCCCCCTTCAAGTGTGTGTGTGTGTGTCTTGTGGTAAGGAGGATAGGTTTTTGTAAGTTTCTTTTGCTTCTTGTAAAATGAGAGATGTCTGCACTGCAAGCTGAGCTTTCAGCTCATTGGTGCAGGAGCAATAGTGGGGGATAGCGTTTCTATGGAAACCGCCACAGAATGCTAGCTGAGGTAAAGAGATGTGTGTGGTTGTAAGAACTTCCTGCTCTTCTTCACAACCTCTCTTGCAACCTTACATTTCCAGAAATACAGACGGTGGAACTTCCAATTCAAACCATCGTGTTTTAGATGTTGACAGAATGAGAACTGGGAGAGTTCGGTTATGATAACACCTTTTTTCCATATAAGTTTCGTTCTTATGTTTGATCTATGTGTTTCTCTTTTAAACTGCCTTTCTCACTCTGTCCTCGGTCGCTGAACCCAACAACAATAGTGCTCTGAAGACAGAATGACATTAGGTTTCTTACAATGTAATGAGATTGAATCTTGATTTTCTCATCTTTATAAAAAACAAGAAAAAAATGTGATCTACTCCTGCAGATTCATTGATTGTTAGTTGAATATTGACATTATCTCTGCTTGTTCACTGCATTAGCTCATTTCTTTGGTTAGTTCCTCATTCAAACTGATTTGTCAGATTACACATAATCCCTGAATAACACTGCAGAGACTCTTTAAACTGAAAGCATTAGTCCTGACTATCATTACTATAATTCTACCATAATGATTTCTTTGTTAAAAACCGCATTTCTTTATTTTTTTTCTTTTTTTTAAACTGGTTTAAATGGTTATTTGAGTCAAATGTTCTGACCGTTTAATCCAAATCACGATAGCCCGGTACATTATAGTCCTCTTTAAAGCATTGGATTTAGGCAGAGGTAATGTGATGTACCCCGTAGAGACATTTCTTTTGTCATAATAATGTGTGTCTTAGTTGTGAGAACAGGTATATGGGTTTTCTAGAGAGATAAATGTTTCTTATATACTGGACCAAGCTTTATGCAAGTCTCTCATCCACCCTCTTGACAGTCATGCACTCATCAGAACCAGCCGTGCAGCTCTGTTTTGGATCTTATTTAGCTCTTGTCTTGAAGCGCTGAAACAGATACCTGTACATTCAATCACAGTTCAGTCTGAGCAAACATGAGCTCAGAACCATAACATTTACTCCAAGCTTGGTGACTTAGCTCCTTCTTTTTTTCTGTGCAGTACCCAATAGATGGTGTCGTGCTTTAATCCCAGATCTAATGAATGGTACTGAATCAAATGTGTCAACAGGAGATCTGTTTTGGTCCCCAAAGAAATGTGAGGACAGGCATTCTTCCCACTACTTGTTGCTGGGCTGGGATTTGCTGTAAATGTGTAAATGTTTACTGTAAGCTCCTTACATCTGGACCAAGTTAGCTCCAGTAATCTCTGCTCTGCTATTGTTGCCCCAAAGTCAACAGGTGATGAAATTGGCTCTCCCTTTGACCTATTTTCTCTGGTTAATGAGTCCAGAGTGTGTAAAAAACAGAAACATAAGTCCACTGCTTTACAGAAACACAGAAATCAGTCAGCACTCATCTCCTGTATTGTAAGGAGGGAGAGCACATATGCAGCTTTATAACGAGAGTGGACAGAGGCCTGAAGGCACAAATGTTGAAGTGATTGCGCCCCGTACTGGGAATATGTGATGATCAGTAATTATAATTCCTCGTAATAATATTCCTCCCTAACTCAGCAGTGGCTTGGTGGCTGCATAAGTCTGGTCCTTCCCAAGATTTCTGCCTGTTAAAAGATCGTTTTTCCCCGCCACTGTCACTCATATCAGATGAAATGAGTAAATCTGTCTCATCTTATGGTTGGGTCTTGATCATTCATCAAACATCTAGACCTGCTCTTTCTCTTTGGAAAGCGTCTTGGGATGACGACTGTTGTGAATTTGCGCATTATAAATAAAATTTGATTGATTGATTGATTGATTGATTGATTGATTGATTGATTGATTGATTGATTGATTGATTGATTGATTGATTGATTGATTGAGTAAGACACGTTGTAGATTCTGAATATATATTTTCAGTTATCAACTTTCTCGCTGTTAAAAATATAGACCAGTCAGTTCCTTCAAAAATCTGTATAGACATTGAGGCCTGATTTTTTAAAGTTGGACTCAGTTAATAGTTTTCACCGTGTACATTTGCTAATCACTGCAGTGGCACACCTGGAAAATTACTCACATTGACTTGTATCTAAATCTGAATAACTGAAGAAATCTTATTCAGTGACAGTGTTTCATTCTCCTTGTGGAGTGTGGTGAGGTAGCGCCCTCTCTTGACCAGCCGCCTCTTCAGGTGTGTGACCTATGACAGAAAAAAACAGTCTTCTTCTCTCGGGGACTGAAAATCGACTGAGGTCAACCATAGGCTGTGTGGCTGAGAGCTGGTGTTTCAGTTCAGCTGACAGGAGCACAGCAGGGACTCATATGTGCACTTTTCCTGTTTGAGGTTGTGTTTTGACTAAGGACTTGTTCATTTAAAGCAGGAATCAGGAAAAGCAGCTGAATGGGTCTATGACATGTAATCCCAGAGTTCTTGAACAGACAGCAAACTAAGCACTGTTAAAACTCCATAAAGCGATGTCTTCATAATAAAAGTCCCTGTACATATCCCCATGGAGATACTTTTATTATGAAACAGAAACAAAAGGAAATCTAATGTTTTTAACAGCTGACATTGACATGACTTAAATAACGACAATATATTTCTCTGCTCTCACAGGCAGACATGACATGACCTTGATTTGGGAGATGTCAGTGAATTTACAGAGGTGACCACAAAACTATACAGGCTGAGAAAGGCAGCAACCTACACATTTTTCTCTTGAAGCACAAAATCACAAAATATTTAACATACAGTAGGTCCAGAGCAGCAGTGGGTTTTGTATGAATATTATGCAGTCTTGTCAAACATCTACATGCCTAAGTAAAAAACAAATCCCCACTTTATGACCGTGTCACTCAAAAATAAGTTATATCATTTAATTGAAAGAAGAACTTACAGCAGAAATTTGACATGAAATTGCATAACATCTTATGACAGTGGTTCTTTTTTTAAATGATGACCTGTTCCTCGACGATCACCCGTCTATAAATACAGAGCAGAGTTACTCTGTGCCGCAGCAGGGTGCAGTTTTATGCAGTGTAAGAAACCAGACAGGAAATGACTTCTTAACATCCAGTTTGAGAAAAGCAAGCAAAGACGCTGACATCTGATCACAAACTGAAAACTGGTCGAGTAATTGAAGTAAATGCCAATATCTTCAGTAAGTGGAATTAATTTATAGCCCTTCACTTGTGCACAAAAAATGAATTATTGATACAGAGAATAATAATAAAAAACACTGCAGTAAAAACAACAAATTCAACATTGACTACATAACAGAATTCCCCATTATAAAGCAGGTTTAGTTTATATGAGTGACCTGTAAGAAGTGGTGGGCAGAAACTAATCAAATTCACTGACAATAGCTTTTTGTGTATTTGTACTTTTTTGAGATTTTTTTTTAATTAATCAGAGAAACTTTGTTTTTACAAATCCAACACAATTTTCCAATCACAGTGAGGTCGACGGGGAACCACAACCTGATGTCCATCAATGAGTAATCTACACAACACCAGCTCAGAGACAGAGCTGTGAATACAGTAGGCAGGAACTTTCTATTAAGTGAAATACGACTTGAAAAGATTCATGGTGTGTTGGTTTGAAATCTGATCAAAGTTACTGTACTTTCACTTGAGCTGATTATTTTAGTTCTCTTTCTACCTCTGCCTGTAAGTCATGTGACTGCTTTTATCAGTTTTGGTTTGAATGTTACAACCACTTTGAAACCCAAATACAGAAGATGTAAACAGGACTACCATCATGTATACAGTACATCTGCTTTAAAAAGACAGTGTAGAGAGTTACCTGCTTTGTCTCGGCATGCATCAAATGCTCAATAAACACTAAAATAACTCGGATCTAAAGGCAGAGTTATAAATATGAAACAAGAAAGTCTCAGATATTTCCTCACTGTTTGTGATGGATGGCTGCTCACCTGTCTGTACGGATCTGCTCAAGCTTTTTTGCACCTTAAATAAAGGTTTTCTTCCTTACTGTCACTAAGTGCTCGCTTGTGTTGCATTAATGATGTATCTTTGTAAACAATATTACAGAGAATACTGTAAATCTGCTCTTTGTTTAAAACTTTGGTTAGGATTGGGCATTTTAAATCTAAAGGTAACTTGACTGATTGATTAAATTGAATCTCTGTATCAGATAAATTAATTTAGCTCTTTAAAGCGTCACCTTGAAGAGTTTTGATAAACCTGAACCTCAAAAGAAAGTTGGTCAGAAATATCAGTTTATCCTCTGGTATGTAAATCAGTCTGGTAGTATTTATAATAACTCCTGTTTGCCAATCTTCCTGTTCATGAAGCTCTCATAAAAGTGTTTTGCACAGAGTCAGGGGAGGATTTTCACTTCTGTAGAGATCAAAACAACCAGGAAGCTGTTGTTGCACAGTGTTTTCTCACTTTGTAAAGATAGCATGGAGGTTTGACGGGCTGTGCGTGTGTTTGTGAGCGTGGGGGGCATGCCTTGCTGTGCTGCTAACTTCCTGCTTCTGAAACAGAGTTGCTTCACTTCCAGAGTTTGTGTGTCTGTGTTGTTCTCAGGAGGAGAGCATCGATGTCAAGGCCTTGAGGGCCCGCTTCAACAACAAGGCCAGCACCTCGGACAACAGCAGTCGGGACAGCGGCTCCCCCAAGTCTCCAAGACCAGGGTTCGGGAGACCAATCCTGCCAGTGACAGAGAACGATCTGAACCATCACAGACTGTCCCCTTCAGTTCCTCCTCCATTGGCTGGTCCAGGCTTCGTGAAGTTCCCCAGATCAGAAGTGATGGCGGCTTCAGCACCTCCAAGATCTCCTTTCCCGCCTAGACCACCTCCAAATCCTGGAAGCAGAGTGCCAGTCCAGCCGACAGACACTAGTAACGTCAAGCAGACTGGGGAGATGCTACAGAACATGATGCTGAGACATCAGAGACCTCCAGGAACTAAATCAGCTCCTGCTCCTGTTCCTGCTCCTGTCCCTGCTCCTGTCCCTGCTCCTGTCCCTGCTCCTGCACGTCCTCATGCCTCCACCCCTTCACAACTCCAGCAGCAGTCCCGGCTAAGGAGCACAGGGGATGTGACCCCGCTGAGAAGACCCTTGCCCCCGGAAGGACCCTTACCTTTAAAACCCAAAAGGCCCCCTTATGTGAACCTGGAGCCCTTCCTTCGGTCGAACCCAGTACCAGCTCTACCTGGACAGAGAAAGCCGGACAGTAAGTCTCTGAGTTTTATTTCTTCAGTTATTTTAGTCTTATTCAGTCCACTTTGGAGGGGACACACCCAGTTCCTATAGTTGAGTGAGAGTTAAGTGAGTGTCTGTCTGTCTGAATGTTTGTAAAGGCTGGATCATTGAGCTCTTTTTCACATGAAAAAAGATATGACCAAAGTTCTGCTAGTTTAAGAAAAAACTCTAAAAAAATCTTAAAAGTTTGTAAATGATGCAAACAAGCAAATACATTCATCTCTCCTCTGAAGGAACATTATTATTCGTCATTTGAAGGAAAAAGCAAAGCGTATAAACAACATTTGGTGGTTTTTATTTCATTATCCTTCTCTTGTGCATGTCATGGTCAGAACACTTATACAAGACTAGAAAATACTTCAGCTTTTGAGTAAGACATGCATCTTTTCTGACTTGAAAAATCTGAATGACAGCTGAGCAAAAAAGTCCCAAAATAAAGCACCAATTGTGTTATTTTCCATTTAAAATTATTTCCTCATGTTAATTTGAGAGAGAAAATTATTTTAAATAGGACAGTTGCAGATTATTTTTGTAGTTTTTTGAAGAAATGAAAAGTTTGCAGGAAACTTTGGTTGATAAGATGATACATTTACGAATCTAAATGTAACTGTGCAGGTAAAAATCAAATCATGAATTCATTACAGCAGCATTTAAAGAGGACATTTTTGGCAAACCAAAGTGCTCTTTATCCATAAATAGAAAACTGTGATTAAAAGCAGTAATATCAACATAAACATGTGGGAATTTCTCTAAATAAAGACCTTTTTTTAACTCTCTCAGGTTCTTCATTTTCAGCTGTTGGAAAGATTTCTTCACCTTCACCTGTCAGTCCTCCAAAACTTCCCCAAAGACCCGTCAAACCCAGGCTGCCGCACCAAGTTGCCTCAATGTGAGTGTTTCATCACTTCACGGGATGCTGGATTCATCACACTCTGTGGATGTGACCAACAGGATAGTATACGCAGAACAAAAAAAAGGATTAATTCAATTTTTCCATTTTTCCAAAACTTATGTAATTTTAAAACAAACTACTACTCCTTGATGAAATAAGTTTAGTGTTTCCGTCACAGCTGTCATGTTTATAATCTGGCAGACAGGAAACTGAGATATACAGTCTTTTCAATATAACAGTTATGGGGCAAATATACTTTTGGATTCACCCTATTGAGGATAAAATGTTCAAAGACTACAAGTCAAAGTTGAATTTAAAAAAAAGAGCAACATGCAGCAACATTTTTTAAATGTTTGTAGTATCCAGGTGTAAAGTTGCCTCACCACAAGCCAGGACAACATTATTTCACAGATTTGACTTTTACCGTTACCTGACACATAAGATGAAAGCACAATTACATCAAATCATCATTGTCGGGTGAAAAATCAGGTCTAAGTAACGACTAGGTTATATTTTGAAGGAGGCTGGAATCAAGTTTTAAAATCATTGATAAATCAAAGATTGATAATTTCACTTTTTTTATTATTACGGCAGAGACATTCAGGACGGCCAGGACACCTATGATGATGTTGGGAGCTTTGAGAAGAGTGGTAAGTATTACAGCCTGTTTACTTTTACATTAAAGCATGTACTTTAATTTTACAGTTCTTAATGTCTTAAACACTTTAAAATTTAAATTTAAAGCATTGTGACGAGTAATTTATTTACAGCATCTTACAAAGGATAATGGTCGACTATTTAAAGATGTAAAGCACACCTCTTCTGTCTTCATTTCACTTCACAGAGTCCTGGAGTGACAACAGTTCACACTGTTTGGACGAGGTAAGGACAAAAAAATACAGCAAAAATGTATTTTAATATTAAATGTGAAGCTGTAGTCTGTTTCAAAGGAATACCTTATCATGCTGGTAAAATTATACAGTCAAACTTTTATTCAACACTTTACTTTTCTTCTTCCATTGATTAGTTTTCCTTGTTTTTGATGTATTAATGGTCTCTTATCCTCTATAGGAAGATGACGAGGTGTATGAATCTATTGATGAGTGAGTATCTTTCTTCCTTCACCGTTGCGCTTTGGCGTCGTGACAGCTCTGGTGGTTAACAGCTCTACCGGCTAAAAGTAGAGACTGGCTGCAGCAGCATGAATATGAGGCAGGGCATTGTTCACAATATTTGAAATGTCGAATGTTATTTTTACACCTACCGCAAATACATTTAAAGCATGTATAAAAACCACTAACCCTGCAGCCTCTACCAACATGTGACAGAAGAAGTTCTCAGATGTTTGTTTGTTTTTTTTAATCTATATTTATTTAGAAGTAGTGTCACCACAACAGTGTAGAAGAAAAACAACCAAAAGGTTGGTGGTTCAATCCCCTGTCCTGGGGTCCTCATAGATAAATGAGAGTATTTTAATTGCAAAAACAGACACGAGTATCGTCCGCTGTTCAGAATCTTTTGTCAAAAGTAGTCTTATTACGCTGTCTCTGTTTGTATTATCTCCTCACTGTCTGTTCAACTTGCACCAGCTTTGAACAAACAACCTCCTCACCACTTTCCTGCCTGTCAGTTTGTACTTAAACTGGGATTAAAACCCAGAATCTCCCCACAGTGAGGGAGCCGTGCTGAACACCACGCTCATGTGCCACCTGTCAGTGCTTAGATTTAATATAAGGTCATCTTGGTGGTTTGAAATCATGCCCAGCTGTCCAGTAGGATGAAGCCAGAATGATAACTCCACACAGGACAATCCCTTACCATGTTTTGGGCCCCAAACCTGTTTATTCTGAGGCAGCAAGCTTACATCAAACTAATGCACACCTCGGCATTTTAGGTTTATCACCTTAAAGCACACTCTGGTAACTCAAAATCATTGTCTGCTTTGGAGCCTTTTGCTCTCAGACGTCTCTGCAGGGCCCTGTGTCTTTAGTTCCATCTCCTTACTAGAACATCGTGATCATTCAAAAGTGTGAACTTTTTTTTCCAGAAGTAGAAAGTTTATGATATCTTTGCTTTACACTGATTGCCCCCTGCTGGAATTCAACACTAAAATGAGCTTTCTCTTCTGCCTTGTTATGCCCACTTGTTCCTTTATTTCCTTTATACTACGATAACTCAAAAGTGTGCTCATTACTTAATTTAGAGGCAGGCTCTACATTCCTGTGGGCCATATTTACAATGCCAGGTTATACGCTGACTGCCTTTAATCTCAATGGCTATCTAGGAGCTGTGCTCACCCTTCATGAATCCAAGGTAGTTTCAAACTTGTTTCCACAGCCTGTGTTCACTCTCTCTCCTTTCTGATTTCTTTTTTATACCCACAATTTCCTTTTTCTAGCAGTAGACACAGTGCTCCAGCTTCAGTCACTTTGTTCATTTGTTTGCAGTCAGACAAATCTGTTTGGGGGCAGATTACACCATTTTGTGCCTCATGAAGGAGACTCCACTTTTTGCACAGATTAAGAGTACGGCACTTTCTAAATCCTAATTTTCTCAGACCGTTGTGGTACCCTTGAAAGTTGTGTCATAGAGAGAGAAAAAATTTAAAACTACATTTCTATTTCAGGTCGATTAAGGCCTGTTTCCACGTTCCCCCCACACTTTGGCACCTGTGTTTGATGCATTGACTAAATACAAATCAATAATTTTCTTACTTTATTTGCTGCCTTAAAGAGACCACGTGGAATTAAATCGAGCAAACGCCGAGAAGAAAAACAAAAAGGAAGAAAAAAAGCGACGTGAGCAGGAGAAGAAAGAGAAGATGGAGCGCCAGAAAAAAGAAAATGAGTTAAAGAAGAACTTTCAGGTCAATATCAAACATTTATTCTTCACGAAACTCTGAGCTCTATCTATGTTAGTTCATCAAATAGACTCTCTTTTGGCCAAATCTGGCAAGAATGATGACAAGTATAAATGATTTATCTATTGCATCTCCATCCAGAGTGTTATCCATGTGGAGTGCCATCTTTCAAAGCTCTGTTTGTCCTTCTGTAGTTACAAGGAGAAGTGGAGGTTCTTCATACAGCCAGAGTCAGGCATGACTGGAACGGAGGAGGAAAACTGGACCTCAGTGTTCGACAAGGGGAGAGTGTGGAGATCCTCCGCGTGAAGAATAACCCTGGAGGCAAATGGTTAGCTCGCTCTCTGAACGGAACCTGTAAGTTTAAGCTCCAATTATGATTTTCAATTGATTAAAAACCCTGAAGTCTGAACCTTCCCCTGTGCATTAAGGGGGGGGTTTGACAGCTGTGCTGAAAATGTGCCTTTCAAAAGAGAAGATTCAATTATCAGTTCTTTGCAGGGTGACCTGTGGAGCCCAGTTCAGTCAATATCAGGCAGCAGTTCTGTGCTCAGGACGCCCACGGTAATCAGTTTACTGCAGGTTTACACTCCCATGTGACGATGTGCATGTTTCAATTTGCACAGAAATACTTTAGATTCTGTTCAAACTAGGGATAACTTTATACCTGCTTGTGGTAGGAGAGTTGGTATTTTGGCAAAATTGGAGCTTTGGTTTTAAACTTTACTTTTGTAAATTGAAAGATTTAGGAACCAGCTTCCTGTGTAAGTTAGGTGTATGTTTGTCTTTGTACTTAAGAGGACTAGTTTAAATCTACATCCTTAGATCTTCAGATCCTTTTTTCCTTTTATTGGTTTCCTGAAAGAACTGTTATCCACCATGACTCTGAACGTGTGCAAACATATGATGTACTTTTTTATGCAGATGATATTAACTCTATCTGTCAAACTAAAAAAGTTCCAGCGGCCTGATCCCTAACAACTTTTACACATCTTTCTTCCTGAAGTTTTCTATGAGCATTCTCTATATCTCATAAATAACATAACCTTTTTATCAGACACAACGTCCTAATTTAAGAAAACAATAAACAGACTGAAGACAGTGAAGAATTCAAGTAAGTTAATCAGAGTAGAATCACCTTGGCCAAGAAACTGAGGCTGATTTTAGCCTGAACAATAAAAATGTGTTTAAAGTCACTTGAATTTATACTTTTTCACTACTGAAGGACAGGTCAACTAAAGGTGACTTTAAAAAAATACAATCTCCAATTTTCAAAGCAGCTAAATTGAGCAGTTTTAAGATGTTTAGGTGCAGTGAACGGGCAGATCTTGGTTTAAAATCACTGGATAAGAGTTGCTCAGTTCAGTCAGAGTTCTTGTAAACACCAGAGCAAAGATCTGCATGTTGAAAATCTTGTGTTGAAACTGTGGGCCTCATTCTTTTTAAGTCATCCTCGGACCTCCTTCCTCTTTCTCCTGCATTTAAAACCATTTCACAAATTCCTCATGTACAAAATATGACTAAATCACGTCAAAAGTGCTGTTCTTGTGACTGATTCTAACATGATAAATGCTTCAAAAATCCAATGTTATGGTGTAAACTCTTTCAAAAATAATGACTTTTTAATGAACTGTCGATTTACAGCTAAATATAAATTACTTTTGTGGTTTTATTTTGAAACACAGTGAAATTTTCATACTTTATTTACACTTTGCACGGGATGAGTCTATGCCCATTCATGCTCTGCATCTTTCTACATATAAGTCCTTTTTTTCCTTGCTGTATTACCTTGCAGACGGATACATCAGTAACACGTGTGTGGATGTTGACTATGAAGCAGTGAAGCGCAAAATACTCCAGTCCAGAAAACCAGAAACATCGGCGTTACCTCCACCACCTCCAGACCCTCCAATGATGATCAACCTAGATTCAAATAACAGAGACAGGTTAGATCCCACTTTGTTATCGAAGCTTTGTTATAGTGAAATATGAAAAAAATACCAAGTTGATTTGGCCTTTCAGTGATTTATCACTCTGTAATTTTACCCATAAGCTGAGCCTATTGTGGTTGTATTACCCAGTTTCACTCCAACATGCTCTGATTAAGAATGTTTGTCTCTAATTCGCAGCATACTTGAAGATGACAGTAAGTTACCGCCCACTCTCACAACTGAAATTTATTGAGAACCTCATTTTTTGCTTTATTTCCATTCATTTTTATTTCTGTTTCGTCTGTAGATGACTATGATGACGTTCAACCACTGTCTGAGGATTTCCCCCCACCACCACCTGAAATAAGGTATTTACTCACATCTGGTTTACGCAATGAGGACAGGATATGAAAGTTTTAGATGCTAGCCGCTTAACGCAGCTGACACTGAGACTTACTTTTGTTAATGGAACTAAAAAGTTTAGAGAAGAGCACAAAGTTTACCTCTAATATGAAGTTTGCATCTGTGGAAGAACATCTGAATAAAAGTCTCACATTTAGTTCTAATGCTTTTTGAGTAACTGTTATATCACTGTTTTTTTTTTCAGCATAGACCCTAGGACTGTGAAGGAGCTAAGAAAAAAGTTTAAGGTAAAAAGTTTTTATGCTGTCACAACAATCACACAAGCTGTTTTTCATTATGGTGGTGAAATATAATGAAAAATGTACAGATTGGATCAAAAAGGGGCCTTGGTTAGCTCCCTGAGGATACATGATGGAAGTAATAAGGGGGGTAATAAAGTAATATAAGGAGAAACACTACAAAGAAGGATCTCTACAGTAGAGTAGTATACCGTGCAATACTGTGTGAAATATCCTGCAGTTCAATGCTGCAAACTGGTCTCGTATGCATGACTTCCTACGCTTTACATTTACATGTAGCTTTTTCTTTCTTAAACACCACATTTCTGATATTCTGCACTTTATACCTAACCATTTTAATCTCTTACTTAGTCCAATTTCATTCTTATTTGTATTATTGGTCTATTAATGTTTGTATTTTCAAGAGCAAGTGTAACAAACAAATTTCTCCCTGGATAAATAAAATATTCTGATTGAGATTCTGAATTGTTGTTTCCAGTATGAGGGGACACTGACGGTGCTGCACACCATGATGGTGGATCCTAATGCTGTCATAAAAAAGCCAGGGGCAAATTATCTACATGTGACTCAGGGAGAAGTCCTGGACGTCATTCAACTCACCAACAGCAAAAAAGCTCTTTGCCGTAACCAGACTGGAAAATGTAAGAAGCATTTTATATTCTGCTTTTGATGTTAAGATTAAGATTTACAAAACATTAAAAACAATCTGTGACGTTTCCATGAGTCCTGCTGTTTTTTTCACATCTGTTCTTCTTGTGTCACCCTCACAGATGGTTATGTGCCTCGGTCGCTTCTTCTTCAGATGTAAGTGGATCATCATTTCAATACTTTTCTTTAAAACAAGCAGCATTTCTTTAATTCAGTGCCTTAAACTTGAAAGATTCATTTGAAAAAGTATCTGTAGGCGGCAAAAACACAAAGACGAGTGATGACTACAGACAATAACTTTCTGTTTCATACATGCTTACAACTTTTATTTTTACACAAATTTTAGCTCTTGATTTTAAAAATTTGATCTTCTCTTTCAGGGAAGGAGACATTTATGATGACGTTGATTATGCAGATGGTGAGTTTTCTTTGGATCCTCTATACCAAGCGTGATTTTGTAATTAACAATATCTACTTGAGGTCTCAATTTTGAAAGTGTGATCGATCTTTTCTTTAAAACCCTTGTTTCATTTGTGTTTCAGATATCTACGACAACGACTGAGCACACACGATTTCTCACAGTATACTAAACTAAACTCACAAACTTGAACAAAAAGAGAGGAATACAGATTAGACGATATCAAACTATGCAAGAAATCAAACTTAAGCAACATAAACAAACTGTATATCCCTGTATATATTTGCTTTATTGGACTCCACTTATTACATTCATGTAGACAGGATTGACATAGCCTGTGCCACATGATGTGAGAACTAACCCATAAACAAACTTATAAAATAAATACTGAACACAGACATGCCTTGTGCTGAGAGAAACAAACTAGACATAAGAACATTGTTCATCTTGTATAAGAAATGAATACACTATTGTAGCTTTGTGTGCGACCTCTAAGATAATGTAAGATAAATAAATGGGTGCATTTTTTCTGGTTGTTGTATCCCTGATTATTTATCCATCTATCTATGTATCTATTTATCTGCTTATCTATTGTAATTCTTTGCTGGGTTTGCAGAGTATAAGGGAGCACAGATGAAAGGGAAACACAACCACAACCACAAGAGTGTTCACCTTGAATCTGTGTAATCTGTTCTGTCGTGAGCTGCTTTATCGACTTCAGGCGTCCTTGATGTTTTATCAGTAAGTCAAGTGCGAGTTTGCTCAGCAGAAGGGACACAACACCAGTCAAAGTTCCTCTGCCCTGCTGTGACTCTGAATAATGTCACCAGCACAGTATGTCAGCGGCAGTAGCTTGGTTTGCAGGAGGAGAATCATCGAGTAGAGTAACAGCTTATAATAAAGTATCAATGGTTTTATTGAATTTAAAAAGTTAGAACCATAGACTTTATATAGACAGGACAATGTGGCTACGCCTCCTGTCACTGTATGAATTTGGAGCCAAATTGCTCTCTGTGTTTCCGGGATTTTCTCCATTTCTTGAAACCGGCATCTGCACAGTAGCGTCTGGCGGGAGAGTTGCTGTGATGATGCTCTGCTTCAACAGCATACCCCCTAGATGTTCAACACAACCTTCGTACACCCATAGGCTGTATCAAGTGTCAATCATAAAAAACATTAACCCTCTAGTAACTTTTAAAAATAGAGCTGTACAGAAAAAATAGGACTTGTGCACAAACCAGTCTTACAAAAACTACATGTCAACATAAAAAACAGGGTTGAGAAAATTCATATGATGTGTGATTAATTTTTAAATATGTCCACAGCTCTATTAAGTTTGCTGTAGGAGGCGGGGTTTATGACCCATACTCAAATCAATCAATCAATCAAATTTTATTTATATAGCGCCAATTCACAACAGTCGTCATCTCAAGACGCTTTTCAAGGAACAAGAGCAGGTCAGGACCGCGCTCATTACTGCAACCAGTCACTGGGGGGTGCTGTTCTCATAGACGATTCACCCAGTGAGGAGGCATACAACGTTCACTCTATGTACAGTCCATGGTAAGAACCAGGCTGCAACCTCTGGATTTTAGAAATGGAATTGCTGTAAACTGCCATTCCACAAGTGTCCATGTAAACCCACCCAGAGAGACCCATCTTTACAGCAAAAATAAACATGTTTACAACCTGATACAAAAAACAGCTTTGGTCTGAGGTACAGGGGGTGAACTTTTTATCATTCATTAGTTTTGAAGAAAGTAAGTCATAAACTTTGCATTATTAGGGACAAGGACAGACAGGCATGCATTATAAAGGTTCAAAAGGAGGCTTAAGGTCAACTCCACCTCTTCTCTTTATGTTAGGTTGACCTAAAGTTACCTTTAGTCAGCTTTGACCCCCATAACATCAGCTTTAAAACTCCACTTTAGAAATCGATGGTGACATCACTGAGACTACTTTTAGCTATTTATGAGTATTTTGTTTGTCTCTTTGAATTTATTCTAATAGATAATATATATAAGTACCTGCTTTTGCAACATAATCTTACTCAGCTTGCTTGGGAGGACGGTTTTTTCATTATCAGCTGTGAGAGCAGTGGGAGTTCGATTGAGTCTGTGATCGTCTACTCTTGTCTGTTTGCGCTACTTCCTGTTCAAAGTCCAGCTGAGAGGTTGGAGTGAAAACATATTTCACTCTGGATATGTTTTTGTTACAGCCTTATGGTTCAGTTTTTATTTGTCGTCTCGCTTTTTGAGAGTATTTAGCAAACATGCAGCAGTCTGTGGAGGCTTTGGTGAAGGTGCTGGAGACGTACAGAGGAAGAGATAAAATAGTAAGTGTTCATTTCTCAATTATAACGGGTGTAAATACACACACCATGCTGTTTTCCTAACTGTTCTGAGAGCACACACTTGTCCTTGTCTCTTTTATCTAGTGTTTGTTTTGTCTGCTGTATGACTTAAATCCAGACATTTTCAAGCACTTATCAGCAGCACTTCTTTAATAATTAACTAATCACATATTTACAGGATAAAAAAAAGAAAAGTTCAATTTGTTCTGATTTCAGTTTTTCCGGCTTTATCTAACTCATTACTAAAATGATTACATTTCAACTTTGTGTCACATAAAATTGTCTTTTGCTGTTTAATTAACCAAAATCTCCACTGTAAGAAAAATCAGCACATTTACCAGCTTTGAAAAAATAAGAAAATTGACACCTGAGATGCTGGCCTTAAAAGGGGAGGGAAACCAATCCCTTTCAAAATCCTCCTGTTTTGCATGTAAATATATCACACCACCATGATAAATGTGTTCAGCTTCTACATCTTAGTAGTCAACCTATTTTCTGTGGTTTCTTGGGGTTGACTGGTTGTTTCCCTGACCTATTTTTGGTGCCTTTATTTTGCATTTGGTTGATCGTTGGGTTGATTATCTGTATCATTATGTTTTACCATAACATCATTATAAATTATAGAAACTTTAAAAACAATGCTACCGTGGCTCCACTGTAAGTGTTTTTTTTTTCCCTTTTGGGAACTGTTGCAGAAACTTTTAACCATTTTTACCACAAATGTATATCCACTCCAATTGGTGGTTAGTAATTCTCACAAACTACGACTAATAATTGGTATCAATATTGACCCTTGAAGAAACAACAGTGGTCACCCGCTACCTCTAGCTTGTCAGCAAAGACTCAGAGACTGTTCTATCCATGATTTTAAAGCCTTTAGTCAAATTTACAAAGCTTTTATTGTCTGTTTTGTGTTAAGGCCATCAAAAGTGGTAAAATTATTGCCCAAACTGTCATTTTCATTAAAACACCTGTGTGTATGTGCATCTTCAGATTAGGACGGCGTGTTACGGCTCTCAGCTGGTCGGAGGAGTTCTTTCCCGTAAAGAAGAAGCGGACGTCTCATCCCAGCGGCTCGGGAAAAGTCTGCTGCTGTTTTCTGCTCAGCTCAGCCACTGCAGGACGGTGCTGAGGCTGTTCGATGATCTCTCCATGCTGGCCTACTCTCAGGGTTATGGGTTTGGAGGCAGGGTGAGGAACAGAAAAACAGTCTGCTCTGTTTTTGTCATAATAATTATTCATATCTTAGACAGGGGCTGTATGTTTGCTCTTACTTGATGTGTTAATATAGTCTCAACCGTGCGCTGCAGCATTAAAACATGTCAATTTGACTCTAAAGGAGGAGGACGCAGGCGTACGCTGGATCTCTGTGTTAAATAACGTGGCCGACCAGCTGTATTACCCCTGTGAACACATCGCCTGGGCAGCAGACGCAGAGCTCATCAAAGCAAAATCTGACAAGTGGTGGCTGCTCTGCACGCTGCTGTGGGGAACGTCTCTGCTGCTGGGAATACTCAGGTCAGACATCACCTGTCTGCACACAAGAATCAAACCTGATCAGATCTCTATCATCAAATAACTGAGGGTCACTTATACTTTCACTCAGACATGTTTTACACTTCATTACAGTTCTGAATATAGCTATAAAGCGTTCCTCAAATGATCAATGCAGTCCTAGTTATTCAAGTAAATAAAACAAATCATGGAAATTACAGAGCCTCTGTGAAATCAACTTTCTGAACCAACAGGCCACAAAGCAGCTTCTGTCAGATTCATTAAAATGTCGTTCGTATCTTTTTCTCTCTAGATCTCTCAGAGTTTTGCTGCTGCTGAAGAAGAAGTTGAGGAAACGTGAGAGAGATGGAGGTGGAAGCAGGTGTTGTATCCACAGTTTTCTGCTATTTATTTACTCATCAGTAAATTTAGAAAAAAAGATCTAGGTACACTGAGACATTTCTCTTTAGATGCTGAAATCAAGTGTCATATTTGTGTTGTCCATCTTGCAGTCACTCTCAGCTGCGCAGACAGATGCGAGGAGAGCTGCTCTCAATCATCGGGGGTATGGCCGACCTCAGCAATGCCATTCACTGGATGCCGCCTGGCTTCCTGTGGGCGGGACGATTCCCTAACTGGCTGGTGGGGCTCATGGGTACCGTGTCATCTGTGGTCGGTTTGATCCAGATGAGCAGCAACGGTGACAGCGATCACACAGAGAGTATAGAGTCATAAACAAGCTGTGAGGGATAGGCTGGGAAAGAGATGGAAATGTGGTCAAGCTTCAGTTTGACCGTCTGTGGGAGTTAATGTTAAACTCCTCTCAATAGAAACCACAAACTCCCATGGCGTATTATCACAAGATAATGAAGAAACTTGTTAGACTGAGGCTGAATCAGAGCCAAACCCTCATCAGACATCTTAGATGCTCTAAAAACTTTAGAAAGCTGAAAAGAAGAATTATTGATGAGATAATCCGTCAAATGTTAATTTCTCTTGGCTACTTTTCATCACTATTTCTCAGTATTACAATCACAAAGTCTGACAGTTTCTCAGATTTATGTGCTATAAAATGTAGATGCTGGTACGTAAAGAGGCAGGCAGTTCCTCCTACTCTGTCACCGGGACATTTTTTAGTGCAACCAAGTCTCCTAAAGCAACAGATCCATGTGGAGAAACAACCCCTTTGCCTGAGGAGTACAAGACTTCTCACAGTCTACATCCTTGTTTTCAATATGCAAAGCGGTCTGAGACTTCACCGTGTACTGGGTGGCTCGCAGACTGATTCTTCTATGGATCTTTAACACCAGATTAAAGCGACATGGAGACACTTAACCTTTTACAGTTCAGTTGATCACCAAGGGAGGTCAGTGAACAAGATGCTGATTCAGGATTGATTTGTTTGAGGCTTCTGTATTGATTTACAGGGAAAAAAACAATGGCTATGGAGAGACAGGTACATTATTGCCTTAAAGATACACTCCATAAACCGACTTTCAATCTTGCCTTTTCATACAAAGCAGTTCTTTAAGCGTAAATAATTTTCACATCTGTTTTGTATTGATTTTGGATTCTCAGTGTTTTAACTTGTGTATATTCCTAGAGTGTAATATCCTAAAGCTACAATACAGAATCTAGTCTCACCTGATTCATATGCAGTGCTGTTGTGCCGAATCCTGATATTTGATGAAAATAAAACTGACAAGCATTGTGCAGGTAGAACAGCTTAGAGACAACTTCGACATTTTTTTTTTAAACAAAGTCTTCACCTGCTTAGAATTTCAAATGAACTTTATGTAAAAAATATTTGTATTAATTACAGAAAATCAGTTTTTATAAAGAATAAAATGTGTTACTTTTTTTCAAAGTGTCATGGACGTTTGATTGAGCAGGTCTGAACGGATCCGAATGACGTTTAAAAGTGTGGCGTTCAAGTGCTTGCGGGTAATTAGTAAATCCGACGAAAAAGCGACTTCACGAAACCCATCGAGCGACAGTTTAGGGCAAATCTCGGCTACTCTGCTTTATGGACGCTCAACTTTTTTGCTATATAATTGTGTTTCAACTGCAAACCTTTCATGAAGCATAAAGCCTGTTTCTATAGGGCGTTTGTAAGTGTGCTTTAGATAGTTGTCAAGTCCCCCCGTGAAAGACAAGAAACTGTTTGACTAATCGACGGGAAAATAACGAGGTGACTTGAACGCATCACAGCAACAGAGCTGGCGAATCTACAAGCGATGTCGGGTCGAGGGAAGAAATAATAACAGTTTAACTCTGTTTTTCGCCGTGACTGCTCGTTAACTGTTAGACTGTGTTCCAGTTATCTTATTCAATGGTGCCGTGGTTGTTAGTATGACGACTAAAACAAAGTCAAAGTTTTGGAAAACGCTCCGATCCCAAACCACGTCAACTTCTCTATCGTGGCACCCACAGGAGTCCCTGAGTGGGTACAAAGAAACCGAGAAAGACTTTCAGCACCAGGTGAGAACTGCTTTTATTGCTGCTTGGACCACAACTTTTATCAAAAATAGAGTATCTCACCTCCATGAGCTCCTGTTTAGATTGTAAGGAGCTAAACTAGTTAGCAGTGAGACCTTTAACTGGCCAATCTAAGTGTAACGTGTGTTATTTGTGTTTCTGTGGAGATATTTGGTAAATGATTTTGTTAATTTAATTACAACTGCAAGTCCTGATCATTACGACTTACCTCTGCAAATAAATATGGAGGGAGAGTATGAAGACAAATCTTGAACACAAACATCGTAAATAACGGGCCATTTTTTTAGACCGTGAACGCTGCATGCACTCAAAGTTCCCAAATATGCACCTCAACATATTTAGACAACTTTGTGGTGTACTTGTATCAGAACGTATGTTTTATATAAATTCATTTGTTGCCTGTTATGCCGAATTGTCCAATGGACTCATATGTTCAAAAATAATACCAGACATGTTTGACATTTTGAGCAAGATCTACCTAATAAGACGACTTTTTTTTTTAAAAAAAAAAGGGTGATTCTTGAATGAGGTTTGGTTTGCTCTAGTTTGTACAAAGGAAAACTGATTTCTGGAGCTATAATCTTATGCAGATGATTTTAGTTGTGTGAGGCCCTGTGGTTCACTGTGTTCTCAGTGGGTCTTCTTGATGGTGACACATGAAGGTGTTATCTTGTGCACTTTGGTTGCTTCTCCTGTCATTGCGGTCATGGTACAATGAGGGCTTAGGGGTTGTGTGACTGAACTACAGATAACACTTTCTTGAACTGAAAGTGTGTGCTTGCTCCAAAGACATGAGTGTCATAATATTTCCTCATTCCAACAACTACCTTGTTTGCTGAAATCACTGCCTTTTTTATGTTGGACAACTACTTTCCTGCTGCAGGATACCCAGAAAAACCCTGTTCCTGATGATTTATTGACTGATACTATTTGTTTTAATACCTTTTCCTCTTACAGGCTTTCTTTCAAAATGGACTCAGGCATCTGCCCTGCTGATCTGCCGGCCTCTGTACTCCCGGGCGCTTTGTGTTCACCTCCTGGTCCAGCTGATTTACTCTCTGGAGTTGAGCTCAGCAGGCAGACTGTGGCAACAACTCCAAGTTCAGAAGTTGAGGATCTAGATTCTTTCAATCCTATAGAGCCTCCACCTTTAGACTGGAGGTCGGACTCCTCCAGTGAGGCAGGCTCAGCAGGCGAGCTGGATGACCCCAGCTTCCCGCCTGCTGTTAAATGCCAGGATGAGGCCAGTCCAGGTGAGCCAGAATTAATACCTTCAGACGTGAGTCAAGCTGTGGCTTCAGTCAACGTTAACCAGCAGGATCTTCTAGTAGATATTCTGGAGCAATCCCAGGATACTGGAGTTGAACTTGAAGAAGTAGGTGATGCAGTTGAGGAACAGATGAGGGTTGTGGAGGAGGAACTGGTGAGAGTTGAGAAGGAGGACTTGGTGAGGGTTGAAGAGGAGGAACAGGTGAGGGTTGAGGACTCTGAGAGTGTCAGGGAATACCAAGAAGAGGAGACCTTTTGTGATGGAGAGAGCAGGGTCAGTGAAGAGGAGGTTGAGGTTGCAAAGAGGAGTTTGGGTGATGAGGACCACAGCCGTATCCACACCCTGCTAAGCCAGCTCCAGATGATGGGTGAAGAGCCTCAACTTAGCCATGAGACACCACCACACCTCAACCAGCATCAGTACTCTGACACTGAGCAGGAAGCATGTGCCCCCTCCCTAATAACAGACGACAGCAGCGAGACCACCGGGCTGCTGTTCTCTGAAAGTCACCACAGAGACCTGCTGGGGATGCTGCAATTCACAGAGATTGGCGCTTCACCAGCTTCCAACCGTGTGCCCCACGAAGGGGAGGTCGACGCTGTGGTGTCAGTTTCCTACAGCCAGGAGGACGCTCAAAAGTTTTGGGGGCGTAATAGGAATAATCAACAGCAGCGGCACAGGGAAGACTCCCTCGCCTCGCTGCCGGATGACGAGTATCCTGAGCCAGTGTGGATGAAGATGGGTGAGGAGCCTCCAGAGGAAGAGGTGGCTGCTGCAGAGAGTGAGCAGGTAGGTTCAGGAACTGTTACTGGAACCCACTGAAATCAGAGTGTGGATCAGAATCTTTATCCCTTATGTAATATTTATCGTTTTAAAACAGGAATTAGTACTATCACCTGTGTCAGTGTAGACATCAGATTCAAGACTAAATACAATAATTGATACATGTTTTATCTGAGCTGTTTTTAGCCAGTAAAACATTCAAGTATAATCTTATAGTTTTAGATTCAAGTCTAACTACTATTCATATTCGATCTGGTTAGTATTTATGTTGCTTTTCTATTTGATCAAATACCAAAATAAATAAAACCAAATGTTTGGACTGAAGCAGCTTAAACCAAAACATGGGTACTAAACAGTAAGGCAGTGGTAAAAAAAAACGAAATATAACATTTTTTGAGTCGCTGGCTGGTAAAATTTTAAGCTCTTTTTAATGCATAAAAGACAAGACTGAACTGAATCTCCTCTTTTCTGTGATTGCAGGGTGCTGAACAGTCGTTCAAAAGTGGTAAGTCTACTGAGCGCTCTTCTTTTCTCCCATATAAATTCAGGTTATCTTAAAAAAGGGTATGAGTTTAAGTTATTGTCTGTGTGTTTTACTCTTCAGTGCCTGGTCCATGTGACCCTGAGGATCTGTTGGATGGGGTCGTGTTTGGTGCCAAGTATCTCGGCTCCACTCAGCTCAAGTCTGAGAAGAACCCGTCAACGAACGCCCGTATGACGCAGGCTCAGGAGGCCGTGGATCGTATCAAGGTGAGACTTTCTAAGATACTACTGAAGCCCCTGTGGGTTCAGACATCAAGATTTCTGTAGTCCAGGCTTCAGCTGAGATATGTTTGAAATGCTTGTAACTGATGTTTCTTTCAGGCTCCGGAGGGAGAGTCTCAGCCGATGACAGAAGTGGATCTGTTCATCTCCACACAGCGCATCAAAGTGCTCACTGCTGACACACAGGTGTGTTTTGATGATAGCTCAGGGAAATCAATTTATGTCCTGGCATCATCAATTTTCATCTATTGTCTTTTTTTCCTCTGTCATCCATAAGGATCCATAAGCTCTCAATTTGGACATGTATTATTTGGATTTTTTTGCTTTTGAACCCACAAGTGTTGATAGATGAACAGAAAGTAACCTTCATTCAAAAACATATGGTATTAATTTTCGTGTGTGTGGTGCTTCCTACTTCACTTTCGCCTGCCCACCCTTGCAGCAGGAACGCTTTATATAGAATTGGGTGGAGATTTAATAACAGAGCTCTGCAGTAGTGTTGCAGTTTTAGTAGAGTCTATTTTTCTCCTCAGTGTGGTTGAATTGTCAGGAGAGTCAAAGTGGGTCATCTCCTGTCAGCTGCTCCCACTTTGCACGCCTGGATGCTCCTTGTTGCTCCACGCTCACGGGTGTGAAAATGATTCCAATTATGTTTTAGAGACATTTCTTATTTTTAACCTCATGCATCCAGTTACAAATTGAGAAGATATTCTTGGCAATTTGAGCCAACGAGGTTAAAACGTCCAACTTTTATTATTTGAGTTTCGAGCTGTACTTTGTATTTAAGTTTCCTGGGTTTTTGTAGTTATTTCATCCATACCATGTAAAAAATTTAAGCATTTATCAATCTTCATCTGATATTTCAGATTTAAGTGACGAAATTGCAGCAACATGTTTGATAAATTGAAAAGAGAGTTGTAGATCCTTTCCACAAATTCAATGTTTTTCTCCTTCTCCTTAATTTGCAGTGGCTCATTCATACGAGTTTTAGAAGGAGGGCAGTTTTCTCTGTTTGTATCACTTGTGATAGTTTCAGAATATCGTTTTCAAAAGCATATAAATCAAATCCAAAAACAGATGGTGCAGTGTTCTTTGTGAAGCTCCAGCTTAAAAAGGTTTCATGTCTCAGCAAGCTGGACTGCGAACGTTTTTTTTCTCTCTTTTTCTAACACTATTAACCCTTCGTGTCCTGTTTCCTCACAGGAGGCCATGATGGATCATGCTCTGCAGATGATCTCGTATATCGCTGACATTGGTGACATTGTGGTTCTGATGGCTCGGAGGAAACGTAAAGGGCAGGAGGACTCTTCATCCTCTTCTGGACCTCAGAAGAAGTGCTTAATGATCTGCCATGTCTTCTCTTCTGATGATGTAAGTCAGTTATCTAAAAATTATTTAGTGTGTAATTATTATTCTTGATGTGTTTGACTTGTTAGCCATCATTTATTTTGACTCCCAGCGGCAGTTCGAGGATCAGATAAGTGTTTTTGCCTCTCCTCCTGTCAGAGTCCACTTCCTCATCTTTGTTATTCATCTGTATTCTTTCATCCCACAGTTGAACTCGCAGTCAAAGGTGTTAATAAAGAGTCTATTTCTCCTCTCCATGTTGCACTCAGACCAAATTTGCTGTTTGTTCGGTGGACAATAGTTTCAGCTTTAGCTTGGCCTGGTTTCCTTCCCCCAGACAGACAGAGAGAGAGCGAGTTCTCCTGAATGTAAAAATGGTCTGGCTGGCGTCCCAGTTCCCAACTGTTGGCGAGACTGAATAGGAGGAGGCGGAGGAAGACTTTCTTTATAGAAACTAATTAGCTGTGGGATACTTAAAGCCAAGAGGCCACTGTGTCTGATGTTGTTTTTTCCCCAACTGCAGTCTTTAGGGAAACATTTCTATTTGAAATAATAACAAGGGCCGGTTTAGGTCCAAGCATTTGAAACAACCAATAAAATTTGAACTTTTTGACTTGTTATGTATGTTTTGTGAGCATTTTTAGGAGAAAGCAAGTGTAAAAATGTGAGCTTTTATTTGTCATATTCATTCTGTCATTGATGTCCTAAAAAACTTAAGATATATAATCGTACAGTTAAATCTGACTCAGCTTTTCTCCATCCCAGGCTCAGGTCATAGCCCAGGCCATTGGTCAGGCTTTCGGAGTGGCTTACCAGCAGTTTCTTCAGGCCAACGGCATCAAGTCAAGTGACCTTAGGCCTGGCGAGTACAGTGACTACCTGGAGAGTCAAGAGTTATATAATGGAGACCTTGCCCACTTCTCTGACTCTCAGAACATCAGAGATGTTGTCATTACTAAGGCTGCTGGAGAGATCCTGGGTCTGGCAGTGGTGGAGTCGGGCTGGGGCTCCATCCTACCCACAGTGATGGTGGCAAACCTCCTTCATGGAGGTCCTGCTGAGCGCTGCGGAGAGCTCAGCATCGGAGACCGCATCATGTCTGTTAACGGCACCAGTCTGGTGGGTCTGCCCATCGCCACCTGCCAGAACATCATTCGGGTAAGATAGAAACATAGGCTGCAGGCTTGGAAGAAAAGTAGTTTTAATAACCATGACAGCTCCATCGATGATAACAGAGGTGTTATTCTTTGTCTGCTGTAATGAAAGAATCTCGTAACAGGGCTTCATATAAAACTCTAAGATATAAATACTGAGCGTTTAAAGGGGACATACGATGAAAAGTCCACCTTTTCAGTATTTTTGCACCTAAACTTGAGTCTCTGGAGAGTCCACTGACCCTTAAAATGTGAAATAAGCCAACCAAGTCTCTTGTTTATGGTTCGTCAATGTCTGAAACCACACAATCTGACTGTCTTTTCAGGACATGCTTCATCACAAGGAGAGTCATTGAAATAATTTATATTTCATATTTTGACTAAAGCTCGACACAAATGTTTCATTCAGACCACTGGGGCCTGAGGTTTTTAAATGGTCTTAAAGAAGTATATGTGCCCTCCAAGTCACGCTACCTCCTGTGTAATGTTCTTAGAAATGCACTAGATGGCACTGTGTCTTACCAGTGTGGGCCTGTAGCATTTGGGTAATGATTGGGTTTTTAACTGCATGATAATATGTTAGTATAATATGTTAGCATTTGAGCTCTGTTAAATCATAAATACTCTCTAACTTGAGTGCTCTGATTAATGATTGTTTCTCTCTTAGGACTTAAAAAGCCAAAAATATGTAAAGTTCAGCATTGTTCACTGCCCGCCTGTCACCATGGCGATTATCAAGAGGCCAGATCCCAAGTTTCAGCTGGGATTTAGTGTGGAGGATGGCATTGTAAGTAAGAAAAAATCATTCAACCTTTAGGTTCATTTCTTTGCTTTCTCAAAAAAAACACCTAAGATCCCTCTGCCAGCACCTAGTGGTTTAAGTGCACCCCTTATACAGGGGCTGTGGTCCTTGCTGTGGTTTAACTGCCTGTTTCAATTCTTGTCTTTCCCCTTTTAGCTGTCTGCCTCCTACATTTCCTGTCTCTCTTTGGATTTCCTATTAATAATGCCCAAAAATTAACTTCAAAAATATCTGTCGTCCAGCTGATGTTAAAAGATTTTCTTCTCTTTTCACGGCACAGATCTGCAGTCTAATGAGAGGCGGTATAGCAGAGAGAGGAGGCATCCGTGTTGGACACCGCATCATAGAAATCAACGGGCAGAGTGTTGTAGCCACACCGCATGACAAGATCATCCAAATTCTAACTAACGCAGTAGGAGAGGTGAGAAGAGATTAAACTCCACATGCTGAGGTGATTCAGATTTAAATTAAAACATATTTTCACTCTTTAAATTGTTTTGTTTTTTGCAGATTCACTTGAAGACCATGCCGACTTCAACATATCGCCTTTTAACGGGACAAGAGCAGCCGCTGTTCCTTTGAACATTTCCTGCTCCAGTTAGGATGAAAATACTGCACAGTGTTCGAGCTACAAGAACCTTTTGCCAAACTCAGAAAATATTATGCAATTCATCAAACAGCTGAAAAGCTGTTGTCACACCACTGAATTTAGAAAACTAGTCCAGTTATATATTTTTAATATTAAAGTCTATTTTAAAGTGACAGGGGTAGACGGTAGCTTTCCATTTGTATTGAGCTGATATTTAACAACGCAGGCAGTAGCTAAGATGCAATAATTATGTACAGAGTATATTTTCACTGTAATAACTTTTACATGGAGTAGGTTTTAATTAGGAGCTTGAAGTCTTCCAGCCTGGTGTGTCAGCTGTGCCTAAGCTGATATTTGCTTGCAGGAGAAACCTTTTGTACCAGAACTAAGACTCAGTCATTGGGATGAACTTCCCACACATAAGCATGCATGGCCTACGCTCTTGTTCATTTTTAATACTTTCCTGACTGTGCCTGAGACCATGCTCAATTCAAGGCAGCTGCCTCATGAGATAGACAGAGAGAGAAATTATTTTTTAGAATTTGCTGTTTTTATTTTCATTAAAATGACCAGTAAGATATCATCTGGGTTTTATTTATTGAAAGTCAGTGGTCACATAATAAATTTCAGTCGCCCAATGTTTCTATATCAAATACTTTATTTAAATTATTTTATTTCAAAACATATAAGAACCACACATTGGCTTTGCTGAAGCTGCTTTTTATTAAGACAGCTCAGAGATATTTTCAATACATGTAATTGGAGAAAGCTTGATAATTGTATAAAAGTTGTGTTGACACTGTATATCAATAAATTTGATCAAAATCTCTACATTTTTAAGCAACAAGTTTACCATGTATTCGCATGCTGCGCTGTTTAATAAAGCCTTTTATTTTTATACCGTTACTACGCATACTGCACTGTATACAAGCACAGTCCGACTCTGGCCAATCAGCTGTCTACTCACACAAAAACACACAAAAAGAGCCAATCGGATTCTTTACCGGCTTCGGATGCCCCGGCTTCGGAACAAGCCGATGACCAATCAGCGTCGCCGGTGGGCGGGTCTTTCCTTAGATCACACCTGCTGATACAAACGGGAAATGGAGAGTCAATGACAAGCTACCCGGCTGTACGTCTGTCCGTCTGTTCGCGGAAGGGGATTTTACCACCTCTACAGAAAGGTAATCATTAACGGCATCTTGAAGAGTGTTCAGCGTTAACTTGCTTTTAAGTTTTATTCTGTAGGAATGACTGAACTAGAGAGAGCCTTACTGACATGCTAGGAGAAGGAAGCTAGTTGGACTTTTCCTCTTTCCTAACAATGCATGGCGTTAGTGTTGGATAATTATTCGGTTATCTAAGAGTGATTAACGAGATAGAAAGTGAATATACTTGTAATTATCGAAGGTTGTGTGACACTTTCAAATGCAATTTTCCGTTACATTTTGTGTGCATAAGTTATGAGCTCGAACTGAGCCTATATGCCACATGCTTTACAATTAATGCATTTAATATGTGATCATTTTTTATAAATTAATCGTTTATATTAATTCGCTATGTGAAGAAATCATTTTTTTGCATGATAATGACATATTTATCTGCTTATGACCATTAAAAAGCGAAATCTATTCAGATAAAACCTGGTCAATCTTGGAGTAGATGCTCTAATTCAATAGGAGGTGCATGTGTACTTCACATATGCTTGTATCTGCACAGACTTGAAATGTAAACAGACGAGTTAAAAACAAGGAAACTGTTTGACTTTGACTGTCGGTGTATTTGCAAAGGAAATGAGCCTGACCATTTCTTTCTGACTTTGCACACATCCAGAGCAAAGATCTCCAGATTATTTACTACAGCCCAAATACTAGGAAGAGACCATGCTAGTGCAACATATTGTGAAGTCATTCAAGGGGCAAAACTAAACGTTAAGGTCTTAAGGAGAAACAGGTAAGCTGTAAGGATCAGGAGGATTTCAGGATGAAGCAAGGGATTGTCCGTCCTGAGCAGATTACAGCAGGCAACACTGGACAGCATTCACTCACAATAAGTGTAAAAACAGCCTTTTGCAGTTGGCAAATGTACATTTGATAGATTTCTTGCCATTTTCTTGTTTCTAAGAAGAGGCTGTGAAAGTTTAAATGCTGACATACAAGGATGTTTTCTGCTAAGGGTTAAGATTAACCGTCCTCTGCAAGGTAAAGGTCAAACTTTGTCAAAACAAAACTCACTTTTGATTGTCTTTAATCCCTCAGAAACAAAATATCAAGTTTTAGAGGAAGTTAGATGCACTATGATGTAAAAAAAATATGCACAGTTATAGGCTAAGAAATGGAACTTGCATTTTTACATTGGAAAAGAGATGAATAGATGTAATTATTGTCTGGCTCTGTCAATGTGTCAGTGTTTTGTTTGTACAGGACGCCTCTGTACTCAAAGCTAAACTGTGACAGCCATCATCTGGCAGACTTTTTGTCCAAATCAATAGTGGAGCTTGTTGTACACATGGTAAAAAGGGCTGTTGGCAAGTATTAGACTTTAATTCAATGATGAAAATGTCTTGTCTTATTGTTTGTTTACAATTACTTTGGCTGTATTCGATAGGAGGTGATAGAGAGGGACAGGAAAAGAAAGTTATCCAGGATCCTTGCCCGTCTGTCTTTCTGACCACATGCTGTGTTTCAGCTTCGCACCATGGCCATGTAGCTACATGCTGAGCGATGGGGGTTTTCAGGCAGCTCTTCCTCCTGCTCTGGAAGAACATCACATACCGCAGGAGGAACAAGGTGACTCCATCAAAGCAATAGTAGAACCTACCGACTCTGAATGGGTTTTGTACTACGAGACATTGCTTAGAGTGTAAATCTGTGGCTCTAACACCCGCCCTTTCTCGTCTTACACAGATCCAGCTGATCATCGAACTCCTCTGGCCGCTCTTCCTCTTTGTCATCCTCATCTCTGTCCGTCATTCACACCCTCCTTACAAACAGAGCCAATGTGAGTGTTGTTATGTAATCAACATCTTAACACACACACACACACACCTGAAAACATGCGTTGTGCCAACCATTAAAGAGGATTAACTCACAGAGAGCGATCCCACGCATGCACTTTTGTCTCCCTAACCTGCTGAGTTTTGACCTCAAGAGATACTGCGTTTACATAAAATGATCTAAAGACATCCTCAAACATCAGCCTGCATATGATTCAACATTCAGTTAAGCTAAACTATAAACTTCATATTGACAAGTGATCATGATAGGAGTCAAAAAATGAGACAGTATGACACAGTGCACTTTACAGACTGCTTGTTTTCTGTTTCTTAACTTTTCTCATGTGACAGTGAAACTGGCTGAAGAGGATATCATTACAATTTCAGAATACAGTTTTCCTTAAATAAGAACAGCACAGGTAGTTCTGAGATAATTGTTTTGCCTGCTTCCTGTTGAATTAAACAATTCAGGTCAACACCACACTAAAGTAATTGTTCTGTAGCTCAGACTAATCTGCTGCTAATGAACTGTTTGTGTTTGTTTTTCCTCTCCTTCACTTTTAGGCCACTTTCCAAACAAAGCCTTGCCATCAGCAGGCACCTTGCCCTGGATTCAGGGCATAATCTGCAACATCAACAACCCTTGCTTCCACAGCCCGACACCAGGAGAGACAGCCGGCCAAGTTGGCAACTTTGACAACTCCATGTAGGTACACTAGAGGTAGAAACAAGGGCAGCTTTCTGGAGCAGAGGATACATGTTGGTTGGATGAAGTAGCTCAAAAGATAAAGAGAAAATCTGCAGTTAATCAACATTGTATATGTTAATTTCAGTCATTCTTATATAGGGGGGAAAATTATACATTTTCTTACTGGATATGTGGGATTCAATGCCAGAGTACACATAATAATTCAGACAGAAGAAGCTAGGGATTAAACCTCAAATCCTGAAAACATTTGATGACCCACTCTGTCTCGCTGTTTTTATTACAAGGTCAGATTTATTGAACCCCTATATCCCATCCTAAAGTTAGTTTCCTGCATGAAATTGTGGGTCATTTTAAACTCTGTCATGACCTTCAACTATTCGCAGAAGGGAAACTTGTGTGAAACAACCAGTCTTTAAAACTATTGTTAAAATATAAACCAACTGTATGTTTATCCCAGTGAAGAGTCCCTTCTTTGTCATTCTGTTTCAGACTCTCTCGCCTCTTTGTGGATGCCCAGACCATTTTGTCCTACAGTGGAAACCAGAGCTTCTCTGGCTTTCAGGACCTGATCGAGAGTGTCCGAATAATGGGGGAGAGACCTGGAGCGTGGCCAAGTGAGACAGCTCATTTGATACTCATCTAGCACAGAGTTGAACGGATTCCTTGACATTTTGACACAATGGCACTGAAACACAGCGTGTTTACGTCCACTGTAAACTTGATTCAGCTGAGAAAAATGTGTTTATTATTTTGAACCTCTTGAGGACAGCACTAACACTATTTATAGAAAGTTAATTGGATTCCATTGTTAAATAATTAATGATTCGACGACTTTGGCCAGCAAAGCATACAAAATGAAATGAGTAAATGACAGTCAAAGTATGTCCTAAAGATTTTTTTCCAAGAAGTAAAATGAATTATGTATTATTGAGAAACATAATCTTGTCTTGGATTTTAAACAAAGTCAATGTTCAGCAAGTACAGGAGAGAAAAATGATCAGTGTTTGTAAATCAAAGTATCTACAACCTCTCAAGAAAAGAAATATAATGATGAGCAGGATTTAGTCCCTTCAGGTTATCAAACACAATAAAAACTTGTATATTTTCCTTCATGTTTTAAACTCTGTGCTGTTCCCTGTCTGATCTGGACCAGACTAAGTGGTTACATCAGCAGCTTGTATTGGATCTGTATAATACAAACAGGTGTCAAATTACCTGCTGAAGATGTCCATTTAGTGCGTTCATGAAAGCAGCACAGTCAGACTGCTTGTCTTCTCTTTTGCTGTGGCAGATTCAGTTACATGATCACTTCAGACAAACAGTCAGCTGAATGAAAACAGACCGACAAAGAGGTTTTTATGCTGAAAACCTCTTTATGAGGGCCGAACAGAAACCTGATAAATCCTGAAATCCGGACCCCCAGTTTTTTTTTAATTTTTTATTTTGGACCTCAAGACTGTTTTTTTATACATTTTAGTTACCTGGGTGTATCCTACCTTTTGGGTGGCAAACAGAAATTCAGTATAACTTTACACCCTTTTTACTGCTTTGTAATATTGCTGCTTAATGGATGTAGATATATCATATCATATTATTTCTGCTTTCAAAGCTTGGTTTGTTTGCAGAAATTTTGAGCTGTACTTCTTGCTTTTGTTCTCTGCTTTAGATCTGCCGGTGGAAGATTATCTGAGACCCAATGAGACATTCACTTCATTCCTCCTGACCAATAGCAGCCTGTCTCCTCAGACCGTGGAACAGCTGCTGAAGGCTCGTCTTAATTTTCAGGTAACATTTCTGTGATTAATCCTGTGACGGCAAACATTGGTATGTTTTGAATGAGGACATGAATCCTAAATATGAACAAGATTTGAAAAGCAGTACTTTCCGTTATGTGGTGCAGAAACATTCCTCCTAACATGGATGGTAGTTTTATTGTAAAAAAAAGAATTTCTGCATGATTTGTCGGATTGTCAAAATCTGTCTAAAGACTGGAACGACATTTTTTTCCATCCAGGTTGCTGTGGCTGGATCTCAGTTGCAGCTAAAAGATCTTGTGTGTAACATGAGCGTGTTGAGACAATATCTGACGGTGAATGGAGGAGAAGTCGCCATGAATGATCTTCAGACTCAGCTGTGTAACGTGCCTGCTGACGTCCTTCAGGAGGCTGAACGCCGCTTTCTCACTCAGCTGGACTTGAGCAAGCTCTTCACGGTAGGAGTCTGTGGACAGAATGAATACCTGTTATGTGACCGAGTTATGGTCAGTATAATAAGTAAACCTGTCTGTGTGTTCTCCCTGACAGAGAGAACGTCTGATGGCTAACGCTAAAGATCTGCGGGTCATCAGTCAGGCTGCCACCTCAGTTTCCCAGGAGCTGACTGCCCTGATTGATGATGTAAGAACACACCTATAACTCATGTCTTTGTCTGCATGCCTAATTAGACTGTAATTGAATTTACTGCTGCATACCACAGTCAGGCAGCTTTTTCTTTAATGTTGTAGCTCACTCTCGCTTTCAGGTATAAATAATCCTTCAACCCAGAGTGGCTGCTGGTGGAAACTTTTGTTAACTTAGTCTTTGCTTACTTTGTTGCTACAGGTAGGGCTGGGGGATATGGCAAAATGTTTATCATGCTATATTGTTTTCATATCAGTCGATATCGAAATATATCACGATATACAAATGAAATTTTATAGTGCTTATTGGTAGCATGTCTTTTGCAATACAATAACCTACTGCATTTGTGAGGTCTTTGTGTCTCCTCGATGTTTTGTCATAAGACGTTGCGCTAGAGAAAGCGGACAGAATGGTCGGCTGTTTCAGCTGCACAGGCGCCATGAGCTCCTTGCTCCGCTCGGGGTTTGTAACCATTTGCATTGCGTGTGCTCTACCATGTGGCACTGCTTCAGGTGGTGAAAAAGATTTGAGGTATTCCCCGACTTTGTGAGAACATGTACTCGACATAATTTCAGTGAACATTACTCTGCTTCATGTCCGACCTCAAAAAACAAAATACCTCCACACCACTGACGTTTTCGTGCCAGTGTTGTCGACGATGTCGTCATCTGTTAAGCCTTCATCTGCATTTTTGCCGGGGGTAGCACTTGTTTTCTTTTCTTATCACCAACAGTGCTGTCGGCTTCACGTGTTGAAGTGCTATGGTTGCGTGTAGCTGCAGTCTGCTACTACACAGTTGTTTGCCACAATGTCTAATTCAGCACATGATTGGTTCAATGTGAAGCAAACCCGCAGCAACTCCTCTTTTCATTGGCTATTCGTATAGTCTACCAAAACATGGCAGAGTGCCAGCTATCGAAAAGGATACTGACCACTATATTGATATAGAGGGAAATTAATTTCCGATATATATCGTTATCATTTTATCGCCCAGCCCTAGCTGTGACTCTCACAAGAATCAAAAAATGACGTTTTTTCTGATCCATTCCAGTCCTATTATTTACCTTTCTCTGTCCTCTCTTGTCCACTTCCAACAAAACTTTCCTCTCTTCTGTGTCCTCCTTCAGTTCTCCTCCCTCTCCAGCTTCGTTGAGATGAACGAAGCTCTTCAACTCCTCTCTCCTGAGAATCGGTCAACACTGCCCAGAGAGAGTTTTCGTGCTTTTTCAAGGATCATGTGTGGCCATCCAGAGGTTGGTGGTGAGCGTATCCCGTCACTCAACTGGTATGAAGACAACGACATCAAGTCCTTCTTGGGAAAAAATGGCACAGAAGAGACAGACCTGGACCAGGACAACACCACCAGTGAGATGCTTTGGATGTTATTGTGTATCAGGGTCTGCTTATTTCCTGACAGTACAGCTAGATAAGATCTGACTTTAGTAAGAGTTGTTTTAAGCAAAAAGAAAAACTTAATTTCAAAAACTTAAAGATCAACAAGGCACAATTGAACATCAGTTTCTAGCCGTGTCTTTGCCACATTTAAAAAGTGTTTCCTGTCTCAAATTTGGATAAATGTTCCCCTTTTAGCTCCGTTCTGCAAAAGCTTGATCAAAGGTTTGGAGTTCAACCCTCTGTCTCGCATCGTGTGGCGAGGAATAAAGCCTCTGTTTATTGGGAAGCTGCTGTACACTCCAGACACTCCTGCAGTACAACAAGTCATGAAAGAGGTACAGAAACACGATGATCAGAGCAGTCTGTCCATGAGTGTTTTTCTGTGAGAGAAAAGGAAATGTCAAAACAACCTCTGAGTAACAGCTTTGTTAGTGGAGCAGCTGCACAGATCGATAAAAGAATGAGTATTATGAGGCAAATACATTCATCCAAGCTGTTTGCTCTTATTGTTGCTGCTGAAGGTGAACAGGACTTTTGAGGACCTGCTGATCCTCCAGGAGCTGAATGCTGCCTGGATGGAGGTGGGACCACGAATCAAAAATTACATGGAGACCAGTGTGGAGATTAAGCTGCTGCAGGTACGTCTCAACAGCAGCTCACTCTCAACATGAGGAAGATCTCATATTTCCAATTAAATTTTTTTTATTTGGTTTTGGTAGGATTTGTTGAAGCGGCCTGAGGTGGCAGTCCTTGTCAACCTGCGTCTGGAGAATTCCTCCTGGACTGCCTCACGGATCGCACGTTTCCTGTCCACACCCTCACCAGATATCCCCAGGAAACCCGGAGCACAGCCCACATGGCTGGACATCTACAACGACATTAGCCACACTGTCACCACTCTGGCCCAAGTCACCGAGGTTATTCTCCTTGATAATACCTGATTTATCAATCAATTTATCTGCTTTTTTCAAATATTATACAAAGCCCAGCCATCCATAGGGGTGAGAGACATATTCAAAAAGAGCAAATTTAACCTTATTGTATAATAATTATGGTAAAAGACGGATTTCATGGCAGTTCCAGGTGTTAAAATGCACTCATAGTTGCACTTATAGGATCATAGAGCCACTTTCTTATGTAGAGGCCATCTATACAGTAAAACATGTCAGTCTTGTTTTTATTTGGATACAAGTGAAACAGTTCTTTATCATTTATTCATATTTGTTTTTCTTTTACCTGTCGTCAGTGTTTCTCTCTGAACAAGCTGGAGGGCCTGCAGACGGAGGGTGAGATGGTCAGCAGAGCGCTTGAACTACTGGAGGACAGACAGTTTTGGGCGGGTGTGGTGTTCATGCTGCCAAACTCCTCATCCACAGAGCTCCCTCCACACGTCACCTACAAAATCCGAATGGACATTGACGATGTGGCTCGGACCAACAAGATCAAAGACAGGTACTGAAGAAGCACTAAGATGCTGTTTTCTTGTCGTTCCTCTTGTCTGTTATTTGACTTTTTACTGGAATTAAAGACACGGCTTTTGTTTTATGTGACTGTAACAGATGCATTATTTTTATATCTCAGAATAACGGGAATAAATTTAAGAACTTTACTTTGGGGTAAATGTCGTTTACTTTCTTCTCCTCAAGTTGAAAAAAAACATGTCATTAAAGTTTTATTGGCTTCTCATGGAAAAATCAACAATATTGAATAAAAAATGTTTATAAGTTTTGATCTGAATGAAACAGACATTTGGCTGTTTTGGTTTTTCATCAGGTTTTGGGATCCTGGCCCAGCAGCAGACCCGTTCAGTGACATGCGCTATATTTGGGGTGGCTTTGTGTACGTCCAGGACTTAGTGGAAAGAGCTGTGAACCGAATCCTGACTGGAGTTGAGCAAACAACCGGCGTCTACATCCAACAGATGCCTTACCCGTGTTATGTGGATGATGTGTGAGTCATCAGTTGTGACTTGTTGTTTGTCAGCGGTGCTTTAAACACTCAAGAGCTCAACAGAAGTCCCCATTTTTCTCTAGATTTTGTTAAAACATAATTTTTCTGTTAGTCATTTATTGTGTGTGTGTTTTTTCTTCAGGTTGAAATCATGTCATGTTGAATTTAACTTTTGGTTCCTTTCTTTTTCGAACAGTTTCCTTCGAGTGCTAAATCGCTCTCTACCTCTCTTCATGACTCTGGCCTGGATCTACACGGTGGCCATGATCATCAAAGGCATGGTGTACGAGAAGGAGGCCCGGCTGAAGGAAACCATGAGGATTATGGGTTTGGGAACAGGGACATTGTGGCTCAGCTGGTTTATAAGCAGCATTGTTCCTTTCCTGGTGTCTGCCGGGCTTCTTATTGCTCTGCTCAAGGCAAGAACTCTGAACAAAATATTTTATTTGTTTATTGTCAGACTTAATGCAACAAGTAGACCAGTATTAAGGTGGAAGTTTGTTTCAGTTTTGCCTAAAACTTCGACCTAAAACTTTTTCTTTTATTTCCAGTGGGGTGACATCCTCCCATACAGCGACTCATCGGTTGTATTTTTCTTCCTCATGGCGTTTGCAACGGCCACCATCATGCAGTGTTTCCTCATCAGCACATTCTTTTCTAAAGCCAACCTGGCTGCTGCTTGTGGAGGGCTCATATACTTTGGCCTCTATTTGCCTTATGTGCTGTGTGTAGCCTGGAGGGACCGCCTCACTACCACACACAAAGTCCTTGCTGTGAGTTTTTAAGTCAGTCTGGAAAGAAGCAGCATTTGCATACAAATGTAACATGAACCAAATGTATACAAAACTTTTTCTCTTTCATCAGAGTTTTCTCTCCCCTGTGGCCTTTGGTTTCGGCTGCGAGTATTTCTCTCAGTATGAGGAGCAAGGTGTGGGCATTCAGTGGTACAACCTCCACTCCAGCCCTGTGGAAGGAGACGCATACAGCTTTACTGTCTCCATATGCATGCTGTATGTGGATGCCCTCATCTATGCCGTCGCAGCCTGGTACATCGAAGCAGTGTTTCCTGGTACGATATCTGGGGGATTTTTCTCAGCTAGAAATGTCATAAGATTAGAGAGGAATTGATTTTGTGCTTAAAATGGTGTGAATTCAAGATGACCACATTCTTTTGTTTCAGGAAAACGTCTAAACTATACCTACTTTGTGGCTAAAAATTGTGTCAGACAAATCAAATCAAAGTGCTGCAACTTTGTGTTTATTTTCTGTTAACTCTTTTTTTTTGCACTGTTTACTGCATTTTATATTGTCTAGTTTTGGGAAATATAGAATAAAAATAAAATCTAGTTATGTGAGTAATAGCAGACATCATTGCTTCAGTCAAGAGAGTTTTCCATAGAGGGTTAGGGTTGAGGGTTGACCAGAGAAGCATGTTAAGAAACATGTTGAGTTCATCAAAAACTATCTGTGCTTGATTTGGGCGTTTTTATGAAATTTTATCCAGGCCTAATGTGAGCATGTGGGTGTTTCCTCTTCAGGTGAATATGGGATCCCGAGGCCCTGGTACTTTATCTTCCAGCTGAATTACTGGGGTGGAGTTCCACTGGAGGCGGGAATGCCGATCCCCCCTGCACCAGCAGAACAAGATGAAGGTAAAAGGCTTTAGATGCAGGGAGACATCAGCAGCTGTTTCTCTTTTTCTTTTCGACAGTGAAAGGCACAGGTGGCTCTTATGTTGCATATTTGTTGCTCAGAGTTTTAGCCTGTCTTTCTACTTAAACAGACTTGCACAAGCATTTTTAATTTTCTTCTCTGGTTCACTTGCAGGAGATCATAGAAGCAGTTTTGTTTGTTTTAGCCAATAAACTACAAATCAAAGTTGAAAAATATCCACTCAATTAAATATTCAACTATCATCAGATCACATTGAACCAGATCCCACTAACCTGACCCTGGGAGTGAGCGTCCGAAACCTGGTGAAAATCTACAAGAAGGGAGCAAAACTGGCTGTCAATCACCTCAATCTGAAGTTCTACGAAGGCCAGATCACCTCCTTCCTTGGCCACAATGGTGCAGGAAAAACCACCACCATGTAAGGAGCAGAGTTTAACCCGTACAACACAATCACTCTCAGCACTAAAACATTTAATATTAACACTGAAGAGCAGGGCTGAGTATAATTTCTGCAAGAATATAATGTAAATTTATAATTGGGTAATACTGAAGGTAATTATAGGAGTTGGTGCCAAAGAGGAAGGAATATTTCAGTATATTGGGGATGTTAAACCAAAACTCTATGTAAGAGGGAAGCTAAAACAAAGTTAAATCATCATAAATCATCATTCTACAATCCAGTCTCTTTATGTTATTTGATTAAATATCATACTTTTAGACCTTTATTATGTGCTAACTGTCTCAGACTGGCATGTTTTAGGCCTGTTAAAAGGTATTACAGTGAGAGGAAGTATTGATGTGTCTTCAAAAGCAACTACAGGAGGAGTTTTTGATTCTGACCAAGTTCGGAGGTTGTTTAAGATGAAAAATGTTTATTCTCATTTCTCATCCTATGCTGTCAGATCTGTTCTTACTGGCCTGTTCCCACCAACTTCTGGTACAGTCTACATAAAGGGGATGGACATCCGCCATGATATGGACATCATCCGGAGGACGCTGGGAGTTTGTCCGCAACACAATGTTTTGTTTGACATGTAAGGTTTTTTGAGCTGCCGCCTCTACTCTGATACCAAAAACAAGTATCAGAATTCAGAACTAGAAAAAAAAGGAATCAGTGTAAAAGATTAGATTAGAGTGGACAGATTAATATATGTTTTGACAGTGTGTGTCTCTCTCTCTTTCAGCCTCACAGTGGAGGAGCATGTGTGGTTTTACGGCTGCATGAAAGGTTTGTCAGAAGCAGAGGTGAAAGCTGAGTTGGACATTTTACTGGAGGATGTTGGTCTGCTGCAAAAACGCCATGAACAGACAAAAAACCTCTCCGGTAAGCTTTTTAAAAATCATGACCTGATCCTCATGGTCAGCTTGAAGAACCACTGTAACATATTTCATCAGTAGTACCAAAGGTTAAAGGTTATCGTTTGCTTTAAAATACTCACCCTCACTCTGTCTCTATCAGGTGGTATGCAAAGGAAGCTGTCTGTAGCGATCGCATTCGTCGGTGGCTCCAAGGTGGTAGTTTTGGATGAACCAACGGCCGGTGTGGATCCGTACTCGCGCAGAGGGATCTGGGATCTGTTGCTTAAATATCGCAAAGGTGCGAAGGTCATTTTCAAGGTCATAGGCCTTACAGAGCTGAACCAGCAGCCAAGATGATTTAGGAATTAAAGACGTGGTTCAGGCTGACATTTACACATATACACCTAAAAAAAACAGTGTAAGATATAAAACAGTATAAGATACACATGAGTCCACTGAAATAACCACTATGGATCTGTGCCATCTTCCTCCATCAGATCGGACTATCATCCTGTCCACCCATTACATGGATGAGGCTGAGCTGCTAGGCGACCGGATCGCCATCATCTCCCAGGGGAAGCTATGCTGTTGCGGCTCACCGCTCTTCCTGAAATCCCGTCTCGGATCAGGCTACTACCTCACAGTGGTGAAGAGGGAGGGACTCGACACCAGCACTTTAAGCAGCACCAGTATCTGCACCAGCACCAGTGTCAGCACCAACAAGCTGCCTCCTCTCAAAGTCTGTCTAATCTGATTTAAATAATCCAGTCAATTATATGCTTGTATACTCAGTTCTTATAGCTGTCAGCATCCACAATGTGTTTTGACTTGCAGTTCTATCTTTAAAGGAAAAGTTACAAAGAAAAAAGTGAAAAAAAATCACAGGTGAAGTATCATATGTGTAATAAAGGTCTCAAAAAACTCATCTTTGTGTTTCAGGATAGTGAGTCATCCATGAGCGAGGACACGGGACTCGGAAGTGAGGAGAGCAGCTTATGTGAGTGTTTACCTGCTGTATGACTTTATTAAGCGTTTGTAAAGTTCAGCTGTTACTTTTGTGAACTCTACCTTAAAATCTAGAGGACAGCTGGGCTAAATTTCTTGTTTTAAGTACAAACTCTATCCTCATTGTCATCTTCATGGCAGACCTGGCAGCGTTGCTCTCCCTGGCACAGCACCACATTCCTGGTGTAAGGCTGGTTGAGGAGTCAGGTCGTGAGGCTGTGATAAACCTGCCGCAGTCTGCTGCCAAAGACAGCAGCCTGGCCGTCTTTCTGTCTGAACTGGACCAGAGGCTGACCGAGCTCGGCATCAGCAGCTATGGTCTGTCAGATAGTACGCTGGAGGAGGTGAGACTTTGATATTGTTTATGGATAAATAGATAAAAGGGGAGACAGAGAAGTCATTTTAAAACTGGATGAACACTGTCTGAGGTTTATAAGAATGAATAATGTAGAGTAAAATGTTTCTAAGACAGTAGTAACAAAATAAATGTGAACAAATCTGAACAAGGAGGTCTTTAATTTATCACTTCAAACCAAACCATCTTATCCTGAATCCGCCTGAATTTCCTCAGTGTCAAGATCCTGAAACCTGAACAAAAAGAGACTTTTTTTTGTTTTATGAAACAAAAAAATATTTTTTTCTTGTATTAATTCAAAGACAAAATTTCAGCCATTTTCTTGTTGAGATGAATCACTGAATCAGTGTGGCATGGCGTGGACGTGAACTATCTGTGACATTGCTAAAACACTAGTGAAGCACTGATCAGCCTGTGCTCTATTGTCCTCTTGACAATACCCCACAGATTGTCGAGGGTTTAGATTTAAACCACTTGACTGGCCAGTCAAACATGATCGCGGTCAGCGAACCATTCGCTAGTTGGTTTTGGCGTTGTGAGCAGGTGCTGAGTCATGCTGGTACAGGAAATCAGCATTGTCGTAAAGCAGCAGGTGGAAACATACATTGCACTACTAACTCATGGTAGATGGTTGTGTTGAACACAGTTGACTAACAAATCTCTCAGCTCTTTTCCACACCAGACCATTTGGACCAATTTCCAAAAAAAATATCAAGTTATATTCGCCTGAAAAGTTAATTAGAGCACTGGGTAACAGTCAAGTTCTTCCTCCTCTGTTGCTGCTTGTACTTTGTTAATTTACTTCTAATTTACGCCTGATGAAATGCTCCAAAGTTTTGAGCTATACTTTTTGTATTTCAGACCTACAAGCCATATTTATTCAAATCAAAATGGAAATATTACATTTATACATTTAACAGCATTTTAAGACTTTACTTTTGGCTAATCCAGAGTACATATCATTTTCGATTTCTTTAAGAAAACCGTTGGAAGCTGTATAGTTTGCTGAAATATGCACCACTCTGTCAAATTTTAGCTCTGCTGGCTGAAATTCAGTGTTTTTATATCCTGTTATGGTTAGATTAATAAGCAATAAGCCGCTCAAAGTTTTACATATTTTAACATTTTTATACTTGATTGTAATTCAAACTTATTTGTCAGGAGTTTGGTTTGGAGAGAAACACAAGGCTTCAGCAACATGAAAATGACACTAAACCCACTCGCATACAAATTTAATGATTAAAATTAAATTAAATTATTCAGTTTAATTGATATTTATGCACAGTAATCACAAATAAAACAGCTACAATGAGATTCTTTATAGAAAAGGCTCCAACAAGCTTATTCAGATAGCTGATCAAAGATGCCTGCAGTTAATTTGGTAACAGGTTCACAGAATGACGCAGTTTAAGACTGTCGAACTAAAACTGGCTGCTGGTGTCAATAAAGGTCCCTTTAAAAAATCTCTCAACCCTGCTAGCATCACGTGGCTCTAAATGTATTAATCTAAAAGTGTCTGTATCTATTTCACTTCATCCCACCGCTGTGAGCTACAGAAGCTCAACATGTTCAAATCTGCAGGGTTGGATATTTGTGGAGCGGTTCTAGTCTTAATGGATTAATGTTAGAATCAGATTAGCTCTGATTGGGACCTCATGAAGCCTTGTGAGTTTACCTGGTGTGAAAAAGTCACACATCCTCTGCTCTTTGACATCCACTCTAAACCACTAGATGGTCTCCACTGCCCTCTGCCGTTCATACTTTCAAGTTTAATCTTTCGTCATGGCTCTTGTGTTCATTTTAGATCTTTCTACGGATGGCAGAAGAGACTGGTGTGGATGCTGAACCTGAGCTGCAGGATGAATCTCCTCACAGGCTGCAGCCAACAGCCGGGCCTAGTACAGAGAGACAAAATGCCGAAGAACCAGAGACAGGTATGTACACTGACGCTCCAGACACACAGATTTGCTGTCATACTCCACATTGTTTCCATGTAGTCTGTCGTCTGTTTAGTCTACAAACTGTGTCTGCTTGTTTTCATTATGCTACCAGGAAGGAAAAGGCTTCGTAAGCAAGGTACCTTCAGATCATCCCCCCCTGAAATTAATAGAAATGGAAAAGATGAGTGTTTCAGCTATGACTGAACACCTGATAGACAGAATTCATCCACACTCCTTCCCACACATCAGTACCATGTGTTTATCAGCTGTCGTGTCATCTTTGTGCTGTTTCCTGTGGATCTGATCTGACTAGAGTCTCGTCTGCATCAAAGACAGATAATACTGAAACTGTTTCTCACTGTGTTCATGTCACTCCTAGAACCTCAGGAGACTGACCTGCTGAGTGGAGATAGCCGAGGTGGGATCCCGCTGACGGACTGGTGGCTGACCTGGCAGCAGCTGAAGGCACTCTTCATCAAACGTTGGCTTTACGCTCGACGGAGCCGCAGGGGCTTCTTTGCTCAGGTGATAATGAACAGCAGTGTCACCTTTAGATATGATAAGAAATGATCAGATTTTCAGGTTGTTTTGATGCTAATAAAGCAGTTATTATTGTTTGGAGGCTTGCTGTGAATGCTGGTATTAATGTTTTCCTGTTCCTCAGATTGTTCTGCCTGCTGTGTTCGTGCTGATCGCTCTGCTCTTCAGCCTCATCGTTCCTCCATATGGGAAGTATCCTGCCCTACAGCTGCAGCCCTGGATATACGGAGAGCAGTACACCTTCTTCAGGTCTGCCGCCTCCATTCTTATTTTTTCTTATGCCTCGTATGTGTATTAAAAAAAACATATGTTTCTCTTTTTTATTTTGATTGTCTATTTTAAAAGTGTAAATTTTTATAAACCAACCGAAAATGAAAAGGACATGGTTTCTTCTCAGTTACTTTTTCAGTTTTCGTGAGCTTTCATATCTCCTGTTTTCTTGTGTCTTCAGCCATGACGCACCAGGAAATCCAGCTATGGACAATCTGCTGGAGGCCTTGCTGGACCAGCCGGGCTTTGGTACCAAGTGCATGGGGCAAGAGGAAGACGACAACAGCATGTAAAGAGCTCCCTGTTTATAAACAATACTTTGCTTTGGTGGAACATGAAGAGTTTAGGGATGATAGACTCCTAACTGTAAATGCAAATAAAAAAAACACTGAAAAGCAAGTAATAGATGGCAAAAAATGTCAAACATTTGAAACTTTTAGGGTAAAAGTAGGTTTCTGGGTTTGTAGAAATCCATTTATAAGTTAAATGTGCTGGTTTTCTGATAGACTTTCATCCTCTGTTTCTACGCTAAATCTTGGTCACTCCGTTTTCTCTTCAGGAGGCCTCAGTGTGACGATGAACGAGCGGGTCCTTTCTTGAGGCCACAGGTCTCGTTCTCTACCTGGCAAATGTTCAGCAGAGGCAACTGGAGCAGAGACAGACCCTCACCTGAATGTCATTGCAGCACAGAGGACGTCCGTAGGATGCTTCCTGACTGTCCACAGGGTGCTGGTGGTCTGCCGCCTCCACAGGTCAGCACAGTGTCCAGTTGTATACAAATGAGTAAACCTAACTCTGCGCACCTTTTCAAACATTTCAATTATTGACCTTTTAGATCAAGAGACTGACTGGAGACATCCTTCAAAACCTGACGACTTATAACATCAGTGATTACCTGGTTAAAACCTACTCCCAGATCCTCAAGAAAAGGTACTCCATTTCACACAGACATGTCTTTTGTTCAAATACAGCTATGACAAAGATAAATGTATTCTATCTTCACCATTAGTTTTCCTCCCTGTTGATTTGTAATTAGAGCTTTAAATGCACCATATGAATCTTGACCCTACGGCTGTATTTAGAAGTTTCTAATGAGGAAGTTATCAAAGAAAATACAAGTTTATTTAAGGCAAATGCAGTTCATGGTCAAGAGTGAGGAGTTTAATGTGAGCGACTCTGTTCTTTCTTGTCATTAACAGCCTAAAAACCAAGAAATGGGTGAATGAGTTCAGGTAAGCTTCCTCAGTAAATGATCATTTTGGAAACTGAATATCAGCTCAACCATCAACAGTTCAAGGGTCAAACATTTGTTCATCTCTGCTCTTGTGAAAGGTAAGAAATGAACATGAAGAGTTTCACCTCTCTGTTGCAGATATGGAGGATTCTCTCTGGGAGGCAGCGCCACGCAGACTTTATCTCAGGTCAACCACATCCAAGACTCAGTCATGGCAATCAGGACTCGATACAGAGTCACACAGGTATAAACAAGGTTTCAGTCAAATTTAATGAAGCTGCTTTTTCACTGAATGAGCCGCATGTTTCATGATTCACTTTGATTCACAGAACAGTTCACTGGATAATCTGCTGGAGAGACTGCCCGTCTTTCTGAAAGGACTGAACAGTAAAGACAATGTTAAGGTAAATGTTGTCTTTCTCCTTGTATTTGTCTCCGAAGAACAAACAAACTTTAAACAGACCTATCTGAGAGTGTCCCTGGCTCCATATATTGTAGGTAATTGTTGTATTTTTTAGGTTTAAAGTGAAAGATGTGTTTTGCTGTTCTCAGGTGTGGTACAATAACAAAGGATGGCATGCAATGGTGTCATTTGTCAACGTGATGAACAACGGCCTACTGAGGGCAAGCCTACCACCAGGTCCTGAGAGGAGCCGACATGGCATCACTGCATACAACCATCCGCTTAACCTCACAAAGGAACAACTCACTGAAATGGCCATGTAGGTCCTCTGCTGTAGATACTTGTAGATGTTGAACACAGAAAAGGCTGATTCATGGAGCAGAAGAGAAATCAAAGACGTGACTGAGTGAACTCTGTATGTTATTGGATGTTGTACCTGACACATGTTTCCCTCTCCTCTTCTTCAGGATGACCACCTCAGTGGATGTTCTTGTTTCCATCTGTGTGATCTTTGCCATGTCCTTCGTGCCGGCCAGCTTTGTTCTCTTCCTGATCGAGGAACGAGTCAGCAAAGCCAAACACCTCCAGTTCGTCAGCGGAGTCAAACCCATTCTCTACTGGCTTGCAAACTTCACCTGGGACATGGTCAGACATAGAACTCAGATGTCTTTTCAAAATAGTGGATCTGCCAGTCTAAATATGTTTTAAATATCATCTGATCATTTGATGTAATAATTATGAACCATTTTGCATATCACTGTAAAGCCTCAAGGCTCCTGTTTGTCTCTGTCTCGCTTCTTTTATCCCTTTTCTTGTTTTTATAAAATTTGTGTCATCTTCTTTTCAGTTAAACTACACCGTCCCGGCCACCATGGTGGTGCTGATCTTCATCAGTTTCCAGCAGCAGTCATATGTATCAGAAACAAACTTGCCTGCACTCGTCCTGCTCCTCCTCCTTTACGGGTAGGACCACCAAGCACACTCCACAGACTACAGTCATGCATCATCAACATTTCATAACAAAACTTATTCTCACCAGAATGTTATACCACACACACAAACACAAAGTCAAACTAAAATCAGTATTTCATTCACTACAGCGATCATTTTATTTGAAGGTTTTCTTATTTTGTGTTTGCAAATTCTCTTTTGTGTTTGTTGGATTTTTATAATCATAGTAACGTCTGTGTCTTTAATTATTTATTTGCCCCTGCAGGTGGTCCATCACCCCTCTTATGTACCCAGCATCCTTTGTGTTCAGTGTCCCTAGTACAGCCTATGTGGTTCTGACCTCCATCAACCTTTTTATTGGAATCAACGGCAGCATCGCCACTTTCGTCTTGGAGCTGTTTGTTGACGAGGTAAAAGACATATAGATGTAAAAGACATAGATGTGTTAACTTCCTAATAAGAGCAAAACAAAATTACTTGGGTGCTCATATGCATAGATATTAAACTTCACAACAGCTAAACAGTTCAACCACAATCACCACAATTATCAATGAGAATTTTAGTTATTTTACACTGAGCTTTCATTTTTTAAGGTTTATGAAAATATATCCTTGTTGAAGGCAGCGAGCCTGGAAGTCTAAACAAAGTCTAAAAGCTGAAGGTCTAAAATGATGACTTTTTTGTCTTTCCAGCACCTGAATGAGGTGAACAGAATCCTGAAGAAGGTCTTTCTCATCTTCCCTCATTTCTGTCTGGGACGAGGACTCATCGACATGGCCAAAAACCAGGCCATGGCAGATGCCTTCCAAAGGCTGGGTAACTACATATCCTCCTTTAAATAGTAATTTGTTTACCAAGGAGTGAGGATTTCATATCTGAGGATTATTTTACCTTCAGGAGTACTCTGATTCTCTTCTTTTGATGTTTGCTCTGGGTCATGTATCTACAAGTCTATAAATCAATCTACTTTTAGTTCGTTTATATGTACATGTAACACTTAATAGGTGTTGAGCTCATCTGTGTATAAGTGAAACTTCCTCTACAATCTTAAATAACATCATTGTTGCTTATACTTCTACATCTAACTGCAGCAAACACACTTAATAATCAGTTAATGTAGATAATATCTTCTTGTGTGTTTCCTCATGTCCAGGCACAAAGCAGACTCTGGACCCTCTTCAGTGGGACTTTGTGGGAAAGAACCTGTTTGCGATGGCTGCTGAAGGCATCATCTTCTTCATTTTCACCGTATTGCTGCAGTACAAGTTCTTCATCAGCTTCAAGTACGTTTAAAACGAACTCCCCAAAGAGACAAAAAAAGACCCCTGCTGATTTTCTCTTTTGATGATTGTCATGAAGACATGGAAGTTAATAGTTGCAGCCACTGGGAGATGCTGTCCTCATTTATCAGACAACTTAATGAATATTTCCATGCTATCATTGTATCAACCACTATAAGTATACAGCATTGTACAGTGTTGTGAGTTGATTATTTTGAACACCGCTAACGTCTTACTGTTCATTAAAAACAATAAATGCCTTCTTTTTAGAGACATCACAGGGTTTGCTTTCATATTAAATTATGTCCCGTGTTAAAGAAACATATTTTTCTGCTTCTTTCCCAGGCCGTGGTGGGCTGAGCCTGAGATTCCTCCTCTTGGTCCAGAGGATGAGGATGTGGCCAGGGAGAGAGAGAGAGTCAAAAGTGGCAAAGCCCAGTCAGATATACTTACAATGATCGACTTAAGCAAGGTACGACCGGTGAAAAAGCCAAAAAGATAAAAATAATACAAGTTTAGTTCAGTATTTACCTCTCTAAAAGAGTAGTGTGGAGTAATAGAAGAAACGCTTCACAAAAATAAGGCTTAAAACCATCAAAGCTACTCAGTCAAGCTCTGTTTATATGAGCTAAAGGCATGTACTGAATGCTGTTTGATCTTGCACATCATTGTCTTTGGTTGATGTTTTAAGCAAAGAGCTTTTATGTCTTGCAGGTTTATAAAGCAGGCAGGAAGCCGGCGGTAAATCGCCTTTGCCTCGGGATTCCCCGCGGAGAGGTGAGAAACACAAAAACCAGAGCAGCACTGATTTTACAGTATGACTCAATAAACTGAATTACTCACTGAAAACAGACACACAATGGCTCACATACGCTCTTATCAGCACTGTTTGTGAGTCACAGTTTTATCCATGAATTAATTTCCTTATAAAAAGAGGCAATGTAGGTCACATGTTGATAACTAGTTCACCTAGAAATATTATTACTTCTTTTATTACCAAGATTGTTTGTGCTAATAATGCTTAAAAAACTTGGGCTGAGATCAACAACCGTACTCTCAGCTACAACTACAATAATTATGTCTATTAATTCAGTAGCATCTGTTTAGTTTTTACTTTACGCTGTCATGTTGTTTGGAATTATCCCAGGCACCTTCTTCTGTATTTACAACTTTATGTTTCTGTCTGTGTGTGTGTACCCTGCAGTGTTTTGGCCTGCTCGGGGTTAACGGAGCAGGAAAGACCTCCACCTTCCGCATGCTGACTGGAGACACGGATGTCACCTATGGAGAGGCTTTCCTCAATCACTACAGGTACATACCATCCTCACCAGAAAATGATTCAGCTGAAACACAGGCTCTCTTCTTACAGTGTGATCAGCATCAACAACAGTTGATGTAACGTTGAAATAATGAGAATTTGTCGTTAGATTAACTGCGTTTATATGCTGCTTACTTCACTGAGATCAACTTTGAAATAAGCTGCAAAAGCAGTATTACTGAAGTCGTTAAAGTAGCATAAATAGGACTAAGAAGTTAGAGGTAAGGAGTGTGCAAATCGTAGAGATAGTATTTGCATCAGCAAAAGCAGCACAGTCGAAGGATTCGTATTCTTAGTTGTAAAAGCAACATTGTGGCAGTAATGTTATAAATAGTAGTTGTGTTTGTGTAGTAATTCTGAACTGTGTGTTTCTGTTGCTCTCAGCGTGTTGACAGACATGGAGCGAGTCCACCAGCTGATGGGTTACTGCCCACAGTTTGACGCTATCAGTGACCTTCTGACAGGTCGGGAACACCTGGAGCTGTACGCCCGCCTGCGAGGGGTGCCAGAGGAGTCTGTGACCAGGGTAATGTGCAGCACAACTCACCTCATAACAGCTGATATAAAGATCTTGAGTTGTTTTGTGTTCATACTTTTCAGACAAGAAGATAAAACTGATGCACTCTGCAAAAACATAAGAATAAGAAGAACTTAATTTATCCCCGAAGGTAAAGTCAATTTATGAAGTAATGTGTTTTATCTGCTGGCCTAAAGGTGGCGCAGTGGGGGGTGAAGAAGCTCGGACTGACTCAGTATGCAGAGCGGGAGGCTGGGGGCTACAGTGGAGGCAACAAAAGAAAACTTTCCACCGCCATCTCCCTTATCGGAGCTCCACCTGTCATCTTCCTGGTGAGAAGAGAGAAGAAGAAGCTGTTTTGGACTTTAGATTTGAATAGATGATTGATCTTAATCGTTACACGTGTTTAACTTTTGCTGAAAATGGATCAGTAATTTGGCTAATATTTTCAGTGGTTTGATACTCACATTAATCTGATTCTTGTAAGGATGAGCCCACCACGGGTATGGACCCAAAAGCCAAGAGGTTTCTGTGGAACTGCATCCTGAGTGTCACCAAAGAGGGCAGAGCTGTAGTTCTCACTTCGCACAGGTACGTAAAACCAGATATGCGCCAAATTATTCTTTATAAACTCAAAGCAAATGGATCCATGGCTTCACTATAGAGACACGTGAGCATGTTGACACTCAGATCTTTACGATTCTCCATAAAGTAAATATTCAGTGTCTGTGTTGATGTTCCTCTCCTGTGTCTGTGTGGTCAGTATGGAGGAATGTGAAGCTCTCTGCACCCGAATGGCCATCATGGTGAACGGCAGATTTCAGTGTCTCGGTTCAGTCCAACACCTAAAGAACAGGTAACCAGCTCTACTATCCTGTTTCACTTATCAGTTCAAAGCTGAATTCCAATCACAGTGTTTCAGTCATTGAATGGATCACTTTCTTATACTCACTCTTCATGTTTTTTTTTTTTTTGCATCTTCTGTCCTCCAGATTTGGTAATGGCTACACTATTATTCTCCGTCTGCTGGATAGTAAGAATGACCCGGACTGTCCAGTCGACACCTACATGAGGAAAGCTTTTCCTAGTTCTGAGCTGAAGGAGCGCCATCAGAACGTGCTGCAGTACCAGCTGCCCTCACACGCCTGCTGCCTCGCCCGAATCTTTGATGTCCTGGCCAACAACCACGATGAGCTGGGCATCCTGGACTTCTCTGTTTCACAGACCACGTTGGACCAGGTGAGTAATCATACACTTCTGATATTCCTGCAGAATGGTTTGTGCTTCTCTCCTTATCTGGATCTACTTTAGATCTATATTAAAGAAAGCTCTACTTACCAAATATTCTTTATCATGGCAATATATTAGCCGCTCAACTGGGGTTGTTCTCCATTCAGGCTGCGTAATTAACTTTTTGGTCCCCCAGCCACTCAGTTTTTAGAGGGTGTTGGAGCTAGGGATATTCCGACGTAAAATTAATTCAGGGTCAACACACCGTAACACCGAGTTAGACACCCCCTCGAGAGATGAATGTTGCCGACCGCTTGCTTCTCTAGTTTTACCAACTTTAGTAACGACTGCAGGATAGCAAAACACAGCAGTCTGAGGAGCCATAAACAAACCTCAACCAAAACGCCACAAATAATGCTCAAAACAACACCTAACTTGATCAACAGTACATATAGAGTCCCAGCCACAGCACTAGCCACCAAACATATTTTTAACTTTGACTGATTTCTTTAGCAAAGAGACTAAACACAACTCACCCACTCTCTTCCAGCAGCCGCTTGTTTATGGCGAGACCCCGGGCCAATCCATTACAGACGGCTGCGGGGTGACGCAGCTCAAGGAAGAACATTTGTGATCTTTTCTTCATGGAAATGCAATCAGACCAAGATACTAAGGCAGAAGAACTACCGTGTCTGAAGTGCAAAATGATTAATATGATGATTATTACTTCAAGGAAATGATGAAGAAATGATCATAAATGTTCTTCCTTGAGCTGCGTCACCCCGCAACAGTCTGTAATAGACTGGCCTGAGGTCTTGCTGCAAACAAGCGGCTGCTGGAAGAGAGTGGGTGAGTTGTGTTTGGTCTATTTGCTAAAGAAATCAGGCAATATGTATTGTTGATGAAGTTAGGTGCTGTTCTGAGCATTATTTGTGGCTATAGAGTGGCGTTTTGGTTGAGGTTTGTTTCTGGCTCCTCAGACCGCTGTGTATTGCTATCCTGCGGTCGTTACTAAAGTTGGTATAACTAGAGAAGCAAGCGGTCGGCAACATTCATCTCACAGGGGGGTGTCTAACTCAGTGTTACGGTGTGTTGACCCTGAATTAATTTTACGTCGGAATATCCCTTTAAATTGCTTTTTGGCTGGTGGTGATTGCTAGTTTGTGATTAATTAACGCATTAGTATGACACTAAGCCGTTTTATTTTTGCAGGTGTTTGTCAACTTTGCCAAGGAGCAAACTGATGATGATGATGGCCTGACAGATGTGGTCGTTGATAACAGCACAGTCCAGACCAACCGGACTTTGCTGCCCACCAGGATTAACTCCCCAACAATCCAGCCACAGCCCCCAATCACTCCCCCTCAGCCGAGCAAGAAAACACAAAAGCAAGGGAAATCGTCTGAAAGTAAACCAAAAGAGAGTAAATCAAAAAAGGCCAAAGCGACCAAGGCCAAAGCTAAAGAAGGCAAAGCTAATGGAGACAAAAGCAGCAGTACAGCCATGACCAGAATACATCAGGTGAGCCGGAGTGGCAGCATTGAATCTAGTAACAGTAATGGCGATATTCTGGGAGAGTCCAGTCAATCCAAATCCAAACACAGAGCAGAGAGCTCCTCCAAAGATCCTTCTGAACTCTTTGTCGTTGACCGCAACACGCAGGACAGCTCCATGTGAAGAGGAGGTTTGTAAAATGAACAGAGGGTACAGGTTTTGAGGACCAAGTTAAGTCTGAAGATTTTATTAGACGCTGTACTTTGATTTGAATGTTGCTCAGTGTTGACAGCGACCTTAATATGAAGCATGAATCAGTACAACTCATGGTGTTAGAAGAGAAAAAGATGGACTCGGGTAATATTATGAATGAACTATTAAACTGATTCATCAGAGGTAAATTTGTCTGATGAAAGATCCTAAAGTTTTGCTTCTGTGTACGGCTCTGGTGCCTTGTTCACCTCCCTTACAGATCTGTAGCTTTATACCCATTCTTTTGGTTCCTGTTACACTGTGTTTTTTCCTCCTGTCAGCTCATAATCCCAAAACTGTGGTTTATTTATTTTGAAAGAATATTATGCAAGGCCCCGAGTAAAAACAAAACAAACAAACAAAAAATGGTTTGGTGTTCCTCAGGGCTCAATCACTGGACCTGTGACAATCTTATATTTATTTTGCAGAAAGCACTTTAAAAGGAAAATGCTGCAAAAAGTTAAGTACCAGAAATACATTTTATATATAATGAAAAACTTATATAAAAAGCATTTGTTAGGCTGTTATGATATAGAATCTCTTGTATGGAGAGCAGTCTTGTTGCATGTTTGTCGTAAATGAGAAACTGTTAATTGTATTTTTTTGTCTTGAGTAAGAATTTACTTACAAAAATGTTTGTTTTTATTTATTATGTTATATTTATCATTGGGTTACAGTGTCAGTGTCTTGTGTTGTACAAGATTAGGAGGGAAAAAAATCTTGACTTCTGCCTGTTTTTGTCTTTTTTTTTCTTTTGAGGTCATGTTTTGTTATAAATCTCACTGAGATTTGACACCCAGACTTTCTGCACAGCTGTTGAAATGTCTAGAAACTAATTTAGTTACACATAGTGTTTCCAGATAATAAACTTCAAGTTGCACAATTTGATATTTTTTTACAGAATGCCAAACACTCACAAAAAATACCGATCAAATATGTGATGGTAGGAATCAGTCTGAAATATCAACACCAGATGTAACAACATTGCCTTGTCAGCAGCTGTATCTTTCATACTTTAAAGTTGTTTTTTGATAAATAGCTTATTTTTTTTCTATTAAACAAATACACAGCTGACTGAATGTCCAAAGCAAGACCTCGCTGTACTGTAATGCAGTGTTACATATCCAAAAAGATTGTCACAATAGTTGGTTGTGAGACAAAGTTTTACTTTAAAACTGTTACATGGAAAAAAGGTTCAAAGGTTGTTTTAAAATGCTGAAATAATGTAAAGTCATTCAGCTGGATTTGGAGAGTAGATGTTTCATTTTGGCTGAATGAAAGTCTGTTCTCCTGAATGTACTTTTATCATGCTTGAAAAGTCATACTTGAAAACAAATGTAGCAGTGCATTGACTGAAGGACACGCAGTATATAGAGGAAATCTGTCTGCTTAGATTTTAAAAAGTATACAAGCTGAATATCTGAATGTTTGTCCTGAAGGAAAATTAAATCATATTGTTTCTTTAAACCTTGTGTCCTGTTTCTGAAAAAGTCACTGCAGTATGCTTGGAGTCGAGAGGTCTTTCTTCGTCAAAGTGAGGATGAGTGTTGGTCTTGGTGGGGAGTGAAGTGGAGGGAGCCTCCTCTGTCTGTCTCTGCATTCACCCACCAAAGCTTCTTTCTCTGTTTCACTGTCAGAAGATGAAAACATTTCAAATGACTGCAATCTCACAAGATAGTTTTCTTTATGATGAAACTATTAAATAACGAGTTTGATTCAAACTTCAAATTTACATGTTAGTAGGACAGCTGTTCTTTGTGCAGCGGTCAATCCCCTGCTCAACTCTTGTCTTCCTCAGACGCTGATCAGTAACAGCCATGAGGAGATGATCAGACTGAATGCGTCTCCATGGCTCTTCATCACCACCTCTCTTTTTCCTGCCAAGTTTTTGTGAGACAGTCTGAAGCAGAGTGTCCAGGGTGGAGAGGGAAATGTCTGGAAGACAAAACTCAGCAGACCTCTGCATAGACGACAAGAAACACAGATCTATGATGTGATTAAACGGATCTGGTATAACTGTAATCTAAGTCTGTTTACAGTCAGTCTCTTGTTATGTAAGAAACTGTCACAGAATCCTTTTAATCAGCAGGATATTTTGTTCACTCACGCTTTTAGAGAGCAGAGGATTGTTTATCCATGGCCTGCTGTCTGACTCTACTCCTTTGACAAACCCATCACCTTTGCAGGATCCTATGGTGAAGTTTGCAGACATTGTGCTGGTTTGCTCAGATAAGTTGATGGGAGGGAGAGGAGTTTTACATCTCCTCATCTTCAGACACTCAGGTGCTGCTGCAGGTTGAGTTAGAGGCGGTAACACCAGCCTGGAACTGGGTGGTTGTTTGGGGTCAGAGTTCAAATTTAAGTTGAATCCTGTGTTAGAAACATTTGTCTGTTCCTCTGGTTTAGTAACAAGGACATTTTTGTCGCTGGTTCCTGCTTCCTTTTCATTTTCACAGCTGCTGTCATCTGTCTGGTTTTCCTCCTCCTCCTCCTCTTCCTCCTCCATGGGCTCCTTTGCTGAAGCCAAAAGAGGCATTAGATTCACACAAAGTTTTGTTATATTCCCTGATTTCTCACCCACATTTGTGAGATGTTTGCGGTTTGCTGGAGCGAATTTAACCTTCTCCTTTGACTTCAAGGCTCTCACCCTTGGAAACGGTTTCTCCACTTTACTCACAATCATTGGAAAAGTGTCTGCGTCAGGTTTTGCTGGATTTGCTGCCCTTGTGTCCTTTTCTTTCCACATTCCAAAATACAGGCTGTATAAAAGAAACTTCAAGAATCCTCTCTGCAAGGGTCCAAACATCTCTCAGAGTTGTATTACCAAAAAGATACATCAAACTTTTCAGAGTTTTGCCGTCTGCTCCTTTTCCCCCACCAGCAGAAAGAAAAGTACACAACAATCAAATGACTATTTAAGCAGGCCTATTAAACTGGCTGTTATGGTAACACACACACATACACACTCACAAACCCTTTATGAGAGGGGAAAGAAAACTCTTTGTTGGGTCAGATCACGTCAAAGAAAATGACAAAATCAAATCTAAATCCATTTGGAGATTGTTGTTTGTAAAAAGGCTGGAGATGGCAGAGGATTTGATTTTATAAGATATGAGTGAATTACTTTGGTGGCGTGTGACCAAAGATTGTCTATAATAGAGATGGACCACTCGTTTTTTCAGGAAAAACCGCTGACAAGGTCTTCAAAGTTGACCAGCAAATCGAGGTAACAGCAGCACTAATCTTTGAAGACAGAATCATCATGCAGGGGTTTGCAGTGACCTCAAAACACCTGAAAAAGAGAGGGTTTTAAACTTGCTTTTGTTAGGTGGAGTGAATGAAAATAAAACTGCCGTGTGTGATAAAACTGAAAAAGCCAACTATTCATATTATAACATTGAGAAATGTAGTCTTTTTCGGTGCTCTTAAGTCACCCAAATAGAAAAAATAAAATAAAATAGTAAAAAGAATAAAGACTTGTAAGTGTAGGCCTACTGTTGATAAAACAGATTTTGTTGTTGTTGTTATTATTGTTTTGTTCATTTGTTATGTATTTCACCTATACTGATGATATTTTGAGTGCTTTACGATACTAAACCTCACAAATATAGGTCATCCAAGCTCTTATGAGGAGTTTCAGCTGGTTATGAAACAGCCGGGTACCTCATGATCCTCACATTTTGTACGTGTAATGCTGTCTGGAGGATAGTAAAGGGCAATTCCCAGAGGTTACAACTGTCTACATTTAAAAGAAGACACTTCAATACATCTAGGCGTATCCTTAAAAGAGTAATAATAATAATGATAATAATAATAATAACTTTATTTTTATTTTTATGGGACTTTTAAAAACTGAAGTTTACAAAGTGCTTTGACAAACAGTTGTAAAGCACAGAACATCAGCACATGGAAATGAAGACAAATAAAAAACAAAAGCTCAGTTAAAAACAAGGCCCCCAAATAAAGGCCAATTTCATTTGTCATAAGAAACCCGGACAATACAAGAACCATGAGGAGCAAAATAAAAACATAAAATAGGTTAAAAAAAATTTTAAAAAAAAAGGAAATGTAATTAAAAAAGGGGGAATGGAAAGCAGGAAACAGGATAGTAAATATAAAAATATGATATTAATACTGATAATAAAATCATAATAAAATAATAATGATGGTAATAGTACTGATAAAATGGAATAACAAAAAAATGAGCAGGAAAAAACAAAAAAATCAAAAAAAGGTCTAAAAGGTTTAATAAGAAAAGATTATAAGTAACAACAAAGGCTAAAAGGACAGTAAGATAGGGGTAAAAGAGATAGAAGATAAAAGAAAAAAGAGAAATAACGAGGAAGTTTTATCACTTGATCAGCAGTAACACAGTAGAGACAGTGAGAGTTTATTCAGTACAGAGTGAGAGCTCTTGATTTCGCTCCCATCTTTGTGGAGGAGGACAACAGCTATTTTTGTTCTCCTGGTTCAACCCACTGCTAAACTAGCAGCTAAGGAGCTAGCCCCTACTTACACGATAATCTGCCACACAAAGTCACTGCTTTAACTTCTATTTATTCCGTGTGTACAAGGTTTCTTTTTTCACAAAGACCACCTAGAGACCCTGAGTGTGGAATCCACCCGCTTGGTTTGCTGGAATAAGATGGTCGTTTTGACAAATAACAATGAAGAGCAGGATTATATGTGAGTGCAAATTTGGATTATGTAGTGTTAGCCGCCGTCAACCTTAGTCCCGATTCACTTACAACTCCATTTAAATAGCCGGACTGATACCTGACAGCAGCAGGAGTTGAAGACTTTGGGATTGCACAGGCTTTTTAGCAAGAACAGGACTCGACAAGCAAACATTTCTTCTGTATTTTAGTGTTAATGTTAAATTTCAGCAGCAAACTGGGTTAAATTTTATGTCCTTGTTAGCCTGATGCAACGGGATAGCTAAACAGCTAACTGACCCGGATACGCTGGTTTCCATGGAGACTTTAATTTCAAAGAGTTAAAATATCACCTAGTAAGCTTTAATATTTCCTAAAACACACCTCTCCCCACAGCTCTTTGTTTTTTTTTTCGAGAAACAAACCCGAAGATTTAGTCATAGAAGTGAGACTGAGTCCTAAAAGCGAACAGTATTGCATCTTAAACTGTAAACCCTGTGTTATGGCTTCTAAAATTGCAGATTTAAGCTTGCAACCGTTCACTTGCCGTAGTAAATTTGTAAGATTGTCTTGTGAGAAACCCTCTGTAACCCAGGCAGAGATGACATCATATTATGCTGCTGCTGCAGTGCTGCTAACATCCTGCAGGGTTTAGGCTAAAAATTGCATCTGTAGAGCATGCAGACAACTCGAGCTGAAGTCTTCACACAACACCCACTGACCTACATCTGAAGCCCCTGCCTCAGTCTCATCTCAGAGAGAAAACTGATGCAGGCAGGCAGGCAAACAGCTGGCACATCATCTTCACCCTTCACAGCAGATTTGGTTGTCTTTGTTTTATTATTTTTATCTGCATACAGAGAAAAAAAGTGAAATATAGATGAGGCATCCCTGTGCAAATTAATACCGCTCATTCTCAGAAGAATAAATCAGATTGTAAAGATTTGAGGGGCTGGCATTTGACACCCTGTGTTTTATCTTCCCAGCCTGATTGAGGAGCGTAAATGCAGCTCCCTCCCCAGCTCTCCCGCCAAGCGAGTGTCTCCCACCAAAAAGAAGCAGTATTACATCAACCAAGCCATCCGCAACTCTGACCTCACTCCTCGTGCCAAAGGCAAGAAGAGCCTCCGCCGACAAGAGAACAGTAAGAACATTTGATTATCAAGACGTATGAAATTTGTTAGTGAAGTTTTGCTCACATGTCCATCTCCTTTCCCCTTCTTTGTCAACCAGCACGTTTTCTAGCTAATCTACTTGAGAGGGATGAGTGCTCCAAAGATGACCTGGAAGTTTGCAGTAACCCAGCAATCCCATCTATCTTCACTGAAGCCTGCACCAATGGAAACTACATAGAGGTAAGCCCGTCACAGAGGAAGGTGAAGACTATTCTCAAGAAGATGGATCACCCACTTCACAACACCTTGGTGGTGGTGGACGGCTTCTCTCTCTACGCTGCAGGACAGAAAGATTCAGACTGTACAACTCCTCTGTAAATAGTAGATAACTTTTATACGCATTATACACAATTAAATTTCCCTTCAGGGATTAATAAAGTTGTTGTTCTTCTTCTTCATGTGTCTATTTACCAAGCATAATCAATCTAAAAACACCTAGTAAAGCAAGAATTATAAAAAAAATATAGTCACTATTCATTCCTCTCTTGTCTTTCCAGCCATGGAATGACTTTATGAACTGCTCTGGCGAGGAGCAGGAGAGACTGTTGTCTCTGCTGGAGAAGGAGGGGGCCAAGAAGAAACTGACTGCCAAGCTCCTAAAAGACCAGAGGAATGGTGAGCATCATCAGTTTATGTCTGGTTGTTTGATGGCCGTTTTATCTGCTGCTGTTATGCTGACTTTCACTTATCTCTCTGCAGTAAATCTTGCCTTCACTGCTCAGGACTGCTTCCAGAGAATCGATCGCAGGCTACGAGCAACTCTGAGACGTAAACAAATCCCCATAGTGAGTGACCTTTTCTCTTATTCTCAAATGCTTCACAAGGTGTAAAGTTTGCACCATTCTGTGTCCACAGAGTTAAATCAGCAGTTTTTGCCGTATCTTGACTCATATCTCTGGCATCTCTGCTGTGCATCAAATTCAAAGGCCACTCCGGCTTCTTTTTGCAGAGTCACAATTACATAAGTCCTCTTTCTCTCTCAGATAGCTCCCCTACATGTTTGAAGCTTTTTTTAGAAACCATGACCTGCTGCTCCAGATTTTTACGGATGGCAAAAATAGGTGTGACTGCTGTAGAGTCTCTCCGGAGGCTCACAGGAGCTCAGGGTTTTACGCAAGATCTTCGATGACCTCATTGCTGTTGCGAACAAACCTCTTACCTCCTTAATTGATTTTTTTTTTCTCTGTACAGGGAACTCTTGAAGTTTTGGAGGAAAACCTTCTGAGCTTCTTCAACGCTCAACCTCACTCAGTTTACACAACCCACCTCGCCAGCAGGTAAACATCTCTATCCCATCTTCTTTAAGTCTTAAAACCCAGTAAGTTTTCTTCTCTTGGGCCTAACAAGTGTTAGAGAATGATTAAAAAATATACAAAGAGTAAGTAATAATTAGAAACAGCTGGACTTACTTTTCGTAAAACAACATTCTGGTATCAGCGTTATATGGTGGCCTTTAGCAGACCAGCTCTCTAATTACAGTTGAAATACTGATATCTGTCCAGTACTACTTTAAACACATACACACTACACTCAAGGTAGGATAGTTTTATTATTTTTAAATCATAAAATAGTATTATATTTTTAAAGCCATTTATTTATGTTAATCCTGATTTAGATTGCATTAATTTAGTAGTAATGCAGCAGGATCAGGTTCATAAATGGCTTAGGAATGGTGGAAAATATGACTTAATCACATACCTCCTCTGCTAATTCCCCTCTGTGTTTTTATCGACTTCTGTATGATTCTAAAGAGGGTATTAGGTTGGATTCTGTGTCTTAAAGGTCTTAAAAGGGGGTTTTAGTTAACTTGGGAGAATTTGCAGGCACTCTAGGTCGGTTTCATCAGCTTTCATTAAGAGGAAGCACTTTAAACAAAGAAAGAAGGATTTAAAACAAGGTTATAACTATTTTTTTTATGAGTTGACTCCCGCAGTAGGCATACAGCAGTGATCAAAGTCCACACAACCACTATCAGCTCTTATCCTTGCTCAGTGTTGGCCTGTGCTCACCCCTTTCATTTAATTCACTGACATCAGTCTGGTGTCACCATGGCCACTCAGTAACATACAAAGAGCGTTCTCAAACAGAAAAGCTTACTTTGACATGTGAAGACTTTACTTCTACAGCTACCTGAAGTAACAAACTTGTGGATGAATATATGAACGAGGCTTTCCAGTAGGGAAAGGCAGATCTGTGCAAACACTTAACTGTAAGAAAAAGTTGGTCATTTGTTTAAGTGATTAGACGAGGGAAGGAGTTGAAGGTCATTTCTCTGTTGTTTGTGTTCAGCTTTGAGAGACTGCTGCTTCACGCCGTCTGCCAGTACATGGACCTCGTCTCTGCAAGTGAGTGGATACGCATTTTTGAAAAACTGGGGGAAATATATCAGACTGAATGTTTAGTTTGTATCTTCATTCAAACCTGTTTTTAACTGAAAGACTGAAGATAATATTGGAAACATTCGCTCAAGCTTATAAAGAGGTTACATTTGGGGAAATTCTATTGGAAGGTCATGGACATAAAAAGCTTATGACCAAATCATAGCAATTTCTTGTTGATGATTATACACATTCTCATCCTGGTTGGACTTACAAAGCAAGCTCAGTGGTTATTAGTCACATGAGAGTGATTAAAGTGTCTTTGTTTGTTTGTCGAACCCTCAGGCACAGACTACAATGGCTTGCGTCAGACTGAGGTGGTGAACAAACAAGAAAAGTTCCTTCCTCCTGGATGTCTGCTGTCAGCCTACTTGGAGCAGATGAGCTGAGATCAGGCCCCCTCTCTCTTTCCCTATGTCCTTAGAACAGCTCTGCTGCAGGTGGGAGAGGCAGGAGAGATGTGAATAAGGTGCTAAGGTACGCAGTCTGTATGAAATGTCTGTGTAACGTCCACAAAACTAAAGACAAAGCTGAAAAAAAAAGTTCATCTCCCCTTTTTTTCTCTGTTGATTTCTGGATTCTATGGACATTTTTCAATCATCAAAAAAAAATCACAGTTCTTATTAGGCTTGTAAGGGTAAACATGATAAAAAATGTTTCTTTTTCAAATAGTTTATAAGCTATTTTATCTCTGCATGTTTGTACAGTCCAGTTTGTTGTCAGTTGAGACAGAGTACATGATGTTGTCTCACACCTGAGGCTGGAGAACTTACCTGGCCCCTTTTTAAATGAGGCTGCATGACTTTTCTTAGACGAGCCACAGTTTCAACCCTAACGGTTAAGATCCAAAACAAGTTTTGTAATTGAAGCTGTTTTGCATCCGTCTCGTTCACATTTTTAGGTTATATTAAGAGGATTACTTGAAGAACAGCTTTCAGGAGCTGCTTTAATCATTGTTTTAAACCCAGATTGTTGCAGTCTTGTGAGATGTGACATAAACTTCACAAAAAAAGTTCAAGCAAACGAGAGTTGTTACAATTTAATATCAGTCCCGTTACATCAAAGTTGAGTTATTTGATCTGAAATTCCTCAAATCTGTAGTTGATCCATGTTGTACCTTTTCAGAGCGCAATTAATAGAATGGGGAATAAAGTTACAAGAGACAACATAAAAAAGACTTTTTAAGGCAAGCCAAGTCAACTAAAATCCCCTAAAAGATTTATCATGCTACTCATATAATAACACAAACGGAGGAATTTTTCGACTTCTTACTCTAAGCATTGCCACTGCATGGTAAGGAGTCAGATATGTCTTCGTGTTTATTTTAGATAAAGCACAGAATCATCACAGCAAACAAAGATAAAAATCAACCCCAAGAATAAGAAGAAAACTTGATCTGAAGCAGTCCTTGTTGAAACGACTGGATTACGAAGCTGAAACTCAGAACTTATTGTAATGCATCCCTGCATGGAGGATTAGCCTGTCGGGTTATGTAAACTGTAAACTCTGCAGCACGAGTATTAATAATCTCTTCATTAATGCACAGACACATCACTGATCATCTAAGGTTAACTATTGGATGCAAAAGTTCTTCAACCAGGGTGTGAAATAACAGCTTGTTGTATACTTGGATCATTAAACAACTCTTTGATAACATTCTCTGTAAGATGTATGAAAGAAAACTCCCTCTACCAGAATGATTTTTACTGAATCTGTGCATCTTTCCCATCTTGCTTCATTAGCAGGTTTGGTCTTTTTTTTTACACCAACCTTTGTTTTCAGCCTTGATTTAAAAAAACCAAACTGTCTGTGTATTGATGTAGAAATGACCAGTACAGACTCTGTACAGTCTGTAAGTCAAAGAGTATAGGAATATAGTTCATGATTGTATTCAACTTTCACTGAACTTCACTGGTTTAGACAAAGTCTGAATGTTGCTGAGGTTATGGTTGTTAATATAAAATAATGAGGAATTATTGTTGAAAACTATTTATTCCTGAACTCTCAGATTTCTTGCAATACGCACAATTAACTCAGTTTACTCACAAGTAAAGTTCAAAGCCTTGTTTTCCTACGTCCAGGTGGTGCGGTTTAATGTTATACTGTATGTGCAGTAGATGTGTTACATTGATGGAAAAATAACCACTTAAAAAGAGTTACGATGGTTAAAAACCTGCTGAGTTCAGACTCTCAGGAGTGATTCATCTCAATATTTACACTTACAACGCAAGAAAAGCACTTCTGCCTTATCAATACAGGTTTCTATGTTTTTCTCTGTAAATATATATATATATTTCTACATTTTTACTTGACTGGATTTTGGAAACAGGTTATTAAAAACATCATTCTTTTTTATACTGTTGTTGGCAGTGTAACAAAACTTGACCTGTTGGTACATTTTGTCAAACAACCAAAGTTTGTGTGTCTGTGGCATTGAAATCTGATTTCTCAGGCTTTCAAACTTCTCACTCTGAATGTCATGTAGTGATTTATCATGTCGTCATTTTCAGAGTACTGTATCTGCAAGATGAACTCTTTACGATCATATTCACCCCAGCACTCTGGGATGCTGCCAATGTTTTTAATACATCAAGTTGTTGTAGAAGTAGTGCTGTTGTAAATATTAAACTCAGATTGATATGTGCCAACATGGATTGATGAAGCCTCTTAATTGTCTGAAAGCTTTATACTCTAGACTGACACATGTGTATATATAATGATATGTATGTGTGCTCCAGTACCTATTTATAATATTACTGCATCTATTAAAGAATTTAAATATTCACTCTTGTTTCGTTGCTTTTAGGTCATGTCTGTTTCAACAACACTTCACATCTATCATGTCTTAGGTAGGCTGTTATTTCACTGTAATATCTGACACCTTTTAGTTTGAAATCAAGTGATAAAAGGTCTGACAATGTATCCTTAGTTTTGAAAAAAGTTGCTACCTGATCAGTTAATAATAACCTCCTAAACTCCAGAATAGATCTTTTAATTCGAAAAATGTGCGCAGGCCGTCAGTACTACTGCAGCAGGACTGGGTGGGTTTTTCCATCGGTGTCCACTGGATGGCGTACAAGTACAAAGAAATCCAGTACACGAAATGGTTTTTAATTCTGGCCCGCTTGCTCTGCTCTTGCAGAACCCGCCTTGAAAGATAATTGGTGAGTAGCCTAATAATGAAGACATTGAACAAGCTTCTTTCATTTAGTTGATTTTTTTTCTTGTTGTCAATGTCACTTAATAATAAAACATTGGCGAAAATCTTTTCCTTTTATGTGTTGGTTTTCCAATTTGAGAAAAAATAAAATGTCAGATTAAATAACTTCAAAAATCACAGTATGTCTTCAAAGTCAGATGAAAGGTGCAATGACAGATTCAAACTCAATAGATTAAAAAAGACACATGAAATATAAAAGTTTGGCAAATTTAAGTTTTAAAAATATTTATTTACAAGCACTGAAAACATTCAGCTAGCTGTATTTATTTATATTTATTGACCAAGGAACACTAGTTTCATACTTAGCTGTGACACTGTCAGAGATTAAATCACTGCAGAAAAGTCTGAATACACTGAATAATCACATTTATATCCACAAGACTTTTATATTAAACATTTGAACTTAAATTTAAAGAGGAATAGGAATACATTTACAGTGTGTAAATTACTTAAACCTATTTTCTGCTTCATTTTGGCATATTGCCGTTATAATCTCAGCTATCTAACCAATCATTCACAGAGCTGATTATAAACTTGGCAAAGCCTAACTTGGCTGTAACATGTCGGATGGCGTTTTAGCATTTTGATATCAAGTGTGAAATTATAGTTGTCATCACCCCAAATATTCTTGGGCTGTGTATCAATTTAATTTAATTTCTCACTGTGTCAGGGAACTTCTCTCCCAGATCCTTTTACATCTGATGAAGCAGATGAGATGGATCCTTTTTCATGATTCAAATATCTCGAGGTCTTCATTTTATTGAACAGCTGCAACAGCCTCTGACCACTCAGCACCCATAGGCCTTGGGTCACAGACAGATTTGGAAATAGATGAGTTGCTGATAGTGTTTTTTTTTTTGTTGATTCTATGAAAAAATTAGGATGTAAAAGAAAAAAAAATCCAACTCAGACTGTTTCTTTTTAACACATACTTTTGAATCAGCACTTCTTACTCAACGATTTAGTTGAAGTAAACTTTAAACAGCAGTTCAGTGTTTATCGTAATAATTCATTTATTTCAATCTGAGTCATTAGTTCATGTTGCAGGAGTTCCATGAGTATTCTGTCAGTTAAAAAGTGGGTCAGAATGAATAGGAATTTGTTCCATTTTGACAAACAAACCACCTTCATATTTTCAAAATGAGCACTGTGAAGTTTTGTGAATTGAATAAGCTGTCTCACTTTATAGGGTGTTTGATAGACTAATAGGTGGCCATTCAGTGACTTCAGGTGTGCTTAAATTTTCTGCTCACTAATCAAACTCAGAATTAGCCAAAGGAGCGTCAAGAAGTTTGGAAAGGATGCACACACTATTTATTGCATGTTCCTGAGAGAGGGGAGGATTTTTTGTGTGTGTGTGAGGACTGTTTTGTTTGTGTGGACTCAGGAACCCCCTGATTCTATTTTGTAAATGTGTTGTTTATGCGTTTGGTAAAAAAATGTCCTCTTGTCTACTTTTAAAAACCCAAATGTATCTCTCACTGTGGATATTTGCTGTGAAAAAAAGTTTAAAAAAGCCAAAATGGTCCTATAAAACTCCACCTGAATGAATGAATGAATGAATGAATGATTTTTTTTCGGTATAATATGACCGAAAGACCTACCCCTTATACCATACATGGAGCACATTATACAGACACACTCTTTATACAAATATCAACACTTCAATATATAGTGAACATGCTTGACACTTTACGTTAATAATCATACATCATTTTCTCTACAATATTGAGATTTAACATTATTCTTGTAAAGTCTCTTAAAGCTTACCAAAGTACTACATTTTCTAATTACAGTCATTCCATATTTTCACCCCTTTTACAGACACACAAACATTTTTGACATTTGCTCGCGCTTTCAGTTTCTCAATAAAACACAGCCTCTTAGGTTGTAATTAGAGTCCCTTAGTTTAAACAGGTTCTGGACATGTTGCGGTAGGTTCTGGGCATTACCACTCAAAAAATACCCAAAGGGCTTTATCTGATCAATGATTATGTTAGAAAAAGAAGTTATAAAACACTGTGTGGTAGAAGATGCCTCTGTTTAGTCTCAAGATCTCCTCAAAACTGAGAAGCAGAAGAGTGGATGTTTATTAGTGTTTTGTCGTTCGCCAACGATTTGTTCAAAAGAACCGGATCTTTTAAGTGAACGTACTGAACCGAATCACTTCCTCAAGTGACCTGATAAATAGCATACCATAGGACAGTACACTTAAAACATCATGACTTAAGGTCCTTTCACAACGGGGGTGTTTTTGTTGTGCGATTATTTCGGACGTCAATATATTTTTTTCGCAACCGTATCCTGTCAATACAAGTGTTCACATCAGCGATGTTTTCCCGTCCTGCACTATTGCAGCATTTATTTTTTGGGATCACGGACGATTTTTCTAAAGTTTCGCATTTTGTGTGTCCACTTCTGAACAATCAGATTGCGTGTTGTTGCGACGTCAGATTCACTAATGCTAACGGTTGTTACCATAGTTTCATGTGCTTATCTTATCGCCTCTGATTGGCTATAAGTGCTGACCGTTTGGCCTGAGCGTGTGATAACGTTTCCAGCTTTTCTAGCCAATCAGAGGCGAAGGAGGCGGGACTTTCACATCAAGCATTAGGCTTGATGTGTATAGTCCGGTGCGTCCGAATATTTCATAATTTCGCATTCTATATTTGCGTTGGCCCCGGTTTGTAAGGACCTTTATAAACAGGTTCATTTTTATTAACAGGCTTATAAGCAGGCTCCTCCCGCCAAGCACTGAATAATTCAGTGATTCGGAGAACGAATCTTTTGAACGAATCATTTTAGTGAACTGATTCTAGTGATTCAGTACATTTAAAAGAACTGCAGTGCCCATCACTTACTCCTTTATATAAAAAAAATTTAAATGGTTTGTTAAAATATTTGCTAACTTTTTAAATTTTATTTTCTTTCTTCTTTCACAATGTTGTGGCCCCCAGGTACACAGCCGGGACCATACCTAACAGTTTGCAAATACAGCTTACTGTAACAAGTTTTGACAGTCAAGCCGATACCCTGGTGGGAGAACTACACATGTAAATAGTGATTGAGAAAGCCCACTGAATCATCTTTTCAACCGCTTCTCTGTGTCACTCTCACGATACATCACCGCCTTGTTGCCCCACTCCCAGCCCACTTTTTTACCTCACACCCACGTATTTATCGACACCCCCCTTACTCGAGAGGCTGTAGGCCGATATTGAAGGGGGGCTGGCCCCTGCTGATTCAGAGGTTAGGAATTTGCATCTGATTACTGTTTGTCAACCAATGATGTGACTGTGCAGGCCGTAGAGTCTCTCCACGCCTCTCTCTCTCTCCCTCTCTCTCTCACTCACTCACTCACTCAGTCTGTCTGTCTGAACGTTGCGGGGGCTCTCCAACCGACACTCTAACTCTGAAAACATAATCACACGCAAAGGCCGATTGCGTGGATATCATGCAGTCACATGAGACCACATTAATTCTTGCTGATAAACGCGCGAACCATCTCTCCCCTTCCTCTTTTTGGTGCTTTTGGTTGTGTGTGTAATCGAGGGGGGAGACACCGCAATTCAGAGACGGGGAAAACAGGAATGTTTCTTCCGGTTCCAAAGAGTGAAAAAACGGAACGGAAGCCGAAGTGGTAAGTTTACATTTCTGTCATCCTCTTCTTTGTGACCAAAAACTTCATTTGTGTCGCTTTCTTCTGTCTTTTTTTAACAACTCGTGCTTTAGGCGTCTCAACACTTACAGGAGCCAGCTTTTTAAATCGATGCGTCGTTATCAAATCGCCTAATCAATAATCTATTGGTTCGGCAGCGGACGGAGTCACCTGCCATATGTCACCTAACAAACATAATAACCCTACGCCAAATGTAATGGCACTATTTCTTGTAGAAAGAAATCTTACAGATAATGTCTTTCGTACTTTGTAAAGGCTTTTACGGCAGTTTAAAGGATGTTTAATCGAAAATAATGAGGAAAAAGGTCAAATTTGTGTGGTATCTCCATTATAACTGCCAGCTAACAGCGAGCTACGAAACTAACTTCTGCCGTATTAACGGTTAACGTTAGGATATCGAAACGCCCCCCACCCGCTCCCCCCAAAAATGTCACTGACGTTACACCAGTAGGTTACACCGTGACTTGAATATATACATACATACTTTAGCTGATTATTTACAGTATTATCCTGCTCTGTGGCTGAGCTATATCGGATATCCAATACCCGATAAACGAGCTGCACTCGTGTTTGCTATGAAATAAGTGTGGGTCAAAATCTGCTTGTTAGCATGGACTGCATATAGTGTTGCCCTGTACATATTCCCACCCAGCCTATCCATGTTAATGTTTTTTTTTTTTACAAAGCTATTAAACATCTACTAACGCTACAGTAAATCTTCCTGCCCTGTGTGGTGTATATAAGGCCAACCCATGTGACAGCACCAGCATGGGTCTTTATAAAAGTGTACAAGATTTAATATGGAATAAAAACACAACAAATTATGACAGCTCATTAATTTTTTGACATGTTTATTTGAAATGGACTAGTATAGAACATGTGAACTGAAGCCACATACCAAAGCATTTATAGATCAGACCTTTACACAGATGCAACTTACAAAACGTAAACTACAAAAGATAGGCCTAGGGTTCAGTAACTCAACACGTAGAACTTAACAATGATGCAGATAGATCAAAACAAGAGGCCAGTTGGATTGAGACATCAGTAAACAAGACTTACATAACTCAAAAACCCACAACTAACCCTTTTTGTTTTCTTTATTTCAGTTTGGCTGCAGTCAGAATTCAGTATGAGTTAAGCAGGTCAGGCATTTAATTCGCCGATCCCCTAAACAGAAAAAGCTGTTTGTCCAAGCAGGGATTTAGAGCTAAACGTGACACATGAATGAGTTTGCAGTTGCTCTCTCGGCCTATTTGCTTCTGACATATATAATGCAAATGATTCTGTAATGGGTTTTGTAGTGATATGGGATTGGCAGGGCTGTAATTATCCAAACCAGGACCACAAACAAGACTACACAAGATCTAAAAATGTACAAACAGCCCATATGTAGGCCTACTTAAAGTTATAAAAATAACTCAAAGAGCAGTCTTCTGTTATATCACATCGCTGGAGCTTTTTGTCAGGTTTCCTCCGAGTTAAACCCCTTAAGTTGTTGGCATATCAAGCAAACTGCAGAACAAAGTTATCACAGGCAAATAGGAGACTTTATTTGGCATCTGTAGTACCTTAGATCAAGCCAAGTCCATCAGCCGATATGGACACAACGAACTGCTTTCATTACTACAGCAGGGTAGTGGGAAAATCTACTGTATACAAGAGGTGGTGCATCCCGCTCTATGACATCAGAAAAGGGGCCAGAAATGTTAAATCTCCAGTGGATTCAGTAGGAGCACAGGAAGTGTCCTGACTGTATTTTGCAGGAGAGTTATGTCAAGCTGACAAACCTCTCACCCACAACCAAAACTACTGACTTGGTTTGTGGTCGGTGTAGTTTCTCACCATGAAGCGGGGGCAGGGGAGCACAGGCACAGTAAGCTGGTTTGGTTTTAAAGCCTTGTACAGCACTTTGTCTTGACCGTAAATATATAGATGTGTTCAACAATTAGCCTGGTTTCAGTGGGGATTCCCAGGGCTTGCAAGTAAATTTAGGCCCAATTTCAACTGAAACTTGAATAAAAATCATGAAGTGCACAAATAGTTAAACCATAAGACAGAACACCAGCTGGTAAAACAAGAAGAACATGAAATTAGATTTAAAAGGCTTTTATTGTGAAGGGAATTGGAAAGCCATTGGTCACTTTGATGTAGTCCTTTTTTAAAATTTAAAACATGAAAGATAAGATTAAATCCCCAGTGTCTTCAGATTTTCAAAGTGTACATTGTTTCTTGGAAAAAAAGTCAAATGTTTAACTGTGAACAGCCTCTTCTTGTGATTAAGCACTTAGAGATTTCCGGGGCCCTTATTGCACCCTGCACCCCACCAGCCTCCAATCACCTTAGAAGCTTGCCCAGAAGTTGCAACACTAATCTGTTTGGTCCAGTCTGACATATGTTGTCCTTCAGAACTGCACCAGCATAGAGTTTTTAATGGAGAGAAATGCTGCTGCAGCTAAGGGGTGGGGGCGGGCTTCTCATGTGATTGGTGTAATGATGGATTAGAAATGAGCGGCGATCAAGTTCAGGTTTTAAAAGGACTCCCCGAGCTTTTGCAACAAATAGGCTGGCCTCCAATAAAAAGCTGCTTGTCAAAAAGTGATTTATGTAAAGTCACCCTTTGTTGCTCTTGATTTAAAGAAATTCCCTCTGTGTTGTGTTTTTGAAAGAACTCATAGTTTCCCCCTTAAAGGGGTGTTAAAGTGGTAGATCTTAACCGAAAAATGTATATTTAATATAAACTAAAACTCTGGGGAAAATGTTGCATTTAGGTTTCTCAACCTTCACAAAATAGCTTGACTATTATCTTTCCAGACGTCAAGACAGATTCCTACACCTGTTTCACAGCTGTGTAACTACAAGGAGAAAAATTACACACACTTAAGAGTGTAAAAACTGTTGTTTTTTGTCAGAGACAGCTGAGGGGAAAAGTGCTGATGTCTACATAAAAGAGTATCAGAAATCTCAAGTAATTCCACGAGACAAAAGCCACATACTCTTCCCAAACATAGTTTTAGTTGTCACTGCCCCTTTGCAGTTGCACATCAAACTCTGCAATACCTTTATAGAGGTGCTCCAGCTAGTGATTTCACAACTCAATACAGCCTAGAGGAACTTTGAGAGCCAAGACATGTAAATGTGCAGCTGTAGCTTCAAATTCACACTCTGACATAAACACACAAACATGTCTGTTTCACCCTGCAGGCTCTGATGCTACATGTTACTGTTGTCTTTCTCCTGGTACATCTCTGATACTTCCTCCCACAGCAGATCAGAGGTGGAACAAAATCATCCCACCACTCTTTGTCTGTTACACATTGCAGACAAGACATAACTTGGTTTAAATATCTTACTTTGACCCAACCATTTGTAAGAGCCTGAAGTCTCTGTCATAGTTGTCATGTTATTAGAAAGCATTCTTGAACAGTGAAGAGCTGTGAAAATAATCTGTTAGTTCAGAAATTGAATTATTTGAAATGTGATATAGCCCCAAAAAAGGAAAGGGGGAAGTTTGATGATTTTTGATGAAAAGGTCTATTTTAGGATGTTTTTCCTTATTTGGAGAGCAGCAAATAGAGCAGGAAACAGGGACAGAGAGCAGAGAATAACATGCGGAAAGAGACCTCAGGCAGGATTTAAACCCAGGCTGCCCTCATGAGGCACATTCTTAGTATACGAGTTGCACTCTTAGACCAGTGGCTGAGGCTAGCACCATCCAAGGTTTGATATTTTTGGTGACTTACCATCAAAAGGATCTGCACTGCGAAAGCTCCTCCCGTGTGACAGCCACACCATTGTAACTTAAAGGCTTTTTGAAGATTCATCAGAGGGAAATGGATTACGCTGCCATTTAGAAATGAAAGTCAACAGATGGAAAACAGGTTTGTTTAATGTGGTTCTATTTGTGATTTGTGGCTTTTGCACTAATAATGACATCAGTCGGTGTTTACTCATCGCGCTGCTTTGTGCACTTAAGATGGCTCAGATTTTTGGTATTTCGGCGTCTTGTCCTGAACTGTTTTTGCTGATTTTTCTCCCATCTCTTGATTTGTGAACTTGTCCCTCTGCTTTCTAATGGAGTCTTCATTGTGGTCTGACCAGCTTAGGTTCACACAAAGGCCTGTGTGTCAATCACATTCATCCTATCCAGAGTCAGAGTTACGTTTGTTGGCAGATTGTCACCTTTGCGTGCTAAAGATTGTTTAACGGACATATCATGATGCAACGCAGGTCTTTTAGTCATGCAAACGTTTACAAGCAGAAATCTGCTCAGCTTCCTGTGGCTGGCCTGATCTCAGCCTGAGGGTGTTTGAAGAACATTTGGAAGCTTTAAGTGTAATATGCAAATAGCATGCTCAGTTTGCCTGCAAGCAACATGGCTGAGTGAGCTGCAGTCACTGGCAGTTGGCCAGTAAACTGGTTAGTGGCTGTACATTAATGACAAACATGCAGAGACAAGACAAACAGGTCTGACGTCTGTTTGTTGTCTTATAATCAAACTATAATCTGTCAGGGCTATAAAGGTTGCTTTATGATGTCCCTTCATTCAAATCAGTCTGCAGGGCTTAAAGGCGTGGGCTTTGGCTTAAAGCCGACATTGTGTCACACAAATGCTTCAGTAGTAACCCACCTGTAAATACCAGCATGAGTTGTGTTGCAGTGTGTGTGTGTGTATGCGCGCGCTCCACACTTTTTCCTGCCATTAAAGAAGTAGAAACCAGCGTGGCTTGGCAGGCATTCAGCTGTTCCTGTGCCAAAACCTACATTTCTGAAGGGCCTGCGCAGCACGTGGGGCTTTAACTCTGTTATCCTGCCAAAAATGCAGGAAAAAAACTCACAAGTTACTTCACTGCCTGGGCCGGCGCCATGGGGGAATCCCAGCAGGCCCGATGCTGACGCAGGCCCCGAGCGTAGGGTCAGAGCTTTTGGGAAACCCTGCAGATCCTGATCCAAGCTGCTTGGACAGCCAGAGGCTTTTCTGTATTCAGTCAGCAGCCAACACTCGGTGGTTCAGTGTCAGCGTGATCTATCCTGGTGCTGCTCTGCCTGGATACCAGCACACAGCTGCAACATGCTGACATGTCCATCAAATCTGAAGCATTTGTATTTTATATTAGTGTTCGCTTACACTGGCAGCCTGCCCAAGCAATCAAAAGCCAATTTAATCAGATCTGTGCCAAAAGATGCACATCCCTCAGGAGCAGGCATAGCTGCCAGACTGTATTAGCCAGGGCGCAGGCACATGAAACTTTAATCCTCATCTAGCACAGGAGTGATTATATCTCTTTTGGTTATCTCCATGTCCAAAACACAGAGCTCTCTATCTAAAGATGTCCCACTTATTCATCGCCTCTCTGCAGACAAAAGGCCTGATTGTTTAAGATCACAATGCCATGACGTGTCTGCACAGTCACCATATAAACCAACACGTTAATCCAGTTTGGGACATTCATGCCATTCAATGAAACTGCTAGCCCACCCACCCCCCTTTCCAGCACTAAAGGAACTATCATCAGTGTAGAGTTACAATAGCAAAGTGCTGAACCCTGCGAGCAGCAACATGCAGCCTGTCTCCTGAATCTCACTTTTTATGACTTGAGTCTGTTAACCAACGAGGAATCGAGTTGTTAGATAGCTGTGCAGCTTAGGAAGCGTAAAACAGCTCAGATTGAGGAACGACTCAGACCTACCGCCTATCAGTTTATCCGTCGAATATAACACATATTATATTTCAGGAATAGGTTTCTTTTAAATTGGCAGTCTTTTCTGGTTAAACTGACCGTGAAAGCTGACAGAAAGCTGAAGTGTTTCAAAAATGAGTTCTTAAACCCATAAATAAGTTTGCGTTTTTCACTTTCACTTCCCCTCTTTTCAGAGTCAGTGGGTTTGTTGAATGAATCTTGGTTAAATGACTAAAGTAAGTACAATTATCACAAGCTTGAGAGGTTTTCTTGTTTCTCCCCACAACATGAAAAGTTTTATTTTCTCTAAAAAATACAGATGCTACACAGTGTCATCATAGTCAATAATACTACATATAACAGTGGCCATAGTCTGAATATAATGTATAGATATCATTAACAGTGGTGTGTACGAAAAAATCCAATTTTTGTTTGGGGATAATTTCCTGGTAATCAGTTATGAATATAAGATCTTAACTCAATTACGATCAAGTTTTAGCTGTTAAAACTCAGTCTAGATTGTGCCAAAAAAGCTCTCATTGACTCTGTGTCTGAAGTACAAAAACCAAGAAATAACATCCTCCAGAGTAGGAAGAACATCTCAACCAGAAAAGAGTAAAACTGACGTAAGAAGGTATTGTTTTTCTCTCTTGTAGTGGCAGCAATCACCTCTTTTAGAATGGTCTGTGTTTTCCCAGCTGAGCTGTCAACACATGAGATTTATGTTTACTCTCATAATACTTCAGTCTCCATGTGAAGCAGTAACATGGCTGCAACATGGGGAGGTCAATATCCAACAGCAAGGCAGCAAACATTTCAGCTGAATCAGCACAGGCTTTTTTTTTTTTTTTGACATTTATTGTTTTGACTCTGTATCTGAAGACTTCTCCTGACTTCACAGGAAATACTTCATTACAGAGACAAAAAGTTCTCTGCAAATTTTCCTCGTGGGCTGTCCTGTCTTTAAAATTGCATCAGTCAAACATACATTGACATATAGTCTTCTCAACCCACATAGGAATATAAGGTTTCATGTCAAGTGTTTGACCCTTTTTACTCAAGTTTTTACTACTGCAAGAGCTCAGTGTGCAGTTTCAGTATTTAAAAGCTTCTAAGGAATTGATTGTCATGGTCCAGTACCATCAAATTGCTTGATGGCTCTCTTATGTTGGTTAATTTTGCTTTCTACAAACCTTGTAATCTAATCCAACTCTACTCTAAACAGCCAGATAATTACCAAACTGAATTTTCTTCTCATTTTTCTTATTTTTTGAAGTGAAAAATGCGTCTAATATTCACGCCTTCAAACTCCAGACTGAACATCCTGTAGCATCATTTACTAAAAGTCACTTCCAACCAATTGGTTCTCGCAGCTGACTCCTGTTGCTTGATAGATAGCTGCAGATTTTCCCCATTGAGCAGTGGATCAGTGGATTATTTTTGCTATATGCCCACTTCATTTATGGCATAGCTGGGGCTAATCAGATTTGGCTCGCTGTGTTGCTCCGGCTCGCTCGAAGAGGTCAGTGGAAAGTGCGTGACGAGCCTGTGCGACACTTCCTCAATGATCTTGTTGTTAGTGCAGAGGGGCTCAATGGAGCCTGTGTTATTGCCTTGAGAAGTAATACAGCAAGGAATGTGAGAAAGGGCCGCATAATCAAAACCAGCACCACTGACCGACTTCTTCTTTTGTGCTTTTTTTAATGTGGAAAGGATCATAAATGACTCCAGCTTGGCTTCTCCATATACGATTAGTCTTCAACTTTGATTGAAATAAATGCCAACCAGTCATTTCAAGAGTTAAAGATATGGACAAAGTAGTAAAACCTGGTCAAATTTAACTTGATATAAATAAACCCCATTTATGAATGTATTTCAGATTTATGATTCCACCATGGTACTTCATTTCTCTTTGTATTAATTCCCTCAGACTATAAAGGTTTCTCATTCGCTTCTATAAAGCACTTTACTATTTACTCCATGTACTTTTTAAAGTGCCCATTTTAGATTTATCATTAAGCTGTCCTTAAAAGAAGAGAAATAAGACACACAACCCTAGCTTGATTCCTGCTGCAGGGATAAGCCCAAAGCCGTTAATTAAAACAAATTATGTCTTTGTGCAAAGCAAATATCCCGGGCGGTTTGTCGCTGTTTTTCTGTTAAAGATAAGACAATATAAGAGCTGAGAAATTTACATGTTAAAATACTTGTATTTGCTATTGAGGGTATTTATGTAAACACGGCTCTAAACAGACATTAACTTAGATATATAAAGAGAAGTAGAGAGGAGGGGGGTTGTTTTTTCCCCCTGGGGTGTTTTAATGGTTTTTATTCTACTTTTATCACATTCATATGATATAGAGAAAACATGTAAACATATTTTTAGTACTGCAAGCTGCAGTGAACTAGGAGTGTTTGCTCAGTTTGTTAATGCTTTCGAAGAAATGTCGACTAACTTTGGGGTGTAATAATTTTACATTTGTGCAGTAACACTTCATGCTACAAACTATATATATGTGTATTTATATGTATGAAGAGATTCCAGTAAAAAGAACAAAAGACAGATATTGTATTTGTCCAGGAATGTTTGTCGATAACATCTGAACAAAGCCTGTTTCACCACTAACAGCACTAAAGTACACACTGACACATGCTGTATGACTACAGTGTTGAGTGATTTGATAAAGGCTGACAACAGACACATTAACTTATCATAGAAATCACCTGCAGACTGCGTGTCGGGCTGGAGTCTTTTTACTCAAAGCAGGTGTGGCTGGCGCGTGAACACAACAACTAATTTGATAAAGAAAGTTGCTGTTCAGCAAGAACAAGCAGCAGAAACTTCAGCTACAGCAACAGAAAATTCAAAGAAAACGAGAAAGTACCACCCACGCTGATTTACATTTTATCTTTAGGAAGTCGTTGCAGGAAAAAAAGAGCCCTCAGTACCAGAGATGGAAATGAAATCCATAAATCACTTGAAAAATCTGGTTCTGTCTGAATTTCCAGTCAGGCATTTCTTTTCCTAGTTCATCAAAAGTATATCAGACAAAAAAAGTTCTAAAAACTGCTCTGTGGTGCACATGTGGTGAATCTAACAAACAGTTCAGTGGTCTTGAAAAAGGGGCCCCAATGCAGCAGTTTGTGATATTAGAAAGCTAAGTTGTTCTTTCTAGAGAGCGTTCAAAAAAGCCTCATATCTATACAGGCAGTTGGCTTATATCTCCATATGTGTGCACATACGCGTGTACATATGTGCATGTATGTGAGCTGATGTGGGTCTCTTTATCTCGTTGGAATTAGACCCTTAGCTCTGGCTCTTATCGCTCGCTTCTGTTTGCTCAGACCTTGCAATCTTCTGCCTCTCAAAAGTGGGTTTAGAAAAAAAAGAGGATTAACCCTTTGCCTCTCATCGTTTAACCTCCATTCAGCCATCTCTCAAAGTTTCTGCCATAGCTGCTCGTCCCTGCACCCACATGAGCGCCTCTGTCACCTATCCTGGTAATCCAGCCTCCCCTTTAGCCAATTAAGGTGTTAAATGAGGGTCTTATAGTCTGCTCCCTAATATAAGTGTTGTAAAGCTATTTATAGCTGTTTGTGATAAAGCCTATATCTTCCGATGGCAAATGGTCTTCTCTCTTGTCCCCCTGCCTTCTCCATTAGGTCAAAGGTCATTGTGGTGTGAAGAGCAGAGGTGCTAAAAGCTCGCTTGGTATGGAAGGTGTGCTCTTGAGACTATCAATTCTTTAGAAAAAAATCAGAAATAAGACGGTAGTGGGGATTCTCTGTTTAAGTTTTATGTCAATGATCTTCACCTCAACTACCCAGTGAGGAACAATGTTAAAGAGTGATCCAGAAATGACACAGGGAAAGTAGGTCACCATTATTGCACTTCTAAAGGGTTCTGGGTGACAGGAAAGACCAACGTTGAGGCTGTGAATGGGCTCACTTTCTATTAGCAGCTCACACTTCCAAATAAGATTCTCCATATTGTCTGGAAGGAAATCATGATGTCAAGAAACTACCCCTTTACCTGCGGTGGTTCCCCTTTTTTAGCAACAATTCAACAGAGAGTCAGACAGGGTTTTTCAGAGCTTTCATCAAGACCGAAACTGCCGAGACTGGCATTTCCTGTTGCATTATGAGTTAGATATTAAACACCTTATCACCTGAGCTATGGTCTGTTACACATAATGTGTGAGAAGACGATGCCAAACACAACCATCTTTATCACAGTGGAGGTGCAACAAAGAGTGGTCGGATTAGTACTAGTGGTTAAACTATTGTACTGTAGTGGTTGTAGTGGATTTTGCCATACGAAGACTATAAAGACAAATGCTTGGATTAAATGTTGTTTATGATTTAAGTTTGAAAAAGGAACAAGTATGAGGTGTCTTCTTCTCTGTCTTAAGCTCACAGTCTACATTTGGTTCTGCATTTCTATGTTTCCGTGTTACATAGGGACCCGATCAAAGTCATATACTATAAACATTTCTATAAGCACCAAACCACCTCTGTTATTTGGGGAAGTGGGGGGAATGTGTAGTGCTGCAATGTCATTTCCACCATGTAGCATGTCTGAGATGAACAGTGGCATGAAACAAAGAGACCACTTCTGCTTCTCTCCTCACAGGACGAGTCGACAGAAGAGCTTTGTTGTAATCACTTCTGTCTTTAAATTGACATGTATGACACACTTGGGGGCTGCTGGCTGGAACATGAGAAGAACATGACATGTTGTGCTTATTTGCACACAGGTTTGGCTACCTGACATGTTGAGTAATGTGTATTATAAAAACACTTACAAACGGAGCATGTACAGGCTGTTCTACGGTGAATTTGCCTTTGTCATTTGATGATAAATTAATGGACACAACTGAGGTGCCACCCATGAACCTTTCTTGCACTATCAGGTTTTTTCTTACTGTAAGTAGGACAGAGACAGAGTTGTCTCTCGGTTAAACCAGATCCAGTTAGGTAAGATGATTTAATCCTGCTTATACTGGTGCTATTCACCATCTGACAACTGCAGCCGTTCAGTTGTGCCTCTATCGCCTGTAAAGAATGTAATGAATCAATATTGAATATCTGTCGGCTGCCACGCTGCATCTGCTCCGTCAGTTGTCACTTCCTTCACCCGCTGAAGAAACACAAGTTTCACAGCTCTTGTTTCCTTGTGCAACATTTCTCGAACAGACTGTTGCTTTAATGGGATGGCTTCATCGCGCGACATTTCGGTGTTGCGAATTTTACTTAACACCTCCAATTTTATGCTGTACAAGCAGAATCTTGGCCGTTTGAATTCACCTTGTGGTTCAAGCATCTGACCAACTGTTTGCTGACTGCAGCAGGTTTGGTGTTTTATTGAAAGTTGAGGGCATTTTGGTCTTCCTGTTTTCTTTTTTACTTGTTTTTGTGGCTCAGCCAGTCGCTGTAGGCTTCTTTCAAGCTGCAGAAGTTTGAAGTTTCTTAGAATCATCATAACAGGCAGCACTTAATGTTTTCTGCAAACAAATGCACTATTTTTTTTTAAGAGGCATCGAGTCAACAACTGAGAAAAATGCACCACATAATACTGCATTTCCCCCAGAAGACCAGTGTTGTGGGAAATAAAAGCTTCGTAATAACTTTACACCACAAAAAATAAGATGAATCAACACATCTGATGTCTCACTTATGACACACAACTGTTCACGTGTTTGGACATAGAACGTGTAAAGACTGTCTGATCGGACAGATGAGTCAGGATTACTGTTAGCTAACACTCTCACACTTTTTCTCTGGTTGATTAAAAACTTTTCAGAAACTTTTCCCATAACAGAAACGTGACAACAAGGAGGTTTGTGGTGGTTGTCTCTTTTCTTTGTGTGTATTAGTGCGTAAATCTCAAGAGGGCTGAGTGCCATGTGGCGGGTAAATATTTGTACCACACTAGTCTTATTATTCAAATATAAAACAGGGCTGAGTTTTCACTAAGTTTTGGTGTGGCTACAACTTTTTTCGTCTTTGTTCTCTGCTGTCTGCATGTTGGAGCATCATGAAGTCAGTCACTACTTAATGTGCTACGCGGCATGCTGCAAACAGTTCTGATATCTGCATGTAGAAGTAGGCACACGAGAGGAGGAGAAGAGAGTGCTTCATGCAGCAATACAATATACATGCACTGCAGATGTGGGTAAACACTTAGTAGTAGTAGTACCATTAGCAGTATATGTATGCCTACAACGTTAACAAGCACCAAGACAGATGAGACAATGCAGTGAAATGTCTAGAGAGAGAGATTTTAGATCAGCATAAATCAGGGGTCAATCCTGGAAATGACGACAGCTCGACATTTTTCAGCTCATATGACTTAGATTGCATCCTGTGATGTAACCATTGCACATGCACATATTTATTATTATGACGGTATACAGTGCTGCCCTACTAGTGAGCCAAAAATCAATCATAGTGATGTCTTTATTTGCTAAGGAAAATATTTCGATTGAGGATTACATATGCTATTTTGTGTTATGTACGTCTGATATGCACCCCCAGAGGTTTTTTTGCTCGGACTAGGACAAAATATTGATATCAAGGCGATCAATTTTGTGCGTCAATTATCAGTTTTTACGATGACTACACGGTAAACAAATTAACCCTTAGTGTTTGACTTGCTGTGTCACTACTTCACAACTTCTTGCAAAGGCATAAACAAGATAAATCCTGCTTATTTTCTTCAGTTTATCAGATATAAAATGTTATTGTATGATTGTCTTGCAATAAATTTATTCTCACAGAAACACGATACTGCAATATTATTGTATATTATGGTACATAATGATAAGGTATTGTGGGTTACCCTGCAATTCCCACCCCAACTGTTTCTACACTGACATAGTTGAAAGAGCAGTATAACATATCAACTTGTGTTCACCTTTCAGCCGTAATTAGGCACAAAAATCTGCCCTCAGTACAGGGGCGAGAGTTTGAAGTAAATGTGTTTGTGGAGGAATGAGGGGAAAAGGAACTTTCTGTGGAGTTTCCTGGCACTATACTTCACTCTACATCTATCTATTGTTTTCCAGCAACCCAGCTGCGAAATCTGAGCACAGGATGCCTGGTTTTCTTCTTGCACTGACCAAAAACTGTTACTCATTCTCCATGATTCATGCATTCATCCACTGTATGAGTTCAGTGAAAACCTGGACTTGGTGAGAGTGTCAGATTAGTGCAGCTGGTGCTTCCTCAGGTCTGCCATGTATCAGTCACCTTTTGTGTATTAGTCATTGTATGTGAATGAGTGGGCTCGCGCAGTCACTGCTGCCTACCGTCATGACTGGCCCCTCAGGGCGTTTGACACCTGCACTCAGAATTTATTTCCACACGCTCTTATCTGGGACTTACTGGTGGAACCTGCAGATTGAACAAACTTTTTTCTGCAGGTTCTGGGTAGGATTAACTGTTGATCTCCTTCTGGTCCAACGATCTGAGGCATCAGTTGAACGGTGTGTAACAGGGAGGCAGCTTCAGTTACCAGAATCCTGGGGCTTACCCCTCAAGACAGAGCCTGCTTTGTATTAAGGCTGAAAATTAATCACAGTATTACTGACTTCCCACAAAGAACAGCAATTTTACTATACAAGAACAATATGTGACAAAACCACTGTACAATAACGTGCGGTGGTGCAAACCTCGACAAATGTCACGTCATGAGTTATTTTCAAAAAAATGAAAAATATGCAAAACAATCGTCCCTTTTCACCGTGAGTCATAAAGTCTGTTGAAATCATTTTCTTGTTGTGTTGTGCAACCCTGCTTTGCATACCTGTCGCCTTTTGGGAACAGGTACGTAGGAGAAGAATTACCACCTACATCAGTCGCTACAAAAAAAAAACTCCAGACACGTTTCTTATTAGTGAAAAGCTTTTCACTGAGGGGAAAAACAGAGCAGTCATACCTGAGCAAAGTCACGCCTTTGAATATTAATCATGTCTGCCTCCAGATGAGAGTGACTGCCTGGCGCTGCTTCTTTTTTGCTGTTGTGCTGAAATTTTTGTTGGCGGCGAGCCAGCCAGGTGAAGAAAGTGACGGTTCTTCCTGTGATTCCACTTCCTTTCGTCATATAGGTTGAAGCATTGTGTCCTGTGTGAGCAGGCTGTCTGATGTGATTGTGCGAGTAACGCTACATGTGTTGCACAACAGTCAGTGACTCAAAGGCTACATATGAAGTCTTAACGTGTGTCTTTTAAAAGTTTCAAATGTTTTTGAAAACTTCAGTTCTGCACCTGGTAGTTGTGATTAATCCTGCTTTTGTTCTGTTAACTTCTCATCTTTGTCTTTATAAAACAAGGAAGCTTTAACAACCGTCATAAAAAAAAGGGACTGTTTTTCATGAAGTATGTGAAAGCAGAAGATGGAGATTTATAGATGTCCACTGAAGTACAAAGGCATCAAGTGAAATCAAGCTTGAAAAAAAGACGTATTTGACTAATTTGATGCTTATGGGGAAGTTTATAAAATAGTGTTTTGTCTTCACCTGAAGGTAGCAATATCAGCAGACAGGGGAAGTAACAGTCTAACGCTTTGGTTTTTTTTTCTCTCCCTCAGGTCTTTATAGTCTCTCAGCACGCTTTGTACTCGCACCTTGGCTTCCAGAACTTGTGCCTCACTGAACGCTGTGCAATTCAACTCTGCTGCCGGCCTCAGTTCCCCCCTGACTGCAGGAAAACCCACCGAGACAAGAGAGAGGCCTCTGTCTCCACCAGAGCTGCTACTGACCACTGACTGCATGTCTCAGGGCTCTCAACGACCCCCCTCCTCTTCCTCTTCCTTCTCCTTCTCCTTCCACTCCTCAAGGACCCACTTATCCGCACAACCATAACCTCCAATCCTCCGGCACAGTTAGCGATCTCTCTGCGCAAACATAAGGTTTGACCATTGTCCCCAGCAGGCCTCTGATTGGTCTCTCCTTCAGTGGAGGACGCAGCTTTAAAGCCGAGCCGCTCTCCCTGGAGATGAAGCTGCAGGCTGTCATGGAGAACCTGCACAGGCAGCAGAGGGCCAAGCTGCTGATGGAGCAGCAGCTTCAGCAGCAAGCAGCCGCACAGCACACTCAGATCCGCGCAGGTGGAGGAGGAGGAGTAGGAGGGGATGAGCCAATGGGGAGCCCGGTCCCTGAGACGGAGCAGGCCCAGATGGCGGCGTTGGCAGCCATGCGTGCAGCAGCAGCAGGACTGCAGAGGGTGTCTGATAGCCCCATGTCAGAACGCAGCAGTGGCGGCGAGGATGAAGATGATGATAATGATGAAGGGGAAGAGCATTACAAGGACATGATGGGGTCTGATGAGGAGGAGCAGATGTAAGTGATCACTTACTTTGATCAGGTTGTCCTCAAACTTCTTTTTCTTTGCATGTTTTCATTTCAAAATCTCTGTCTTATAGTAAGCAGAAATGGGATGAGGAGGACTTTGAAGGTGAGATGGAGGAAGACTTTGATGATGATCTGGCAGAGGAGGGTCTGCCCACTGGCCATGATGCAGTGGCTCCTGGTAAGGGCATTCTCCTGCTGCCCCATCGTCAGCTCCACCCACACTCCCAGCTGCTAAAGGCCCGTCCCAGTGTCGACCAGGAACCCCGTGTCGCCATCCTCCCGCCCCTCGCCACACACAGCCACCTTGGCGCTCAGGACCACGGAGAATGGACCTATGAGGAGCAGTTCAGACAGGTATGGAATAAAAAGTGTGATTCCAGCAGGTTACATCTGTTCAAAAAGTTGCTCTAAATGACCAGTTTTTCACGTGTGTTAGCACAGCTGCTGCCAAGAACAGACATTTTCAAACATTGAAGCACCAAGAGTTAAAAAAAAGAAAAAGTCACTTCCTGCTATGAATAGGACTGCTAGCTGAGGAAGAGAAGCTGAGTTCAGAAGGAGGGAGAGGCAGGAGGGGGTGGGCCAAGCTGCATTTTAACAGCTTTACCATGCGGGCGTTTACTGTAAACATGCTAGTGGGCTGGATATTATGAGGGAGGCCCCTGTGGAATAAGACGGGCTGTTTACGTGAAGAGATTTAAGTCTGTCAACAGCTAAGTTTAGATGGAGCGCTGCTGGTGAGAGACTTGGGAACTGTAAAATCTACTTACTGGTGGCTACTGATGACAGAAAGAGCTAAATTGATCACTGTTTAGGTCTTAATTCCCTCACTTTTTAGGCCGTAATTGCTACTTAAAAAGATATAATTCAAAGCACTCATGGACACTTCTGACAGTTGTAACAAAATAACGTGAAAAAAATTAGGGGTATTAAAATCATGACAGGGAGCTCTCCTCGTAAAAAGAGATATATGACAAGATTCACCTTTTGTTAGAAGTTTTTAGTGGTCATGTTGTTCTGTTCACTAAGATTAGACTCCAATATTGTGTGTGTTTGTGCAGCATCTTCAGCACTATTTAAATCTTTAAAGTTATGTAACGTTGAAACCTGCAAGTCTTTTTGTGTCATAGAGACTTCACTTGGTGTGTAATGTGGCGCATTCAAGCCCCTGCTTTATGTAAAGGCAGCTTAGGTGATGTAATGGGAGCTCCTGTTGTAATGCAAACACTGTCATGGTCTGTGGCCGTATCTTTAACCATGAAACAGGTTTGACAGTGTGAGCTGCAGCGTGTCTTTTTTAATCTTAACAAGTTTCATTTTCTTCAAAAACAAAGTCTTGATCTTTGGGGAGTTTTTTTTTTTGACATTTTTATATTAAAGCCATCAGTGTGTTGGAAGTGTAGAAGTTTTTTTTTTTTTTTTTTTTTTTACATAGCCACAGGTTCTGTAATTAAAGGTCTATTTGTATAATTAAAGAGTGAAGGGAGTAAAACTGCCCCGTAGAGCTGCACCCTGCTCCTTCAAATAGTCGACCCCTCCCCCTGTAAAAAGCTTTGTGTGAACAGTTGGTGGTTTTCATGTGTCAGGTAGGACATACAGTGTACATTTTTATCATGACATGTCAGTCAGTCACCGACGGTTATATAATCGAGGGAGCCAGTATCTTGACTGTTAAGATAGTGTTACCCAATCCATTGTTGATTAAACGTATGTAACGCCTATACAGCCCTACTCCTCCTACTATGCAGACAGCAGAAAGGATAAAGCTTCTTTAAAGCCCTTTGCATTTTTATACAGTAAAAGGAGTGGTGCAATTGCTGTCACATCTGTTTATAGGGAGTCAAGGCTCCCGACCTCTTTATTGCTGAGTGGTTATAACGCTGTGAATCCAAGATTTTAGTCCTGCACATTATTCACACAGGGCTAATTTTGGGCTTGGATGATTACGGTGATTAGTAATAATTGTAGCTTTTCCATGTGAATCCACTGCCAAAGTGCTGTGTGTGCAATGTGTAAAGCAAAAATGACAGGCCTGTTATGATGAGGACGGTCCCTCCCCTGATAATTCTAACCCAATGCATATCAAACTCAGTGATTTCCGCCTTAAATTGTATTTAGCGGGTGCCATTTTTCTTCTTCTTCTTCTTCTTTTTTTCTGTAAGTACCATTTGTGGTTTCTTTCTCTGCAGACCTCAGTATTTCATATGCTTTCAGAGTGAGCGTCCACGTTTGCTTGCCTTGATAAGGAGGTTAGAAGTTGTAAGAACTTAACATTATCCTGTAATATATGTAATCAGTGCATATCTGACTTTTGTGTCTTGGTCAAGTAAGCCCTAAAAGGCTTATATAAGCACTCTTGTGCTTTTATGCAGCAGTTTGAATTACCTCCTGAAACTCAATTAACTATCAAAGCTAAAAAGGTTAACCTAACAAGTTACATTTTTAGTTCTTTGTCATATATGTTGCATTTTCATCAGCTAAAACACATCAGAGGCATGTTTTAACCTGGAAAAAGATGTGGCTTTTGCCTTAACTATGAAAAAAAGTTAAATAAATATGACTACCCTCTGACTTCTAGCTACAGTTTTCTTAATATCCTACTTTGATGTTACACATTAGTTTCTCAGGTTGCTGCTGCAGTTTAAACAGACATTTAACAGCATTACTCCTATTAAGCAAAAGATTACAGTCAAGACATGATTAAAAAACTCTGTGTTCTCTGTAAATGCAACTTTCGTGTTCTGGACACAAATTGTAACCCTGTAGGGCCTATACAAAATGCGCTGTATTCAGAGACCGCCATATCTCATGGTGTTAAGTTGTGTTTTTTTCATCAGGCATTGGGCGGGGAGGAAGGGGTTAAGGCTGTACAGTTTATTTTGGGCAGGTGGGTGGAGGCTGTTGGAATGTGCCTGAGGGAGGGTGATAATGTGGCCACTACGAACCCCAGATCCTCAGCAGAAACCCTGCATGCCTCTATCAGTATGCTGCAGTTGGATCACTTCCCTACTGAGAACTATCCTTTTCTTGGTTATGTTGGGTCCTTGATGGAGCCCAGTACAGCCGTATGTCTGCGGGTGTGCAACGGCAATGGATGTTGAACATGTCCAGAGTTCATCTCTATTTAAAACACACAAGATGTAAGAAAGAAAATGTAAAAATTAGCTTTTTAAAGAGTAAATTTCGATAGTGATAGTGGATTCAAAGACAATGTGAGTGAGGAAATGGTGACCAGCAAAGAGTTTCAAATTAGGTAACTGGACTTTAACTCTGCGCCACATGAATCTGATTTTAAAAAATAATAAGGTAGAAAAAAACTTCTTCTGTAAGTTTCCCAGCTCTTCAAAACTGTATTGGCCGAAGGTGGTATGAAGGCGAAGAAACATCACCCAAACCCCACTCTCACAGGTGATGTTCTTTACCCCGAGGCTGTGTGAGTGTATCAGCCAAGACCCAATCTGCATTCCTCGTGGATCACCCAGTCACCTTCCTCTCTCCACACTCACAGCTGAAAGGTCAGACTAAATCCAGCCAGGACACCCTGTCTGTTCCGATGTCCAATCACATTCTGGTTATAACTGAATTAATCAAATTATTTTAGATGCTTTGCCAGTGGTGTCATATGGACTGTATCTGTCAAAGTCCAGCAGCATTAAATAAAGGACAGGCACTGATACACATATCATATTATGCCAGCATCTTTGCATTTTTTTGTAATTGAAACTGATTTACTTTGCTGCTGGAGTTACCTTTCAGCCCCCCCATAACCTTAAACTCCCACATACATCCACCCCCTTAAAATGCCCATATCAATATCACCCTTTGCATCGAGCTCTGCATTTTTTATTTACGGAAAATGTCCACACTCCTTTTAAGTTAATACTACAGGGCTATCCTGTGGCCAATAAGCTTGCATACATCTGTTCCAATCAACCACCAGACGAATGTGGAGGAGCGCGGGAAAGAAATATATTTGGGATGTTTAGACGTGCAGATACTGTGACTGAGAAAGGTCTCAGAGACAGTTTCCTCAGCTGGGTGATAAAATGGTATGAGTTGAGACTCTGTGAGCCCTGGTGCTTACCTAGTATTTGGTGAACTCTGACTCCTACTGTAGCGAAGTAACAAGAAAGATACAGATGTCCTCATTGGACCGCTTAATTTAAATTTACATTGATATGTAGAATGAAAAACCTTAATTTTTCAGAAATTGTCCAATAAATTTGACATAATTACATTTTATCCATTTCCTTTAATTTGAAGCTAACTGTGAAAGGAAAGCTCAGCCATTCAAGCTAATAAGCTGCTAAACTTTGACTTTAGGAAGTTTACCTGTGGACTAATTTGTTAAACTTCTACCTTTTAAAAAGATGAACATGTTGGTGCTTCTCTGATACATCAGCCACTTTAGCTACACAAGCCAAATAAGCTACAGCTGCTTGCCAAACATTTCTCATTTAGCCTATTTTGGTAATGCTAGCTTAAGTTTACCTATCTAAACTTGTAGACTAGCTTACGGAAGTCCCAAACAAAATGTGATGGAGAGTTATTTTATAACTTTGTTGTATCTGTAGGCATCAACCTTTCTAACTTAAAGCTAAATCCTGATTGGAAATAAGATTATGATTATTTTCATGACAGTAAGAAGTAAAATGCTTTTTAGCGACATTAGCTACACAGGCCACTTTAGCTATGTCAGCTAAAGGCCTTCTATGTTGTGCCTGTCCTGCTAATTGACACTAATTCACTTCAATGGATTACTTTAATGCTCATTCTTCTACTTTGTTCAAACTTAACTTCAGCATTGTCAGTCATGTTAGTCGATAAACTGTTCTGTTTTCCAGAAAAAACTACAGCGTTTAGCTTTAGCACAGCTCTTTATTAGCAAAATATCTGGTTGTAGAGCTACAGTCTGGTTTCATTAATGTTAAGACTTTTCAATGCATTGGTATACATTAACATAAGTCCCTCTGCCTTTTTATAAACAATATCCTCTTCAGAACAGAAATGGTCCAGAGGCCATGCTGAGCCTTTGAAGTCTCCTCTTCTGTGTCTCTGTCTGCTTTAAACACCAGCAGCTGGGCAGATGGAGCCCAGATGGACAGTAAAGTAGGGATGTCTTTAAAAATTCATGGCACTTACCATGATCAGGGTGAATGGAGGGGAGCTGGCATTAAACATTAAATTGCTCGCACACACACACACTCTCCAGGTAGGGGGAGGGGGCTGTTAGTGACTACAGGAAGTGTAGCTCGAATGTGAGCCAATTGGGAGCGACACTTATTGGGATTGCCAGTCAGGTTTTTGCTGATACAGCTGTCTGATAAGTGCTCGTTGGGTTTATATCCCTCAGTGGTCTCATTCAGGCCTTTTGATCTGCCTAAAGGTTGTATGAAGAAGCTGTGCTGTGTTGTTTTTGCGTTTTGAATGGTGTTGTGAATTTTAACAGCTCTGGTTTGTTTAGTTAGAAAAATGTGGGAGCGAGAAACTTGAAATCTGTTAGGAGCAAATTTGGATTTTTGAATTACAAAAAAAACCCTTGTTTTCCTCATGGCTTTTCTTTTCCCACTCCTTTCTCGCTCCCTTGTTAAATAGTTGTCAATAAAATTATAATTTTACTTTAACTTCCTGTTTACTCTGTTAACTTTGTAGCGCTCCAAAACACACCGGCCTTTTAGTTGTCGACAAATACATTCAGATTAAGTAGATTTGTTGGGCACTCTCATTAGTTGGTTACTTGATTTATGCCACTAATTCAAAGTCCATTAGTCCAGAGCAACACACTTTGAGACCAGTAATACACAACATTGTCTGGTTATGGTTTTTTCTGGACGTAGCAGGGGTTGAATTTATCATCAAAGGAGAGTTTTCATTGAACTCCGTGTGTTGTGCTTGAAGGAGCCTCTGTGAGCAGCGATCTGTGTAAAACTAAAAGAAAACAAGAGGTTAATGGGCCTCGTTCATGACGTGAAAACAAAAGGCTGGGACAGCATGGGAAGACCTCTGTGAGTCTTCCTGTTGAGAGGAGGAGGAAGAGCGCAGGGAAGGGGGGAGTAGGTGTGACTGAGGGAACAGGGGAAAAAAGTCAGTCATTTGACTTGGCACAGGGCTTTGAACCACTGCCAAGTAGAGTGTGTACTACATGCTCATTTTGAGTGTGAAGCACAGCGTAGCTGTAGAGTCAAACTCCCTGCGTGCAGCTGATGTCAGAGGCTGTACAGCCACGGGGATTCTGGAAATTGGCAGGCGCTCAATATGAAGGAGGAGAGCGGGGCTGGAGCAGGAATGTAAACAGAGATTGCGTAAAGGCTGAGGCTAGCTCTTTCCTCCTGCTGTTTTCTTTGGCTGTTGTGCTGTGTGTTATTGATTTTATTTTGGCATGTTCCGCGATTTCTTGTGCAGTTATTCCCGGCAGGCCTCTCTGACTTTCATGTGTGGAAGCATTCATAAAGAAATTAGGAAAGGAGTTCTTTGAGCGAGGAATCCTTGCTCAAAGTATCCTTCATTGTGTGTGAATGTACTCTGTGATTTCTCTTTTCTTCCTTTTTAAAGGAAAAAATCCAAGCACTGGTTCATCTATTTTCTTGCCCTTTCTGTCCCTGTAAAAGAAACCTTTCACTGTAGCCTTGTGTCTCAGCTCATAGGCACAAGAGAAGATCAGCAATGAATGAATAGTATAGTCAACAAACAAAAGCACTGAGTGACATCTTTTCATACGTGGACCTAGTGAAGGGCATTCATCTGAACAAAAGCAGGGCATATGTGTTGTCGCCTTTGCATGCCTCAGAAAAGGTAGCGTGCGTTGAAAGCCATCGTTCTCAGGAGAATCAATGAGAAATTGCTCAAAACAGATAAAGATACTTTGCTGCACATTTTCAAGGTCTGAATCTCATCAGTTTGATCAATAGCTCCAATATTGTAAAGAGCGGGGTGCACGTCTCTGACATTGTGTCATAAAAGATGCTGTGAGTGCTTTGATCTATAATCTTTGAGGCACTTTGACCCACGTAACAACACTACAGCAGCTCTGTCCTGACGGTATGATAATAGCTGACCTTCTGTAATTGTGTGTGCATGGCAGGAGGTCTGAGGCGTATGGCTCTGTTCACACCACAGATACAAATAGTTCTTCTTTGCCTAGTACACTTTGATTTCACACTATCGTAGACTGATAATTGGCTTTTTTTTTTTCCACTGTAGATATTTGAACATGTCACAGCAAGAAAGCCATTTGAGAAACTGACAACAAGATGGCAGTTCAGGATTTATATCTGTGTCCGTTTTCTTACCTCTGCTAATGCCCACTGATTTTATCACTTTATTATGCTTAAATAGAGTATGATTATCATATCTTATTTCTTATGGGTGATTTTAAATATGAACTTATTTTTGGTGATGTATGTCAAACATTTGCTTCACAGCTTACAAAATGTAATTTGTGGTTTTGGTCTCATCAAAACCAACTGTTGGTTGACACGTGCATCCAAATTTGACTGAAAACTAATAAGGGGACACATTAGTCATGCGCACGCAACGACAGCTAACAATGAGACTCAACATGTCAGCTGTATGAGAGTATTTGAAAGTGTTAGTGAGGGGTAGGAAATGACTATTTGCAATGATTTGAAAGCACAGATACTACCAGTACTACCGGTTTTAAAATGAGAGCAAAAGAGTGTCTGCTTCGGCCGTTTAACAGAGCAAATCAAGAAAATCATTTGATTCATTGTTTTTGATTTCTCTGGGAATGCAGAAAACATATCCAGCTCTCTTGCTGTGTAGAAGTCCCTGTTCAGGAGGTTTGATTTTTGTGCCACCAAGTACTCAGAATTGTAAGCCCACTCTCTATATGGAGGATAAACCCAGGGGTAGCTTGAGGTTAAACTGCAGCCCCTCCACATATTGATCTGGGCTGTGATCGGGACACGTGGCAGCGACATCACAGCCTCTGATGGGCCACACAGACAGATATCAGCATTGTATAGGGCTGCTTGTGCTAGATATGTTTTGAGACCACTGTAGTCAACCATTAATCGCATCGCCGTGCCCATCCATCACTCCGTCTGTACACACAGTGCTCCATACCAAGGAGCAGCAATGTGTCACAATGTTCCCTTTCCTGAGCCAGATTAAATATTTCTCACGTCTTTGCTCTGTTTTTACAGAAACACTGCTACAGACCTTTCTGTGAACCCTCACCCACCTCTTCTATCTCTGTTTCCATCTTTCTTTGTTCAGACGTAAATGCTATCATGGCATCTGCGTTGGCGCTGAATGAATACCTGCAGCATTAGATTGTTATCCAGGTCTGACTGTCTTTGACATTTTGAGGGCAGAATTGTCCACTTATCTTTTGTGACGGGTAAATTACTCAAGAAATGACATTAAAAAGTTAGTACCAAGTCATAACCTATACTAAGTGTTTGATGTATTTTCTCTGATCATTTAAGTTTATGATCTTTGGCTGCTGCTACACCCACTTCCCCTCAGTTGCTTTCCCTGCCCAGTTTGGGGGTCCATCATTGTAGGACTCCTCAATGGCCGTGTGGTTGAAACAGACTGCTCTCAGCCACACACACCAGACTGGCAGGCTCTGGGAAAGCTGCCTACTATTTCTGATTCTTATCCAAATCTGCACGCTGTGTTATTTGGCAGCCGCTGGTAGGAATGGAGTGCATGTAAACATAGGATGGTGCTCATTCTAATATCATGTCCTGTCTTCATCAAATGGGTTTCATCTTTTTCCCATGTCAGCATGGAGATATGTCATATCCAGTTATATCCGACAAGAGGGAAGTATTAAAATCTTTCAGCAAAGCTTGGCAGGCAAAGGCTTGATGAAGACATTTCATGCCATAAAAACACCTGTCCTCAAAGATTACTAAGTCCTTGGCACATAATTGAATTTCTAGAAGTCAATTCCAGCACAAGGAGCGCTCTGGCAACCTACTGGGTAATTTAACCAGTAGGTTGTTATTGCAACATAAAATAGCAATAAAAATTGCACTGCCAAGCCGGCCAAATGACATAAAATTAAGAGCTTCTCTAAACTTCTAGAGACGTAAATCAAGTCCATGTTGAACCTTGTTAATGGCTGCAGGGGATTTACAAATCACTTTTGCTTGGTCTTGTGCCACATTTGACCAGTATTCAAATCTTTGGTTTTATTCAGCGGCTATGCAAACTGTCTGTGTGTCACCCTGAGCCTTTTTTCCTGGCTTACTTACTTTTATTATTTTTAGATTAAAAGTGACTGTAGCAGAAAAGATCAGATACAGTTAGCCACTTTGTTTGCTCCTCGTCCTCTGTCGATGCAGATGAATTTGACGGGGTCAGCCGGTCAGTGCGGATTATGATGCATTTGATCCTGCCTGTCAATAAAACACCGGTCAATGCATCTCCGATCGGACAGCTCCATTGTTGATGTTAATTGTGTGCGTACGGGGGATGGGGAAGGGCAGGGCAGAGAGCACAGGAGACAAAGATGAATTCATTTTAGATGTCACATTACAGAGGCACGGCCGTGCACTTTCTGTCACGCTGGTGTCAGCTCCATCCACCAACTGGATTAACTACTTCTCTCCACGAACATGACAAGAACAAGGAAGCAATTTAATTTCTTACTGATGGAGAGCAGCGGCTAATTTCCACTGTCCAGCAGCCACGATGGCACTTAATCTTTTTTTAGCCTTTGTTCTTCATAGATGGAAGAAAAGTACTCCGCGGTTCACTCCATGCTCGATAGCATAACATGACTGATCAGAAACAGCGTCAGCACTAAGCGATGAAAACTATTCCTCCTCGATTACCTTCATAAACATGTTGTTCAGAGTTAAAACCTCGAAGGCAAAGCACATTCTTTACTCTTATGAAACTAGTTGAAATAGTTTCCATTCTTTGTCCCTGATACAAACTTTATCCTGATGAGCAGTAATAGACAGTGTGGCTGAACAGGCAGAGAAGACGCGCATATTAATGTGTTTCCACATTACATGGGTGGAAAGACACGTCACGGTTGTTCTTTCTCATTGTTTGATTAACCGGTGATCTTTAGAAAGTGTCGTGCCAGCAGCAGCCAAACACGATCCCTGACAACATAAACAAAGAAAAACAAGAACATGGACTTGTCACTACAAGTCGCTGACGCCCTTTGTTTAGTGGTCAAGCAGAACGGGCGGATTAAGAAATCAGCTGGAGCGTGATTTTGATATCTGGTTTCTCAGCCAGTCCTTATCAAGTCTGGAGCCGACTCAGTCTTTCACTTCTCACAGGAGATTGTGAAACCTACAACCAGAATGTTTAAAAGACAGTTTGACAGCCAGCCAGTCCTGGTAACACTGTTTCTTTCATTTGACAACTTTTTTTTCCTGCTTACAAACTCCATGTCGTAACACAAGTTTAAGATGCCCTTACAGCAGGCATTTTTTCACTCCTATGAATACAACCCTGTTGACCATTTACCTCCTGACAAGTATGTTACCTACTGATGACCTCTGAATGAGATGTGTAGTATGCTAGCTACTGCCGTCTAAGTCTGTCCATCAATAACTAACACAGCCAAGAATGAAGTTGGTACAGCATCAGAGAAAAACTTTGACAGCAGCCATCTGTGATTTTTATTCTGTGTGCCGAAAGCAAGTTCATATCTAGTTTTCCTGGTTTGGGACTTTGGTCTATTGAACATCTGTTGGATAATTTCTTCTCAAAAGTGTTGTAGTTTGCAAAAGAGGTCTAACTTTGTCACCTGGTTCTAAGTCTAATAACTCAGATATCTTAAAGCTCCTGTGAGCAATTTGATTTCTAATGAAACAGATGTGAACTATCACTGATGCCTCCCTAAGGGCTAAAAAATCAAACAAAACCACCAAACAAATCATCAGAACATAGATGAGCTGTTTCTTTGTAGTTGTTTTGAAAGCCTGAATTCACTGCCAAAGGGTAGGTGGCAAACAGCCAGTCATTTTGCTCTTCATATTTTTCCTCAAAAAAACAAACAAACATCAGAGTGACACATTTCATTGGTAAAATAATGTAAATGGGGTGTTTTGTGAAAAAAAAAAACTACTCAAAACATACCTTGATTAAAAACCCTTTGAAAACTACTCTTTGAATGAAGTTTATCGCTATCTCTACTTACACACTGACAGAAAAAGATTGGCCAAAAGGTGGAGCATACACGGGCACCAAAATTTACACAAACCAAGGGATCTTTACAGGATCTTTACATTAATCTCATAAAACTGCCTAAATATTAAAAAAATTTTATGACTGCTCTTTTCTTTTCCACTTTCTGACTTTGACCTGCATCCTTTTATGGTGAGAAAATAATGACTGCTCTTTTTTTGTGGCTGTAAATGGTAGAAAGATCCAGCTGAATCCCTCCAGTTCTGTTTCTGATGAAGGTAATCAGATTACAGCTTCAATATCCAGAGTGCAGACTTTAGTGCAGTAAAATTGAATTATGGTTTAACCCCACTGAGTGAAATTCTGTCTGCAGACTGCAGAAACTCTCGTTTTGTCGGAGCCAAATTAACATGCGCCAAAGCTGAAGGACCACTTTTACAAACAAAGGGTACACTTGACCTGTCTTTTTCACCCTGAATATCATCCACTCAGACATGAAATACTGAAAGAGCAGGCTTTTTCTGATGAAAACTCATCATTGCTGTTTGTCTCATTACGTTTGTTAATATCACCTTTGAGTCAACACCAGCGGAACAAGAGTAAATAAAAAGCTGCATCATGTGTTCTTTCTTCAATCTTCATATTCATCACATGATGAACACCTGACTGTTTACACTGAGCAGCAAATGAGCATTTGAGGTCTGTAATAACGCCACTTTTACTCTGACCTTTTTCATTTCATATGACTGTAATGTTCACGTGTGTCATCTCTGGAACAAAACCAAACATCGCGTGTTGGATCGGACTGACGTGTGCGCTGTGACTTTACATTTTTTTGTTTGTGGGAACTCTGGAGCGATTCTGTGCTGGTGCGAGTGTTTGCTCTGGTGCATTAATGACACTCATAAAAGGGCTTTGGCCTGGAACAATGCAGTGTTTGAATATGGCTGATCATGTGTTCATGAGCCGCATCAAGACCCCCCACCCGCTCCCCCCCCCCAACCCCTCTCTCTGCCTGCGCTACACACCCATCCCCCATTCTCATGTTTACATATGTGTTTACATTTTTAGCTCTTTTCAGCTCTCTCTATACTCACGAAACAGCTCTTTTCACCGTTTACTTTGAAGTTTATTTCATTTTATTACATAGAGCAACCGTACAGATATAAAAACACAGCGCTCGCCATTCAAGTCAAGCTGGTCGAAAGCAAGTTCATACTAATCTCCTTCATGAGAGAAAACCACTTACGGACTCCTGAGATTAATGTGAAGTTGTGAAACTGGTCGCCCAACATTTGGTTAAAGGGGATTTAGTCTCAGTGTAAACGTGGTTTCTGCTACTTATAGACGTAGAGAAAAAAAAACACACAAAGACTGTCATTAAATCAAACACGTATTATGCAAAGGAGGGGATGGAATGCAGTCTGTAACGTAGCTACATGTCTTTATTACACAACCCACACAGATCTGCTCATTTCAACCAGAAGGTACCTCTCAGCCTCTAGCTGAACAGTGAAAACAAAACTGAAACACCTAAATAAGAAGGTAATACGAAGGTCATCATCTGAAGCTCACGGTATGAGGACATGTTGCAGCTGCACTTGTCAAAAAGTTCATCCTTGAACTTTTCGGATCCTCCAATTAAAAACCCAGAAGATTCAGTTTCTCTTCTTCTGTCTTTATAAAGTCAAATCTTTGCGTTTCTTTTCATCTGTCTATAAAAACCTGAAACTCTCCCCCCATCCTGCCTCCACTACTGCTACACACGCCTTTCTTTCAACTCTGACCCCTCCCGTGTTTGTGTGTGTGCGTAAGCCTGATCTGGACATGATGAAGGTGATTGGCAGGTGTAAGGGAGCATGGAGACGATACCACCGCTCCCCTCACAGTTTTGGTTTTCAGTTGCAAAGCCTCTATTATGTGCTATGTGACACTTGTGTGCTGCTGGCTTGCTAACTGCCATTTGCATTAAGAGAGAAGTAGACCCCTCCCCCTCTCTTTCCCTTACACACACGCACACACACACACACATGCACAGACACATGTACACCCCCTCTTCCCTCTTACTGTATTACCTTCCTCCTCAGCAGCTCTGCTTTGATGGCTGCAGCAACAGGCTGCTCTTCGGTTACTGATTATTTGCAGAATAAAACCTCTCTGTTTTGTGCGTCCCAAGCCTGTTTATAATTTCTCTGCAGACGTTCTGTCGCTGACCTACATATTCAGCTGGGTGGTAAAACTATCAAACGGGGGCTTCGGTTAACTTTCTACAGTTGTCATTTTTTCCTCTTAAGTCGTTTTGCTTCACAGATCGGTTTAAACGTTTTTGTCTGTGGCTGTTTTTGACTTTTTTTGATCAGGAGAAGTTTCAGTCGAGTTGTAAAACACTAAAACCCTTTTGAATGTCAGTCACATAGTCAGCTCTGGAGATTTAATGGCCTTTTTGTGTCAGGGTATTTGGTAAAGGGGTGTGATCTGGCTCCCAGCGTTACCAGTTGGCCCAGTTTCTGGTGGTTTATCTCGTTTCTTGAAGTTTATCTGAATAGCAGAGCTTTAATCCAGGAGGGGCCCCCTGCCCCAGCACATACTATAGAGGCCTACAAAAACCACACCCACCTCTGCCTGATAAAGTCACTCTGTATACGTGTTCATGTGTGTATATATGCTGTATGTATGTATGTATGTGTGTGTGTGTGCATGGTTAGGGGCAGCAGGGGAGTTGTAATGTACACAAGGGTTATATACATGGAGCCGAGAGAGGGGAAGAGACAAACAGGAAGTGAGGGAAACTTATACAAGATGACTGACAGATTGAAAGAAGAGCGAAAAAACTAAGATATAAAACTGGGGAAAAGAGGTGGAGGGGTGAAGATGAGTGGAGAGAAAGCATATAGATGTGGGTGGTTGTGGTCTTGCCGGTCAGACGGGATCTTAGTTGAAGCAAACTGAAGCATCAGACCCACAACAGCCAATACTCTCCATAATGCAGCTGCTCCATTACGGGCTTCTTTTCAAACCACAGGTCAACATGTTTTGAAGACAGAGTATTATATTAAGAGTGATGTGTGTGTCACCACAACAAGCACACATTAGCTTGTTTGGTTTGTTTTTCTCATCCATGCTGACATTTCTTATGCTTTTTAATCAGAATGGATGTCCTTTCACTGTCTCATACAGCGCTTACACAATTTAGAAACTTTTGCCAGATCTTCTTTATCTGGAGTTGAAAGCAATCAGACGTTAGTCTTGTAGAGCTGGATCGAGTATCAGCGACAGTGAAGCAGATACTGAGCTGGCATAGTGAGTACTGTCGTTAGCTAAGAAAAGAGGAGCGGGCCTGCTTTCATGGGGGCAGTCTGTTTTGTGATTTTATCCCACAACTTTTTCTCATTTTTATTCAGGAGTTTTGACTTCTTTAACTTTTTTTGATGAATTTCAAAGCGAAGTTCTTCAAACTGATTAAAATTGATACATATGCTCTTTATATTGTACAAAACCCAGCAAAATCCTCGCTTAGAAGAACAACAGTTTCTAGATTTTAATTTTTAAGGCCTATCACTGCTGCGAGGGGGTTGGTGTCAGATCAGATGGCTCAAGTATCTGCCTTTTCTCACCCTTTTTACACAGCAAATAGCACAACGGCTAAAAGGCTGGACAAGATTTTGACAGAGAAAATGTGTAAGAAAATGTCAACAAAGGGATGGGAGAGCGCAGTGAAAGGAGAGCCAAAATCGACACAGACTTAAAGTTGCTCACAGTATTTTTTAGGTTACAAAAATTTGATAAAGGTGATCTATTAGTACCTTTGGCCTAAACTTTCTTTCATCTCGCTACACAACTTTTATTATCCTCTCATTTATGTTAGAATTGAGACTAAACAATAAGTCAAAGCAGATGTTGTGATGTGCATAGAAATAACATCCTGCTTTCTTTTAGCTATTAGATATATCACCCATTGTGAATTTGTATTGAAATGCTAAACAAAGACACACACTGTGGTATCAGGCATAGAAACTTCCGTCATGTCCTTGATGGTCCTGCTTGCCGATAGAAACTCCACACGGGAGCTTTGAGTAAATAGATTTAGTGACTGTGACAATATCGTTTCAATAATAAATCAATCATTGGGCTGTATTTGGGTATAGGCTTATTATGACGCTCATGTGAACATGTTATCCTGCTTTTAAACAACCTGTGAACACAAACCGTTCAGTATCCTGATGTGAGATGTACCAGGAGCAAACAGGATCTTTTTATCCTGACCTCTGTTATCTGTTCAGTTATTACAAAAGTGGAGTCAAACATTAGGGAACATGGCTGCAGACCGAAACAGAGGTTCAAATCTCTGAGGACTTCCGTTTGTCGGTACGAAGCAGGATACAGTGTCTACATCCATGTTGATAGTGATCGGTGAATAAGACTTGAAACTGGATATGCATCTATGTGAGGGATCCACTGAACCCCAAAGACACTTTGCTTTAGATTTACAGGTTCTTCACTCGGCAGGAAACAGTGAAATATATCCACACACAGGCTTCTATCAATATAATGCTGCAGTAATATGTCTAAATCACCGTGAATGTGTCACCATCACTGCATCAAAGTCTCCGCTTAAACAGTTCATTCAGTATAATTTCATACGGTTGATTTACTTAAATACTTTCTTTCATCTTTGCACCTAAAATTTGCACATCTACATCTGATCTGGGCGTAGCAGCGCTCCGAACACATCACAAGGGGAATATTTGTTTATTTGATTGAGAGAGAAAGAGAGAGGGCAAATAAAGCGACATGGGGGGAAGGGAGTTAGGAGGGGTAATTTCCAAGATTTATGGTGCGGCACTTCACGAAATGCATGCATCCTGTAATTAAAACTCCCCCTTTGCCTCCAGCAGGCCTGTACATTAGCTGGCATCCCCCCACCGCTCCCATCCACCCAAACCCCCACAGACCCCACCCCTCTGTTCCCCTCCAGATAATAAGATCTGATGGCTGCGCGGTGTCGCTAATGAGAGCTGAATGCCGCAATGAGGGACAGTCTGTTAGTGGTTAGAGGCCACAACTACTGTCACCATCATACCAGACTTCAGCTGGGCCGGCCTTTCATTTGACTTTTCTCAGCGCAGTATTCGCATGAAGAAGTGAAGAAAAGCTAAAGGCGTGTCGCCCTGATGGACCTCAGAATTTTTCAGTTAGTCGCAAGAGTTGCATAATTGTGTTATATTTGGAACATGTTATGTGGCAAGATGTCGGCCATGTTGGGGTTGAGATAAAGTGTCCTCAAGATAAGAAACGTTGTCCATCAGAAAAAGTTGTTTTAAGGTTCATTTTTTTAGGATAGCACCTCTTGTAACAAACTCATATTGATATTAGATGGCGTATTTTACTATTATAATTATTCTAAATCAAGCTTCATCTAGGGTTTCTTTTATTGGTACGTAAACCGCACATTGCACTTTGTTTCTGCGTTTTATCTTATGCACTCCGTTCATGCAAAAATACTGGTATGACAGACATATGCTTTTCTTTTTACCTTCTAAATCGTCTTTAATGCTTTTTACCTCCTGAACTGTTTTTTATGTAAATGTATTTTATGTCATTGATTTTCTTTTTATGATGTATGGCAGTGTTTTAAAATGTCTGTGCCTGCTGCAACCTGATTTGCCCATTTTTGGGACATATAAAGTTGAAGTGAAGTGGATAAAATAGAATTTGATTGTACTTTTTTTTTTCCATTATAGGGTTTCAAGGGTTTGGCCCAAGTTTTTGTCAAATAATCATGAGGTTCCATTGAATTTGTTTGGAGTTGTTGTGGTTACTGGTCAAAACAGGCCATTTCAGCAGAACTTCTTGGACACTAAATGATTCACTCTTTCTCTTTATGTCTTTCTCCGTACAGTTAGACTGATGAAATAATCAGCAGGCGTACTCATGAAAGAAGTGTGAGCGATATCATGTTGCTGCAGACTGATTTGCATGTAACTGTTTTTCAGTTTTGTTGTTCCTTGGACTTTCATTTCATCTCTTGCATGTCAAAGCTGAGTGTAAAGCAGCCGCTATGATGTTAAAGTGCCTAAAAGGAGGTCCACAGATTCTTTGTTGAACGCAGAAAAGGTCTAAAGATACAGTGAAGTCCGATGCATGGTTTCAGTTTACCAGCGAATTAATAAAAAGCTGTTGCTGATCATTTTTCTGTTGGAGAAAGAAATCCTTTCACTCCAGCATGAAACAATTTCATTTGGTGAGGTTAAATCCTTTCTTTGGTGTGATATGAAAACGCTCGGCAGTAAAGCCTGAGGCTGAGCTGTGGCTCTGCCCGCAGGCTGGGGGCTGTTGTGTCTGTGCAGAAACAATACGCTGCTTTTGTTTGGTGGTGCTCAGCTGCGCGCAACGTTTCACAACCTTTGCCATTTTCAATAAGAGATTATGAAACTGCCTGACCTCACACGTATACCGCCTCGATGTGATATGTGGTCGTCAAATGTAGAGACCCAGAGCTAGATAGTGGCTCTGAACCTCCGCTCGCCCTGCTATAGTGGACTGTGTACTAGCCTGTAGAATGTGACACTTAATTATAAGACCACCACCAACATTATTTTACTATCACACTGGTAAACTAGGCTGGAAAAACAAGCACAGGCTCAATGGCCTCTCTGTGCTCCCCCCTGAGTGGGCGCCCCACTTTTACTGCTAACTTTCCCCGAACTTTCCAGAGCCCGGGGCCCCGCCGCCGGCAGCTGGAGCCACATCAGGATCTCATCAAGCCGGACTAGTCCTTAACATTTCTTAAAGTTTTTCTCTGTGGCTGTCATCTCCTCTTATAATCAACCAATACAGAGCTCCTCACAGCAAAAAGAGACTGATGTGCTCACATGTTTTGGTGTTTCCCTGTCAGATTTATCACAACAGATTCTGACAGCAGCTTCTCTTCTCAGGGATAAATTGTGGATCAGATTCATTTATGCCGACACATTGGACTTTGATTTTTTCATGTTGGATCTCAAATATTTGCTGTACCATTGAATAAAGTCAGACCTTGTTGCCTCATCTCTCTCTCCTCTCTCTCTTTCCACAGCTGTATGAACTGGACAGAGACCCAAAGAGAAAAGAGTTCCTGGACGACCTCTTCAGCTTCATGCAAAAGAGAGGTACGGAGCTGTGTGAAACTAACAGAGTTTCCTCTGAACAAATATTTTCTTTTGATTCATTAGAATACTTCTCCATCCATTTCTTTCCTTCTTCAATCGCTTTATTTCTGTGTCCTAGAAAGACTCATTAGAGAGACTTAATACCCGGTCCCCTCCTCCTCCCCTCAGATCTTTCTGTGACATTTGACACAGCACCTTCTTCTCATCTTTCGCTCACTTGGGTGGGGTCTTTATTCATTTTGGAGATGATTGCTTTATAGCCTAACAGCTCCTCGTCGTTCCCAGGCTATAAGCAGAAAAGGACATCGTGTCATGTCCAGGAGTGGATTAGTTTACCTTCCAGCGCTGCGGCTTGTCCACACAGCCATGTTCTGGCTCCTAGCAAATAAACACACACTCGCTTCCACACCCACTGGAGTAGCCAGCGTGCACACCTTCACTCAGTGACCCTCAGAGCTGCAAACTTAGCTGAATAAACCTGCTTGTCCTCATTCAGACAGCTCACTGTCACATTTAGGCTATTTTGAATCTGATATTTATTGAGAACACAGAAACCAAACAATTCCAGCTGTTTCTTGTGTGAAAAATGAAAAAGGGCCTCATAAATTTGCAAAACTTGATCAGTTTTCGAAAGAAATGGACTAAAGATTATTATTATTATTTTTGAATAGAGGCTTAAAGAGACAACAGACATGCGCTCAAAACTGAAAAAGCATCATGTAATGTTTACAGTGTCAGAGCCACCGGCAATGGGCGGATCTGCCGGGTCTGTTCTGAGGATCTATGAGCGCCATCTGCAGGCCATACTCCAAAATCACTTAGAAATGTGAAAAATAAAAGAATGCTGAATGCACTTTCAAACATTTATCGAATTTGTCTAACTTGTCTAAAGAATTGACTTACTTTAAATGAAAAGAAAGAATCCCTGTGCTATCAGGTTACCTGATGTTTTAAGCAAAAATGTAACCTTTATTTGGTGTTTTGCCTGCTGATACCTCACTCTGGATACTGATTCAGCCTCAAACATGAGTTCTGCTGCCAAAATGTTTAAATGACTTATTAAAGATCAAACCTCTGTAGCTGAGGATTTTGCTGCATCAAGTTCAGATCCAAACTACTTTTTTTTTCCAACATATTTTATTAAGTTTTACATATAAGAAAAACATACAATTAACACTGCAGCAATAGCAATGATGTATAAATGTACTATACAACAAAACTATAGAAAAATTGAAAGAGAAAAATAAGTGATTAAAGATAAAAATAATTTTAAAATAATAGTAATACAAGTAAAACATTATTAACAGAAATAAAACTTAAATAGATAATAATAATAATAATAATAAATAAAATTCCAAAAAAGGTTTCCATACTGTAACAAACTGTTTTCTTTTCCCTTTCCCTTTCCAACGCAAGATATGTTGCTATCTCCTTCAACCATAACTTTACAGACGGCAACTGAATATTTTTCCAGAAAAGAGCGATCAGTCTTCTAGCTTGTAGAAGCCCCAAATCAGTCAATACTGATTGTTTAGAGTTGACAACTACATTTTCAGGGTATATACCCAGGATACAGAGCAGATCCAAACTACTTTATTAAAACTTAAGCAGGTTTATGAGCATGTTTGTTTTTAGTCAGCCATCTTGATTATTTTTCTAATGTTCTTATTGGATGTTTAATATTCAGCCTGTTTACTTTTGCCACAGGCTGTCTCTGTGCAGGAAGCTACATGCTGTCTACTTCAAAAGAAGTTTCCTGCATTGCCATGTTTTCTTACACTGTGTTGACCTTCTTCCTTTGTGTTTGTGTGTGTGTGTTTGTGCGCATCTGTCTGTGTGTCACTCCAGGAACCCCTGTGAATCGTATTCCCATCATGGCCAAGCAGGTCCTGGATCTGTACATGCTCTACAGGCTGGTGACGGAGAAGGGCGGCCTGGTGGAGGTCATCAACAAGAAACTGTGGAGGGAGATCACCAAGGGACTCAACCTGCCTACCTCAATCACCAGTGCAGCCTTCACCCTCCGCACACAGTCAGTACACACACACATACACACACACACACACGTACAGATTTTGTTACTTAAATCCTGAGAGACAAAACTGATAATACTGCCCAGTGTTTCAAACATTTAGAGCTGCTTTCTGTCAGGTTTGCATGTGAACGGGTGTAATTCCTATTTCAGCTGACTACATGCTTTCAGTCGAGGTTTGCTGCTCTATAAATCTTTATCTAACGAGAGAGAAACTCGTATTTTAAGTCTTATCTCCAAAAGTATTTCCTTTTTCAGTGAGAGTTGTGGTCCAGCACTACAAGTCTCGCAGGCTTGAGATCTACTTAAAAAGCTTTACCGGAACCTTTGACTCAAAAACTACATTTACAAATCATGAATGTCTAAAATGTAGAACCATTCATGTGGCAACTTTTGGTTTTATTTCAGCGAGTATGGGTGAAACTCCCAGAACAAAAGCGCCTACTCCTCCCACAATTACCTTCTCACACTGTGACATACTTCTCATCATGAGACACTGATCTTAATCAGAAAGTTTGTGGAATGCCCCTTTAAGTTAAAAAGAACAACTTTATGCAGTTTGTAGTTTAGTGTGACGTTTACATTTTTAATCAGTGAGGAAATCCCCGTAAACACAAAATGTTAGAAAATAAAAACTCTGTGTTTTCTCTGCAGATACATGAAGTACCTGTACCCGTATGAATGTGATAAGAGGGGTCTGAGCAACCCCAATGAGCTTCAGGCAGCCATCGACAGTAACCGACGAGAGGGTCGGCGTCAGAGCTTCGGCAGCTCCCTCTTCACATACTCACCCAACGGGACGCCCACCATGCTCTCCTCACCCAAACTTCCCACCTCCACTGTGGGCCTGACTGTGGGCACCAACGGGGCTTCGCTGACCCCCATTCAGAAGATCAAGAAAGGTGAAATGTCCTTATTTAGTTATCTCTTCCAACAAATTAGATTACATTTCTTACGTTTTTCAGGCTGTGTGCCTTTTTTATTGATAGGCGAGCTGAAGGGAGTCAGGGACTGTGGGGAGTAGAGAGTGGGGATGAAATATGCAGCAAAGGGTCATGGCTGGGAGTCAAACCAGTGACCGCTGCAAGAAGGACCACAGCCTCTGTACATGGGACGGGCACTTAAACCACTTGGCCAACTGCTGCCCTGAAAAAAAGCATTTTTGACTGAGATTTCCCCCTCTGTTGTCTCTGGTCAGAAGAGGAGGGAGGCCAGCCGCTGCCGGGTATTGGCATGGCTCGTCTGTCGGCAGGTGCTTTGGCGGGACACTCTGTGGCTGCTGTGCAGGCGGCGGCAGCAGCTCAGGCAGCGATGGCGGCTCAGGTTGCTCAGGTGGCCGCTCTGGAGCAGCTGAGGGACAAACTAGAAGCGGGCGAGCCACCGGAGAAGAAGATGGCGCTGCCGGCAGAGGAGCACCACCGGCTGCTGCAGAGAGCGCTGCAACACAACCTGCTGGCCATGACTGCTCAGATACCTATGAACATCCGCATCAATAACCAAGGTACAACGCAGAAAGATGTACCTGATATTACAAGATGAAAATAAACAATAAACATCTCCTGATTCCCTGAAAGTCAAATTTAACACGAAAGACAGTCAGTATTGTCACCACATAGTTTCTTAATAGTTTTTCGGGAACTTAACTTCCTTGGTTAGATAAAAGTCATCCACGAACACAATTTTAATGTTCTTTTTATTTAATTTCTAATCATTTTTAAGAATTAAGCTCCCATGTTTGCCTGTTTTAAGTCTCATCAGATTGGAAAAGGATAATAAGGCTCAATAGAAATCAATATGTGAATATAATCTGCTTAAAATACAGCAATAACCCTCAGTGATCGATGACATGAAGGGACTGGAAATCCTAATTCATGTATTTGGTCGGTCAGCACTAGGGCTGCTCTCACTGAGGGATTTACCTGCCTTTCATAAGACATCAGATCAGACCGTCAAAAGTCCCTACTTTAGATTCTCTGCCCGAAACTTGACTTTCCCAAAATCCCTGTCAGTTTAAAAGAAGACAGATTTTTGCACATGAATATTCTTACGTCAGATTTGCATAGGGAATAAACGTTTACTTTATTACTTCACTAGAAATTTGACACAAACTGGGTTTCCCACTTTGTCACCGCTCCTGACAGTTACAGTAACGTCATTCTTGATATCTTGCCACAAACCGCTGCTCCCAGCACTGAGGAAGTTCACTCATAGCGGGCCTATATGCTGACCTGTCGAGCCTATATTCATGCATATAGTTCTTGTCTGCGTTTATATGTGGGGGGATCCCCCTTCTGCTGGTGGTACTTTGATCCTATAGCATTTGTCTGTTATCTGATAAAACATGCAAACTGTTTCTCAGTACTGACAATTCTGGGACTTCAGGGAAACAGTGAACGTTTTTTTGTAAATTTACATGGAGAGTTTTTCATGCCCTCCATGTTGAGGCACAAAATATGTACAACAAAAACTGAAATAGTTCATGATGCAAATATGAGTAGAAAAAAGATTTCACATTAGAAAACAAAAGCAGTATTAAAGTTAATCAGTATGTAATCACCAATACTGTAACAATAAACTGATATTTGTATGTTACTAAAAGAGTTTTACCTTTTTAATTTCCAGATGTGTTACTTTATTGTAGTTTTTTAGGGATTGAATTCTCTGGAAAAAACGTCTTCTTTTTTCAAAACTGAACTCCAGATTGATGTTTGATTGATATTTAAATAAAAATTCAACCCAATGGATTTACAGAGCGGAAGAGAGCAGTTCTCATCAAAACAACCCAATTAACTCGGCTTAAATATGTCTATTTATAATCATTAATCTAAGGCTTTCATTAGCTCGTAAGATATCAGCTCCCAGACTCTTAAGATAAAGGCACCAGAAAGACTAAAGCAACTGTGTTTTTGTATCCTGTAAAAAAAAATTGGACATTATGTTGATTTTTATTTTCAGAAGTGTTCAGGTGTTTTCTGTCAGCAGTGATTTTGTAGGAAATCTTGGATTTGTTCTTGAAATTCAGTTTTTGACTGATGTTTCTTGTCCACTCTTCATAAATCTAAAATGTAAGTGAATGTTAACACCTTTGTTATTGGTCCTTTTTTTACAGACAGCAGGCAGGACTCGGCCCTGAACCTCACCACCAACGGCACAGGCAGCATCAGCATGTCAGTGGAGCTCAACGGAGTGGTTTACACTGGTGAGTATCGCTGACTTATAAACTTTAAATTTGTACACAGCTGCGTTGAGTTTCATGTCCTTTTTTATGTCCAGTGTATCAAACAGGAAGCAAACGCAAACAGATGCTTGGCTTAGACTGGAGCTGTGACATCTGAGGAAACTGTTGGCTTTGACTCCTCTTAAGCAAATAAATCTGCCAGCTAACAACTTCAACATCAATTATAAGCATGTTTTGCTTATCTTGTCTTTTCACTGTACTCAAACAAGTCTGTGGTTTTAGGAGGAGTTACAGGGTGTAATTATTTTATGACTGCTGCATAACAGCCAGGTGTGGTGACACCACAGACCTGATGACAGTGTGTTGGATTTGCTTCCACTGAGAGAGTAATTAAACTGGATGTCACTTATCAAACTTCCTGTGCAGCCACCAGAGTCCAGACAGAGAAAGAAAAAAATGATTTAAAAAGCCGCCTTCAAATACTTCAGAGTATTAATAAACTCAACCTTATTTGTATTGCACCCTTCGTATAAACACATACTGACAGTGATTGACATTAATGAAATAAAAAACTTCATAAAGTCAGTAAGCTGAAATAAATTAAATAGAGAAAAGGCCATTAACTACAAATACCTACAGTGAATAAGACAAAAAGGCACCTTTGACAGAAAGATGTCTTAGGATAATCAGATCTTTATTTTGTTGAGCCAAATTATTACAAAAATGCTGCAATACGCAATTTTAAGGTTCAATCGATAGTTTGCATGCTGTGATTTTAGCTGACTGTTACTGCTGGTCCTCAGGCTTGGTGCCAGGTCAGACTTTTCCTTTCTCTGCTCCACCTCCTTAACAATCTCCCCTTTACAAACTCTCTGTAAGAACTTATCTTAAAACATCCCAGAGCCAAGCTAACTGTTTCCATCATCATTCAGCCTTTAAGTACGATGGATCCATATTTGTGCAAAAACAACATTTTTTTGTGTCCAAAATTGCAAACTGTGCAATAGCGTACGTATTATTTTTTGTGTACAGTTCAGCAACATTTGAGTGTTTTCTCCCCTCTCTCCCTCATCCCTCTTTGGACATGATTGCCAGTGGTTACTTTGGTAGACTGTAGCAAATGTAACAATGTGTGTACACGAGTGATAAGACCATTAATCTAATTTTGACTAAAAAAAAATCACAGGTAGCGAACAGTCTGTACTAAAATAACACTTATTACTCAAATAGAAGCGTTATTGATGCCACAGCAGAGCTGCTTTTTCATTAAGAATAAGAAGAACTTTATTGATCCCAGAAGGGAAATTCAACTGTCTGTTGTCTCACTCAATATGTCTCTAAAAGTTATCTATTTACACAAGTTATAAATTGCCAGGCCAGACTTTTCCTTTCTCTGCTCCACCTCCTTAACAATCTCCTTTTTCCAAACTACATTAGAATCTAAACATTAGTCTGTTTTATTGTATGCTTTCGTAGTATAATATTTCCTTGTAAATAGTGTACATTTCGCATACCATAGGGTTACATTGTACAAGTATGGTGTTATGACTGCAGCTGCTGTCTTTTCTCTTATAGAATAAAAATCAAAAGGGTCCCTTCTAACATCTGTGTTTTTCTGTCTTGTGTCATTTTTCTATCTAGGCGTCCTTTTTGCTCAGGCAGCAGGAGGTTCTGTCTTCTCAGGTGCGTCTGGATCGTCCGTCTCCAACAAGACGGCCAGCAGTCGTGCCGCTCCTCAGCAGCAGCAGCAGCAGCAGCAGCAGCAGACCACACCTACCTCAACCTCAACCTCCAGCAACTCATTGTCTTAACAAAACCCCTGCCTTTACCCTTTATTATTATTATTATTATTATTATTTTTTAATACCACGCTAAGCAAAGCCAAAAAGCAACCTCATTTTCTACACAATCTATGCCAAAAAGAGAAGAACCGCAAACCTTAACACAAAGACAAAAAACTGAAAGTCAGATCACTTGAAGTACACTATCTCAGGTTTTCGCTCACCAACTCACCTCTTTTGTTCTTCACAGCCAAAAAGATCTCAGAAAACAGAAAAATGTCTCAACTGAGAGCCAGTATATGCTAAACAAATATGTATGCACAACCTGTGAATTATTTATTTCTGCATAAATGTACAGATTAATGGAGAACAAAAGAGAAGGTAATAACTAGGAAGGGTAATGCACTGTTTACACACACACAAACACAGCTACTGATGGACAGCGATGTTTTATCCTCGAGGGGAGAGATATTTCTATTTTATTTTATCTTTTCATTGTCATTATTATCATTATTGTTATTCTCTTTATTGTGTTTATCAATTAAATCTTTAACCATCCTCTCACTGCAGGAAAAAAATCTATATATTTAGAATTCTATAAAAAAAAAGAAAATATGAATATCTTCTATTTTTAATCAGAAAAGCTTTAAAGGTATATGTTTTTTTTTTTCTTCAGGGCATATTACAATGTACCATTGTGACCTCAATATGTGTAAAACCGTATAACCTTATTCACGTGGCAGCCATTTTGGATCTGTGTGTAGAGGCGAGTCTGGGGTCGTATCAGTATAGCAGATTCTCCAGTGAAACTCAAATGTAATAGAACTGGAGCTTGTGGATCTGCCCGCATATTGATCGACTTGGTGACACATTTAATCCATATTGATTGCTGCCAGAGTAAGGAGTAGCTCATTAGCTTGAATGCTACGTAGCTGCTTTGTTCAAGTTGTTGTCGTTGTTGTTGTTGTGGTTCTTCTTCCTGAGACAGCTGGCTAAATTTGACCTTAAAAGTCCTCTCCTGTTTGTTGACGTTTGGCCAGTTGAATGCGTATCCATGCCAATCTTACACGTAGTTTGTCAAGCTTCATGTTCGAAAAGGCTTTTCGTAAGAGAAGAATCAGCTGTGTAGGTGAAAATGAGCTAAAGCCTTTCCTGAGGGTTTCTATACCCTCACTGGACTCTGAGCATCAGCGATGTTCACGCCGACTGCTCCTGTTGTGAATAACACACAATTTTGATTGTTCTCAGGTGTCTGTCTGCTCATCTCTTGGTTAGAGCAGTGCTTTTCAACATCTTTCTCTGCAGAAAGATCAATATTTATTTGTTTTCTAACTTGGCCTTCTCGTGGAGTGATTGTCTTAAGGTCACATGCATGCCCGTATTTGTACATAGAGCCCTTCAAGAGTGAAGCAGGACAGGTGTAATTTCCTGTCTTAAATTCACAAGAGATGTTCACCCACTCAACCAATCAATGTGGAGACTCTCTGGTGGACAATCAGGTTTTCAGGAGATGCTTTCTGAGCTTCAGAGGGAAATTTCCTTGACAGTTAAATCAGCTCATATCTGCCGTTTTTGTGTTTTTGTATCATAGATTACAGATGCTTTAATTTTTGTTTCAGCTTTGTGTTTTGCATGACTTAGTGCTTCTTCTTATACAAGTGCTTGTTATCCCGAGCTGCGACAAGGACAGCGGCTCCTTGAGAACAGCTTGCCACCGGTCGAGGATGTAACAGAGAATGTCTTTGGACTGTTTTTAGATGTTTTACAGTGTGAGCTCAAAGTGAATCAGCAGTTTAAGATTTATTGAAAGTGAAATCGGCCACAGAGGAGATACCATATCATTCATATGTAGAAGTGCATTTTGAAGCAGATCAATCATTGAGCTTTTTGAACTTTAACCTGTGTTACCTCTCTGGACTGTTGGCTGTTAAAGATTGTTACCCACCCCTGACCCCACCGCTACACAAAGCAGCCTCATTCCTACTCACATTAGGAAGTAAATCAGGCTTTGTGTACGGGTCCTGTTCTAAGGCCTTAACTCAGCAACAGATTCCCAAAGCGCAAGCAGTACCTCCGTCGAATCACTCTTTACTGTTCCAGTCAAATATCACCAGATGGCTGCTGTGGCTTTGATTCTGGACTCACCTCTCAGTGGGGATCCCCAAGGCTACTCCACAAACAGTACTCAGCTTTAAAAGTCCTTTTCCTTTTTACTCAGACGGTCTCATTCAAACTCTCAGTCAAAGACACACACGGTCATTAGATGCTGCTCTTATACTTCAGAAAAACAGCAAAAGGAAACTATTCAGAGAGGAGCTTTGGTTGGATTTAAGAAAAAACAAAGTTGATGTCCAAGATTTCAGCATTTGGGTCGCATCCTGATGAAACTAACACAAAATATTTTTGTCCATGAAGACAAAATCCAAGAAATTTTGGTAATAAAATTGGAAAATAATCAGCACACCCTGTAATTTTTAGCTCATGAAGTTTTCTGCCTTTATTCATCGAGAAATTAAACATAAGGTATAAGGTTTACTCAATTCTAATCTAAGGTATGAGTCTCTACAGTAATGATGTACACATGCTATTCAAAATACGCTGACGTATTTAGGATCCAGCTTTGACAAAAAGACCAAAAGAAACCAACTTCTTTCAGATCCATTTACTTCTCAGGGCTTTGTTCCTCATTGATTCCTGTGTCTGAGATGCTGCTGTAAATTTAATATATTGCTAAAGGCAGTGTGTTTTTGCCTCTGAGATGCAGCAGCTCTCCTTCTGCACGAGCAGCAGATGTCACAGTTGCTGGTAAAGGCTGACAATCAAACAGAGACCTGCTGCAACTGCAAGCATTAGTTTGACGGGGGAGAGCTGCTAGAGATAGCTAAATTAAATCAATACTGATCCAAAGGATCAACACAGCTTTTCTTAGATCTGACCCTGTGACCTTTTGGCCCATGAGGCAACACTGAAGCACCTGCCCCCCTCAATAGATCCATGTTTATCGTATATCCATCGATCAGCTCAGAGAGATATTTGCATTTGAACAGCGGAGGTACTGCAGCTCGCTCTCTTACAGTATGTGCATTTTCAGGGAAGGTTGGCATCTTGTTAATTCTGCGTTAGGGACAATCACAAGACGTTATGACAACACTGTATACCTCCAAACACACTCTAACATCCCCCCAACCATTGTCAAAGCCCTGTTTCTACCTCAAGAGATTAAGCTTTTTGTAGATTTCTTTGCTCTGGCCCTCACAAAGGCGCTTTTTGAAGGTTAAGAAAAAAGTTTGCAGGGACTTCACTCCGACTGCGAGTGAAAAGACAATCAGACATCAGCTTTAAAGTGTAACCTTCAAGCAATCTCAGCGGTGGAAGTGGAACAAAGGATGGCAATGAAGTTGCTGTTTCAGCTCAAGAATTAACCTCTTTACTGAGAGCTCCCCCCAGTGGAAGGTTTTGTTATTACGCACAGTCAGTTTTGATTTTCTGAAAGTCACATTTTCAGTGTTCTTATCCTGATTTTTTTCTTTAAATGTTTCCAGTTTTCTTTTTCCTGTTAAGGCCACAAATCTCCAGGAATAGTATGGAGATCATTATAGGGCAGTGGAACATACAACTGGAAGCAGACTCTTCTTTAACCCCAAAGGTTTATGTTCATTTTTAAAACCTAGTAAAACAGTCAATAATGAAATGTCATGTAATGGTCAGGTATGTTCCTTCTTATCAGGGGTTGCTGATATTTGAAGTTGGAACAAGCAGCTGTGAAAACGGTGTCAGTTTTTTGTTCAGTTTTGTAAATGCTGACAGCTGCATTTATATGTCTTCTTTGTGCTGCTTTAATTCATAATACATAATAACAGTGGTGTAACAATAGACAGTGCTGGAACAAGATTTTCTGTCAGCAGATTCTCTTATTTTTATGTGCAGTTAAGAAGCTGGGACTATTTCACCCTGCTTTTTCTGGTGCAATCAAATGCTGTTGTACAGATCATAACAAGAACTTAGCTGGGCTAATTTACCACACTTTTGTTAAATGCAAAAGTTCTTTAGTTTTCTGGTTTGTTTTATAGACTATAGGTCATGGCAGTAAAAAAAAAGCTTTGAAGGAGGCTATCGGAGCTTCCAGGCTGCACAAACTGTCTCACTTTTTGTCACCACAGAGGAAAGATAAAGGAAATATTGCAACTTTTATTCCCACCAAGGCTGTAGCTCAAAGAACCTCCCCATAAAACAGAGAATTGACTGACTCTTGCTCCCTCATGTTGATGGTGTGGAAACTTAGCTGGAAGATTTAGAGTAAGGGTGCATGCAGGCTTTTGACTGGACTTCACTGTTGAATTTACCTCTATCAGGTGGACTGTAGACGAGAATAATGATGAGAAATGACTAGATGCCTTCTGCTGTGACAATGGTTGTATGAATTAACCTTTATTACTAAGATTCATTAACTAGAATATTCTGAAATATGGCTTTTTAGGGCTGTGAATTGTATCATATTCACATATGTTTTATTGCTTTTTCTTTGCTTTTTTCCCCCCTGAACTTGCTGTAGCATCCCCAGCACACAGAGATTATACATTTAGAGCAGATTTATGAACATAGCAATGATGATGACGATGATGATGATGATGTGATTTTTTTGGGGACGCCTGTGTGTGTGTGTGTGTGTGTGCGTGTGTGAGTGCGTGCGTGCGTGCGTGTGTGTGTGTGTGTGTGTGTGTGTGTGTGTGTGAGGGGGGGGGCTTCACGTGTCTTCAAGTTAACTTCAGAACTGAAACAAGACTCTTGTCTTTTACAACTTCTCAGGAAAATCTACCTCTACCTCCAGTTTGATGCATTTAACCCAGGAAGGGCTCACGTTACAGTTCAGCAGGTACACAGAGAGAGAGGTGACGGTGGGCGCCACGCAGAGTCCAAAATGAACCTCGACATCGCTCCAAAGTGCTTTAGATTAGCTGTGATTTCATGAACACACACACGAGATTGTACTGAAAAGGAGTAATGTGTGGTGTTTTTATCACTGTCAAAGATGTATTTGTCGAACCTGAAGGTGCAGGCTGAGAGGTTCATTTTGGACACTCTGGCTTTTCGTTTTCTCTGTCTGTGTTGCAGGTTTGTAACGCTCCTGCTGTTAAGTTTATATGAGCATCAACAACAGGGAACCTTCAGCTCAACTACTACTAGTACTTCAACAAGTACTGCCGCTAGTACCACTGTTAGTACTGCGACTTTTATTTTCACTCTGTTCTATTAATGTGTGCTTATTCCTCCTTTTTTCTATAAATGATTAAAAATTTTTGATGAATGGGATGTTTCCCGATAACCACAGGAACAGTGAAGTGGCAGCGGGCAATGCAACTGTTTATTTTTATTTTATTTTTCTTTGTTTTTGAAGGGTGGAGAGCTATTCTTTCCTATTTACTCAACATGTGTTTGTGTGAATACTTTTATTTGAATCTGAAATTAATAAAATATCACCTTTCTTAAATGTCACCACAGCATCTCTTGTTTTTTAATTTAACACTAGACATGTAAGCACTTTCATTTATTAAATGGTCTTTTACTTATAAACTGATAAGCTCAAAAATGTATTTTTACTCAATAACATAAACACTGTTGATAAAAAGTCAACCCCTGAAGTTATTGAGCCAGAGTGGATTTAGAAGTCTTATTAATGATTGTGTTTATTAATATTTGAACACCTTAAATAAAATATATTTTTTAATTTATCTACAAATTGCAAACTAAGGTAACTATGACAAGACAAAGGTTATAAACAAACCACTTATCACTGTGTAAATATCTGTTTAACCCTAGAACACTATCATCGGATGATTTTCACCGACCAAACATGTTTATGTGATTGTCGTTATGTTGCGTTTGTCTGAGTATAATGGGTCTCTGGGTAGCTTCAACATTGCCTTTGACGTCTGTGAAGGCATATTTGTTTCCCTGATGTAAAACCTTGCTTTTTCCTACAGGCACGTGTTCACAGGGTGATTTTCACCCGGCAAAAGTGGTAGAGGGTAAAGTAGGTTTGGGTGGATTTTATAGCTGCATGTAGGGAATAAGGTCAGTAAGAGTGGTCCTGGAATTTGCATGCTATCTTTATTTAGCGCAGTGGTTATGAATAACTATCACAAAGTAGTGAATTACAAGGGAATTCATATGGTGATAAGAAAAATTTTAGTCAGCTGCTCATTTTTACTCACTCAAAATAAGACCTATTTTGGTTCTCTCTCCTGCACCTGTTATTGTGCCAAAGATCCTGAGTCTTCACCAGGGAAGACTTGCATGCCCCAGGAATGGGTGGAAAAGAAACTAAGTTTACAGTTTTTCTTTTTAGGCATTTTTTGTTCATGAATGTCTAATTTCAGTTATTTTGTTTGCATTTTTATATGGTCCACTCGTGGCACTTTTTCCCCCTCCCTTTGGACATTGCAGAGTTAAAAATAATAGAAAACTACTTTAATATATATATATATATATATATATATATATATATATATATATATATATATATATATATATATATATATATATATATATATATATATATATATATATATATATATATATATTATATATATATGAAAAACCTTAAAAACTTAAATCCTCAACATAAATACACCGTTTTTATTGACAAAAGTGCATTTCAGAGCTCATAAAGGGGACAACATGAGGACAACTACTGAAGTTCCTTGTGCAGAAAATATCGAATATCTTATAAATGTCGCATTTAATATTTACTTTTTTGACCAGCTGCTCGTGATCCATTCAGAACGTGTCTGCAACCCACTTTTGGGTCGGGATCCACCGGTTGAGAACCACTGATGTAGCCCATGACCTACATCTCAAAACCACCCATGAACTCAGCCACACAGAGCTTCCTCGTGCAACGTGACTCTCGTGTCACGTTAACGCTGGAGTCTTCCGAAGCCCCGCCCCCTCGTAGCGCCCATACTGGTGAACCTATCGCAGCCCGGCAGATTTAAACACTCTGAGTGATTCGAGAGGAAACGGGGATGAACGGGGCGGGCGGTGCTACACAGGTCTCTCAGAGCTGAACCAAACCCTGTGGTCGTCGGGGAGGAAAGCAAAGCGTTATTTTCAGAGCGATTATCCTTCGTGCTGTGGACTTATTTCCTCTTTTATGCCTGCGAGTCTCTGGTGAATCCTGACAATGAGACTCAGGTCTAAAAAAACGATCGTTAGCTGCGTGGAAACGCCGACGAGCAACCGCCAACGGTCCAACAAAGAGGCATCGAGACGAACGCACCCACCGGGAAACGAGAATCCGCTTCTTCTATCCGAGGTAACATGTTTGTCTGCTTTTATTTATTTCCCGGTCATAAGACGTGTAACATTTGCATTAATCTTCGTGGACAATATAATCACTGTGGAGCTGTAAGTGGTCGTCTTTTTGTGCCAATGCTAATTAGTTAGCCGCCAATAAAGCTAGTGGACCCAAAACAAAACAGTGGACGGTGTGCTGCATTGCTTTGAGGGGAGCAGATGAACGATAGGTGACTTTTCTGACCTCAACCACGAACATTTATTCACATGGTTTTAAACGAATGACTTGTGATGAACTGGAGAAGCGTCGTGTAACGACAGTGTGTTTAATTCTGTTAAAAAGATTCGATTTTTCTGACTATTATAAACCAAAGGTGAGTGAAGAGTGGCGACAGCGCCCTCTACAGGAAGAAGCCTACAATGACATGAACTCCTGGGCAGTATAACACAACTCACATCTGTCATTAATTAAACTCTCATTAAGCATTTGCGTTTCAGTGTTTTGATAACATGATAAAACAGATCAAAACTTGGGCAAATTAATTGTTGAAGTTAAAAATGGTGTTAGTTGTGTTCTGGACTTCAGAGGCCGTCATCATCCTCATAATCTCAAATTTAACTTTATTTTTATGGCACTTTTCAGACAAAAAATGTGGCTCAAAGTGCCTCACAGACGCTAAAAACAACAATAAAACACGACCCTCCCACCCACACACTCACCCATGGACCCACACACCCACCCTCGCTCACACACACACACAAAAGCGCACACAGTGTGAGAATTTAAGACACACTGTTAAAGAGACATGGCCTTACACCGAGACATTGCATGAGGAAAGAGCCCCCTTTAGGAAAAGCAGGAGATAAAAATGGTGAAAAGAAAGAGTAAAACCTGATGGACTACAACAATAAAATAAAATCAAATGAGCAAATAGGTAAGAGCTCTTTACCGTATAAAAAAGGGGTAAAGGAAGTAAAAACCTCTAAGGCAGGCGTTAAGAACAGATATTCAATTACATAAAAGAAACAAGAAGAACTTAGATTAAAATGAACATTTGCAATAAGAGAAATACAAAAAGCCAATTAGTTTGTACACATAATAAAAGGAAAACTTTTAAAGATAATATTAATGTCACTCCTCAAGCTGAGCGTTTTTGTCCAAGTTAAAGAAGAAACAATTTTAGGAAGTATACTTGTGTATTAGTACACACAATCCATTAAAGCCGGCCTGCTTAAATACATTGACGTTTGTGTTTCACTCGTCCTCAGTATCCCTCATGATGCCGTGTCAGATCTGCACGTTAAATACTTGCTGCTCTGACGTGCTGTCTGTCTAGGGGAGGATTTAACAGCCCGGTTGCATGTGAAAGAGGGTCCCGGTGAAAGTAGGTCAACAGGACACACGCATGCAGACTGTTTACACTCCAGCCTGTGTACATGCTTTACGGCTGGTTTTGTTTATGGCTCACGTGCCTGCATTTTTCATGTTGCAGACTTTAATGCAGAGGCAGCTCATATTGGTTCTTTGTCTAATGAGGGTTAGAGAAAAGCCAGCAACTCAGCAACTCTGCTTTGCATTAGAATAAAGAAGCAGTGCATGTATTTTGGTAACCCTTCGGTGTTGGCTTTTTGCTTCAGTTACACGGACGATGTTTTTCATATTTTGCCGTGGAGAATTTATGTAGATGGTAGAGTAACGTCAGGATAAAGCACTCCCATAAACCCCATCATAGTGTAATACCTTAGCATTGTTACTTTTATGTGTGGCACAGTAGTGTAGTGGTTAGCACTGTCGCCTCACAGCAAGAAGGTCCTGGGTTTGAATCCGAGTCACAGCGTTTCTGTGTGGAGTTTGCATGTTCTCCCTGTGTCTGCGTGGGTTTACTCCGGGTACTCCGGTTTCCTCCCACATCCCAAAACTTGCAGAAGTGGGGTTAGGTTAATTTGCCACTTTCAAATTGCCCGTAGGCGTGAATGTGAGCGTGGATGGTTGTTCGTCTCTATATGTCAGCCCTGTGATGAACTGGCGACTTGTCCAGGGTGTCCCCTGCCTTCACCCGAAGATGCTGGGATAGACTCCAGCCCCCCGCAACCCTGGGAACGGGAATAGGCAGTAGAAAATGGATGGATGTTACTTTTATTTTTGCAGTATGGTCTGAACACATCTCGAGGGATAAATCATGGCATTTAAGGATAATTCACATCAGCCAACGAGGCTGATTTAAAAGATAAACAAATATCTGAACTTCTGCAGCCTTGTAGGAACAAAGTCGAGCAATGTAAACGCCACCCCAAATGACTACTATCAAAATATTTTTTGCTTTCATAATTACAGCAAATTTCAAATTTACCAAATTTAAAAGTGTCATGCAGGGGTATAAAATAAATGTCGTCATTATAATGTAGTTTGGTGTTGCTTCTGACATGATTATCAGTCATGTTCTCAAAACAGGAATGACTAAGATAACCATTTTATTAGATAATTCTGTGCATAGATTAGTGGGGGGTATTAATATGATCACTTTTATTGAAGGCAAAAAAATCTAACAAAAATTACAATATGATGTTGGAATTATCATCAGCAAACTTGATTCTCAATGATTGGTATTGGCTGTTTTGTTGAAAAATATATTAGCCAAACAGTATTTCGATTTATCTTCGGCCTCATGAAAAGATTCACAGTGAAGATACACTTATTTCTGTCTGTATAAAAGATTCTTTCTATTATTTGCAATCGTGTCCTTTTTTGTTTTGAATGACAAATTCATATTCAACCATCAGTCTTTACTTTTGTTACAACCAAATGCTTTCAGGACAGGAATCTTTGTCTCCTCAAACTTTGAGACATTCAGAGTTAATTGAGGAAACTGTTGCAGCTTCACATTTCAGCATCCCAAAAAGACACTAATGATGATGATGATGATGATGAACTTTGTGAGACTAATAATTTGTCTTTTTCTCTTTTACTATGAAGGATGAGAACACCATTGAAAATGACTCCCATCATTTAGATGAGGAAATTCCCATGATGAGAAGGCGACTTCTGCCCCGCGGCCGGGCCAGGAAGAGAGCCATCGCTGTGGAGGACAGAGACACAGGTTCTGGAAGTTTCAAGTTATTATCTGTGACTTTGTTCAGTAAACATAGAAACTCTCTAGATGTGAATTTGTACAGTGTTCTCTGTGATTGCTTTTATTTTCCTGACCAATTGGGTTTCTTGTGTTCCTAGATTTGGGCTACACCACTCCAATCAGATCAATCTTGCGTCAGAAGCACATCCTGTCAGAGATTGACACCGTGACTCCACGAAACACAACAGCCAGAAACATCTACTCGCCCATTGTACGTTTCTTCACACCCAGCAAAGAGAGTGAGTACAGCTTCTGTATCTGCCATTCTGGTTTCTTTGTAAGAGCTGCACCTGGAAAAAATCTGCAGGAGTTATGATATTGTACGGTTAAGGACAGTAAAAAAAATACTCTTCACTTGTGTCTTGTAGTGAGCTCCATTCACGGCTCCTTCACACTAGAAAGAAACAATGTGAACCTCTTTAAGTGCTCAGCTGGCAGTGAGGCGGTAGGCTGCTGGTTGGTGTTTATTCTGTTGGTGGAGGAGCCACTGTCATCAGTCATTACTGTTGCCTTTTGAAATAATAAGAAACGTTGAAGATGCTGTTAAAGGCTGAAGGAAGTGACTGTCTCCGTTTTGGTTGCTTTCCCAGCGTAGCCAAGTGCAGCTGCCAAACCGATCAAATGTTTACTGTATTTATACTTTGAGGGGAATTCTCTGATTTGTTTCTTCCTTTAGATAATTTAGTAAATTAATTTACTGACATGTCAGTTAACCTTAAAATGAGGAAACTTAATCACCTAGTTGAGTAAAGAGCTTTTTTTTTGTCTTTGTTGGACTGTACCATCATCGTTACTGGAAAAAAAAAATCTTCACTCAGCCTCAAAATGCCAAGCCTGCCTACAGTTCACTTACTTTGTTCTGTCTCTCCAGATGTGGAGACTCCAGATTCAGGGAACAGCGTGCTCATGAGCCCAGAACAAGGTTTCTTTGCTTTCGGCTCCATAGACCTTCTTGCCGGAGACGAGGACGACGAAGTCTTACCCTTTAATCCGTAAGTTTTTAAGCCCTTTCCTCGCATCCAGCCCCTCATTCTAATCTGACGGCAACACGCTCATCTTGTTAAAATGAGCCGTCTGCCCTCTTTTTGTAAAAGCTCAGGATGACAGACTTTCTCATTTGTTAACATTTTCAACTCAGGAGAGTTGTGAGACCTGTTGAAAAGGCAGACGTGCAGGTGAAAATCTTAAAAAAGGATGTAACCTGCATTTTCAACCATTTCCTAAATCCTTGTAAAACATCACCTACATGTTGAGTTGTGATACTAATTTGATATGCAAACAGTGAGGGTGCGCTGGTTCACTTCACTATTTTGATTTTGTATTTCATGACATCAAGTTTTAATATTCAGACATAATTTTTAATTTCTAGGACCTGCAACATTTAAACATAGGAACAAACACTAAAACACAAACACAACATTTGAACAAACACACATGAACTTCCCCTCAGGGATCAATAAATTTCTTCTTCTTCTTAGATTGATTGAAAATCATATTAAAGGTGTTCAAAAACTCTTTAAATGTGACGTCCTTGTTGCTTAGAGAGCCAAGTTCTTCAGTTTACATTATTTGGTTACTTCCTCAAGTTCTTTTGAATAGATTTTCCCTGGTGTTTGTGATTCAGTCTGATATAACAACGTTTTATTTCTTGCAGCTTTACCTTCATCAAGAACATCCCACAGCAGTCTGAACACTCTCTACCCCAACTCAAAGACATCCCACCAAAGACCAGGAGCACTCCTGAGGCCACGCTGGTGGTGGACCTGGTGAGTATCTTCTCTAAAGCTTCCTGTTATTACCTGCTGCTCTTGAGTTGGAAAAAGTTAAAGTGCACAAGCACATGCAATCAGACTGAGACGCTAAGGCAGAAGAACTAACATCTCTGCAGTGAAAAATGATTATAATGATGATTATTACTTCTTGGAAGTGATTGCATTTCCATGAAGTGATAATCATACATTTTCTTCCTTGAGCTGCAAAACTTCGCCGCACTCAGTTTTTGACCCGTCAGGGCTCCCCCACAAACAAGCAGCTTCTGGAGGGGAGTGGATGAGTTGTGTTTGGTCTCTTTGCTAAAGAAACCAGGCAAAACTAAAAAGATGTTTGCTGCCTAGTGCCACATGCTGGGACCATGTATGTACTGTTGATGAAGTTAGGTGCTGTTCTGAGCATTATTTGTGGCTATAGAGTGGCTTTTTGGTTGAGGTTTGCGCGTGGAGACATTGACCGCTGTGTATTGCTATCATGCCGTCTTTGCTTAAGTTGGTGTAACAAGAGAAGCAAATGGTCAGCAAAATTTATCTCCCGAGAGGGGGGTCTCACTCAGTGTTACGATGTGCTTGACCATGACTTAGATTTACTCCGCAATGTCCCTTTAATGTCCCATTGTGTTTTGTTTGCTGGTGATGAAGTCATTTGTTGTGAAGGCTGTATTATTCTGTCAGTGTGAGTTTTTGGTTGAGGCAAAAATTATATCAAGTTGTTTTGTGAGAAAGTCCTTTAATTTGTGTCTTTACAGGAGGAGACCTTGATGTTCAGCTCTCTGAGTGTGATCGAGGAGGCAGAGTACACCTTCTACACTTCTTTCCAGGACCACCAGTACAAGGTTTGTATTCCCTCTGATTTAAAAGGTCATTAGGGGTCAATATATTCACATCTCATGATTTCTGTTATCCTTTTTGATATCAACAGGTGTACATGATCCTGCGGCCACATGTCAGAGAGTTTCTGCAGTCCATGGCTAAGATCTATGAGGTAAGTGTTTCATAAAAATTGATGATAAAATAAAAGTGTTTGGTCTTTTATCGCTGCAGTTTGCTAAAAGCAGATCTGCCTGGAGGGTATTTTTCTCCAGTGTGATGAGGTAACTTAGTAACGATGTCTTGTTATCTTTTGGTTTGTACACTAAAGTTTTATTTCATGACGTTCACATTGGCTTTTATTTTGTTGGAACAGACTCAGCAAGTTAAGGGTATGATCTTAAAACTATTTTAAAACTGGAATCACGTGTTTCTTTACCTGAATATTCAACCCACACGGCTCTGAGTCATCCATGAGCATGTTGGTTGGTTTTCATGGGATCCAGGCTTGCTGACTTTAAAAGGCCGTCAGTAAGCTCTTTTATGATTGTGTTTATTGAGTGTTCTGCAAAGATTCTCTCAAATCACATTAGTTAACTATTCAGGTGTGTTTCAATGGTACAAGCATGACAACTACATTACAGGCACTTTGTTTTGGTATGTTTCTCTGCACAAATGCAGCTGCCAGCAATGATACTGCTGAAGTCTGAACGTGATTATTTCTGAACTTAAAACTGTGACGTGCTGCTCTATCATTGTTATACTTGATAACTAAAGAATACCTCAGAGCGGCAGAGTGTCTCACCAATCTTTGCACTGGGGCTTGTTTGAGTAGGTCGCTATGGTAACTGGAGGCATATCTGTCACTTGGGGACTGTTATTTTGAACCTTTTCATTTTGCTGCCAGAAAGTGTGATTTAAAGAAATATATCACTCTAAGGATCCCAGTGACTAAACTCTGATTCCGTGTTGTTGATGCTCTACTTTTTTAATGAGGACTGAGCAGCTGTTTATTGATAAGAATTGAATTTTATGAGTTATTGCCAATTGAAAAAACGAGGGATGCAGTGTAAAAACAAAATTTTAAAAAAGGGCAGAAAACATCAGAAACTGGTAAAGAAAAGCTTTAGGCTGTTGCACAAGAATTTATCAAACTGCAGACCTTTTATTGATTGGTATTTTTAAAACTCAGTGATATGAGGATGCAGATGTTATTACACTTCAAAATGACTTGTAGGTTTGTAATTTGTGCAGTCACAACATGCTGCACACTTAATTTTTTACGCAGTTTAGCTGTTTCTGACAAATGATTTCATATACTTCATTTTGTGACTGATCCTTTTTAAAAAGTATTTTCTGTGTTATCCTGATGCTCTCTAAGTTCTGGTTAGTGGTCCCAGCTGCTGTTTGTGTTCTGTTGCAGCTGTTTGTTTACACATGTGCGAAGAAGGAGTATGCTAAGAAGATCCTGAACATCCTGGACCCACAGAGGAAACTGTTTCGGTAAGTCTCCTCAAAGATCTGCTTACAGTCAGCTTTTATAAACTCCAGCTTCACTCTAAGGACGTGCACTCTGTCAGGTTTGTCAGGCTCAGGCAGCAAGTGCTACTCTGCTCATGCTCCGTCTGTGACCCTCTCTGAAATGTTTAACGGCCTGTTTATGTGGGATTACTCGGTCTTCTTCAGGGATTTATAAATTGGAGGGATAGCAACAGCTTAAATGAAGGAGAAAAAAAATCATCATATTGTGAACGTGTCTCTCAAACATACTTAACAATCATGTTTTTACTCTTCACTGGTTTCCCTGGTAGACATTGTCTGTATCAGGAGGATTGCTCCTGCGTTCTCGGCCACTACGTCAAAGACCTGAATGTGTTGGGGAGGGACCTCGCCAAGACCGTTGTCCTAGACAACTCGCCCCACACATATCCGTACCATGTGAGTACTGTTCAGCACATGAGCTGTGTCTCTATAAAAGTAAAAAGTAATACTGGACTGTTTTTTTATTTGTCAGACAAGTTCTGCAGTTTAATCAGAAACAAACGCTGTTTTTATTTTAACGCTGACGTTTATTTAATTATGACGTGTATTTTTTATTTTCCAGCTAATGAACACAATCCCTATCAAAAGCTGGTCTGGAGAGTCTGATGACGGAGAACTGCAGAAACTCATCCCCTCTATGGAGAAACTGTCTGCAGCGGTACGTCTCTGATTCTATCAGCTGTCAAAATTTCCACTTTTTTGTTCTTCAGCAAGTTTAAGTTTCAGTATCTCGAGTTACAGATGAGGATTTATTTTCCTTTATATATCATCTGTTACTTAATTAGAAATTCTTCTCAGAATTCATATATGAGAATAGTTTAAGAAATGTCACTTTAGTGAGATAGATAGCTCACTGATCAAGAAATCAGACTGTGGACTTGGTCGTCTCAAAAAACAAATTGAGCCTCCACAGTTTGAAAACTTTTTCAGCACATTAAAAAAATCAAACAGTGAGATAGATGTACCAGTTTGTCCACAGGGGGCGCCAAAATCAACATACATTAAAGTTCTCAGTGAGAGATTCAGTAGTTTAAATGCCTTTGACTATAAAATGAGAGAAAAATGTTACAAATATGAGACATAAAAGTACCAGATGATGTATTATTATTATTGTTGTACATTATAACATCAGTCAGCGCTCTGGAATTTATTTTTTTACAGTGTGGAGGAGTTATCCATCAAGAATAGACGTCTTTCTCTGTAATGTCTTAATAATTAGAATTGTCCTAGCTTGACTCTTTAACAGTCGATGAAATCAGCTCTTACTCTCAGCGTGTCACAGACATTCAGCGGTTTATCAAACGGCTGCTTATCCGCAGCAGCATCTGCCCGCTGTCTTTCCTGCCCAGTTTCATCATTGTGTCTGAAATGTCTCCTGCTGTGTTTTTTCAGGACGATTTTCGGGAGGTGCTGAAGAAGAGGAAGGATCACTTCCACAGGCTGCTGTCAGAGGACTAACAGGACCCTCCAGTCCCCCCCTCTCACTTTAAATACTTACGTGACTTTTACAGCTCATGTTGACTTGTTTATGCTTTGACTAAAAGCAGAATCCAGTTTGAATCAGAGAACCTGAAGCCAGACCTGCTTGTCCTCCCTGATGACTTTAAAGGACGGCTGATCGGTATTTCAAACATGCAGCTGGTCGTTCATCACCAAAACCCAGTTTCTCCCAGACTCATTCCACAGGGCAATAAATGCCACCCAGTGTATATGTAAATATCCCAGACCAAACTCAAAGTGTGTTGTTTATAGTCCTTTATTTTAATTTATTGGTTATATTTTTAATCATCGGCTAGCCTGTGTATATTTTAAATATGCTTTTTTAAATATGCAATAAAATTATCCTGAGGCTGAAAGGAAAAACCAGGGGGTTTGGGCTTTCTTCCAGCACAGTGTTTACTCAGTTTAAGCTCTTTGACAGAATAAGATGTCACAGTCATCAGCCGTGATGAACAGCACGACTGCAGCAGAGTTAAGTCATATCGCTTCAAAAACATGGAGATGGTACACAGGGCTGACGAGTGTCTGATCTTGTGGACCTCTTTCCCAGCTTTCTGCTTAATCTTTTTTTTGTTTGCACGCTGCATCCAGTTCTAGGTTTCCTAAAGAAAATGCTGCTCGTGCGGCTGAAAAAATAAAACTCATTACATCCTGTTCAACAGGAAAGAGCCACTAGTGTGATAGACAAGTGGATGGAAAAGATGTGTTAAATAGGAAAGAGGTGGTTCACAGACAGGAGACTCGACACACGAATAAACTATCACAGCTAACATCTATTTGGCAGCACAGTGGGTTAAAGATTTCCATCAAACTACCCAAACACACATACACACACACAAATTTTAAAAGGATCGTGATAGACATAGAATTATGAGTATAGATTTGTGTGAGCACTAATAGATCCAAGACAAATTACCCACTAGGATGATTAAATGCAACGTTTTTACATACATTTTGTAATTAAAACACTTTTTCAGTTACCTATTGATGAATTGAAGTGTTGATTAAACTTACAAGTGATTACATAAGAAAAGGCGGTAACCCTTTTTTTTTTTACGGTACACTTATTACCAGGTTATTAACAGGTAATTACCTAGTAACAACATGAAATTATCTGGTAATTACATGATAACTCCTAATACTGTCTAGTTTTCCTTTTTTTCTTTTTTCTGTGCAGCTCCATTTTCAAAAGCGTTTTGGGGTTCTTGTTTTCTATGATTGAGACTTGATACAGCCTATGGGCATGCGAAGTTTGCATAGCGATTCGCTGTTTGAGCCCAGCATTATCACAGCGACTCACCAGCCGAATGCGTACAATGCTACTGCGCAAGTGGTGGTTCCAGGACGCGGAGAAAATCCTGGAAATACCAGAGCAATTCGGCTTCAAATTTGTATGATGATGGAAGGTTACCTACCTGGTAGCTAGACAGTATTGACTTAGTAGTTATCATGTAATTACCAGATAATCAAATGTTGTTACTAGGTTATTACCTGGTAATAAGTGTAAAAGAAAGGGTTACCGAAAAGGCCTATGTGAGCGTTTTCAAAAAATGTGCTTTTGAAATCATACATTTTATGAAGGATCTTATTTTATGAAGCTGAAACCAAACACTGTTTGGTGATGATCTAATTATTGGTTATCAAAAGATGATCTGACTTTATTCTTATCAAATAAAATTAGATTTAGATATTTTCTATACAAAAATCTATCTCAAAATGCCATAACAACTCTAGGAACCCTACATATGTCAATAATTTTATCATATTTTTCTTGGAAACCATGTAAAAATCTTACTTAGAGCAAATATTGATCAATTTTAAAGTAGACAAATCCCTATTTGTATGTATCTGTGTTTCTCTGAGTATTAAAACGGTACATGAGACAGTCCCACACACTGTCACTTTAGTCCTGAGTTATTGGCTGATGAGGTTTAGTTCCAGTGTAAATGTTTGCCGTCCTGTTTAGATAAACTCCTAATTGTTAATGTTGAATTTAGAGGTAAACTGAGAGAAAGTGTCTCCTCCTCCTCCTCCTCCCCCCTCTGCTCCTGCTCCTGCTCCGGCTTTATTTGCTCCATATGGTGTTTGACATGGTACCCAGGAAGAAAAAAAACACTCCTGTGTGGGCGGAGGAAAAAGCCTAGTATTTTGTCCGTCTTGAAATTTGATTCAGAAGTTCAGGATCCCTGGAAGACAAAAGCAAACGGAGGGGGAGGGAAGAACGTCGGAGAAGGACGGAGAGATTTTTTTTTTACTGCGAGAAGAGTAAACTCACTAAAATAGGCTGGAACTGCTCCTACTAAAGTAAGTCCATTTACTCAAGGCATGTTTGTAATTGAATAAGTTGAGGTGAAGCTGAAGACCTCCACCTTTGTTTGTGAGATCTGTCTGTTCAGTGGAGTAATTGCTGCTGAATGGCCACTAAATCTAAGGTTTCAGAGCTGCTCTTTCAGAATGACTCTGTCCTTTACGCACAGATTCAACGCAGACTAGAGCGCAGTTTGCATCGTTTGATTGAATTATCCCTAAACTTCTTTTCTTTTCCTGCAACATCTGAACTAAACCTGACCACTCTCTACTGCATTTGCTTGGTGGATGAGGAATTTTACTACATTTTTGTTTGAGAGTTGCTCAGCAGCGGGGGGAAAAAGTTCAAACAGCACATTGCCCCCTACGCGCGTTTCCACATCCACGCCAGCTCTGATAACCACTAAGATTGATTCCCCTTCCGACCATGGGAGAAAAAAAGAGCGCGTCGACTCCAGTTATTGCGCTCTATACATGGTAAAGTCCTCATTTGTTTGGAGTCAGATTCTCGCCGCAGTTTTGGCCGACTCTGCGCCATCGTTGGATACGCGCCAAATATATCCAGGATAAAATGCTCCAATTCAAAGTGCACGTTGTTCAGAAATCACGGTACACCAAGGACATCTAAGATCTTTAGACGTGTTAATTATAGGAGTTTGATTCCAGCTGTGGTCAAAGAAGAATTCAGAGCATTTAAAGGAAAGGCTGCAATCCTCCACTATAAATACAATAGGAACTATTATTAGAAAAAAAAAGTCCTGCAGTCAAATGTCACCGGCACTACAATGCATTTCAACTATAAAAAGACAAAGTTATTGCGGAGAGTCCTGTTACAGATTAAACAACTGGACCATTTTCACCTCCATTTCTGACTTTGTGGAAGTGTAGCTGAATTTCTTCTATTTAGGAAGTCTAATTAGTCCTCATTGTGGTGGTAAAGTGAAGTACCCACAGCATAAATGTACCTCTCTTGGCCTACAGGACAACATTCTGTCCTGAGTTTAGTTATTGATCCAAATTTAGATTCAAGATTCAAGATTTGTGTATTTGTCATGTGCATGTAAACAAGGTCAACAATGCAATGAAATGTGCTGGATGAGTGAACCGCTTGACTCAAAAGGTTACAGATAAAATACAGAATAAGTACTGAAGGAATACAATAAAGTAAGGATACAATATATATATATATACTAAAGACGAATAAAAGTATAAGAGAAATATTTACAATTGAGAAAGGAGATATTTACAAAGTGAGCAAGTGATGCAGTAGTTGCTGAGTGTGAATGTTTGAAATGGAGGATAAGTTGGTGGGATAAATGAGGTATGAAAATTGCACATGATTAATAATGTTGTACAAATGCTGTATTGCACATCACAGATGATATCGCACAGTTAAGTGGGTTATTGGACAGAGTATTGTCCGGTGGTACTGTCAGGAGTTTATTAAGCGAACTGCATGTGGGTAGTAACTGTTCTTTAGTCTTTAAATTTTAATTTAATCAGATCAATTTTACTGATAAGAGAGAAAAAAGATCATTTATTTGCCTCTCTGACCCTTAACAGACAAATAAATAACTCTTAAAGAACATTTTCAAGGTTTCCCTAGCAATCTGTTACAAATACATATATTTGATTAACATATTGATGTACTTTTTGATTCTTTAACTTTATTAAGTTTTTAGATGTTAAAAGTAAGTTAAATACTTTTACTTTGGTAATCTTCAAATCTTCATTTAGTTTAATTGCTCTCAATATTGATCTTATAAGCCAACAACCTCATCTGTTCAAAGTTTTGGAAACAGCAATAAACGTTTTTGCAACATCCAAATTAAAAACCCTGATTAATTTTCCAAGTTTTAAGAAATAGTTCCTCTCCATGTTAGCTTGGTGTACTACTTAGCAAGATAGGAAACAGAGGGAAACTGTTGGCTTGAATCGACACAAAGACGCCAGAATCCTGTTGTTCTCCATCTGCTTCAAAAGCAAAGACCAAAAATGATCTTTATATTTTTTAATTTTGCTCAAACAGACGTTGAGCTGAGCTTACTTTCTTCAGGCTACTGTCTCATACTGAGGGGACGCAGTAGCGTGGCGTCAATTTTCTTAATGGGAGTTTAAAAAGAGAGAGAAGGCTAGTGCTGAGGTTTTCACTGTGACTTCATCCCCAAGAAACAGGAGATGGAGACTGATTAATTATGAATAAGCTAAGTTACTAAAAACTTTTAGAAAAAAAGAATAAGAGCAACCTAATACTCCAAATGTGATTACAGAAGCTGACACAGATATTTAAGTCTAGTCTTCCAATGATTACTATTTTGATAAAAACAAATTTTAATGTGCCCACATGACCGTGTTATCACACAGCCAGTATGCTGAGGTTGTGGTGTGTTTTATGTCCTTTATTTCTTTTTGATGCAGGGTTGAAAATAAGTCTTGCATGAAGTGAGAAATATTCTTTTAAAGCTGTGGAAAAAACAGATTTGGACTTTCTCTCTTTCCTTTTTTTGTTAAGGTCAAACTGTCCCAAGTGTACAGAGGTAACTTCCATGAAAACAGTTCAAAGTAGCTTTCAGGCAACGTCACCTCACAGCAGAAAGTAAACTCTGTCTTCCTGTCATGTCAACACCGACTAAATCTAGTTTCCTTTAGTCCTAAAAAAGTCTTTTTGCTCACAGATCATCAGGAGTCTGTGTTCTGCCCCATTATATTTTCAGTTTGAGGCTAAGATGTCAGATCGATTGTAGGTGCAATGCTACCTCAATAAAAGGTCTTTCTCCGAGTGCAAGCATAAACTTTTAAACAGAAGTGACAAAGGGATTTTGGAGGTTAAAAAAATAGGTTGTTTTTCTACCCTGTGAGACTTTCTTTAACCCTAGTCCTCCGTCAGGGTTCATGTTCATGTGGTTTTTCGTCACTTTGCCACAAGTACCAACAGATGTTTAAAAGAAAGTGAATAACTGACTGTATTTTTGGTGACACTAAGGTTGAGTCACTGTTGTTTTTACAGTAAAGTTGTTTTCCGATCTGTACTCTGTGACACTCTGGAGACTGGAGCTGGTTTTCCTGTCCTTTTTTGTGACCCTGGTTTTGGTGTTTTGAACAGTTTTCTAGCCTGATGTTTATCTGGTCCTCTCCCTGCCCCCCTCAGGCTTTGTGACGATGAGCACCTCGGGGCTTCAGGCCACAAACAGGCGGAACGTGAAGGAGCTTGACAGCATGAAGGAGTCCATCAGCGACATCATCAACCAGCTCCAGGACATCGACCCCACCAGGCTCTCTTTCTCCCCTTTCCTTGACCTGGACACGCAGATCTCTTTAGCCCCGGTTTCAGACAGTCCCGAATCGTCCGTGGAGGAGCTGCACTCGTCCTCCCACTCCGTCTCCGGCTCCCAGAATTCCCTTGAACCTCCACCAGCAACAGATCAGCCAAAGAGTGAGTTATTCCTGTGGCTTTTTTCACTGTCTGCAAGAGCTGAAAGAGCAAAACCGTAAGAGCTCAAGCCAAGCTTTAGTCCGGATCAAGTTCAGGGCCAAATACATTTGTAATCTTCTGATTCACTCTGGACTATCCAGACCATTCAAGTTGTAAGGGACAGGTCTGCTTTCTGTCCCCAGACTCAGAGCCAAACATGGAGGAGTAGCATTTAGTTTTGTGCCTTGAATATCTGTAACAAACCCTCCTGTTTACAGCAGCTTTTTATTCATTTAATTGTACGTTTATTTCAAGAACAGTTCTGATTGAATTGGACTGCTTTCTTCTACTCTTGTATTTCATAACAGCTTCAGTTTAACTGTTTTTATTTTAACTTATCTTAAGTGTGATAATTCTTCAATCCTGTCTCATAATGTGCTAAAAATCTGCTCTTTGTTCTAATGTCTTATGTGCTCTATAGAAAAACAGCCAGAGAGCGTTAAGACAGATTCAGGTGTGGTTAAAGTAGAACGACTCCTCGTGAACAAAGCTCGTGTATTTAAAACATTTCTATTTAATTTTGAGTAACTGCACTGTCATATTCAGGTCCTCAGAGGCCCTAAAAGCCCCACAGTCACTGTCACTTTTATTATTTTTGGCCTTCCATTAAACACATAAATTTTGCATAGGTCCTCTGTTGTGAGATTACCTTGTGTTGGATAAGGTACGACTTCAAGAATGAACTAACATCAGTGTAAAGATACACAGAGGATGTGTAGTAACACTACTCAAGAGTCCATATTTCATGTTGGATGGATTAACTTCTAGATGTTTTGAAATCAACTCATTTGTAGTCTTCAGAGAGGACTACAGTCATACCTGACAGTGAAGGGGTGATGTTACTGTTGGACCTCCAAACTGTTGCAGAAGGCCCACCTGTGCTTTGACCCGTGTGTGACATACAGTGAGGGGATAACTGGTTTTTTTTGGCCTGTGGCTGGTTTCTTTCAGTATGTGGTTTTGGTTTCTGGATTAAAATGAACTCTGTTTTGAACAGGCTCTGCTCCCTGCCACCAGCAGCCCAGAGGCAACCTCCTGCAGGAGCCACGTGCAGACCAGGAGGAGGAGGGGGAGCTGGATCAAACTCTTTCCAGTCCCATCATCCCGGCGCACGATTTGGACGCCATCACGGAAAACTGCATCAGCTTTCCAAGCCCGACCTCTCAGGGAGACATTCCCAATGGCACAGACATGCCGAGATGGAGCCCAGAATCCACCAATTTGGATTCAACTATCGATGAGGGACGACCTTTGATAGGACCTCCGCCGGAGAGTGTGGAGCTGACTGTGTGGACCTCGGAAGAGCAGGGAGAGACTTGTGAGACCACAGAGGGGGCTGGAGATCGAGGACGATGCTGCTGTCGCTGCTGCCAGTGTCGATGCTGCCAGAGCGGCCGAGTTCCTGCTTTCCTCTCAGTCTTGGCCTCTCTTCTGTGTGCTGCTGGGATTCTCTATGCACTCTATTTCCACGTCCCCATAAAACCCCCTGACTACCCCGACACGCCCTCCCGCATTGTCTTCACCCTGTGCTGCTGTGTGGTGGCAGCCGTCCCCATCCTTCTCGGTAAACACCTGTACACCGACAGTCAAAAAAACAACTACATATGAAAGATAAAGATTAAGAGAGGATTTGGTTTGTCTGGCCGCCTTGTCTAGGAATGTTTCAATGTCCCCTGTCCTCTTTAATTTCATTTGCTCTAGACCTCACTGCAGCAGACGTCTCTGTGGGCCTCAGCAGAGAGAAGCATAATTTCCCTCTGCTGCACATGGCTTTAAATGGAAACTACAATAAGAGGCTGGCAGTGTTTCTGTCTCTCAGGCTGTGGCCTAATTATTTCAGAATATTCAAATCTTTTCCCAACCTCGATGACTGCAGAGAGATAGAAAGGGCAGGTGGCAAGACATGCAAACATTCGAGTACAGCGAGTTTTTTGTATTCCGATATCTGCTTATCTGAAATACAAGGTTTGGGTCAGCGCATCGGACACTGTCAACTCCATTTTTTTAACTTCTTCCCTTTTTTGCGATCATTCAAGTGTTTTACAATTTAGATAAGAAGTAAAAGAGCATTTCTACACAATACATAGTGAATTCACTCTGTCCACAATTAATTAAAACTTTATTTTTTCATAATTTCCTGGAGCAGATAAATCATGAAGATATTTAGTAGCTCATGCAGACTATTTTGCTCTCATCCATTTGTCATATAGATGCCAGTGAAGATCATTTGCATGTAGGTCATTCTGTTGGTGGTTGCTCAATTCAAATCAAGATAAACAAAGTGTGCCATCAGAGGACATTAGTTGCTGTTTTGAGTGTTGAAAATGCATTTCTATAAAAATGATTCAAGATGCAAACTGACTCACTGCTCTCTCATCCCCCACAGCGATGCTCATAGGTGCTGTGTGCCAGTTCTGCACAGCCTCCTTCAACCTGACCGACTCAATCCCCAGAAGACGGGCGGTTCAGCAGCTGTTTGTCACAGGATCCTCTGAGCAGTTACTCCTCTACATCCTCAATCTGGTCGTCATGGCTACTTTGCTGCCTCAAGACCAGCTGAAGTTGGTGCCAATAATGGTGGCCATGTTTGTAATAGGAAGGTGAGTCTAATAGCGAATACTTAATTCTCATAACAGGCTTGAGGGACTAAATGCAACGCACATTCATTCACTTTTAAGAAGACTGACATGTAAACTAGAGTATTAGCTTCAAAAACACAAAACCGCACATGTTGAACACCAATCGACGGGTTTCTTGTGTGTAAACAATACTAGGTGCGCACGCAACCAGGGGGCAAAAGCCTGCTTCGGAGTGAACTGTTATCAGTGAAGATGCCGTATAGTTCGAAAGTTCTCCCTGACACAATTGCAATAAAATGTCATTTCATTGAAAAATCGCTTAGTCTTTCATTGCATCAAAATCAGAGAAACATTTCCTGAAATATCCATGAATTTCACTCAATTTACCAGGTTGCAACCATAGACTGTATATACTATGGACAACTTGGTTCCGCCTACCGCCTGTATACGGATTTGAAGCCAAAAAGCTCTCGGTATTTCCGGGATTTTTCTTCATTTCCTGAAACCAGCGCTGCGCAGTAGCGATGCGCGCATTCGGCCGTGCAGTCGCCGAGAGTCGCTGTGATGACGCTCGGCTCAAACAGCGTATCCTCCCGGGTGAGCTACTCAATCCCTGAACGCCAATAGGCTGTATAAGGTGTCAATCATAGAAAACATGAACCCCCTAATAACTTTTTAAAACGGAGCTTCACAGAAAAATGAGGACTTGAGCACAAAAAAAGTCTTACAATAACTACATGTCAACATCACAACCAGGGGGGAGAAAAATGTATATTCTGTGTAATAAATTTCTAAAGTTTGTCCACAGCTCCATAAGCTTTGCTGGCAGAGGTGGGATTTATGACCTATACTGCAGCCCATCAACAGAGGGTGCTGTTCTCGGAGTGGCTTCACCCAGCGAGGAGGCAGACTCTGTCCATTCTTTGCACAGTCTATGGTTGCAACGTTGTTTTAGATGTTTCTAATATCCGGAGCAGGGTCGTAATGTTTGCGGATTTGTTTGTTTTGCCGATTTGTGCAGTTTACAGCACAACAGCTCCTTGTCATTTTCTTTCTCCGTTGACTCCGCTAGTAAACAAATAAGAAATGTCCCGCTTTCTGCCCCCTGCCTGCGCACAAACCTGCGATGACGTTGCACAGAAACCCGTCTATATGGAGAGTCTACTGCCATTACAGCTGCTCTCTGAATTTTTCCTTTTACCCCAGAGGTCAGTGCCAGCAATGGGTTTCAGCCCAAAATGACTGAACTTCCTGTTTAACAGGCAAATTAGCACTTGATAGCAATCCCAGTTGCATTAGGCAGTAATTCTGCTTATAATCACCATAGCAACGTGTCCTCAGAAAGACACTGGACATTTTTACGGGAACTCCAAAGGCAGTTAGATTCATCCTACAGGAACCATAAATGTCTGTACTAAAACGTTTAACCAATGCATTCAGTTGTAATTGTGTTATTTCAGTCTGGATTAAAGTGTTGGACCAAAAGCCCGACGCTGAAGCCACGCCGCTAGAATATCTAAAAATGAACACAACCACTGTCATTAACAAAGCCGAGCAGAACTTTTGGCAGAGCGTGGTAGAGCAGCGGAGGGCTCAAAATGACACCAAGTTACATGAACTCAGCTGCACTGAACTCTCCCATCAGCTCAGCTCGTATTGGAGCTTTAAGTTTTATTTTGGATTATTTGTGGTTCTACCGTGTTCAGAAGGAATCAAATATTCAGGGAAAAGAGTTGGGAGGAAACAGCTAGTATAGCTATGTCGGTATCTGCTCCACAGAGAAACCAGGTCGTCACAACACTAGTTCACTCTTTTCTTGTGAGTCAACTATAAACTGGTTGGTTTTGTTGTGGGGACTCTTTGTTTGGCAACAAGCAAAGAGGGCAAGAAGTTTATGGACCCGGTTTCTGTGCTTTTTACTCAGTGAGGCAAGTCTCTGACAGCCTTAGGTACAAGTTTGCTTAAGTTTTTTACCCGACAAATACACGATAAGTTTACACCAATGATTAATTTGTCTCATTATATTTATTTACAGAGTTTTTTCCACCCCTAGGTTGGAAATCACCTCGTCAAACTAGTAAATGTTTAAGAGTACGAACAATTTTAGGTTGTAATTCAATACATGATCACAAAAACAGGGCTGCGCTTTGAATACAGGGCTCCTACCTGTAATTTAGTTATTTTACACTGATAAGCTGCACTGGCATCAAAAAGTGTCTGAAATGAGGCGCGTCCATCAGAGAGATTGTGAAAGTTTATCAGTAAAGTTTGAACTTGATCTGATTTACTTTTCGTGTTTATTTTTGTTGCCCTCTGCAGACTTGTTTACTGGGTCAGCCTGAACGTGTGCAGCTCCTGGCGAGGGTTCGGCTCCGGCCTGACCATGTTCCCACTTCTTGCCTTGGTTGCACTCAATCTGTTCCTCATCTACAATCTGAATCTCAAAGAACCTCTTCTTGGCTCTCAGGACATCCTCTTAAATCAGGTCACCCCCTCTTCCTGGTCAGGGGAGACATCACAGAGCCCGAGTGGCAAACCAGACATCCTACCCACAGACATCCTGGACGCACAGTGAGGAGGCAAACCCAACTTTTCTTCTTCTCAGAGGAGGAGATCTGTCTAAAAATAGACCATTCCTGTGGTCTGCAGTTCAGCACAGCAACACACGCTGCCACTATAACCTCCAAAGTCTGTGACAGCTTTACTCGTTTGTCTGCTCCTCCAATACAGGACCTTTTTTATGTGGATTCATGCTTATTATCTGGAACAAAAGAGCTCTTTCAAAGCTTGTGGCAGAGACAGCCTTTGAACAATGCTGTAGTCTTAAAACATTTGTCCTTTTAAGCTATTTCAGTGCCTGCATTTAATGTTTGGAACCCTAAAGTACTTAAAAGCTCTGTTGTATGTGTGGCTGAATTTGGTTTGACCTTAAAACACCACACACAGCTTGTGTTGTAATACTGAATCATTATTTCAACGCCAAAAAGTTTGTAAATGATGAAGAAAAATAAAGCCATTTTTAAAAACCGTCTTTTTTTTTTTTTCCAGTTTACTTTTCTTCCTTGACCAAGTAGCTATTCCTGGAGAAACTACAGCTTGTGTTTCCAGCACCGAGTCTGTCATTATGTGATAACACATTCTTCATGTTCAATGCCTGCTCTTCATCTCCACCCTGCGCGTGTCCTTCGCTGCCGTCCGTGGATCGCTCATTTGTGGCTCAACACCAGGCCAAAATGAAAACAGAAGACTAAATCAGGCTGCACCGTTTTCTTTTGACAAATTAGTCAAGAAGTAAATTAAAGAGCCATCCTGTTTAGTTTAATTAAAGGCAATGTATTTGACTCGTTGGTATTTAGCATGTCAAAGTAAAAAATAAAAAAATCTGCCCTGAAAGCCGAGATCTGGATGCTTAAACCTGTTTTTGTTTTTTTTATCAGAGGTTTGGTTTCACCACATAAAAAACTTTGACTTTAACTTGTCTCTAAACTCAGAACTGAGAACTGAGAGACTTTTTCAACTCGGTAAGAAAAAGTCTGCTTACTGCTTAATCAGCATTTCCACTTATTGTTATTCTCCTATTTCTTTATCATTATTATTATTAAATGGAAATGCTGATTAAGCATTTCCACTTATTGTTATTCTCCTATTTCTTTAATCTTATTATTCTTCCGCCGCTTTTTGCCGCTTTTCAACTCCTTTCCACTTTGTTTCAACCGTTCAAACTTTAAACTATTCCTCTCCCTCAGGACATGTGTGCTTGTATTTATTTCCTTTCTACCCTTAATACTTTTTTTTTTTTTTAACTTTTTGTGCCAAAATTTTAACATTGAAGTCAATGGGGAAATCTTTCAATACTTCCTTTTATTCTTTCACCTTCTGAGCCTTATAACTTTAGCATACTTTCACCTAGAGACCTCATTTTTGCTTTAAAATGTTCGTTATCTTGTTGGCTATTAAAGTTGTATCCATTTTTCTGATGAAATGTAATCCCGTTATTGATACATTATTCAATTCTTCAGACAAATTTAAACTCATTCAAACTGATTCAAACCTTTTTATTACTTCAAACTTGTCTAATACTTGAGGATTTTTAAGTATTCCAATTTTTTCCATTTTAAAATCGTTCTCATTATTTATGCATTATTTACTTCCTCAAACAAATTCCCAGTTTTACTACTACAATTACTACTAATATCACTTTAACTTGTATCTTCACTTCTACCTCCACTACTCTTGCTTCTCTAAAAATGTTTTTACTGCATCTCTTTTACTGCCGCTATAACTTCTACCAGGAGCTCTACTGCTTTGACTTCTACTTCTTCTATTTTAAAACTACTTCTGCTGCTTACATGACTACTAATATCACTACTACAACTACCTATTATCATACTACTTCTAGTACTACAACTTGAACTTATGCCACTTCTCACTTTTCTGTGTTTTAAGGTAATTTCCTTCCTTATCCAATTTTGCAATTTCAGACAGTTTTTCTCGGCACATTCATACTGTTTGGACTTGAACAGTTTTCACTTTCATCCAACTTCCACTTCTTCTTCTTCTTCATCCCTTTAACCGATTTTATATTTAAACCTTCTTCCGTTTTTTATTAGCAGTTTAGCATTGCTTTTTCAGCTTTCAGCACTCAGCATTTCCACGCATTTTCTGCAAGGAAATGTAATTTTTCTAGTATTCATATTAATATTGTGGACTTACACAGGACTTTTGCTGCATATTTAAATTCTTATTTATAACTTGGACTTACACAGGACTTCTGCTGCATATTAATATTTATATTCATATTTATATTGTGGACTTACAAAGGGCCTCTGCTGCATATGTATATTCATATTTATAATCCAGATTTACACAGGCCTCTGCTGCATATTTATATTTATATTCTGAAAATACAAAGGACTTCTGCTGTAATTTTTTATGGTGGACTTAAACAGGACCTCTGCTGCATATTCATATTTATATTCTGAACTTACACAGGACCTCTGCTGCCTATAATTATTTTGCACATAGATATGAAATGCTTGTGGTACTGAAAGAATATAACATTGCGTGACTTATGCAAAGTTTTATTAAGTAAGTGGCTCTTAAAAGAGCCGTTGTGGTGTGTATCCTAGCAAAGTTTTAAGAAGTAGGTGGCTCTTAAAAGAGCCGTTGTGGCGTGTATCCTTGCAAAGTTTTAAGAAGTAGGTGGCTCTTAAAAGAGCCGTTGTGGCGTGTATCCTTGCAAAGTTTTAAGAAGTAGGTGGCTCTTAAAAGAGCCGTTGTGGCGTGTATCCTTGCAAAGTTTTAAGAAGTAGGTGGCTCTTAAAAGAGCCGTTGTGGTGTGTATCCTTGCAGGGTACTGTTCCTTCTGCTGAGAAATACGGAGAAAACAGGAGTAGGAGCATGGCCAAAAGAGGAGGAGGAGAGGCAAAGATTGTTGGAATAACATGAATAAAACCAGGAGGAAGAAGAGGAATGAATGCAGGAGGTTGAGCAGGACAAAAAAGGGGGGGAGAAGCAGGAGAGGAAGAAGCAGGAGAGGAAACAGGGGAAGAAGCAGGAGACAAATAAGAGGAAGAAGCAGGAGAGGAAGAAGAGGAAGAAGTTCCTTCTGCTGATAAATACGCTGTGAAGCCTTCCCTGACCCGGATGGCTCCTCTGGATGAGTTGTTGGATCCCAGACCCAGACCTGGCAGTGGCTGAACCTTACTGCTCCCCAACTCTGCAGATGGCTCAGCTGACCTCTGTATGTAGTTTTGGAGAACAAAAGAGGAAGGAGGAAGGAGCAGGTGGGGAGCAAAAGTTGGGGGCCAAAAGAGGAAGGAGGAAGGCGCAAAAGTGGGGGGCTAAAAGAGGGAGGAGAAAGGAGCAGGGGGGGGCCAAAAGAGGGAAGAGGAAGGAGCAAAAGTGGGGAGGCAAAAGAGGGAGGGGGAAGGAGCAAAAGCGGGGGGGCAAAAGAGGGAGGAGGAAGGAGCAAAAGCGGGGGGCAAAAGAGGGAGGAGTGAGGAGCAAAAGCGGGGGGCAAAAGAGGGAGGAGTGAGGAGCAAAAGCGGGGGGCAAAAGAGGAAGGAGGAAGGAGCAAAAGCGGGGGCAAAAGAGGGAGGAGGAAGGAGCAAAAGCGGGGGGGCAAAAGAGGAAGGAGGAAGGAGCAAAAGTGGGGGGCAAAAGAGGGAGGAGGAAGGAGCAAAAGTGGGGGGCAAAAGAGGGAGGAGGAAGGAGCAAAAGCGGGGGGTCAAAAGAGGGAGGAGGAAGGAGGAGCAGGGGTGAAAGCAGGAGAAGGAGGAGCAGGGGCAAAAGCAGGAAGAGGAAAGTAACGGAAAACAGCCAATCTCAGTCTCTTAGTCGCAGGCATCTCCTCCTCCAGCAAATCTCAGTCTCTTTGGTGCAGGCGTCTCCTCCTCATCACTGTCCTCCCTCTGCCGCCGCCTTCCCCTGACAGAGGAAGCAGAAGAAGCAGTGGAGGAAGAGGAAGAAGATGGAGATAAAGCAAAGGGATCCGAGGAAAAAGAAGGAGAAGAATAATCAGAGAAGTGAGAGGGAGGAGGAGAAAATGCAGGAGAAGGAGGAGCAGGGGCAAAACCAGCAGGAGGAGGAGGAGCAGGGGCAAAAGCAGGAGGATGAAAATAACAGAAACCAGGAGGAGGAGCAGGGGCAAAACCAGCAGAAGGAGGAGGAGGATCAAGGGCAAAAGAAGGAGGCGGAATGTAACATAAAACAGGAGTACGAGCATGGCCAAAAGAAGGAGGAGGAGAGGCAAAGATTGATGGAATAACAAGAATAAATCCAGGAGGAAGAAGAGGAATGAATGCAGGAGGTTGAGCAGGACAAAAAAGGGGGGGAGAAGCAGGAGAGGAAGAAGCAGAAGAGGAAACAGGGGAAGAAGCAGGAGACAAAGAAGAGGAAGAAGCAGGAGAGGAAGAAGAGGAAGAAGCAGGAGAGGAAACAGGGGAAGAAGCAGGAGACAAAGAAGAGGAAGAAGCGGGAGAGGAAGAAGAGGAAGAAGCAGGAGAGGAAACAGGGGAAGAGACAGGAAGAGCAGCAGCAGGAGGAGCAGCAGTTGGAGGAGGAGGAGAAGGAGCAGCAGGAGCAGCGAGCTGGAGGGCACCACCTGCGGGAGGAAAAGTTTTAAAGGGTCAAAATCTGTGCATCCATAAAAGAGAATGAGACATCATGAGGCCTACAGGACCATTCATGGTATTCTGCTGTTTGACTTTTCGTGACCCCTTATCAACAATAACTGCAGTTAAGGTGCTGATTTGTTACACTCATTCTCTTCCTTGTATACATATTTTGTGAAGGGAGTTTTTGAGTTTGTATGTTAATGCCAGTCAGCATGGTATGCGCCGTCACTTCCGGTAAAGGGATTGTCCGCATTTACTGAGTCTGCTCTCTGTCAGTGTAGTGGCAGAAATAATGGCTACCACACAATCAATTATTGGCTGTGTCTGAAATGAATCACTCAGTCCCTAACCCCTAACCCCCATATGGGGTTTCAGATATAGTTGACTATGTAGTGAACTTAATCACTGGAGGTTTTGGACACTACATGGCAAGATGCAATACATGACGGGATGCCCACCACCGGTGAGTGACCATCGGATGGTCACTACATTTTGCAATGCTTTATGGGAAAACTTGAGTCGCCTATATGAGGCACTGGAATTGATCACTTATCATCACTATACCCCCATATAGTCACCTATATAGGGGTTAGGGATCCATTTTGGACACAGCCATTACTATTTTGAGTATCCTTTAGAATTAGAAACTCCTTTTTGTCTTTTACTCAAAGACGCACAGGCCTGCATTACACTTCAGTTTCAACACTTCTGTCTATCTATTATTTAAACAGACTTCATATCATTTTAACAGCTTAACCATCACCACCAAGGTATAATTAATGAGCTTTGCCAATGTGGCAGTATGGGCCGACAGCCCAGCTGCACCTTAATTAGGCTGCAGTCTTGGCCTATGCCTTCAGAGGGCGTAGTCTTTAAATGTGGGTTCTTGCTCCCTGAGAGCCCTCTCCCTCTGCTCAGAGCAGCACTCGTCAGCGCTGCTCTCTACATTAATCACAACACCTGTGCTGAGGCTGAATTTCCAAGTAGTAGTCGAAGTAGTATGTAGCATGTCCGAATTGGCCACCAGAGCGAGTAGCATGCTACTTCAGATACTAGACACGCCCAAATTGTAGGATGGTCGCGATGCATCCTACGGGCATGCTACTGACCCAAAATGGTCATGTCATGGTGTCATATTTGCCCAAGTAATCATTTTATGAGCAAATATGTGGCGACATCATGGAGGTAAAGCTCACTTATTCCATCATTAAACTGCACAGCTGCAGTAATCAGGCAGATCTCATTGAACAAACGATCACCAAGTGAGTGGATGAAGGCTAAAAGTAATGGAAAAGCTACTTTGTGCTACAGCAGCATACATCACGAAATTCCTGGGGTGGCGTTGGTGGCAACAAAATCAATTCCGTAATTGGTAATCAGAAGATGATTAGTTAATTGGTAAATAAGGGTTACAGTATTTTACTATATCTTCTTCAAAATTCCATTCTCCGTTAACCCCGCCCCCTGCTGCCACACAAGGCACGCATGCGCATTCCACCTGATTCAGGTCGGCGCCTCACAGTTCCAATATCTCCAAGTTATGAACAAAAACAGTATTTTAAAATTTTTGAAAGAAGTGGTCTAAAGCGGTTTAACGTTAGAAAAAAGTGGCCCATAATGTTATTTCTACAGTTAATTTTGAAAGTTGAAGTCTCTACACCATACACACATGAGCAAATAAAAGATCTTTCGCCCTAACACACCTCAATTAATAAGTTTTACCAATTTCCCCAAGCAAAATTAGATATTTCTGACATTAAAATGTGGTTTTGGGTCAAGCTATCTTAAGAGTGGAATTCATAACTCCGTTCCCACAACTGGTTAATTTAACTTCAAGTAACTGTCGATTCTTACACTTTAATCCTACTTGATAGATAACAACTTTATCTTAAATCATTTAACATGTAAAATTGAGGGAAACGGAAGGATTTTAATGAGAAGTTTTAAAGCTGTCTTACCTGTCTCACTGGACAGGGTGCGCTCCTCCCGGCCTCCGTCGGCGGTCATCCTTCTTTTGTCGGCGGTCATCCTTCTTTTGTTTCGGACTTGCAAGTGTTTTTCTTTGGCGGTAAAATATCTTCTGCTCAGATAAAAGTTGTGCGCAAGCCGGCCAGAGGTTCAGTTTCTTTTGATTTGAAAGATCAAACATTCCGAATTCATAGGCAACCACGAGCGCGCGTCACCTCTCTGTTACCATGGCTGTCACTGACGCGCGAGCGTGAGCGATAGTATATACAGTAAAAATGTTTATCAAATTATTTTCATTGTTGATTTTTATCTCAGTTTTTCTATTCAATTTAAATCCAGCCTTGAACACGGAGATAGTTAATTTCAGTGAAAACATTTTTTATTCAACTGTTCGTTTCCAGACCACGGACCGGATATAAAGTGTTCTGACATACCTGAGCAAGATATACATTTAGTACAAGCTGGGGCGGATCTACCGGGGTGGCATGGAGTGGCAAATGCCACCCTAGTAGACGGGTTGCCACACCGGTTGGCAGCGACAAATTAAATGGCCAATTTGACATTTACAGGCGTGAATCTCCATTGTCCAACTGCGTTGAGTGCAGCACGAGATTGCATCAGAGCGTGGGTGGCGACGAAGCGGGTGTTGTGGTGGTGTGCCGGCGAGACGAGGGACTTTTTTAATTGATAAAAGCGAAGGAGCTGGCCAGGAGTCGCCAAAAAGAGGGAGACACGAGAGGAATGAGGTAAAAACTGATTAACTAAATGAATTTGTAATGAGAGCACAGTACAATTTCGCTAATTTTAAGCTAGGCTACATGTGCATCAGCAGCTAGATCCTGTGTAGGCTATGAAAGCTAATATTGATTCTATATCTGGCAGAGTAACATAAGTAAAATAGCTTCAAATCTTGCAGAAATGAAGAGGAAAGGCAGCATAAAAACGGATTAACTAAAGAGAAGGCAAGAACGTAATTTCGCTAGACACCTGGGCACCTTACTTTAGCACACATTAGCATATGCTATTAGCATTAGCATAATAACGATGGATAAACCGAAATCCGAACCTCCACTGCTGAGCCAATCAGAGCACAGCAGGCTTCACAGCAGCGATCCAATCAGAGCAAAGCTCATTACCATAAATGTTAATGAGCCAAAACCAGTTGGTTTTCCTGTAAGGTTTTTTAGGCATACTAAAACAAACCATCAAATAACTTTTCAGCTAAAATTATGTTGCAAACATGATCAGAGTACATCAAGGATTATGAAAAAATGATAAAAATGGGTATGAAATTTTGGTGGCAGGTCCCCTTTAAACTAGGCTACATGTGCATCAGCAGCTAGATCCTGTGTAGGCTATGAAAGCTAATATTGATTCTATATCTGGCAGAGTAACATAACATAACATGTAACCAAAGACAAAGAAAAAGGCAGGAGAAATAGAAAACGAGGTACGATATAAGAAGGATGAAGAGAGAGACCAGGTGGAAGGACAGAGGGAAGACGAAGAAAAGGTGGAAGAAGGGAGAGAAAGGCATGACAAATGTCACAGTAGTAGAACAGCAGGCCAAGGTGACCCGGGACATGAGGAGGTGGCGGGAGAAGAATATGTGGAGCAGGGAGAACATCTCAGAGATGAGGAGGCAGAAGAGAGACAAGACAATGTGCAGGACCCAGACAGTGACAGTGAGAGGGAGAGGAGAGAGCATGAGTTATCAACAACCATCTCCAGTCAAGCTGGTCCAGATGGTAAGGAAAGTAGACAGAGACACTGCTTGGACTTCTTTAAATAAATATAAAAATGTGTGTTTGCTTAAATATGAATAACTAGGGAAACTTAAAAGTGTGATGATGTGGGGACAGCGCTTTAGTAGTTTGTGAACAATGTATTTTAGATCCACTGCTGAGGTTAGCTTCCAGAATTAAACAAATGATAGTGTGTTACAGCCTGATGGTTATAACTAACCAATGACAGTTCCAATTTGATTATGATTTTATAAGTAGTTATATTGTGTCATTTTTTCAGATACATGCAGTTTCAATCTTTCCTCCCCTCCATCTTCTAGATGTATCCAAATCAAGATGTGAGCTACCAGTGCAGCCGACACAGAAGAATTTCCCCAAGACCTTCCAGGGAGGAGCCAGAAGAAGCGTCCGCAGTGTCTGGTACAAATGCCATCCCTGGCTAGAATATTCGTAGTCAATACTCAGCCTTTAGTCAAAACGCACAAAAGCATTAGATCTAGATAAATTTGTGAAGTGTTTTGCCGAACAGCATGGAACTCGCCGAATTCAGCAGTTATAGGCATCAAATTCACGTTGTGCTCACTGGTTTACCTTAAGAAAGCTTTTTGAATGATGACCTACACTGTATTTATATATTTGTTTTGGAAACTGGGAAAATGATAGTAGGCTACCTCGCATATGAGAAAGAAAGGTTTAAAATGTGACACTGGTCTAAATCCATGGAGCTGCAATGGGTTGTTGTTTTTATTTTCCCATGCCTCATTGTATTAATCTTACTGGTGTGAGAATCCTAATAAAAGAAAGATTGTATCGGACGAAGAATGTCTGTCATGTTTGTAAATGGCAGCCATGCCTTTTTGTAGTGATCAAACTCAGTATATGTCTGCCATATGTTGCCACCCCTCAAAAATTCCTGCCCCCCTCTTGCCACCCCATGAATATTTTTCTAGATCCGGCCCTGAGTAAAAGTTATCGTAAGTCAGACTCTCATACTGAGACATTTTCTGTCCTCATCCATTTTCTCCCTCTGAATTTAGTTTTAGTCTGTAGCTATTTAAATTTATAATAATTGTCCTGAGATTAATATTTGATATTAACCTTGAATTATAACGTTAATGCACTCATTAAAAGGGACACTACCCACCTTTAATAGAGGAAAAATAAAGAGTAAATGCAGTAAATGATAGAGAGTGAATATGCTCTAACATATTAACCTACATTAACTGTGCAGTAGAAAATTGGGGTGAGTTTAGAATTACTCCTCTTAGACAGCAGCCTTGTTTGGAGCTCTGGAGGTTTGCATATTTAAGTGAGTCTGGTCCTTAGAAGAGGATGGAGCAGAAGGTCCATCCTTTTCCCAGGAGGTCCAGGCTATCTGTGGTTTGGGAGGTTCAACTCAGCAGAGGACCTAAGTCAATCTTTCATATATGGAGGTAAACAGAAATCAAAAATTACTTTGAACATTTGATGAATCCTGTCTTTACGAAGGTCAAGATTTTGTTGAAAATGCTTCAGAAATTTGTGATGAAACTGATTTATGCTTGTTTTAAAGCTTTTCTGCATTAAACCCTGTGTACTTTTTTATCAGTTTGTGTGGACCTTATTTTATCAACATCTGAGAACAAACACAAGCTTCAAATATTTACGGTTGTTCTCGGGATTGTTGTAGTAATACTCGATTATTTGGCAAGGAGAACTAAATGAACTGGGTGGGAACTACTATTAGACCATCTTGTTCTTCTTAACCTCATCAGTAAATTGAATATCACAGTCTGCCCTCACCAGTAACAGTAAAGTAGCAACTTCATTAGGGTAGAGTGGTGTAAGATGAGCTAGTTTTCATATTTCTGATCACTACATCTAGGCAATCATATTTATGTCTCTAACTAGTGAATCTGCATATATTTCAAGATGTTGTGCATCCCTGCAAACCAACAGAATGAGTGTAAACATAACTGTCTTGATAATATAGCATGCCAAAAAAAGTGGTCTCCTATGGTCAACTTACCCCGTGTATGGGGTAAGGGTAAGTTGAGCCGTATCCCTACTACCTCCCCACTCTCCACCCCTGCCCTCCCTCATCTTCTCTCTCCCTAAATAACAGTCACTTCTTCACATTGATGTGTATTTTTATCTATTATACTCTATTCAACCGGTACAATAATTCTTTTTATTATTATTGCATTTAACTGCTGAAAAGCTGTTTTGTAAAAAGCCATTTTAACATAAGAATGTCTTTGAGTGATTCAGAACATTCACAGCTGTATTTCTGAAAAAGAAAAAGTAACACATTTAAAAAATCTGAACTCAAATTCTTATCCTTTTAGCAGACTCCTCTACTTTCTCAGTTGATCCACTGGCTCAACTTACCCCAGAACTACTATTATGACTTTATTAGTCCTCTAAGCTAAAATGGTGGACTTTTGTGTTAGGTTTTTGACCTCATGTTGTAGCTCATATATACCGAAATTGAAGTATAAAACAAATTTAAAATGATCTTTTGGGGTCTGAACACAATTCTAATAAAACTTATGACAGACTAAATTCACTTTCAAGAGTGAAAAATGTTTTTTGGGAAATAAATGTCTAACCCCTTCACCCATGTGCTTCTAACCCTCACAGACTACATGAATCGATGCCCATCGCCTTAATATTTGGTCACATGATCAATTTCTTTTACCATTTCCAAGCAACACAGGGTTAATTTACCCTTTGGCTCATCTTACTCCACTCTCCCCTGGTGGGTTTCCTAATCACTAAAACTAGAAGAGGTGAGAAAAATATTCAGATCAATAACAACTGATAGTGCAAATATTATTCACTGACACAAATTTAAAGCTATTGTGTTAGAAGAAAAGAAGCAATTGATCCACTTTGACCCTTCTATAAGAATAAAAGGTTGATATTCAGTCAATGCGTCACACTAACAGCGCCCCCTGCAGCTCGCTTCCATATTGACACAGGAAGCAGTCTGACGTAACCAAAATCCCAAAGATGGCGGCGTTAACTGGTAAGTGATGTTATGACTAAAATGATATGCTTAATTTCGAGCACAAAGCGTTTCCTGACCCATGTGTTTGTGTGGCATTCAGCTACAATTGCTGTAAAGGAGCTGTACCCAGTGAGATACCGGTGAAGTTCCGTTAATAAGCGACGTTTTTAGTGAATTCGCGCACTGACCTTGCTCTGCCTGGGCTAGCACGGAGGCTAACAGGTTAGCTAACCGTGTCGCTGAGGTGAGCTGGGACTCAGATGGAGTTCAGAAAACAATGCCAAGAGAAAAAATGACAATAAATCGCAATGGGGTTGTCGTCACATGAAACAATGCCCGTTAAAGAAAAAAAATGACACATTCAAAGCAGTCTAAACAGCGTTTATTGGAGTTAAATGCAGCGATTAATGTTTCATCACACAGGCGATGTTTTTGTTTTTTGCTCGGCTTTGTCACATTATTGGACTTTTTAGAAACATTAATGGATGATCGTGAAGTCAAGAAATATGAGCAATCTCCTGTCACTCTATATCAAACAGATACACCTTATTGTATGATATATTATCTTAAATATACAATGTTTTAATTCTGCAGCGCCTCGCCTGGCCCTGTTTGGCTGCTTCTCAACGAGGTAAGAAACTTTGCTCATCCGTTTTATGAAATAAATGTAATTGAATTCAGCTCAGTAATGTTTGGAGTGTAATTGTGGAGATGCTGCTAAATATGAGAATGAAAACGTTTCACTTTTACTCACTATGGCTGCATATGTGACACTGAAAAGTATATAAAGTGTTTAAAACACCCACTTATAATCCATTATTCTTTCACAGTATTATTTCTGTGTCTCTAAATGCAGGGACAACTTAAATGGGGAAAAAAGAAGTCTATATATTGCTGAAACAATGCTTACTCAAACAGGAGTGTATGACAGGCTGTGCAGTCTCACTTTTTGGCAACCAGATCCCTCAGCCTGTGCGCTGTTTGGAGAGAACACTCAAGTTAATCCATTCAGGCTTTGCTAAATTTAGGAGGTCTAAAACAAATTAAAGTCCAAAGTCTCCCACATAGAAATTTACCAAATTGTCAGTCACACACTATAGAAAAATAATAACAGTTCTCCTCAGTATAGTTCCATATTGACCTCGAGTGAACTGTTGGTTATTGTATTTGCCGGTTTGCATATTTTATACCGCTTTTTTTTTATCATTCCGTTCATGGAGTGTGTAAATATGTGTGTGCTTCTTGCAGCAGTTCTTTGTTTTTACTTATTTTCTCCGTCGTCCTTCTGTCAATCTAACAGGCCCATTTCAGCGTTTGCTGTGCATAAGAGGAACCTGCACAACAATGCAAAAAGTGAGAACACCACAACAAGGTGAGTTTACCAACATTACTCTAGTGTATTATATCAGAACATACCTTCCATGGACTCGGTGCACGTGATGAATTTCGTCTTCATTTCTTTGTTATAGTGTGGTTCCTGTCAGAGAGAAGAGCACAGCTGTAGCAGCAGCCAAACCAGCAGCTGTGGCGAGCAGCAAGGGGGAGTATGTTATCACCAAGCTGGACGATTTAGTGAACTGGGCGCGCAGGGTGAGTAGATGACAGGATTTGTATCTGTTACACTTATACATTTAAATTACACAACATCCTCACAACTTTCTACCCCTGATCGCCTGTATGTCTGCGCTTGTGACATATCTGAGCCTAATTGTGTTCACTTGCGGGGGGAGAAGAAGTATTTCTTATAAACATTGCTTGTTTTTTAGGCTTATTTTTCACATTAGCAAACAAGGCAGTACTAACAAAGGCAGCCACTGAGTCATACTGAGTTAAACTGCACTGCATTGAATGGGATGTGTCAGCAGCAACAGAGGTCTGAGAGTCACATTTGTTTTGTTTTAATGGCATAACAAGTCATTTAGCAGGTTGTGATAGCATGAGTGTTGTTTGCTCAGATTCTGTGGCTGAAAATGGAGAAAAAATCTTAACTTTAAAACTAATATCAAGAGTGTTAAAAACTTAGGAAACATTTAAAAAGTGTTCCTTGAACAAACCCCCTGAGTGTTTTGTTTTATTCACTTGTGCACCCTTGTCTGTTCCCCCTCAGAGCTCTCTGTGGCCCATGACCTTTGGCTTGGCATGCTGTGCTGTTGAAATGATGCACATGGCCGCCCCTCGTTATGACATGGACCGATTCGGAGTTGTGTTCAGAGCAAGTCCCCGACAGGCTGATGTCATGATTGTGGCAGGAACTCTGACCAATAAGATGGCTCCAGCCCTACGCAAGGTAAGAGAGGGGCAGAAGGAGGGATGTACCTGCAGTTACCTACAACTTTTGACTTTAAACATGAAGGCAAATCTGTCAAGACTGAGCTGAGAAGAATGAGAGAAAACTCTTATTGAATCAGCAGCAATTGTTCTCCCTCAAACATTTCTGTGTGCAGGATGTAAGAGCTGAGAACAGTATAGCTGTTCAAACGCAGGGTGGATTAAGAGCAGCCTGGCGGTGGATTGGAAGACTGGCACAAAGTCTTCCTCCAGCTTTAAGGACAGATTAGTTTTTAGTCAGCTGTTATATAAGAATGACTGAACTGCATCTTCTCTCCAACAGGTGTACGACCAGATGCCTGAGCCCAGATACGTCATTTCTATGGGAAGGTGAGTCAACCACTGAGGATATAATTGGGTTACTAGCACTGTTGTCTGTCCTGTATCAGTTTATTCTTCACAGCTGATGTGAGTCTGACTTCTGCTGTGTTTCAAAATATTTTGCTCTTATGTTTTGAATTTGTATTATTTTTCATTTCTCCTCTCTGGCTCTGTCGCTGGAAGTCATGTCTTAATTGCCACAAGTATTGAATCATATTTCACACATCAAATACCTTATTTGAATTTTTAAACCAGAAGAATTTGAACCGTTTCCTCTTTTACTTTGATAATAATTTGTTCTAAACTGTTTTTTTTTTCAATGTTAATGTGTTTTCTGCTGTGTGGGTGCAGTATTATTTTCTGAACATTGTAGTCAGTGCCTGAATATAAAAATAAAGGTGTCCTCGTGTTTTTCTCCTTACAGTTGTGCTAATGGAGGAGGTTACTACCACTACTCCTACGCTGTTGTCAGAGGCTGTGACCGAATCGTACCAGTGGACATTTATGTTCCAGGTAAACTTTTAGAATAATGATGAAAAGATGCAAATTTCTTACCGCTGGTATTCAAAAAGACTGTGCTATAGGAATAAGGGCTTTTTCCTCTGCGCTCACACTGACAAAGGGAAACTAATGGAATGTCAGTTTATTAGTATAATAAAATAATAACTATAGTGGACAGTATTGTCAGATTTTAAAGACCCACTCCAATGAAAATCATGTTTTTCTTGTTTTTTATATGTTCATATGGCATTTTTCTAATGCTACAGGACATATCATGAGAAAAATGAGTGCGAAATTGCCTTTTTGAGTATTTCTGCATTAAAAAACCCAAACGGCAGGTTCAGAAACAGTGAGATTTCATATGTCACAAATCCAAGCTCCGCCCCGGGAGCCCCACCATGCAGGTCACACTCCAAGAAATAGGACGATCATAGAACAAGTGTGTGCAGTAGCTGTTGTCATGCCCCGAAAGACATTAGTGTCCAAGAGCTGAATAGCTCCTTCTGCTGCACAAGCAATGTTAGGCTGCAAGCTAGCGTGAAGACGAGTGTGCAGAGCAGCGCTGTCTCTGCCCACAACACAGAGGCGAATTGCTAATGAGCTACTGGAGCTCTGCAGAGAAAAAGCTCTTGAAAATGACACGAGTAACGCGACTTTGGATAAAAATTTTATTATCACAATTTAAAGACCCCTGAGAACACTTTAAGTAGTAAAAAAAGGATCGGAGTGGGACTTTAAAGGCTAATATGACTAGCTTTTACACAGGCTAATAAAGATAGTGCTTGCAAGTGTTGCATTAGCTAATATATGTGTGCAACTAATGTAGCATCTATTTCGTCATCACTAAAGGCTCTTCTTGTAGTTGAAGTAGAGTACTGAATATTTTTCTTAATTAAAAATTTATTTTAAGATAAGCTGTAATTCCCAGTTCCTGCTGTGCAAAGACAACAAAGACGGGGAAGGTTCATCAGATGTTTACACTGTTTATTATACAGCGCAGTGATTGTTTAACACTGTCATGTAGATCTCTGTACTCTTATAACTGTGGACCGAAATCAGTTCTTCCTGTCATTTCCCTCCCTACCCTCAGGATGCCCCCCCACTGCAGAGGCTCTCCTGTACGGGACTTTACAGCTGCAGAGAAAAATCAAGCGTGAAAAGAAGTTGAGGATCTGGTATAGGAAGTGAATGTGTTATATATATATAAGTGTGTGTGTATCTGATAATGTAAATCTTGTATTTCGGGTTCAATTTGGAGTGTTGCTCCTCTTCAGTTTAGAGCTTCAGGAACTAACCTAAACAAATTTACCGTTGTATTTTACGCACAGTGCAATGCTGCTTACTTTCAACCACACTGAGGTGTCACTTATCCTTTCCTGCCTCTATAGTTCAGCGAAAAAGTTTCGAGACTTTCTGTAACAGGACAAAACAATAAAAAATCCAGTAGCCATGCGCAGATTTTCACCCTAGTCAAACTTTATACTGTGTGCAGGTCAGAGAAGAGTGTTATCCCATATGATGGTAAAATGTAATTTTGAATAAACTGGGCTCATGAAAATACAGAGTTTTAATGGCTTTCTCTTCTTGAAATACTAAACCAACTATTACCCACCAGGGGGCTCCAGTGATCACAAACTTTGACCTTCACCGCTCTGCGTCTTACTCAGCAGTGGTTTCAAATGAAATGAATTTCTATTGTGTGTCATCTGTTATTTAATCTAGAAGTCACGGTGTGCTTAAACACTATAGTGAAAGGTAAATGTGTGTTAACACAGCTGCATGAGAACCCTGAATTAAACTAGCTTCAGTGTTGTGCATATTCAGTTCGAACTGAAAACCAGCCACTATAATTATGTATGCAGAGCAAGCAGAGTGGCTGTTATGCATTTCCAGTGTGAATAAACAGACTCATCACTTAACTTCTCTCTGCTGATTTAAGGGTTTCTCTTGAATGCAGCTCATGCAATCTTGTATATTAGTTCAGCGCTGAATCACAGTGAGGGTGACGACTGTGCAGCACCATAATGTTTCAACCATGACACAGTGCTGCAAAAATATACCGTGTTCTTGTTGAAGGTTAACTGACGTGTTACGCTTTAAACCTACATGCATGATGGACACACACAAGCTGGGTTTGATTCAGTCATTCACAAATGCGTCCAGTGAGCAGCAGGAGGCCTTTGTGACAGAATCATTTCAGTCAAGGTGAAGGAAAAACTGGGAAGAATATCTTAGTTGAGTTGAAACTGTGCTTGAGTTGCATATTCAAGAATTTTTAAGCTTTTACACTGTTCAGTGAGAAATTGACAAAAGTATTTTAATCTCAAACATGCTGCATATGGCTTTTCTTTAATAACTCATTTGTGCCTTTGCCAAAGAAGTTAAAAAGAAAAACAGCAACACTGTCTGAGGGGTTGTAGATTATAATAATAATCCAAAAGTAGACAAAATAAATGCATAATTTGACCCAACTTGACCAATTCTTCTACAGTTTTTATGTCCCATTTTTTGTTAAAATCCTGAAAATCAAACCGTTTAGCTGCTGCGAAGACAAGATACTTCATCTGCCTTTTAATGACAGAAACATGTCAAAAATTTGTCGTTAGGTCAGTAGAAATAGGAGAAAGGAGTGTCAGCCTTCATTTAATGATGCCATTGGCTTCTTATTGTGAATGAAATGGTTATTTTTTTTTGTATTAACAAATCTTCAGGAAAAAACTGAATCCATGAAACCGACAGTATAAAACCTCAGCTTACTACTGAAAACAAAAAATAGAGAATTATCACATATGAAGAACTAAAAACAGACTGAACTTCAACTTGAAAAACGAACACCAGCAGCCATGATGCACTGGCTATTTTTTCCTATCTTGTATCTTCTGGTCCTCTGAGCTGTTTTTCACCTCTCTGTATTTCTCTGCATGATAGTCTTGACTTTATATACCGTATGAGTCATGTGCTCCTGATTCAAGCCTCAGCCTCACCAGCTGCTGTAGTTCCCCACCTGACTGCAGCTGCTGTTGCATCATCCATCCTTCTAATGATTAATGTCTCTTGGCCAGGTGGTGACTTATTCCTGTGTGTTAAGATAACATGCACCGTTATCTACCACCATAAATTCATCATACTTAATACTGCACTCTTTATTCAGCTCTGGCTTGCTTTGTGTGGTAATGAAAATTTTTACGACGATCATGTAATTAGGATTTTGTGTATATCTCGCTTTTATTTTACTATTAAACTCAATAATTAAGATTTTCCCCAGTTCACCTTCTTGGGTCCATCAGATCTTTGTCAATTTTAAAAAACGTATGCACACTTATTTATAAGACTGCACACTACATTTCAAAAAACCTTCCTAATATACATGACGCTGAGCTAATAGGCATTGATTTGACAATTCCCACATGCGTGTCTGTGCAGCGCTAAACAGTCATGTCTGAGTCTTGAACTACACTGAGCAGTTTCTAACAAAGAACACATGCAGAGATGCAGCGATTTCTGCGTCTGCTTCTTCGTCCAAAACTGGGACACGTGGTAAGAGAGAGTGATTTAAGACCTCAAAACAAATGAGGCTCAGTGGGGAGGAATTGCACCCTGTTGGTAGTGGGATGTTCTAGTCTGCTGTTTTCTCACGTATTTGCTCCTGTGAAGAAAACATTTCTAAAAAATACTGATACAGCACAACCTTTTAAGAGGAGCTGCTACACAACCAAATTGTCAAGGAAGATAAATTCTATGTTAATAATAGCACCATTGTTCAAACTAAGATTGACATACGAATAAAAACATAGAAGTATCATAAACTCGGATTGGATGGTCATTTATTGAGGTATGACAGACAGTGGGATACAGAATGAGGAGGTTAGATGGTTAAGGCACATTGGGTAAAAAAATAAAGGCTGCAGCTGTGCACTTTACTCTTTGACAATAGTGGGAGTGATCATCTTGTTGAAGGAATAGTATTTGCATTCACTGGGTGGTGCAATGTCCATGGTGGTGGTGCTAATCTTCTCCTTCTTAAAGCCGGCTTGGATCAGATGAGGCACCTGGGTCTCCTGAAAAATCATTAACAGACATCGCAGGTCGGTTGGTGTGAGGTGGCTTTAGGCTGATCACGTTTATCAGTAACCTTGAAGTCTTTGCCCACAAAAGTAAAATGAACTCATTCGACCTGAGAATCGTAGAGCTGAGCTTCATGGATATATGCCAGAAACTCAAGTCTGTACAGTCCTGTAGATTATTTAACTCCAAGAGATAAAAAAAAACTGAAGGGCACACTGGCTAAGAAGAGAAAGTAACAAGTAATTTTAACCAAAGTTTCTGACAGAAGTCATGACTCTAAGTATTCAGTAATTTGCGTACGTGCTTTATTTAAACAAAACATGATCGCGAGTTACTGCACTTACTGAAAACGCCATCTACTCTAGAACTTTTGACAAACTGGTGCAAACGCCTAAAATTAATGCAAATGTCTAAAAAAACAGATTATATTCTTTAAAAATTAATCATTCTGTTATATAAAACATCTTAAGAGACAATAGCTGGCTAAAGAAGGTTCAGTAATTGGAGGGCAATATGTAATGGTGACCAGTCATAGTGGAAGAGGTGACGTTATTACTTTAAAAAGTCAAGATGCGTAAAAAAAATATCTCTGTTTGGTCCCTAAATGCAGAGCAAAGAAAGGAAATGTTGGGACTATCAAAATAAAATGATGCAAAAGCAAACTTCCAATGTTTGATCTCTCTGCAGAGCCTTCATTACTGTGATTAAGCCGAAGCTTTTACCGCATAATTTCTAGATACATTGAATCCTAACTGATAAGTATGAAGACAATAGTGTCTTACAGACAGCTTAGAGTGGTGAGATTCCTGTCGCACTGCTAAACCCAGAAATAAAGCAGAAGTAAAACTGCTAGAGTTTGGACGATTAAATGGGTATTCAGAAAAAAAAGTGTCTAACCTCAAACATCTTCTCAATGTTGTCATATTTCGTCTTGAGTAGCTCGCCCCAGGAGGTCAGGTTGCAGTAGGTGAGGACGCCGCCTGCCTTAAGCAGCTTGTGAGCGTGACCCTGCAGAGAAACACACACACACACACACACACAAAACAAAATCAATAAGTTGTTGGGATATGGCTCAAAGCAGACAGACTGGCTACAATATAGACGCTAAATAAAGTATAATATGACTGCTGCCATTATCTTGACACTTCACTGAGTAAAACGCTTCACTGGTTCATGTTTAATACAAATATTCGGCTTCCTTGGTCCACTTTTCATGCACATAATTTCAAGTATTTAATAATCCTCCTGCAGAATTTTAATCCCCTCAGGACCCTCTCTCAGCAGGAGTGAATCAAACTTAGTGCAGTGTTGAGAGTTGACCCACCTTAATGAAGTCAAACTGGTGAGTGTGCCATGTTTCCTCTGACAGGGGGTATGTGTCGTACAGGATGCCTGGTTGAGGACACAGTTGTCAATATTTAAGCACCATACAAAGTGATTATTTTTATGCAATGTTTTTATCAGTTCCTATCATCTTTCAGACCATCTACTGTAATAGAACAATATCTCGCTGTCAGTCATATGTGAAAAAGGATTCTCATTTTGAGTTTCAGCAATAAATAACTTAAGTCCAGTACTGTACTGGAAAATCTACTCACTGGATTTTGATAAAACATTAACAGAAGAGGCCATTTTCAGGTGTTTCAAAATGCATTACATAAACAGGTTTGTTTGATTTATCCAGGCTGCCTGCTCCCATTCGCTTCAAAACAGGCAGAATAAAGTTCTCTTCAGTCTGGTTTGATTTCTTACCATCAAAGTGGTTGGCTGGCAGCGTTGGGACAACCTCCTCCCAAAGGCCCTTCAGAGGGACGACCTACAGCAGCACAGAGAACAGTTTTACCAACAGTAATGAAAAATACAAACCAATACAGGTGGATTGGTCTGACTGACTGACCTTATGGGGCTGAGATTTGGCCCAGTTCTCCAGTCTAGCAAAGACTCCATCGTTACACTCGATGATCCAGTGCTCCTCGATGGGGAAAGACTCAATTTTAGTGGCGGCGATGGCCATGCCAAAACCGATCTCTAGAACTCGACCACCTGTAAGACAAAACGCAAAACAACAGCATTATAAGAAAATGTATCTCGACTGAGGTTCTCCAATTGGCGCCTAGTTTACTCGCTCTTTTGTAGTTCAATAACAAAAGAAAGACTAAGGGAAAAAAAGCCATCAACTAAAAACCAAACATTTTTGTTTTTAACATTTTGAAATCTTGCTCTCAGATGCACATTGACTTGGACTAATGCATATGCAAATGAACAGTTAATCATTATTGCTTTTATAGAGTTGCGTGACCATAGTCCTCTCTGAACTTTGCTGCTTGAGGTTTAACTTTTCTCCCTCTGTTGGCTGTGGATTGAAAGCTTGTTGGTTGTAACGTGGTTGGACAAACAGGCCAAATGGTTTTAATCCCCTTCAAAAAGTTATAAATAGTTGTGTTAAGGTTATTTGTTGTTAGATGACCTCTTCATAATTAATCATTTAGGGTTGGATTATGGTTGGAAAATGACTGCAAAGTGCATGCTGCTGGAACCAGTTCAAATAAGGCAAAAGAGGCCTGCAGAAATAGTCGTGCAAAATGCATTTCATGTTCAATCAAAGTGCAAGAGAAACATGCATTAGTACGGAGTTTTATGGATGGTGTCAGTGCACATGCTTGTCTCTTCCCACATGTCTGTGAGGGTGTGTGTGTGTGGATCGGTCTATTTTCACACAAAGCTAAGAGCAGATGAGCTGTTTCCCCCTGCAGTCTTCTTGGTCAGTTCCCATGAGTAGACTAACAGCTGCCATAGCATTCACAGAGCACTAAGCACCATGCTGCTCACACACTTACACGTGTTCTCTCAGCCTGTGCACTAAACTAATGAAGTAAAACACTAAGAAATGTGTAAACATAACTCCACCAACATTAAATATTGCTAATTCTAAGTCTGATTTGACAAAATCTCTTAGAAAACTCAAGACAAGGGATTTTTTTTCCAGTTCTCTTTGTTATTTACTGACAAATTTAATAACTTGGTCAAAATTTTACAGTGAAATGCTTCTGTTATGACACCAGCCTTTTTAAGATAAGTCACTTTATTTGAGAGCCATAATTTCATTGGTTAACATGCCAGGTGGGTGTTGTATCCTGACTCACTAGTCCCTAAAATACTATCAAAAAATAAAAATACATTTTTTTCTGTGTTTAAGTTTTGAAGAAATTTGGAAAGAGACAGTAAAGTTTTTAAGGCAATCTGTCCATCAGTTATTACTTTAAGCCCCATTAACTTTGTTTGTCTACACGCAGGAAACCCTAATTTCCACCTGAGTCCATTATCGGACACCATCAAGTATTGACTGAATCAAATCGCCACTTTTACCTTTTGAGGCTGCCACAGTTGACAGGGAATGCATGTACGGGGTCTCCCAGCGCTCCATCACGGGTTTGCCCATGATCTCCAGGTGAGTGTCAGTCTCATTGTAGCCGGCGCTAGCATCATGCCAGGAGGGCTTGCAGTCCTCTCCCTTTGAGAAAATGGGCTGAGCACTGGAGGTCATTTTGCTTTGATGTGGTGGTTGTTGTTGTTAGGTTCTGTTGAACGGTTTGGCAGACTCTGTCTCCACTCAGAAGAGGGTGAAAGGCAGGAGGCGGCGGTTTATATCGGGCTCAGAAGTGCTGACACCGCGGGAGTTTCACTACGGGTCAAAAGCACACACACATTCCCAGAGTATATGAACGGAGGCAGCGACGCCCAAGATCCTCTTTAAAGAGGATGACTCACTCCGAACTGAAAAGACAGAGCCGGCCCTAAGCAAATTTTGATTATGGGGCCCCTTTATTTCTGCTGCAGATAATATTTTTTGTTGATCATTCACACACCCTCACAAATCCGTTTGATTAATATTCCATTGCATTAATATTCTATTGAAATTTGACCTTTGACCCGCCCCCGTTTCACCTGTAATTGGCTAACACGTTGCCTTCGATCGATTGGATTGGTTGGATTGATTGACATGTCAAGATAGATGGGATTAACTGAACATAACTACTGTGACAGAAAAAACAAACCCCAAATCAAATTTACAGAGAATTTAGCTTTTAGTCCAGGGTGGGCACAGCTGACTCGGTGGGCAGGCACGGCCCCCCAATGCCCACCCATGCCACCGGGCCTGTGCTCAGTGCACATTGCACAGCAGGGGGCACATAATGGTAGCAGAGCTTTGACATACTGGTAGTAAGAATCATAGGCCGACATCAGCAGCAGCACTAAAATGGTTTTTACTTTATTTTAGTTTTACAATAAAATTAATTTGATCATATAGAAAGTGTCACTTGTACATGCAAAAAATAAACATTTCTGAAAAACTTGATCTTTGACTTAGGCTATTATTTTAAGACGGTGGCGATATCTGAGATATACATGACCATTTACCTGCTGATATTTCTCCCAAAAAGAAAACAAATAACATTGTAATTTTTGAGCAACCCATGCTAGAGACCATTTGAAAATCTGTTGGTTGTGATTCTTAAATGCTTCTTCTTGTTTCTTGTTTCAAGTACACTTGATTATTCCTGCAGTGCACATAACAAGCAGCAGAGTGAGAGCTCTTGAGGTTTTTTGCGCTCTCTGAGCTTTGGCATGGACAGCTGGAGTCATCCAGTGCAATGGATCTTATTCACACATACTGCTGTTGCATAACCACATATGAGCAGCTACATGAACTCGACATTTGCCGTTTTTAAAGGGTCTCTGTGAGACTTTTTTTAATCTAACCACACACATCTGTAAAACTGTGCTGACATTTTTTGACTGTTTTCTCTAGTTTGTGAATGCACCTGTTCAAAGTCAGCTGCTGTTTTGACCGCTCTCTGCCTTTGAGTAAAACTGTACACCCCCTACTTATAAATACAACTGTTGCAGGTGCTTTTTTATGTTAAGTATTTTTGTACCTTTTTGCATGCATTTTGTAGTCTTAATTATGTACTTAATATTAGCATTGAAGACCCACTCTGATGAAAATCATGTTTTTCTTGTTGTCCACATGTTCTTATGGCATTTTTCTGATGCTACAGGACATATCATGAGAAAAAAAAATGCGAAATTGCATTTCTGAGTATTTCAGCTCTTAACATAGCATGTGATTTAGGTTGAGCAGGAATACAGCTACACTGGTATTCTCTATGGGAATTATTTTAGATAAAAGATCACATGATGTAAAAGTTTATTTTAAGGAGCAGATTATTTGGTAAAGAAATTTAAAAACGTGTAACTATCAAAATTCCAAACAAACCACCATTTTACACTATTTCAATGTCACTTAGCCTCTTTCTGAATGTTGCATGAATTGCGGCACCATGAGACAGAATGACGGTCAAAAATACATCATCTGATCATCTTCACAGCCCCTCTGCCCTGGTTACCCATCATCCTCTTCAGTCCCATTAGGTGAAGCTGAGTGGAAGCAGCTTCTCGGTGAGGGTCCTCATCAAACTGCAGATTTTCATCCACCTACCACTCACGCACGAGGCTCTTCATCCTCACTGCCTTTGAATAATGCTCATTTCCATAGAGCCTCACATTCCTGCAGTAAGCATGACATGAAAACAATCAACCATTAGTCTTTTTGTGCACTTGTCAAATGTTGTCATGCCATACACCTCCAAAAAAGCCCATCAGAGATCTTTTGATGAGCTTTAGCTCAGTCAGGGGGTTGAATTTTTGGACTATTTAAGCAGACAGAGTGAAACTGGGATCATCTGCAGTGATTTCAATTACAGAACTTCAGAGGACAATAGTTTTATCAATGCAAAATCAGACATACAAAATATGACGCTCTTACTAACCCAGAGCATGGGTGGTCGCTTTCATTCTCAAAGAGCACGGTGGCTCACTTACAAAGTAAGCATTTTTAACGCACACATTTGTATTTTTTTAGGTGTCATTCAAAAAGTACGGCTAAAATATAAATAGCATGACTGTATTTTTTAGTCATAATAGTTAAAAACGATGAAGTACAATGATTAAAGCTGAAACAGTGTTGATTTATCAAGGTTATTTGTTGGGCTGAAAAAAGTCAGGAAATGTGGGGAATAGAGAGACGGGAATCACGTGCAGCAAAGGTGCAATAGGGACATGGCCAGGAGTTGCAACAGCAGCAGCTGCTTCAACAAAACTGTAGCGTCGGTACATGGGAGGTGGGCTTAGCCTGAAAGGACAATAAGGATCCTTCAGCTCTGATATTTTGATGATGAAGTAGAGGTAAATATTTAGGTAAGGACTTTCTTTCTTCTTGATAATGTCAACAAAACAAGTATGATTGAACTATACCAGAAAATATCTCCTCTGGAAATAACATTTTATCTGCCTTTCCTGTTTTCACCCATCTAGGTTGACTGATTTTGTGTCTGTTTGAGTGTCCTCTAAAATGTAACATTACTGTGTTTCTTCTCCAGAGGTGAACAACAACATCCTCTTTGTTACTCTCACATTTATCTCAGTGTTACAATCATTACCCGTTTCAACACACACACTCTTGCTCTGTTCCCCCCACTCACACACATCACGCTGCTATCTTTAGCATTCCTCTATCGGCCTGCTCAAACTGAAGGTAATGTCCGGCGATCGGGGTCAAAGGGTAGAAGAAGTCTTCCACAGGTCAACTAGATAATCCCTCGTTTTATTATCAGTTGGATCAGAGTCCTTTGTGTGTGTTTCAGATTTCACAAAGGTTAAGTCTCAGCAACATCTGAATTACATAAATGGTATAACTCAGGTTAAATTATTTGTAATGACACCCTTCAAGAAAGCTGCATCAGGTCAGTTGCTTTAGACAGCTGTGGAGGTTTAAGTAAACCTTTTAAAATTAAGGAACAAGTCTGCGTCAAAATTTCATCATCTTTTTACCCATCTATAACAAAAATAGTCATCACAACTTATTCTGTCCTCATAGTTTTTTTGTATTGAGTAAACATCATTAGGCTTATGAGATATTTTTTTCTGAGTGTTAATGGAATTAAGCATGGAGTTCAGCCCCCTGGTGGTAGTTTGGGTGAAGGGTTTGATGGTTCTCACCCTGATGGCTCACACTTCACAACACAGATGATTTATATCTAATGTGTCAGAATGAGGTTTGTCTTTTTACATTAACTAACCTACACTTATTACAATAGATACTTTCTTTTGCATTGTTTTCTTTAAAGAGATATTTCATACAAAAGTGACAGAAAAAGTTGATGTGAAAATTCCTTTTCTCTTCCTTTTCAATTATAAGGTAAACATGTTATCTTTTGCTTATGAGATTTTATGGACAAAAAGCCTATTAATTTCTATAGATATCATTTATGGCAAAATACAAGCTGTTTTGGATGTTTGTGGGAATTTTTGATATGTTGTAATTATGCCAATGTTGTTCTTGTTTGTGGTATGACTGGACAACTGACAGCTCATAAATCACCATAACTCCTTCTTTCAGCTGCAATAATATACTGATTATTTAATAGACTCCCTTTCTTTAAAAGTAACTTTTTGGAGTGCATTTTGGTCTCTGTTAGGTCAGCCGAGGAGAGACAGGAAACACAAGGAGAAGAGAGTCGGGGAGAGACATACAGCAAAGGGTCGCAGCTGGGATTCAAACTAGGGAGGCCATCACAAGGATCGTAGCCTCAGCACAAGAGGGGTGAGCTCAAACCGCAAGGGCAACAAGCACCCTGCAGTCTTGATGTTTTGATGATGAACTGGAGGCTAATAGTCATGTAAGGGTTTTTTTTCCCCACTTTGATAATGTTGAGGGAAAAAAATTATGGGCCGGCTTAATCCACTAGGCCATCAGCGCCCCAATCAGTGACATTTAAATCAGTTATTTTCAGCATCATGAGCGTTATGCTTATGAATTTTAGTGTACAGGACAATCAAAGCAATTTGTAATTTATAAATAACTTCAAGCAAGCAGTTACTGTATATGGTGATTGTGTGGCATTATTATTTGTTAGTTCACAGTGAGGCACTCATAATTACTTACATATAGCATTCAGTTACCACAAGTGTAACAATGCTCCTTCACAGTAGAGAAGTAGAGATGAAAACTTCAGGCTTCTTCTAATATCCTTTATGAGACATGAAATATTGTATGTGCTGCTCTAGTGAGGAAAAGATGCAGGCATACACAAAGCTTTAAAAAAGTGTTTTATGCATTACCTGAAAAAAGCCATGATGGAATTAAAAACAGAAACTCAGGCTGCGTCACCGGAAACAACTAAAAAGAAAATGCGAAACACAGCTGTAGGTAAACAGAGGTATTAAACTGTTTGGTGTGTGTAGTTTATAGGGCACATATTTAACTGCACTGCTGAGCTGCTGTACAGTCCTCAACAGGAAGAGGGTGGTGTTTTTTTTTTTACTTTCAAAGCAAAAGGTGCTTCAGCTGGAGAAGTAATTCCTTGCAGATAGCAGTATGACAGCTGAATTAGATTAATGCTGGACACTTGACTTTCATAATACTCTTGCTAAACTGTCATGTGTTACAATCTGCCTGCAAGTTGAATACTTGGTATCAAAACCACGACCTGCTGGTAAGAAAACATTTCACTAGTCCCATTACCAGGGATTTCTCAATTGTTCCAAAAATACTGCAACAACTAAGCTTTGCACTCTGCCATTTTTCTGATAACTTTGTTTTAAATATGTTTAACATATTCTTGATGACAGTAGCTTTTTGTGATGCACTGATGTATTTGTCCTGTTTGTGTTGCACTGTTTTGGCATTTTGCACATTTTAGTTTTTCGCAAATTAGCTTGAAAAAACATGAAATTTCAATAGTCTTTTTTTTTAAATAAAACCCTGGCTTCATACATTGGCTATGAAGCTATTTTACTCTAATAGAAACTGGTTTTCATTCAGAGTTTAAAGTAAGAACTCGAGTATAAAATGGGGTTCAACTTACACACTACTTCATTTGTTCACCATGCTCTTTATTTCTTGATATTGATTTGTACATGAATAAATTGTCCGGAGGATGTTTGGTTCTCCCAGTCCATTAATACTTCCACAGAGCATATAGAGCCTGTAAACATAAGCACAGTTTAGCACAGTAAGTAGCAGAGCACTCAGCTTCACTCAGACTTCAGTCGCTCATGTCGTCAGAGGCTATTTTTAAAAGGAAATTGATGGGTATTGTGCCTGAAAGGTGTTATTTAAGGTGCATTATGTGTCAGCTCTGTCACTTATGTTTGATTTTTTTAAATGTCAGCGTTTCATGTTTGTCACTTGCGAGTTGTTTTATTTTTCTCAGTCATTTGGCAGGTGTCATTATCTCAGTTCATTTTCAGCACCTGAAAACTTCTGGGCTGATTTCATGAAATCGTGTTGTGTGTGTTCATGCAAATACAAGGCATGTTCTTGCTGTTAAATAAAATGTTTATTTTATTGACTAAATAGATTTACCTTATTTATTCATCAACCTTTATTTAACATTTTTTTTCGCCTCAATGTGATCAGAGAGTGTTATCAAGGATAGAGTAACAAAGGTTGTAGTAAATCTGATTGCACAGTGATATACTGTAAATACATCCAATATTGCACTACTGTATAATTTATCTGTCATATAATTATATTTATAGTCTGTTTATAGCCTTTATATTTATAACCATATGTATAATCTGTTCACAGCATGTACATACTTATAGTTATAGCATATTCATAACAATATTATACACCTGTGATATACTCATATATCTCCTTCATACCGTGTACATTTGTAAATATATTCATACTTGCTAAGCACTTCTGGATGGATGCAAACTGCATTTCGTTGCTCCGTACTTGAGACATGTGCAATGACAATAAAGTTGAATTCTATTCCATTCTATATACACTGTCTGGCATACATTGGCCATGAGCAGGGGCATTTCTGTACATCACAGCACAGTAATATTGTTTACAGAAAGTTAAAAGAGCCTGGCTAGTTTCACTTTCACATGATAAGAACAGATGTCACATTTAGATTGTGAAATCTTACAAAGAAAAAATTTATTGACTGACTGATAAAAGTTTATATAAAATAAAAGTGACCCAAAGGTAGATGCAAACTCAGTTTCATGACCTTTCATGAAAACAAGTTCCTCACAGAATACTGATACAAAATGCTTATTGTGCTTGAGATATGATGAAGTTTTTGTTTTGTCTTTATGTTAAATTTCAAGTGACGGTTGATGAAGTTGTACCCAAAGACTGATCAGGATTACATTCAAAGCAGTCTGTGTCAGTGTCACCAGTGAAAGAATAAGGAGCAAAGCATTCAATGAAAGGAAACTTTATTGTTCATAACTTGTTGTTGACCAAATAGGAGAGTTATATGCAGAGAATTAAATGCTCAAAAAATATTGCTTTGTTAAATATGTTCACTGTTAATGGTTACTGTTTTCCTTTTATTGATGTATTCATTCATTTATCTGAAACTGTCAACCACTGAATATTCAATACAACTAAAATTTCATACACTTTTAGAATTAGCTGAATCATGTTTCCTTATAAACTATTCCATTTATGAAAACATTTTTGTCTGTTTACCCAACTCATATCCTTCTTCCTGTTTACTTAATCTGATCTCATACTATTGGCCCAAGTCAAGGCACCGTGGGATGAATTATTGAAAGTGAGGACATGAAGGGCGGATATAGGATTTATGGATTTTGTGGCTTAGTATTAAAAAAAACTTGAATCTTTGTTTGTCCTCTTCTTCTCCTTGGTGGTCTGCTTTGTCCTCTCAGAAGTGGCTTACCTCACTATAATTACACATCAGTGTTAAACATTTGAAATATTAAGTATGTTGTGGATAAAAATGGGCCCAGAACAAACCATGTACCACTGGCTCTTATTCATTATCCTGGCTTTTGTCCTGTGGTAAAACAAGCAAGTCACCTAAGTGCACAATCTGACAAACTCAAAACTTTTAAACATCCAGTAATGTTGAAACATCTTACAAAAGCCTTTTAAGAAGAATACCTCCACCAGGCTGTGTTTTATGCTTCAATACCATATGACTGTTCTTCATTGAGACACGTAGGGGAGAGTGGGGTAAGTTGAGCCGCCCCCTGTTGCTTGGAAATGGTAAAAGAAATGGATCACATGACCAAATATTTAGGAGATGGGCATCAATTCATGGAATCTGTGAGGGTTAGAAGCACACGGGTGAAGAGGTTAGACATTTATTTCCAAAAAAAACCAAAACATTTTTCACTCTTGAGAGTGAATTAAATCTGTCATAAGTTTTATTAGAATTTTTTTCAGACCAAAAAAGATCATTTTAAATTTGTTTTATATATCAATTGTGGTATCTATGAACTACAACATGAGGTCAAAAACCTAGTGTAAAAGTCCACCATTTTAGCTTAGAGGTCTAATAAAGTCATTATAGTAGTTCAGGGGTAAGTTGAGCCATTTGACTCAACTGAGAAAATAAAGGAGTCTGATGAGAGGATCAGAGTTTCAGTTCAGATTGTTGAAATGTGTTACTTTTTCTTTTTAAAAATACAGCTGTGAATGTTCTGGATCACTTAAAGACATTCTCATGTTAAAATGACTTTTTATATAACAGCTTTTTAGCAGTTATATGCAATAATAATAAAAAGTATTATTGTACCAGTTGAAAAGCTTACAATAGATAAAAATATACATGAATGTGAAGAAGTGACTGTTATTGAGGGACGGAGAAGGTGAGGGAGGGCTGGGGTGGAGAGTGGGGGTCAACTTACGTCATACACGGGGTAAGCTGACCATTCGAGACCACTTTTTTTGGCATGCTGTATTATCAAGACAGTTATATGTTTACACTCATTCTGTTGGTTTGCAGGGATGCACAACATCTTGAAATATATGCAGATACACTAGTTAGAGACAAAACTATGACTGACTTGATGTAGTGATCTGAAATATGAAAAATGGCTCATCTTACCCCACTCTCCCCTACAGCATCATTTTTTCATCTGACCTGCAGATGTTTCAAACAGGAAGAAAACTAGCTCCCTGATCAAGGTAAAAAATAGTAAAGCCTCTCATTCTACCTAGAGCAGTAATCAGCAATCATTTATCATTATCTTTTTAAAATGCTCCCCCTTCATCTCTTCAGAGGGCTATTAGTTGTTGCAAAGGCAGCGTCTTCACCAGGCTTTCCTGATGTGTGTGTAATGTACTAAATGTGAAATTAAAAGACCCCTGGGTTTACAGCATTTACCCATCCCTGCGGGAGAGATAAAAATAGTGAGATAGTGCGGGCTGGTTGGTTGTAATGTCCCTTTAAAGCCGCTGCCCCCTGCAGCGTCGTCATTGCGCAGAACAGTTTGAACCAAAAAGCGGAGTGACCTTCCTCCGCTCTCAGTCTGAGAGAGAGGGGCACTACTGAAGCAAGAAGCCGGTCACAGCTCCCGCAGCCCCCACTCTAGCCTCAGAAATGAACAACAACTTAGTCGGAGATGAAGTCGGGTAAGATCCGTTAAACTAAGTCTTACTCTGCGGACGAATGAAACAGTAAACTGAATTGTAACTTCTAGTTAGCACGCTGTCTGAGGAGCTGTCATTTGACAGCTAACGTTAGCTAGCGAGCTAAAATAGCTTTACTTACTTAGCGAGATCGTTAGCCAGAGGAAAGGCGGCCAAAAAGTGAAAGTGTGCGTCAAAGTAACTCAGTCTTGACTGTCATCTCTTCCGGGGAAACGTGCAGTGTTTATCTGAAGTGCTGACAACATGCTTATCACAGCAGTAGTTGAGGTGTAGTTACTTCTGTCAGTGCTGCTCTTAGTTAGCTCAGCTAGCTTAGCTCCCGCTGCCAGCGAAGCGAAAGTCTCCTGCTCAGACTTCAGCAGCGCGAGGACATTTAGCGGGCACTGCACGGGGATGGAGCATCCTCACCCCCTCTTACCTCTCACTCTTTTCACGCGCGTTTTATTCCGATATCATTGAAACGATTTGCTACTCTGACATCAGAGCGTCTTTAACGGCCGTCAAACTTCCAGTTTAACGACCCGCATCCGACTTCACCTGTCCGCGTGGAGGGAGCCCGAGCAGCCGCTCTCCTCCGCTTCTCTCCTCTGAAGGAGGAGGGGGACGGACGGACTCTGGGTTTCCGTCTGGTGGACTGGAGCCGGTGTTGGTCAGTTTCTGCTGCAGTTCTCGGTGTCAGATTTTCAGCTCAGTGTTGTGTTAGCTTGCTAAACGCCTCGGCTCTGTCCCGGGGTAACTTACGTGGCAGGAGGTCCATTAAAAACGCCTGTTATCGTCGAGGCTTCAGCGTTCATTGTAAGAGGAATAAAGTGACATTCACTGTCATGACTGAATCTAACATGACTCACACTTAAACAGGAGCATTACATTTGTAGCTGTGTGTGTTTCTCTCTCTTCTAAGCTGCACCAGCTCGGTATTAGCGTTGCCTCATGTTGTGTAATATTTGTGTACTTGGGTGTTTAGTCAGCTGTAGCGTTGTTATGCCTCTGAAACTGTGCCTGCAACCTTCTCCACGAATACATCTGTGTTTTCTCCCTGTGGATGGGCAGACTTTCTCTGTTTGCTGCCATACCTTTAATGTGTGTCTTTGTGAAACAGTTTGCCTTTTACTCTGACCCAAAGTGATGGTGCATGTCTAATTAAATGATAATTAATCCACCCTTTTTAGGAAACTTTTTGTGGGGGGATTGGACTGGAGTACCACTCAAGGTAAGTCATATTTAAACTTAGACATATATAACTTAACCCTAGAACATCATCGCTGAAATTAGTAACACCATCACTATCGCCGGGTGATTTTTACCTGAAATAATAAAAGTACTTGTCATCAAACTATATCAAAATAGGACAATACATGACAAATTAAAGTAGTTTTCTTTTATTTTTAACTGTGCAATGTCCAAAGGGAGGGAAAAAAGTGCCATGAGGGGACTCCTGTTAGGCATTCATGAACAAAAAATTCCTAAAAATAAGAAATTTATAAACTGTAAACTTAGTTTCTTTGCCACCCATTCCTGGGGCATGTGAGTCTTCCCTGGTGAAGACTCTGGATCCTTGACACGATAACAGCTGCAGGAGAGAGAACCAAAATGTGACGTATTTTGAGGGAGTAAAAATGACCACCTGACTGAAATATTTCTTATCACCATATGAATTCCCTGGAAAATCACTACTTTCACTACTATCACTACTAGCATGCAAATTCCAGGACCACTCTTACTGACCTTATTCGTCTACATGCAGCTATCAAATCCACCCAAACCTACTTTACCCTCTATCACTTTTGCCGGGTAAAAATCACCCGAACATGTGCCTGTAGGAAAAAGCAGGTTTTGGATCAGGGAAACAAATATGCCTTCAAAGATGTCAAAGACAATGCTGAAGCTACCCAGAGACCCATGATACTCAGACAAACACAACATAATGAAAATCACGTAAACATGTTTGGTCTCTCACATTACCTGTGGGTACCTGTAAATGTGCTGATCTTATTTAGAGCTATGGAATATTTTAAACCTCAAATCCTAGTTTAGTTACTTTCACCTTAAAGTTATATTTAATATAATTAATTATGTCTCGCTGTTGTACAGTAGTTAAAAGTATAGTGATTTTTGGCCTGACAGTAAGATAACATGGCTGTGATGGTGTAGCAGATGGAAAAAGCTTTCCTCTTCATTTTATGGTTAGATGTTGACTAAAATGAATGACTGTCTTCATTGCTTGTGTGAGTTTAATTAAGTGTTCTCACAGCTGTGTGTTATAACTCCATTAGGTACAAGGGAGATGCCTGGTTGATGTTGTTTATCAAGATGTTTTGTAGATAATATGATTGTGAAGTAAACACAAATGTAAGGTAAAGAGAGTGCAACTTAACGTTATATATTAACACTCTAATTTCAGCTCTGTATGATAATGTTTGGGTACTGATGCATGAAGTGAACTTATTAACAAATTGTCATGTAAAAATTACTGATGAAGAGTGTTGACGATATTGTTATTATGCCCAAACGATAATAATTTAGATTAGTTTTTATGCAATGCTGTTGCTCTGCAGGAAAACACAGTGATAGAGCTTTAGTTTGCATTTTCTGCATTTGTAGACTGCATCCTATTGATGCGGATATGTCATGAGGTGTCTCGGGGAGTGTTGTAACTGTGCTTGTGACCCCTGCTCATCTGTATTGATGTTGTTTCCTTGTGTTGAGGAAATGCCATTGTGATTTTCGCTACTCTTACAGTTTTTTGGGTTGTTTGATTAGTTGGGGTGTCACAATTTGAAAAAATAGAACATTTATCAGTGGTGTGCAGCAGTACCATAATAGACAGTTTGGTGGAGTTTGGCATAAGAAAAAAAAACAAAGTAAACTAGGACTAAAATATCTTTCTGCTGCTGTTGTAGTCTTGTAAAGATAGACTTACCTCTGCTTTGGGTTAGTGGTGTTTAGCCAAAGGCAACATTTAGTTTCACCATAAGTCTCCACAGTCAGATAGCACATTCATATGGACAAAATATTCATTTTACTTTTTGTTTTGGAAAAAAGGCAGTAACCTCATGAAGTTTGAAAGCCAAACTTTGGGAAAGAAGTCAGCTTGGTTTAGCAGCTTGTCACATACTGTGGGAAAAACGCCAATGAGACGGATTTTCCTGTTGTGTTTAGTAGGTGTTCAGGAAATGCGCCTTTTATCAGATAAGCATATCTCTCCTATCTAGATTGGCAAATGGTACGTTTTTAAGGCCCTGCTCTGTAAATCCAGGCTGAATATGCCCTGACCTGCACCAAACCTGAAATAGTTAAGGAAATTTAATGTGCTCACTAATGGATTCAGTGACTAAGTAGCGGACACCAAAAAAAGGAAGCCTAAATGAAGGTGTGATCCACCGACTTCGACCTGTTTGGATATGGCCGAGTTTGTTTAAAGGCCTTTACTGTCTCTTGCTTGGTTGGTTATTGTGTAACACCGCACAAGGGCTTGCCTGTGTTAACAGCACTGTTAACGTGAAGATCTAAGCTACAACTCTGTAACTCAGAGCTTGTTTCTGCGGCGATGCCTAAGGGCTTCCCAGCGACGAGAAAAGCAATTACGATAACTCGCTCCAAAGTGAGTCCTCGTTTGTTCAAACTTGCACTCCCTGCTTCTGTGGGTGTGTGCGGGCGTCACAGTAGTAGGGTGTGTATTTGGTGCCTTAAAATGTGACAGGGGGTCAGTGCTTTGTTGGCTCTTTTAGAAACATTGAATGTGACTGCACTCTTTTAGGATTTTATATTTAAAACAGTGGAGCTATTTTATATGCCAGCTATAAGTCAAAATGAAGATTATCAAATAACCTGTAATGTTTAGTGTGTAAATGGATGAAATGCTCCTAGTTGCAGTGGTACTGAAGATATTCTCTCAGCATCTATTATTTGGAGCATCAGTTGTTTGAATGGTGACTACACTACTTTGAACGGTAAAAAAGGGCTGAGCTATAGCTTGGATTGTAAAATCAACTTTGCAGTATGCCTATGTGGTTCTGTGCTTATTTTAATATCCTTACACTGCACTGTTGTGTTTTTTTCTGTGTTTCTTTCCTTAGAGACACTGAGAAACTACTTCTCACAGTATGGGGAAGTAGTAGACTGTGTCATCATGAAGGACAAAACTACAAATCAGTCGCGAGGCTTCGGTTTTGTCAAATTCAAAGACCCCAATTGTGTACGGACGGTGCTGGAGACAAAGCCGCACAATCTCGATGGAAGAAATGTGAGTATTTGAAATCAAAAGAGCAGATAGTCGAATCAGCTTGAGCAATCAGCTTGCGTTTTGTGTGAACAATGTGAAAAACCTTATCCTGTGTTTCATCATACAAAGGAGTCAGAAGTTATTGAAGGGGAAGTACAGTCTGGGTTCTGGTTTTACCTGCCTACAGACAATGCAGATTTTTGGCGTTTGTACCTAAAAAGACTTACCTGTTTAAAATCAAATGTGCAAAATTGCTAGTTAATCCTGCATTTCTCAGAGATGTCTGTTCATCAGTGTTTTTATAGAGGCTGCATCCCATGAATTACACACCACGTCTTTGTTTCTGTTAACTAAAGCAGAGAAAAGAGTGAGATTTGATTGGCTTTCGATGCAAATTGACGTCTGTCAGTACACATGTTTTTCTGCGGTGGGAGGTGAGCCAGTGTACTGCGATGGATTCTGTGGAGGAGAACATTTGAAGGTGCCTTTAATTTAGGGCGAATGTCAAACGTTTTTTTTCTCCCTCTCTTTATTGCTGTCAGATCGACCCCAAGCCATGCACTCCCAGAGGAATGCAGCCTGAAAAGTCTCGAACTAAGGAGGGCTGGGTAAGAGGACTCTTATATTTTCTGGGAGAGGTTAGACAGGGATGACAATATTTCCATCTTGACACAATGTCTTTGACCTAAATCTATTTTTTTTCTCTGATTTTTCCTTTTAAAAATGATTGCATTGTACAGCTGCCATACTTCTGAGAGCTCTTGAAATTAGTTTGGGGTTTTGATAAATCACAGAGGCATCTTTTTGGGATTGAGGGTCTGCAACAATAGATGTCTGGTGCCGCTGAATAATTGACACATATTTAGTTCACGTTAACAGATATAACAAAACCGCTAATTATTTGGCCTGTGTCATTGTGCTAGATATGTGAATTTTTAAAAAGAAGCTCTGAAAACATTGTATTCTTAAATATGAAAGCAGATTTTTTGATGTCTTAGCTGAAATATTTTCCCATTACTGTTTTTCTAGGATTAAACTAATAAAAAACAAATAGTCCTAAAAAAGAGGAGCTGATGTGGTGCAGAAAATCGCTTTTGGCCATGAATTTCTGCAAGATAAAAATCTCAGCAGTAATTAGGGCAATTTCAATCAATAGTTGTATCAAGCTGCTGTAGGTCTGTTACAGTCATTTTGTCTGTTTAAGAAGCAATGAGGATCTTTTGCTCCTGCTGTCAGTAAAATATGCTTATGAGTCCTTGTGTTTGGCTGCAAGCATTGATGGTAAACTAGAATCTTTTTAGGTTTGTTCTCTTGACTGGCTTTCAGGTCATGCAGCTTCTTTTGAATGTTTTGACTTACAAAGAAGAAAAAATCGTAGAAAATCACTGTTGTTGTAAGCAGCCTCTGGCCCTTAGAGTGTGAGTGCAGTGCACAGCTCTGAAATGCTTAGTTGTTAAGAGTAAGTGGAGGAAGCCGTGCTCTCTGATCTGTGGAGACTAGTGTTTGCATTGACATGACATGTTAAGAATTATACCCCAGGGCAAGAGGAGAGCCTAATTTCTTCTGCACTGTCTGAATAGATGATGGCTAACTGGCCCCCTCCCAGAGTGATCCTTTGACACACATTGAAATCCATACACTCCCTGTTTTCTTTCAGAAGGGCAGCAAAGCCGATAGCAATAAATCAAAGAAGATATTTGTAGGTGGAATCCCCCATAACTGCGGCGAGCCTGAACTCAGGGACTATTTCAATAGATTCGGAGTGGTAAGTATTGCCAAGTGCATTATGCAAGTCAGTTCATATCTTCATTTTGAATGCTTGTTTGGAATGACATTGAACAGGGTCAGTACTACACTATGAGGAATTATAATTTATTGGCATGGCTCTGGACAATTAATTATTTGATCAAAATGTGGTAGAATATTTATTTCGACAAAGAAAGGAAAGAAAGGACCTTTTCTAGTTTTCTAAATGGAGCCACTGTTTCCTTTTGTCCCATTCAAGGTCACAGAGGTGGTAATGATCTATGATGCGGAGAAGCAGAGGCCCCGAGGTAAAAGCTGATCCCGTTTTTTTCTCCCCCCTCTCCATACCTTACCATCTTAAATCTCATGACAAACTGTTCTGGCCCAAAGAGAAAAAAAGGCCTATTCAGAGACCCAGCTATACAATTTAATTTAAACACTGTCGTCCACAACAGGGGTTTTGTGTCTGTTAGTGAAAATAGAGAAACACAAAAGCATGTTCGATAAAATGCCAAGTCAGCACAGAGTACATCAAGTCAAAGGAATAACTTGACATTTCTCGGGATGGATTAAAAAGCTTAGTGAGATGCAGAACACATGGCTCATTTGGAAAATACATGAAGACTTAAGCAGACAATTCAAGCCTAACATTCAGTGTATGTTGTAGTGATAAATTCTCACAGTGGTTCTTGTTGTTTGTTGATATAATACAGTGCTGGATGGCGCTGTGAACCATTTCTCAGCTCTTTGTCATATACTCAAATGTGACAACTGTCATAGAAACTTAAAGCTCTCATTAGGACTGATGCAGTATCCTACATAACCTTGTGTAACAACATGCTTCTTTGCCGTGGACATATTTCCACTCAGTCAAATTTTTGATTTTTGAGAGAAAAAAGGATCTTCAAGATTTCTTAAGCTGAGCAGAGGAAGACCACCTAAAAGCCCTCAGACAAGAACGCTGATGAAGCCAATGACTGTCTTTGACCTCACGGGTCTTTATCAGGGCAGAATTAGAAAAAACAATCCCTGCATTAGCTCACTATACGCCTTTTCTGGTGAGAAGATATTAATGACTATATTTAAATTGATTGTTTATATCAAGTTGATGTTTAAAAGGATAGATTTAATGTTTGCCCAGTTATCTCTTTACTTCAAGTGTATGGTATAACATTTGAAGATATACTCAACCTTATCATAATTTTTCCAAGTTCATACAGGAAACAGATCTTGTTTAAGGATGGACTTGAAAACATTTTAACCTAGCCCACATAAACCACATAAAACTACATAAAATACTAAAAACATGCCGCAGTTTTTCTCCAAATATTAAACATTCAGTGATTGCTTAGAAATATTTACAAAATAGTTAAAAGTCAATCCATAGGCCAAATAGATAATGTTTAAGCAGTGTTACTCTCCATAGATGAAGGTTTATTTCATAAAGTTAAGATATCATATTGTCCTCGCACTAGCCTCTGTGAAGCCCGATCGACTGCACGTTTCCTATTTTAATGAGGGCAAGTCCCAAAATCGCTGTCTAGAAGGAAATGAAACTTAGCAGAGAGAAAGCAAAGAAAATCAGTGACTTCTACAGGGGAGGCAGGTAGCAAGAAAGTAGGTGCTCCAAAAAAATACAGCGCTTCATCACAACATGAAACTGGCACATTGAGCACAGTTTCAGGGTGGGTGTGGGGGTGTCCTTCCAAGAGGCTTTTTGCAGCCACTGTGCTGAAAGCGGACATTACATTGTTTTCCCCAGAACAATGAAATCCTTTTAAAAAAAGAGTTCAAACAACGCTCAAACTCCGATCAAACATCTCAACAAATACAGATCTTCAAACCTCTGATGATATTGTTCTTTAATCCATGAATGCATTTTGAGTTTCTGACATGTGCCCACACTTTTAGCATGGATGGCCTCACTGGCAAATAGACCTCATGCCACCGGCAGTGTTGGTGTCAGACTCTGCCTGCTGACTTACAGTCACAGCTGTTACATCTGCATTTGTCCTACATAGCAATGGTGCAGCGGCCACTGAACCGCAACATGCATTACTGCTCTTCTTCAACCCCCCCCATTCATTCTCTGTTGGGAGAAACCCAGAATAGTTTGTCATTAGAATTTAACATGATGTGTTGCACCAGTAACAACCATAACATAATCTTTAATAGTATGGATAGTTTCTTTACTAAAACCCTTAGACTCTCAACACTGGATTAAGTTTTCTTTATGTTGATTTAGTCCTTCCTGATACCTGTATCTTAATTGGTATAGTCTGTGTTCTCCCATATGTAGAAAGTTAAGTATTTTTGTAAGTAAGCCCTTTCTATTTTTCTTTCTTCTGTCCCCTTCTCCCTGTGAATGGTTTGAATGTGATTAACAGTGTCTCTTAAGATTTGTCTTTTCTCCTTTAGGTTACTTTGCATTAACTGGTAGCACAGAGGTACAGGCCAAATGTAAGAGCACCAAAACTTTTTACTTGGTCAGAATGGGGTGTATACAAAGTTATGTCTTATTCTGAGTCGGTTAAAGGTTTATATATGAGTATATTTCTTTTCCTTCTTATGAGAGAGTGAGTGAGAGAGAAAGAGAGGTTGTTGAAGATAAGCAAGTCCAACAAAAAAAAGAAAAACTGAATCATGAAAACAGACTGAAATTGAAGTACACCACAGGAGCTCTGACTGCCAAATGATGATATTCATGTTCAGGTTACTTCCATGAATATTAGTTTAACGCTTTGTTGCATTGGATGTTAGAAAATCATTGTGACATCAACAGATGTCAGGATTTGTTAAAGGCAAAATCCCAGAAAGATTCATTGTACATCTTTTAACAAGACTATGTTAAGGAAGCTTGATTTGTTGAACTCAAATCAAATTGTTCATTGTGCTCAAGAGCTTTGTCTTTTTGTCAAAAGCAGATTTTGACTTAAAAGTAACTCCAAAAAATTTCAACTTGAGCGTAACTTCCATATGCCGCTGCAGTGAGAATATGTCAAGCTGTTAAATGTGTCAGCTTGACTGTAAATTTAGCCTAAGGACGGGTCATTGACAGATGTTATTAATAGCGATAGATCATGAGTCTTGGGACTGCTTGGCTGGGTACGAGAGGTCTCTAAAAATCTCGGTTGTCTCTTAGGATGTTTAATTGGATTCAGGTTAGGTCCCAAGGTAGGTTTGTGAGCACAACCCAGTTCTGCCATGGTGTAATGTGAATCGGATTGGAAGTAGATCACTGCAGCACAGCGCCTGCTCTAAAAAGTTCTGTTACAGATTGTTGGAGTAAAAAAGTTTACTGAGCAGTGAGCATGAACAAAATTTTGTCCAGAGATGTTCCCAGACTTAAAGTTTATGTTGATGAACCTTGTGTATATCCCATTAGAACTTTAATCAAAATCAGCAGCCCCAATTTTGAGAAACAGAATTTTGGCCTATATCTCTGTGTTACCATTGTGAGCAATATTTTAATTGTCCATTTTAGGCTTATCCTGGCTGACTCAAAAGTACAATACTGAATTTGGGAAAGCTTGGAGAAAGCTTTAGGCATTCTACAGTTTGTGTTTCTCCATATTTTTGTGATGCATTAACAATGGCTGCTGCGAGTGTGTGCTCCACAGCAAAATACCAAGGGACAGATCAAGGTGGGGTTTGGATGAAACGGCATAAAGTGACAAAATGTTGCTTTGATTGGCATTCATAAATGTAAGTGGGGAAAGATAGAAGTAATTGAAATTTTCAATGTGACATTTCACATGAAATCAAATGCTGCACTCATCAGTCGTCATGTTTAGCAGTTAAGCAGTCCTGTGTTGTTATCTTCACTAAATTTTTCACTGCACAGTTAAGAAAAAAGTTTCCTTCAATCCCCCAGGCTTTAGTCTTGGATTTGTGTTGTTCTCCGAGTCTGCGACATCATCCGAACCCCAGGAGCCTCTTGCTCAGTCTTGACGGATCCTCACTCTGCTGAAGCCCAATACTGTTCTTCATCTTGTGTTGTCACAACCCCCCTGCTACCTTGATTCACTCTTGGTCGTTGGCTAGGTTTTGGATTTATTACTTTCGAGGCCGAACAATCAGTGGACCAGGCTGTCAACATGCATTTTCACGACATCATGGGCAAAAAAGTGTGTAGTTGTAGTTTTATTTTACCCTTAAGATCAAACAGAGTTTTGAGCGACTGAGTAAGAGTTTTACTGTGATGCTGCTTTAGAAGTAAGAGGTGATTTGTAAAAGTCTGCAGCATCATATACTAAAGAAATAACCTGGTAAACAGATTAATTCAATAATCTTTTATTATCACCATATTTTCTCTAAACACACATTACCTTCATATTTACTTTAATGGCTTGTAATTTTTGAGATTCAGTCGCCCCTCATTTGTGCTGTTATAATACAGTTTCTATAGTCGCCCAAGGCTTTGTTTAAATCGACCACTCCTTTAGGATGTCTTAAGTTTTATTAGCTTTTTGATGTAATTGTTTTATGTTCGATCTGGTCTTTGAAATTAAAAGGCAACAAGACAAAAACACATACGACTCTAAAAATTGCAAAGATATTCACATGACTTGAATCACCTAAAGGATTGGTCTCATCAGTTCTGTTTCTTTTTGTTCTCTGATATTTTTGTTGGCAGGTCACTTACATGTCAACATGTTTTTATTTTCATTTCTTTTTGAAAACTTAAACAAAAAGCTCAAGTCAGTGACCTCAGTTGAAGAATCTCCATACTGTGTCTGTCAGATCTCTAAAGAACAATCAGCAGCTCTCTCTGAAATGCTGCTCAGGATGAGACTTGAGTCTCACAATAATATTTGCATGTCACTCGGTAGTGTTTGTTTTTACTCAGTGGGTGTACCAGATGGCTGGGGTTTACTGTGCAAAGACACTTCGCATAGTGTCAGGTAAGCTGTCCATCCGGGAAAAAAACAATAACTGCACTATAGTGTTAAATTTAAGCACACCTCCTTACCCTCTGGCGTGCATTTCATTGTTCTGTTGCATGTGGCAGACTGACCACCTGGCACATTGAACAGAGTAAAACAAACCATTTATAGCCGTAGTAGATTGAAGTACTACTCAATACATATCCGGCCAGCATTGGTCCCGACGCTTGGGTTTTAAAGCACTTTTAAAGCTCTCATTCATTAGCAGCCCCCCTTTTCCCCAACAGACACTTGGTAATTAGCAGCTTTTAAACCTCTCTACAGAGATACCAGAAGAGAGAGAGTCTCCTTTCTGCCCTCTACAACGACTAATGATTTGTGGGCATAAGAAAATTATCAAAGTCAAACACAGTTTTTCTTATATCCACCCAGTCAAATTATTCCACCACGAGTCTTGTGCGAGAGTCTCAACTTTACCTCACTACACAAGCGTTTTAAAAGCTTTAGAAGACAGTCTGCGATGTTTGACCATCAGTGGCTTTGAGAGCTTGTTAACGGTATTTGAGCAGGGCCACCTTTTGTTATGGTGTGTCTTTTACTTTACAGTGTTTTTCTGCCTTGAGGGCTTTTGTTTTTATAGGTGGTATGTGATCCCGGGTCTTGAAGATTTAATAAATATGAGCCTTTTTGCTCTTATTCTGCTACTGCGACGAAGGCAGATAACAGAAATGAACAGAGGGGTAAATAAAAATAACATGGTCTCCAGCCTGATCTCAGAGCGTTCCTCTCTGCTTTATTTTAAAGCATGTATGAACAGAGTCTTGCCTTTTTACCGCACTCGAGTTCATATTTTCCAAAATAAAGAGAATCACCATCCAGGTTTATTTGATCAAATCAATTAGATATGTAGAGTAAACCTAAGAGGTTGTGTTAAACTGTCGCGGTTAATCACATGGAATTGATTATCTTAATCCCATTTCTTGGAAGATGATTTAACCACACCTGTGCGCTCTCCAGTGGAAGCCGCCCCCCATGACTCTGCCCTGGTTTTAAGCAGGAATGAAGGCTCAACTTAATCCATTGTTCTTGACTTGACATTACCTTATGCTGGGACTTGAGGGATGCTGGGAGATATATGTTACAAAATTAGAAATTGGAGCACATCAAACTGTGCAACAAATCCCAGTTCTGCTGTTAGGGACTGAACAGAAGTCATGGTATCCATCACTCGTAGCTGTGATGCCCACGGGAGAAAGTGCTCAGGTAGCTGCCGGCGGCGGTGGGGCCACTGCCGGAAACATGTGCATGTAATTAGGTCGACAAAGAAGGAAGAGGGGAGGCTGGGGAAGGTGGCAACACCTTAAAGCGGGAAGGAATTTGCGATTCGTTTTCCTCCTGCAAGGTGACCCCAATAACTCAACCCTGTGGTCTATTTCTGGTTGTCTCCCCCTTAGTCTCAGCCTGTTTCTCCGCTCTGGTTAACTGTTAGTAGCTTTGCCTCGTGACAGGGTGTTTGTTATTAGGGTGATGGTTTTATACTAGACTCAAGGGGTTGAACTACTTTATAAATTTGATGGGTCAAGTGTGAGAAGAGTGATAGTGTTAAGCAGTAATTCACAAACCACCCTTATTGTTATGAAACAAACATGAAAAAGAAGCTCGAGGTCAAACCATTTGATTGTTTGATGGTCGGTTTGCAGTGATTTGATATTTTATTGTGGGACCCAGTGTTTCAGTCTCCTGTTGTCTTCTGAATTTTTTCCTCATCTTTGACACAGTATGAAGATTCAGTTAAGATTGACTGAAAAGACTCTTTGATTTTACTCTCTGCATGTTTATCATTTATATTCTGATACAACTGAGATACAGTTTTCTCTCTATATCCATTTCCCCTGAAAAAAAAAAAAAAGTTATTCCAAATAAAATAAAGTGAGATTCTTTATTAGCGTTAGCTGGAGAAAGGTAAGTCCTGACTTCTTTTAGATGACTTATTATAAATAGGGCCGTTTATTCAAAAGAGTTGTAAAACTATGTTTCTCAGGTACATATGAGAGACTCGTCTGAAGATGACAAGTTTGAGACAGATTTGACTGGCTCTACAGGAAGATTTTGTTTAAGGGGAAACTTCCACTTAGCAATTAGTACCTGACACACATAGTTACAAAGTTACAGATGAAGAATAGCAATTACTTGACAACAATCCCCAATTATTCGTATAAACAGAAAGAGCAAGATTTTTTCAAACTGGCCCAAGTATTGAGATTAAATAGTTTGAGGACAGGTTTGTCTAGGCAAGGGACTTCACTGACTGTATACTGGTGTTGCCAAATGTGTCCTCCTTGTCCTTTGTCCAGGTGGAAGTGAAGAAGGCCGAACCTCGTGACAGCAAAGCTCCTGGCCAGCTCGGCCCTGGCCAGTGGGCACCCAGGGGTATATTGAGTGCAGCTAATGGTTGGACAGCACAGCCTGCCCAGGGCTGGCAACAGCCCTACGGGCCACAGGGTGAGTGGGAACAGGTCCCAGAGCCGAGCAAGAGGAGCTCAGTGTTCAGAGGAAAACATAGTAGTGCCTGTTAAAATGTGTCAAACCTGCTGTTTGAACATCTACCTCCATGTAGTCAGTTTGAAGGTTGAACTGGGTTATGAGAACATTTTATCTTTAAGCCAACAGTTTGTCCTCTGTCTAATGTTTTTTTTCCCTCTTCCTGAAGGAGTGTGGGTGTCGACTACTGGCCAACCCATAGGTAGGTGTTTCATCTCCTCTCGACAACACGCAGAAAATATCCTTCCTTTCCATTTTAGTCAATCATTTTTTTTTCCGGTTACATCACGGCTTGATCATTTGAAGATGGATTTATTTTGTCTTTGCTGTGTGATCATTATGCTAATCTTGAAGCACTTGTGTCACAGAAATGGGCTTGCACTCTGCATGGCCAATAGGCTGATGACAGTTAACAGCACGTGTTATCACTGATTCATAATGGCTGAGGCTGCTGATAATTTGCTGCTTGGGACAGATGGCAGCCTTGAATAGATTCCAGCCTCCCCCTGCTATTGGTCAGGCTCGGCTTCGTATCACCACCTCCGGGTCAACCTGCAACTCTCTCTGCAGTGTTGTTCCCTCAGTTTCATTCAGCCTCAGATTGTGTTCTGCAGAAGCTTGTGTTTACTGAGATTACGTTGTTTAAAGTTAATACAACCCAGATAGAGAATGACTGCGAGGGCGCTTTCTTCTTTTTATTACCAGTTATTACCATTACTTTTCATGTTTGACTAAAGGTACAGTGTGTAACATTTACATATTTAAATGTCTAAAATAACCCAACCAGGATCATAGACTTGTGCAAGTTGTGTAGTCGTGTAGCTACTTCATTCAAATGTCACCAGTGGCAGTAAAACTTAGAGAAACCTATATTTTATGAAAGAAAATGGTGGGTTTCCAAAAGATTTGTCTGAGAGTGAGGGAGGAAGTAGACAAATGTTGCCTCACTGTACTTACAGACACTGAATTAGAATGAAATAACATTTTGTGAATTAAAATGAACAAATGTTAAACCTCAGTACATTTATTTTCTTTATAATTTAAAGGTGGGTATGGACCTCCATTGTCAGCAGGTCGAGGAACCCCAACACAACCTCCATCACCTTTCAACGCATTCCTGGTCACAACCCCGGCGGGCAGCTTCGCTGCACCTCAGGGCTACCCTCAGCAGGGCTACAGCACAGCACCTCAATTTGGTCAGTAAAACTGGTTCACTCAATCATTACATTTCATATTGATGTAAAAAAAACAACCACCAGGTACTGACAGGTTATTAACCATGTGTAAAGGTGACACTGTGAGTTATTCAGTTTAAGATTTTTCTGTGGACCCGTTTAGATTTTTGACAAAGGTCACAGATAGAGAAGGTGTGTTGAAATGTTAGTTAGCTGTCAGATGTATGAGGTTTTTCTCTCCAGAGCAGAAAATTGTGACTCTAAGGAGAAAATGTCTCAGCTCTTTCAGGCAGTGAATGTTTTCATACTAAAATGGTTGATTATAAAGTTGTTTTAAATATGTCAGGGCTGTTGTTGTGGTAAGGGAGGAACCTCCATCTTATCAGAGCTGGACACCATGACTAACAGATACTCACAGATACCTCAGAAGGGAAGCAGGCACTACTTTATCTGGGAGGAGTTCTTCCAAAAGATATGCAAACATAAAACTCACATTGTTACAACCTAAACTAAGAAGAGGTTTTGAGGACAAACTGATCTCTTGCGTGTGATAGTATTGCTTTTGTAAACTGTGAGGTTTTTAACTTTCACTTTGTGACTGAACACATAAGTCAAGCACGTAACACTTGAAGATGTTCTTTGGTAAATCATCATAGAAGTAATCATATTACCGTCCAACAGGTTACAGTTTCGCCACACCACAGGCAGACCAGTATGCTCCACAGGTTCCTCCTCCACCCACTACTCCGGGAACTGCACCTCTGGGCTTTGCCCCCGCCACCACACCAACTCAGGACTTAAGCAAAGCTCCCACTGGACAGCCTGACTTTCCTTATAGCCAGTATGGTAAGAAATGCTTGTGCATCAAGCAGTTTGCTGCCCCCTTCTCTCCCTTTTAATTTTTATTCACCCCTTGGCCCCGTCCATCTCCCTGGATACTTTGTTGGATGCAAATACAGCTCATTAAAGTGCATTTCTACGGCCCGTACACAAACAGGAGCTTGGTACCATTGAGCTTGAACAGCTACACATGCTACATGCTTCTTGCAAACATGAATCCCTCTGGCTCTGCCTTGAAGATGCTGCTCAAGTGTCACCAGACCCAGGAGTCTTCAGCAGTCATTTCTGTCTGTTTCAGCTAGGCTGTGGATTGGTTAAAGGATTGGTAGGTCTTGGTAGTTTTGAATTAGATCATCCTGCCTTGCAATGTTATTTTTCTTTGCATTTTTGAATTTTTTATTTAATGGGAGTGCAACCTTTCCCGTGACTGACTTTACTACTACATTTGACTTGATTTGAATATTCCTGCCTTTTCAATTACTCCCCTCTCACACACCCCCTCCTCTTCCTCCCTGTTGATGACTTTGCTGGCTTCTTTCCCTGGTTTTGGCACGGTCGCCACTGAAGAGCACCAGCATGACAAGAGAAATCTTATTTCTGGAATCAGGCATGTCCATCTGCCAAATTACCTAAAAAATGTTTAATACGTCCCATCAATTAATCACTGCTGGGCTTTGCATGATCATTTACAGAATGTGGACCTTGCTTTGTAGACACATTCAGGTATCAGAGTCCTGGGCAAGCCATTTTCTGACCGTTGTATGTGTCTGTAGGTCTGGCTTTTCAAGTGGATGCCTTTGTGGTCCTTGAGCTTGATTGTTGGTTTAGATTAAAATGCCTTTGGATCATATTCAAAATGTATTTTTCCACCTGGTTTTGCTAGCTGGTTCAGTCTCAGATGGATTTCAGTGAGTGCGGAGGGCCCACAAAATGAGACATTTTTTCAAGACATGTCATGTTCAAGATTTGCTTTATTAATTTTTAGGGATTTGAGGCATTAAGAGAATAGTTACTTCAGGGACGTGCTGTAAATGCATGCTGGATTTTGAGTTTCAGATCAGGCTTAGAACAGAAATGAAGGCTGCAGCTTTTTTTGCTCAAAACCAAAATGAAGCCCCAGATTCTGTGAAAACTATCCAGCCTCTAAGGAAAAGGAACAAGCTTGGTCTTCATTCAACATTCACTCACTCAGTCACAGAGGCACACAGTCAGATAAGAGTCAGATGTTCATTCAGAAGCAACATTCAGTTTTTTTTGCTGGCTGGTATTTTTCCTCTGACTCTGCTTTACAGCTGCTTCACACTGCTGGATCCACATTGAAAGTAACCATGTGATCGCTGTCAGTCATGACAGGCGCCCATCTTGTTCAGTGTTTTCTGCTTGTGCTTATCTCCCATCCAGCTTTTTTCATTTAGTTTGCTGCCTGTTCAGGCACTGAGTCCAGTAACTGAAGTCTTTAGTCTCAACACTGTCTCAGGATTTTTGTGAAATAAGCAGGAAATGTTGTTATTGTGGACAGGAAATTACAAAACACTACCACTTAATTTTCTGCAAGACAAACAGGGAGTGGATTCAACTTTTAGTTGATGATTGACGCTGGACCAAAAAGAAGCTTAATTGAGCTTAGGGAAATGAACCTGCTTGACCTTGGTTAGGACTTTGCTTGTCGCGCTGTGTTGCAATCATTATCTAAAGTTTATTTTGAACAATTGGCTTTACATTAGATACAGAACACTTTGAAACTTGATTCATAGATTTTATACCACAATGAAGAATTGTGACTTTTATGTCAAAACTTTATCTTGATGCATCAAAACCGTATTTCTATCCTCTAGTAATAATATTTATATAATGATAAAAGTTTTTAGAAAGGGTTAAATGTCAACAGTGAAAATATACATGACCTGACCCCATGGAGGACTTTTTAAAATTAAGTGATTTAATCCAACATTTTCGTGTAATTATAATCACACTAAAATAAACTGGATTCGTTGAACATTACATTTGATATAAACTCATAGTCCTTTCACATCACAGGGAGCAAGATCCTTTTTTTAAGTATGACAACTTTTGTAAAAAGCAATAAAGTCATGAGATATAAATGAACTGATAAGGGACATCATGTCAGTAATGTCAACATATTTTCATATTCTTGAATCCTCTATTCCTCTTTAACAAGCTCACACAACTTTGATCTTACAGTCTTATGTGTTTTCACAGGAAAACACTTTAATGCACCTCTGCATAACACGCACATTTCACAAAATTCCACGAGGCCAGGCTGGCATTGTTTAAACCGAGGTGTGCTAGCAGGTAGCTCACACACTCACACTTCATTGTGTTTTTACTTGCAGATGAAGCTGCGCAGTGATGCCTTTCCCAGTGTAGTGCAGATGTAGTATAAGAGTATAAATGTAAAGCTGTGTTAGCTCAGTAAGTGGGGGAGTAAGGGGGAAGGTAGCAGGCCAGCAGTATCTGGGTTCAGTCAACCTGGTCTCCTCATCTCCCTGATAGGCTTGGGTAACTACCCTCAGGACCCCTCTGCCTACGGACCAACGCGTCCTCACAGTTATGGTCAGGATGAGCAGGGAGGATATAGTGCAGGTAGGTGCCAGCATCGTCTTCTCCAACCACAAAAGTAGCATCTGTTCAGTACTGTAGAGTTTATAGAGCTGCAACCTGGTTCCTTTCCTCTTTTCTTTTGCTCTGTCTTTCATATTTTGCATGTACATTTTGCATGTACATACAAATTACTGCGTGTACTCTTGCATAGTAAAACACAGCCATCAACTGCCTCACAGCTGAGTGGATTTGAAAGAAATTTACATCCAAATTTGGCACTTAGAGCTCTCAGTATGCCGACCCCCTCAGTGGCTGTAGCTTTACTATATGAAGACCATGTCCTCCTTTTTTGTCCTCTCTCTATGTCTGCATCGCTTTGCTGATGATAAAAGGATGATCTAATTGTCAGAAAATTTGTTCATGGTTCAGTTGTCTCTATGCATCAGCAGTCCATTCACCCGTTGTTTCCCCCCTCTCCATTTACTGTCTCCACATTGTAGCTAAAGGGGTGAGAAAGGAAAGAAGATTTGAAAGAAGACAAGATGCCAGTAAATTTCCATTTTCCTCAGATTTCTCTGTCTGGAGGTCCTGTTGGGACATCTCCCTGTTCTAAAGATTTCTGCTTTTTCCTGTTCGTAGAGCACTTTAAGATCCCCAAAAGTAAAATCTTGTCTTTTCTATCTTTGCCTCCTGTCTATCTATCTTTGTTCCCTCATACAAGTTTTTATAATGTTCTGAAAGACATTCAGAAAATCAGTTCCTGGATGTAGCCAGAGCAGGGAAGAAGCGACACACCAAACTGCAATTTTTCAATCTAGAAAGCCTTTTTTTGGCTCAAGCAGTGACTGCTGAAGTTTGGATACCGCCAGCCATTTTCAGCCAGATCAGTTTCCTTCGCCGGGAGTTACTTCGGTCCCCTTGTCTTTTTTCAGGGAGATGGTGCCATCCAGTGTCTGAGCAGAAGAAGAGTGTGTTGTACTGGTTTTTAGAGACCCTAAAGATTTTTTTTTTCTCAGGGGAGCCCACTTGGCTTGATCCTAAACTCCACCTTTAATTATCATTTATGTCTCCAAACACTAAGAGGTTTTTACTCAATAAATTTCAACATTGAAGGGCTCATTAAAGGTATATAGAATTTCAATTAAAAGGACAAATCCATCATTGAAACCCTAATTAATATTTGGATACATTCTTTTTGCTGTAGTTATTTGTTGTGTCACACTTCATCAGTGTAAACTCTATAATTTCAAAGCTCACAGTCTCCAACTAACAAAAACAATGAGATGGAAAAGATCTCGAACCATCTAAATATTATAATAAAAGCTGTAAAGGTTATGAAGCTGTTATATTATTGACTGTAAAAAAAATTGGCCTGTTATATGATCCCCAATTTATCAGTAATAGAATCAGAGGTATTTCAGCCGAATATTGAACATTCAGTGACAAGATGGAGATTGGAACAAAACTAACGGGACGTATCTTTTTGTTATGACTTTCAAAACGATCAAAACAGCTCACACAAATTGGAATTTCTCTGCATATTTCCCAGTGTAGGGATTATTTTGGTGGATTTTTCCTTTTCATTGAAGTGATTTTAATCTTAATCATTTTCTTTTAAAGCAGTAAGGCTTCCTCCTGCTCACATTGTTGTGACCCTTACATTTAAACCCTCCTCTGTCTGTGCTTCTCTCTCTCCTCTGTCATCCCTCTCAGGGTACGGACAGGACCTGACAGCCTTTGGTCACACCTTCGCAGACCCCAGTCAGCAAACAGCCTCTTACGGGGCCCCAACAGCACAGCCCGCCGCAGCCCCACAACCTGCCGCTAGTGCATTCGGCAGAGGGCAGAACCACAATGTACAGGGCTTCCACCCGTATCGACGCTGACCACCACCTCTGGGCAGGGCTGCTATGTAAAGTTGAAAAAACAAAAACTAAAAAAAAAGTCAGGGAAAATGTGTGTTCTTGCTAAAAACAAAACTGGAGTCCTGGATTGTTCTACGGGAATGTTGAATGCAGTTTGTGAAACAGATGTTTGCGAAAGCATACTGGAGTTCTGGATTGTTCTACGGGATTGTTGAATGCACAGTTTGTGAAACAAATGTTTGCGAAAGCAGGGACGCCAGGAAATTCAACAGGGGTGAAAAGAAACCCAGGTTTTTTTTTGCATAACTTAAGGAACGTTCAGCTGAAAGAAGCTTTTATCCCCCACCTCCCTTACCCCATGTTTTATAGTAGAACTTAACTACTTTGCAATAATTTTGATTGTCTGGTCAAACACTAGCACAGAGACTATATGTAAAGAGACTTGCATATAAATATGTATATTTATGGTGGACACAAATGAAAACAGGGTCTCAAGTTTCCTCAGCTTTAAATTCTAGGGAATAATGTTTTTATTTTTCATTTGGTGGATTTTGTTTACTTTCTGAGCCTTTAAAGTTTGTTTAAAATGGAGATTATAAATATATATATTATACACAAACTGTGCAATTTTTTAAAAAGAATTTTGTACTATAAATGTACACTTTGCTTGTTTTTTTATTTAAAGATGTAGACTTCCCTCAGGTGGCTCTTTTGGGTGCATTTTTTTGCACTCGCGCAAAAAGAAAAAAAAGGACAAATTATTTCAAAAATAAATGTTTTAAGGATACAGATGTTTGTATTTGTGGATGAATTTGCATCGTGTGGTTTAGATAAAGACCTGAAAATTAAAATAATTAACGAGTCATACCAGAAAGGTGGTGGTATGATCTAAGGTAATTAGTGGGCAGCTTTCATGATTGTTAATTTATTTAAAGTATTTTATTATTATTATTATTATTATTATTATTATATAATGATGGGATATTTCAGAGTCTGCTCTGGTATATCATGAGTTCAAAAATAATTGTCAGACTGTAAGAAAAAGAAAAAAGTATTTGAAACAATTTTCATGGTTCAAAATAAGGGAAAGGCAATTGTTTCATTATTTTTTTCATTAGCTTTACAGAAATTACTTGTAATACTTGGAAAGTCGCCCAGGTTGTTCCTACAAAAAATTAATAAAAAACAAAGTGGAGAAACGCAGACCTCAGTGAAAATACGGCGACGCCTTCTGAGGGATCGTTTCCGGGTCAAAGGTTGGTATTTTGGACCGTTCGGAACGTCTGATTCTTCAATCTATTTCCGCATTTTTAGCATTTTAGCACTAAGCTACCTGCTCCCTGGAAACAAGTGGACTTCTTTTCCTTCTTCTGGTCGACTTTTGCCTTCAAGGCGTTTCTTCGAAAAAGGAGAAAGGCTGCCGCAGTTTTGTGGACACAAAGTGTAAGCCGTTGATAAAAGAAAGTTTAATGTTTTAACTCGTTTGCAAGTGAAAGTGCTGTTAGCTAACGTAAGTTCCTGTTTGAGGGGCGGCTAACCAGCTAGCTCTGACATTTCAGCACAGACACGAGGTTTTTATCTGTAATTATTTAATTTAATCTGAGCATATCTGGTGTTATGGGGACTGTAGTTTAAGACAGATACCTGTGTGTGGTTGAAGTGTCTGTTTTAATTGAGTAGGTGTTCATAATTTCATGGTCAGGTGGGTGTATATCACATAAAGATTACTTCAATGGTTGTAAAAGTATATCTGAAAATGTCACAGTAAGGTGTTTTCAGCTTCTGTTTGAGTCAGATTGAATGAGTTAGCAGTATGATTTGATTTACTAATAAAACTTTGAGTTCACAAATCGGGAGTAACTAGTTAGTTTTTACTTTAAATAGAATCATAAAATGTCAAAATGTAAATACTTTACATTTGGAAATAGATATTAGAGGGACAGAGCTCTACCCAGGACAAAGTAGGACCTTTTACCAAGTGATTCAGTCTATATTTATCTCAGGAAAGTGTTATTCTCTTTCTGTTTTAATGCAGTTTTCTCTACATTCAGTAAAGCTGTCAGAAATTACTGTATTTCACTGTGAGCAACACCCAAGATGTAAAAGTTAAACCAACAGAAAAAAAGAGTCACTTGTTAAAGGATAAATCATCAACCCAATGTACAAGTTGTGTATTTTTGAGAGTCTTTTACAAATACACTGTTTTAAAGTACTTTACTTTGGGACATATTAAGACTTTGAGTCATAGAGTTGCCAACTCCCTGAAAAATAAATAGAAACACCACTGGCAGAGCTGGCCAACCCAATAACCTGTTGTTCATTTATTCCAATGATATTTTACAGATTATTTTTGGTTGTCATGGTAATACGGGACAAAGTGTGTCCCTCTTCAGCCCAATACAGGAGGTGTACTTTTGTGTCTAAATTCAGGATGATTCAGTTTTTCAATGGACGGTTGGTGACCCCAGACAGCACAGCAACAGTAAACTGTATTTGTTTATATAATGAAAGGACATCATCAAGAGGAACCATAGACTGTATATAGAATGGATGCCGTCTGCCTCCTTGCTGGGTGAATCCACCCTGAGAACAACGCCCTCTGTTGATGGGCTGCAGTATAGGTCATAAATCCCGCCTCCGCCAGCAAAGCTTTAGCTTATGGAGCTGTGGACAAACTTTAGAAATTTATTACACAGAATATAAATTTTTCTCCCCCCTGCTTGCGATGTTGACATGTAGTTTTCTGTACAGCTCCATTTTTAAAAGTTATTAGGGGTTCATGTTTTCTATGATTGACACCTGGTACAGCCTATTGGCGTTCAGGGATTGTGTAGCTCACCCGGGGGATACGCTGTTTGAGCCGAGCGTCATCACAGCGACTCTTGCGCTGAATGCGCACATCGCTACTGCGCAGCGCTGGTTTCAGGAAATGAAGAAAAATCCTGGAAATACCGAGAGCTTTTTAGCTTCAAATCCATATACAGGCAGGAGGCGGAACCAAGTTGTCCTTAGTATATACAGTCTATGGGTGGAACTCTGTTGTTCCAAAGCAGCTGAATGAACCAAGTTTGTCATCTTGTTACAAATGTCCTAAAACCAAGGACAAGACTTTGTAAATAGATTGTGATTACCCAGGCGTCAACACAAGACCTGGAGCTTCATCGATAATATGAAGTTGTCGAAAGGTGAACTTTTGTTCTGCTTACCTGACTCGTAATTAACTGATATCCTCATGTTTGGTTATTTTCTGTCCTTTAAATCTTATAACACATTCAAGGGAAATGCTGCAGTGTTTTCTGGGGTTGAGCTTCAGTGGAATTTACACTTTATTGACGTTCCCTAGGAACAGGACAGCCTACAGTGTGCAGGCCTCAGTAAAATGTGGAGTATCAGTGTAACATTTGCCACAGTTATGACACAGGCGTTGGATGTCAGCATCATGCGGCTGAGTCACTTTCAGACTTCGTATCAGGAGCGCACAGCTGGTGTAGTGTGGTGGTGATCGTTGAAAAGGCAGCAGCTCTTTCAATGAAGCAGAGCGGAGACGTCTGCCCTGGAGTGGGCTGTGACCTTAGTAACAGCGTTCCATATCCATAGCACATTGACTTACCTTAGGGCATTGTCTAAGTTCTTACGCATGTGTTTGAATTATCTGATTGTCTCTCAGTGTAGGCTCTGGATTTTTTTTTTTTTTAACCTTGGATGAAATATAATCTGTGTTTGATACCTCCGGTTTTCATGTGTTCACCTGGTCTCCTCACAGGGTGTCAGGTCTGGTCCAGGGTTGTTGAACGTTTCATGCACAGAGTAAAAAGGCTGAAAATTGAAGACAAAACAGAAGACGGCCAGAAAAGGTAGGTTCTCTCCCACAGGAGTCTGAGCCGTGTGTTTTTCTGCTTTAGTTTCAATAAAACAAAAGGTCTTTTCTGTCACCCAAATACATAGACTGTGTATCATTAAATTGAATATGCTGTATAGAAAAACAATCACTTAAGTTACTTTGTTGTTCTTGCCATTGAGATCTTAGGTTTACAGAATCAGAACCATGTCAAATACTATTAGACTTTTTTGTGTTTTCTAGATTAAATTTATTTAGTATTTTTGTTTGTTTTATTTGATTAACATGATTTTATGTTTTATATCCCTTTTTATTCTCTTGGCCCATAATGACAGATTTTATTATGTATTTTGAATGTGTCTGTGTAAAGTTCGTCGTATTTGATTTTAGATTCTTCATTGAAAAATTTAGTTTTAGTTATTATCATTGCGTTTTAAATAGCTGTATTATGATGCAGGACTGTAGTACAGCTTTGCTTCGTTTTAGATGTTTCAGCATGGACTGCCTCTGTGTCTGTCTTGTAGATTATGTGATCAGAAGACCAATGCATAGCTTGGTTTTGTTATAAGAACATGTGCTGTGATAAAGAGTTTTAACTGTCTTCAGTCAAAGACTCACATATGCTCCCTGATATACATTGTGATTAACTGGAGATCTGAGGCCTGTACTACGAAGCTGGATTAACACATCCAGGATAACTCTGCGACAACTCGCTAAACTTCACCGGATCTCCGCGATCCCGATCAGCTGTACTACGAAGCAGGATATCAACTCGATAACTGAATCCAGTTCAGATCTGTGCGCGCACACGTAAAGGGGGTCGGGTCAGTGCCACCGGACCAATCTCCACAATGGAGAAGGCTGCACGTCATTTTTCACAGCTGAAGAACAGAGCTTTATTTAAACAGTGAGACAGACACAGCCGCTAAAAGCCGGAGGGACTGCCGGCAAAAAAAATCACCACTTGTGTAAATTACATTTGTGCGTTCATAAATTTATGGACCCCTAATATATTGTCATGCAGCGTGTGTGATCACCACCATCACTGACCTCATTATTTCAGATACAACAGCAGTGGGGAAAAGAGTACGTGGGAGCAAATAAAAATAAATCTAAAAACATCCTTTTAAGTAGTTTGTAAGTTTATTGGAAGATTTTATTTGTACATATTTCAACGCGTAAACAGTGATTTCCTCACACTGCCTTTTTTTTTCTCCATCATCTGATGGTCACGTCATCTGCACACATTTGGGGTTAAGAGTTTTCTAATCTGCTTCAATGAATTCTGAATGATGACTAACAAATTTGAACCTGGAGCTTGGCAAATATTAGTGTATTGCTTAGACTTCATGCTACTTGAATATTGAGGCCGTCCGAGGAAAACCTGTAACGTTCATAGAGAACGTCATCAGGTAAATCAAACGGATTTGAACGATCATGAATATAACGCTCTCGGCGAAGCGCTCCTCTCACTATCCCTGCAACGATGTCCCCGGGATCCGGCAAAAGTGGGCAAGCCATTTTCCAAGAGATCCGATTGGTCAGTGGGCGGTTTTTTATACCTGCTGAGATCTTATCCTGAAACATAACCTGCTCCGGAGCAGGTTTGGCGTTCCGCGTAAGTTACCGGGGCAACGGACCCGGATAAAAAGAGATCCACCTTCGTAGTACAGAAAACCCAGAAGTTATCCAGAAGTTATCTCGCTAAGACCAAATCCAGCTTCGTAGTACAGGCCTCTGATCAGTCTGAGTGTCTGTTCACAGCGTCAGGGACACACTGGCAGGGATGATGGGGGTGGACGAGCTGTCAGACAGCACAGAGGTGGTGGAGATGGAGGACGTGAATCCTACACAGTTCCAGGTGGAGAAACATACATGGGAAGGCTTGAGGAAGATCATCCACAACAGCCGCAAGAACACAGGCGTGGTCATCAACAAGGCACCGCATGACTTCCAGTTCATACAGAAAGACGAGGACAGTCCACACTCCCACCGCATCTACTACCTCGGTGAGCTCAGAGACTGTGGACTCAGACCAGTCGTAGAAAAAGGGATTGTTTAACGGCAGGACCTGATATTATAAAAGTCGTAGCGCTAAATCGTGTCATTTAACACAATAAGTGTCAAAAATGAATCAAACTCTGCTCATATGTAGCCTTTCTTGGTGGGCGCTGACTTGTGTGCCTGCAGATTCAAATGCTTCCTTTCAGTGGCTTTGAGAGGTAGCATGGCTCTGTGAATAATCTGTGGATACAGCTGGTGAGTCAGAGTTGCCAGCTTGTGACTGTTTTTCAAGCCTGTTTGATGTCCAAACAGCTGCAGCGGATGTGTTCAGTGTGTGCTGCAAAAAAATTGAAACCATTTTGCTTTTTTTTGCCATATCTCTATTTTTAATACTGAAGCTGTTGTGCACAGTTTTTCTAGATGGTTTGATTTCTTTTCTGCTTCTCAAGCAGCTGTTTTCATCCAGATTATTCCCGGAAATTATGGCACCTGGGTTGTTGAGTATACAAGGAGTTAGATTTGCATAATCAAGGATTTCACTTCTGTTGCCTCAGTTTTGGTATGAATAATATTAACCCATATTTATGAAACATTGAGGTTATAATTATATAGATCTCAGTTTTGATTAGTATTTCAGTGGCACTTTAAGCTGTACTAGTAACTGCAGATGTGTTTTTGAGTTCAACCATGGTACCAGTTGACTTGCAATGAAGCATTATGCTGTTTCAGGAACAAGTTAAAGTGCAATTCTGTTCTGCTGACAACCTTTAAACTGTCTGCTCAGGTTTATGGTTTATAGCAGTCTCAGATTGTGAACCATGTGGTATTTGCCCTGTAAACGGTGGCTGCCAGAGATTCTGCAAAGAGTTTTAGTGGGCCAATATGTTAAATCAACGCTGCGCCAACTTAGCCAGTATTATACGGTACTGATCCAACAGGAAGCTATTAAAGTAAAAATCTTTGAATTATTATTGAGGTCTTACTGTCACCCCAAAGTTTCCACTGAAAGCCACATTTCGGGGATCATGGGGGAAAAAGTGTCATTGTTTCACTTTCACGTTGACCCCTGTGTTGCACGCCCCGCTGAACTCTCCTGAAATCTCTGATAAATTTTCAGTTAATCAGATTTGTTTTTGATCTAATAGTTGTTGATTCTATCTTTAGTTCAAGCTATTAAGCATAAACACTCAACATTTCTAAAGTAGTTGTTAGGAGGACTGTATTTCTATAACAGCTGTCTTTGATTGCAGAAATAAATGGTTTTGGTGTCAAAATGAAAGAGAGAGCAGTTGTTGGAGGTGGTGACTATATTAGCAGATGACCAGAAATCAGGTTCCCTAGTAAGAAATAAACCTGACCTGCTCTGTGCTCTCTGTTCTGACAGGAATGCCTTACAGCAGCAGGGAAAATGCTTTACTCTACTCGGACATTCCCAAGAAGATCCGCAAAGACGCTCTGTTGGTTCTGTCATGGAAACCGCTGCTGGATCACTTTCAGGTGAGGAGGATTTACTTTCTTCCTCCTTTACTCTCTGACTTTGTAATGTGAATACCGTCATTGACCCCGTTCTGCCAGCATTGTCACGCCGTGTATCCTCTTGTCACCTCTGATCTCAGGCCAGCCCTCACCATGGGGCCATCTCACGGGAGGAGGAGCTGCTTCGGGAGAGGAAACGTCTGGGGGTCTCAGGCATCACTTCCTATGATTATCACCGACCCAGCGGCTTATTTTTGTTTCAGGCCAACAGCAGTCTGTACTACTGCCGTGATGGTGGAAACAAAAGCTTAATTGTGAGTCAAAAGATGGTTACGTTACATCTCAAGTCAATATAATCCCCTACTCATGCTTTACATCATACCTCAAAACCACTTCCCCCTCTGTGAGTCCTTTTCATCTGAAAGTTTTGATCAAATCAAAAGATATGCACCCACACAGGGTGCTGTTTAGATATTGGTTGATATTGGTTATCAGATCGTTGAACAATTAGTACAATATGTTCCTTTTATGTGGAGAAGAGATATAAACTAGCTTAAAGTCTAAGTGCTAAATTACAAAATAAGTCTCAATATTTTATTTAAAGGTGGGGTAGGCAGGATTCCATTAAAGAAGCATCTTTTTTTGTGGTGTATACACAAAAAAGCTTTTAATATCATTCAATCAGTCATCAGTTATTGATGACACTTGGTAACATAACGATATTGCTGTTTTGTTATGTCTGTGTAGTCAACATTTTAAGTTTTTCGAGCAGCCCGCTCTTTCTGACTGTAAACAAAGCCATTCTCCGCCTCCCCCAACCTGATTGGTTGTGAGGCAGACGCTGCTCCCTCGTGTTGTGAGGCACGCTCCACCTCCTCGAATAACGTTCACGAGCCCAAACAAAGTTAGCGTGCTACAATATCGGACAGTAGAAACCAACCAGAAAGTACAGAAAATTGTCCGAATCCTCCTTTGACCACGACTGCCAACACAAGCAAGAAAACAAAGTAAAAACCAGAGACTCTGGGGGAATAACGCACGCTTAAAAAGGAGAATTTTATTGAAACGATACGAGCAAACAGGAGCGTCTGTTGGTGGGTGGAGCTTCCTGGAGCAGAGACGGAGGGGAGAGGAGGAGCTGAGGGGAAAACTGGTTAGGAGTGGTAGTGTTTACATTTAAGATTTCTCCCAAAAACTAGCACTTCCTCAGATCATGCCTACCCCACCTTTAAGTGCTGAAATGGTGTAATGGTACTTATTGAATATGTAGATTTTATTGAAAAGTTTTGCACCTTCTTTTGTAGACCATTTCACACCAATCACTGGAGGATGTGATGGTTTTCATCAAACAGTTACAGTTGCTGATCTGTGGGAGGCAGGTAAACATCAGTAAAAAAACCTAATGGCCATCACAACCTGATGATGATAATCATTGTCAAAAGCTTTAGTAGCTCAAGTAATAATAATAATAATATCAGTAGTAAATAGTGAAATCGTCCTTAAGTCTCGGAGTATTGGTGATCGAAGAAAAAGAAATGATTTTATGATTGAAAGTTAGAATAACAAAATTATTTTGAGTAGACTGAGTAAGGAACTTCAAACAAATCAAGAGTTTTCTCAGACTTTTGAAGCTAATAAAGATTAACATCATTAATGTTTCTGAAAATCAAAAACATTAGTGATTCAAAGAATTGCATCTCTTTCCCTTCCCAGCCTAATAACCCATTCCAGACTGACCCTCCCTGCCTCCATGTTTGAATCATTTAATGCTGCTCTGAGGACAGATTGAATTCTGTTCACCTAGACTCCACACAAAGGCGACCTGATGATCCCTCTAAGACTACAGTTCATCACATGTTCTTTAAACTTCATGGTCACTCACAAGAGATGCATTTGAAGGCGTGACCAGCTGTTTTTCTAACTGTCTGATGTATTTAGATCAGTGAGGGGCCAGTTACCTGGTCTGATCAGCCCCTGATTCCTGTGGTTCTAACCTCTGATGTTCCTCTTTTCCTCTTGTGCACAGACGTCTCCTATGGAGCCTATTGAGATCAAAAGCCAAAGTTCAGGCACACGCATGGACCCCAAGATCTGCCCCGCAGACCCAAATATCATCGGCTTCATCAACAACAATGACATCTGGGTGACCAGCATTGAGACCGGTGAAGAGCGGAGGATTACCTTCTGCCAGAAAGGTCAGGACTCAGATGGTCAGATGTTCTCATCTAGAGCTTTGGTTTTAGGGCTCCTCAGAGGAACTTTGGGTTTGGGTCATCTTTAGCGCCCCCTGTGGACATACTCTTACTACTCTTCACAGGAGTATTAATGCCGTGTTTTTGTTCTGTTTCCATGGTAGGGTTGAATAACCCCAAAGATGACCCAAAATCTGCGGGTATAGCCACTTTTGTCACGCAAGAAGAGTTTGACCGCTTCACCGGATACTGGTGGTCACCTGCTGCTCGAGAAGGTGAGTCATAGAGACACAAAGAAAAACAATCAGATGAAGTCGACATACGTAACTTTTCCACACACACAGACTGAAGTAAACACATACATGAACTGAATCCTGTGGGCAATAATGCAGAGATGTCAGATGGAGAAGACTTGCACATAGGTGAGTGTCCTGAGCCGTTGGAAGTTTGGTGCCCTGCTCAAAGGAAGTGTCTAGGAAGTGAACTGGCACCACATTCAGCTACCGGACCAATTATAAAGTTGGTCTGTATGAGGACTTGAATCAGAGCCAACCCCCACCCTCACACACACGCACCCTACAGACTGACCTACTGCTGCCCCAAGTAATCGTAGAAAATTACAAGTGATTATTCACAGTCATAAATGAAAAAGTATTGGTATTAGACTCTTAAAATAAAACTTTATCTGCTTTCTTGTAGTAAAACAAGGATGATGATGTCAGTAATGGATCAATACGATCAAGAATCGGATGTTTACCATGTACAGTTCAGCTGTTAGTCAAAACTGTCTCTGACTGGTTTTACTGGTTTGACTCTCTGGTGCAGAATCAGATGGTGGAAAAACTCTGCAGATTCTGTATGAAGAAGTAGACGAGTCTGAAGTGGAGATCATTCATGTTCCATCTCCAGCTCTGGAGGAGCGCAAGACCGACGTCTACAGATACCCCCGCGCAGGTACACAAATGAGCTCTTTTTGAACATGTGAAATATTTGACGTGTTTGTTGCTGCGCTTGTATATGAGTTATTTTTTAAGGTGCTGCACATCATCTGAACATTTCCCACAGTTTATTCAGATGCCTGATGATAGGAAACTTTGGTTGCATTGTAAAAAATATGCCTAAAAATGAAGAAAGATACAGATTTAGTACTTTACATGTCAAAGAGTGGCCAGGAAAAGAATGACATGATTGTATGTGGTGAATAAAAACCTATAATATGAGAGATAAGGATGAGTTTAGCTCATGTGATATTATAAGACAGAAACTGATCTGAGGATTTTTGCCAACTTTTATGCAAGAGTAGGATTTTTTTGTTCTCTTTCAAACTAACAATTTCACACCAGCGTCTCAAATAATCCCTGCTTTGTGCTGAGAATCGCTCCGCTGTGCTAAAATACAAGGCTTGCTCAACTCCCTTTACACACAAGCTGCTGCTCTGATTTCTGCTCTGCCGTGGAATTTTTCCTGTAGCAACCATTTCCTAAATCCCCTGAACAATAGAATTTAGGAGGTATTGAACCCATGAAATGATCCCAGCGTCATTGTGTGTGAGTTTGCTTCTCTATTGACAGTTTTTCCGCATTTCTGCCCTGAAAGCTGTAGTGTATTTGCTTCTCTTGTTGCAACATCATAGTGATGACCCTTTGGAGTCCGTGCTGCTGGTTGGGATGTAATTTTTTTTTTTTTTACATGTATGGGGCCCCAGAGGAACAAGGACTGCAACAAGTTTGGTCTCAGTAGCTTGGGCCAAATTGATTTTTGTTCTTGTAAATACTGTTATCCCCTCGCTAATTTAAGACCAGCAGTCGGCGGAGGACTTGAAGAAGTCTGAGGATGATCAGTCTGTGTTTCATGAGTTAAAATGGGATTATAAACAAATTCTAAAAGCTGCAAATTTGTCTTTTGTAAGGAAGTCAACCACTGAAGCAAAGTTTCACACGAATTTAAGGCTGTTTGAGAAGATTGTAAACTCTTGATGATCACAACCTCACTTTAACCAAATAGAATTTATAGTTCGAAAATAAAAATTCTCTTAATGATCGATCATGAACTGCAAAGCAAAAATATCTGGGAGGTTGAATGTGTGTTTATTTTTTGGTATGTAACCCGGTTTGTTTGTATTCAGGCAGCAAGAATCCTGATATAACTCTCAAAATAGCAGAAATCAGGACAGACAATCTCGGCAAAGTGAGTGCCTGTTCAGTGCCCTAAAACGTTTTAGTTTCACCCGAAGCTTCTTTGAAAATGTTCAAATGAAAGCTTCGTTTTGTTTTTCTTAGATCATCAGCACACAGGAGAAGGAGTTGCCTGTTCCCTTCACGCGCTTGTTCCCTGATGCTGAATACATCACCAGAGCTGGATGGACCAAAGATGGACGATAGTAAGTGTTACCCTCAAAAGAGTAGGATTTTATTCTGGACTCTCTCACATCTTTCACACCTCTTTCTCTGTGTTTATCAGTGCGTGGGCAGTCTTGATGGATCGACGGCAGAAGCACCTCCAGTTGGCCTTGCTTCCTCCAGCACTCTTCATTCCTGCACATCAGGATGAGGCCAGCAGACAGGAGAGTCTGGAGGCTCTAGGAAAGACCGTCCATCCTTTTATCATCTACCAGGAAACCAGCGACATCTGGATCAATGTGAGGCTTCACTTCACATCTCTTTCAGACCAGCTTGAACGCCAGTTTGTTGTCATGTCTTATAGATTGTGTTTCTGTGATTGTCCCTCAGGTCCATGACATCTTTTATCCATTCATCCAAACCAGTGATGATGAGATCACCTTCATCATAGTGAATGAGTCAAAAACAGGTTTCTGTCACCTGTATAAGATCACCTCAGAGTTACAGCAAGGCACCTACGACTGGGCCAAAGGCTACACACACTCTGAAGGTAACAGCATTGAGACGCAGGATCATGTGACACATTCAGATTTCCCACGAGTGTGCAAAACTGATTACTAAGCATTTGAATCTCTGAGAAAAATCAAACTTCTGCTGATGGACTAAACAGATTCATGTCTTTGGTCTCATTTTGTCGGTTTAGTTTAGAGATGTTTTGTAGATTCTCTTCTGACTTAGTCATTATTTTCATTTTGTTTTATTTTGGTGAATAAATCCTTCAAAACTCCTTCAATCACATTAATTGTTCCAGTTTGTTACCTGCTCACTTGTTTTCCTCCTCTCTCACCAGATGATTTCAAGTGTTCTGTCAAAGAGGAGGTGACGATAACGAGCGGGGAGTGGGAGGTTCTGGCTAATCATGGAGCAAAGGTGAAGCTTACATGCAGGTCAAGGGTTAACTGTGCTCAGTGCTGCACTGACACGACCAAAACACACTAACAATCGTACACAGCAACTCAACAGCACTCAGCAGGAAATGACTTGTAAGATGTGAACTTGATGGTCGCATACACTCCAGTAGTCGTGGCAGCTGATTAATTATTAACAATCGATAATTAACAATTAGCAAGAAAAGAAAATTCTAAAAGAAACCATCCTGAATATTTTTTGCTTACTGTGAGTGTGTCCAAATAAAATGTGTCTCAGCTGTTTTGTAATTTTTTCTCTGTTGTGTTTCTTTTTTTTTTTTTTTGACAGCGGATATCCTCTCCTCAGATTTGGGTGGATGAATCATCGAAGCTGGTTTACTTTCAGGGAACCAAAGACTCTCCTCTCGAACATCATCTCTATGTGATCAGCTACGACTCGCCAGGTGAAATGGTCCGACTCACCAAACCAGGCTTCTCACACAGCTGCTCAGTGAGCCAGGTATCCTAACAGACCATCCATACCCGAACAGAAACAACCTCATTAGTATTGTCTGAATAGAAATCATCATTATTATCAGAATAACTAGAACTTGGAACTTTTTAGTGAAAGCTTTTTAAGCCTTTTATCGTATGTTTCCGTCTTCTTCGCAGACTTTCGACATGTTCATCAGCCATTACAGCAGTTTGACCGCATCGCCCTGTGTGCACATCTACAAGCTGAACGACACAGACGGAAACCCGCTGCACAAAGAGCCAGAGTTCTGGGCGAGCATGATGGAGTCCTCTGGTACTGAAAACAAACTGTTCAAGAGTTCAGCAGTCAGTTTGTAGCAGATGAAATGTTGTAAATCAGCCAAGATGGTTTATTTTCCACATCATTTAGCGATGACACTGTCCAGTTATTTAAATAGTTAAATGACCTAAAATCAGGGCGACCAAACAATTAATGTTTTCAATCTAAATTAATTACTTTATTCTGTCAGTAAATGTCAATCAATAGTGTTTTGACCCAGTTATCCATTTTCTTAAACTCATCTAGAGTTGGATCAGTTGAGCAAGTTTCCCCAAACATCACTTCCTGAGCAACACTTTCTAGCTTATCCTGGGAAATTCTAAGACGCCCTCATACCAGACAAAAACCCCATTAGTTCATTCTGGATCAACTACGGGGTCCCCTTCATAGTTGGACATGCCTCCCAAAGGAAGGCGCCTAGGAGGCCCCCCTGATCAGGACCATCTCGGCTCACTTCTGTCCATGTGAAGGAGTAGCATCTCCACTCCAAAGTCCCCCGGATCTCTTGACTCCCCCGGATCTCTTGACTCTCTCTCCAAGTCTTAGACCGGCCACTTTTTGTAGGAACTCATTTCAGCCGCTCGTATCCATAATCTCATTCTTTTGGTCATTACCTACAGCTCATGGCCGTGAGTAAGAGTTAGGACTCAAAGCTTTGCCTTCAGGCTCAGCTCCCTTTTCACCACAGTGGTCTGGCACAATGCCCGCATAACATACTGAGACCGCAGCCACACATCTATCAGTCCTGCTATCCGTTTTATCCTTACTCGCGAACAGGACTCTAAAATGCTTGAACTCTTTTACTCAGGGCCTGGTCTCAGTTGCCAGTAAAAATATGAATTTACATGTTTTCTGTTGTTACTTTACATTACAGCAGGTAATGGAGGTTTTTCTGTTTGTTTGTAGGTTTCCTGTGTGACCGCATAACCCCAGAGATCTTCAGCTTCACAGGGAAGTCAGGGTTTGAGCTGTACGGTATGTTGTACAAACCGCACAACCTGATGCCGGGCAGGAAGCATCCCACAGTCGTCTTTGTGTACGGTGGCCCACAGGTTCAGTCTCCTCTATTATCCTAATGTTCTCCTCAAATTGTTCGATTGAATGATGTGGATCTAAACGGGTTTGTTGTCTTCCAGGTCCAGTTGGTGAATAACTCTTACAAAGGACTGAAGTATCTGCGGCTCAGCACGCTGGCATCTCTGGGCTACGCTGTGCTGATCATCGATGGGCGGGGCTCCTGTCAGCGGGGCTTAAAGTTTGAAGGAGCAGTGAAGGACAAGATGGTAGCGATTTGTGAAAGTTTACATTTTTGGGCTGTAGTCACTTCTTTCTCCAACATGCTGTCTTTTTGGCACATAAACTTAGATGACAGTATCAATCAGTATCAATTTCAGGTGAGTTACCTCTGTGTTTTCTTCTGCTCAGGGTCTGGTGGAGATTGAAGACCAGGTGGAGGGTTTGCACTATGTAGCTGACAAGTACAAGTTTGTGGACCTAAGTCGAGTTGCCATTCACGGTTGGTCGTACGGAGGCTTCTTGTCCCTGATGGGCCTCATCCACAAACCTGATATCTTCAAGGTGAGTCGGTTATCACTTTGAAGCTTAAAACCCAGCACTCTGAACTCATCTTGTTTTTCGTCAGCTGAAGAAATCTAAAATTCTTTGTTCGACTCTTCGATTAAATTTTTTTCAGGTATCGATTGCAGGAGCGCCCGTGACATTGTGGATGGCCTACGACACCGGCTACACAGAGCGGTATTTGGACATGCCTGAACAGAACCAGAGGGGTTACAGGGCTTGTTCTGTCGCCCTGCATGTGGACAAACTCCCCAATGAGTGAGAGCTGTCTCTTGCACACTTTCATACCTATTTTCAGGCAGTATTTTGCTGTTTCTTCCGTCTGCTAACCTCTTGAATAAAACATGGCTGGTTCCCGTGCTGAAGACAGAACACTGATTTGTACAGTCTGAATCTGACTCTGCTTTCCTCTAAGCTGTTCTCACATTCACTCCTACATACAGTGTTAATGTATGCTTGTATTGAGAGCATAAAAAATAACCAAGAGTTGGGTTTTTGTTTGGATTCCAGGCCGAACAGGCTGCTGATCCTTCACGGGTTTCTAGATGAGAACGTGCACTTTTTCCACACAAACTTCTTGGTGTCTCAGCTCATCCGGGCAGGAAAGCCGTACAGCCTGCAGGTACGTCATTCACATATTAAAGGAATCCAGGTCTGTCTCTTTGTTGTTATATGAGGAGGACAGGATTCCTGAAAAATATTAAAATTTAATGGTTTGAAAGCCAAACAAAATTATACTTATCTACTTTAACTGCTTCTTTGGCACAAAAAAATATTTTTGGTGGTTAAATGTACAAAATTTTTCATGTAAGTTGTTATTATTATCATTGTTATTATTATTATTATTATTATTATTATTATTATTATTATTATTATTATTATTATTGTTATTGTTATAATTATTATTATTATTATTATTATTATTATTATTATTACTATTATTACATACATATTTATCCATCTTTTCTCCTTTGTCTTATGAAGGTTTATCCCAATGAGCGGCACAGCATTCGATGTCCAGAGTCTGGGGAACATTATGAGATTACGTTGCTGCACTTCCTCCAGGAGAACCTCTGATAAGCCTTCCTCTGCACACTGAGCCTTTCCTCCTTTTTACTACTTCCTTTTTCTGTCTCCTTGATTTATTTAAACATGCATCACTTTTACCTGATTTTCTGATCTATTTAATTCAAGCTATGCCAAACCTCATCACACCTAAAGTGCTGGTTTTTAGTCTTTATGTACCTTAACCATTTTAGCATCTACAAACCATTAAAACAGAAGAGATATCTGCTGGATGTTGTAGGCACTCAAACAAGCAGAGGGCGCTGTTCAGCCATGCAATTATTGCAACAGCCCTCTGAGGCTGCAGTTATAAAAGGTGGTGTTCGTTGCATCTCTAAAACATGTCTGCAAAGCAAAAAGTACTCGAGTAGAGCTGCTAAGCCCAGGAGATTCCTCTTTTTCCACGCCATTCATGCTTTTTTAATTAAGTTCTTGCCTAATCTTTCCGGGTCCTGACTGAGAAAGTCGTCATGTTTCTCTCTGTTACTAAAAAAAAAAAAACACTGGAGTGAAGAGTCATAGATATGAAGCTCATCAAGAACAAACAAGCGAACTCTCAACACCTCTGTCATGTATTCTTGTCGTGCAATCATAAATGACCTTTTATGTGCTGTGCCACTCTGAAGTGTATCTATAAGAAAAAACACATGCCATATTTTTATTGAAACATATTTTTATGGATTCTTATGCATTCTTAAAGAGAAGAAATATGTAGCGACCTGTTGTCTTTCAGTTGCTCGCTTGCTTTAATTTCCTGTGAAGCTTCTTTTTCTTCTGCTGCTGCTGCTGCTGACTTTTTGCACACATTACATGTTTGCCTTGGTGCCAACAAATGTACCTGTGAAATGATGTATGACACAGCCGTTGGCAGTCTGAGGTGCCTTGTGAGAGTGTAAGAGTGCTTGCTCATGAAGCTGATATCAGGGAATCTGAGGACCTACAATGATAAAAATGCCTTGTTACCTGTGTGTCTGTCTGATGAGCTCTCATCACCTGTTTGAGGTCTGATGTATCTCAGATGTTTAAGAAATAAACTGATGTGAACAATCTCTTTAAAGTCCTGTCCAAACACCAAAATGTCTCTTCCTTTTTAACAAAGCAAAGCTGAGCAAGGATTGAAGATGAGACCCAAAGAATATGGTCCAGGTTTGCTCTTTCTATGAAACCAGACAAGAGTTTATGTTATATAACTAAAGATTGATTTATAATTATTGAATAGGTAATTTCGCTCAACTTGATTCGATGGACGTTTCAACAGATAACAATTTCTCATCAAAACTTTGTAATCTTTGTGTTTTTGATGTTAATTATCTACCATGTGTTTAAAGCTCTGTCTTTGAAATCGTCACATGCAGATCATTTCCATGACGTAATAATCATTTTGCACTGCAGACGTGGTAGTTCTTCTGCCTTAGCATCTCGGTCTGATTGCATTTCCACAAAGTAATAATTGCAAATGTTCTTCCTTGAGCTGCGAAACTCCACTGCACTCGGTGATCGACTCGTCAGGGCAGATCAAGAGGTGTTTAGTCTCTTTGCCAAAGAAATTAGGCAAAGCTAAAAAGATGTTTGGTGGCTAGTACTATGGCTGGGACCCTATATGTACTGTTGATGAAGTTAGGTGCTGTTCTGAACATTATTTGTGGCTATAGAGTGGTACAAACCACTAATTAAGAGTTTAAAAGATAATTCCTTTGATGTCTCTTCCTTCATTAAACTGTTGACTGGCTGTTTATATTTAGTCTGAAGCTTGAAAATAGGTGCAACACACCTATACCACAATTTATGTTAAACCGTTTTTTTCATGGAAACATCACTCTAAGTTTTCAGGTGTTGATTTATGAACTGAACGCTTGCATTTCTATGTACTGTACCTCACCAGCAGAGGGCAGTATTACTCCAGAGATTCTATGCATATTCATCAAACATTATGTGGGACTCCACCAAGAGCCTTTCACTACAAAACTGTGTACTTCTAATTGCAAACATTTGTCCAAAACACATGAATCTGAAGTCTAGAAACACCAACTTAACCGCAGAAATAGAGCAGGTGAGATATGATTGTTTTTTTATAGTTTATACTTAGGATTTGAATTCTCTTGTGGTGAAAACTTCTCTTCAATAACATGATGAATTTAATTTTAAAAAAGAGCAGATTAAACCTTTACCTTTCCTCTCTGTTGTTCTACTAGAGAAGAACAGAACAGAGGAATTAAGTTAGTTTTTATATGGAAAATATTTGTGATTGTATGTATCAAGTCTAATTTTAACATTTAGATTTAACTCATGGGGGCCCTTTATAAACTTCAGTATAACTGTATGAAAATGTTTATTATGATCGCTCATCTGTTGACTTCATGGTGTTAGCTGATCTTTTCAGTACAAAGGAAGCGCAAAAACAGGATTCATTCAACCTTTTAAAAACTTTATTTTCATCCACTTTATAAGAATAAAATGTATAAAAGAGTTTAGAGTGTACACATGTTAAGTCAATAATACACTATTCATCAGAAATGTTCAAGACACAGACTTCATATAAGAAGTAAAACCCTTATAAAGGAAATGAAGCTTCGCCTGTCAATATGACAGAGGATGTCCACTGAGACAGTGATTTCTCTTATAGCATAGCATAGAAAGACATGAGGATCCAGAGATCATTGATGTGCTTCATGAAATAAACAGTCTGCTGCTCTCAGTCCCTTCAGCTCTTTGTCCTTTTTGAAAACTGAGCTGCTTAGTGTTTTATTGTGGCGGGGGCCATCTTGAGGAGAGTGGTCTTCACAGAGGTGACTGGTCCCTCTGTGGACGTCCAAAACATCCCCTGTCTCCTGGACTGATGTCGTCTGAGCATGCTCTGCCTCCTGGGATATCTTCCGTTGAGGTTTGACTCCCCACAACTGCTGAACCACCAACCACCTGCGAAACAAAAGAAAGTTCATCATTACTTCTTCTAGTTCCTCCTCATGTTTCCTGATATTTCAGATGCTGCGTCTGTATGTGCTCAGGTGGAGGTGACGGTGCAGCAGTCTTACCTGAGAGCAGCTCAGCACAGTTGACGTCTTTGGCGAGGTCGTTGTCTCTGTCAGTGGTGGAAAAGGGAAGACCAGAGGCTCCGGTCGTTATGATGTTCTCCTGACCCTCAGACTCCGGCTGAAGGTGGAGAGCGAACATCGTCTCTTCTCCGTCAAGTTGGAACCCGTAGTGAGCCTCCTTCTTCTCCCCAGCCATGTCAGAAACCTCCACCTGCAGGACGTACTCCCCTTGTTTGGAGAGCGAGTGGATGTTCTCCAAGCCAAGCCAGAACTCACCTGCAGGATGAGACATTTACAGGTTAGATTTCACAGCCCACGTTCGATTGTGCTCATTTTCATAAACTTTTCAATGGTTTCTGTGTTGTGCTCACCATTCAGGTTTCCAAAGCCTCTCTTGTAGCTGTCCCAGAGTTGGTTGAAGTTCTGGGATCCATCGAGACGTTTCTGAATGATGGTCCATCCACCTTCTGCCAAGCGAGCACAGAGAGAGAAAAGGTTGAGTTAAAGAGGCTAAAACTGAGTAAGTTTGATTTTTATGGTCCTTATTTTTTGAGAGAATCTGTGATTTCATCTAAGTCCTTTAAGTTTCAAAGACAGAGACTTGTCTGACTCACCTGAGGTCATTTCACAGAAGACGTTGAAGGGCTTGGAGCTCTCTGGTTGGATAGTGTAGATGCCGCTGGCTCGCTCCCCTTGTACAAACAGATCATGACAGTCTTTGCCGAAATCTGAGAAAACAGAAGATAGAAAACTGATCAGATGATGATCCAGAGATCAGACGTCACATACGACTATAAATCCCTATGATCTGAGTGTGCAAAGGCAAAGCTTAGCGTGTCCTGTAAACAGTGCAGTAGGTGTGTTTTGAAAGTTGTTGTCCGAGTTTCTCCTGATCTTTGGACTGTGTGTGAGCCGCTCTGCCAGCGCGTCAAATATTGTAAAAGGAGGTGCGAAGGTGAACATTTCCTGCTCTTATGTCACTTTAGGATACATCACTGTACATCTTATGAGATCTGTACTCTCTCAGTAAAGGTTAACTCTACTGAGGGTGTAGAGCTTTAACTCTACAAGTAAATGAGTTCTTTAAAGGTCAAACCTTCAACAACAAGAACTCTGGTCAAAGTCTTTCCAACACCATCACCTATTTAAAGTTTTCTTTGCCCTCACTGCAAATGATTTCATCACTTTTTAACATCGTTTTCCTGAGGGTCTGATTTCTCACCTGATGTCTGTCCGCTCAGCTCAGCCTCTCCCCTCAGGACTGTCTCTTCATCTCTGCGTCGGTGAGATTTCACTCTTTTATGTGCGACCTGGTGGAACAAAATTCACGCTCAGTAAATACAGAAACTGAAACTGTAATTTTTTTTAATATCATACATCAGCTCAAACAGGCGGAGGATTTTAAGGTGCTGTAACTCACCTTGCTCTGCAGAGCTTGCAGGTGAAGACTCTGTTTCTCCAGCTTGTCTTGTTGCTGCTGGATTTTCTCCACCAGCTGGTCGATGCGTCGGTTCTGAGCAGCCAAAAGTCTCTGAAAATCAGCCGGGAAATAATCGTTAGTTCAACTGTAAAAGTCAGTCAACACCGGTCAGGGAAAGAGACACCCACATGAATGTTTCTGTCCTCACCTGGATAAATGAAGCTCCTGTGTGCTCGCTGTTGTTGCTCTCCAGTTTGGGCTCTTTCAGCACCTCCTCCACCTTCTCCTCTAGTCTGTCCATCCTGGAGTGGATGTCCTCACCCTGCTTCTTCATCTCCTCCACCTTCACTCTCACCTCCTCGCTCAGCCTTTCAGCCAGCCTCTCCTTCTCCTCCACCCCTTTGCTCCCGGCCATCAGATCCTCGCTTTGCTCCCTCTGCTTCCTCTCCAGCTCGGTCAGCGTGCCGTTGAAGGCTTTCAGTTTGGCGTTGACATCTCTCATCTGGGCTTTGCTCTTGTCCACGTGCTCCTTCAGACCCTGACCCAGCTGCAGGAGGCCGTGAGCCACCACGTTCACATCGTCCCAGGAGGCGTGTTTCTCTTGTTGTCTTCTGTCAGAGGGGAAAGCAGATACTGCGTTCACCAAGATGGTCAGGAGGAGGACGAGAAGCGTTGGCATCTTCATCTTTGTGTCTGTTGAAGGTTCGTGTCTCTTTGAGGTCTTGTTCTGGTGTCTCTGTCTGTCTCTGTTGTCTGCTCCTGAATGGCTCTCTGGGCTCTTTTATAGCCGAGTGCTGCAGCAGAGATCCGCTCTGGTTGGTTGTTTGAGCACATAAGGGAGTGGACAGAGGGGGGCTGAGGGCGTGGAAAGTCTTTCAGAGTGAAAACTGCTTTGAGGACTCGAACCATGACGCAATAAAAGCTCTAAATTACCGATTAAACATCAGTACAGGATTATTTTTTCTTTTTTAAAGACCTGGGGGATTTCGAAGAACTCAGTCTGCAAATACCTGATTTTAAACATCACGTAATTGTGAAATAAGTCAAATATTTACCGTATAAATGACAGTGTAGTTGTTTCCTGGAGTCTCGATAAAGAATAACTACATATTTTATTAGTCAGGTTGGAGTATATTAGAAAACTACAACAAATAACCATCACAAAAGTCAAGGGGAAAAATTGACCTCTTTAAATGTCTTGTTTCATGTGTTTTGACTCATAATTACAGACTAAAAACTTCATAAAAAAGAGCATTGAAATCTCTTCTTGGATTAAAAACACTTTAAATGCAAAATTAAAATACCTTTGGCCATTTTTTATACGTCTTACAAAACTGTAATCCTTTTTAAAACTAGAGTTAACAGGTGACATTTTTTAAGTAACATTTTTGCATTTATTCAGACTTTAACTTCATACATGTCAAACTTAAGCTGTTCCTGAAAATGTCCAATTTTACACCCCAGACTCTGAATCAAAGTGAGTGTGCCACACTTCTATTTCATTCAGGAAACTCATCTACAAACACCAAACCATGTGGTCTGATAATATAAAGTCTTTTTATGCGAAAATTCAGTTTTATTCATTCATTCAGAAATTCATCGCCTTCTTTTTTTCTTTGTCCTCTTAAAGGGATCGTTGAATTTTGTTGTTTATTTCAGTCGGTGGAGTGTTTCAGTGTCTGTCTGCAGCATGAATCAGGAATGCTGGAGAACAGTCAGAGACGGAGGAGTCAGTCAGTGTGAGAAGTAGGGGAAAGTTCAGCCCTCAGGCCTCATTCCTGACAGCAAAAATCCAACAATCACACGCGCGCACACACACACCCAGACATCAGGCACGTGGTGTACTGATGAGGTACAGATGTCAGGCCAAACACTGAGCACACAAACTGTTCATTTTGCCAAACAATGACTTGATGACGTATGAGGGAAGTGATTTACAGTGATGCTATAGAAGTAACTCTATACAAAGGTCAGCGGAAATCCCACATTGTATATGTATGAGTAAAAAAAAGCTGAATAGTTTTATGTGAACTACTTATCGTAGGTTAGACGGAAAGAATTAGCTGTCCTTACACTGAGAGTTCAACTGCTTTTCTCTGTTTAGACACAGAGTCGATGAAACTCTGACTGGTGGTACATGAGAAAAACACCAAATCTGTGATATTTAGTCCAAAAGGAAATCAAGTCTTAACACTCTTGTCGGTGTGTATCAGCTTCTGAGGACCATGAATGTTTTCCCCGAGTATAATGATAATGAAATAGATTGTAACTCAGACCTCCACCTACAGAGACCACAGACTGTATGAAACATGCACAGCACAACAGTTCCTTCAGAGTGAAGCCAAAACTTTCAGCCTCCTCTGCTGAGGAGGCTGAAAGTCTCCGCCGCCATCGCCTCTTTCAGTCTCCGCCGCCATCGCCTCTGCGTCTGCGTCTGTGGCATTATGAGTGACCGCTCAGTTGTCATATGTAAGCCTGTGTCAGATTAGCAGAGTAGAGGAGATTTGTGGGGTGTGATGCTAATCCTGTGGCTCCATGTCAGCACCTACCCGGGCACGATATTTTTTTTTTGTGGGATGGTAGGGGAAGGTCCGCCTCCTTTGGCTCTGTTTGGCTAGAAAAGCTGGAAACGTCATCACACGCTCAAGCCAAACTGGGGCTGTCGGCTCTGTGCATCGAACAGAACATTACAGAACATTATCACACTTCTGAATCGCCTTACCCTTACCCTAACGGACAGACGATGACGTTTCACAGCCATAAGGAATAATCAATCAGAGCCCAGCACTTCTCGCCAATTAGAGGCGAAGGAGGGCGAGACCTTCCCTTACTATCCTACAACAAAAAAATTCGCTATCCGGGCAGTTTTTTGGCTTCATGTTGCCATGTTGGGGTGAGATGAAGGTGTGCAGTTTATCGTACAATTACAGCTGGAAAACAATTTGGCAAAAGTGGAAATTTTGACTGTAGTTTGTGATTTACACACAGTTTTTATCATGCAAAGGAAAAAAGTCGTGGATTTGTTTTGTTTTTTTTACAACAGAAAGTGAAATCCCTGTTTGTCTTATTGAATCATTTCCAAACTCTGACGTGACTCTTTGATTAGGAATAGCTCTGTTTAATGTGGGGGTGGAGGATTTACCAACTGCATTACTGTAAAAGGGATTAAAAGGAGAAGTGGTTCAAAGTGAAACCACGCTGGCAGTGACAAACTCTGTTTGCGTAGCTTTTAGCACAGATTCAAAGTCCGAGAAGATTACACTTGGACAAATTTTAGCTCATATATGTTCCAGATACCCGAATTTACTCGTGTTTATATTCCATATATAGCTGCAGGGATTTTAACCTGCCTTTACGTCACCCTGTAACTGTCCGTATCAGACTCTCAAACATTGACTCTGTGCACAGCAGTGAGTCAAACCCCTGTTGACTGCGCCCAGAACATTGGCTTGTGAACGAGCGCACGTATCTGCGCAACAGGCTGCTGTTCTGCACGTCTCCTCCGCTCTGCACGTCTGCTTGGCTCTGCTGTGCTCAGCTGACCTGAGGCACAGCATTATGTCTGCAGTTCAGTCTCCATCATCCTAATTCAGCTGTGTCAGAACAAAATATCTCTCACGTGTCTGTGCTTCTAACCAGTTTCAATAATAGCTGCTTTCCTGTTAACTTGTCCAGACACAGGAGGAGTCGAGTGTTTGTGTTAAAGTCATTAAAAATGTGCTGGCTGACTTCATGGAATCCTGCAAGGAAACTCCAAAGAACCAATGAGAGCATGTTGCCTGGTTACTTTTGTTATTTTTACCACAGCCAGCCATTATTCTGCCTTTGGGAAAAACGTCAAATAAAGGGAACACCCTTATTTTCCTCTTTGAAATGATAATCAGCCAAGCCCCCGGTGAAAGCTCCAACACTGACTGCATCCATTACATCCTCACTATGGCTCATCTTCATCTCCTTTATCACCGTCTCTGTGATTTATGTGCTCATACCATCCTTAGCTTCTAGATTTTCACTGTTCATCAGTTGTGATTGTGTCATTAACCAATTGATAAAAAAAGACTGATCACATTACAGCAACAAAATTTGATATCTAGTCATATGGCTCTATCACCTGCCAATTTACAGCTGACTCCTTCTGAATCTTATCTGAAGGCGTGTTCAGCTCAGTGTTTGTAAGTAGCTCATTCACACCCCTTTGATATCTGTGTTTATAGTTTGATAGGTTTGGACAATGTGAGACAAGCTGGTTAGATGAGACTGATCATGTTTTACTGCTTGAGTTTGTTGAGTAAAACTGAGCAGATTCAGCTGATTCTGTGAAGGCTTGTCTCTACAAATGAAGCCTTTCAGGTTCTCATGTTGCTTTTTATTCATATTTGTTTTTTTTTTTTTGGTAACACCTTACAATAACCATCACTTACAAATGGTAAGCAGGTAGTTTATTCATGTTTATTCATCATTTATTGACCATTTACAAAGTGCTTGACGCACATTTTAATCTAGATGTTTTACAACCAATATTTAAACCCTATATTAACCTTTAATAAATAATCCATTAATAATTAATGAAAATTATTAAACATAATTTTATTGCTTGTTAATGGTAAAGTAACTATTAACTTACATTAATAAACGATCTACTTGCCATTTATAGATTATGCTTATTGTAAAGTGTTTCCCTTTTTTTAAATGAAAAATATTGATTTAAACCCTCTAAAGCTGCACTGGTGACCTTTTTATGAACATCAGTTCAGTTCAAAGTCCTAGTTGGTCAATGAGCAGCGAAAAAGTCAGATTTTTCCTTTTGATGTTGATGAAGACCAAAAGCAGCATAAAAGGATACTCAATACTGGACCTTCTCTGTCAAACTTTAGGAAAATAAATCTCTAAACTACTATTTCATGATGTTAATCCATAACTCTTAAAGTAACAGTCGGCTAACAAGTTCTCTAATGCATCAAATTAGCACTTAAATGTTGATAGCTCTGTGTGTAGCAGCCTGTGAGGGCAACAGCTCAACAGAAACTTCTGCAAATGCTTTAACTATAAAAACCCTTTAACTCAAAAATTTAAAAACTAAAGCATCAGAATTGTGTGGTCTCTGATGGAGAGACATTTTTACTGCACACTGAGAAGGACTGCATATTTTTATAACAGGGTTTGAACACTTACTGTAAGTAAGTCCACAGGAGATTTACCAGAATTCAGACGGTGGTTAATAAAGACACTGTAAGGAGAGACAGAGAGAGGAGAGTAAAAGAGATGTCAGGTGTCAGTGCTGATCTCAAGGCAGAAAGGAAACCACCTGAATGAGTCAAACTGCTGGCTTTTGGTCCCAGGGGTTGTCTTCCTTTTTCCCACTTTGCAGACAAGAATCCTGGACCTTACCCACATCTCCTTTGTTCATTATTTTATGCTATACAGTTATCTTTAATGGGGTGCCAACTCTTCCATGTAGTTACTCTTGTGCAGAGGCTGTAATCCCCCTCAGGTGGGCAGCCTGGTTTTAATTCCCCTGTTATTCCCTACTCTCTCTCCTGCTTTCCTGCCGAGTCCACCGTCCTATCCCCTCTAAAGCAGAGCCCAAAAATATAACTAAAGAAAAGAAATGAGCCAACAAAACTTCAGTTCTGTTTAGGCCCGTTTACAGCCGTAATGACTAGATTAGCAGAGTTTTAAAAAAAGTTGTTTTCTAAGTTTGTGTTTTGAACTTTGTACCATCTTTGTATTTGCCACATGTTTGTTGTAAATGTGTTTGTT